GGACGTCCCGTTGATCGCTACTCGTAAGCGTCTTGTCTCGAGCGCCTTAATATGATAGCCCTAGAATCATTGCAGCCTGCTAACAGTAGATCGACTTCTTTGTTAAATGTCTAGTCTCTTTACGATTCGTGGAGAATTTATGAGGGCGGCTAAAATTCTGAGCAAGAATGGCGATGGTGCCATTACGCGTCTATGCTATGAAAGAGAGGTACCCTCACATCAGGAGAGGAACCGGAATAGTAGTATCGACCACGGTGACGACCAGGCCAGGGACAGGTCACAGCAAAAGGAAAGACCGAGTTCTCGTGGGTCGAATGCTGATGGCACCGCACTTGATAACAGCAGCAGAGGCGGCGGCAAAAGAGGCAGCAGTGGTCGTGTGGGGACCTTTCCTGCAGGGGAGGACAAGCTTCAGGACCGTGATAGTCCAGCGCACCCGCGCGTCAAAGTCCAAGGGACACATGAGGGCGGCACAGGCTCGTTATCGGGAACGGGGCCGCATGAACAAGGACAGAGGCCGCGGAGTGGAAGACGGAGCTTTTATAAGCGTGCGACAATTGGCAGTGAACCTCGAAACTTTACGAAGGTATGAAGGGGTTCCTTGCTGCCTTGGTCGAGGAATTTCGTCCGCTCGCGAGAAAAAGAAGGCCAAGGCATCCGATACTTTGTACAGTACATACTGTTTTTACAAAAAAAGAATTAGAATAAAAAAAAAAGTTTTTTCAAAGAAAAAACGAGTTGAGTGCATTGATTCGGATATGCCTTTTATTATTGTTAACATTTCTACTGTACAATGTATGTGGTTGCTGAGCTACCCGATTCGTTAATATGAGTAGACAAAGTCGAGACGATCATCGCCAACGTCTTTTGTGGTCTCGTTGTAATGTCTCCAGTCGTCTGCGGTCCAGCCCTTGGTGATACTGGCGCGCTTCTTGTTGAGATAGATGAAATGGTATCTCTGGAAGATAAAGAGCAAGATGGTGATGATCAAGGACCCGAACAGGATCCACATCCCTGTGAAGAAGCGGGGAGCGTCCTTGCTGCGGAAGACGTTTGAGCCAGCAATGGCGGTGATGTTGACGGAGATGATGTACATGGCCAACGCGATCGTCCGTTTGCCCACAGGGGCTGTGTTGCTGGCGATCCAAGCAGCCTAAATTGCAAGCTTAAAGGTTAGTCATCTGTACGTTTTTCATTACTTTGCAAAGATAGAAAAAAGAAATGCGACTTACATTGACAGGATGCCAGCAGGTTTGTCCACCCATCGTGAAGATCAAGCAGATATAGAGACTGTACTTATTCGCATTGATGGGCAACAATGCCAAACTGGCAACGCAAGCTGCGTAGTACAACGTCGCAGCCGCACCATGGAACGCGCGTTCATTGAACCGATCAGACGAATAGGAGACCGTGGACATGATAATCAAGCCCAGGATGTAGCCAGGGATGGTCATCAAGTTTGTCTTCAATGCATCGAATCCCAGCATCTTCAGAATTATGGGTGTAAAAACCGTAATGGGCGCCGAGGGTAGGAGCCCAAAGAACCCGATCAGGACATTGGGCCAGATGCGCGGGGACAGGAGCGCACGTACAATATCAGCCTTAGGGACGACGCTTTTGGAAGGGTCGGCTTTTGAGGGATCGTCGCGGATGAGACGGGTGATAGCGATCAATTCCTGGCGCTCGGTCAGGTATCCAGAGAAGCGCAGGAACCCCTTCGTGCCGGTTGGACCCTCGGGAAGGATGAAGAAGGACAGCAGACCGACAAAGGCCGTGGCGACCCCCTCGATCAGGAACAACCATCTCCAGCCAGCCAGACCAGCAATCCCCCGCATGTGCAGGATAAAGTACGAGAGCACACCTGCACAGGAATTGGCGACCGAGAGTGTGCTCCAGAAGATGGAGAGGCGAAGGGCCATCTCTTCGCGTTTGTAGTAGGTGGTCAGATAAATGGCAATCCCCGGGATGTAACCGGCCTCGAAGGTACCCACGAGGGCGCGGCAGATCAGGAAGGAGACCCTGTCCTTGAGCCAGATATGGGAGGCGGTGGCAAGCCCCCAGAAGAACATGAGGAAGGGAATCCAGCGGTGAGGACCGACGCGGCGGATGATCATGTTGGAAGGGATCTCGAAGAAGCAGAAGAAGAGAACAAAGATGGTCGTGCTGAGCGTGATGGTGTTCAGGTCGATATTGAGGTCCTGCATGAGGTTGTCAGTCAAGGCATTAGACAGATTGCCGCGATCGAGTTGTAGGAAGAAGACTACGGTGAAGGAGGGGGGTTTCCCAAACGATAAAGAAGCATGAGTAGTTGTGCCTATTTAAATGCTTGAGAGTGTAATCCATTAAGGTGAGAAAGATAGGGAACAAGGTGCATACTTACACATGACGCCGATCCACGAGAGGACCTTGAGATCGAATATCCGGACGAGCTGTTTCTCTTCTGCAGCGGTCCATGTGAGATCGTGGTCGTAGTGTGGATTTTGCTCGCCCAACTTCCTCAGTTTCTCATCCGGGGTGTCCGCCTGATTCGGACCGCTGAGTGTGGAGGCGACGCTGCCCTTGCGCTCAATGTCCTCGGGTCCTTCATACCTGTATTCGTACACCTCTTGCTTCTCGGACGACATGGTCAATGTAAGAGTGGGGAGACGTGTGCGGGTATGGAGTTACACGGTAGATGATAGATAGGGCTACCTTTTTTTTTTTTTCTTTTTGGGGTGAATGGAAAAAAACTACAAGGAGTCCCGGAAAAGGGTAAGTGGTGTGAATTTATACGGTGCATTAAAGTCCAAAACGATCGGGGATTGAGGAACGATGATTCGATAGAGTTGAGTCCATCCCCGCCTTTTTTGGCACTTTGTAGCAGCCAGAAAGAGGGGGCTTCCTCAGCTCGGTGCTCAAAAAGGGGAATGATTCGTTCTCAATGTGGGGGGTCTGTCTATGGTATGTTTGCTTGAGGGCAGGCAAGCGTGTCCCTGTCAGGTAGAGTGGAATTGCATTGAGCGCATGGCGAAATGGGCAGACATAAATGGTGTGATCGCCCCGATTCTGAGAGCGCCCTGCATTCTGTGAGGATGACTTTGCTCTGTATTACAGGTTTGTACCTGGCCATGCATGGGGTAATGGGTTCTGCAGAAAATATTTGCCGATACCAATAGATGCGATATGAGATCGCTGTTTCTTTATCTCAAGGGGGTGCCAGAGAAACATGTGTGCAGGGTGAGCAATTGGTGAACAACGATGGCACGGTCCTTGTCCTCCACCGTGGATAAACAATCCACCTCTGGCTTCTACCAGAGCATGGTCCCACGGAGATGATGGGCATAAAGTACGCTCCCTGCTAGAACGAATAAGGTTGTCTGTGTAACCATGCATTTGCACCGAGGATTGAATGTTGCAATTCGGTGCAAAACGCGCGTCTTTTAAGGTTAGAATCACCTCTTTTTGCCTTGATGTGGGTCATTCCTAGTCTACCGAACCATTCGACCACGAATTATCATAATCAGATGCATACCACTTTTCCACCAAACCTGGTATTGTCTAGGGACTGAAGGCTTCAATTCAAAGCGAAAGGAGGAGATATGAAGTATTTTACCCCAGTACAGGACCAGGATTAAGAGCAGAACTCTGAGGGTCGGACTTCCATGGCACTCCTCCATACCGGTGTCAAGTTAAACCATCGAGTCAAAGACTAGCGGTACTCCACACTTGTTCTGGCTTTTGGTACAACCCCATTATTGTCTTTGCTTCGCGGTTTTTCATCTCTTGGCGGATGTGCCATAGGATGTCGCTGGTTGTCGCCATCCATCTCAAAAAAAAAAAAAAAAAAAGAACTGGCGAGCTAACCATGATCAGCTTATCGCCTCGGGCTACTGGCCGCACGTTGAAAATGCAGTTAATGGATCAAGGGCTTTGCGCGCTTTGTCATTATCAGTGAAAAATCAAGAGTCTGAACAACAAATTCTTGTATGCTCATTTTGCGAATTTAAATTTAACACGCGGTAGCCGCTTCTTCGAACGAGTTGAGGCAACATGCGACAACCATGTCGCCATCTTGTCTCCTCATGTTCAAAAGATCTCTTTTTAATCACGCTTGTGCTTTTAAAAAGGAAACCCATTGGGTACTCAGGTACCGCAGCAGGAAACAAGTGGGTAAAAGAAGTGTTAAGGACTTTACAAAGACGCCACTTCTCCATTTTCTATGTCACACCTACATCCAACCTAGACAATGTAGTTGTGCCTACGCCTTGGTTGCTCTTTCACGACGCGATATCTTGGCCAATTCATTCGTGATCAGTATTTGCCCCGTCTCGGGTAAAATATCATTCGGACTTAGTTTCCGGAGGGATTACTTGTCTGTATAAAAGCCCTCGTGTCCTTTGCTCTTTTTCTTGTCATCACCAACGAGCCAGCAAGACAAAGCACCAAGCAACAGCAACGCTTCGCCCAACAAAACAAAACCACCGCTCACTTCAAACCACAGCAACCAACCATGGCTCCAGCAGTTTCCGACAAGATTATTCTCTCCGCCACTACGAAGGACGCATCTCTTGCCGATCGCAACACTCATGCTACTCGCGTCGCCGGCAAGGGTGCTGATCCTGAGAAGAAGGCCCTGTTCGCTAGTGTCACCAAGCGCATCGATTACACGCCCAAGATCGGAACTGAGTTACACGGCATCAAGTTGACTCAGTTGACTGAGCAGCAAGCTGAGGAACTTGCTGCTCTTATTGCAGAGCGTGGTGTCGTCTTCTTCCGCGACCAGGATGACTTGGACGCCAAGGAGCATGTCAAGCTTGGCGCTCGCTGGGGGTGAGTTTGGGAAATTTGTTCCTCAACAATCTGGCCATTATCTTTGAAAGTACAAGCTATCCTAACAATGTCTCTTGTTAATCTGGCGACCATAGACCCCTGCACATTCATCCTCTCGTCCCTCACGACACTGAAAACCCTGAGCTTATCGTCCTCGACTCTCGTCTCAGGTAAGGACATGAGTCCTAATGAACAATGTTGCAGAGCACTCAAGGAATATATTACAATGAAACTGACTGTCAATTCCATTAACCGTGCGTTTAGCCCCCCAAACCGCTACAACACCAACAACTCGTGGCACTCGGACGTCTCCTTCGAGCCTGCTCCCTCTTCGTTCTCGATCCTCAAGTTCGATGAGATCCCCGAAGCTGGCGGCGACACCGTTTGGTCCAATGGCTACCAGCTCTATGATGATCTCTCGCAGCCCATCAAGACCCTCCTCGAGGGACTCACCGCTACCCACACCTCGGATATTTTCCGCGCCTTCCAGACCAGCACTGGCCGCAAGACCTTTGGAAAGCTGAACGACTCTGAACACCCTGTTGTCCGCACCAACCCCGTCACTGGCTGGAAGTCGGTCTTCACCAACTCTGTCTTCACCCGCGAGATCAACAACGTCTCTCCCGCAGAGTCCAAGTGGATCCTCGAGTATTTGAACGACTTGACTTCCAAGCGTCTGGATTACCAGGTCCGCTTCTCGTGGGCAAAGCACAGTGTCGCCATCTGGGATAATCGTTCAACTTTCCACACCGGCGTCCCAGATTTCAGGCCCTACTATCGCCGTGGACTCCGTATCACTGTCTCAGGAGAGGTCCCCTTCTACGACCCTAACTCGGGCACGCAGGCCAAGGCTTTCGAGGCCACTGCTAACGCTATCATTGCTAAGCAGGAAGCAGCCGAGAAAGCCAAGCAGGAGGCAGCCGAGAAGGCCAAAGAGGATCCAGCCCTGCAACTTGCCTAAACAGGCCAGCACGAGTCCATCGTATGCATTCTCTCTCAACGCCTTTTGTTGAACAAAAAGTGATTTGTTTGTAAATATTAATAATCAGAGGCCACTACCCCCTCTTACTGAGTGTGAATAAAATGAAAAAACTGCGTACATTGCGTTGTCTCCGATAAATGGTAGTGAGGTGATGTTTGAAACGCGACGCACGACAATCAGGTCTCTGGTTATGCCCCTAAGAGTAGCGTTTGAAAAAAAAAAAAAAAAAAAAAAAAAAGAAAGAGAAAAAGAAAAGGCGACCGGTACCCTTTCTGGGGCCAGCAATGGATTCGAAGCGCTCGTGTCCTTGCCATGTTGCCTATGCACCCTGTTTAAGAGCCTGTTTGAACTCTTTTTTTTTTTTTTTTTTTGTCTGGACAAGCCAGCCCTACTGCGCGGATAAGAAGATGTTTGCTCAGAGGGTTTTCTACGGAAGAATAGCTCGTGCCTTTTGGGGTTGTCTTGGTGAGCCTAGGTCGTGCACCGATGGCGATTTGGACTCATGGAACAGGGCCATGGGGTTTGCGATCGGACCGTACTTATAAAAACCGGGTCATTGCAAAAAAAAAAAAAAAAAAAAAAAAGAACAAAAAACTCTCCTACCTCAGCACAAACCGACCAAAAAGACTTGCTCGATACACACGATCCATTTGCCAAACACCATAACCATATTCGCCATGCATCACAAACGTCCCATAGCATTCCTATGCTTATGTTTCCTCTATCTCTTGCCCCTCGCATCAGTCTCCCAGGCCCATGTCGGACTCTTGCGCCCCTGTTCTCGTGGAAGCCCTCGCGCTGGCTGCCCGCCTGTCTCAAATGGCCAGTACATAGATTATGACCTCAACTCCCCGATCGGAACCCACGACATCAAGAACGCGCCCCTGTGCAAGCAGACCATTGCATCCGCCACCCGCACCACCGTCCAGGCTGGCCAGGACCTCAAAACCGAGTACTCTATCGGCGCTACCCACGGAGGTGGACACTGTCAGTGGGCTCTGTCGTATGACAATGGCAAGACCTGGGTTGTGCTCAAGACCCTGATCCGTCGCTGTCTCCAGAACGCCAGCGCATCCTACTCTGTCGACGTCCCAATCCCTAAGAACGCACCCAACGGCAAGGCGATCTTCATGTGGCTCTGGAACAACGCCATCGGCGACCGTGAGCTGTACTCCAACTGCGCGGACATCACGATCAAGGGCGGTGTCAACGGCGGAAGCTTGAAGGGTGTTGCTCCCTTGATCGCCAACTACGGTAACTCGAGTCTTTTGATTCCCGAGTTCGGAAGCCCTGGACAGGATGATAAGCATGAGGCATTTGCACAGCGAAAATCGGTCACCGTTTCTGTGTGCTAGATCTGATACTAATGCCAGTATCCGTAAAATAAAATTGTGTATCAACCCTTAAGTCAGCGGCACTTTTTGTAACTGTCCATATGAGTCTCTGTCGGACCGGTGCAGCTGAGGTCCTCCTCTCATTTCCACTCCAATTCAAGATGGCAAGTCACGGGGAGCAGAGACATTAAGCATCCAAGGATGGCATCCAGGACATCCAACGGCATCAACACGGATCTATCCATCCAAGCACACATCGCCAGCGTTGCAGAGGGATATTTCGGCATCATTCATCTCCAGGAACTAGGACGGGAACTGGGGAACCGAAAAACTATTTGATTGCAAGCAAAAATCATCTTATTAGCATGCGTCTGCATTCAACACATTCGAAGACCTTTGCAAAACGACAAAGTGGCTCTTCACCCTATCAGCATCCTATGAATGGCGATACTTAATTGCTCGGTAGCGAGTTTAAGAACGGACGACAACTCGAGACTGGGCTCGTGCTTGCTTTGTTGCATTCGCAAGGGATCTTGGTTTTTCGTGCCCAAACAACAGGACGACCAGACCATCGCGCTTTCGTCTTTGAGAAAAGAGCCAGCAAAACACGACGTCCTCTTCTGCAGGAAGCGAATAGACGATCGGCACGGTGATCATCAAAAACAACAGTGCATCAAAAGACACGTCTGCCACTGGAGACTATAATCAATCACCAAGCGCCTTTTTATTTTTTATTTTCAAACCAGGATCGCCCACCAACCTTCCAGGATCTGCTTGCATCTTCCACCTCCAACAACTTTCTCGCCATGAGCTCCTCTTGCAACGAGATCTCCTAACCAGACCCGCTTTTTCTCATCCTACCCTATTGTTCCACCACAGGCTAAGCGCACTAAGAAGGTCGGAGTTGTTGGTAAATACGGTGTCCGTTATGGTGCCTCGCTCCGTAAGCAGGTCAAGAAGATGGAAATCACCCAGCACAGCAAGTACACTTGCACTTTCTGCGGTCGCGTAAGTATTTCCCCTTTCAGCGTCTGAAGGAATTGATTTTGATATGGAACCAAGGCGAGATGATAAGGGTGTTCATCATTGACGTTGGAGGATCGGTTCTGGGTTGAGAGCGGCAAGAGTATTGGGCACCTTTGATGAGATCAGGGAGACGATGGCAAGCCTTTGCTAACGCTACGCATTGTATTTTTGTTTCAACTGAAAATAGGATGCTGTCAAGCGTCTGTCCGTCGGTATCTGGAAGTGCCGTGGTTGCAAGAAGACCATGGCTGGTGGTGCCTGGACCTTGTCCACCACCGCTGCTGCCACCGTCCGTTCCACCACTCGTCGTCTCCGCGAGATCATGGAGGTCTAAACATTCCTCGTTTTACCCGCCAGAACTCGAGCAGCTTTACTTTCGCGAATAAAAAACGGTCATGGTGTTCCGAAGCACGAAAGGAAAGAAAAATGAAATGAGAAAGCGACAGCTGAAGGGAAGAAGAAGTGAAGGTGACGGATGAAAAGAAAGGATAGAAAGAAGGCGAAGAAAGAAGGCGAAGAAAAAGAAAGAAAGCCAAGAGAAGAGGTGTCGTGGCAAAGTCAATAATGAAACGCGTGGAAGTGATTGTAAAGGAAAGGCGGTGTATGGGGAAATAATGTCACTAGTCTGTCAACCGTCTCTCTCTTTTCTCCCATTTCCGTTTCCTCTTTGCTTTTCCGCTCGTTGCACCTATTAAAATATTCTGCCTTGTGTTCTCACATGTAACACCATGAAGCGAGCTCCATTTGACTTTAGCGCGACAATACAGGATAGAGTAGAGAGTCCAAACAGCTATGCTTTTATTTTTATGACTTCTGGATATCGCCTCTTGTTTTTTTTGGATTGTTTTGATTCTTCTTCCTGGTCCTCGGAACGCCGCTTGTGTCCTTTTAACTTGTCCAGATATTCGACGTGGCGACGTGGGAAGATCTTTGAAAAGATGTTGTCGTCGAGACCGATAGATACATGCCAGAGGCCTGCAAGTTCGGGCTCAGGATCGGGTCGAACCTGAAATTTGACAACCTCGGCAGGGTAGGTGATTACCATGCTAATATATCTCCCAATCGGGCAGTAGTCCTGCAGTTGTGGCAGTTGCTGTTGATCAATTGGACACTTAGTATCCCGTTTATTAAGAACATGTCTTCCATCTCTCGCTACTGCTGCTTCGCCAACATTGTTCTTTTGTCCGCTCTACCAGACGAGCTTGACTGATCATGCACTCGCTTGGTGCCTTTCACGCAATCGAGCAAGTCCGCCACTCCTCCAGGCACAAAATCACGCATATTGCTCCCATCAGCGATCATAAGGAGCTGCATCCATCCCAGCCCGCTCGCGGCGTCTTTGGAACCGTAGGGTGGACGTAAATCAGGCTCAGGTACTTTCCGCCAGGGCAGTATGCGGCCAAGTTCGGTAGATGAGCCTTGAGTTTGATCTGATGTACTGTCAATCGAGCCTCCTCCACTTTTCCTAGAGAGATATCGTCGAGGAGCTTTGTCTGGACAAACACAGGGTAGAGCTGATCATCGATTCGCAGCACAAAGACGATATCGGGTCCGGAGTGAGACGGCTCTGAGTAGTAAAAAGGTGGCACTACGCAATCGCCACTCCTCGAGCCATGCTTATAGTGAGCCTCCAAAAAGTCGCTCATAGTCAGAGTCTCCTTGTACCGAGTTCCCCACTCATAATCCTCCCATCCGACGATCGTTGCTGGGCGCCCGAACAAATGCCTGGGAAACGTGACAGGCTCAAATTGGGGAATAGGGGTCTTGAATTCCGTCGTAGGCCAGTGCTTGGCTGCTTTGGGGATTGAAAACATTTTTTCTTGAGCTGCTTCTTGTGGAAGGCGTAGATCAGGTTCAACGGAGCGTGCCGCTCAAAGATCTTCCCTTCAGATTGTGGATCCTGTAAGTCTCGGTACTGTTCTCTGAAGTGTTTGTAGAACCTACGTCCTCCTTTTGGATAAAGTTATAGGCGGCCTGGAATACGAATGGCTCATCAATTATGGTGCTGATCTTCTTTCCAACAGCAGTCTTGTCAGCAGCAATGCAGAGACGACCGAAAGCGCTCTCGACCAAGATCGGCTCCTCTCCTCGCAAGCTCCAAGGCAGTCCTAGTGAGGCTCGATAAACAATAGTCTGCTTGAGGACGTGTTTAAGTTCGATGGCATCCTCGTATTTGGTTGGGTCCTTGGCGACTTTGTCGATATCCTTTTAATATCTGAGCAAAGATTGCCGCGCATTGGAAATTGCTCAGGATAGCATACCAGTGCTCGGACTCTGCGTCCGATAGCTTCCCTCCAGTATGACGTGCATCCTTTCGCGATGATGTCCTCGATCGTCGTGATGATTGGACGGAACCGACCTCTAAGTCTGAAAAACAACTCTTGGACAGCTGCTTCCGGGATTATTGTATGAAGTCTCGTTCTATCGTCCTCGCACATCGCATCTCCAAGATTGTTGAGGTACACAGACACTTGGTCCTCCGTTTTCCAGCCTGGGAAGTCGACGATACGGCGTTCTATTTGATCCAAGCTGCCTGCAATGCCGCCGGAGTTCGCCAATACTTCAAGTTCGTCCGCACTAATGCCTGTGCCACATGTCACCACGCAGTAATCTCTCTCGCTTTCTGAAATGTTTCTGGGCCCATGGATGCTAGGAGAGAGGATCGACCTCAAATCTCTGGAATCCGCGCGTGACACGAAATATTCCCTCCCATGATCGCTCAGAGTCTGCGCTTCATCGAAGACGACGAGAAGCTTGCTCGTCGGAGAATCGGCAGCAAACGAGGAGATCTGACCTTGAACCTTACGAAATCGATCCTGCAATAGGCGCTTCAAGCTCGAAAGAGGAATAGCCGGCGTCTGGTCATGGTAGGTGTTTAGTACATCCCTGAAAACGTCGTTAAAGACATCCGATACTGTAGCATCAAAGGCTCCTGGGCACACTTGGAGCAACATCCAACGCTCACAGGTAAATGTGTCATGGCGGCCGAGACTCAGACAGAATTGCAGGACCATAAGACGCGAAATAAGAAGACAGCCTGTAATCGCCTGAATGTTGAGGCCATTCTGCACCTTATCGGACGACAAATACCGTGTCGGCATTTTCTGTGCTGACTCGAACAAAGTGGTGATGTCCTTTGAACCTCTATCCGCCTGGCTGCCATTCAGATAGAATCCTCAGTTCTGCGCAAGCATTTCCACGACAGCCCGCGTCTTTCCACAGCCACTTACGCCAAAGAAGGTGATAATGTCGTTGTTTTGGTACTCCTTGATCGTTTTGAGGGCAGCCTCTGATGGTGTCTTTGTCGTCCGATGTGGTCGCTTTGGGTGCAAAAGGTATAGAGCAGGCTGAGGTGTAACTTCTCTGAAAGTGCTCGATCGTAACCAGGATTTTGTAGACCCTTGACAGAGCAATTTGCGTCAGGGATACTGAGGTCGCCTTTTACGAACGAACAGAGGAAGCGTGAAACCGGAGAGTCCGCATGAAAGATATCCTTCTCGAGCCTCTCTAAAAGGGTGTTGACTACAATGAATGCAAGGTATAAGCAGCAAATCCATACGGCAAACCGGAATGCAGTCTTACAAGTCTCCACTTACATGCTTCCCTCGCCTGCCTCGGAGAACCTGGTGGTGCTTTTGGGGCAGATTCATCCGAGAGGTGGCCCGGAAGTGGAGTAGACGCCCGAGCGGGGACAGGTGCCTGGACTATGTCGGAGCAATTACGCATGTGAATAAGGTTAGTACAATGGTTAGCCTCATGCGACAACGTGGCAATGAAGCCATTTCGCGGCTGCATTGCCTTGTGGGAGTCGCTGGACAATGATGTGAATTGTTTTCTTGGGTGGCGTTTCTTTGAAGACGTCAGAGAGGTCGTCCGTCGGGTCAAGCTCTGTTGATGATGGAATCTCGGTCAGGACGACTGGCTTGCGCTCCTTGGGAGGAACAACGGGGATGGAGACGCGCCATAGGGTGAGCTCATCTGCGGCAACATCATCAAACCGAGGAGTCTTCTTGATTTTGATTGCGTCCTTGAGGTGATCAACCGTCTTTGATGGATCGATGTCTACAGAGAATGGTGTAGAGTCTCCATCAACAAGACAGAACAGGCTCAGATGATTGTCGGCCATGGTGTTGCGAAGCATTAAATGAATAAAGGTGGAGAGTAAGAGAAGACGAGAAAGCAGAGAGAAGAGAGGTGAGGGACGATGAAAAGCGAGGACAGAAGCCAAAGGATGGGGTATAAAGGCAAAGGTCATGAAGAAGGGCGTGGGAACAATGACAAAGGATGTGTCCGCGTGAGAGCAAGCGATGGCGAAGGTGGCAAATATGCGTGCGATCGAAAGCAAGCGAAAGCAGTCAAGGAAAAAGTGTGGCGTCCTACGCGAGGACATCCCCCACGCCCTCACCATCTTGTCAGTACCATGCTGCACACCCCTGATGCATGTCAAACTAGATTGACACCCAGTTGCCATCACAGGAGGACTTCGTGACATCGAAGATGGCGTCGTTTACGCTCTTCCCTCCTTTCTCACTTCCAAAATCGCTACAATCTCTCATCTCTTGTATTCAATTCTTGCTTCATTCCGACGACATCAGTACGCGCACCAATCATTCTCTATATCAAACACTCCCACTAGTCAGCAATTGCATCTTCAACGGTATCAACACCCCACCTCTATTCATCCGCGCAGCCGATTTCGTTACGTACCCATTCACTGTGAATCGGTAAGCGCCTTATCTTCCTCTTCCACTTTCTTCGCACCATATCTCCCCTTTATCCTCTCTCCGTTCATACCCTTTATCCTCTCTCCGTTCATACCCTTTATGCATCGATTATATTTCATCCTGTTTAGTATGCCGCGGGATGTGGAGAGAGATGATGGCGATGGCGATGTCTTTCGAAACATTTGTACATCTCTTATTTTTGAAGACCGAGGGTATGATTCTGTGAGGCAGACGAAAAAGAACATTGTCCGTTCATCACAAGCCGTAGCGTTGCGCTCGTTTATGATGGATATATTGTCCAGGACCCTTCCCATCCATTTCTTTGTCAGTGCTTGTTTTCAAGCTGGACATGTACGACGCTCCGTGCCCAGTGATGTTTTGTCACTGACGCATACAGCCAAAACCACGCTAGCCTCTTGATTGGTTTTCTTCTTTGGCGTCTCATGCTGGTAGCATGCGAAACCAATCCAGGGTTGCAAAACACTCTGTTGGCTCTGTGCGCTTGTTTGCATCTCGGGTCTAACTGAATGCCTGTTAGAGTTAAGGTATCACCCTGCCAAGATGCACCGTTTCCAACAGTAAACCATAATTTTTATTTCTCGTCACGAATAGGGCCATGTCTAATCTCACGGAGATAGGTCTCCGGAGGCTTTTTTTTTGGCTTTCGAGATAACCGACAAGCACACTGCTCATCGTCGATATGGGTTGGCCATCGAGAGATGTTCTACGGGCGCGGACTGCGAACGCCTCAAGGAAGAGTTTGATCAATGGAAGAGAAGCAAGGGAACGACATATTGGACGGATCAGCGAGCTCGACTTTCAGCAATGAGAACAGCCGGCGCATTGATTGACGCTTCGGAACCATATCCGGAAGACTCGCTTCATCGTGCTTCAAAAATGGTGAATGCGCCGCAAGGTATGTTTTATTTATCGATCTCGTTGCTTTTTATCGGCGAAGGATGTAGTGGAATAGAGATGTTAATTGAAATCTGCACCATCGGCACCTGTGTCTGTCTTGATAGTGACACTTTCCACGACATCTGTGGGATCGCCACCACACACAGAGCAATCAGGACTGATGCGGCTGGAGCACTTGCAGTCATTACCGCCAGTGTACATATCGACCACCTGTGATGGATGCAACACCTCAGGAGGAGCGACTGAACATGGACCGGCGATATCTGGAGAAGATCACGAATCGCCGTTGATTGATGAGGATGAACGGGAGGTTCTTCTTTCACAAATTGAAAGTATTGGCCATGAATGCGAACCCTAAGGAGATAAGGGTTGTTTGGCGTGTTTGTTCAGGTCCTACCAGCGACTGTGCGTCGCCGCAATTCACAAAAATGAGCTTCGGATTACGGACGTCACGGATGTTGTAGCGTTGCTAGGGGTATTGGTGCCCTTCAAAGCAACCGCGAGGATGAAGTCCGTCTTCCAGGAAAAGACTCTGGATGATCTGACAAAATCGGATGAAGAGTGGCCTGATGTTGGATTCGATGAGAGCTTGGTGACTTCTGCCGTCAGGGTATGTTCAATATCGGCTTTGAACAGAAATGTTCGTGCGCTTCTTGACAACACCTGCCAACGATTTTTGCTTTTCTTTCATTTTAGCATTGTATGCGTGGTTAGAAGGGGCATGTGGGTCAACTTTTGCGTCCGCTCGAAGAGAATCACCTACGTATCAAGCTTTTACTCGAGACTCGGTAAGCAAAAGTTCGATATGTGATGCTTGATGTTGGACAGCGACTAATCTATTGTTCGAGCACCTCAGAGTCCTTATGGTGAGGTATTAAATCCTCCTCAGATGGCAGGCGAGAAATGTACTCTTGCAGTGTCGCCATCGGGCAAAGGGCTACGTTGGTATGCGCCTGTATGGTTGTGAACTTGCGGATCCGTCCATGACGTCGCTTCTCTTTGGGCAAGACCACGGGGAGGATCGCCACTTGTGGGGTGACTCGAAAGTGCGCGTGGGTGATGTCGATGCAGGCTATGTCGTCTCCGCGGAACATGCCTATCACAGCCAGTAGCCAGCACAGTTTGTGTGTGATCTGCTCCAAAGACAACTGTGCGTTCGCTGGCAGGACTTCCAAATAGCAAACCGCTGGGGTAAGGTCAAGGTCGAGTGCCTTGAAGTCGGTGATGGCCATTCACAAGGAGATTCTTGGAGTACTCCAATTTCTTGTCAATAAATAGAACCTCAGTCTTTGTTTAATAAACATCCACTCAACCATATATCCAGACCCGAACCTATTGCATTGGTAGCAAAGGTATAAAACACGAACCACCATACCCCCCCCCCTGAATTATCACAGACACACGAGTAAGAAAGCAGCACCCAGAAAGCAGCACCTAGAAACCAATACCCAAAAACAGCACATTTTTTTTCCTGGCCCTATTCCCTCGACCCATCATGGACCAATCCTGCACGACTTTAGCGAACCTACCGCTATCAAATGCGATGCGCGATACATTGGCCGAAGCTTTCCGATTGGCAGTGCCCGAACGCGCCGCATTCAATGATGAGGCCCGCGCCCTTGCCACAGTTCTCAAACCTCAAAAACCAGCCCCTTACAACGGCTCTATTGATGCCATGGAATCTCTCAATTTCATCGATAGCCAAAAAGAATATTTCGAGATCGTCCAACTGGACAAATCGAGCTGGATCCGCTGGACCGTTCTTGCGCTCAATGGCGACGCTAAGTCTTGGTGGCGCAATTCCAAAACGCCAATCGACTCGACCTGGGACACATTCCGCCACGCATTCCTCCTTGCCCATACACCCCCTAACGCAGCAAACACAGCCCGACAAGCCCTGCACAGACTCAAACAAAAGAATTTTACGGTCGCAGAGTACACAAACCAATTTTATAAACAGCTTCGCCTAATCCCCCACATGGACAGCGATGGCGCCCATTACCTGTACATGAACGGTTTGGAACCCGAGACAAGCAAGCGAGTCAAGTTACAACAACCCACGGACCTCGGCAGTGCCATCCATCATGCTACTATCATACACAACATCCTCCATCCCCCTAACTTGTCCCCCACTTCTAGCACCAACACCGCCGCCCCCAACCCTCTCACCAATAACTCCACCCCCATGGATATGGACACCATGCGCCTTATGTTTAATAACTTCCTTCACATGAACCGATTCTCCGCCCATGACAATCATCCAATCATCAGGATCACTCCCACCCAGTGTTCACCAAACTCACTGACGCTGAGCGCGAGCGCCTACGAAAATCGGCGCATGCTTCCGTTGCCGAAAGGTTGCTAATCACATTGCCAAGAATTGCCGCGCTTCCCGTTCCCTCCACAATGTTGAAACTACCCCTGCGCCCGGAAACTCGGGAAAAGACTAGGGTGATCTGACGACCAGGACAGTCTCGCCCCACACAAAACCCCTACACCACCCCTGGTTCACAGGGATCTTGATCGAATTGTAGCGCAGAACCGAAATACACAAACTGTTCTCCGTGCATCTACTTCACGCGTGATCCCATCCTCCCCTCATCTCATCGCTCATATTAACTCTATAGGCATCGACGTGGATCTTGGAATAAAACAACGGTTTCTCAAGCTCTACCCTAAGGACAGCATACTAGGACCGCTACTGGAAAAGTTTTGCGACGCCAGCACCACGGATCGATATTTTGCTCGCGATGGTCTACTCTGGATTAATACTGCAAGTGGACCACGTCTGTGCATCCCGAGGGACACTGACCTTCGTTCCCTTCTCCTCCATGATGCACATGGCGCAACGATTGCCGGGCACCTAGGGTTCGACAAGACCTACGAAAACATGCGCCGGATTTTCTACTGGCCATACATGGCCCGCGGCATCAAAGCCTACATTGCATCCTGTGAATGCTGCCAACGGAACAAACCATCGCTTCAGCACCCTGCAGGCCTTTTCACCCCCCTCGACTTTCCTTGTCAACGATGGGATACGACGTCCATGGACTTTATTGTGAAGCTACGCAAGACAGCTAGAGGATTCGATGCTAAAAAAAAAAAGAAAAAAAAAAAAAGAAAGACTACTGCATGCATATATGATGTAGAATGATTCACGGATACTATCGATGTGTTTGTTCTCTTGAGAGCGATGCTTGTTTGATTGATGACATATCGTGAGAGACCCTCCCCCGGAGTTCTTAAATGAACACGACAACCTGGACTACCGCCAACCTCCTTTTTCCCCCACGATTTATACGAACTTTAAGTTCCGCGTGCAGAGAGTACAGGGAATATGGATGATTCATAGAATCCAAGAGGCGAATTTGTTCCCGCTGGACTCGACTACTTGTTTCTGCAACGATGAACTCGGTTCGGTGAGAATGCGGTGCGTGAGATGGGACATACCGGCATAGTCATCATCACCGACGGCGCCCCTCCAATTTGGTCATAACAGAATATCATGGACGCTTCGGGGTTTGGAGGGGATAAAACGACGGTGAGGGGCACAAAGAAAACACGCCGTAAACGGCCCGGCGGACCAAAGGTGGAGTGAGTCAACAACGTGCTACTGCACATCACATAATATCGATAAAAAAATTAAAGAAATCAGCAGCTGGGGGAACACATATCGTCTTTTCTCTTTCTCTCTTTTCATCCATCATTCTCATTCTCACGACCCATTCAATCGTCCTCACATCCTCATCATGGCACATGTTGTAAGTAACCGTACTAGCAAGCATATACAGGAAACAGAGACCACTGCTCAAAAATTCCACTGGGATCCGTGCGGTTGGATATTCAGTCTCGGGGGCTGTTGTTGTCGCAGATACTTTCCAGGATTAAAACATCACAGCAGCAGCAGCAGCAGCAACAGTTGTGAAAGAGACCCCATTCCAAACTTTAACGAATTGAATGCGGGGCCCCCATCTTGCTTATAGATCGCTGTCCAGCCCTCTCTGGAAGAGGTCAAAGGCTTTGTCGAGGCCAAGGCCGGCAACACAATCCCCATCTTTGCTGAAATTCCTGCCGATATGTTGACGCCCGTCATGGCATACCTCAAGGTCTCGGACAAGTGCGACTATTCATTCCTGCTCGAATCGATCACTGGAGGCGAAAACATCGGACGATACAGTTTTATTGGAAGTGGTAGGTGGTGAATAGTGGCAATGGATTGCTTTTTTCAATTTTTTTTCCAGGGACCACGGTTTAACAAGTATATCGTTGTTGATGTTTTTTCTTGGCTCTTTCATCCGTTCTATGCACAGACCCATACAAGATCCTGAAGACAGGACCTGGGGAGGGGCTTCAGGGGGACCCGTTAGCTATCTTGGAGAAGGAATTGGCCAACATTCGCTACGTCAAGGTCAGGGGCGTTCAGGATTTTACAGGAGGTGCCATCGGCTACATTGGATACGACAACGTTCAGTACTTTGAGCCCCGCACCAAGCGCGACTTGCAGGACCCCATCGGCTTGCCCGACGCCGTGTTTTTGTTCTGCGACACGATTGTGATCTTTGATCATTTGTACCAGAAGATCCAGGTTGTTACCCATTACCGATCGGATGCCACAGACCCCGCCGAGGTCGAGAAGCAATACCTGAACGCTGTGGAGGAAATCCAGATCACGGTGGACCTGCTCAATAACGAAGTCACGCCCAAGGTCCCTCAACCACCCGTTGTCCTCGGTCAGGAACCGGTCTCGAACGTTGGCAAGGAGGGATATGAAGGCTTTGTGACACAATTGAAGAAGCACATCAAGCTCGGGGATATCATTCAGGCGGTTCCCTCCCAAAGACTCGCCAAGCCCACGTCGTTGCACCCCTTCAACATCTACAGACACCTGCGCTCGATCAATCCTTCGCCTTACATGTTCTATCTGGATCTGAAGGATTTCACATTGGTCGGTGCGTCGCCCGAGATGTTGGTCAAGGTCCATGATCGTGTTGTGTATACCCACCCTATTGCCGGAACCAGGAAACGTGGAGCCACACCCGAGAAAGACATTGCGTTGGGAGAGGAGCTCCTGGCGGATCCCAAGGAGAGGGCCGAGCACATCATGTTGGTGGATCTAGGCCGCAATGACGTGAACAGGGTGTGCAAGCCCGAGACGGTCAAGGTGGACTCGTTAATGCATCTGGAACGGTACTCGCATGTGATGCACATTGTCTCAAACGTTTCTGGAACGCTCAGAGATGAAAAGACTCCCTTTGACGCATTCAGAAGCATCTTCCCCGCTGGTACCACATCTGGAGCGCCCAAGGTTCGGGCCATGGAGTTGATTGCGGATCTGGAGAAGACCAAGCGGGGGGTCTATGCTGGAGCGGTCGGTCACTTTGATTACTCGGGTGGACTGGATACCTGCATTGCGCTGAGGACGATGGTGGTCAAGGACGGGGTCGCATATCTGCAGGCTGGAGGCGGTATTGTCCACGACAGTGTGGAGGAAGACGAGTACCAGGAGACGATCAACAAGCTGGGATCGAACCTGACGGCCTTGAAGATGTGTGAGGAGTATTATTACCGCAAGCAGCAATTGGAGGGGTTGTAGATCCAACCTAGATGATCGTCGCTGCAGTCGATAGAAACGGTTTCTAACTTGGTTGTGCCCGCATACTCATTATTAAACATTACACTCACTCTTACTCTCTCACTTTCTCTCTCTCTCTCTCTCTCTCTCTCTCTCTCTCTCTCTCTCTCTCTCTCTCGAGTGCTCCCCCCGATTTCCGTAGTTCATTGTACCTGCTGGGTGAAATAGAAATAGCATAATGCAATGCATGGTGGATCCAAACGACTACTAGTGCGGTACTGAGGTCGTGTGAGTATGTGTCCGGGCGAAGGGGGGGTCTGCCTCTCTTTGAAGCAATAGCAATGTCCTTTTTTTTGCTTTTTTTGTTGGTCTGAGATTTGTTTGGTTTATGCATTGACGAAACGTCCCGACATTCTAGCAAAATAGGAAAGAAAAAGAGTTGCATTGTTTGCTTGCTCGCGTGAGGGTTTCGTTTTTTTCTTTTTAAATGACGATTTGTTTTTTATTTTATAGTACTATGATACAGTCGTAGAGATGAGATGAGAATTGGAAGGAAAGAAGGATATTGATCTTTCCATTTAGTCTGGGTAATCGTGCCATCGATAATTGTGTGCCCCTAGCTTTTTTTTTTTTTTTTTTTGGACGCTCCAGTTAGCTGTTAGGTACATTGTTATAGGGTACGAAGCCAAGAAAAAAAAAAATAACAAATAACCCAGAAGAGAAAGAAATAACCCAGAAAAGAAAGAGAGGAAGGAATAGAAAAGACAATCTAGGCAGTGGTAACCCAAAAAAGATCGTCCTGTCGCTTGGCCAGGGAACCAGACCGCTTCAGGCTTTTATAGTCACGGGTCCAACTCTGGAGGAGCTCACGACGCTTCTGCAGCAGAGCATCCAACTGTGAGCAGAACAAGGTCCGCTTCTCGACCAACTCCTCCTTTGATGGCGATACGGGCGAGGGCGAGGGCGAGGGCGAGGGCGAGGATTCGAGCTGGTTCAGCTGCTGTGTGATGGTGGCGAGTTGTTCCTCAATCGACTTTTTCTCCTTGTCCAGGACATCCAGGTCTGTATCGATTCTCCGGCCGCTCACGGGGGACATGAGAGGAGACATGAGAGGGGCCCCGGTACTGGGGGTTGTGGGCACGGACTTGAGGGGGGACGATGGTCCGTCAACCTCGGGATCAGAGCTCGAGGACTCTCCGTGGTGCTGGAGGACGGTGGGATCGACGATGACATTGATCGCTTGACGTTCCTTGAGCTTGTTCTTGTTGGCGAGGTAAGCCTTGAGGGTATTGCTTCTGCGAAGCCCTCCTGATCCGGATTTAGTGGATGCAGCTGTGGTGGTACTGTCGGTGGTGCTGTCGGTGTTGGCAGTGGGGGCGCTGGAGGAGTCCATTGTTAGTTCGTAGGAGGGGCTTGTAGTATGAGAGAGGACGTTCATGGCCATGGCTTGTCTGTGTTGACTGGGTTGACTGGCTGATTGGTTTGGGCAGAGAGGGCGAGAGCGAGGGTGGAGAAGAAGAAAGGAAAGAAGAAAGAGAGGGAAAACACGAGCCAATGAATTTTATAGAGACACGGCTAAAACGGTCCTAGGCGCAAAGAGGTCGTGTGCACGTTTCCTTTTTCGTGAGAACTGCAGGAGGAGTGAGAATAAGAAAGGAAGCACAAAGAGCGCGAGAGCAGAGCAATGCAGAACAGAGCGATGATAACGAGCCGAAGGAAAAGATAATAAATAGGAAATAAGGAATAAGAATAAAAGAATAAAATACAGAAACTGAGCAAACAGGGGGGGAGGGATACGAAGGAAGGAAGGCGCACTGGAGGGCAGAAAGACGAGGGAAAGCGGCCACAGCACATCACATCACATCCCAATCCCACCGTATCGTCTCCCTCCCCCCCTTCCCCCCTCTTCCCTCCCCTTTTCCTTCTGGCATGCCATGGCCGCCTGACCAAGACAGTGGAGACCAGCGGGGAGGGAGCGCATTCAGGCCAGAAAAGATGTAGCGGAATGCTCTTACCTTCTTTACTCGCTTTCACTTTTGCGCCCATGTGGGCTGTCGATTGGCCCACAGTGAAACTTATTTCCCCCGCATCTGTCCATTTTAACCTACTTCTGCAAGGGGCGCCAATGGGCGCTCGGGGCTGGCACACGACCACAGGCACCACAGGCACCACAGGCACCACCAACACTGCGAACCCAAATCCTGAATGCATGCATGCATGCTGGAGCAGCCGGCATGACTGCCCTTTCTTTTTTATAGCCTGCTCTCATCAAAGCTGTACATGCTAACCACTGCAGGCAGGGCAGGCGAAGTCTTTGACGAGTAAAGCGAGCGAGCTCAGCAAACACACGCATATCTTTTTCTGTCCCATTGCATGACATCCTTTCTTTAGCACAAAGTTCAGTCTTTTTTTTTTTTTTTTTTTTTTTTTTTTGGGCTTACTCCTTTGCACTAAGATCGCTTTTTTCTAGTGTCAGCAGACTGATAAGGAAATATAAGACAAGACCGCATCCAGCCTTGACCATGTCCTGGACCGATGGATTCATTTTCGGCAACCTGAAAGAGAACGGAGAGGAGAAGAGAGGAGGAGGAGGGGGGGAAAGGAGGAGGTTCTCTTTTGTGGCAACTCTTCAAACGATTCATACATGGAAATAGTGCAGCCCATGTTAGATCGTGCAATCAAGCGTGTACTGCCTACACTGTACCGAGAGTTGCGCCAGTCCTTTTTACATGTACGCAGTCTACGTACCCTGGATACGATTTTTCGCAAATGCACATAAATGCAAGAATGTCCAGGACATATACCGCTTAGGAAAGAAAAAAAGCTGAAGAGTGCGCACGATCCAGAAGTACATGAACATGTACGACCCAATCCAATAGCATGGGCTGCATTTCGTAGTAAAATGAGGTATCTTTGCCGACGTTATGTAACAGCTTTACCGCGTAGTCCAGCTGGTACTCAGTTAAATTGCCATTTACTGTGGGTCATCAAGAGGCGGCGTGAAACGCATGGACAATTCCTTGCGCCCAAGTCCATCCCCCCACTCCTCGACCCTGTCTATGTGATGCAGGGCATTTCGGTCTCACGGGATCCATTCTGTTTGGAGGGAAAATATAATTTTATTGGGTTAGATTGGTCGCATATATTTTATGTATCTTCAGTCTACGGGCATATATGAGGAGATAATTGCAATTCCCGAAATTGCGATCCATAACACCACACAGATGAGTAGAAACAGCGGCAAAAGGCTGACTTTTTGCTTAGTCTTCCCTAGCTTGCTAGTCTAGCCTCGGTCTAGAGGATACGCTCCCCTCCCTGACCTTGGTAATCAGCCGCAGTGGGTGGAGTATTGCAATACGACGCTAATTGTTTACCAAGGAACAGAATGCCAGCCCAGCATGCCTTCCTTTTCATCCCCCGCTAACGCTGACTTAGACGCGTTCGATCTAGCAGCAACCAGGTTGAAAAGTGCCAAGAATCTCGGAAACCGTATAAATATCCCTTCTACCATGCTCTCCCACCAACAATATCAACAACAACAACCGTGGCATCCCAAACCACCTCCTCTCCCCTTCAGACTCTTCTCTACAACATGCAGTTCAAGCGCTCTATCACCTCCTTTGCTCTGGGCCTCATCGCCTTGATCGCCCTGGCTTCCGTCACCCAGGCTCACGTCGGCCTCCAGCGCCCCTGCGTCCGTGGAAGCACTCTCGCCGGCTGCCCTGCTGCCTCAAATGGCCAATACATGGACTATGACCTCAACTCCCCGATCGGAGTCCACGACAGCCAGAACGCACCCCTGTGCAAGCAGACCATCGCATCTGCCACCCGCACCACCGTCCAGGCTGGTAAGAACCTCAAGACCGAGTACTCTATCGGCGCTGCCCACGGAGGTGGACACTGTCAGTGGGCTCTGTCGTACGACAACGGCAAGACCTGGGTTGTGCTCAAGACCCTGATCCGCAGCTGTCTCCAGAACGTCAACGGACCCTACTCTGTCAACGTCCCAATCCCTAAGAACGCACCCAACGGCAAGGCCACCTTCATGTGGCTCTGGAACAACGCCATCGGTAACCGTGAGCTGTACTCCAACTGCGCGGACATCACGATCAAGGGCGGTGTCAACGGCGGAAGCTTGAAGGGTGTTGCTCCCTTGATTGCCAACTATGGTGCATCGAGCCTTTTGATCCCCGAGTTCGGAGGGGCTGGACAGAACGACATGGCCTCGGCGTTCAAGAAGCGCAAGGCCATTACCGTCACCGGACCCAAGAAGTAAAAAAAAAAAAAAAAAAGTCTTTCTGATACCCCCTATCCACTTACAACAGCACCAAAAAAAAAAAAGGAACAAAAAAACTACTCCACTTTCCCCCTCATGTAAAAAGAATAGGAAAAGCATATTTCTAGCGCAGACGCTTTCCACTCAATAAAATCTGCATAGGCTGCTATGGTCAGCATACATTACGTTTTATTTTGCTTTATTTTTTTTTTTCCCTCCATTTTCTAAGAGTTCTTTGCTTATATGAAGATATGAAGATATGCTATTGGACCATAAAAAATTCAGTAACATGAAACCAAAAATGTTCATGATCTTTGTTACTTTCTCATAATCCTTAGTCGATTATGCAAATGCATCCCCCCCCCCCTCCTTCCCTCCACATTATCTCCTCCTCTGCTAAAACGACGAAACGAAACGAACGAGTCTACCCATGGCCATGCGTTTCAAGGTGAATCTGTGGTGTATCAGAAAAATAATTTATTGGTTTTTTAGACCCTACCCCCTGTCTTTTGTTGCTTACACGCTTGTGGGGGGGGGGAAATGAAATAACAAAGACTATGAAAGATAAACTAGTTGAACCAGCAACTCTTTTTTTTTTTTTTTTTTTTTTTTTTTCTCTAACCTTATCAAGAGGGAAGGAGAAAGTCGGATAAATAAATTCAAAGCAACGGATTTTTTTTTTCCACCTTCCCCCTGTTTAGATGCACCAAGTGGGCTTAATGACCTCGGTCTCGGTCCTGGTCACGACGCGGGTGGTGGTGGTGAGTGAGCAAGTGGCCCAGGCAGTATTACTGGTGGTGGTGGTGGTGGTAGGGATAGGGATGACCTGGGTAGTCGTGGTAGTAGCCTCGGACGCACCGTTTCCGCTAGGAACGCTGATGGTGATTGGTTTGCGCTTAGCGAACTCTCCGCTGCCATCGTTGCCATGGACAAACTCGGCGATAAATACACTCGAAGGACCTATTTAGTTCCATTGCCAAAAAAAAAAAAAAAAAAAAAAGGAATGCATAGATTTGGTAAGCGTTCTTTTCAGGGTCTAACTAAACACAAACAAAACCCTCAGACGGTGTAAAAATCTGTGCTTTACCATAGTTGGCGATCAGGGGTTCGACACCAGAGATGGATCCACCGTTGGAACCCTTGATTTCAATGTCGGCGCAGCTGGAGTACAGCTCACGGTTACCGACGGCATTGTTCCAGAGCCACATGAAGGTCGCCTTGCCCGAGGGGGCATTGCTAGGGATCTGAACAGGGAGGGTGTAGCTCTGGCCGCCGGTCTGGCCCTTGAAGCACTCGCCGAGCAAGGTCTTGATGACGACATAGGTCTTGCCGTTGTCGTAGGACAGAGCCCATTGGCAGTGTCCGCCTCCGTGGGCAGCGCCGATGGAGTAGCCGGTGTTGATCGTCTCACCAGCCTTGTAGACGGTACGCTGGGTGTAGGGGACGGTGTGCTGGAAGACAGAAGGGATGGGATATATTGATTAGTTATGAGAAATTTTAAAAAAAATCGACGCGTTTTTTTTTTTTATAATCGAATCCGTTGAGAATAAGACAGGCGCTCACCTTGCAGAGGGGGAACTTCTGTGAATCATGGGTGCCGATGGGAGAGTTGGTATCGTAGTCGATCGACTGACCAGGTGGGGGAGCAGGGCATCCAGCCCTGGAATGGTAGCGGCCGCAGGGGTTGCTCATACTAATGTGGGCCTGGACGGTCATGGACAAGCAGGCCAGGATAGCTGCAACGAAGGAGGTTTTCATCAACATTTTTGTTTTAATTCAAAAAGAGAAGGGGAGAGGTAAAGGAAGGAGGGTTGTAGTGTGCGTGGTTTTTTGGGGGGCAGTAGCTTTTGGAGTGAAGAGAGAGAGAAGATCCGGAGACTGATGATGAGAGATATGAAAAGAACGACAAGGACATCGTTGTATTTATACGCGATCGCTGTAGAGAAACGTTTGTCCGAAGCGATCATGGTTGTTGTTATTGTTGCTGTAGTTATTTTCTGAGGTATGCAAGCATGGTGAGAACAGGGAGCAGACGACTAATTGAGATAGGGTTGTAGGCTGCAATCAAGCCCTTGGGAAATGACAGCATCAAATGATATGAAAGAGAAACTTGGCTTTGGGCATGTTAATCAAGATCGATATTATCAAATGTACTGACCAGATTGCCTAGACGGACCATTCCAGTAAACTACCATGTCTCCATCGACCCTGCAGCATGTATATGTTCAGTTTGGCGAAACAGCTAGCCTGTAATTCAAAAAAGAAAATATCGGTGGGAGGGAAATGTTTGCCGATGGTACGTTACAAAGAATGGGGCCATCGGCGATAACAGTAAAAAAACTACACCAACAATAAAGAACTCCCCGAGTGAACCAGTCAAGGAGGACACGCGTTTTTTTTTTTTTTTTGTGGGACGACCCTGGTCACCACTTCCTGCAAAGGACTATCGATCTGCGCGTGTCGGCGTACTGCAGGCGTCCGCATGACATGAACATGTTACGCTGCTGCAGGCATGTTACCCTCTGTTGTCCGTGTGCTACTTTGTCCTTTGTGCCATCCCCACCCACGGAGGACGAATCAGCAGCTTCTGATTAAAGAAGAAGAGGACAGGGCGATAGTCGGTAACTTTCGTCATCTATCTACTTGCGCTATCTGCCTAGAATGTTCCTTGGGGACAATCGATAACTATGTGAGCCATCAGCATAATCAGGGTTTGATCTCACAAATGTATGAAAACGTGGTATAGTCTGCCAATGCGGGATAAATGTTTCTATCGTCTTGACCGAGGGCAAAGGGCAGAGGGCAAAGGGCAATTACCGAGGAAATAATTGGGGTCATTAGAGGAGTTTAAAAAAAGTCCCTCTCCACGCCTTTGGGTCACCAAGGCCTGCGGCGATCTGATTTCTTAGCGCCCGCGTAGACTTGCAGCAGCGGGCAAAGTCGTTACATATTACATATGCCCAGGTGTGTGACATAACGTTGGCTGAAATTGCAATCAAACCCTAAACCGCGTAGTGGCCCTCTGAAACAGAGCAGAAATCTTTCCCGCCGAAAAAGCCTCGGGGAAAACAGTGATGCATCCATGTTCCTGTGCATGTAGACTCCTATACCATGCACGGCATACAGCATTTCCCATCGGTTTGACCTAATAGGCTAAGGCGGGGCTGTATCCAAAGTACTGCACATCACGATCCCCCCCCCTCCTCACCCGCCCCAGAGGATTTTCGACGAGCCCCCTCTGCTGTTGCATTATTATGGTTCATAGAAGGTTATTACTTGTGCGAAACATGGTTTCTAGATCTGGAATGGACTGATAATTAGGGTGTGGATTCGTCAGGAACATGTCTCAGATAATGAAACAAACGTTGCTGGGACCTGAATGCACGGCCTCCATCGGGTACCTGGCAACAATGCCTCCACCTGCGTCCCGGGTATCGGTTGGAGGGGAGGGGGGGAAGTTCCTGCGCCTCCAACGAGATATGCCAGGGATGTTCTCTTCGATCGTATAATTTACCTGGGAACTAGGCCGGTACAGAACGAGGAAGTACCTCCCGGATAATTGAACACAAAGAAAAAAATAATTAATGAAATAAGCCATTAATGGCAATAAAGTCTGCCGACAATGAGCAACACAACCGAACAAAGAGCGAGTACTCGATTGACGATACCCAGAGCCTGAGAGAGAGAGAGAGAGAGAGAGAGAGAAAGAGCGAAAAAGGAAGATGGTGCTCATTCCGGGGCAGCAGGACCAAAGGAGCGGGTAAATAAAAAGTAAATGAGGAAGAGAGAGAGAGCGCGGCCTCAACGTCTATAAAACCTTAAGGCTCCTCAGGATATATAACCCACCGTACCTCTCCCCCTCCTTGTCTTTTTTTTTGCTTCATTATCCTCCTTCACACCAATCCACTCCACTCCACTTCACCTCCCTTCACTGACCGGTTATTGCAACCACTCCATCTCTTCTTAACGACTCTCTTCCCCCCCTTATACCCCCTCCCACATTCCAAACATGCTCTTCAAGACCTCCATCCTCGCCGTGGTTGCCGCCTGCTTGACCATCCTCTCCGTCGCCCCCTCCACCGAGGCCCACGTCGGCCTCTTGCGCCCCTGCGCCCGTGGAAGCCCTCGCGCTGGCTGCCCTGCTGCCTCAAAAGGCCAGCACATTGACTATGACCTCAACTCCCCGATCGGAGTCCACACTAGCAAGAACGCACCCCTGTGCAAGCAAACCGTCGCATCTGCCACCCGCACCACCGTCCAGGCTGGTAAGAACATCAAGACCGAGTACTCTATCGGCGCTGCCCACGGAGGTGGACACTGTCAGTGGGCTCTGTCGTACGACAACGGCAAGACCTGGGTTGTGCTCAAGACCCTGATCCGCAGCTGTCTCCAGAACGTCAGCGGATCCTACTCTGTCAACGTCCCAATCCCTAAGAACGCACCCAACGGCAAGGCCACCTTCATGTGGCTCTGGAACAACGCCATCGGTAACCGTGAGCTGTACTCCAACTGCGCGGACATCACGATCAAGGGCGGTGTCAACGGCGGAAGCTTGAAGGGTGTTGCTCCCTTGATTGCCAACTATGGTGCATCGAGCCTTTTGATCCCCGAGTTCGGAGGGGCTGGACAGAACGACATGGCCTCGGCGTTCAAGAAGCGCAAGGCCGTCACCGTCACCGGGCCCAAGAAGTAAAAATTACCGAGCAATGGCCAAATTTTTTTTTTCTTCGTGTACACTAGTCTTTCTTTTGAAAAAAACGCAATAATAATAAAAAAAAAAATCCCCCAAAGAGGGCGGTCGCTGCTGGCCAGCATTACCCTTCAACTCCACTACAAAGAATCTTGATGAAGTAAGGGGCAAATTTATTGGGTGTGCTGAAAAATGCGGCTGTGCTTAGACTATGTGGCGGAATGTCTCGAACGTTGCTCTCAAATAGCCTTTGCCTCCTTCAGGCCCTGGATCCTACCCTCATCATATCCCAACACGGCCCTCAACACCTCGTCCGTATGCTGTCCGAGCAGCGGTGGAGGGCCCCTGATACTGGCCTTCGTATCCGAGTACTTCACAGGCGGGCCCGTCAACTTGATTTTCCCCGCTGTAGGGTGGTCAATCTCCTGGACCATGTCTCTAGCCAGCACTTGCGGGTGCTTAAATGTCTGCCCAATGTTGTTGATCGGCGCGAACGGCACGCCTTTGCCCTCCAGAGCCCTGATCCAAAACGCGTTGTTCTCAGACCTGAGTCGGTTCGTCAGGATCCTGATCAGCTCATCTCGGTTTGCGACGCGGTCGCGGTTGGTCTTGTAAAGAGGATTGTGGGCCAGGGAGTCGAGCTGCATCACCTTACACAGGGTACTGAATTGTCCATCGTTGCCGGCACCGATCATGATGTGTGAATCTCGGGTCTGGATCACCTGGTATGGAACAATCGATGGGTGAGCTGTGCCCATACGCTTGGCCTCCTGACCGGCAATCAGGTATGAACTTCCGATATTGGCTAGAGTCGCGACTTGGGACTCGAGGAGAGAACAGTCCACGTGCTGTCCGCGGCCTGTTCGGTTCCGGGCAAACAGAGCGGCTAAGATACCCGCATGGGCGTAAAGTCCCGTTGTGAGATCTACATTGATGTATGAAAAAAGTGTTAAATGGTAACGCAGCAAAGGAGGGGGTGCTCGTCAATGCTGTATATTCAAGTGCATTGTGTACCAGTAACCGCTACTCCGACTTTGACTGGAGGGCCATGCTCTTCACCAGTGATGTACATCAGTCCGGCTTCGGCCTCGATCATGACATCGTATCCAGGCCTGCCAGCATATGGTCCTGTCTGTCCATATCCTGCGTCATGCGAAAACACGGATGTAGTTTGGATCAACAACAAAGAATGTATATTTTCGTTCGTGTGAGGTCCAAGTGAGATAGAGCGCATAAGAAAAAAAGAAAGAAAAAAAGAAAGAAAAAAAAAAGGGAGCAGACACAATTACCTGTGATGGATGCATAAACAAGTCTAGGGTTGATAGCCCTCAAGGCTTTGTACCCAAGTCCCATCTTCGCCAGTTTACCGGGGATGTAATTCTCGACAAAGACATCGACCTCCTTCACCAGTTCGTGAATCAGTCTCTTACCGGCCTCGGACCGGATATTGACCGTGATCGATTTTTTGTTCCGGTTCACGCTCAGGAAATAGGCACTTTCGGTCGTGGAGCCATCCAAATTCGTCGCAAAGGGTGGACCCCACGCACGGGTGTCGTCCCCACCCTTGGGGTTCTCGACCTTGATGACCTCTGCACTGGTTTTTTTTTTTTTTTTTTTTTTTTTTTTTTCGGAAAACAGTTAAAAGATGTAAACCTTTTTTATATTCTTCTCTCTTTTATATCATACAAAAAGAAGCAAAAAAAAAAAAAAAAAAAAAAAAAGCACCAGACTGGCAACCTTACCCGAGATCGCCCAGTAGTTGTGTGCTATAAGGTCCAGCTAGAGAAGATCCATAAAAGACAAAGGCAAAACAACATGTCATTGTGTGAATAATCGTGTTGAACCCGGCTGCATAGGGGCGACCCCTGAAATTTTTTTTTTTTACGAACAAGCACAACCCTAGGTCGTAAGTCCTCTAGTCCTAGTCCTAGTCAAACAGCAAAGAGAGCCAAAAAAAATAATTTTTTTCTCCTACCAAGGACGCGTGTCAGATCAAGAACACGGATTCCATGTAACGGGCCTGGCTCCGGTTCATCACCCCCACCATCGAGCTCTTTGTCCAAGGACTCGATCATCTTTCCGCTCTCGCGTTTCAGATCCCTCGCCTGCGTGTGAGCAGAGAACGCGCGTGTAAAGACGACGGCAGCGGCGGCCGATGGGGTGTCTGATCTAGGACAGAGCGACGACGCACGGCGACCTGTATGTCTGAGAGTACCCCAAGCCATAGCCCGTACTGTTCGAGAGACCAAAGACCGTCTAGCGAGTCCTGAAGCGGTACCTTGGGCCAGGCCCGAAAAACGACGCGACTGATTCATAACCTCTGTGTTTTTGAATGAGTCAAAAAAAAAAAAAAGAGTGGAATGGAGTGGAGAGAAAAAGATGCAAAGAGGAATGAGGAATGAGGACAAAGAAAAAAGAGACGCGATGAGAGAGAGAGAGAACTCACGCTGTCTCGTAGGACCCTTTTATAGGCGCCCTTGCCTAGGGGAAGAACAATGGCCTTCGTTCGATTGTTCGTTTCGTTTCGTTTCGTTCGTCTGTATCGCCTACGGAGCCTCAAAAAATAAACCGGCTCGTCCACACAAGTCGCGCGGGCTGCCTGTTGGGCAATCGGGTAATTGACTATGGCTATAACTATGACTATGACTATGACATGCGCAAGAGCAGCGAGCCACTGAGCTGAGTGTATGAGCGTATGTGTGCAAATGGCGACAGTAGTAACGGATACGTATATGCTGTATATGCTGTACATGCTGTATATGCTGTAATAGAAAAGGGCGTGTATCGTGTGGATGCAGGCAGCCTAGAAAGACATTCTCTAGGAAGGTACCGCGGCCTAACAATTCAGTCCCTAGTCCATGTCCCCCCGTTGGAAGATGAATGGGTGCACCGTTTGGCGGGTCTCCATGCCATTGGCTGCATGGTTTCCTATCCTTTTTCTTTACTTTGCTTGCGCCGTTCTCCTAAAATGAGGGAATTTTCTAATGGCCATTCAATTGAAGAATGGTCGGCTAGTCTTCGTGTCCTTGCAGGCGGTACTGTTGCATTCAATCGTCTATTCAATCACCACCATTTTATTACTATCTTACATTCGTATTCATTTTTTTTTTTTTTTTTTTTTTTTTTTTCAACCACGCCCTATCCTTCGCCATGGTCTTGTCCAGCTAATGAGATGCCTGCACCTCTAGCGTAGTGCTGTCGGTTTCCGGACGCCTGCAGTTGCAGCCTTTAAGGATCCCAGGTAGAACTCGTTAAAGTCCAGTCTGAAGCTCAAGAACCGCAGGTCCGAGTCCCCATCCGCAGAGAGCGTGATCAGCAAATCCGAGAGCTCGCGCTTGAACTGCATAGAGTACTCGGTCAAGGACCTTAAAAGCCCAGGGATCAACTCCTCGAACTGCTCGTCCGGGATCCTATCCAGGGTATCATCCTGGTCTGTCAGACCCCACTGTCCATGGCGTGTCCTCCGATCTGCGGTCTGAGCAAGACGTTCTCGACGCTCAACCTCAGCCAAAGCATAATTGTAAAGGTTGTCCTGCGCGACCTTGTAGTCCAGGATCGTCGCCAAAAGCTCGAGCAAGCGCGGCATCATGTTCACGTCGTGTGACGCTGCCAAAAGACCCTTCGAAGTGACATCCCGCAGATATTTGGTGTGAGCCTCGATCAACGAGTCCAGGTCCGTGGCATGGCTCCCAATGGCCTTCAAAAGTTCGTCCCATGAGCATTCAAGGACCTCGAAGAGGATATAGTACTGGAGCTGATACACGAAATGAATCATCTCGCTGCAGACAATCCGGCAATGGTGTAGTTCTGGCACGAGTTCTACGGTTCATCGAGTACGCGGAGGAAACGAACAACGGCGGCATACGATGCATGGGTGCATAGAGTCGGATGGTACCAATAAATGAGCTATCGTTAGCTCCATTTTCTCTGTGACATAGACGATGCCTTACTCCCTTATTCCCCGCTGCTGATCCCTATTGTGATTAACGTTGGATCCCATCTCCGCCTCTTTCTACCGCTCTCGTCATTTTACCAAATTGCTGTACTCTTGGTCCTTTTTTCTCTTTCTCTTCCCAGCAATAGTATAAGAGGTTGCTACATCTGCGTACGGAACGATCAAAAATGGCAAGACTTCGTAGCTCCGAAGTACAAACAGCCATAAAAAAAATGAACCCTGTACCACCATACAACCCCCCTAACCGAACATCAGATAGGGCACATGCTTACCTAGAATAGGTCTGATAGCCCTGGCACTCGTCGTCTGGCGTCTCCATGCAGACGAAAGCGCATATTCGACTCTTTTAACGCGCCACAGGAAATTGAACATCTTGAGGTATTGGTGCATGGCCACGGGTGTTAAAATGGTGTTGATGGGCGAGTCCACATGGTAATCAAGCGAGAATACATCCCATCCACTGTCTCCCGGTGAGATTTCCAGCAGTCGAACGTCCAAACGGCGCAGAACGTCGGGGTCATCATATTGCGCGTTCGAACTCCGTATGGCTGTTTCCAAAGTTCCTGTGAGGTTATGCCGAAACAAAGTGTTTGCAGGCTGCGAGAGATTTGACCTACACGGAAGCACACATGCTAGTTTATCAGTACACATATCTCAATCCAGACTTCACGTAAAGAAGACTTCGTGACGCTCGTATTCTTACCCAAGCGACTCCATAAGATGCTGAATAAAGTCACCTTGGCCGAGAAGAATATATCTCTTAATGGCAGTGAGATGGTCGACCAACTTGAACTTGGTCACTAGTAAGTGAAGAAGGCGCTGACTAGTGCCGATGTAGGCTGCATCTATTGATCCCTCCAACTCAGCGATATCGCCATATTTCAGGGCTATCATGGCGTTAATATGTTAAAGTGAACAGATGTAACGCAGGACGCTGTTAGTCTTGTGTTTTAAAGGCAGCCGGGCTCATCAGACTGCATAGCAAAAGATCCGGGTACATAACATATAGCATATTAGTATCAAAATGCAATAGAAATGACCTACACTTTCCCACGCCATGGTGCTGTAACAACCAGTCCGCATCATCGCACTTGTGTCTCAAGAAATTGAGGGATTTGCCTATGGAAAGAATCTACATTACGCAAAAAAATAATGAGTATTATTCTCGGTACAAAACACTGTGCTGAAGAAGAGACTGTTGCGAAACACCAATTTCCAGAGACAATCCCATTATTCTTCATTGCTCGTTGTGCCTACCTTCTTTGCCAAGGCCATATCGATAAAAGCGGGCAGCATCTCCTCGCGAATAAAGTATTTCCGCTGCCACATGTCCTCCTCCTCGACATCAGGATCATATGCTATAAAAAACTCTGTCCGTGGGTCTTCCAGCTCTCCCTCGTAGATCCAGCGTTGCATCATGACGTAGAACGGTGCGGAGATCCGTTCAAGCATATGATGGATGAACTGCTGGATAAGCGGATCTCCATGCTGGGTATAATCATGGACCATTGAGACCAGAGCACCACCCTGTAAATCTGAGTTGGAAGAAAAGAATGCCCTAAACATTTTAGTAAGCTCGCAAAAAACGCAGGTGAGGTTACTATATAGATGTCATCAAACCACAGAAACAAGAACGTACTTTGACAGCACTCCACCAAGACAGACATGAGTCGCAATCGCTGCAGTGATTCCTGCGTCCAAACGAGAAGTCGCTTCAAAGACAATCCTTTTGATCCATCCGCAACTGAGTCCTTTGTTATGTGAGCCTCCAATACTGCTATGAGTCGAAAATAATCAACCAGCTCGTGTTGAAGTGCGGAACAAAAGCTCTGGTGATACAAGTCGATAGCTTTCTCGTTAGTACTCTATTCGTAAGCTACCGTGAATGTGATACCGTATGCACTCTATCATTAATTACCTGTCCAACAAGTCCGGCAATTCCCTCCTTGAGCGTCTTTTGGATATATGCGTCGATCTTCTTATAAAGCCATCCAAGTTCTGTGAGTCGATTGACAAGGCTTCTTGTAGCATTGGAGATATTGACCTATTGAAGTACCCAGATTAGTGAGAGATTCTCCATGCACCGCAGTTTCCTCAAATGATGCGCCATATTCACTTACAGACGGGTCGATCGCACATGCTCCTGACTCTGCGCCGAATTTAACAATCTTGCCGTCGATTCCTTGAAAGACAAAAATCAAATCACGGAGCAGTGCCGACTCTTCCACCTCTTGCTGACCATTCCTGATCTGATCATTCAAAAGATTGGCATAGGCCGTGGTCCGGGATTGTGAAGGTATATGGGTTGATCCGTGTCCTGAATGTGAAGCCATGGTCGTGTCCGCCTGCTCAGTACCCTTCCGGTCCCGTGTCCGTGCTGTATCCAGATTATGAAGTCCCAAGAAGGAGAGTGGCTGGTTGTTGGAGCGACTGTCGAGTGCTGCAGTCGATGATTGCTCACTGACGGCGAGGAGGAAATACAGAATGGACCACTTTTTCGTCAACACTGACTTTTTTTTTTTTTTTTTTTTTTTTCAATGATCGACAACGGAAAAACAGGTGAGACTCAACCCTCATACAGAGCATGACCGTAGAATCTGCCGAGTTCGACCAAAAACAACAACAACAGATACATACACAAGCTGACAATTTGGTATAGAGGTGAGAGAATCGGATCGCCTTGGCAGAGGTAGGGTCTTCCCGCATAACTATAAAAAAAAATAAAAATGGAATCCCCGAAGCAGATGAACATACAAACATCAGTCGTCCATGTCAAGCATATCGCTTATGAATTCCCTCCTCCCGCTACAGTTATACTGGGAAGCCTGCCACTCACGCTTCTTCTTGATAAGATCCGACATATGGATATCGTCCGAGACAAGCGAAGGAGCCATGCGGCTGCGAAATCATGTAAAAAATGGATACTGTCGCGTTAAAGAGACCTCCCTCCATGTGCAATCATTGATGGATACTACTCCGATCGCCCTTCCAAGTACAATGTGTCTTCATCACCCGCGCCATACCTTCCTAGAATTCGAAGACAGTATTCCTGGGCAGCCTTTATGGTGGCCTCGTAAGCGGCGTCGGCTGCTGCAGTCTGGTCCTGGCTCGGGTCCATGTCCAAATCCATCCGGTCTCCATTTGAATGTCCATCCCGCTGCAACTGTAACCTGACAAGTGCCTGAATAGCCTGTGCGACCTGATCTGAATTGTCCATCCCGTGAAAAAAAAAAAAAAAGTGTCCCCCGGTGGTCAGCTCGTTGCCTCGAATGAAAGGGAGTATTTGCATGAGGAGGAGGAGGCAGGGGGGTATGCGCCCAGAGATAGCCCCTGGGGGTGCCACCAAAATTTCAATGTATGGCAAAGCCACCACGGACGTGTTTCAGTGGTGTGTCCTATTATTGAACGCGTCGCGTTTGAGCGCGTCTTTTGTAAAGAAAGAAAGAAAAAAAAAAAAAAAAGGCCAGACGTGTCTAGGTCCTTTGTTTTTACGTTGAAACTGTATCCTCGTATCCATGGCTGACCCTCGTACTTTCTTCATGAGAGATTCTCCTCTTCATTTTTTTACAGTTCGCATGTCCATTTTATTATTATATTGTGCATTATCTTTTTTGTGTTGTTATTGTTTGTCAGGGCTAAGAACCCTTTATGGTACAAGGGCAGTTGTAGGTCATCAGATATTCGTGTTAGTATATAGGTAAAGAGGCATTAAAAGAAGATTTTGTGGCCGAGCCGTCAACGTCGATGTGCAATTATTGACCCCCTTGTGACAAAAACCGGCGCTTTCGCGAAAAGTAATGCACGCTGCGGCCATCGAGCTGGATCTGGAGTGAGTCCATAACCGCGTCGGAAGGAGTCAGGGGTCCTGAATTACGTCGTTTCTCGCCTGACCGTGAAGTGAGTTCTGTAAGATGTGGTCGTTGTTGTTGTTGTTGTTGTTGTTGTTGTTGTTGTTGTTGATCCTGCTGCTGGTGCTGACGTTGTGAATGAGGGTTCCCTTCGACTTCATCGCTCGATCGCTTGTGCGAGCGCGATGTCTCCTCCTCCGCCTCTGCACCAGAACGGTCCTGTGCCTGGGATGCACGACGGCGTCCCGCGACTGCTGCAACTGCTGCATCCATTGCTTCAGTGCGGGCTTTCACACTTTGCCGCTTGTTCTGAAACCAAATCTGAACCGTACGAGGACACATTTTGGTCTGCTTCGACAGTCGAAGTCGTTCCTCGGTTGAAGGGAAATAGGATCGCTCAAACGCTGCGTTGAGGACAGATAGTTGCTCCGCATTCGCTCTCTTGCGCTTGGCCTTGACACCATCTTCAGCAACAAAGGGATCCTCGTCTTGACCGCGACTACGCTTGCCTGCTTTTGGAGGCGAGGAAGCTGGCGATTCTGCGGGGATATCAAATGGATGGACAGAATGGCTAGATGACAGTCCTTGTCTGGACGTCGTGCTTGATAATTCATGGCTGTTGTCGCTTGGATTTGCAGAGGCGTTCCCTACAGCGGGCGGATAGGCAGAAAACGACGATCGAGTTGACCAATCTCCTGGGGTGCGCCCCTGCTGAAAATTCGCGCTTCGTGACATTCCATAGTCAGATTCTCTTCTGGCAGGTGATGCATAAGACCGGGGATCATTCTGAGAAAACGATCCGCGTGGATGAGACGGAGACTGAGGCTGGGGTTTGTGTGGGACAGCATGCGCATACTGCTGATACCAGCTTGGTGGCTGAATATCTGATCCAGGCGAGTAGGGGCGAGTTTCAGGTCGATGCTGATAGGAAGCTGCTGGGGTACCGGATGATGTGCCTCTGTACTCGTGAGGTGTTTGCTTATAATGCTGGCGATCGGAAGCGTTTCCTCGATAACTGGGTTGGCTGCGATCGTTATCTGCGGTGGAGGAGGGGCGCCTGTCATACGGATGGTAACTGTAGCGCGGAGCTGATTCCCGTGCATGGCGATATCCCTGATCAGCATGCTGCGTCGATGGCCTCCGCGAGTATTCCACCTCAGAGCCGTCGGGTATATCCTGTAGAGGCTGAGCACCGAACGAGGCAGAGGGCGCAAGGGGCGGTCGAGCGGGAGCATCTGCGGCATCAAGGCCGTAAATTCTGGTTGGCTTTCTCATCAGCGACTACAATCCATATAAAATAGAACGTTAGAGATACTTTTCCCTTCCAAAAAAATAAAATAGAATAAAGATCCGCAGACGCTTACCCCAGGTGGTGGCAAGATGATACCCTGACTTGAATGTCTTAAATCACCTTGAATAGAGCGTCTGGGGCCGTGTGCTTGAGGGTATTGAGGCCTGGTATGGTCTGGAGAGGATGGGGCATGTTCATTAAAATAAGAGGGCGCGCCTGACTGTGGTTGCGACAAAGGCTGCGGTGCGGATGAACCATGATGATCAGTAACCGGGCTAGGCAAGGACGGCTGCCTTGTTTGGAACAAAGGTGCTGGGGCCAGAGGCGGCGATGCGTCTAGATAGGGCCCATAGTTCTGTTGATGCAGCGCAAAGTCGCTCTTGGAGCGATCCATCCTCGGTCGCTGCATACCCTTGTCGTACGAATGGTAGTCGTCTTGGTAATATTCTGCATGCAACGATGCAGACCGTTGCCCAGCAGATATGGGCCGAGGGGTGAAATATCCTGAGCTCGAGGATGCTGAGGGCGGGGTGGCGAGAGGAGTAGTATTTTCGGACGGTGCATTTCGCTGGGATGGATCACGACCTGGCAGGCTATAGGAGCGGCTATGCGGCGAGTAGCCCGTGTCTCGGACATCGGCATCCCTTCGTCCAAGGCCCGAATCCCTTCGCTCGGGTGTGTCAATCAGGCGACGGGCATCGTAGATGTGCGAGAAGGATTGGGTGTGGGGTGGATTGCCGCGATAGATGGTGGTTGAAGAAGAACTGCTAGGGTAGTGCTGGGAGTCATGTCCGTTGCTGGGATCGGATTGAATGGGGCTTTTGGTAAAGGTCCCCGTATGAGAAGGTGTGGCAGCAGATGTCTGGGGATAATATTGGCGGGATTCTTGCTGTCCGTTGTAGTCGTACTCGCTGCGTTGGCCATCACGCTTGGGCTGCCATGACCGCAATGGTGCCTGTGAGGACTGGGGCTGAGAGGGCCCGTCAAGATGAATGGCCTCCGTCGGACGCGACTCCCAAGATGCGGACTTTGGCGGCTCAGCGGCTTCAATGGAGCAGAGAAGACTAGAAATCCGAAGTCGAGCGTGCTGGTGCTGATGCTGTTCTTTGTGTTCGTGCGCATTTGTCTCTAGATCCTGGACCTGGCCTGGCCCATTCATGGCGATAACGCGTTCCTGTGAGCGGTAGAGGCTTGAGCTGCAACGGCCACCACGGCTGTCTTCTATCCACGCGTTGAGATGAGATGGGGAAGGGTGTGGTTTTTGCAAAGGATTGCTATCGACACTTTCAGAACATGCGACTTGGCGCGAGGGCGCTGAGATTGTGGACGATGGCGAGCAAGGGGACAGAGCGGGAGATGTTTTTCTGGAGGAGCAAGAGGATGGAGTTCTGGAGTGAGTTTCTGGGGAAGATGCACGCAGAGGAGACCGGGAGCGGAGCATTCCTCTGCTTCCTGTCCCGACAAGAGATGATGATGTGAAGGGGTGGTTAGCGGAAGAGAAGGGGATGTGGCTGGTGATGACAGCTATCGAGGAGATGTTGGAGTGAAGGGTCATGTCCAGATGGTGTCTGTACTCTGTTGAAGGACGCCAAAGCAATCGGGAACGAAAGAGGGGGATGAGGGGGGATGTAGACGATAGGTGGAGGTTGACAGCAAAATGATGGCAGAGAAAAGAGAAGAAGAATAAGGCATAAGTAGATGAGCGATATAGAAGGGCCGTTGAGGGTCTTGAAGAAGGGGGAGAAGGGCAGCGGTGCCAAAGGAGGATGGATGCGGGTTCGTTTGCGTTACTGGCCGTAGCTTTTCTGATCACCCCCTTGAAGTGCGTTGCAGAGACTTCAGATCATGGGCGGGAAAGATCAAGAGCGGAGCAGCAGAGCAGCAGAGCAGCAGAGCAACAGCGCAGCATAGAACAAGGTCGACTGACTGGTGCCACTGGGGGTCTGATCCAGAGAAGGAAGAGGAGGAAGGGTGTGGGGAGGGCTGTGGGGTGGGGGGTACAGAGCAACCTGTTGTCGGATGCTCCTCCGCTTGCTTACCTTGTTGGATGGGAGTCGACTGTAGAGCAGATCGAGAGGGATGGATCTTTCCTGAGGATAGGTTGATTTAGTCAGGGTTCTGGTTAAGGGCCGAGCATGGCGGGAGAGAAAGAGGTAAGCAGAGGATTAGAGCCTGGGCGAGGATGAAAAGGTTGTTCATTGTGGAAATGGCAGGAATAGCAGCGTGATGCGAGTGAGCAGTGGGCATGCGCATTAAGGTCGGAATGAAAAAAGAGGGAGCAGGCAAGAGCGCGTCTGGATTGACGGGCAAGCAATCAGGCGAGCGAGGGAACGCTCCTGCACACGAAAAATACAAAGTGAAATACAGACACGGAAACAGGGGAGGGGCGGAGGCTGGCCACAGACACAGACACAGACACAGACACAGACACAGAAATGAAATGAAATGAACGATGAAATGAAAAATGAAAAATGAAAAATGCAAAATATGAAATACGAAATATGAAATGAAAAAAAGGGAGAGATCCCCCTCCGCAGGTATGCGATCGCCGCTCTGTTTGATATTCGTCAGTCAGCGACGTGCAACAACCACGGGCCAAGGGCTGATGGGGGGGCTGATGGACAGCGCGATCACGAGGCGAAGTCAAGGGGATTAGATTAGCCCGACGTTCATATCACGGTGTATGTGTGAATGTATGTATGTACCAAGGAGAAGGAGACAAAGAGACAAAGAGACAAAGTGACAAAGAGACAAAAAAAAAAAGAGAGATTGAAAGAGAGAGATTGAGAGAGAGAGATTGGGAGAGGGAGGGAGGAGAAAAGGCAAGCGGAGGATTCGTGAGGTAATGAGGGGGGAGGGGATCCTGCAGATAAAGGCTTCAATTACCAGAGCGGATGTTTCCTATCGCACGCAATAGGAGACGATTTGACGGACTGAGGACAGTTCTTAGTGGCTAGGTGTGGGTGAGAAAGAGAGAGAGAGAGGGAGAAGAAGAAGAGGAATGTATGTTTTGGTGGCGGTGAGGGGAAGCAGGGACTTAGTCTTTGGGGGGAGGTGGAGGGAAAAATTACAAAGCAAGGGTCGAGGTATAACGCGAAAAAGAAAAAGAAAAAAAAGAGTGACGATAGTTGGTTGGATACAAGGTGAGTGAAGATACAGTGAGCGTATGTACGACGAGAGAAGAGGGGAGAGGATGAGAGAGAGAGTCGGTGTAGTATGAAAGAGCGGAGGAGAAGAGCAAAGGAGGAGAAAGAGAAGGAAAAGAAGAAGAGGAGGAGGAAGATGACGATGGGACTGGGGAATGGCAGTGAAGAAGCGGGGAATGAGGGAAGAGGGAAGAAGCAAGGACAGGGGCCAGGGGACAAAGGAAGAAACGAGTGAGAAAAGTATTGCGAGTATGGTCCTTTGCTTAGATGATGATGCTGCTGCTGGCTGGCTGCTCCTGCTCCTGCTGCTCCTGCTGCTGCTGATGATGATGGTTATGGCGACGGGTATGGGCGAGCAAGTCAATGGGGAAGTATGGTTACTGCAATTAGTATTTTAAGTGCAGGCATTTCAAAGTGGAGAGAGAGTATTTACTATTGTTGATGATAATATAATCCATTGTCCATAGCCCATCCACCAGCAATTTAACTGAAAAGGTCCGAGGCTGCTTTTGCTTGGTGCGCTATGACCGAGAAAGAGAGGGGGGGAGAGGAAAACTTCGTTGCTTATTTATTTATTTATTCCATTCCATCTCATTCAATTCAATTCAATCCAGTTCAGTTCAATTGCTTTTCTATGTGTTCTTTCTATCTTCATTGTTTTCTTCCTTCACGGAAAACCAACAAGAACCAGTGTGCTGCAAACAACTGTTTATCTCTCTTCACTGTAGCGAAATGTAAATGCAAGGCATGCAAGACCAGCACTAGGCGACACCTGGGCCTCCCCCTGGTGGTTGTACCGACCCTGTGCTCCTGTATGGATTGAATTCGAATGACCCATCTAGCAGCGATGTGCATTACTATTTTATTATCATTATTGCTTGTAGCGGTTCCTGTACGCCCTTGTGTCCTACTGCAACCCGTCAGCATAGAGCAGCAACACACAAACAACCCTGAGCCTGCGTCCGATCACTGGTTTATTACAGGACAAGGAAAAAAAATACCCGCCTCTATTCATCTGTATCTCTGTGCTATAGGATGAGATTACATGAGAGTGTGTGTGAGAGAGGAAAAATAGGCGCCGCAATCTCTTTTCGGCTTTGTACCCGTGTTGGCATCGCTGGCAACGGGGATTTTAGCGTTCTTAACAGAGGTGCGGGAAGGAGGGAGGGGCGCGTAGGGTGCGAGAGCAAGGACGGAAGTGTGAGCAGCAAGCTGCGGCAGCAGCAGCAGCAGCATCGCTTGCTCTCTAGTGTGTAAGTGGTCCTCATCAGATTTCCATCTGGACCATGGAGGGGTTCATCGTCTCGGATGGTGTGAGATGCTTGAGATCCTCTTTTCTGTCGACCCGCTTGTTCATGCAGCGTCGACAAGTAATGAACAGAGAAATGATCCTGCACTGCTCTTGCACGACTTCAGTATTATTTGACCCCTTGAAATAGCAAAAAAAAATACATTGGGTGGCCATCTCTTTGTTGTGCTTGTGCAACCACCGACCCTTTTTGCCGAGTCTATCCTCAGTCCTGTGTTCGGGTTAAGACCATTGTTGGTAATGCGCGAACCACATCCGCATCATAACGACGCTCCAAGGCTGCAAAAGCAACACCAACATCGACAAGAAGGGGTGGCGGAGGTTGAGAGAACCAAAAAAAATAAATAAAGTCCATCTGTGGTTCCTGCCGCGGAGAAAGGTGCCATCAGCACAAAATAAAACAGCGACAGCATGACTCGTCCCTCAATGGCATGGTGCATCTATCCCCCTGCTTGCCATCCTTCTGTTTCCGCGTAATGAAGGTACCGCAAGGTTGGCTCAATATTGAATAGGCTATGGGAAATGAAAAGATATAGAGAATTATTGGTATGTATGGCGGGACGATCGAATAAAGCTGATTGATGTTCCCTGGCTGCCCGTGTGAAATAGATGGATAGTTCCATCCCTGGACCGATTAAATGATATATCATGTCATGAATCACAAACAAAAAAAAAAATGACTGAGCCATGATTGTTTACCTACTCATTAGCCGATCATTTTATTTTTTCATGCCTGCACCATGACCTGAACACGACGAGGGCCACAATTTGACTGCAGCATTAAAGCAAGCAGGCATGTGCAGAGATGCAGGCAGAAGTAATTGTACACACGACAACGGTACTAAACATGACATTTAATTTCATTCACGCGCTGCAAACGAGGGCGACGGCAGCCAGAAGCAGTATCATGTGCGCGTCCATATTGGAGTCCTTATGGTCGATGGGAAAAAAAATGTCAAATCGGCAGATTGCTCTCTGTGGAGACATGGTCCCGACCCGTGTGCAATTTCGCGTAATCTACGTCTTTTGATTCCATCAAGTCGCGGTCCCTTGGGTTTCGGTCACTTGCTTGCTTGCTTTTTTTTTTTTTCTTATTCCTACAAATAAAATGAAGACGCAGTAACATTAGGATGCGAATGCATACATGAAAGAGCACGACGCATCCCAAGGACAACAGCACTAGACTTTCAACAGACCGAGTTATCCCGGAATACGGAACTTTTGTTTTTACGCTCGTCCCTTAGTATCGCGAGTCCATCCGTCCACGAGGGGTGCAGCAAGCCAAAAAAAATAATCTCTCGCTCTTCCATTCGCAGATCAGCGATCGCGCTCGACAAATAGAAGGAAGCAAGGGCCCCAGGGCACCCTATACGACACAAAATTTGAACGGACAACCAAAAGATGCTCCTCCCACCTTTCATATGAGGCGGCTCTTGCCCTCCCCTCCCATTGTCCAACAGAGAGAGTCTGTAAGACGACTTGACTTGACTTGCGCCCCCCTGGAAACTTATTTTAGATAACTTTGCAGCATCCCGTTTCTTTTGCACTACATACAGTAAGTAACCCACCCAACCATTGCAATGAGCTTTCATTTTAAAAAAACCTTCTCAAAGGTTCGTAAACATTACTCTTTTTTTTTTCTTTGCTTTTGAGGATAATGGCATTTATGTTGTGTTACCATTCCCACCATCTTTGTTGTATGTGGTGTATTTTTAGATCATGGAAAGTCTAGTGGGTTGGGTTTCCCGCATCTCCACATTTGTTCAGAGGGTCTACAGTACGTCGAAAAGAGTGTGACACCAACCATTGAGTAAAAGAGAAAAAATTGCTCATCAGAAGTGAAGTCTATACACGTGTCCGCTGCATCGATTCTGGATGTGGGTACGTGTGTCTGTCGGACGTTGCACAGGCGGCGCCTGAGGTATAGACTATAAGTGAAGAGGAGAGCGAGGGGGGGGGTAAGGGTCTATGAAGATGAACCCGGGTCAGAAAAAAACTTTTATTGCACCAATTGGGATTCTGCAATCCTCATCATTCCTCATGATTAAAAAAGTCGAAGATCTGTATCAGATGTGACCAGCCAGCCTCTCCCCCGCACCCCTCTCCCCCTCCTCCAGGAACGATCCGAGAGCTCTGTGCTCAAGACGATGCATGCATGTTGTCTAACGGTAGGAGGAATGCAAAAAGTAAAAAAAAAAAAAAAAAAAAAAAAAGGTTGCAGGATTGGGAAGCAAGGGTATTTCAAAAGGAGAGACAACCCAACCCCATCCATGGGTGAGGTTGCATGTCTGCCTGTTTTCGTTTACATCCCAAACTAAACTTCTTTGCCGTAAACGGTTCGGCACAAACAAGCATTTTCTAAAAGACCCAAAAGAAAATGCACCCCTAGTCTAATGCTGTGGTCTATAGAGTCTATGCATGATGATATATTGATTGCGGAGGGTATCACAAGCATCATAGCAATAGTAAAAAGGATGGTTTTGCACCACCATCCCCCCTATTGCACAAAGGTTCCACGATTATCTAATCTGGCTCTGTTTGTTTCTGTGTACCCAAGTAACCTTTTTTCCAAAAATGCACAATGGTCACATCCTATGCCCTCGACTCGAAGATGGGGAGGATGCCCTAAATCGCTTTTTTACTTTTAAAAAAAATCGTATCTACAACACACATATACGCGCCCGGATCAAAACGGGTGCCGATTCGTCATGTTTGTCTGCGGAGCAACACGACTCTTCGCTCGGACCCTTGGCACAGCGCGTCGCGCCAGATGAGTGATTATTGACGTGTTTCCCCCCCCCCCCCTTTTTTTTTTGGTGGCAAAAGATAATGAAAGTTGCCACGGTTTCAGGGAAAGAGGTAGGGGGGAGGTGCGCACTGGATGATCGTACCGACACAGGTACAACAGTTTACTAAACTGAACACAGACCAGCACAAGGGGAGGGGGGAGCTTTGTGTAACTTGTGTCTTTTATTTCGAATCGAACAGCTCAAGTGGGAGTACCGGTCTATGTTGTGTGCTATCGACGATTTCTCTTTTTTTTTTTTTTTTTTTTTTTTTACTCTTTTTTTTGAGGGGAAATGCTACCTCATGAATATTGCTAACCCGCGCGAGCTGAGGCGGCCTCAAGAGTCTCCAAGTCTTCCTGGGCTTTCGAGTCGTTTTTCGTCTCTACAGCCTTATCAAACGAGCCAACCACAGAGTCGGCCCAGGCAGCAGACGTAGGCGTAAGCGGCGACTCTAGTTCCTTATCCTCGCTCCCGTCCTCGTCCTCGTCCTCATCCTCACCCTCATCCTCCACATTCGGCAACACGGCTGTTTGCAAAGGGGCCACAGGTTTCTTTCCAGTCAAGACCCGTGGCGAAGGAGTAACCCCACCGACCAGAGATGCTCGCGAATTCCGTCTGCTTCTCGGCCGATGTGCGAATCCTCCGGGAACGGTCCCTCTAATTTTGAAGAGCTCTGGAACAGCAGACGATGCCATAACGTGGGATACTTGATGTTCTGGGAGTTCGAGAGTGAAACTTGTAAAGGAGTGTGTGATGTTAGCCATCGAGGCATTGTAATCCAATTGATATGGACTGTTCATCGAATATCGGAATTGCTGCTGCTGCTGTTGTTGTTGTTGTTGTGGAGACGAAGGCGTTGGCTGGGTGTGATGGCCACTGTTTATGATTTTGAGACTCCTGTCAATAATGTTTTCCTGCGGTGCCTTGCGCAAAGTTGCGTCATCTGATTCCAGCAGAGAAGCAGAGGCTAGATCCCTTCCCGTCGCTGCGGCGAGAATAGCCTGTTCACGAGCCCGACGTGCGCGCGGAGAGTCCTTTTTGGAGGGGTGTGCGTGGCTGCGAGAAGTCGATCGCTGACGCTCTGCATAGCCAAGTTTGAGGGAATGCATGATACTCTCCTCCAAAAGATTACGCCGCCAGACGTGTGCATGGTATTGACGGATGTTGGGATAATCGGTCGGACGCACGTCGTAGGAGGAGGACGTAGTGGTACTGACGGTGTTGGACATGGATAGAGTTGGTGATCGGCCTCGTGGCACCTCGTGCTCCATGTGCTCAGAGACGTAGTCCCTGTCCTGATAACGGCTACCATTCACGCTCCTGCTTCCGCTCTGACGACTTTTGCTGCTCCTGTGGGTCCTCTCACTGCTCTTGCTGTCTCTGCGCCTATTCTCAGCGAGACTATCCTCCTTCCCCTGCGCCTCAGAGCCAATCTTGCGCAAGAGGCCGTTGTTACTACTTTGTCGCTCCTCTGGCTGAGGATTCTTATTACGTCCTTCCAGTGTGAACAGACCCGAGAGTCGCTTTCTGGTTGAATGTCGGCGAGAAGTGACTTCCTGGGGCCTGTCGTTGCTCAGGCCGTTGTCGAAAGAACAGGTATCGTTAGGGTTGCTAGGAAGACTGGTTTCGCTCCCGCTGGTCTCGTCTCTGTAGTGGCTCATACGACGGCCAAGCCTGGTGGAGGTCTTGAGGTAGTTCCTCGTGGATTCCAATAGCTGTACCATGTGTGTGCTTTTGGTTGGGGAGGGTATGGGATGACTGGGCGGGGTTGTGGCTCGTGTGCGTAGGGGCCAGGGTATCTGAAGAGGATGGATGGGGTATGGGTAGCCACCAAAGACGTCTGTGTGGGCTAATAAGAAAGATGCCAATGGGGGAAAGGAGGAGAAAAGGGGAAAGAGGACGGAAGAACGAAAGACGCAGGAGAAAAGGTCAGTGGGATTGTGTATCGGTCTGGAGTGTCGTTACAATAACATATATCAGCGAAAAGGAGAAGAGAAAGGAAAATGAGTTGGGAGGGAATGCAGTTGGGAGAGGAAGAGCGAAGAGAGCGAGGGCGAGAAGGTGTTACCTCTTCACTAGACAAAGAAGTGACAAAGAAGTGACAAAGAAGTGACAAAGAAGTGACAAAGAAGTGACAAAGAAGTGGCAAAGAAGTGTTAAAGAGACGGAAGAATGAGTGTGGGGGTGAGTGTGAGTGCGAGTGCGAGTGTGAATGTAAGAGAGGGAAGGAGAGAGAGTAAAGGGAGGAAGAGGGAAGAAAGAAAGAGAGAAGGTTAATAAGATCAAGATGGGCATGGTCGAGAGGTGAAAATAGAAAAGAGAGACGAGAGCCCTTGCCTGGGCATCCTTCGCCCTGAACTCGGTGGTGGGACTCCGCCAAGGGAACATTTCCGGTTCCCTGCCTTGACATATGAAATGCATGCGATAGTTTTCCAAGGACAGACACGTTGTAATTAAAAAAAAAGAAAAGAAAAAAAGAAAAGAGGATAGGATCAGTGGTGCTTCAATGGTTCGAATGGCGCTTGGTTCCTGTCCATGTCCATGCCCATGTCCATATCATATATTGCCACGCACTATGCTCACATGCGAATCGCAATACAGCAATAGCAAACGGTGCAAGTGACGCACTGTTCAGGCTGCCACGTTATCGCTCCTTCCCTGACATTTTCTTTATTTTCTTATCTCTGGCATCTTCTCTGGCTTCAACTCTTACTTGTCCAATGCACACAGCTAATGAGGTACTGCTCTCATCCTCCCCCCTGGAGGACAACTTGTACAATGCATTATCTACGCACTTAACCACAAGTTACAACAGCTGTAACAGGAGCAAGAGTTGAGGGCGGTGATGGCCTGCTGGGGGCTGGAGAGCATAGCATGCTGGAGGGCCACTGGCCGCCGTCGTGTCCTGGTCCCCCATATCGTTGGTATCATTGTAGGGCTGCCTGTCAACTGTTCTCAAATCCACACAATGTCAGAGTTGAGGGCCGCACTCCAGTCACGGGGCTCATGCATTTCCTTTTTGCTGAGGTCGTTCCAGATCGTTCTGTTCAGCTCAAACTACACCCATTTTCAAACCACCAAAACCACGACGCGTCCATCCTTTACACCCTACAGCAGGATACACGCCGTCTCATCCAACTCCACATAAGTCTGAACATGTCCGCCATCAACTATTCCAAGTGGGACAACCTCGAGATCTCGGACGACTCGGACATTGAATGCCATCCCAATGTAACAGCTCGTGTTCTTTTTCATTCCTTCTCGTCTATGGCTCAAATCAGTACCCGCGATACTTACCTACAGTCGATCACCTTTGCCCTTCATTGCCGCTTGCTTCTAGGTCGATAAGCGTTCAATGATCCGATGGAAGCAGGAGCAGATCCACCGTGAGCGCGACGCCCGCCGCACCAAGATCGTATCCCTCAAACATGAAGCAGAGACCCTCAAGAAGCAGCTGGACAGGATAGAGAAAAGCACTCAGCAAGCAGAGCTCGAGAAAAAGTACCAGGAGACCCTTCAGCAATTAGAGAAGCTGGAGGCAGTGGAAAACAAGAAGCTGACCTCAGACAAGCTGGTGACTGGATTCGATAAAACTGTAAGACTTCCTTGTGTTCAGCAACCCAAACAACCGCTGCCTGCAACAGCAAGGGCATCATGGAGACATGACACGCAGGTATATTCTAACGTTTGAATCGCTCGCATCTTGGCTAGGCTGTGAGCAAGCCAGTTCATGCCCCCAAAGAGACCCCCAAGCCCTTCAAGAAGACTACTCAGAAGACCAAAGTGATTGAGACGTTGAATCCAGGAAGTGCCGTACGTCGCAAAAATACGCTCGAGTCATGTATTCAAAACGGTCATGTAATCGCTGATGAGCTTTTCTCTAATACAGCTGATAATTTTTTTCATGGCAAATATTAGGGAGGAGTGCCAGCAAAAGCCGGTTCATCGAAGCAGGCAGCCGTCGCAGAAGACTCGGATGATTCGGACGATGAGGTCGAGGTCACAGAGGTTGCCCTCGAGTTTTCGCGTATCAAGGGATTCGATGCTTCTCTTGCTTACATCTCAAAACACCCTTACCTCGGCACTCAAGCGTACTCGGACGAAATCATGGCTCAGGCCTTCAAGGCGCAGATGGACGGTGACGAGTCCTATGCCAACAACTGCGTGCATCAGGCCCTCATTCTTCAATACTGCGCTCAGCTCGGCAAGGACGGTGTAGGCCTCTTCTTCCACAGGTAAGGAAGGAGCTTTAGGATACGACAATACAATAGCCCAGCGTCTTGGGATACTGTTGCAAAAAGCCTTTTTTTTTTATTTAGTAGGATATCATACCTAGTTTGCTAATTTATCGACCTCCACTTTAGAATCCGTGATCCTAATCACGCTGCCCTCAAGATCTTCCAGAACGACTGGAAGGACACTTACACAAGAATCAAGGAGCGCTGCAAGGTACTGGCACAGGAGCGTGCCGCTAATGCTTCCCCAGGAGTGGAGACTATCCAACTTCAGGCAGCCGAGCCAGGAACTCAGATTCATATCACAGGACCACCCGCGGATGCTGACCCTAAGGTCCACGAAATTTTCGCAGCCTTGCCTGAGGATTTCCAGGAAGCAATTATCTCTGGATCGCTGGACAACGTCAACAAGTCGTTGGAGGGTATGAGTGTGCAGTTGGCAGAGGAGGTTGTCAGAGTGTGCAACCAAGTCGGTTTCTTACGTATTGAGGGCGACATCATTGATACGATCAAGGGCGAGACTATTGCTGACCGCGAGGCCGAGATGGCCGCAGCAGCAGCCGCAGCAGCCGAGGCAGGCAAGGCCATCGATGCTCCAGCTCCTGATCAGGCATGAAAGGAACCCAGTTTTGAAATAAATTCTATCAGTTTTCGTTTTTGATTCTGTTGCCCAGTGACTGCAGAGGACGAATGTGTGTGGGTTTTTGAACAAACAGCTTGTTCAGCCTTTCTTTTCTTTTTTCTTTTTTTTAACATCGCTTTGTTCACCAGAAGAGACCCCATTCGATTCTTCTGTAGAATGGATTCCAACCAAGAGGAGGGCCAGGGCTCAGGAAAGGGCAAAGGAAAGGGTCGTAGTACCAGGAGCAAAGGCACCGATCAGAATGACCATTCACTCTCGGTCGATTCAGGGTCCGCACTCGACCAACACCATGCCTCGTCCACCACAGACAGGAACCCACTTTTGACGCGCCTCAGCCAGAACTCGGCCGAGCGGGCACACATTGCCGCGTTCGGAACCCAGCTTGGACCCGAGGGTATGCAGGCTCCACAGGTGATTGGAGACTTTGTAGGAATCAGCAGCAGCAGCAGCAGCAGCAGCATCAACATCAGCAGTAGCACCGGCAGGAACGGAGGAGCTGCTGCTGCTGTCGCCATCAGCACCAGCAGTAGTACCATTGGAGTTGCGGGCCACTCCAACGTGGATTTGCATGAGGTTTTGGAGAGTATCCGAATCGAGGGCGAAGACGAGGAATTTAACGAGCTAGATGCTGAGGATGATGGCGAAGATGAAGATATGACTGGTTGGTCGACACAGACGGGACCAGAGGGTATGAGTGCCGCCATGCGTGCTGAGGCATTGTCAGCAATATCCGCCGTGGATCCACAGCAACTCATAGGCGCAGCAGGCGAGGGGTAAGATATGGATGACATGGATTGAATTGTTTGCTCGCATGAAAACGTCGTTACTGACATGTCATTCCTTGGATCAATGGTATGTAAGGTCACCATGGGGCGCGCTGGAGGGATTCGAACAAGGCATGGTGGACGACGACGATGAGTTGGACGAAAACGACCCAGCGCTTGAGGAGCTTGGACTTTCACTCGCTCCCAGGACGCAGAAAGAAAAGAGACGAGTAAGTCCAAGGATGAACAAAAATGTCCGGGGGGGGGAGGTTTTTTTTTTTGGCAGGATTGAGGCGACAAATGGATTGAGTGGGCTGCTAACCACCCAACGCTTTTGCTGTTTTGTAGATGAAACGAAAGGGCGAAGTCATCTATCCACCCGAGATTCAAAAGCTGCTGGGCATGGCAAACCACGCATATGTCAGCAAGGACTACAAACTGGCCGTTGATCTATTCCAACAGGTCATTGTCACCCACCCCAGCGTCTTTCAAGCATGGAATATCATGGGAGTTATCCAGGAGGAATTAGGAAATACTGAAAAGGCGCTGCAGCTGTACCTCGTCGCTGCCCATTTGACCCCAAAGGATGGAGCACTCTGGAAAAAACTAGCTGTCATATCCAAGTAAGTTCAGGACTGAAGCAGGGATTGCGACTATCGCGGGGAGGGATAGCAACGCTGAGCATGCTACTAATGCATGCTTTGTTCATTTTTATCGTTAGAAACTGTGGCTATGACCAGCAAGCGCTCTACTGTTTCTCACGAGCATACAGGGCTGACAAGCACGACATGGATGCGCTCTGGGATCGCTCTGTGATGTACCAAATTTTGGACCAGCCTAACAAAGCCATCCAGGGCTTCCAGAAGCTCCTCAAGGTCAAGCCGCATTATATGCCCGCGCTGGAGGAACTGGTCAAGATCTACAGTTCACTTGAACAGGATAATAAGCGTTATCGGGAGAATATGCACCAAGCTATGGTCGACTATGAGGCAGCATACCTACATTATTCCTCGCTTCCGGATCGGTTTTCAAACCCCAACGGAGACCCATTCGACATCACGGACGAGGACGATCAGGCGGAGCAACAGAATGAACCATTTGGATACTCGGCCCTTAATATGCTGAGCGAGCTCTACATCATGTTTGAGGAGTACGAAAAGCCCATTACGATGATTAAGACTTGGTCTAGACGGTTACAGCGGCGATCGCATCAGACGTGGTGGGATGACTACAAGGATGACCGCGAGTTTGACACGGATCCGGACGATGAGGATCTTCAGGCATCTCTAGGAGAAAACCGGACGAGAGGACTTCCTGTTGATCTTCGAGTCAAGCTTGGTATCTGCCGCTTGATGATGGAAGAAGTCAAGGAAGCAAAGGTACAGCATATTATTTTTTTCTTCTTTCTCTGCAGTTGTACAGATCATGACACCATCTTAAAGGACGAAAGATGATTAACGTCCGAGATAATTTGTTCCGCCAATGCAATAGGCCCAATTCAGGTACCTGTGGAAGTGCAGTGTCGAGGATTTCCCAGATTTGTACGAGGAGATTGCAGAGCTTTACGTCAGCAAACAGATGTGGAAGGAAGGCTACAACGTTATCCGCGCCATGCTGCAGTTTGACGAGATGGATATCCTCAAGAATTGGGTCATGGCTGGAGAATGTCTTCGACATATGGACCAGCTGAAAGACGCAAAGGACTATCTGGAACAGGGTATATATTTGCCTCTGTTATTTATTCAACAAACAGTTTGTAACTGAGAGATCTCTTTTTTTTCACATTCTGACCCTATGTATTATTGTTGCAATGCTTTAGCTCACCGTGCCGATCCCTCCAGCGTGGATGTCAGTATGATTCTCGCAGAGGTGTATGAAGAGATGGGGAACCTTCCACAGGCCTTGACGCTCGTCAACTATGGTATGTTAACTGTCATGGAACGATGAGATTTGATTCCTATGGCAGGATTTCTAACTCTCCGTCTTGGCCCTCTGTTTTGACTCATAGTACGGCAAGCCAACGCGGAGAAGCAGGCCCTAGCAGAGAGACGGCGTAGAGAATTTCGGCTAGCCAAGGGGAAGGAAGGCTTCAAAGGTATCCAACCAGTGCAGCCGTATCTGGACACAGAGTATGCGCTAGACCCACGATATCGATCAATTATACCCCATGCATGGTTGAATAGGCCGGGTGGCCGTTGGAAGCCTGGTTCGGAAGCTGCGCGAGCCCTTGAGCGTATTCAGGAGGCTAGTCGAAGCAGAGCTGCAGCTGAGCGATACAGTAGCGCAGACAGGGAGCGCGATATCCAGTTGCTGAAGAGCATGCGTGAACTGGAGCGTGCTGAAAGGCTGGCGGCAAAGGAGAACGAGGCGCAGGAGCTACGGGATGTAATCGAAAAGTTCAACCAGCTCGAGATCATCTTCCAGCGGATCGACCAGAAGGAGAAATCTAGGGTCTGGGATAATAGGCGAGAGGCCGTCAAGATGACTCGAGAGGACAGGACCCAGTACATCCAGGTGGCTAGGGATCTGATCAACGTCTTCAGGAGCAATCGCGGGTTCTTTCCGAAACAGAGGACAAAGCCATATCTTGGTGTCGAGTCGCGCTCGTGGAGATTCAGGAAGCATGCAAGCGATATTGACGCTGTGCTGTCGGAGCAAGTCTCGGAAATGTCGGAGCGTTTGGGCCGGGCGATGGGCGTCACTCCACCCAAGTCAAGCGCAGAAGAAGCCATTGAGAACTCTGGAATCGTACCCCCGACAACGTACAAGGATGTCTCGTTCGATGCATGGTACATGCTCGTCATTCGGCAGGCGGTCTATTTGACGTACGAGGATCGTTACGCAGAAGCAGCCGAGCTCTTGATGGTGATGTTCAGCGCAAACGTCTTTTACATCAATCCTCGTCGGCGATCAGGCATCATGCTTGTCCTGCTTGCGTGTGCTATGTGGGCTGGCGATGCTGCTGCGGTGTTGAATGCTGGACGCTACCTGGCCAATTTCGGTGGCAGTCGTCCGTTCCCGATCAAGATATACCAAGCGGTCTTCACAACTGGGCCCCGTAACCACCAGAAGTACGGAGCTTGGGTCCAGAACGTCACGTACAAGTACTTGAAGCGACAAATCGGCAGGATGCGTACGGCTATCGGCAAGGCTTCGCAGAGGATGATGCGCAAGGTTCGCAAACCTGTCCGTAAACCTCGGGTTGGGGGAAAAAAGAGGAGCTACAGGAAGGTCTTTCAGCTCATGCCGGCCTCGCAAGGCTCCCCAAACAAGAAGCGCAAGAGTGATGTCCTACCAAGCAGGAGCTCGGCGCTCGCAACATTACCATGGAAGACATTTAGCTCCTTCCCTCAGCTCAACACTCCAGGCGAATCTGAGAACACCGACATCAGAATCGAACAGGGTGTAGATGATCAGCCAGAGACGTCAACAGCTCTTTCGGAACAGCGGATGATGTTCGACTTCACGATTAGCTTGCCTGAGAATAGCTCACGGAGGTTACGTGCAAAGGACTTGTTTGCAGAGAAGGAGCTTCAATCTCAAGTAGTTTCAGAGCAAGCAGACGGCATAGCTGTCGAGGAGTCAGCGTCGACGACGCCACGGAAAAAGAGGCTGCTGGAAGATGATGCTGCTGGCGGTTCGGGGCAAGTTGAGGCTGTGGGTGGCCAGGATGACCAGGACGAAGCTGGACAGGACGAGGAATTTGATGATGACGACGATTACGATGTTGGCGACGAGGCATATAAGACTGAAGAAGAGGAGGAGGAGTCTGACGCAGACGATTTCGGCGACGGAGAATGGGATCAAGACGGCTCTGGTTTCCCCAAGTCCAGAGCCAAGATATTTGGAAAGGTCAGCCGGCGCAATATCTCGAACGCTGACGACGACGAGGACGATGGCGATGACGACGACGGAGGTGAAGTCGGCGGCAGCGTTGTCCGAAGAGCATTGGCTGGTCGCCGCCGATCTGCCGGTCAAAAGGGAACTGAGAGCGCCCTTTCAAGGACTGATGAAGACATGGACGCCATAGGGAGCAAGAGACAGGGAAGGGCGCATTTCACGAGGGAGATGTACAAGAAGTTCAATATCGGGATGGTCATGTTCTTTGGACATGTACTGGCCCAGTCGCGATCCCACGTTGGCAGTGCGGGTAAGTGTTCTTGTTGGCGAGAATTTACGAAAGATGTCTTTTTTGTTGGGAAAATTGCTCACTAACACGGAGGGTGTTTTTTTTTCTATCCGTAGCTCAATTTGCCGAGTGCATGGACTACGCGCCCTATAACCCCATGATCCACCTGTACCTTGGGATCCAGTTCCTGAACTTGGCGATGCAACGCACAACACCGAATCGGCAGATGACCTTGGCCCAGGGATTGTTGTTTTTGCAGAACTACTATCGCCTACGCAAGGAAGGATATGGCACGCTGATGTTTTCGGAACGGGAGAAGGAGAACAAAGCCAAGGGTATACCAAGCCCACCACCGCCCATCAAGCCCGTCCGCTCAATCATTGGTGTCCAGGACGAAGAACCCGATTGGACCGCACAGGCTACCAAGGCCTCCATGGAGGCCATTTCATCCGATACCTCGCCTACGACGTCTGCTCAATCGATAGCAGCACAGAAAACAGCAGCACCTTCGAAAGTCCCACCAACTTTAGGAGCACCGACTACAACGACGTCTTCATCCTCATCCTCAGAGAGTAATTCTGCCCCACCAGAGAACCCACCGCTGAGGCAATGTCAGCAAGAGGCAGAGTTCAATTTCGCGCGCGCGTTCCATCAGATGGGCCAGAACCAGCTTGCGATGATCCACTATCGAAGGGTGCTCGAGTTGCCCTCGTGGCGGGTTGTCGAGCGCGAACAGCAGGTGTTGCGCAAGAAACAGCAGGACGAGGAGAAGGAGATGAGGCGGAAGGCACGTGCGGAGGGTCGTGCTCATGCGCTGGAGAGGAAGATGAGGCGTGCACAGGAGAGTCGCGATCGTAAGGAAGCCAGGCGGATCCAGATGGAGGTGGCCAAGGCTTTGGGGACGACAGACGTGAGCGAAGTAGTCGGCGGTGAAGATGGAGAAGATGATGAAGAGGATGAGGAGGATATGGATGGAGAAGAAGAAGAAGAAGAAGAAAAAGAAAAAGGAGGGGAGGACGGTGTGGGCGAGGAGGAAGAAGGGGAGAAGAAGAACGCATCGGAAAACAAAGTACCAAGTCGGATTCAATTGCGGGACTCTGAAGAGGACGATCCCACGGATTTGAAGCGTGAGGCGGCCTTTAATTTGGCAAAAATCTACCTGCAGAGCGGTGCTGTGGGCGAAGCGCAGCTTTTGATGCGCAAATATTGTACAATCTAGTCTGAATATTGAAAGAAATGCTTTCCATAAATTCGTGCATTTGAAAAACAAACAAAAAATGACTTGAATTCAATTAGGAGCTTGACAAAAAAAGGATCATTCTTTATTGCTGTGGTCATGGATCACACCCAACATCCAGGCGCTTGACCCAGGTCAGGTATCGTTCAGCACAATGCCTCTGCTGTTCCTGTTCTTCGCTCAGAATATCCACATCATCTGTTTCTCGGTTTTCATCCTGATCTGTTGTCGTGGGATCCGGCAACGCCAGTTGCTTAACGAACTCATCCTCAGTCGCCAGAGACACAAATAGGCCATCCTCCGAATCCAGAGTCCCAAGTTCCACGGCTCTATTCCCTCCTCTTTCATCCAGGTCCATCTCACCGTCCAGCCAGCGTAGTCCATAATACACGAACCGTAAATGGTACCAAAGCGACTCGTGTCCCGGATAGGTCGTGATCAGGTTACGGACACGGTCCAGCTCCGAGACCCATAGTTGAACAACCCATGGGAAACTCGCCCGCTTAATTTCGTCCGCATTCTGAATCACGTCAGTAGAGAGCAAAACCTGTCTGATTGCACTCTGGAGGACTCTGGATTTTTCTACTACTGCTGCTGCTGCTGCTGCTGCTGCTGACTCGTCATGACGGCCGCTGCGGGCTATCCATACAGCATCCCTTCTTTGACGCCTAGCCACCAGATCCTTCCTCGTCCACTGCAGCGCCATCTCTCCTGATGGTGACGCCCCGGAGTTGTCTTCTGTGCTCTGCTGTTGCTGGACAGTCCATTTCCCACTCAACTGTATCATACACCGCTGTAGATGTTGCTGCGATGAGTGATCAGATACGTTCCTTTGCACATGCGTCTTCATCCGCTCAAATTCCTGCAGTAGCGGCAGCAACATGTCTTCCTCGTCTGCTTGTGGTCGAAGAAAAACATTAACCTTAACCCGGGTATGTGTGTGCTCGTGGCCCTGGTCAAGGCTGGCCTCCCACCAATGCCGTCCCAATTGATCGACGAGCCAATGACGCATAGTCCAGGCATAATAGCATTTCGGGTATCGCTCCGCTGCCAGATGACACACCTGGAGCTGTTCTTTAACGATCGAGGGATCGAGAGGCACGGTTTCGTAGTCTTTGAATAGATAGCAAAGCAGCCATTTCCTAAAATCAAGGACGCGGTCAGCCAATCAAGTAGATAAAAAAAAAAAAAAAAAAAAAAACGCCGGGCTGAGGCAGTAGCGAACAGATTTGAGAGAAAGAAGCAATGAATGCATACCGGTGATGCCAGGCGCCCGAGCTTTTGCAGTTCCTGGGAAAAGTGAGAATCATGTCCAAGTATTGCAGTTCCTTTCGAGCGTCCATATACCCTCCTTCCACCAATCGCTTCCTAAAGCGAAAACGAAAAACGAAAAACGAAAAAACAGAAGGTTAGATTCTGCGTCCGCATAGACAAGAAGACAAAGGGATCTACCGCCCGTCCTTACCGGGCGTTCACGGCAGTGAAGGAGTCTGGACAAAGGATCATCAGGCATGAAGTCGACTCGATCACTCTGCGACGTTTCTCTAAAGAAAAAGAGCGAACCGTCGAATCCGTTAGAGACTGACCACCTTGCCGTTCTTTACAACACCACGCGGTGAGAGTGCACCGCTACAGTACCTGGGTCAGTCAGCCAATCCTGCTGTGTTATGATCGCTGTCGCTGTCGTCGCGTTTGAACTGCTGTCCTGGGTTCCTGTTCTGGCAGCCCTCAAAGCATTCTTGAACGCCGCATTCGAGGCGTCGAGCAGAGGTACCCAGCAGTAGATTGGGATCCCGAGCTTGCTCCCTCGTTCCTGAACAACAAACGGATATGAAGGAATCCCACCACCACCACTATCCGCACTCGACTCTTCTCGGTCTGGCAGAAAGGGGAGTATGCCAATCTCATCTCTAGCATCCATTCCCCATGAAAGAAATAGGAGGTCAAGATTAAAAACAAGAACTATCGTGCATCTGAAACGCGTCGTCTCCATGGACAATGCAACCGATGCGCATACACTTCATTCTTGTTCAAGATGTCAACAAGACGTTCGTAGAGGACGTCCTTTGTAAGTGAAGGATCGAGCTGTGTGATGGGCGTGTTGGCCAACCGTGCTTCGGCGGCCATTGCTGAACGATGCTGCAGGAAGTGTTTGTACTGAAAGGGTTCAACCATTCGCTGATATTCTTCATATTGGTCAAAATAGGTTGATTGTATTACAGAAATAAGAACGACTCCTATACAACGACTCGAATACCTCGTCTCTTCCACCCTCGCTACTTCGCCGCCACCACCACGCCTTACTTAAATGTACTGGGACATCCAGAGGAAACCTATTTGCGGAAAGCACGAATGCAGAGAAAAGATTGTCAGAAAAGGACATTTGATCCACAAAGATATAACCATGGCAGACAACTGCAATTGACTCCATGACATACCATCGCCGTATCCCTGCTTCATGACGACCGAGCACATAAAGACCTCAATGGGGCGCATGTCCTTCAGTGGGACCTTGCCCTTGCCGGTGGTCTGGATCAATCCGAGATTAGAGCGGAGAACCTCCTCAGAGACGGCGCCAGGGGCATCGATCTTGTTTCCAAGAATCAAGAAGGGAGTGTGCTCCAACTGTTGGATGGCGAGGAGGGCCTATATTTCAGTAAGATTTGTATCAAAGAAAGAAGGAACACCTGCTTAGTTTCCATTTTCACGTCGATGTATGTGCACAAACGGACCATTGCGTCGTGGCACGCGCACTTACATCCAACTCGGCCTTAGACTCTGTGAAACGCTCATGATCCTGGGTATCGACCAAGAAGACAATGCCATCGACCTCGGCGAAGTAGTCCTTCCAGATGCGGCGGGCTAATTTATAGACAAGGCAATAAAGCGATATAGCTCAGTCATTGGTGAATGACGCGTTGCCCCCTCTTTACCAGGATCTGACACGTAATCGCATATTTGTCCCGTCTCCTGGATTCTTATTCCTTCCGCAGGTCGCGCTGATCCTGACGATTATGTTTCAAGTACCTTGCGTATGTCCACCGAGATCAAAGGTTGTGAACTTGACATTGGCGATGGAGAGCTCTTCAGAGGCTATAGAGTTGTGCAGGAGGAGGAAAAAAGAAAAAGAAAAAGAAAGAATTCAAAGAGCGATTAGTGTTGCTTGCGGCATCCAATGCTCGCACGACGTATTCCAGCCATGGAGGCGACAATTGATTTGGATATCTTATCTTACTTGGGTGAAGGGTGGGCTGAAGAGTGGCCAGACGATCGTTCTTCAGCATGTGAAGTAGAGTAGTCTTTCCGGCATTGTCGAGACCCAGGAAAAGAATCTTGGCGTTCTTGTTGAGCAGGCCTGGATAGAATGGAGATAAGGGCCGATCGGGTGTTAATTTCGTTTTTTATATTACTTTTTAGTGGGTCCTGGACGGTGCTCTCTGATTCAACAAAGTTGCGTGCATAGTGTGTCATCGCTCCAGAAAAGTAGGTGAATTCGTGAGAGAATTGGGTGGGCGAAGGCTGCCATTCAGATGGCCCTTGCATTTCATCCAATCGAGAGCTGGAACTGTTCTTAGTGTCGGGTAGTAAGAGGCGGAGCCTCAGTTGCTTCTTGGTCCAGGTTGCTATACATGGTCAAGGAGCCCTGATGCCGAGTTCCGGTGGGGTATACATGGTTGTCTTATTGCGATTGGTCATCACATTTTTTTCCCTCCGCCCATGGAGAGGAGCATCCGCCCCAAGAGTCGGTCCCAGGAAATGTAGGGGTTGATATTGATAGCATGTGCATCAAAGGCTGCTGCAGGCGAATGCTTGTGCCTGCAGCCTGCGTAGCACCGCAGCAAGATGGGCAAGGTGTTGTGTTGTGGTTGAGAGCCATTTGTCTGATCCTGATCAAGACGCCCTGAGGGGGAAGGGAAGTGCTGCTGGTGCTGGATGGTGTGTAGCTGTTTGGTGTCGCTGTTAATCCAGACGTTGTCGATAGAGATGATACAGAGGATAAGAAACTCACCAAGGCTGGACAGGACATCGCGGAACCAGTGTAAGATGAACATGCTGTGCTGTGTGTTGTCTGTTGCGTGTTATGTGCTATGTGCTGTGTGCTTTGTGCTTTGTGCTATATGCTATGAGTTCGTGATGGATGCAAGTGTTAAGGCGATGGGTGACGATGCAAACGGAAAAGAGAGAAAGAAAGAGAGAGCGAATTAAAATGGCCCAACGCCCTCTTTCGTTCATTCTTTTATGGGAAAAGGCACAGGGCAGCCCTTTCAGTTCATTTTTGGGTCGCGCTATCACGTGGATGCGTGGTCTGTTCTGCTGCTTGCATGTGTTGCTCTCCAAAGATAACACGAAGTCATAGGCATTTATTTTTGGGTGGAATAAAGAAAAAACTACGTATCAAGCGCTGTTGGTTGGGTCGTCGATATGTCGCTTGGTCCAGTGGTAATAATAAAGCAGTGCACAGGCTGGCTGGCCCAGGATCGTGAAGGACACCCAAAACACCATGTTGCCGAGTCCTGTTCCAGTTCCTCGCCACTTCTCCAGGGGCCGTGTGAGCGCAATGAGCGGGATCTGGAAGAGCATGCCCCCGAAAGCGTATCCGTAGATCATATGGGTCGGGAGCCCAATCACGATCTCGTGCATAATCGCAGACAGTGTGAAAATGATCAAGGACGCTTTCGCCGCACTTATGCCTGAAGTGACCATCGGAAGATACACATGGCGCTTGAAGAACGTGTAGATGGGTTTGTTCCAGAGTCGCCAATACATCGCAACCGATCCTGCATTCCACCAGGCCAGGTAAAAGCATCGATCGCCAAAGTAGAGCATCTATCATAGAGTATTCAGTAAAGTGTCATTAACGAACAAATGTAGCACTCAAAGCCTGTCATTCCGGGCACAATGATAATAGATCTTCATGGTATTACCTCCGCGAGGGCATTGAAAGTGGCATGGAAAAAGGTATAGAACATGAGCAGCCAGATGAGAACACTGGTCGTACTCAGCTTCAAGACCCGCTCCAACATGGTCCCGAACGCGAGCTGATCAACCGCACGAACTGAATTTTGGAGCGTGGGCGTTGCATACTGCTCAATCAAAAAGTACATCATTCCAAAACACGTAAGGACTTCCAGGATGCGCTTAAGGAAGAACGATTTTCGAAAGACTGTGGTCCGTGGGTATGATGGCTGGTAGCAGAGTGTGGGCGCCAGCCAGTAATATGCCATATTCTTGATGGTGACATTGGCCGGATACTGAACATCGTATGTATAGATACCCTCGCTCCTCTCACCGTCCTTCCGTAAGGATGTACTGTGGACCTTGGCCAGATGGTGGAACTTGTCAGGGGACTCGTCAAAGATGTAGGCAGCCCGAAGATCTTGATGGACAAGCGCATAGGACGTCAACTTGAAGAACTGGATCGTGCCGTTGATGAGGCATGTCATGGACATGAACGGGTGAAAGATCAGGTAATATGACATGTATGAAGACCATGAGAGGGTCAAGATCACGTTGAAGGCGTGTAGCCAGCCCACGATGCTTTGGTACACCTTGATTGAGTTCTCGGCGCTGTGTGCATCCTTGAGAACTTGCTTTGGATCCCTCTCTTCCGAGAGGGTGTTGTCAGAGCGTGCGGATGTGTCAGCAATGCGTTTGCGATGTCCAATGGCCCACTTTCTTGCCCAACGCTCCAATTGAAACGCGACGAGGACGTTCAGCGGGAGCAGTACGTGGGCGAGAGCTGTCAGCAGCCAGTCCTCGCTAGAAACCTTGGACCCTGGAAGGGATATGAGGATGCCGTACTTTTGGTAGTTCTCGATGATAAGACGGACGTTGTTGCCAAACAGCAGTAACACTAAATTGTCGACGGAGCAGGAATATAGCAATATATGGTTATCATGTTAATGCGTAGCACAATCAAAGGGAAAGATCTTTTGATACGTACTACCGAGGTTGACAAATCCTCTGTAGCTCTCTGGCGGTGCCTCCTTTGAGAGAGGGCTGGGACTGGTCTTGGTATGGACAGGGAAGGTATGGCGATACGAGGAGCCGGTCATTCTTGCCTTTTTCAGATCCTGGGCAGTGGGAGGGATATCTGGAAGAGCAGCGGCAGCTTGGCTACTTTGAGCGGTTGGTTCCACCTGTGTCATTTTGTTACTCCTACGCACAATTGAAGATATAGCAGAAGATGATTGAGTATCGACTCTGCAGCAGTGTTTGTTCTTGGCTCAGAAGGAATGAGGCAAAGGCGGAATGAGCTGAGCTGAACCGAGGAATGAGCGAGATTTCGCCACTGTCGAACGGACCACCTTCAAGATTGGTGAGCGGCTCGTATTCGAAGCGTGCAATGGTAAGACGCTACTTTGACGAGTTGCTGCCGACTCTACCTTTGACTCCGGTGCTTTATTATCGCCCAGTGGTGTATTGAGCGAAGAGGGTGGGGGAGGGATGAGGGGTGAGAAAGAAGCGAGTGCGCGGGAGCAGCAGGAGAAGAGAAGAGAGAAAGAAAAGGAGACTCGACCATGGCTCATGTGCAAGCAGCCCGTGGATGCGTGTGTGTGGCCATCCGAGAAGGACGCAGCACTCTCCAGACAGCGGGTGGATGGGTCATATGCAATAGAGTTTATTTGCCTTTTGTGCCTCTTGCGCTTGGGCCAGCCCTATGGAGTGAGCCTTCGCCGAACCATCGGGTGGCAAGTTGTTGCATACGTACACACACATGTCCATCTCCATGTATGTATGCTTTGTTTGTTTGCTCCATATCCAATTTACACACGTACACCCTACTGGCCATTGCCGACAGAGGGACCCGTATTCGCTTTGCTGGATGCATGAACGCATGTTTCTATACCACTAAATGTCCAACCGTGACATCGACTACCATTGCCCACGGTTTCAACGCGCCACGGTCTTTTCCCAATGCCCCTGTGTGGACCAAGGGCTGCGCGGGGATGGTTTCACCCTGGCGACAAGAGCATGGCGGCAGTTCGTTTCAATTTTCAGCGCATGTATCAGGGTATTTAGCTGCAATCCTGAATGATCCGTCACTGCCATCAACCTGCTTGTCGCCACAAGGCAAAACGTGCTAGAGGAAGGCGGCTTGCCGAGCTATGAGCTTTCATTCTGATGGATAAGTATTTCCGTCCTATCTCTTTCGACACTACGAGCAACATTCATGATCGTATTCCATGTTGTATCGACCATGACCTTCTCGAAGAACTCAACAGCATTCAATATGCGCACGGTTATCAAACTGAAGTCCATCTAAACGACTGGTCAAGCTATGGACGTGCTTTTCGGTCGGTATGGATGTCTACTTAGACACTTCTTTCATCCCGCGGTTGTGGGGCAAGGTTAGGCTCGTCCCCAGCTATCTCTTTAAGCGCAGGGTAGCTAGGCTCGAATCCAGCCTTCATTAAAGCGCCAGCCACTATTCCCTTTTTTAAAAGGGATGGCATTTTGCTTCTCTTGTGGGAGAGAGAGAGAGAGAGAGAGAGAGAGAGAGAGAGAGAGAGAGAGAGAGAGAGAGAGAGAGAGAGAGAGAGAGAGAGAGAGAGAGAGAGAGAGAGAGAGAGAGAGAGAGAGAGGGAGAGAGAGAGATGAATGGAGGAGAGGTTGTGAGTGGCATTAGCGAAAGCTGATCATACCTCTGTATGCCTTCCTACCCGGGCTCCCCTGATCTGCTCGTTGGATCGATGGATGTGGTCCCACTGCCAGTTGCGACTTCGAGACCGAGTTCACCCCTGTTTCAAGATGGTATACATCCCTCACAACCATTAAAGTTCATCCTTGCACCATTTACCTTGACTTCCTTGCTCTCCATAGTACCCATCCTTGTTTCTCCACCTGTTCCCTTGCCTAGTCTTCGCTGTTATTATAACACCCTTGTTTCCTTGTTCCTCCCCTTGTCACTTGCCCTGTTCATCACTCGTTTCTTTGATCCCACTTATTGCTATTACAATCCCCCACAACTACTGCAATTTATTCGCGCACCTTTTGCCTTGACCCTCCGGCTCTCCCTTACCCACTTCCTTGTTTAACTTGCGTCACTTTGCCATCCCTGTTTATATCTCACCTGACCCTGGCACCCTCAACCCCGCTACCCCTTCCTATGCCGAGTTCGCTCGCTTGGCCACAAAGGAATTCAGCCCGCTAACCTCAAGGAACACCTCCTCAGCTATATCGTACTCTTAAAACGGACGACCCTCACCACCACGGAGGACCCTTTATGGTCTCAACAAACTGTTGAAGTTAGGTGCTGCAATTGAGCAGCAACCCTTTTTAAATAAGGAAAAAAGAGAAGGAAGACAGGAGTTGATTGAAGTAAGTACTATAATCGAACGAACACGGTCGCACTTTTACTTTGTCGCTCTGTCTGCACATTGCGCCAGTTATTGATGATCATCGCATGGGCAAGGTCGCGTCAGATCGAAAAACGGAAAAACGCGGCCCTCTCCATATGTGTGAAGGCGTACCTGAATTTATCCCGCACGTCCCTTTTTGGATGTCGTCAATTGGGTTTCGTGTTCAGACTTGAAGCGCCCTTCTTCTTCCTTGGTTCCTGCCTTGCGTTCATTCCTCATTTGCTCCACCTTGACTCTCATTCCTCTCCTCTCCTCCCCCACTCTCCCTTCCCTAGCTCTTTCTCCTCCTTCGAGTTCACTCCAGCGTCTCTTTCTCTTTCCTGCTCTCAAATTTCAATAAAAAAAGCAACTTGTCATTGAAAACATGCCTCCAGTCCCTGAGTCCCTCGACCACTCCAAGATCGACTTTCACCGCTACTACTTCTATGCCACCGTTCTTAATGTCCCGCCAATCCTCTTTATGTACCCTCTCCGAACCGTACGCCTTCTCCAACAAAGCAGGGCCTCAGGACCTGTCTCTAACTCTGTCTACAAGGTCATCCGCGATGTGCACAGGAAAAACGGCTTCCAGGCCCTCTTTGCTGGATCGACCATTTATACCACTGGAGTCACCACAACAAAGATCCTTCAGTTCGCAACCTACGACTTTGCGGCACAAAAGGTCAGGGAGAACAAGTACTTTGGGTATCCAATCCTCAAGGACTCCAAGGTCCTGAGCGGCGTCTTGGGTACTTTCTCGGCCATCGTCACAACGTTCTTTATCGTGCCATTCGATATGGTAGGTTTCTTCGGTGATGTAAAGGATCTACACCATGAGGGGGAGGACTTTATCTACGAGGAGCCAGACTGGCCCAGCATCCCTCCAGAGCGCCAATTGGAGTCGTGGTCATCGTGCGGTCATCGCTATCCAAAATAAGCCCGAGAAGCAGGAAATTGAGTTTGCATGTGCTCAGCGATCCCTCTCTCATTTTTTTTTCTATCCGTAGATCTCACAACAGATCACCATCGCCAAGGCAGGGACCCTGCCCAATGCTTCAAACATTCCACTCTATGTCACCGGCTCCACAGAACCCCTGGAGCAGCTCAGACCCATGAATATCTCCGAATCCCTACGTGCTCAATTCAAACAGGAGGGCTTTCGCTTCCTGTTCCGGGGATACTTTGCTACATTACTCTCCACAGGACCCTTCTTCGCGGCCTACTTCCCCGCGTACGAGATCTCGCGCTACTGGATCAAGGACTGGATTGACTACATCCGAGAAATCCAAGCCGCACGAACCCCGAACCCCAATCCATTCCCACCACTCAGGTCTCACCAGTTCTTAATCTCGTCTTTGGCCGGGAGCATGGCCTCAGTCGCAGGCGTGCTGGCGTCCTCACCCTTCGACATGGTCAAGACACGGATCCAGACAGAACAACGACTTCAGCCGACAAACGCCTCCGGGATCAAATTACCACTACCCTCGCTCAGATGGAAGGATGTGTTCAAGGACATCCTCAAAAAGGAAGGTCCCATGGCATTCTTCTCAGGCACCAAAGCACGAGCCATCCGCGCCATTCCAGGAGGCGCACTCAATTTTCTGATCTTTGACTATGTGAGGTCCAAGAGTCTTAAGGATGTGACCCCGCCAAAAGTCCATGCGGAGAGACAGGTCATGCTGGAGACACTCTTTACGCTCGACAGGCAGTTCCAGGATTCTTCACATGATGACTGGTCGCAGTCGGTCCTGCTCTCGACCACGGATGATGATGTGCTTGACGCCCGGATACTGGATCAGCCAACAACAACAACAACAACAACAACAACAACAACAGCAACAACAACAGCAACAGCAACAACAACAGTGATAAGACCATCTCCGTCACAACCTGAACCTGCTGGCATGCAAGACGAGCCGAAAGAAGGTCCTGAGCAATTGCCCCCAATTATCATGCAGCAGGAGAATTAAGACTTATATACCACTCGCAGTGGTATTAGACCATTAAAAAATTCAAGAACAAGCAGCCTGCAATGAATGAGAGATATTCAATAGCGATTTCAGCCATATCACTATCAGACCCTTTCGGGTATCTAGGGGCAGGAGGGAGGGAGTTATTTATTCTGTACAGATGCTCAATGAGCAATGTAGGGCGCTAAATGTATTATAAGTTGCATGGTATTAAAGCAAAGCATAGACAGTATAATAGTATAAATATGAAAGCGTTGAGAGGAGTGGAATGTGTTGAGAGGAGTGGAATGTGTTGAGAAGAGTGGAATGTGTTGAGAAGAGTGGAATGTGTTGAGAGGAGCGGAATGTGTTGAGAGAAGTGGAATATGATAAAGCGATAGCGCTTCGAACTAGTGAGTGTTTAGATGGTCCAGTTGGTGATACGAAGGAGCAGCTTCTCAAGCTCGCTCAAGACTACCAAGATCACGCAGCAGACTGCAATCTTGGCCCAAGAAAGTGCGTTGATCGGCTGCAGATCCAAGACGTGGTTAAAACCGGGGACGTAGACACCGATGATCATCAGCACGAAGCTGAGAAGTACACCGAAAATCATCCAGCGGTTGCTCATAAAGTTGACCCTGAACACAGACGTCCTCATGGTCCTTGAGAGGAAACCTTGGAGCAATTGAAGGGTCGTCAGGACACTGAAGGACTCGACCTGGGCGTGGCGCTCCTTTTCAGGATCCGATCGGTCGTTCATCATGTAAACGCCAAAGGTCAAGAGGGTCATGACCATCGATTGGAAGAGAATCACGCCAATAGAGGTCTTGGTCAGGATTCCGCGCTTGGGGGATCGTGGTCTCCGGTTCATCAGACCTGGCTCAGCAGGCTCGGTACCCAAAGCCATGGCAGGCGGAACATCGGCTACATAAAAGCAAATCAAAGAGAAGTGGGCCTGTAAGTAACGTTGTCCATTTTCAACTGATAGTTTGTTCCGCATCGAAAAACACATTCGCTGCTTGATAAGGCGCTTACCGATAATGTTAGCCCAAAGGACCATCACAACTGTGAAAGGAAGTTCAACGTTCACAATGGCACAGAGCAAGAACAGGAAGATCTCTGCACAGTTACAGCTCAGCAGGTAGACAATGAACTTGAGAATGTTGTCAAAAACACGTCTACCCTCCTCAACAGCCTCCACAATCGTATTGAAGTTGTCGTTGGCGAGAACAATATCAGCAGCCTGCTTCGTAATTTCCGTTCCTGCGATACCCATAGCGACACCAACGTTCGCAGCCTTGATAGCCGGTGCATCTGTCAAAGAGAAAAGAATAGTCATTAAAATGTCAGTCACTTCGTCTTGCGTTAAACCACGTAGTCAATATAAGGTTAAGAAGAAAAAAGTACGGTATGCCTTACCGTTGACACCGTCGCCTGTCATGGCGACAGACTCACCACGACTCTGCAACGCCTTCACCAGCTTCAACTTGTTGTCGGGGGACACACGCGCAAAGACATTGGGGAACGGTTTCAGCTCCGCAATGGCCTGCTCAGACAAAAGATCCAGTTCTTCACCCTTGATAGCGCGACCATTCTCTTCCAAGATTCCAAGTTCCCTAGCAATGGCGCTGGCGGTCTTGATATGGTCACCAGTAATCATAACGACACTGATTCCAGCCTCCTTGCAAATACGGACACTCTCCTGAACACCCTCACGAGCGGGATCGATCAAACCGATGAGACCAAGGAAGACGAGATCACTCTCAGCGTAGCCTGGAGGAATTTCCTCATCATCATCATCGTCGTCGGCTTGGTTGGTATTAGCGGCAGTCATGAGATCGAGCTTAGTGGGCTTCAAAGTGGACGCAGGGACTTCCTTCTCATCCTTGATCTTGTCGATATGGTCCAGTCCATCGCCGACCTTCGACTCCACAGCCCCACCACCGTTCACCTTGACCTTCTTGAAAGCCAAGCCTAGCACACGAAGACCTCCATCCGCCATTCTTCCCGACGCCTCCGAAACCTGATCGTAAAAGTCCTCGGTAACGGGCGCTGAATGCTCCTGCTCGCTTGGCTTCAGGATATCCAATGGCGACGACACCGAACCCTGTGCCAAAGGCGGAAGATAGCCAACACAGCGGTTAAGGATCTCCTCGGGCGCACCCTTAGCCAGCACGAATTCGTAATGATCACCGCCAGCATTGGCGCTGTCGAGCGGAGCCTTGTAGACGACACTCATGACTTTGCGTTCACTGTCAAAGGCTTGCTCGTAAATGCGAGTGTAGCCGAGCTCCTGGAAGATTGTCTTAGGGAAACCTGCCTTCTGGGCAGCGACCACCAATGCGACCTCGGTAGGGTCACCAATTCCCTTCCATTCAAGGTTCGTCGATGTTTCCTCCGCGGTCTTATCATATGCTGTGTCAATAGGAACAGTTGTCGCTGGGACCTCTTCGACCTCATCCTTTTCCTTCTGCACGACGGACGAGTTGTTGCAGAGAGACGAAACCATGAGCGAGACCAACATCTGAGCGGGGACATCATTGAGAGTCTTGCTCATAACCATGGGTTCTTCACCCGAGGCGGACTTGAGAGTGACATCGCCCTTGTTGGGGTCCAGACTTGTGCTCTCGGTGAAGCCATAGGTGACACCCTCACTTGTCCAGAGTTCAGCCGCACCCATCTTGCCTTCAGTCAGAGTTCCTGTTTTGTCTGAGCAAATGAAAGTGACGCTTCCGAGGGTTTCGACAGCAGGGAGCGTGCGGACGATTGTTTTCCGGGCAGCCATACGACGGACTCCCAAGGCCATAGTGACAGTGGTGACGGCGACTAGACCCTCGGGGATGACCGAGACAGCCAAACTGTATAATAAAAGCGACAGAGAAGATTGTATGAGCATAGAGTTGACGGAATAGGTTGATGCGCCCGCATGCCGTAGAACCGTAGCCATCGAAAGACATACCTAATGGCGATTTCCAATGATTCTTTCACGGGGTTCTTATAGGCAATCTTGACGCCAGCCATGATAGCGCACAGAACGATAGCGAAAACGACCAACAACTTTCCAAGCAAGGCTAGCTTGCGCTGAACCGGGGTCAGAGTCTTTGGTGCACCAGCGATGGCGGCACTAATCTTGCCCATTTCTGTCAATCGTCCAGTGCGGACGACAATACCCTTTCCACGACCCTTGGCAACAACCGTCGACATGAATGCGTTTCCCTTACAGTCGCCAAGAGGGAGCTTGCGAGTAAGGGTCTTGATCTCCTTGGGATCCTTGTTGACGGCAACAGACTCTCCGGTCAAGATGGACTCAATAACCTCCAGCTGAGAAACCTCGGCCAAACGCAAATCCGCTGGTACCGATTCTCCCTCCTCCAAAATAACGATGTCACCAGGGACAAGCTCTTCCGAGTTAATCATGAACGTCTTTCCGTCGCGGAGAACCTGGGCCTTGGGAACCGATAGTTTAGACAGAGCATCCAGAGCCTTTCCAGCCTTGTATTCCTGAGTGAATCCGATGATGGCATTGAGGATGACGACAAACAGAAGGACACCCATTGCGATAAACTCCTTGGTGGCAGCTTCAAGAATAGTAACCGCCAAGAGCAGTAGAATCATAAAGTCCGTGAATTGGGTCCAGAGCATCTTGAAGATCGAAGTGCGAGGCGGCTCTGGAAGGATGTTTTTTCCGTAATGCGCCTGCAGATCAGGGATTGCCTCGGACGGCAGACCGGTCTCCAGCGAGGTCCTGAACATCTTTAAGCATCTCTTTATCCTGCGATCGAAGCACAGGGCTAGTTTTTTTTTTTTTTTTTTTTTTTTTTTGGGAGCACAAAGTCCATATGGGATTGTTTAGTAAACGAAAGAACTCCTTTCGATCGGTTTTCATTTTCATCTGTGTGAGGTAAAGTACCTTGAGGTGCGAGAACAACGCCGCCCATCTCGGGCATCTTCTCTGCCTTGACGTATTCTGCGTGATCCTTCATGCATTTCTGGACGTCAGACTGTCCATCGCTCTTGACCAATTCGCGCCAGTCCGAGAACTGAGGGTAGATGGTTGTCAGTAGCGCGATCAATGCCACGGCCGCCTTTTGCTGCTGCTCAGTCGCCCCTGAATCGCAACGGACATCCAGCTTAAGTGCGTAACGGAGATCAGACACTGGCTTTTCACCGACTGCCTGACGGAACTCCTTGACTGTAACAGATCAGGAGTAAGAGCAAGTTGGCTTGCTTCATATGAGTAACATGACTTGATAATAGCACCTCAAATAAAAAAGAAAAATAGTGACAATGGCGGCGATGGCGGCGGTGGTACGGTACCTTCAAGAATGAACTCTCCAAAGAGCTGGAAGGCAACATCGGCCTCCTCAGTCAACTTTTGACGGAACTTGCGCTTTTTATCGACAGCGCCCATGTTCTGCAGCAGACCGTCAGCAAGACGCTTCATGATATCGTAGTCGAGACTAGGGAATCGTCCGCCCTTGATACGGTACTCCATCACATAGCGGAGGCCATCCATTACTTCCTCCAACGAGATCTCCTTGTTGCTCTGGACATCGAACAGATCAACAACTATTCATTGGAGGTAACGCATGATTCAGAAGGATGCGGACAAGGTTAATAAGACAAAGACATGATCGTGAACAGTGCCGTTTTTGAGCAGTAAAGAGACCGAAGCGAGCGTGATTTTTAGAACAAAAAGCCCAAAGACCACCCCTTGGAACCATATACTACCTTCTCCTCATTTGACGTTATGGAGGAGGAGTTCTGCGGGCGCAAAAAAAAAAAATACATACCATTGATTTCAATCTGGTGCTCAATACTGGCCTAAAGGGTGAGTCGGGTCCAGCGGGAGTCCAGAAGGATGAGGATGACAGGATGACATAAGACCAAGGACGATCATTTCGAGACGGGGCATTATTTTAAATGGTCGAAAGGGATGCGGGTCAGACACCATGTTTCCATATTTGTCAAGTGAATGAAGTGAAAGGGCAAGGTCAGCTACTCAGGGGTCTCTCATTTGCATTCCCATCAAGGAGCCTTGATGCTGAATCATCACTTGGGTCTCATCCTCTCCACAAAGGTAATGGCTTTCTGTCAGGAAGCGTACCTTGCCATCCTTGATATTGGAATAAATCGAGTAGCCCTCGGCAGTCGAGGGGTTGATGCTGGTCAAAGTTGTGGGGACGTTGGCAGCGGTGCTGTCGGCAGTGTGATTGCTGCCAATATCATGCATGGTGTCCGCAGGGGCAAACGAAAGGTTGTTCCTGTTGGCAGGGGTGGTGGGGCTGGCAGTGGAGGCCGTAGTTGGTGCAGCCAGCACGGTGTTCAGACTGGCATCAGTGCTCTGGGTACTGGTAAGCGAGGGATCCTCATACCGATGCTGGTGTTGCTCCTGAGAGTCGTATTCTTGCTGAGATGGGTGTTGGTTCCCTAAACGTTCGTGTTCGGGCTGGTCGATAGGAGGATTGTCTGTCATTCAGAGGTTGGTCGATTCGGATGGATAAAACTTTCTGTATTGGTTAGGCAGGCACGCAAGTAAGCTGGTGGCAACGAGGATGTAGCTTGTGGAGTGCTGTTATGAAAAGAAATAAAGAGGAGAGAAAAAGATGGGAAATGAGGCCCCGTACCTTTCTTTTTATTTTGGTGCCTCACCTCACTTTGTTGTGAGCACCAACAGTTACCCAATCCGACCCAACAAGCAAAGACTCCATTTTGAACCGTTAGGCAGGGGGAGGCCTCTGTTACCCTGTATTCGGCACCAATGAAAACGTATACAGGCCTCTCCAAAAGGTTGTGTATCCATCCCTGCGGAGCATGTACCCAAAATGAAAGGGTGCAGTGTATTTTTGTCCAAACATTACCGAAAAATCGCACCTGCGGGAGGCCAATTCCGAGGTAAAAAGCTCAATTGAGGTGCAACCATCGTCATTGTTTGCGACTTTGCCATTTCCTCAACTTTCGTCATGGTTCTCTCGGAACAATTTTCTCCATGCGAACTCTTTCATTTCATTCCTTCCTGGGGATGAAAACCTGTATGCAATGCGTTCGATGCATGGTTGTATTCGCATGGGATGTGAGCACAGCAGTGCGGGTTACTTCAGGGGCAACGACAGAGTTGCAACACCGGCTCTGTACACACTCAGGACCCTTGATGGCGGTGTCTGGATTTCACACAGCCCTTATTGGTCTCTGTTTCTGATAGACTATTTCGTCCTGAAGAACCAATTTTGGGATAAGAAAAAACCCATTTGGACTCTCCTCTTTCACTTGGGCTCCTGCCAGATGTGCGTTATTTTTTGTTCTATCCACACATCTATCCCACCTCCTTCGGCCTGCATGCGCAGAAGTCATCCTTTTAAGGACAAGGACCTTCTTTTCTCCTTTGCTGCTCTCAATCCAACAAACACGAGCTTCCTGTCTCTCTCGTCATGGCACAGCCTCATCTTTGGGCTTTGGGCACTTTCCCTGGCCGCAGCACAAACGCAGCTCTATATATCCACTGTTGACCAAGAGGATTTCATCCAGCATCGCGCGACAGGCACTTTCGGGATGTATGAACTTTTATCATTTATTTTTGTCCGCACCCTCAAATTAGCTTTAACTATTCAGCAATGATTTACACCTGATCCAATGGGTCGCCCTGCTCACGTACGGTCTCGTCCCCCTTTGCTTGCAAGTCCGCAACTGACGATAAGAGATGTAATTGATTCTGGACCTGATCCGCTGTTGGCTGCACGCCATTCGGATGTGATGATTTTTGCCTGCCAGTGCCGCTGTTACCACTAGACTTGGCACGGCGATAGAGCGTTCCATGCACATCCGAATACTTGATGTTTAGTCCAGGAGGGGCCTCGATCTTGCCTTCCTCAATCTATATTGAAGAGAACATATAATGTCAATTTCACCTCAACTGTAGTAAAAAAAAAAAAAAAGATGAGAACCATTGCATATGCAGCTTACCAGTGTCTTCTGCTCGGGCGTTGGATGGAGAATAGCACGGATAGCCTTCCAGTCTCTGCCGCTCGCAACCTGTCGGTCAATCCAGCATCGATTATTCGCCGTTACTGGGAGTTTTGCATTCGATCGTGTGGTTGTCGGATGGTTGTGGTGCCAATGATAGGTAATGCTGACAATGTCCTTGTTCAGCAGTTTTTGCGCACGGAGGAATGCCTTGCAACCGCATGGCAAGTATTCCCGGTCCCTCTTCTTTCTGCCTCCACGTCCTTCTTTACTGAGGGTCTCGTCGTCATTGCCGGGGGCTTCTCCTGGCTTGCTAAGACCCCTTGCTTCTTTATTGAGATCATCTCCTGCACTGCTGGGATCCTCCCCCTCGATGCCAGTATCCTCCCCTTCCTTGTCAGGACCCATCCGTTTATATTTTGGTGGCTTCTTCGACCTTGCGCACACATATCTCATTGACCAAGCAAACAGCTTCGGTCTTCCTCTGCGTCCTGTTGCCGAAAACCCAGAGTTGGGCGGAAAACGAGTGGTGACAGGTTTTGGGTTAGGTACCAGCGCATCCTTGTCTTCCGTAGCATTCTTGATGAACCCACTCGACCCACCCTCCGGCGCCAGCCTCCAGTCAAAGGCCTGTCGTTCCTGTGCCCAAAAGGCGACGAATCGCTCCGTGGTCATGTCGCACTTGATGACAGGCTTCCCTGAACTGTCATAACGATCTCCAAAGTCGTAGGGCTTGACAATGACAAGCGGATCATAGTCCGGAGAGAATGGAAGTAAATCAGCAGCAGTGACCTCTCGCATTGTCTTCACGCATGGTTGGAGTAAAGGCGGCAGGGGGAAAGTCCTGGAGCGTCCGAGGCACTGGACGTATTTTATATAATTTTCATTTTGTAGTGTGCACTATGCGCTGAGAGTTCAACGCGACTTCACAGAATCCGAGTTTCTCTTCTGGCTTCGATCGATTGAGGAATGAATGCTGTTTGAACATCACCATCACTCCCCTTCAAGGAGCCTGGTGGAGAATTTTTCTTTACGTATCGATTACGAACGGTTCTCATTGGGTGTGGCTATTTGCAGGTTTTCTCAGCTCCTTCTTTCTGATGGTCCTTCGAACGGTTTGGGTCGTAACATCAATCGGCAGTTGCTTCGCGATATCGCCGAGGCTGACTTTGGGATCCTTGCGGATAATGTTGGTAATGACCCGTTCATCGCGTTGGTTTATTTTTCGCGGCCGCCCAGGCGATTTCTTTGTCTCCAAAGTGCCTCGTTCGTTGTATCTCTTGATGACCGACCGGACCGTTCGTTCACTCACGTTGAGCTCCGCCGAGATCGCACCCGCCTTTTTCTGGGCTTTGTGCATCCCGATAATCTGTCCTTGCACCTCCAGAGGAAGCGTCATGGCTGATAGAAACGAAGGCGAGGAGGAGGAAGAAGTCGGTTTGCTTGCGAAGTTGTGATGAAAAGGGAGGCAGTCAAGTAAATGCACGAATTAAAAATCTATTGTCGTCCTAATCATCCTGTTTATTTCAATGCAAAAAAGAAAGGATATTCTCCACTCCGTTACTCTTTTTTTTTTTTTTGCTACGTTTATTAAACGATTCTGCAGCTGCGAAATAGCATGGCTCGGCATATCTTCAGTATCGAGGGGGGGGGGGGAGAAGGAATGAAATTATGAGTCGGTCTTGTGCGTTTGCTCCATATTTTTTTAGAGCATGTTGCTCATGAGAGAGACGATCGACGCGACAATAAGCAAAGCAGTGACCGACGTAGCAGCCTGAACAAACGCAGCAGAGCACTTCAAGGTATCGTACATGCTCAGCAGCTGGCTGGTCATGTCAACAGAGCCGACGGTGTACATGCTCGAGGGTCCAGGGGTGGTAACGGTGGTGTTTCCGCCCGAGGTACTGTTGGTGCCAGTGGGCGCAGGTGTCGCAGCAGTCGTAGTAGTCGTAGTCACGGTGCCAGCTTTGATGAGGAAAGTGGCCAAGCAAATGACATTCTCACCGCACAATGGTTGAGCTATGTAGAATCATAGGTATTTCCAAACCGATACGCGTTAGGGGAGGGTTCTGTCGAACAAACAGGATTAGTGAGCCCCTCTTGAAGCTAGTGTAAAATAAGCTGTCAAGGCCAGTGAGGGGTGCGAATTGAGCGAACTCAAGATTTTCGACCTCAGGTGATATTCCGTGTCTGTATGTTTTGTTTTGCGGTCTACAAGGGCGTTCGGCTTCTCCACATTTCATATGATAATTTGGAGCTAGTAAAGCTGTGTGCCCTGAGTTGCGCTTGTTCCTGAAATAGATACTTCACACTCAAAACTGAATTCGACCTTCATAGAAACACATACCACCAGAGAGATTCGTGACATTGCACTGTGACGAAGGACCAGTGTACGTTTCACTATAGAAAGCGAGAAAGAAATAAGAGGATCAACGGATTAGCTCTCCTTCTGTCAGAGCACACTCAGAAAGGGAGGGGGGAGGGGGGAGGAGGAGAGGGAAAGAGATTCCACCGGAGACACTGATCGTTAGGGATGACGCTTTACTTCTTTCCGTTGCCATAGGTAGCCAAAGTCAATGCCTTGCAGTTGTCAGCCCAAGTTGTGCAGTTGAGAGGCTTGCCAGGGTTGTAGAGATCGGCCGCAGCAACGGTCGAGGTCAGGCAGAGGAACAGGCCAAAGATGGCGATCATCATGGTGGACTTTGTGATAGACATGGTGGTGTGTTGGCTGTAAAATAAGGAGTCGGAAGGTAAAGGCGGATTTGGTAGTAGCAGGAGGGGATCAACAGGCGTATGTTGGGTGCGTGGGGGTGCGTGTGGAGGGGGAGTGTAAACTAAGGAAAGAAAAGAAGAAAAGTAGAAAAACGGGCGTGGGGCGAACGGGTAATATTGACAGGCGGACGAAGGCAGGGCTCAATTGCCGTGGACGAAGAGGCAAGTGGAGCGTGTTAATGCTCTTCCTTTTTTTCCTTTATGCCTTCCTAAGTTTTGAGAGCAATCAAGAAGACACACACACCACAAAGTACAACCCGTTGCTGCTCAATTAAAAAACTTTGTCATCTTTTAACAGGCACAACTTCGAGGGTATGTAGTCTATACAGCGAGCGCCTATGGAGCAGAGGACCGCGACGTATGAGCCCCCCTACCGCCCTCTACAGCCCTCTACATGCGCTGTCTTTCCTCAGCCTGTGGAGCTCCGGAAGAACATAGCTTTGTGCCCTGTCCATGCGCACAAGACTGGATAACATACTTTTGCTGTCCTACATGCCGTTAAAGGCTCTTTACGAACGTACAAACAAGCAAACAAACAAACAGAACAAATGAACAGATATCGGCGCAAATGCCACTTCAAAGTAAAAATTATTTTTTTGACGTCTGTAGACTATGTACAAGTGCAATGAATAAAATAGTGGCGAGATGTGAGAAGGGATAAACTAAATGCGGAAAAAACTAAAAACCATAATGCGTTAACCGTGAATCCACCAGCGGCCATTAGAGCGCCAGTATTTTAGGTAAAATACCGCGAAACTGGACAAAGTCATGGTAGTGCCCGAGAAGATGACTACGTAAATGTAGCTCGTATTAGGCTTGGTGATGTCAAGCAGCACACCTGAAACGGGGCTTCCAATCAAGTAGCCAAAACCAATGCTGCCGTACAGCAGGCCAGTAACCGTTGTCAAGCGATCGAGGCCGTAAATGTCAGCAATGACCGAGGGAATGACACTAAAGTAACCTCCGCAGGTAAAGCCGTAGATAATGACGAACACCAGCAGGATCTTGATTGTGGATGCGACAGACCAGATGCAGAGAATACTCAGGCCGCTGATAAGAGCACAGATGAAGAGCATGTTGATGCGACCGACGCGATCGGTGATAAAGCCGAGCGAAAGACGGCCCAAAAGAGACGCACCGTTGAGAATACCGATCAAAATGGCGCCAGTCGAGGCTGTTTGACCATGGTCGACCGCAAATACTATATGCAAAATTAATGGTTGCAAGGTCAGGGGCTAATGTCAAGAGATGGGAAGGGATCCGATAGCTAGAAAGTATAGCAGACTATAGACTTACCAGAGATGAAAAAAAAGGGAATCATGTATCCGAGCGAGGTCAAAAAGTTGGCAACCGTCAACGTGACGAATGGCGTCTCTTTGCAAATAGTGAAATCCATGGGCATCCTCTTGGACTGCCCGGGAACCTTCTTGACCCTGGTCTTGAGCATCATACCCGATCCACCGATGCCGATCAGGCACAAGAGTCCCTGGATCCTGAGTGTCCACTGAACACCAACGTGGGCGATCAAATGCTCCGTAACTGGACCCAGCACCAATCCTCCGAGGCCGGATCCACAGACCACGATTCCGATAGCAATCGAACGGTATCTCTCGAACCAATGGGCGGGGCACGACACTGCAGGCAAGTACACAAGACTCGAGCCCACTCCCAGCACAACACCCTGACTGACGTACAATCCCGGCAGACTATTTGCAAAACTGGCACCGATCAGTCCGGCTCCCATGATGACGGCTCCCAAGACTGCAGAAATCCTGTATCCGGCGCGGTCAGCGAATCGGCCACTGAATGCTCCAAGCAGATACGTGAATGTTGTAGCCAAGGTTCCGATCATGGCAATGTCCTGTGGAGAGGTGTTGCGCAGGAATGGCTCAGCTGAAGGAGAAGAATAGAACTCCTGATAGACACCGAATGTGTGCTCGGTTCCGAAGACGATGAAGTAGATGATAAAAGAACACACGACGATCACGTAGCCGTACCAGGAAGTGTCCATGGGTGGGGAGCCGTCGTCGACCTCAGCCAGCTCTGGGTTGATGAACGCCTCAAGATTTCTCTCTACTGGAACTCCATCCTCACCCACAGTCGCATGGCCACCTTCCTGGCTCCTCCATGAATCATAATCATGTAGTGATTCTTTCTTTTCGTTGAGCGGGTACTGTGTTTGGTAGAGACGCTGCCGCCTCATGGACGACGTTGCTGTCAAATTAGAGTGAAGGGACGAGGCGATGGAGGATCTTCTGCCAGCATTTGGTAGCTGTGTGATCGCCAGCATGGGGTCCGAGAACGCAAGGCCAAGGCTGGTCGTGGCGAGCGCATCCTGGCTTATGTCCTGTGAATCAATTGCTCGGCGCTGTCCTGGCTGCAACCGTTCGTCTGGGAGAGAGTCGAGAGAGTCCCGTGTGGCGCACTGAGAATCTTCGTGGTATTGCTCCCCTTTGTCATCACGGCCAGTATTGACCGTTGGAGCAGCTGTGTAAAAATATGCGGTATCCTGAGTGTTGGTGTATGCCGAGGGCGTGGCAACGGTGGTTGTGATGACGGGGGTGTCAGACATTGTGGCGTTCCTAATAGCTGCAGCAGGGATGCTTGTATCCTAAGACCTTATTTCTTGCTGTCGGCGCTAGTGTGAACAGGGATCAGAGGGTACTCCGAAAACGTGCTAGTGCGCCTTGCAGGGTCCAGATGCGCGGAAGACAGGGTTGCGATCCAGGATCAGTATAGAACGGAACAGCGATGCTGTGCTTGACAGGTTCTATTGTCGTGCTTGAGCGTGTGTGAAGGAGGCAGGAAACGCGATAGAGAAGAAAGGAGGAACGACGTCCACGAGCAGCTTGAAAATAAGAAAGCGAAGTGTGAGATGGGGAGTATTCGTTTGTATGGGAACCAATGAGGGGGATTTTATACCGCTGCTGCTGCTGCTGTTGCTGCTGCGTCCTCGTAGCCAGCAGCCAGCTGAGATTCGGGGTTTTTTTTTTGGTTTTTTTGGGAAAAACTCTCTTGTCGAGAGTTGACTCAGCGCTCTGCGCCAGGAGTTAAATATTTTTCCAGGCATTGGGTGCATTTGGCCAGTAACTGACAATCTCCCAACCTGCCGTTCGCACGCCCTTTCTTATGTTATAATAATGCCGTAGTCGTCGTCTTCCTCGGTTTCTTTTGAGGTGATCCCTGATTAAAACCAGCCTAAAACGAGGTCGATTGAGTGGTGCAAAAAAACTGTACAAGAAGAACTCAATCTATGAAAAAAGAATATATGCCAACAAGGTTCTGGTGGGCAACCACACAACGAACCCTTGTAAACAAACTGCCACCCCTCATACTCATATACTGCATGCCGCTATCCCTCCTCCGGCAGAGACGCGATGTTTGCAGTATAAGGGAATCTTTTTTTTTTTTTTTTTGAGAATTGGCTCGGCGACCCGTCTTCGGTGGTTTCGCCCTTATGCCTTCTGACTCCTCACGCGTACGACCCATGTACTTCTGTTCTTTTAATACGCCTAGCTCGCATTTTATCTCATCAGTCTCACGCGTCTCGCTAGCCATTGTTGGTCCGGTTCATAGAATTGTATCCTCTTTGACGTGTCTTTACTTTTCTTCGATATCCTAGGGTGGGTTTCGGCGCGCTACCTTGCATAACGCGCCACAGTGATGCTTTAATGACATTCTATAAACATCATTCTTGCGTCCATCTCGCCCTTTGTACTGGTCTCCTTATGTAAAGTTGCCTGCAATGGTACCGGTTCAGTAGTACAGATAGCTATGTTCAGACTATAGAGAAAGCCCGTGGCTCACGCCCCGGAACCAAAGCTCCACTCTGACGCTCCCCCTCTCTTCCATCTCTAGGAGCGTATGTCCCTGTGCATGGCTTCCAGCCTCATTCTACCCACATTCACCTTCAGGAGCGAAATTGGATATGTGTTTCTATGCAAACATTTTGGGAACAAAGGGTAGCTTGTCGCGTTCGCTCCAGTCAACCCTTTGAATGTCCTCTTTATCACTCGCCGTTCCCGTTTCATTGTCTTGCCGCGCAGTCTTCACATCAATCACGTTCCCAGTCTTTCATTCATCCTATATTCGTCTTATCTCACCCAGTCAACCCATCTCTTTTTACTGGCAATCGGGCCAAGTCGTTAATGGTTTGTTGATGATGATGAACTCTAACATCTGGCTCGAATCTCGGGTACCAATATGCCGTTTTTTTTTCTCCGATAGGTATACGCCACTTGTGCGTTAAATTTCAGCTCAACTCTTTACACCCGTGCAGGTTCGGTACATGCAAATGCAAATAGATCGACATATAGGATATATAGAGAACATACAGCACTGCGTACTGCACCGCACCAGCGGCGGTATGCCAAACTTTGTAGCACCTCCGGCCACTAAGTAAGGTGACTGAGATGGATCTCAATCACTAAGGGTAGCTGCTGAAACTGCTAAATTACCAACTTTAAGAGTGAGAGTATTAATTTTAAGGAATTGCAAGTTGGCGAAGCAACTTTGTCCTCTCTCACTTGCTCAAGCAAGTGAAAATCTCGCTCATCGGAGGCGCTGAAGCAAAGGCGCTGATCCATGTCTATTTTCACTGCCTGCATTATTATGGTGGTCGCGATGAGGCCATGTATCCGTAACTGTAGTTAACTGTAGTTGACTGTAGTTGACTGGAGTCCACTTCACCTGCCCAGTTGTTATAAGTAGATTATGCACGCTGGTTTGTTTTATGCTTGCGGTACATCCCGTAGTCCATAGTAGCGCGTTTATCCAACAGAGCTGGCCCTGATAGGCTCGCTTGAATCCAATAGAAAGAGGAGAGAATATCCCGTAGGTAAGAGCAGGCGCGTACTGGAGAGCAATACAGTGCATAGCTGATTTTCATCCTGGTATTTGAGGCGAATGCCGCTCTCCGGGCTGCGTCTTCCTTGCCGCTCTTGTCCAATGATGTGTCACTGGTCTACGCATTGACCCTAGCGAATTTTTATCAGCGCCCCCGACGAGCGAGATTTTCGGGACAAAGCTGCCTCACTCCCTTGCAATATCTTGAGTTATATATTTTCACTCTTAAATGTAATATTTTTATCAGGTTCAGCAGTTGTCCTTAGTGAGGCCCATCTCAGGCACCTTACTTGCAAAGGTCTTGATGCAGGGGCGTGATTCTTCCTTGCTCCTTCCTGCAGCTTAGATGCTCAGGTCCGATGCAGTGGAGATCGGAAAAAAATAGTGCTACATCTTGGCCGCAGTGGCAATTGTTTACTGTGTCTCAATTGCATACAGTCCTAATCGCGGAGATATCCCACAAAATCAACAAGACACACAAATCTCCTCTCATTCATCATCCCTTTTGCACACATCTCATCCTCTCAGCCATCCATCGATTCCAAAAAAAGCATACCTACGCACTTGCTTCTCTACACTCTTTGACTTCTTCCCTTCCAACTCTTTCCACCATTATTTTCTAACAAGGTATAAACTCGAAACTGCATACTCTCCACCAGGCCAGTGTTATGGAGGTCTCACAGACCGCACACGACCGACAGACGCTTTCTAGTTTTGGGTGGCCCACTAGGCTGCCATTGCCTCTTTTGGCGTTTCTGTCTGCGCCTCGTCTAACCTTGCACCACTGGAGACTCCACACTAACCCCACCGTTCTTACCCTGTAACAATCGCAACCATAGAAGCCGAGTCCATGCATCAAGACGCCATACGAGATAAAATACGACCCAAGGCGACAGCGAAATACAAGAAACATTAGTGGTTGGGCGCACGTGAAACCAGACACCAGACAACCTTTTGAACAACACCCAACACAGCACATCCTACGGACAGCAGCATCGTCCACTACCACAGCCAACAGCAAACAAACAAACAAAAAACGTGCTCATAAACACCACTCCCCTGACGACTTTCAAGCGGATACCGACGGGCTCCATCTCGATCTCCTTTTATTTCACGTCTTCTACCATGGTTGGAGCCCACATATCAGGAGCCAGCTCTCGACCAGGAGTTGACGCGGAGACCAACGTTGCATCTTTAATGGACAATATCCCATCTATCGGACACCACCTCGATCATGGAGATGGACTTGAGCGAACCACGTCTCAAATGTCCGCAGATGTATCCGTCCGCAGCCATACATCTAGCCTCCAGGATCAACTAGCAAGCCCCACAGTTGTCAAGGACATCACCTTCTGGGGCGGCCTGTGTCTTTTGATTTGCAACACAACAGGACCTGGGGCGGTGACTCTGCCCCTGGTCGCTCAGAGTGCTGGCTGGATGCCGACCATTATTGGATTTGTGCTTGTGGGTCTGCTCAGTTATCTGAGCAGTCTTTTCATCTGCGAGGCCATGACAGAGGTCCCGGGCAATGACCATTTTCAGGCCAATGTAAGTAGAATTACAGTGTTGGTGCTTGCCTGCATCGCATTGCATGCATGTATGCTTACTCTTTTTGAATTTGTTGTCCTGCCAACCTAGGTCGAGTTCTCTAACTTGGTGCTCTGCTTCTTTGGCCGGCGATATCAAGTATTTGTCCAGATCATCTGCTTCCTCGCCATGCAGACCACGAACATTGCATCTATAGCGATCTGTTCCCAGCTCTTTGACAACCTTCTGATCAGGATCTTTCATCGAACATGCGGGATCCAGGTCTATCCAAGTGTAGCTCTTGTCTGTGTCTCCGAACAGTTACCCTCAGCCAGCCCCTTCTCCGGTGTATTGATCATGAGCACAGGTGCACTGGTGGCGCTTATCATGATTGTGCCATTGTGTCTCATGAACCTCAGCGAGAATATCTGGCTTCAGATTGGGTCCTGCATCTTGATCCTTCTGATCTCTCTCCAGTGGACGGTGACATTTTTCATCCACGGATTGGAGCCTGCACGCGTGCCCGCAATCGGCTCGGATATGTCACAGACCTTTGGATCGATCCTATTCAACTACGCCTCTGTCACGGCGGTCCCCTCGTTGGCCAATGCCAAAAAGGCCAACGTGTCGATCCATAAGACCGTGGGATCGAGCATGAGTATCATGACGGTCCTCTATCTGACGGTATCCATCCTTGGAGGCATGGCCTTTGAGATCCCTGCCGATTCGACGATGATCCAGGCCATTAGTGCATCGCCCGATGTCACGACTCTGTCACAAATTGCCGGATATACGTTTCCGATCGCGGCGCTCATCACCTCGATCCCGGTCAACATCATCGTGCTACGGTACAACTTGATCCAGTCTGGGACTTGCAACAAAGGCTGGTCGAATGTCTTGGCAGGAGCGCTGCCTTGGTTGGTTGCGCTTCCCTGCATGACAGGATCAGGGCTGACGAATGCGGTAGGCTGGAGTTCATTGTTCTTTGTTTCGGCAGCCAACTTTGTGATCCCCTTTGTACTTTATATATATTCGAAGAAGTACAAGGAGAAGTTGAGGCAGATGTCAAAGGTCGAGCGTATGCAGGAGGAGCTTTTGAGTAGTGAAGCGAGGATGAAGACTGTTATGGACAGGAACGAGGTATCCTCAGAGACGAGCGATTCTGGCTGGAAACGACTGATGCTCTGGTCTAGGGATACGGCAGCAGCAGCTCACCCGGGAGTGCAGGACAAGGCCTGCCACCAGGATCTACAGCAGGGTCTAGAGGAGAAATCTCAGGGGTGGATCGATACTTATGGACAGGAGCAAGATGTCAGCGACGCTGAAACTCTGTCCAAGACGGATCATGTGGATGGCGTGGGCTTTGCATCCAAGGATCTCTCATCGCAGACTGCCCACGGCGAGTCCTCTGCTCTATACCATCAATCCGTCGCCCGATCCCATGGGGTCCATATCGAGGCCATTGCACCACCGTTCTTGGGCGGCAACAATTACACGATCCCAGGATTTGGCATTTGTCTTGCGAGACCGTCCTCGAATCTTGATGTGGACATTCAGCACCTGCGATCGGACGGCGAAGAGACTCTCCAGCAAGGAACAGGGTTGATGGAACCAGAGGATCGGCTGCCACAGCACTGTGGCGAACTCGACACGATCTGGAGCATGCGAGCTCTGCCAAAGTGGGCCCCTGTCTCGGGAATTACGGTTGCGCATTGCGCGTTGGCGGTGTTGCTGATCGGCATCAGCGCGACTATCATGTAAGATATCCTCATTGTAATTCTTTGTATTTCAAATGTCTGCGTATTAATTTGGTTGCGTATATTTATTATTATCATTATTATTACTTTTTGTCTTCTCTGCTTGTGTAGTGTCAAGAGTGTTCAGCTGGCGAAGTAGGAAACGAGCGGGGGAGATTGGTATAATTGAGATAGGTGTTAGAAACTTGGGCCATCGGGCAAAATCAGTGCAATTTCATTAAAAAGAATAAAAAGTCAGTGAAATCCCCAAAAAAAAAAAAAAAAAATCGATGGTACTGCAGTCCTACGTGTGCGCCTTGGAAATCTCGACAAGCGAGTTTTTCACATCCCACGAATCTGCCCGGTCTGGAGTTCTTGCGAACGTAACGTAAACTGAAGCAGATTGAACTTTTTATAGGGAAGCTGACCAGGAAAGACAAGGAGAAGAGCATCCTATGCACAACAAGGCTCGCAAAAAAAAAGAAAAAAATGACGAGTTGAAGGAAAATGTACAAGCATGCGGATGATATGTTGGTTTCATTTTTTGTGTGAAGTGCGTGTTGGGCAAAAAAACAGAGACGATGAAAAGTTGTGTGATGTATGTTGAAAAAGGAGAAAAGAAAATGGGTATATAAACTGCTGCACCATCGATGGTGTGAACGGCAAGCGACGCCTGGGCCCTCTCATTTCTTTCGACGCGCCAGAGTCGGCATCGATGATCGTCTGCGCTTCTTTTGCTGTACCTCATCCTCATCCTCACCATACCGCTCATCCTCTGCCTCCAACTCCGTCCGTCCATCCGCATCTTCGCTCCCCCTTCCCCCCAGGCAGTCCAATCCTTCGTCCTCCTCCAATCCCTCGAGGCCTCCACTTGAAGTATGTACTGTCGATCCATTGTCGCCATTACTGCCACGAACCTTGGCCAGGTCAATCTCCTTCCTCAGCGTCGTTGAAATCTTCTTTCCCATCCGGTTCATGACCTCGTCCAATGGCTTCGCTCGATAGGAACTGATCTCGTACTGGATCTCATTTCCGTTGATCATTTTGATTTGTCCGATGGTACCTACAGCTCTGCAGACTGAATCCATGGGCGAGAGATTGATGTGTCTCGTTACAGCGTCCCTGCGTGAGAGGTTGGATTTGCAGCCGACACAGTTCCAGAGCAGTTTGTCGTGGATGGATTCGATATGGCGCACTAACACTGCGGGGCCGGCGAAACATTGTCCACACTTTGGACATTGGTGGGTCGGCGACGACAACAAGGTTGAGGCGGGAGAAGAAGAGATTGTGGTGGTCGTGGTGGTCATGCCAGAAAATGACGAGGGACTGGTGGTTGATTCTCGAAGAGTTGACATGCGCCGTTGAGAAACAATGGACGAGGTCGAAGATGTCGATGACTTCCTGGACCGGATGATAGATGACTCAGAGCCTTGTCGGTGCAGCCGGCGTTCTAAGAGGTATCCCTCATACATGAACCCTGACTGGTTAAACGAGGGCGAGGTCGGCCTTGAGGAATCGCAAGACATACTGCCGAGATCCGAATTGGAGTATGAGATCGAAGGCGACAGGGGTGCGAACGAAGGCGTAGACGAATCCGACGTGAAGCAGGACTCCACGGGTGAAGGTGCCATGCCCCAGGGATAGTGCTGTACTGGGCTGACAATCGAGGACTGCTGCTGCTGCTGAGGAACAAACTTTTTGGCGGTAGAGGTGGTCTGTGAGTACATCGAGGCGATGCCGGACTCGAGCGAGGTCATGATCTGCAACTGCTGCGACTGCATCTGTCTAGGCCTCTGAAGCTGTCGCTGTGCATGGGGTGCATTGTCATTGCTGCTGCAGTTGTCCTTGCTTGTTGTTGCTGCAGAAGACGGGGTTGCACTAGCAGCAGTGCACTGCATATGCATCATGTGTGCACTGCCTACAGCATCGTTGGTCCATGCGACATTGGACGTTGTTATGGCTGTAGAGGCGGGAGTAGAATCGACGGGCAATTGGGTGGTGCTCCAGTGGGTATACTGTGCCTGTGGGTAGGATGCGCTCGGATGGTTACTGAACGCTAATCCTTGATAATCATTCGATGAAAATGCCATATAGTAGTTGCCGCTGTCATCTGCAGGTGTTATTTGTTGTTGACGGCGTGGTTGTTGGTGATGTTGCTGTTGTTGATGGCTAGGGTGCTGTTGTGAGTGAACCAGAAGATAATTCTGGTTTGTCATCATATAGTTCATGACTGGAGCAGAAGATGATCCTGTTGCCGCGGAAATGACTCTAGGGATGTTTTGGCTAAGGGCAGCGTCGGACGCGAAGACGGGCAATGAGGTCGAAGGGGAAGACGAGGCGGAGAAGAGTAAAGACGGATTACTGCTGTTGCTGTTGACTGTGAGGTTGCCTGCTGACGACGACGAGAGTTGATTGATGGTGAAGCGCGACCATTCAGCTGTTTCTTGGCTGTAGGTGCCCTTGGCATCTGTGCCGATTCTGCTGCTATTACTTCCGACACCGTTGGTGGTCTTGCTGCTCTTTGTGGCGGACACGATTCCAGCAGAAAGTTCGTTCATGGATAGCGAGTCGACTCCGCTAGGTTCTCCACGAGGAATTGAATAAACCGCGACAAAGTTGTGTGCAGCCTGGAAATTGAAGGGGAGACCGTTGAAGTAACTGACGTCGGCGCCTGGATAGACTGGGTCGTGAGAGAGGTCACCCTCATTAACATGAAGTGTCGCCGGGTTGGTTTCGTCGGTCACCCCATAGCCCAACTGGTATCTGCTGAGGTCGTTGTCAAGGGTGCTGAACATGGACTGTGAAATCGAGGCGACGGGTTGGCGGTGTGAATAGGGAGACATTCGCTGGTTTTTTCGCGCTCGGTTGTAGTGTGAGTGAAATGTGCAATTGAAGATGCGATTGAAGTGTGTAAATTGAGCTATCGACAAGAGAGGGGGGAAGGCGGTCTTAGGGTTTGAACAGGATAGTGATATATTGTGCTCACAATGTACGGTGGGTCGATGATGTCGCGAACAAGGGATCAAGGGCTCATGGAGACGGAGGGGGAAGGAGAAGTAAAAAGAGAGGGAGGGGAGGCGGATGGGGTAGAAGAAGGAGGAGGGGAAGAAGGAGGGAAGAGAAAGAGAGGGAGAGAGAACCGGAAATGGACATGGTTTATATGGAATGGGCCAACAGAAAAAGTACTCTCATTCATTCAGTGCGATGCCATGCAAATGGGTGGGTGTGTGATGAGCGGACCACCACGGGCCAGCTTTTTCCAAAGAAAAAAAATTCTGGTGTGTTGATTCAGTCGCAATTCAATCGAGACAGAGGCAAGAGCATACATAAAGGAAGCGGAAGCTGAATGGATACACTATCTTTTTAGACATTTTCTTTGCTCATCGCCATCGAACATCTCATGTACAAACAGAAGCCTGCCTATCCTTCAATCCAATTCAATCAAAACTAAAAGTAAATAAAAGCCAGCTCCTGCAGTAGCTCACTCAGCTAGCTGGCCGAGATGCGAAAGGAGCCGATACCAAGAAGAGTTGGACACTGACATGCGTTCTCAGGACAATCTTAAGTGTCCTGCTGGCCAATCGCGGGTTTTTGCATACTTGGGTAGGGCCATATATAGAAAAACGGACCCTGTTTTGCTCCTACACAGGCTGCTGTGTCCTCGCGAATCAACTCTCCAACCCTCGTGTGGAATTGAATACAGACAAAGTAACCACATTGTTATTGAATAGAGGGTCGGGAACACTACCATATGGCTCATATGATCATTAGGTCGAGTAGCGACGGAAGGTTTTGCTATGTCCCTGTCAATCCGCATCACCAACAACAGATCTCTTTCTTCAACAATGATATGTGTACGAATGCTCTACATACACACCGAAGTACAATCCAAGCAGTTGAAGAAAAAAACACTAAGACTAACCCGTAGTTCACCCTGCTCCTGGGATATTCCTCCAGTTCGGTTTCTCTCTCTCATTTCGCTCAACTCAAAGCATCATCAAAATATTTTTTCTGTCTGCCTCGAATGATGGACATTTTGTCATCTGTTCAGCCATTGGTTCATTTAAGCACTGACCATGTCTGACTGAACCCCGATACTCTGCTGCGACGCGTCAAAAAGAAGACGCGCGTTTTTATCGACACATTTACACACGTCCATAGGTAAAACCCTAGAAGAATCATAGGAGAAAAGGAGGCGCAATAGCAGAGCACACGCCCAGATCTCGATCCTCGTCGACATTTTTTATATATTGCAACGTGGGGTTTCTTTAATGCCTTCAATATAAAAACGGTGTTGTTACACAAAGTTTGCTTTCCCTTCCCCTCGTTCTCTTAGGTCCTGCAATCTGACTCCTCGTCTTCAGGGTCTGTACGAGCGTAAAAAGTCCAGCGGTGTGCACATGCACACTACAAGGGAAAGTAAGCACTGCTTTCCTTTAGCGCGATGCAGAGTGCATGAAGACGCGCATATCCCTCGTCAACATTTCACTGCCGCCTACAAAAAAGAAATATGTTTCCATTCGAGTTTCCTTTGCCTGATTTACCAAGGATCTACCCTTCCAAGCGTCGATTCATGCTTGAATCTCACCGGCGTCAACATTCCATCGTACACCAATGAAGATCCTGTAAATCGCCTTTCCCAACTTCCAGTGGCAAACTGTGGCGTACTTTTGTTTCCTCCTCTTCCCCCCTACCTATCGGATCGAAGAGCTGTGGCAACACATAACCTGATCAACAGCACCTTCTTTTTTCTTTTCTTTATTGTTGTTGTTGTTGTTGTCGTTGTTGTTGAAATAGCGGGAAGACTGCCTTGCCTTCTCATTGGCACCATCGAAATATGGACGGACGGGCAAACCTGTGGGAACAAGTATTTTCGAGGCGTTCATTCCATGCATATACGAAACAGGATCCTTGATCTCGTTCCTCCCTCCCTTCATCTATTGTAGCACATGCGTATGGGTTTTTTCTTTCTTGGTTGTTGTGCGTTAGCGAGGAAAGAAGGTCGTCCATTCTAACACACACCCCTGACCGATATCATCATGCGATCCTGCTACCACCGCAAGGACAGCAGCAAGGGGAAATCAACAAAAGACATGGATAAGCATGGATGAGACAACGAGATAGCTAGGATCCAATCTGACAAGGTGAGAGGTCGACGTTTGCTTCGGTCCGTAATAAGATCAGGAGCCGTGCTAGGGGACGCATATCGTAGGACAGCTGTCGCGTCCGTAGAGACAATCCCAACAGATAATGGCATATGATACTGCTCGGCGAGAGGAAACAGCAGACATCGTTGGAGGTAGCGGAAGAGGAAGGAGGTCATTCATGCGACTTGGAAGGGTGGGAGGAGGTCGAGAAGGGAGGACAGCATCCTTTGCACTTGCCTCCTCTTTTTTTTTTTTTTTTTTTTTTTTTTTTTTTTTTTTTTTTTTTTTGGTTCCGCCTACATTTGCATGCGCTCTTGGAGCAATATTGAACAATTTCCCTTATTCTGGATGGGGTTGGAATGGGGGGTGGGGACAAAAACTGTTCCATGATGACGATAAACACTAGGTGCTAGACTGTTCTGCAAAGTTGCGGCTTAATATGTGTGCCTGAAAAAATGTGCAACCGTGTTTGTTCTCTGTGACCGATCGATGAATTTTTTTCCCTTCCCAGTTCCGTAAAAGTATAGATACGATCCTTGCCTGGAAGATGATAGAAGGAATACTTGGACCGCAGACCAGGAGTAGCACTTCGGAACATCGACTGTCGATCCACATCATCCGCTTCCCCATGATTCATTGAGTTTGCTTCTCTCATAGAAGACGATAGTCTACAGGATCGCGTCTTAGCAAAGTTTAGATGGCCGATTTGGCGATCTGTGTCCAGTCGTGATGTTATAATCAGACACAACAGCAACCTCTCAACGTAAGGTTTTTTCATACAACTTTGTACTTTGTCTAGCGGGTAGAGAAAAAAAAAAAAAAAAAAAAAGTCAGGGGTACATAGAATACATTATAGAAAAGTTACGAAACAAAGTCTGAGTAGTGCACTGCCATGACAACATATTTTCCACACGACCTTCGGCTCTTTTTTACATGCTCGCATCAAGGTAAGCTGCTCCATCAGAAGAATCTTCATCTCTCTACGCGTTTGCCTGCAGCTGTTTCTGGGCGTTTGGTGCGCACGTTTATGCCTCCGAGAGTACATTTGCATCACGCGCGGCAACGAGGACAGCGAGGAAAGTCAGAATTATTACACCATACACTAGGCGCAGAAGGCTGTTCCGAGCAAAAGAAAAAAAAGGAAAAAAAGAAAGAAGAGAAGAGGAGTGCCTTCGACAGTATTGGAACGCGTTGTCCCGTCATGGTCATCTGGGCTACTCCGTTTTACGACAGATGTTACACCCGGACATAATGAAAGGGAAAAAAAAAACAATATCTGCAATGCGTCGTCATCTAATGTCCTTCCCCCCATCCCCAACTTCCCCCCACCCCCCACCCCCTTCTCTCTTTGCCCATTCAAACGCCGAATAAGCTATGGATGTCCTGCTATGCCATGTCGACGCACAAGGAGTGAGAGCCTGTGCGGGCTATTTTATTTTGGTGTGTCTGCGCTATGTTCTCCGCCCCATTTTTTTCAAATAAGGGCAGTAAGCGATGTCTTGATGGAATGGAGAGTAAGACATCTTCGACTCACATACACCATCTTTGGTACATCTGCCCTTCAGAATCTAACATCTTTAGGTTCATACCACTAAAAACAAAAAAGCGGGCGGATCTCGCATCCACTTTTTTCTTTATTATTATTCTTTCGGCCAACTTCCTCCCTTCCTCCGCCTCCCTCTCTCACCCCCAGCGCCATTGTTCAAAGGAAAAGGGAGGGGCGGGGAAGGAAAAAAATTATACATATGTTTATAACGACGGGTTTTTGCGTACAAATATGGCTAGCCAAACCAAGAGATGGGTACAAGCAGTGCATACTAATACATAGTCGGCACAGAGTCATAAAGACAGATCAGTGCCTACACTAACTGTGGGGAGGAAGGAGAGGAGCACACAAAAGTACGTACTCAAATATCTTTAAATCCCAGCAACACACACACCCCCTTCTCCCCTCCCTTTCACGCCGCGCGCTGAGGGATGGGGGGAGGGGAGGGAAGCACAGGCCCGAGAAACGATCGAAAGGCCGTGCACAGCATCCTTCTGATTGGACCGATCGACGCGTCATGGTAACCTTGTTGCAGAACTTTATTCATAGAGGTAAAAAACAAAACACGTCTTTCTTTTTTACTGAGACGAAACTATATTGATCTTCTTTACTTGAAAGATCCTCGCATATCTACTTATCGTGAAGAGGATAAACCCATGCGTGGACTATAACTGACGTTTGAATATAATAGAGAGCTTTAATGAATTGATACAGCAAAAGGAAAAATAAAAAACATCGATCGGTAATGTACAAGGAGGAAAAACAAAAAAAAAAAAAAGACGAGGCAAAAGATAGCTGCCGCTTCTACGACCCCGACCGAACAGCAGTTGCAGAGGCTGCGGCGGCGGCCGCGTTCGCCGCCGCTGCCTCATACCAGCTCGGTTTACATTTCCTCACCCGTACCAATTCTCCATTCTCCTTAAACTCCTGATACAAGCCCTTACGCAAACACTCGACCTTGCCCTTGGCCTCCATATGTCTCTTCACCGAATCCAACCGGCACAACCCACTGTTGCAGTTCATGCACCGATACTTGTCCTTGCCTGCATACACATGTACGTTTCGGTGCCGGTTCAGCTCTCGTCGGAGGTTATATCGGTAAGTACAGTTCTCGAATGGACACTGATGTTCCCCAGCACCGTCCTTGCGGTACTTGTTATGGCCGCTGTTATTACCACCCCGGGATTTGGAGGCCGAGATCGAAGAGGACGAGGACATGTAGTCGGAATCGGATGAATCTCGACGCGTAGTCACGGTGTTCCTGAGAGCGCGTTTCTTGGCACCAGGGGTTTTATGGACACGACCCGTAGCTTGGTTTCCGAAGCCGATCTTTTGCGGCTCCGACAGCAAGGAGGGCATGGAAGGGGCGATCAGACCATAGTCCGACACCGAGACGTACGGAGGTAGCATCACTGGGAGTGTCTGATCCATAAGCGCTCTGCTTGTGAAGGGCGTCGGGCCCGGGACCGGAGTGGTCACCGTGGTGTGAGTAGGCAGGTTACTGAAATGGATACTCGGCGCCGGGACCAGATCTGCGCCATCGAACCGATACACGGTTCCGTCCGGCATTATAAAATCTTGCAGGTACGTCGGCATCTCCATCGGACTCTGCGGCTCGTAAATTGCGCCTGGGGAAGAAGACAAGGAAGGGGACGAGACCGATATCTTCTGCGCGAACATGGATTGCATCAGACTGTGCTGCTCGTCCTCGCTATCGACACCGGCATGGACCGAGAAGGACGAGTGTCGACGTTGCTCGGGTGTGGACACGCAGGATGGCAACCCGGTTGTGGAACCCTGATTGTTGTTTAGCACCAGGGACGCGGGATCGACGCAAGCGGCCGAGCTGGAGTTGGAGGTGCGACTAGCGCCGATGTTTGAATATATGTTATAGTAAGGCGACAGATTACCTTGACTGAAGGCAGAGTTGTAGTGTGATGAGGATGACTCGAGCATGTCCGTATGACTGTGGTCTGTGGTATCTGAAGCGTAGTCGAATGAGTGGCAGGATGAGGTCGAGGATTGCGAAGAGAAGGAGGACAGAGACAAAGAAGAGGAAGGAGCTGAGGACATCGAGGTTGAGAGGGGATCGAAGGCGTTTTCTACTCTTGCGCCAGGCTGACTGGCATTAGAACCGATGCTACAGGTCTGATGCTGATCTCCCATCTGGGAGAGCAGAGACCCGGGTATGCCATCGAATGGTGGCCAGGACGTGATGGGAGAAAGGTTCTTGCTGTCGGTAACCAGGTTACGCAAGGAGGTGTAGATGAAGCCGTTCAAGGAGAATGCTGAGTCCATTTTGTTTTGATGCTTGTGTTTTGTGTACCGGTTCTTTGTTGTTGGAGGTGGGGTGAAAGTGATCTACGCTTGTGTTCCTGAGAAGTATTAAAGATCCAGGAGAAAGTCAGAGCGAACAAAGACTCTGATGCCAGTATTTTTAGGTTCCTCTGTTTGTTTGTTTGTTTGTTTGTTTGACACGGAAGATGACAAAGATCGGGGTGAGGAGAGGATGTGGGGATGCGGTACTATTTAACAAAAACCAAGCGAATGTGCCACTTTTTTTTTTTTGTTCTTGCCTGATCTATGCCAGCTGGATCGAATATATGCTCTCAGGTGTGCGCTGCATGAAATCACCTTCGGACGAGGTCCACCTCATCTTCCGGCCACCCTGACCTCAATCAGGTCCGGCATGATAGTCCTATGCGTGTGCGCTTCATGGGTTAATATCGATAATATTATTCCAAAGATAAAATTGAACATTTGCCACCTTTTCGGCGCCGTCACGGACGAAGGCTGGACAACTCATGCCTGTCTCCATTTCCGGTGTGCCGTCTCCCTGTCCACTGTAGGATACGGCTTGCACTGACAAAAAAAGTCATTGAGCGTAACATTTTGTACAAAATGCGCGACCATCTCCGTATCCGGAGGGGTCCCTACCACATCACTTGTGAGTGTAGAAGACACAGACTGGATGCTGCGGTACCGCTGTTTGGTGCATATCGCCTACTTGTGGCATCTTCATTATGTCGATGGCCGTTACAACCAATTGGGACTGAGTATCCTCCAAGGGGATTATTCGAGCGAAAGATCCACCATTGTTTTGGTAATCTGTAACGCTACACCAGGTCACAAAAAGCATTTACGGACGATCCTGAGCTTCTCGACAATGTGATCGCATCATGCGCGATCCTCATTACAAATGACATCTGGATCGCATTCCTACGGAGCGGATGGAATTTTGTACCACAGTTCAAACAACGCGTGCACAGTTAGTTCCCGCCCATCCTCTTTTTCTTTCGTTTTATTTTTTCAGGTTTGCGTCTCGAGGTAAACACAGTGCTTGATCTGAAAATTGCTTAAAGTTTGCCAAGTAGCGAGTCTCTATATCTTCTAGAAAGCAGCACCACCCAGGCCCAGAGATGAAAGCTGTCAGGACGCGATTGCTTCTCCTTGTTGATGTATATTTGGCAGAGGCTGGAGGAATACCATTCTATTTTTTTCTCATGGGGACGACGGTGCACAGGAATTAGAATAATGATAGATGGCTAACAACCCACTTCCTCCTGTCGCTCTTTTTTTTTTTTTTTTTTTTTTTTGCGAGTCGTTTCAGAAAGAAAAAAAAAAAAAAGAGTGATGGTTCATATTAACGTATGCCAGGAACATGAAACACGAACCTGGGAAGAGGCTTTGTTCAGACGCGGGTTGACTCCGCGTTTTTTATTTGTTCATAAAACGACAGTTCCCGGAATATCTTTCTATATTATTCCCATGACATATCCGCCTGAACTGGATCAAGTGCCTCTTTGTTTCCAGGCCTCTAAACAATAACCTAAAAAAAAAATTTAAATTAAATGCTATGCCCCTGTCGCCCAAGAGATCTGGCGCGGTGCCTGAATTCATTTTTGGAGATTAAACTTTGGACCGCGTTCGTCTACAGTAAGGAGCATAGCACACACGCGCTTTTTTTTTTTTTTTTTTTGACATAACAATCTCATACCTGGCATATTCATGAACGCGTAGCATTTATTTTTTAAAATTGATGGTAATGCTTTATTCGTATGTTCATCTGTATCTCATTAGGAACTACATAAAGGACTCATCCACCATGAATGAAACTAAGCCAAAAATAAAAACTGCAGAGAGATGCAAAAAGAATGAAAGAAGAGAAGAAGAGGATTAAAGAACAAAGGAAAAAAAGAAAGAGAGGGAACGACGGGCAAGAAAGAAATTAGAACGGAAAGAACTACCTTGCATGCATGCATCAACTACAGCAGCATAAAAAGTAAAAAAAAAAGAAAATAAAAGAAGAAAAAAAAAAAAAAAAGGATGATAAAAGTGTACTGGTCGTCAAGGGTATAGAAACTATAAAGATCTTTCATGTCCGCTCTCTCTCTCACTTGGTTTCCTGCCCCAGGTACTTGGCTCGATAATATGCAAGGTCTACCTGCACCGTCTTCTTACCGTGGGGTCGCGTGGGGTACCATCGCACCGTCGACTCAATCTCTGTTTCGGACTGCATCACGCTATAGACCCTCATCAGTGAGCATCGTGATGTGGCGTCGGCCTTGCTGATATGTCGCTGGACCGAAAACTCGTTCGAAAGCTCACTTTGACAGGCCTCGCAGCGGATCGGCATAAAGCGCCCGCGCCATCGGTGGGATTCGCGATGGCGTGCCAGAGATGGCTGGCCTGAGCAAGTCGTTGTGCAGCCCGGGTAGTTACACTAGGGTTCATTGAACGACGAAAAAGGAAAGTCAATATGTGCATACCATAAATAAATAAAAAAAAAGGGGGGGGGGGGGGGAGAGGGGTTGCATAATACGTACAGGCAACTTGGCAGGCAATGCCTTGGGCTTGGCAGATGTCTTCCTGACGCGTCGACGAACTCGTTTCCTGGTGGGAGGTTCCATTTCCTCTTCAGAGTCGGTGTCGGGCAGCACGCCAGCATGCTGCATCGTAGCCGACGGCTGGACAAAAACTTCAGATGTAAAAGTGGACGGCATGTTTGTAATCGTAGTCGAGACCAATTGCGGTCGCTCAATGGGCGAAGCGGAATTTGGCGCCGACAGATCATCGCTGGGCGCGGATCCAAAGAGTGGGCTGTAACACGCATTCTCGTCTCGTCTGTCGAGGCCACCTTGTTCGGATAAGGGAGAGCGCGCCTCGGGACTAGAGAGGCGCTCATTGGGATGGTCCTGAGCTAGAGATTCCACGTTGATGGGTCCAAAGTCCATTTGCTGCTGTAGGAGGAAATCATAAGATGGAAGTTGTGGTTCTACGGAAAGAACTATAGGGATGCTTGACTTCTGAGGAGAAGTGCGAGGTGAGACCAAAGATGGCTGGAGAGAAAGCAGCTCGCCCTGGACCTGATACAGTTCATAATGTTGGCGTTGGCACAGTTGGCGCTGGTACTGATCCTGCAGGTGTCGGTACTGCTGCAAGTACTCCTGCTGTTGCTGTTGCTGTTGCTGCTGCTGCTGCTGCTGGTAGTATTGCTGTTGATGAGTGTATTGTTGTTGCTGGCCTTGCTGCTGCTGTTGCTGTCGCAGGTTGGGGCCCTGGGCCGTTGAGCATGGTAAAGCGAAAGCACGCTGAAGAAGTGATTGGTCCATGTAAGCTTGGTGCTGCGGATCAGCGGGCTGATGCATGGTTTGTGCGTCAAGCAGCGAGCAAGGACTCGTGGATAGGGTTTCATCATGACTAAAGTCCGTCTGAGATCCTTCGCCCAAGAGAAACTGCTCGCTGAAAAGGTATGCACTTGCCATCTGGGCATCATCGTCAAAGGCGATGGGGTCCAGGGCCAGGGGAATCGTTGGAGAGAATTCGAGCGTCCCCAATGTGTTTGGCTGTTCAGGGTCCGCGGAACCGCTGCCAAAAACGGAGTGCTCCATAGCCAAAGAGTACTGGTGGTACAAGACAGGGTCGGTGAGAGGAAAGTTGACGGAGAAAAGATCGGGAAAGGGAGACAGGTGTGAGTTGTTGTTGGAGTAGCAGAGACGTGCTCACGCAAAAATGAGGGGAGTGTGCGAGGTCCGAGGCGAATGTGAAAAGAAAAGAGAGCTACAGAGAGAGATATTTGGTTGCGCACCAGTCGCCCTTTATATCCTCGTCTGCCGTCATAGCTCGACCATTGGCAAAATCGGGGTCGAATACAGAGGCGAGCACATCGAAACGAATGAGCCTTGCTGCATGTTATACGTGCAGGGAAGACTGTCTGAAGGAACAAACTAGACTAGACTAGAGAGGGGGAAGGTGTGCATAGAAAGCAACAGGTAGACAGCCGAATAGATCGACATGACAATAGGATGAAAAAAAAATAAGGGAGGGAGAGACCATGAAAAAAGGACGGACAGGCAGACAGATACGTCGAAGTGTCCTTCACCTTCGCCTTTGCCAAGAAAAAAAACAAAGCGCGCTATTCAGTATAAGCTGCACAGTGTGTTTTTATATTTTTTTTACGGCAGTGCTATCTTTGATCGGCAAAAAGAGTGTTACAACGGAAACACTCTGCATAAAACGCTCAAAAGGAAAAAAAGAAAAGAAGCCTGTGTCCGCGCTGCACGATGCAAAGCTAGCGAATATTATCTGCTTCTTGTCACAAGCGAAAAGGCCCGTCTGCTCCTCGGGTTGATCTAGCTGTGGCGCTGGTTGTCTGTTTTACCATTCTTCCCGTTCGTAGACTCCCCCGCTGGAAGATGCGCGCATGATGTGCCTGAGCAGTGCAACGTGATTGCTTACCATTTTTGATAACGAATCGGGACTTCTGCTGCATCATGCCCCATGCACAATCGCCAAGTCCATCGCGATGTTGATGCACTCCTCCACAAAACAATACGACTTTCTGCTTCTTTTATTCTTATTTTTTTACAGCATTGCTGTTGATGTGGCTCTCGGTAAATCAGTCAGCCATCCAGGACAAAATGAATGATGAAGAGGACTTATTTTTTCCACGTATCCCTTTTGGACCGGTTCTGATTGGTGTTACCCTCAGCAGTCGATGCGTGTCGATCGCTGAGTTCCTGCACCCACAGTGCATCTCCAAGGTTCCCACAACCCCCTCGACTCTTCATTGGTTCTGCTTCAAACTCAGATCGCGTCGTGTACGTGCGTTCTCTGCCCTGAAGGACCGGGCAAACAGCCAACAAAGTCGTCGGAAAGGGGAGGCGAATGCTCAGTTGACGAAAAAGAAGATGTCTGCTCCACCTCATCCGCGTGTTTCCTGTCCCTTTGGGGCCAGTACAGAAGACTAAACCCTCCCCGATTTGTCGATTCGAAACTCTGTTCCGAAGCGCTTCCTTTTTCTTTTTCTTTTCTTTTTTTTTTTTTTTGGTTTTCCCCATTGAGGCACAGGCAGCTTGAAAGAGGTCAGCGTAGTCTGATCACATCCAGTGCGCGTTGTTTCTATTGCAATCTCCAGAGATTACTTCTTAATAAATGAACTACGAACCACATCAATTGAAACCTCATCCTCACTGCAGAACCCTTTCCTCCAAGACCCCAAACGCTCCAAACAGCCTCACCTTCCGCTCTCTCCAGCAAGGCGGCATCTTCATCATCTTCATCATCCACTCCAGCTTCGTCTGACTATCCATCTCCGACATCACCTCCAAACTCGGCCACCCGCCCTCCCCGTCCTCGTCCTCGTCCTCATCCCGTCCTTGCCTCTCCCGTCTCGCTTCGCCATCCACGGTATCGCCCCCGTCTTCATCATCTTCACAGTCCTCCTTCTTGGCTCTCAATGCATCCTGACCAACTAAAGTGTTCAAACCGCTATTTCCAGGCCCTAAACTGCTGCCGCTGAGCACGAGCCCCTTCTTCTGCAGGGTCGAGTGCCACAGCTTCTCCACCATCCTATACGGATGCGACCGACGCTGTCGATGCACCTTCCTACCCGAGCTCGAGCCTGAACCTGTCACTGCACTTGCCTTCCCAGTAGGCGCCATCACGACCGCATCCCCTACAGTAGAACCAATAGCAGCTGCCATAGCCGTAGTCCTACGAGTACTATTACCATCTAGACCCTTCTCATCCCACAATTCCTGCTCCTCTGCCGTCAAAGACGACACAGACGAGGCCCTCAAGGTCGGTAACATCGCGCTCAAGAGATCCCACTTCCGTTTCTGATTCTTGATATGCAAGATCACCGTGTCCCGTCGTGCAAACGCCTTGTTGCATCCCACACACTCTGGCTTCTTGATATCCGGATCCGAACTCGGATTGTATCCCTGGATGGTGTTCAATGTCGCTGTTGTGGAAGCTGACGACGACGATGAAGACGAAGACGAAGACAAAGACGATGCCGGTGATGAGGAGCTGATCGACAGGGCCGAGAGACCTGAGCAGAGCAGAGGTTTATATGGGTGGCTACCAGTGGTGGACGAAGCCAGAGACGATGAAGATAGAGTAGACGAAGGAATTGAGGACGTTGCTCGGAGGCATGCGAGTGCACGGGAGGATGCATTAGCATAGGCGTGGATCTTGAGATGCCGTCGCAGGGTCGAGTTGTTAGCGTATCGCTTTCGACATACTTGACAGGTCAACGATGACATCGACGACGAAAAAGAAGAAGTAGAAGAGGAAGAAAAAGAAAAAGAAGGACTTGATCCGGAGGATTTGATGGACGATTCCGATGATGAGGACCCATTGAACAGCGATAATGAAGACGCCCGATTCTTGATCATCAACCCCGACAGAGAAGATGACCTTGGTGACGAAGACGCAGAGTTGAGTGAGATCAAGTCTGAGCCGGCACCCATTGCAGTCAATGTCTGCGACCGCAGACGCATCGGCATCGCCGTCGTCGCCATTGCTGAAGAATCCACATGCGGCGCAAACGTACTACTTGCACTTCGGTATGATCCGCATCCCAGCTGCGAAGGTGTGCTCACCCGCAAGAATGGCGAATGTGCTAACGAGTACACAGACGGTACCGGTGACGATGACGAAACCGCTTGGAGCGACGTTGAGAAGAGGCGTGGCGACGAGCCTACAGATGACGGCGACAGCGTCGTTGGATCGCAGAGCTGTGGCCAGGAGCAGACCATCGCCGAAAACTGATCATTATCACTCGAGAGATTCGATGGGCCCAAGTCGGTTCCGATACTTGCAGGGAACGACGTAGGGTAGCAGTATGATGTCGTCAAGGATGGCTGCTGAACAAAGGGCCCACCGCCTAAAGCTTGCTGTATTTCGTGGTTGAACATGCTCGAATGTGATTCAATCGCTGCGTAGCTCTCAATGGATGGAGCAGGTTCGGACATATCGGACTCTGGTTCCCAGAATTGAGGCCCTACTACTGATGTCAAGGGGAGTTCTAGCAAGGGAGAGTTGGCGATCGGAAGATGGGGCCATAGGTCGGTAGTGATGTACTCATGGTTCTTGACAGGGATTGGTGATAGCGCCATAATGTCGTTAAATCCGCTGTTACTCACTGACGACGACGCCAGCGTCGCTGCGGCGTAAGGTTTGTTGTTCACATCATTCTGGAGATTCAGAAAGGGCTGGTAGCGATATTCCCGGAATAACTGGTAGTGGAGCTGGTGAGGATCCTGATACTGCGGCTGCGGCTGCTGCTCCTGTTGCTGCTGTTGTGGTTCCAGATGTTGTTGTAATTCCAGTTGTTGCTGAACGGGATGGAGTATAGGTTGTTGATTTGGATCAGGAACAGGAGGAGTCGTGTAGGACGGTTGGTTGAACGTCGCACACGACTGTATCCACTCCGAGACGATGCTCATTATTTGCCAGGGAAAATATCTGCTATATCGGTGAATGGGCGGTATTGATGGCTATGAACGACCAAGGATTTATTGCAAGTTGACACTGTAGAGTAGACGTGGGCATGGATGGGACGATCAAGAGGGATAACGTCGTAGTTGTAGACAGAGGTGCTTGTTTCCGATTCCAGGGCCAAGGGTCTATTCTTTTATATAATGAGCATCTCGCTAACCGCAGCTGTTACCATGAGCTGGGGCTGGTGACAATGTGCGATTCATAGAAGAGGGCCACTGTCTTACCACCAACTCGCTTGTACTTCAGCACAAGTTCAGATCGCATGTTACAAGCGCCTTCCTACAGTGCGCTCGTAGGAAGGGGATGAGGCGTTTCATCAGCACAGAAACAAAAGCGGCAGCGATGTGCGTCTATTGCGGGTGCGGTGCATCATGCTCTCCGAATGCGTCCTGTCATCCTGGCAACCTTGCTCTATTTGAGAATACAAGGAAGCTACTTTTGGTCATCCTGCACGTCCCAAGTCACTATACAATTACTTGGAGACTGTGAAGGACATTGCGACCTTGCTGGGGAGCTTTTTTTTTTTAAAAAAAAAAAAAAAAAGCGTAACTGAAGAATAAAGACCCAAGCGAGCAAACAATCATCGTGTGAAACGAAGAAAGCATCAAAAGAATGGTCATTTTGTTCGCTTGAATCATTGAATATGACCCTATAAAGGACCGTACCGGAGCACATTTGGAGAGAGTGGCAAAGCAGGCCAGGCTGAGAGCTGAAAGGATTGCAGACCAAAGGGAATGGATATTTTCTTCTTCATCCTCTCTATGTGTTCCACACATATTTCCCGTCGTTTCAATGCGGTGCAGAGACACTACCCGTCATCAGGAAGTCCTGTCAATTCGACTAGTCAAATAAGACGTTGCTTCTTAATCTCCGCATGACCACGCTGTTTTCATTTCTTAAAGTATCCCGAGGGGATCTTAAAATAAACAGGAATCAGCTCAACGAATTGACAGTACGTCGAGCCTTACGATGTGGTTGTTAGGCATCAAAGAATTACATTTTGCGGTGCACACAACGCGACGCGTCAAAGACCTTCCTTATCAGGCAATAAGATCTATTTTTCGATCACTGCTAGTAGCGCACCTTTGTTCGTGTGGGTAATGGGGGCGGTAGTCGTTAGGATCTTTATTCAGCTTATATCAATGCAATTTTTTTGTTTGTTTGTACAGAATTGAGGGAGGAAGTCGACCTGATAAAGACGGGTAGGGAATGGTGCATTGGGCTAAGTAATAAATAGCGCCTGCAGAAAATAGAAACGGTAAGTGATACCGATAGGAATAATGCGAACAAATAAAAGCATAGACTGGGAGTGGAAAGCAGGTATAGAAAAAAGAATTGGGTGGGTGACAATCTGTGCGGATAACACACAGCAAATATAGATACAGAAAATAGTGGGAATATTACAGCGAGAAAAGAAAAGAAAAAAAAAAGGTAATGAACGCAAGAGCATAGCCACGACCAGCCCGATCCTCATATTGTCTGTCAAGGAGATCAAGAGGCCTGAAAACTGCACTGGTGTTCAGGGAGCTGTCAAATGGCATCATCATCTGTCGGCGAGAGACACTGCCTCCAGATCGATTAGACCTAGTATAAAAATAAAGTAACGGCGGGATGAGATTCAAAATCAAAGGCACCACAGATGGGTAATAGCGATGTCAGGTGTCCATAAAGATATACCATACCATGAAGATCAAATTCTTCGTTGGGGGAGACATTCTGGGAACTAAACAAGTCATCCTCCGTGCCTGTTGCCAACCTGAGGTAGTTGTCCATGTCTGCAGCTTCGAAATTGCCGCCCTTATTTTGTCCATTCCCGTCGCTGTTGAGGTCAAATTCATTGAGAGTGTCATCAACAAACCCTTCATGTTCATGCCCAATCCACATGCTGGAATGATCGCTGCCGTCCCGTAAATCGACAGGAGTGCGCAATCTAAGGAAGAAACAGAAAAGGGAAAGAGAAGAAGACAAATAAGTCGACCTTTCCTTAATGACGGATGAAGCGAATCAAATAAGTCCTTACCCTTCAGAATCGATGGTATCTTCGGAAAGCAAAAGGTGGTCTGAACTGTACCCATCAACAGCTCTATACTCTGGTTCAAAGAGAGACCCCGAGGACGAAAGATAGTCGATGGGCTGCGAATCATGGAAGGTCATGTCAGCCTCGGAACTCAGCTCGATCTCGACAGAGGAGAGACCGACCCCTTCTACAGTTTGGAAAACGACAACGCTCTCATCCTCATGCCCAAGGCCACTTGAAAGCAAAGGCTCGGTGCCATCTGCCTGTGCTTCCTGGCTGGAGGATCCATCGAGCATGAGCGCCGGTGCTCGTGATTGCTTGAAGATGGTCGTAATCCCAAAAAGTGATGACAAGTACTCGTTTGCGGGATCCTCCTTCGCTCCCTCCCACTCATGGTTCAGAACCACTTGCGGCGAGACCATGCCCTCGCCCGCATGCCCACCATCTTCGTCTGTATCGAGAAAGTCCTCCTCGGCCTCGCTGTCCGTCTCAAGTCGAAGGTGAATTTTGTACGACATGTTTTGAGCTCGCGCTCTTTGCTCACGGTATAGGATTGCGACATCATTCTCAGAATCACTGGAGGAGTCCCCACTGCTTGGCTGATGACGAGGACGGCCACGGCGACCCGATCTTTGCTTGGTAGGCTTGGCTGGAATGTGTCTAAAGGATTTTCCTGCGGTACTTGGTATAGGCATGCCCAGACACATAGGACAAAAGTACTCGTCCGGAACGTCGTCTTCAGAGAGATCCAGGCACTCCATATGGAGCCAGACTTTGCATTTATCGCACTGCACCATGGCCCCCTCGTCCTCCTTTGATCCGCAAACGCACATGATGATCCCTTCCTCATCCTCGTATTCCTCATTGGTGTTCTCATCGCCAGTGTTCTTGCTGCCGTACATCTCACGCGAAGCTTTAGGGCATCGCGCTTTGCGTTGATCCTCCGTCTCCGAAGCGGTAGACTCTCCATCCACATCGCTAAAAATGGACGTTTGCTATCATGACATGAAGCAAATCCGTATACTCGTTACTTTCTTCTGATCTCAAGTAATGACTGTACAGAACGGTTCATTTAACGATATAACACTTACCAAGTGGGCCATCGTGCATCGATCCATGTGCTCGAGAAGGCTATTCATGTTGCTGTGCGTTTTCCGGCAGTAATCACATCCGAGGCGGCGGCTGAGATGATCCAAAGTGTCGTCCCTCACATCAGACCACCTTTGCGCATCAGCGCCTTCCACAGTCGAACTAGGTCCATTATCCAGCGAAAGCCCCGCAGCAATGATCTTTGAGGATTTGTCCCAGTTCTCGACGGGTGGAGGGAGATTGAGGGCTTGATAAGCATCTGCGACGATTGTGCGTCGTTCAGTAACCCTGCGCTGTTCGTCCTGTTTTCGTGTCGACGTCTGAAGCAAACCCTTTCCGTTCCCAATAACAGCACCCCACGCTTGCGCTTGAAGCGATGCTAAGTCAAGTGGGGCATCTTGCACTAGGAGCTTAACCTTCTGCTTTGGTTCCTGAATATCGCACATGCCTCGCTGAAGAAAGTGCTTGAGCATCGATGCCATAGCATGCACGTTTGGTCGGGGACGCGTCGGATTGGGATGGGTCATGATCTCAAGGCAGGTCTGGAACAGCCTAGGACGAGGGATGCTGCGAATAGTAGGACGAATGTGGCGCTGTTTCAAAATGGAGCGTCGTGCAGGGGTCAAAGAGAAAGCGCGCCCTGAATGTTTAATAGGAACGGGTTTGGCTTTAGTGCTGGAACGCGTAGCGTGAGTCGGACGGGACAGTGGGACTGCAGGCACGGCAAACACATGATCTGCGGACTTTGTAGAAGACTCTGCTTTTATCAAGGCTAGCTTGCTCATCACAGACTCGACTGCGCGCTCAATAGAAGTGGCTATGGCGGCGGGGGTGTCGTTTCCGAGAGCAGAATCCGATACAGGGGCAACGATTCGGTCAGGGCTAGCAAGCCTTGAAGACGTATCGCTGAGACTCTCGTCATGCGTGCTCGAAAGGGTCTCCTTGCATTTTACCAGCGTCACCACCTCCGTATCATCGGACGAGTCAGATAGATCCGCCTCACTGTCCTCCAACTGTAATAGTTTTTTGCCATCTATGATGCGAGCCATGAGCGATCCATATGCCTTCGGGGTCGTAAACTCCTTTCCGGCTCTCGGTGATGGTGGCGGCGATACGATAGATCTACCGTATTTCCCGGGCTGGACTGATAATGGCTGCTCGGGTGGCGGGGTTAATACCGACGCCTCTGCGGTTGAAACCCTGATATCTTCCTGGCTCTTGCGGCGTTTTGAGGACGACGTGTTAGGTGGCAAAGGGTTCTTGCGGGGGCGACCAGGTCCCCTACGTTTCGCAGGGCTGGCGGTGGGCGTAGGCATGGCCTCGGACGGGTCTTCCTCAGCTGGAGTAGTCAAGGGTGACGCCTCCAATGGCTGCGCGGAGCTCGCATCGTTAGTCTCTTGTTCGTCTTCAGAGTCCTCCTCGGGACTGGTCAGAGTCGTGTCACTGCCAAAAAGGTCATCCTCGATTGAGGGAGATGATACAGTTTCAGCAGGTGAAGGTTGGGCCCCAAAGGCAGAGATCAGACCTTGGCGACGATCTGTTGTGGCAAACGCTTGAGATGGTGCCTGAATTTCGACAACAGATCGCACGGTATTTCCGTTGGATATCTCGTCCTCGTCATCAGCATCATCACTTTCAGAGCCACTATGCATTGACCGAGGATCCATCCTCCAACTCGCCAAGGTTGACTGTGTCTTGACTGACGACTGCTTTAATCCGGCATTGGTCTCAGGGACGGAGCCTTGATTCAGATATGTCGACTTGTCAGAGAGCGTGCGATGGAGAGGAGTGACGTTCAACGCGGAGGGGACGGTTGCGGGAGCCGTGTAGGTTTGAAGAACCTTGCGTCTTTTGCTTGGTTCCACATCGCTGTTGTACGGGCTGGGTTGGGTCTCAGTCAGCCTCTTTCGGATCTTTGTGGATTGCTTTTGAACGGGGAGGCTCGTTAGGATCTGAATGGAAGCTGCTGCTGACGGCGCATTCTCGATGTTATCTCTCTGTTGCCTAGTTTTGCGACCATCAGGCAGCTGGCGCTTTGGTCTCCTGATGTCTGCGCTTGGCGAAAGCTCGCTGGATTTGGTCGGAAGGTTGTGTGCGACATTGAGGGGCATCGCGGTAGATCGAAGGGGGATACTGGCGTCGCCTTGGCCTTGCGGTGGTGAGTGCTGGCTAGACATTACAGCCGAGCGCCGATGATAATGATATCATGAAGAGCAGTCAGCGAGCGGTCATTTGGAAACGAATGAGGAAGGTGAAGGGCGGATTCTGACATGATAACCGTGAATGTTTCTATCAACATACCTTATAACCTCGTGCGGATAGATATACAATTGACTGATATATATTTACAATGCCTCCTCTTCAAGCAGTTCTTCCGCGGCTTGACAGGCCCTGAAAGTTAAGAGGGGCAGTGGTCAATTGGCGATAGAGATGTATGGACAGCGTTTGATTGGCGGAGGTATAAATGAGAACGAGGGAAGCTAGGGTGAGAGAAAGTGTCGGGGGGGAGGGGTGTGGAAGAGGATAGGCGGTTAGGACAAGCAATAGGTCGACTAGGTGGGGGAAAGAATAAAAAAAGGTGCATAAATATGCTCTAGTGATAGTCTGATTCGGCTGGGTGGAAAGTGAATCGGAAGTGCGCGATGAGAACCTTCTGCAAAGACGACTACAGATGAGTTATATAAGATGGCGGGACGTGGAGCACGATTGGTTTGTAGGCTGAGGTAGGGAGAGGGAGGGATGAGGTATATGGGAGATGAGCAAGTGCTAGGCAAGATGGTCCGAGTTTTGAATGAGGGAGAAATGAGGAGGCCCTGAGCAGAGGAGGGAGAGTAGGAGGTGAGAGGGAAGAGTCAAGAAGAAAAAAGAAAGAAAGAAAAAAATGGCCCGTAGAATCTGAGGATCTCCCTAACCGAAAGCAGACTACGGGAGACAATTGTCAGCTCAAACTGTCCTCACAGCAGCAGCAGGAAAGAGGGGAAGGGCATATAGAAACCATCAGAGGACAACGTCCATCTCGCGAGTCGCTGTAATTTTTTCCCAAAGCACCACATTGCACAAAGGGCCCTGATTAGAATCTGCTCCTCTGGCCATAACAATGAAGGGTACCATGATTGATGTCGCTTAAACCCAGTTTCACAGAAACAACTATCGTCGCTTCATAACACGGCGGTACATGGTTCATATCTAGGGCTGCTTCCTGTATTATCGACAACATTATACCTCTTTTCAAGCTCCAGATTGAATGGCTGTAGTGCTCAATTAAGCCCGAAAGGAGATATGAACAATGAAGGAATAGGCTAAGCAAACAAGAGGGAGCAGTGATGTTGGCCGACCGTTGCTGAAGAAAGGCGTGGATGTGTATAGGTGTTTGCAAGTTGGATGGAAGGAGAGAGCAGCAAACAGAACTAGAAGCAGAGTGAGCGTGTACGGGGTGACAAGAATGAGGCAATGAGGTGAAGTCAGAGTGGTGTTGACAGCTTCTAAGTGGCGGGAAACGAAGCCAGGCACACGAAGGTTGATGAGCCTCTCTTCGCTAAACAAACAGACCATACTATTTTATATTATTACGATAGAATACATAGTAAAATGACTTCGATCGGGTCCTTTCTGAATACAACGTTTCATGGACATATGTCTCATTGGCCGCAATAATGTGCAAAAAACGACCGTTTGAAGCAAAGACATACCGATAAACGTGGGGTGGGGTGATCAAAGCAAGTGTAAGAGCAGAATGGGAAAAGGAAGAGACAAGGATGGGGAGAAAAAATGGTGGCAAAGGGCCTAAAACACATTATCTAATAAAATGGTGGCGTACTGAAGGAACCACCCTTTTCCCGGACCAAGTGAATGTTATTGGCGTACTCCACGTACCTGCGACCACAGCTAATTGAATAGGCGGATGTTGGATATACAAATAAAAGGAATAGGAAAAGATGTGGCATGATGGAAAAGGAGTTATGCCATATTCGATACGGAAGACATCTCAGGATGGCACACGATGAGACAGACGTAGGACTGAGGTCTGTCATATGCAATTCCCAGGGTCAAGAGGTAAAAGTCGGATCTAGATGTTCACATACCCGCTGGTTGTTGGAAAAGGAGTGGTCTGGTGGCGGCCAAAAAAATAAAAATAAAAAATAAAAAAAGAGACTTGACTTGACTCGACTCGACCTGAGGCAGGGTTATGAATCTCCAGGATGGAGCTTGGGGGAATGAAGGATGGGTATTGAAGATGGGGTCTGAGCGAAAAGGGGATGGCGATGAGGACGGGGGCTGATTAGCAGAGAGGGGAACAGGGAAGACTGGGCTAGGCAGGATACCAAACAGACACTTGGACAACAGAAACAACAAACAAACAAACAAAGATAAAAACAGTTGATCAAGGAAGGAAGCGAGGAGAGGCAAGTCCGTCGCCAGCATAAAGAATCTTCAAACAAACGTCTCCGTCTGTCGCGGGTCTGTGGGTCACCACCAGGGTGCAGAGCAGGGTGCAGCGCAGGGTGCAGCTGCTGCAAGATACGGGTCAGATGGACCCCAGCTGTGTATTCATTCCATTTCTTACTGTGCTTTTTCTGCCTCGGAGATGAAAACTACAACATTAAAGAAACGGACTTTTGGTTCAAGTGCAGCAAACGGCGCCTCAAAGCCTCAAATAGCCTTTCCAGACAGACCTTTCTTTTATTTTCGGATTCCCTTCCTGAGACAGTAGCACTTGTGTCCAGCACCTGGTCGTTCAAAGGAGAGCGAGCAGGAGCGGTCGAGTTGTGAATTGCGCGCGATCCTGAGAGAGTTGCATACACTGCAAAAGATACCCTGAAACAAAGTCGCGAGTTTGTACAAATGAAGTGATACAGCAGCAATGCGGGTCTTTATTTGAGTTGGATCCCTAGGCCACTGGTGTGTCTTGATCTGTTGAGTCGTCGGTGTAGCCCGTCGTCGGCCTCTTATACAAAGTCCTCTGTTGCAAGTAAAGTATGCTGAAGAAATTAATACCTGCGGGCTAGAAAATTCCGGCGAATTTTTTTATCTGAGTAATCTCGACTATGGTCGAACTCAGAGACCATACGTCTGATCGTACTGAATATTTGTCGCCCTGAATCCGCTCGGGCTAATGGACAGTTGAAGAGAATATCAGACTACTAGAAAGCATGAAAGGTGATGTTGACGACGAGGCACGGCTTGCAGAGTCCTGGCAATGCGGTATTGGCCTTACCGCCGTAACTGGCTCCAGCACAGCGTAGTGTTCCCGTCCATAGTGAAGACAATATTCGATGACAATACGTGTTAGACTGAAAAAGTGGACGCCGATATCTTTTCATGTCGTAGTCCAGTAAACCACGCGGAACAGTACCTTTATGAATAATTGCTGCATCTCATGCAAGTAAAGTTAATAAACGAGCCCGTTGAGGGCAGCCTCGCTAATTTTTCCCATAAGGCTGATGTTGTTTCAGCAATGCGCTTGTATATGAATTCCATGCTGCCGCCTTCGAGGTACCCCATACAGATAGTTAGCTCGTCATCCAGATATACTCCATAAGAACTTACATCCACGGCGAACGACAACGCTCCAATATCCTTACTTCTCGTGCAAACAGTTTCTGAAAGTCCGGTTGGAGTCACATCGGATGTACAGGACACATAAAGCCGGAGATCATCCAGTCCTGCTGTTGCCGCTACTGTACCAATAAGAATATAGGGGAGGGGGGGGGAAGATAATAAGGACATGGCTTCTGACAAACACAAGAACCGATACGACATCCATTCCTGCTGTCCTTGTCTGAATCATCATCCACGGTCGGCGAAAAAAGTACTGGAAGAGGAAAAACGTATAGAAACCTACTTTGTGCCCATAGAAGATCCTGTAGTTATGTGTCTGACTTTGCTGATTATGATGGCTGAACCCCCGCCCAGTTTTGTGACAACGATCATGTCCTCTGGTTTGAGGGTATAGCCCATCAATGGGTCGGGTCTACGTGTGCCACTAGGGGTCTCTGGTATGCTCATTATCGATCGAGGGTTCCGATCTGCGTTCGATGTAGTCGTGTATTGATTTAGCGCGCTGGGTTTCTTGGATTCTGTTCTAGATAGTTCATGTAGACGGTCTCAACTGTTTGCTGATAGGGTTGGCTCCTGTCAGGTTTGATGATAAACAAAGGCGACATCCAATTGAAGCGTGTATTCGGGTCACTCATACGTTTAAGAGTACTGAAGAGGCGGGACTGCTGTGCGTGGTGTTGAGTTGCAGGCTTCAGTTTTCGGGTATATAATCTTGCTAAAGATATGGTTGTTCCTACCAGCCTGGTTGCCCCTGATATTCGAATGGTTGAATGCGGCTGTCAGGTTTTGATGAAGAGATGAGAGAGTGTGTGTGGCAAACGATGGATGGAGACCATGAGGGCGCTTGCTGCGGCTGCAATTGCACAGCGCGGAGAGCACCCACCTATCCTACTCGTAATTGATAAGCCCTGCGTAATTGGCAGCACCCGTAGTAAAGTTCCACCCTCTGCACGGCTATCAAGCGCACGCGTATATTTGGCGCTCGTCACCACGGTAAAGGCCAATCTACGAGCGTCAGATCGTATAGTGAAAAGTGATCTAGGATACCAACTCATAACTGCTAGTCTGGGACTTCAAAGATCCCCTTTGATGTGAATGTGCCGTATTCAAACACATGCACTCAGGAGTAAATCATTCACGAAAATGCATTTGCGAAGATTCTGCGATAGGCAACAGCAGTTATCATTTGTGCAAGTGACCGGGGCAGCACCCGGCTGATGATAAGATCCAGAGGGGAAAGAGCGCCAAACATAACCTATTGCGCATGCTTGGATGCCGTCGATGGGGATCAGTTGGGCATGGATTCACTATCCTCGCATTTGGCGACGCAGCTCAGCTGCCTGGTGCTAAGAACAATAAGCGTGAGGGAATATAGACTGCATGTTGTTGGCACAAGTACTTATCAGATCGAACTACAGACAAAGATCGAAGCGGTATATATTGAAGCAAGTACAAACAAACAAAGAAAAAAAAAAAGGGCCGAATGGCCCCATTGAAGGTGAACAAGTGGAGCAAGGGGAGGGATAGCGTTACGGTGACCAGCACTGCGACTGAAAGATCAGTTCAATGCGGATGCAGCAGAACAGATGACCTCATCGGTCCCACTAGTGGTGTCTCTGCTGAACTGACTAAGGTTAGGGTAAGGGAGAGGGACCATGAAGCAAAGAGAAAAATGCAAAGGATAGGAGCAACACGGGCAATGGACGGCTCACATCTCACTTCGCACTACCTTTGCCTGCAGTGGGCCATCAACTCGCTACTGAAAAATGACTCGCTTAACAAACAAATGTACCTGGTTTTTATTTTTGGGCGACCATGAGGGAGTACCTGTGGGAAATTTCCAAAAGCGAATAAAAAGAAGGGGGGACCCGTGTCATTTTTTTTTCTCTCTTTCTTTTTTATATTTTTCTATATACTCCCTCAACCACCCCTCTTCATCTGCTCTCCACTCCCCATTCCTCTAACCATGTCTGTCCAGCACAAGTTCCTCAAGCAAAAGTCCGTTGGTGTCATTGGTGTCCCATTCTCTGGTGGCCAGGTAAGATCCTAAAAACAAAAATACCTCTCGTATCTTCACTATCAAAGTTAAAAATACAGCTGCACAGGCACATTTATACACGGACACTTAGTGAAACAAAGTGCAGTTGGCCGCTTTAAGAAACTGATCAGATCCTGCAAAGTGATCGCTCGAAGGGTTGATCCTGATCTCAAAAACCGAATGAACCCTCACAAACGGGAAGGGGAGCCAATGGGAAGGTGCTTAATGGACACTCCGCAGTCGACTAACCACTCAATTGCTTTATATTCGTGACCGTATCTATTAGCCCAGAGACGGTGTCGATCAGGGACCTCTCAAGATCATCGAGTTTGGTCTCCTGAACCAGCTCCAGGAACTCGAATGGTCCGTCAAGTTTGATGGCCACCGCGACTACACTGTCATGCAGCCTACATCTGACCCTCCAGTTGGAAAGCTCTTGAACGCTCGTTACGTCTCTGCTGTCACTGAGTCGGTCGCCTCCTCGGTTTCTGCCCATCTCAAGGAGGGCTCCCTCGCCTTGACCCTGGGCGGTGATCACTCGATTGCTCTTGGAACTGTCTCTGGAACAATGTCTGTCCACCCCGATGCCGGTTTGATCTGGGTCGATGCTCACGCTGTAAGTTCCTTGTTCAAGGTCTTTTTTGCCTATTCGGCATACACAAATACAAGTACCGCTAAAGGACATGGCCATTAATGTTAATGCTAATTGATCGCACCACCTTTCCCGTCCAAAAAAAAAAACCCCCCCTTTAGGACATCAACACTCCTGAGACCACTGAGAGCGGCAACATTCATGGATGCCCCGTCTCTTTCTTACTCGGTATCGCCGGCCAGATCAAGGAGTTCAGCTGGATCAAGCCTTGTCTCAGCCCCGACCGCCTGGTCTACATTGGTCTCCGTGATATTGATGCTGGCGAGAAGAAGATCCTTCGTGAACATGGCATCAAGGCCTTCTCAATGCACGAGGTTGACAAGTACGGTATTGCGAAGGTTGTTGAGATGGCCATCGAGCACGTTTCGCCCAACTGCTCCCGTCCCATCCACTTGAGCTTTGATGTCGATGCTTTAGACCCCTCGGTTGCTCCTTCTACTGGTAAGACGAACTGCTACAGTAACTGATATGGCAGCGGAGTAATGCCTCAATGGTTACCGGATCATATACGCTAACATTCCATTTTGTTTTTTGGTTCGATTTGTAGGTACCCCCGTCCGCGGAGGTCTCACTTTCCGTGAGGGCCATTACATCTGCGAGGCTGTCCACGAGACTGGCTGCTTGGTTTCCATGGATTTGATGGAGGTCAACCCCTCGCTCGAGGATGATCTTGCCGTCTACCAGACCGTCACTATCGGATGCTCCTTGGTCCGCTGTGCCATGGGTGAGACCCTGCTCTAAGCTACCAACCTCCTTGCATCTTTCCAACCGGTACGACCAAAAAGAAAAAAAAAATATCGATACAAAAGGCATTGAACGACACGACATCTTCACCATTCCCGACCGCCCTCGCCATCCCACCAACCTCGACCGATCAACAACAAAGAAGAAAAAAAGGAAAAAGCACCAAAAACACTTTAAAACTCAACAAAAAGCGACAAAAACAGCAACCAGAAAAAAAAAGTTCATGTTTGACAACATACTCCCTCGCCTTTCTTTAGCCTTGCACATACACATCACAAATCTACCAAAGACGCAAAGCAGCCCTTTCCTTGAATATGAAGAAGGGCTGTGAGGAGGTTTAACTCTTTGAGAAGGATCGTTAAGGATCTCTCCTAAAGGACTAAGTTGTTAGTATAAACACAGAAATATTCACCCCCCAAAAAAACAACCAACACCGACATTGGGTCTTCAGCGATGTTTGAATAATAAAGCTTTGCCCATCTTTGCTCGTATACATTTCTTTATGTTTCAGAGTAATAATCTTTCATGGACGTCCTATTGCCGTTCTCATCCATGTTTCCAACCGCGCGATCTCATTGGCCTGTGACACGTCCACGCAAGATTTATTTTTGGCAGTGGTGTGGACAGATGCAATGTACGATTACACCTATTGAAGCAAATCGATCCAGTTGCTCAGTTTTCCTACTTCCCGCCTGCAACACTTTGACAGCTTTGATAACCGCATAATGAGGTCCATTCTAAATATCACCATCATCCCCCTCGCTGCAGTCTACATTGCGTCTGCACATCAATGCCCCGATCCCTCTGAGATCAACACCGCCTGCTGTCGGATCAACATGAGTTCCTGTTAGTCTTTTCGTTGGGATTGATCCTGCAGACGAATTGCAGTACGCTCTGATGTAGCCGTTGCTAAAAAAAAAAAAAAAATGTCGGTAGTGGTTTGCGACGACCCTAGTGTGAACAAGAACGGATGCAATGCCAAGCAGTGCAACCAGATTTACATAAACGATTATGCTGCATGCGAATGCCGTAGGAATCCTACAACGTTATATGGGGTAGGCGGTGAGAGAATGTATCCGTTCGGGTTCTCATCCAATCCAAAAAGAAAAAAAAAAAAAAAAAAAAAAGAAAAGAAATGAAAATCTCTGCTACATTCATCTTATCATCTCAAGATTCCTTAACCCCAAAACAGAGCTCGGTGAATGTCCAGGGTCTACTCCGACGATGGAGTCATACCAGCTTGATAAACCTATACGACAATCCCAACCAATATAAAGCCGGCCAATGAACCCAGGTCTCTGTTCCAACTGTCACTCAAATCTATGACGAGACCACCTACTATGGCGGCCAGAACACCGTCATCCCCAGCACAACCCGTATCCTCAGCACCACCGCTGTCGTCAACGGAACCATGATCCTCCGCGGCACTATTACATGGGTCTCAAACAAACCTGGCATCGTGAGCGGAACCTCGACCCTCGTTCGTGCCACTTGCACAACAGCCCTAATTATTGAGCCAACACAAACCCGGTCCAGACTGATAATAGGAGCAGTCTCTCTGGAGGTGCTATTGCCGGTATCGTCGTCGGATGTTTGGCTGCCATAACACTTGCGGCGCTGTTGGCGTGGGGCTGGATAAGAAAGCGGCATGGAGGTGCAACCGCCGTTTATAGCAAGCAGACTGGCCCTTATCCTTATGAGAACCCACGCGGTGGATCTACTTCACACGCAGAGTCAAATGAGCCCTTCGCCATAAATTCGAGGAAAAATTCAAGCAACCAACATGACAGCCTAGGCGGATCTCGCGGACTCTCATTGCAATAACGCGGCGGGAACGAATAATACGTTGAGCAGCGATATATAGCGCAAGCAACATGAATGCCATTTAACCTTCGACTGCGTACAACAAACACCGCTAACGCGACAGATTTACGATGCTGACCCATCACTCGATAACACCTCAGCCATCGCCAACAACGTACACTAAGGGTCATATCATCTAGCACCAGCATCATAATGGTTGTTAAAAACATAAGCGCGGTGGGGTCGTTCATCTTTGCGGGACACAATGCCATACAAAGGGCGACTTTATTACGGGTTGGATATTCAGACAAAGGGAAAACGGTGGCAACAACAACAACGAAAAAAAAAAAAGGTAACAACAAGGGCTTTATGTCAAAACGAGTGATTCTCAACACAAGATCCCATTGCTGTCCATGATGTCAATCAACTCCTGTAGCGGCACAATATCTTTCTTGTCCAACAGGTCGAATTCCCGTCCAAAACTCACAAAGTGCGCAAACAGCGAGTTGAAATGTCCCTCCTGACACAGCGAAAGCATTTTGTCGTAATGTGAATGGTAAATGTGGGCAAAGACTCTGATCAGTTGCTTGAAGATGGCCCGTACAGTCTGCTGGAACGTTGCTGGGAACTCGCGTCCTACAAAGAGTAGATCGATGTTGATGTTTGTCCAAGAGAATGTTGGTTAAAACATGCTGATCATTGTCTATGCTATGGCCTAATAAAAACGAAAAAAAAAAAGCTCATCCGGTTGAAAACTCACCATCCTTGGTAGGAAACGTGTTCTCGTCATTGACAAGTGTCTGGATCCAACTCATCACGAAATCAATGTACTGCGGTGCCGGCACCCTACTCGTCTTCTTTTGCCCGTCCATCCACAGATATTCAAACCTATAAAGAACACATTCGCGAACGAGGATTTTTTTTTTGGGTTAATATAGGACCATCTTTTGTATGAAAAGAACGGGAGAAGAAGGACTTAATAACGCATGATCAAAAGGCACTTACCCTGCTCCTGCTGACATGGTTGGGCAGTCCCGCAGCGTGCAAAAGTCAGATATGGACCCGTAGAACATATTGATGTAGTTGTAAAAGTCGAAGACTGGTATGGATCATATACCGCGTGGCGGAAAAGTGAATGGATACAGTGATTAGACGATCTGAGCAAACATTCCTTTCTTTCTTTCATTCTTTGTTGTCGCACCAACAATGCCCGAAATAAAAAAAAAGTCTCTTTCCCGATAAAATGAAAAAAGGCGACACAGGAGCAAGAGAGGACGAAGCGGTAGGACTGAACGGAACGAGTGGGATAGTGAACGATCCCGCACACAACGAAACGAACCCCTTCTCCCCCCACCCATCAAAAAAGGACATGTCCAGGTATGGCGGTACTTACCATTGACTGCAAGCCATTCGTTAGCATCCACATATTTGGGCAGCTGGACGATCGTCTTGAAGTTGCCCTTGACGATTGAGTTGTTGCAGTAGGGTTGGCATAGGAATAGCGGACGAACTGCCGAAGAAGACCTCTTTGGCTTGGTCTTTCCTCCAAATTTACCACTATCATACACAGAAAAGACAAAATGTGAGCACAGCAGCATCCGGCAAAAAATCGAGAGGAACACAGCAGCTACGACCCTGGCATTGGGATTAGGGAAATGGCGCATATTGAGGCAAAGAAGCAAAAAAGATGAGCGGTATTCATGGCAGCGTCCTGAGCTTTGGGGTTGAGGGTTTGTGTGTGGAAAGTCGGTGGGACCTGATAAAATGAGAGCACTCACCTGATGTTGAAGAACCCACTCATGATGTTGAACCCGTTGGTGTGATGATGAAGTTGAAGGGGACTGGGCAAATGTATGTCCTGGAGTGGTGATAGATGAGCGAAGAGGGGAAGAAGATGAAAGACGGATGAAAGGATTGCTGTGAAGATGGAGAGATGAAGGAACGAAATGAAGCAAGTGTGGAGAAGCAAGCAAGGCTTAATTCTCTCGAAGCCTTTGAAAATGCTCAGATGATATTTTTTCAATCGTTCCAAGTACGATTTGTTCAACCGGCCCTGGCGTCTCCATGGCCGAGCAGGAAGGATTACCGCGGACAAGTCGGTCATGAAGGAGGAGGAAGTTGTGTCCTCCCGTCCCATCCCACTATCCTCCCCCACTGCCTACACTGCCTGTCTGGGCGAAGAAAGATGTCCATGGGGCTAAATTCGGTTGTCGTTGCTTGGCAAGCACGGCCAATGAGCAACGCGATCAGCAACGATGCTGTACTGCATTCTCGAAGGATCAATTTCATTCAATGGATACCGCCCCTGTTCCCACAGCAAAAAGGGTGTGTGCTTCCATGTATCTGGATGCGAGAATGGATCTTGGAGCTGTTGGTGTCCTGAAATGGCAGGAGGATCTGCCAACAAAGTTTACACGTGATACTCCTCCTTCGCTCGACACGATCTTCGCCCGTTTTCTAAGGAACCCATCACTTCCTTGACAGACTGGCAACTCCATACAGCTGATGGAGGAAAAGGGGACCTGTAGGTGATGAATTCGAAGCATGTCCTTGTTATGACCGAAGTTGGTCGAAAGGGATGTCGCTGTCACTTCATACTATTGGTTAGCATGCCTTTATTTTCAACAGATCAGACTGAAAGAGTAATAACTCCACCCGCCTTTTGATTGCCAAAAAAAAACTGACCAGTAGTAGTCATCAACCCTCTCGCCCTCTCGCCCTCTCCCTCTTTCTCGCACTCACCCCTCCCACTTCCCCTTCGAAGGATGAGGGGGAAACTAAAAAGTAAACAACAGACATGACCAGAGAAAAAAAAAATAAGGACAATCCTTCATCCTCCCACTCCTCCCCCCAACCTCGCACACCCACATCCCCACGCTCACACCAACAACAGCACCCACCCCCTCCATCCCATCCCTTCCGTCCTTCACTCGGATCAACCACATAGACATTATCGCCATAGACACCCCTCGCGTCTTGTCCATCTTTATCCTCATCTTCATTTCTTAATACTTGAATAAGGAAACCCACAGCGGCAAGATTCAAGTAGGTAAAGTCAAGGACATCACACTGTGGAGGAGCAAGTCATCTTGTCAGTCCGAATCAGTACCTGGACCAGACCAAACAAACGGCGTACCGGCTTCAACCCAAGCTCTTTTATTGAGCCACATTCATCCACGCACTCACCCATACTTCGCGTTCTATATTTTGCTTGCCTCGCTGCAGTCGGTCACCGGAAAGACCTCATTTAATGGTTCCTTCCAACGCCGATGTCGATATGCAACCTGCGACGCCACCACCCGCGTCGAATCCCTCGACGGATTTGAGTGCCCACAAGGACAAAGAAACGGCCTCCTCTCAAGTGGAGACCGCTAATGGAAAGGACGCTACACCGTCGACCATATCTCAAGTGGACAATAAGACACCCAATATCAATGGCAATGAAACTGTCACTTCGACCCCGCCTGCCGATAATGCTCACGGCAAGATCGGTGGCCACATGAGCACGAGCAACGGACCTGCGCAGAACGGAGCTGATACTGCGGATCAAAAGACAGCAATGGACTCCGCCGAAAGAATGGCTGGGAGATATGAGGATCAGGAGATGAAGTCGAATGGGTCTGACCAGAAGCAAGAGAAGCCCCTTGCTGCTGCTGCTGCTGCTGCTGCTACCGCCGATCAGGAGGACGATCAGGATGCAGATAATGATGTCCGGCACCTTTCAGATGCAAAGTATAGACGCCTGAAGCGGAAGCTAAAACGGGTTCTGGAGGTATATTTCGTTCTGATCATTCATGTCGCAAGGAATTCTCCTATTACAGTATCTAAAATACAATTCCGGCTACATCTCCCGTGTCTCAATAGGAAAATGAACGACTGAGTACTGAGCTCGACCGGTCTAATCGGCGTGCGCGTAACTTGCGACAAGAGAAAAAGTACGTGGATTGTAATAAGACATAATCCAACAGTACCATCCACATCGGCGTCCGTGACTCTGACTAAGCAAGTGTTTAATGCTATATCTCTTTGTAATGCAGTATTTTGTTAGACAGACTCTGCGCTTATGAGCGCGACTCCGACTCGAGTCCTGACACTGCGTCGTCCTCGAACAGCGAAAGTGAACTTTCGGACTCTTCTCTCAACAGCCTTCACAGATCCAGACGGGCTTCACCAATACGCGCTGTAAGAGCCTCCGCCACAAATAAACTTCTTCGGGTGCCAGGAGCCGGCAAAGGACACGAATCGACTCCTGCTCAGGATACTCATCATCCAAAAAAGACGGCTACCAAGGGTGGAGTACGACGATCCCCAGCCGTTTCTGTACGCAAGGAAGAAAAGCCCTCGACTCCATCGACCATCACGAACGTTGGATCGGCTACGCAGAAGCCCAAGCGGCTACATAACACAAGCAAGCTGAAGCCCATCCTCTCCAAAGTTCGCAAGGTCCAAGCGATTGAGAGAGACGAAGCTGGAAACGTCAAATTGCCAGTGACCGTCGGCATCATCACCATCATGAATCTGGGACATGTCGCATATGATCGAGAGGCATTCCACAACGAGCGCTACATCTGGCCTGTTGGATATAAGATGTCGCGCTCATACAACAGTATGATTGATCCTCACCAGCAGACAACGTACACCTGCAGTGTTATCGACGATGGTGAAGCGCCAAAGGTAGGCAAATCGCTCTTCTTTCGACTATGTAGACATTGAAACTTTACAATCCAAGGCTACTTCGGTACTGACCTTTATTTCTCTTTCCTTCTTTCTTTCTTTCTTTCTTTCTTTCTTTCTTTCTTTCTTTCTTTCTTTCTTTCTTTCTTTCTTTCTTTCTTTCTTTCTTTCTTTCTTTCTTTCTTTCTTTCTTTCTTTCTTCTTATCTAGTTCCAAATTGATGCCGAGGATCAGCCAGGAAAGCCAATTATTGCGGGCACAGCTACTGGCGCGTGGACACATATTGTGAAGGCAGCCAATCTCATTCGGAAACGCGACCATTCTAACTCTGCCTCTGGTCCCGATTACTTTGGCTTTTCTAACGCGACAATCGCCAAAATGATTCAGGATCTGCCTAACGCTGAGAAATGCAAGGGTTATATCATGCAGCGATTTGAAGAACCCTCTGGGAAGGCAGAAAAACGCAAGCTCTCGGTGCTGGACTCCAAGGCCAATAAGGGTGACGGCGACGATGGAGAAGATGACAAGGACGAGGAGGAGGTGGATGAAGAGGATAACGAGTACACTTCTTTGGGCACCCCTGGAAAGAAGAAGATTAAGCGGTCCTCGTCACCAAAGATCCGCAATGCTGGGTTTGATCTCGGGACCAAGGACAATGGTGAAGAGATGGAAGAAGTGGAGGACGGGGAGGAGGTGGATGAACTGGATGAGCTGGGGGATGATGAGACTCAGTCGGAGATGGATGCCGAAGACCTTGAGTCTTCATCGAACCCAGAGTCGAGGACGGCACCTGAACTCTCTGCAGATCAGGAACCGCATCCGACCACCACCTCAACATCGACCTCGACCTCGACAGCAACAGCAACAGCATCAACAGCCGGTCCTCCTATCGTGATTTCCTCTGCAGACAAGACAGCTGGCGGAGGTCCAGGCGCTCCCGAGGCAGACCAGGTTCAGATGGAAGATGCTGATGCGAATGCGGACAAGGCAGCAGACTCGACCACGACGCAAACAGAGTAATTTAATGGCCTAATAATAAAACTAGAGGATATCCTTTCATACATGTATCCGCAGTCTTGTACTGGTCATACTAGAATTTTTGGGGGAGGCGGAGTTTTTTTTTGGTGATATGGGAACCAGGCGCGTAGACTGAGCTGCTCAGCTTCATAAACGACTGAACGTTGTGGAGGAATGAAACCTAAAGGGACTTTAAAGTAGTCTTTGAGAACAGGGATCAGCGTCCCTGCTGGCTATCTCCCTTGGACTTTCAAACACGTATCCATCTTGGTCTACGATTAAGTCCCTCTACGCAAAGCGCGACATGCTGCAGGGACTTTTGAAATTGCATTCCGTGAAAAGCTGGGCTGGGGCATAGAGAAACGACAGATGTGGTAGCTTTTCTATTTTTTCATTTTTTTTCTAATGAAGGCAACAATTGTTCGAGACCCTTTTTTTTTTTTTTTTTTTTTGGTGTCAAAGGACCAACTAGTCTAGTCTACTGCTCATGGTCAACTCCTTCCATTCAGCACCAGCCCCGATTGCATAAAAAAATATACCGGCCCTGTTTGAGAAAGCTCATAATTTACACAGAAGGTCGTACAAATTGTTTGTTTACCATTGTAGTTATGGATCGTGGTCCAGTCCTTTAAATTACATCCGCTACCACTGAAGGAAGGGAGAAAGATGCGCGTGTTCGTCTTCGTTTTCTCTGCCAAACATTGCGCACATGGCATGCTACTATATAGACTATACTGTCTTTAATATGGCCCATTGGAGGATTATAGGCCAAGAAAGTAATATTACTTCTATTGATAACCTCCACGGCGGTCAGCTCGTGTTTAAAGATAGGATAGTAACCCTGAGCGATATAATACGTCAACCGAAACCAAAAAGAGCAGGGCTGCTATGTCTGTCATTACAAGTACAGAAGCACAGGCTGTGGTGGTAATAGCGGATCAAACCCCTTTGTTGAGCATTTTACCGTGTCTATCATCGCTTGCACCACTTGCCCACAATACCACCATCACTAGCTGTGATCATAAGTAGCGTGTCTCATAAGGGTGGGTGCAGTCGTGTCAAATCCGAGATGTGTGTATAGATGTCTTGTATCCCTTAGTAGGTACAAAACGACTGACTATAGGCGCACAAAGAGAGCAAAAAAAGAACAACAACATGCGCCGACATCAGCATGCAGGCACGGATGGCAAAAAGCAAAAACGGGAAAATGAGTGCAAGCACCTTGTGTGAAGCGAGTCGATTTGTTTGTTGTCCCCCCCAGGAACGGGTCGCTCTCTCGTGTCTCCCCCATAATCCAGTTGCGCTACCCTGGCGCGCTGCTGTTTTTTTTAATTTTCCGCCTTCTCTCTCCACTCTTTAATTTAGTTCAGAACCAGCCTCCTACAGCTGAGAAAAAGAGCCCAATTGAGTACAGCTTGGTCACTTTACGCGTCGCATAGACGTATGACGACTTGGTCTACTCAAAAGGCTAACTAGACTAGCAGAAGAATGAATGGCGAATGAACCCTATGCTCTGAGCCCTCTTTTTCTTGTCAGCAACAAAAGAAACAAGTCGCTCAATGTTTTGTGTATGTGTTTGTGTGTGCATGCAGAGCGTGGATTGGCTGGATGGTCCTTGACCATTGCAGTTTGCCCTCCTCACCTTCAGGGCGCTCACCGGATTGGCTGCCTGCTGTCGGCTGGGCCAATAGGCGCTGTTCGTATCGAACGCAGCAGAGAACGCCCGGCTTCGGTGTCGCCACATGGGAACTTGATTATATTCTTATTCCTCCTTGAGGCACCTTTTTACTCTTCTTATTCTTCTTCCCACCGTTGAATCTCAACCCTCTCATCAGCCGCCTCCTCCGCTCCTCTTCATTCCTCCATCAACCCTCCGCACCCCTTCCCTCCTCATCAGTCGAGGCTGCCATTTGTGGGACCAATACACCTCCTTCTTGAAACGACCCCCCAACTCTTCACTCTCACACTCTACTCGACTCTCATTCTTCCCTTCAAGTTCCTAATACCGCACACACTGCGAACCCTTTTGTCACCCCAACCCTCTGTCTTCAATTGCCCCGTATACCCTCCTGTCAGTCTCTGTAGTTTCTTCTTAACCATGTCACGACTCTTGTCCAAGGTCACTGCGCTGGCGACGTTGGTACTGGGGTTCTTGGCCATAACTGATGCCCTTGGCTCAGGCAAGTCTTTATTTTATTCTTCCCTGGCTTTCATATATTTTTAAATTCATCTCGCATGTTTTAACCGTAATCGCCAACAACTCAACAGATGTCAGCTACACGGGCACTCTCTGCCAGAATTATGTTAACTATCGGGTCTGGGTTCCTCCTGGTGTCAACATTTCTCTCATCGAAGAAAGCCTTATTCAGCAGGGAATGAATGCTGCAAATTTGGCGTTGCTCCCTTCTACCTGCTTGGAGCCCTTCATGGAATATGTTTGCTCGTCCTCTTTTCCAAGAGTGGAGGCAACCAGTGCCAGTAAGAAAGTTTGAATCTGCAAGGCTAACGCTTAATAACATCTAGGCATCAATATGTACTCATTCTTTATATCGCATTATGTCTTTTGCCAATGTAGCAAACACCTTCAATGTCAGGTTCGCATGCAAGTCCACATGTCAAGCTGCAGCGACCCAGTGTACCTCATTGCTTACAGCTGCTGGGAAGGGCAGCCTGGCTCCCCAATGCGATGCTGCTATTCCAGGAACAACAGCGACTGTCCCGCCAAACGGCATTTTTTTTCAACCCGACAACGCATGCAATGTAGTGCAGCCGCTTAACGATGCACCAGTAGCTGGAGGCGCTGGAAACACGACAACTTGCGACTCGCCCTTTATTCCCGACACCATGTTGGGGCCTGGTGGCAGCTCAAGCAACCCGCAGTACTGTATGGCGGGATGTTGTTTGCCCTGCCCTGCACAGTATTCACTTTACCGCACAGGAGCATTGGAGACTGGATTCAAAATCACGAACACGATGCGCGCTATTTCGATGGTCTTCAGCTTTATCTTGATGGTCTCATACATCTTTTTGCCGGACAAGCGATCGCATCCAAGTGCCTTGATTTTGTTTTTTGCCATCTGCGTGTTCTTGTTCTCGGCTGTGGTCATTTTCCCCTTAGTGGACACCCGGGCCATGCAATGTCATGATGCCATCAACCCCAGCACTCAGCAGAACAATCTCAAATGTGCCATTCAAGGTAAAAAAAAAAAGACAAAATAGGTAGACGGCTTTTTGAACCATGGACTCGACAGCTTCCGCATCCAGGGCTCTACCTAATTGTTTGTGTAATTTTTATTCCTCCAGGTGCTTTGTTGATCTTTGCTTCGGTGTCGACATGCGCCTGGTGCACAGCTTTGATTCTCAACCTGCATCTGCACACTGTCTGGAACTCTGCCTGGTTCGCGAAGCGTTACTGGCTTCTCCACAGTCTCTGCTGGGGCTTTGCAATTGTAGTTACGTCGATTGCGGTGGGCATGGGCGAGATCCGGTGGGAGTTTGCGACCTTGTGCCTGATCTCGCAGGAGAAGTCCTCGCAGATCTTTTTCTATCCAATGGCAGCGATGATCTTCCCAGCGTTCCTGGTCCACATCGCGACGTTTATCCACATCGCACGGATTTCTGCCCAGGCCGGTGCGGACTCTGAAACGATGTCGCGATCGACGCTGTCCGCAGGCGCTGCAGCGGTGATCTCGCATCGTCGCCATGTGATGATGGCCATCAAGATTCAATGGAGAGCAGCCGTGATGGCGATCAGTGCGATTATGAGTGTGATGTTCTACTGGCTATTCTACTTTTTGCAGCTCAAGAAGATCAAGCCCGAGACGCTCAGGCCCCATATCGGAGACTTTGTGGTGTGCCTCAAATCCGGCAATGGGCACGATGCGTGTGCGGACCTAATCTCGCCGTATCTGCCTCCCTATGGATTGATGATCGCGGCCGAGTTCTTGGTGTCGACGATTGGAACTGTCATCTTTGTTGTGTTCTTCAAGGCGGCCTTGGTTCGGGAATGGGCCGAGTGGTTTGGGTCGATTAGGTACCTACTGAGTGGCAAGAGACGCCAGAAGAAGGAGCAGGACCAGTTCTTTGTTATTTAAGAAAAGGACACACCGTTTTTTTATTATTCTAGAACCTTTTAATGTAATGAGCACATTTTCAAAAGAAACCATGGTTTTTTTTGCAGAAAATAGGAGCCAATGCAGTGGGGGCGACATCTTATTCAGAAGCGAGATGCTGGCAGACAATACAAGTATGAACCTAAAGCATGAGCACCATGCATCTGCATGGTCAAGGAAGGAAAAAAGGCCAGGGGAATGTGTGAAATGAAGGCGAAGCCGCGAAGGAAGTTCTAATTGAAAACCAGGTTCGTAACTTAAACCAATGGTTCGATCTCCCAACCGACGGGTTGCAGACGATTGGAAGAGCAAAGAAAATAGAAAATGATCCTTTATTATTACTCTAGCCATTGGCAGTAAAAGCGTTCGATGACAGTGTGAAGCAGGGTCAGGCGACGAGACTGTGAGACTGGGTGCAAATGGATACTTGAACCAATGACAGCTCCCGAGTGTGAGCGGGGACCAGAGTGCTATATAGGGTGCCTGCTCTCGAAATGCAAGGCTCGCTACAGTCGTCTTGGCGCGGTCCTCAGTTGCAGCAATAAAATGGAGAGTGCTCATTCCGCCGTGGATTGGATGCTCACCCTGGAGAGGCCACCTCCGTATAAGAAATCGTGTGATGAGCACTACCGTCTCTTGAGAGAGAAAGAGGGAGGGAGGGGAGCGAGAGATTCACCTCCCCCCCCCTCCCCTCTCTCTCCTGTTCATTCTTCTTGCTCCCCTTTTCCTGCGGTGGAGGTTCATTTCTGGTATACTTCCTATGTCCTTTGTCCTATATCCTGCCCAATGACAAATGACGAGGGTCGCTTTTTTTGTCCTGTCAATGACTTCATAGCGCTGGATGGGTGGTATACAGTCTGCCTCTGTCAAAGAAAGACTTCTTTCATTCTCCTCATTCCTCCCATCTCCACTTTCTTTCTTTCTCTCTTTCCCTCTTTCCCTCTTTCTCTCTTTCTCTCTTTCTCTCTTTCTCTCTTTCTTTCTTTCTTTCTTTCTTTCTTCCCTTTCCCCTTCCTCCTGTCCCTGTCCCTGTCCCTGCCCCATCCCTGTTCCTGCTCCTGCTCCTGCTCCTGCTCCTGTTCCTGTTCCCCTTCCCCTTCTCCTCTTCCTCTTCATCTCACAGCTCCTCATTCACATCCAACCGCCACCCTCTTTTCCATCCCTTCATCCCTTCCCTTCCCTTCCCTTATTCTGTCTCTCTACCTAATCGAGCGTTCCCTTCTTCCGCCCCACCGCACTCCATGGGGAACCAGCACTCGAAGCGACTTGGCTCAAAGGGCAATCGCTCCTCGACCATTCTAGATCCCAATGTGCATCCCCTCAGTAACAACAACAATAGCAATAACATTAACAAGGACAAAGAGCGCAAGAGCAAGAGCAAGGACAGGCGCAAGAGCTCATACCCCCCTAGTCCCCATGAACAACAATCGAATCAACACAGCAATAATAGCAACAGCAGCAATAGCAGCAATAGCAGCAACATTAGCACCCCAGGTGACAATGGTCGAGGGACAAGGTCTTCTGGCGTAAACGCAGAAGTCAATGGCCGTGGACACGAGCATCATCAGCAAGGCCATAATCAGAACCGTACCTCTCGAGAGGCACATAGGTCGTCTTGGCAAGGCCCCTCAGCAACAACCGCGAACCAGAAAACAGCAACCACTGTAGGACTAAAGAACGGCATCGACAGGCCTGTCCCCGTCAATCAAACATCGCTCGGAGCTGTCAGCAGAGAGTATGACCGATCTGAAGGGGGTGCAGGTTCTGCGACAGCAGCGACGAAAGGGGTGACAGCATCTGCAGCTGCAGCTGCAGCTACAGCACCAGTAACGATTACCACTGCAGCGACAATAACATCATCCACAACAACAGCAGCAGCGGCAGGAGAGAGGGTCGAATTACATCGCACGGTGCCACCGCAGTCGATCGTCAATAATGGTGGCACGAACAACAGCAGCGCACTCGATGGCAGCTCAAAAGGACTAGGCTCGACAACAAGGGAGTCAACCGAATTGGGCTCACAAGCGCGCCACTCCCTGGACACCCTTGCCCAGACCAACCACAACCAGACCCGGGCCAATGGCAAGGGCAGTGACCAACAACCCCCACAAGCACAGGCCCGGAGCAGCGAGGCGGTGCATGGTCAGAACCACGCAGCTGGAGACAGCCGCAACGATACCCAACTACCACACCAACAACAGCCTTCTCCGCAAAAGCAGCAGGGGAAGCAACAACAGCAGGATTCGTTCCCTTCGTTCCCAGCACCTAATATTCCCTTTGCAGTATCGACGCCAGGCAACCCTATCCTCGTCAAAAAGCACAATCTCGCGCCTTTAACCATCGCCTCAACGCAGACCTCCTCGCTCCTCGGCCGGTCACCTCCTTCACTCTCCCCAAAGTCGGGCAGCCACAGGAAATCCGCAGAACTCTCACCGACTGCACGCCTCCCATTTTTGGGACCATCTGTAGGAGACAAGACCAACAAGGGGGGTCTGGATCTGGACGACATGATCTCTCGACTGCTGGATGCTGGATATTCTGGAAAAATATCCAAGGGCGTGTGTCTTAAGAACAGCGAGATCCTGGTCATCTGTCAAGCAGCCAGGGAAATTTTCTTGTCGCAACCAACATTGATCGAGCTGCATGCGCCTGTCAAGATCGTGGGTGACATTCATGGTCAATACACAGATTTGCTGCGACTCTTTGAGATGTGTGGATTCCCGCCATCAGCCAACTTTTTGTTCCTGGGAGATTACGTGGATCGAGGCAAGATGAGCCTGGAGACGATCCTGTTGTTGTTTTGTTATAAGATTAAGTACCCCGAAAACTTTTTTTTGCTCCGCGGCAACCATGAATGCGCCAATGTCACAAGAGGTAAGCTAGATTTACGCATGCTCTCTCTTCGTTGTTTGTTTGTGTGTTGTTGTTTTTTTTTTTTCCAAGGCACATTCATGACCCTGGATCGTGGTATTATGTCGCCGAAGCGCATTCACGGACTTTGCTGCAATACATCACCGCGCATAAAGAATGACATCGTTAAATGGATCGGGAAAGAGAACCAGGCTCACAGAAGATTCTTCAATGTGGTATTTGGACACGCAAAGAAAATCTCGACAGAAATAGGCAATCGGACAACTTGGAGGATGAGAAGCATCGCCAACCTGGAACGAATGTATGCCCTGTTGACTCTTCATGTTTGATCATGCGAGCAAAGACGAGCAAGGACCACACAGAACCAAAAATATCGTTTTTTTTTTTTTTTCTTTTTTTTTCATTCAATTTTGAGTTATGTCAAAATCTCTAATCACAAACTTTAACCATGGTCCTTCATTTAGTCTATGGTTTCTATGACGAATGTAAACGAAGAGCCAGTATCAAGATGTGGAAGGCGTTCGTGGATGTGTTCAACTGTCTGCCTCTGGCAGCGATTGTTGCCAACAAGATCTTTTGCGTCCACGGAGGATTGTCACCGAATTTGTCGAGCATGGACGACATCCGCGCACTGCGGCGACCGACAGATGTACCAGACTATGGCTTGCTGAACGACCTTTTGTGGTCCGATCCATCAGACACAGCACTGGATTGGGAGGACAATGAGCGCGGGGTGTCATACTGTTTTGGCAAGAGCATCATCCAGAGGTTTTTGAACCGACATGATTTCGATTTGGTGTGTCGAGCACACATGGTGGTGGAGGACGGATATGAGTTTTTCAACGACCGGACGTTGGTCACGGTGTTCTCGGCCCCGAACTACTGTGGCGAATTCGATAACTATGGAGCGGTGATGAGTGTGAACGAGGACCTGCTGTGCAGTTTTGAGTTACTCAAGCCGATCGATCCAGCGACAGCCAGGGCGCAGATGCAGAGTTTAGCGGCGAACTCAGGTGGTTGGAGAGCGAACAAGCAACGGTTGAGGTAAGCCAAAATTTGTGGTGGACATTATTTCGTTGCTGTCTTCAGAAACACTGTGGCTGCATCGGTTGGACACTTGGCTGACCTAGCTTTCGTTGCTCCTTGATGTGTTACTCCTCTCATAGCATACCAGATAATAACCCTCTGTACGGCACATCCCAAGGCAGTGTCGGGAGTACATATTAATGACAATTAATGCGGAAGGTCTTAAGGACGGTCCGGAGAGGAGCTCTTGTTCTATGTAATTCTGTACCATACATGAAAAAAAAAACGATTCTATCCTTTCATTGGCATTTCATAGAACGGCGTACTTGTTATTAGTTACTGCGTTGTGGTGAACATATGAGCTTACTATTGTTGGATGCTGCTTGCAGAGTCAGTAGATGTAGGGCTGTTGCTTTCGAAAGGAGGTTGTTGAATATGTTGACGAATGGATTGTGGGATGTTACGGGCAAGATCTAGTTTTACAAATGGCAAGGGAAGGTCAAGACTGAAGAGATGAGAGAAGTGCAGGCTGGAACAATGTTCCTCTTCACAAGAAGTTACATACGCCCAAGTATGAAGGACACTTCAGCCTCAGCCCATCGTGCCCGTTACTGAGCCTTAAATATGTCCTTTGGCTGTAAAGTGATCAGGGCCGAAGGGATAATGAAAGGCTGTTCGATCGCTATTATGTTGCATCAATGTTGGCGCAGCTGAGCCAGAAAAAAAAAAGAGCGGCGATAGTTCTCAGGTACGCCCGCCCTGCTTCTGTTCAAAAACGGCGGATAAAATTTTGTCCAAAGGACCTCCGCTTTCCCATTCCGGGGACGGATAGACAGAGAATGGAATGAATGCACCGGCCATCTTCTAACAAGCTTTAGGCGAAGTATATTCCAGTGCATGTATGCGGGGAAGATATATGATAGTCTACTATAGTGGGTCTACTTTGATCCAGATCCCCGCCACACAGTAAAGCGGAGGAACTTCCGTCCAGATGTGCATTAATGTCAGCCTGCAATCGGTCCTAGCGGGCGCAAAAAAACAAAGTCCTCAGGAACATAGTTTGGAGCAAAAGACAGTGTGGACTGGCGGTGCTGCCTTTGGGCGATGCTCTTAAAGTATCGTTGGATCGGAGGTAACAAAAACTACAGCCGAAAAAACACTGGATTTTTGACTGAGGTGTATTACCAGGGATTGCGGATTTGAATTTTGGGCGATGGGCAGTAAAAAAAAGACATAAAAGGACACGGAGCCCCTCTCACATAAGTCCACACACTCTTCTTTGGCATCACTCATTCCTACTCATCTCATCTCCCCAACTCTCATCCATTTCCTCATCTCCATCGCTACTCCTCAATAAAGACTCAAACCATGTTAACATCCCTCCACAATAAGGTCTCCACGCTCGTCCATCGTCGTACCCGTGACCGGGCTGCTCAGGATGGCGATATTCAGGATGCCAACTTCGTGCCTAACGACGATGCTGTCGTTAATACCAACCCCTCCATCAACTGGGATTTCACCATCGTCTTTAAGGGCGCCAAGGTAACTAATCGTCCGTGTATTCTATGCGGAGTGTCGGCATGTCGATAATGAGTCCTCATCGCGCGTCAGGGAGACAGCGAATGCCCTTCATAGAATTGGACGCGGCTTGGTGACACAGCTAATGTTTAATTTGCTATCAATATTGCCGCCAAAAAAAAACAACGTAAAATAGGACCTTCCTCGTGGCGATCTGCTCAGCTCCGATCCATTCCTGGAGGCATACCTTGGGCCTCCCGAGGACAAAGAATCCCTCTCATTTGTGTAAGTAGCCCTTTGCGATCATTTAAATGGAGACCCATGGATCCTCCACGCGTACGCACGCATATGATATTTGATGGCGCCCGAAAAATATAAATAGAGACAAAAACAAGTCGAGAGCCGAGTCGTTGTGATAGATTTTTTTTCCCCCTACACGTTTCTAATCGCCGACGGCTGCGCCTTTTCGTTTTCGTGTCGCATCATTCTAATTCCGTAGCACCGGTGTTCAGTGGTCGACACTCAACCCAGAATGGAACGCTACATGGCACCTCCTGAACGTGACGGATGGGATGATGATGCAGATCCTCGTCAAGGACAAGAACAAGATGATGGTTGACACAGATCTCGGAAGAGCATCCATGCTCCTCGGCGCAAAACTTGAGGGTGTACAAGAGCACGTCCTGGATATCTGGCGATCGGATGATCATAAGCAAGGTCAAATCATTATTCAGGTAAGGATCATTTTTCATGCGATGATCTGTTACAGCGGTGGTCACTCTATCAAGTCACTGGGACTTACTCCGATGTGTCCTTCACGAATATTGTAATAGACTACTGGAGTTCGTTGTGCTGGCAAATCTGCTGCGTTGACTAAGGCGTCGACCAAGGGACCCGCTCGTTACTCTCGCCACACAAGCTACGCGGCCGGTGTCTTGACCCGCGAGAAAACATACGAGTTTTACACGTACCGCATCCGTCTTTACCACCTCTTTGATGTCTTTGGCACAGACGAGCGCTACCATCAGCACTGGAACACTGAGTACGACGCCGCGAAGCGTATCTTTGCCGACAATCTCGAGGGCCTCAACATCCGCAATGCGCTCCATTCGCAGCACTCGTACCTCTACCGCCACGGCCGCAACACCATCTACGACTCCCTGGCGACTGCAGAGGACTGGGGCAAGCTCTTGCACGGCGACCGCCTGAAGAAGGACCCTAACCAGGATCTCAAGACCGTTGTGTTCACGTACTCGATTGTTCCCAAGGGGTTCTACTTTTCAGAAACAGGCACAGCGTTCTTCCAGGACTTCATGTCGAAGCATGCCATGCACGCAAACCGTGCACAGCAGGTGATGTACTCTGGCGAGTTCCGGCTGTTCAGGGACAAGCTCCATAACGACGACTGGACATTGCTGATCGACAACAACTCGGGTACTTATGCGCCCAAGAAGGAGGATCTACTCAAGCTCAAGGAGCTCTTTGAGCTAAACTTTCCTGATTTGGTCGTGATGCCGCTGGATCACGAAGACCCGTATCTGAAGGAGATTCGGGAGGCGACGAAGCAGATCGAGGCTGCGCAGGCTTCTCAGCAGACCCAAAGATTGACACTTTTCGGAGCGATCAGCTCGAAGAGCGGGCAGGAGGTTATGCAGGTCCACGGCCAAGAAAATGATGAGTGTCAGGCTTAAGGACGCTTCTGACAGGAAACACATACCGTAGTAAATAGAAATCGAATAATATACCGCCGGCATTTTTCTTCTTTTTTGGGGGGGATAAAGGGCACAGATTGTTTGCGCGACACCTTGTCAAGCCACTTTGTTGGCCTGCCTATTTGCAGTGAAAAATTTTTCTCATACATAAACAGACTCATTTCGATCTCACTCTTTCTTTCACCTCTTCTCACTTCCATATCCCACGCTCTCCTTTTCTTTTTTCTTGCAACGGTAAGCCCTCTCATCCCGCGAATCCTTTTTGTTTCCTCACACATATACACTTTCTACCCTTTGCTTCCCCTACATCCCTCGATAGAAGGCTGACGATGGTTTATTGTAATTTGCGTTTGATCTGGGCCATGTTGCCGTGGGACCTCGCCGGGTCCTACTCTAGCGGCCTTGTGCTTTATGAAACCCCTACTTTGCTGAAGCCATTCATTCTATCACTCTTCTTTTTGTTTGTCTTCTCCATCTCAGTCCGTTGTTTCTCAGTCCTTAGTCTTATTTCTTTTTTCTTGATCTATCGTGCCATTCTCGACGCGTGGATGTAAAAAGAAAAAAAAAAAAGAAAGACTGGGGTGGGTAATAATAGAGACGCGAGTGAGGTGGGAGGGGAGAAAAACAAGATGAAACCAACGCAGTCGCGTACTTTTTCACTGTTGTCATTTATGACATTGAGGAAAGAAAGCCTTTGATACTGATGAATTTTATTTTTATTCCTATTCTTTCAGATCTGCTTGCTTGTCCCGCACGCGATTTTCGACTTTTGGATTGTGTGAACCACAGGATAGCTCAGGTGGTAAGTTCGATCCCTGTCCACTTTATTTTCACATCATGACCGCTCGAAAGAAAAAAAAAAGACGACGACGCGGAGAGATGTCAGTTTTTTTTTTTATTATTATTGGAAGGGGGATGGAAAACAGCAATGATTAGAACCATGTTCGCTTACCTGAGAGCTTTATTGCCATGCGGACCAATACATTTATACACCAAGATCTCTGAGTCCTGTTTCCTTCATCCCCCCTCCCTCGAAAAGAAGAAAGAAGGATATCCTTCATTCTCATTTATTTCAGCAATTATGGTTGCTTATGAAATGAGATTTGTTTTTCTAACTGATGAAGCATCATTCTTTGTTTTTTTGGTGTTGCAGAGTCATTGAAATAGGTTCTTTCAAGGGTTGTTGCTATGTATAATATTAATAAAAATTAAAAGAATTTCAACGAAAAGCTTTGTTTCTGTGTCGCGTGAATGTTGAGGCTGCTTCTTTGGTGTTTCGTGCGCTGTGCACCCGAAATCTATTGTCGTGAAGCCATTCGTTCTCCATCATGTTCCGTGGAACTGTTAATAATAAACATAAAAAAATCGCAACCTTGTCAGGATCGTGTGGTTAAGCGGAAGTGCCTTTGGAGCGCCTTCATGTAGACTACTGGAGATTTACGCTGCATAAGGGGCAAGCCCTATGAGCCATCCAGATCATGAGTCTTAAACAGCAACGCCGAGTCTGCAATTGGACATGTGGTTCGCCAGTAGCCTGTACTCCGCGGAAAAGTTGGTGTATGGAAAGCTCACTCGACCCATAAAGACCAGAGATTCATCACTTCAATCATAGTCCTTCAGTCCTCCGGAAGAAGCGCTAGTCCATGGAGCTCGACTGTTTTCGAGCTTCATTGCTGACATATTTGCGATGCACAGGAAGAAATTGTCGTGAGAAAGACGCCTCGGTACTAGAGGAGGAGCTGAAACTATAGTGGTAATTCAGCTTACACAGCTCAGAGGATCGTCCCTTCCAAAAATCCTGTGCAGTACCAGGCAATCGAACCTTGGAAGGCAGGCAGGCAGGCCCTGATTCGGATCGCCCTTGAAAAGTCTTCAAGATAGACGACGAAATCATCAAGGAAGAAGAATCAACGTCGTAACCCACTCTCTTAGTCCTTCCAGCATCAGGTATGCATCCTTCGCGGTTTGCCGTCTAATCTCAAGCTGAATGCACTGAGGCTATTCGAATGACCAAGCACCCGATCGAGAGAGAGTCTACCGTCTCGGCGGGTTTGCTGAAACTGATAAAAGCATTACATTCAGCCTTGTCCCCTCTCTCTTGCCCAGTAAGTGAAGAAAGCGAGACTTCCCAAGTGAAAGTCTCGCGCTGAATTAAAAATAATTAGTAACATTATCTCCATCGGCCTGGGGCCAACATAAAACGCAGGCGCAGCCAATAGAGAGATCGCCATCGATGTGCCGCAGCTCGCGTGTTCGCTCCTGGTTTCCTTGAACGCTAGCTGGAATACCAGTTTGAAATAAGAGCCACAGCGCGTCCCGTCTGGCAGACGCGGCCTCACACACCACTGAACTTCAAATAAAGACGCGAGGAGCTGGTGCCGTGTACAGATATGAGCGTGTCGAGGGTACCATGTGTCCCTTTGGGGGCGCGGTCGACCAACTTCTTCGCCTCCGGCAACTAATTTTGCTTACAGTCATGTATAAAATCCCTTTCCCCCCCAGCCCACCACGCACTCGTCCCTCCTTGTCGTTGTCATTTCTCATTCTGATCATCTACCTCCACCGATCCCCTCATCGAATTTTCACATCTTCGAGCGAGGTGCTATTTGTCTAGACCATGGCTACTATCGAACCCTCAGGTGCTGCTCCGCCAGCATTGCCTGCCTCGGAACAAGAATTCCTCTCTTCATACTTTTCCCAGCGCTATCGCCATCGTACCAGCTATGTACAAAATCTTGCTCTTACCCATGGCGAAAATATCCTGCCTTTACTGAAGGAGCTGCTCGCCACACAGCCCGTTATCAAGTCGATCCCTATCGCTCGCCCGGCCACAAAGGAGACGGAGCTCAATGCGGATGGCGGAAACCCTTCCCCCGTGGTTGACGACCATCCTTTGTCCTTCGCGCAGACTAATGCCACGTCCCGTTACATCCAGCGTGATACCGGGCTCGCCATGGCCATTACCCTCGCCCAAAAAGGAAGCACTCGTGCAGTTGGTCTCTTACTTGCAAACCTGAATCATCCATACCAGGTTGGCAAGAAGAGTTTGCTCAGCTGCCTTGCCTTATGTGCCACTGACGACGACATCCTTGCGGCCGCTGCAGATTCTGCTCCTGCGGTCCGCGATGCTTTGATCGCTGCTCTGACCAAGGCAAAGCGCAAGGGCCTTGTCAGCGACATTTTGGGAAAGCCCCGCCATGTATGTTGCCATCTTGTGCTCGTTCTACCTTGACTTCATGCCTTGAGGGAAAAGTACGCTTCTAATTAGTATTGTTGGGTCAATTGCACGATGTAGATCGCTAAATCCAAGCCGCTGGTGCCACTTACGACCCGCTTTCGGCGAGCACTCGAGCGAGCCCAGGAATACGAGCGCGAGCGAATTTGGAACAAGTACGGTGGTGTACTGGATATCACCAACCAGCCCGGAAACAATGACTGCGAGCCCGGCGAGTCAATCAAGGATGTAGTCCTGTCTCTGCAAGAAACCTTCCCACCCTTGCACAGTTGGGACAGCGCCAAGCCCGATCGACGGTCCCCGAAGCTCGCCGCTATGATCGAATCCTCTTTAATACCGCTCCTCAAGCACGACACTAAGAGAACGGTGCATATTCTACATCGGACCTCATGGCAAGTCCGCGGAGATAACCAATATTCCGCACATGTCCCTGCAGGCATGATCAATGGGAAAAGGGCGCGCCGTTTCTGGTGTCATCGTAGTAGTAATGATACGCTGTTTCAAGAATTCTGGCTCAGTCTCATAGCCGTTGGCAATGGTGAGCTCGTGAAGAACGGCACTCTGTCTCAAGAGTTTTTCGAGTTCTGCCGTGGACCCGAAGTCGACTGCATAGTTCGTGCCGTTCTCGTATTGACCGAGGCAGACGAGTTCAAGGCACGGTCGACCACAGATTCCGCATCGCAAGCCTCTCGCCTCAATAACATCTTCAAGTTCGCGGCGGCAGGCGTGCATAACCTGCTTACGCGTATTTCGGGTTGCTCAGTACTAGATAAGCGCACCGCAACCACGGCCATGTTCCATCAGTACCTTCGAGAGCTCTTGTCACTGCTTTGCTCAAAGGCAGTTGCAGCCATCCATGGTCAGAAAATAGGGAACGCGGCCTTCCGCGACCGACTTTACAATGACGTCCTCAAGCTCGTACTAACGAACGACCCAAGCAGCTGGGTGCGCGTGACGTCTCCAGAGCTGAGATCGTTCCCACCACTCGCTCAACACCTCTTCGATCAGGTTCAAGACGTCTTCAGGGGAACATGGACCGAATACCAGCACACGACCGTATGTTTTGTCGAGGACTTCATTGAGCTCCTTGCGCCCAAAGATACAAGTGTCTATGCGATTCCCAACGACGGCTTTGTACAGCCATTTTCCTCAGTTCCGTCGTGGGACAATATCTCGGTGTTCCAGACGTTTATCGCCGATGGCTTCAGCAAGACCGGCAAGGAGATGATCCAACTGGATTCTAGGTGGAACTGTCATCTTGCCACCTTGGCACCAAACTTAACGCCTGAGCAGCGCGACCAAGTGTTCCGTTGGGTAACAGCTTTGCCCAGCTTCAAAGCACAGATTGAGGAAGACCCAGGTTCCCATAACATGCATTTGATGATTCAGGCTCTCGGCACCAATATTGAGCTCCGACACCAAGTCGTCTTTCCATTGGTATTCTTCGACAGGAAGGATAAAGAGGTTGATCTGGGCGAGCAAATCTCAGACTGGGCGGCCTATGTGGATATTCGTATTCCAGATGTGCGAGCACTGTTGGTCAAGGAAACTACCAAACCGACGTTTGAGGATCGTCTCAAGTGGATCGCTGCCATTCTCAAGGCTACTCAGCTAGTTGGAGATGTCAAGGAGTGGATCATCACCCTGAAATGGCTTATTCCCAAGTATGTCCATGCTTCTTTCATCCCTCGCCTTGCGCACAGCAGACAAAACTTTTGGACTCCAGGTACTGACCATAAGTCTATCCGATTTATTTTATTTCACGCCTCGTAGGATCCGCAACGAGATTCACCCGAACGTAACGTCTCTTGCGCCACATCTGTGGACCAATCGTGGGCTGATCTCAAGGCAGTATCTGGACAATGCAACCTTGGAGGAGGCAAAGGAGTTATCAAAGTTGTATCTCGCCATGGATGCCCAGGTAAAGACCCCAGTTTATCGTCCTTGCTCTTGCATGTGGGCATGATTGATATTAACTGACTATATCCTCGTGGTACCGAAAATAGAACACGGCTGCTGTCACTGCAGTGTACGCTATCACTGGCTTTATTGATGGCATATCGACCGAGGCTCTCAAACGCTTCGCCGGGCATGCCTCGCACCCTTTCTTCCAGTTTGCTGCAGAGATTCGCTGGAGACGCGTCCTGACAAAGTACGGAGAGCTGACTGCACTAGATAATTACAATTTGCCTACGGGTGCACCCATGTACGGCGACGCTCGATCGGAGCGCGATGAAGAGAGCGAGATCATCAGACGCCAACTGCTAGCCAAGGAGCAAGAAACGCTGAAGACGGAGGGCGGTCCATGGGGTCTGTATCAAATCATGGAGGGACACGAGGAAGCCTTTGTTCAGGCAAAATTGAACGCTTTCCATTCGCGCTGGCTTTCCGTGAAGACGATGATGGATCCAGATGTCCAGGGGAGGGATGTGCAGGCGTTTAAAGAAGCCAGGAAGAGCATTTGGTTGGCACTCTGCACTTCCTTGAGCGCCGAGTTAGGCTGGCGCTGGAAGAACTCGCCGACACTGGTGGCGTATCTCAATGAGATCTTGGATGTGCTTGCGAGCGCCCCGACAAAGACTTTTGGCGCGGACACCGTCTTTGATTGGAACGATGACAAAGTTCTGAGGGAGTCAGTATCATACGTCCAGAAACTTTTCGATATCTACACTGACGATGAATGGATTCGTGCAAATCGAGATGCACTGCCATGGTATAGGCGGTTCCGGGACCTTAGACTTGAGTCAACCATGTTCAAGGTTGGGGTGCAGAAACGTGAGGCGGACTGTGTGCTCAAGAGCGGCAAGAGAGACAATGTTCGATATGAGGCACTCATGGAGGAGCTCTTAAAAAAATCGCCATCAGCTATTCACCTGCCATCCGTACGACAGTTTGTTTCGGATAAGCGGCCTGACCTGTTGACTGACGAGCAGATTCGTATGACTAAAGGAATTGTGGGCCTCTTCAACCAGGTTGAGACTGCAGAGCCATGGGATTTCTTCGTGAACACGCCCTCCCGACTCGACCCTCACCAATGCGAGCTGCTAAAAGCGAGACATCTCCTTGGCATGACAGACACTGGAACGTCCTTCAATATTCGAGTCCAGCATGCCCAGTCGTTCATCGCCATCCCGACTACAACTGTGGAGGATGTCGCCAAGGCACTTTGCACTCCTTCCTTGCCATCGCGCATTGTCGAGGCGCTTCTTATGTTCCTTCCGACGATAGGAGAACCTGCGAGCACCCTCCAAATCCTCCTGGCTCCAGTGTATATTCAGTCTCATTTGGCTCGCACCTCCATCCATGCTGTCGAGAACGCTCTCACGTCTGTTCCCGTGCACCGGATTCCAGACTTTATCTTGCCACTCTTCCCGCCTGCCGAGCAGCGCCAGCAAAAGGTGACGGTCCAAAAGGAGGGCGTTCGCCTGGCATGCGCCAGTATGCGTCTCTTAGTAGAGCCCAAGATCACCGCCTTGATCGACGATCTGTTGAGTCGAACGGATATCCAGAGTGATGTCCATATAGTCATCCTTCAATCTTTGTTTGGCTTGCTATGTGGTCCCGAAGGCAGGGAGACACGTTATCAGGATATCACGGAGCGGATCTGGAAGATATTGGTCGACACTGCACACTCGGATCTTCTGAAGAAGTCCGGTGTTGCTTTTGTTCTCTTGGCAGTAATACCCTCGTCCAGGCGCCTGGGACAGGCGCCTCGTATGAATCCGTCCAGCGGTAGTCGCATACTCAAGATCAACACAGCCCTACAGAACCTGGCTAAGGTTGTTATTCCTGAGAGTCTTGTCGATCGGTACGTCGACGATATACTTGCACCCATGTGCGCGAAACCAACGGGTGAAAACGCAGGCGATGACGATCTGGTCGACGTTCGAACCTTGGCTCTACAAATCCACACACAGGTCGAAGGCTGGATCACTGTTAGAAACGCATCCAAACTTGCCAAAACATGGAGAAAAGAGGCATCCGAGGTTCCACTGGAGGAGGACAAGGATCAACTCTGGCCTTTGTTTTCTTATGGCATCAGTATGTGCGTGGGAAAGGAGGTCCAGGGAGCGCTGGAAGCTGGTCAAGAAGGAAACACATCCTGGCAGGAGCTGATCGGCCTTATTCAAGATCAGGTTGACCACTTTCTGGACCCAACACTACGCCGGGAGTTGCGAAAGAAGGCTCTGGAGAGAATCAATGGCCTACAGCTTAAGGACTCTTTTTTGCTGCAAAACTTTGAGAAAGCGAAGAAGATTGGTGCGTTCACAGGAGACGTCCTCGATTTGTCGCGTCCATTGTTGGGCAAGGGAATGGAGGCTGTGGCCTGGAAGATCGCGTTGGCGAGGGAGATTACGGTTTTTGGCCCCCAAGCGGACATGACGCAGGACCAGATCAATGAAGAGGCGCTCAGAATCCTACTCCGCATTGTGGACTATACCAACCGATACCTGTCTGATGAGAACGTCGTCAAGGAATGGGTCAAACAACTTCTGTCCAAGGCCAGTAATAACACGCCTTTGAAGAGATTTATTGGTCTAGCCCTTATCAGGCCACTCGAGGATTTGATTGACTGGGTTCATCTGGACGATGTGACCCTGAATGTTGTATGCAGCAATGCCGGGGTCTTTACACTGGCTGAAATTGGCGTTTTGGTGGAGAGATTAGCCAGCCGCGAAAACCCACATTTTTACTGGAGACAGCGAAAGATGATCTCCCAGGCCATCACACGCGAAGTTCAGCGCCGGTTTGCGGAGAGCCGAAGAGAGTTGACTCAGAAACTATTGTCGTCGGTGAAGTTGATATTATCACCATTGATCAAGCGTGCCCAGGCTGCGGGATGGATCCAAGGGCCCGATGCGACCATCATTTCTGACATGATGAGGAGCCATATGTCTATCATGTGTACAGCCTTCCCCAGAGTTACCGGCCCGTGGCTGCATCACAATGTCGCCAACGCCCTGGAATCTGGCGACGATAATTGTGGTCTGGCGGACATCGTCAACGCCTTTGTGAGCTTCGGTTCGCAGGCTACGTCCATGGGGCATCAAGATACGGCCATTCAGAAGATCAAAGCAACTGACAGATACGGCATAGCCCCAGCAACAGCTCTGATCCTTGAAGCCCTTATGAACGGCACAGTGGCTGGATTGGACTTCACGCTGTTCATGGCGCCTCATAGTGTCCCATTCGAGGTCATGCAAGGATACTGGTTCCCATTTAAAGCCAGCCCTGATTCGGAGATAAGTATCAGCGGCAAGACGAGCCTTCCCTCGACACTGAAGGAGCTTGACTCGATCTGGAACAAGACCATGGGCGATCATCCTGGATATTTCAAGCCTTTGGACCAGGGTAAGTTGATTCGACGCGTTGATCGTATTATATAACGGCACGATACATGCTTACTAACTACGCACTCTATTCTTGTCCGCCCTAATTAACACAGCTGTTCGAAGCGCTTCTCAGAAGAATACATCGCCGATGCTCCTCCAGATGTACCGCAATTACGCCGCGCTGACGATCAACAAGCACCCCCAGGCTGTGCTGATGCGACCGTACGTCTATCTGGAATATGCACGTCTGGCCCTGACACAACCTGGCACGACTGTCACTCCAAATATGATCGCAGGACAAATGCTAGCTGCATTTACGCCTGTCAAAGATCCAATTGCCGACCAGTTTACGTTTGCGTGGGCGCCTCCCCTGGGTCTGGCACTGGACATGGCGGAGTATTTGTTGCATGATGTCCGTGATGAGGCAGCGACGGAGGGAGAGCGTGAGGCGCGATTGATTGAGCAGACGGTGGCCACTTTCTTGAACGGGTGGCTCCAGCAGATTGTGTTGCGGGAGGTTGGAAAACTGCTAGCGGAGGAAGCAGACGTTGCTGCCCTGGAAGCGCGCTACATAGCTCTAGTCGAGGAACTCTGTGAGGATGGATCCGGTGGGCAGGGTCTGGCATTGGAGCTGGGCGATTTTTTACCGGGCGGCCAAAAAAAGAGTGCATTTGACAATAGTACAATGGAAGAAAATGATGGTGACTACTGCTAATGGCATCCCTTCAGACGCCTAGCGCAAGCGACAACTATATTATGCGTATGTATGTGAATAAAGGGTCAATTTGTTACATAGTGTAGCTACTCATTTTTTTTTTTTTATACTCTACACCTCGAATCTCGAGACTTTACGTTTGCTACCAAAATCTGCATTGATATAACTTCTGTTCTCATACAGCTCCTCGTAAGAAAAATTGCGCTTGTACTCGCGGGTGACGATTCCCGTCCGTTGGAAGAACCACAGGTACGAGAATAGATAGCCCAGGCCAAAGACGATCAATGCCCTCAATACCATGGCATCGTCAAGGAAGGGTGGGGCCTGATCCTCGGGCATGGGTGCAAACTGAGAGTACCGAGAGGGGTTGCGAGTCAATCCAAAGAAGAGCACTGCGGCCCAGGTCATCGGAGCAATGTAGTTTTGAAGCTGCGTGAAGTTCCGGAACAGGCGCGCGCTAGAGGTGAAGAGAGTAATAAATACATGGGTCAGGGATGCTTTTTGTTGTTATTGTTATTATTGTTGTTCGTCGTAGTAAAGCGAAGACGGTACCTGGTTCCCCAAGTGTTGTCATAAAGTGTCAGGGCAGCATAGACTTTTGAAGGTACATATCCAATCATGTACAGGGGCCCATACAGTGTTGTGAAGAAGAATTTCTTGTCGCCTGTGATCCTAAGCGCAAACACGGTCTTCATGCAGCCCACCAGAATAATCGACACCATCCACCAGGTGAATTGGGATCCGGTGCCAAAGTAAATGCAATTGACAAAGTTATACACCATCATCATCGGGCATATGAGTTGATAAATTAAGGAGTAGGTCATCCAGGGGGAGTGCAGGTGAAAGCAGCCAAGTTGGATGGGGATTTCGCGGAAGAAGGACTTTGACCACCGTGTCTGCTGAGTCACCCAAGTAATAAACCCAGTCGGCGTGTCTGTGTAACAGATCGCGTATTGCGAAAACTTGACCTTGAATCCCTCCTTCAGGACCAAGTTCGTCAGGTGTCGGTCGTCACCGTACGTACAGAACACGCCTAGGAAAGACTGGCGCACCCAGCTGTCCATCACTTCGGCTACGATCGACATCCTGTAGATCCCAAGCGGGCCAGATACGCAGTTCACGACGGAGTGGTAGGATTGTGCACCACGCTCCAGATTGAATGCGAACCAGTACCAAATTGAGGAGAGGAAGGAAACCCAGGTACCGGTGTTGTAGATCCGCACATCGCCAGTCGCAGCGCCGATAATAGGTGACTCTGCCAACGCAAACGCCAGCTCTATTCGGGTTGAGAGAGTGCATTAGCGATCAGTAACCAAAAGCTACTAAAACCTTTTTTTTTTTTGTAGTCAGTGTGAAACTCACCTTTACAGACGCCAGGATCGAGATAGGTATCAGAATCTGTAACAACCACTGACTCGAGTTCCTGCTGGAGCAGTGCCGCAAAGCCCGTATACATGGCACATCTCTTCCCGCGATGCGGCTGCATCACACAGACAGGCCCAGGATGGTACGCAACCTGCCTCACCAGGTCTTCCCTCTCCTTATCGCTTGCGTGTCTATCCATGCACAAGAAATTTGGACGAAAGACTGTTGCTCCCTGTTTCCTAAAGACTCTTATAAAGATCTGTGCCATATACTCGTCCTGCGGTTCGTTTCCATCAACAACCAACAACACGCGGTGATTACGTTGATACCGTATTGCCCTCAAACTCTTGAGACATCCCTCCAGTAGAACCGGATCCTCACGGTATCCGACCGCGAGGATACCTGTGCTGAGGCCGACCCAGTGTGGGTCTCGTTTCTTGACCCGTTGGTCCACTTTGTGGCGATTCAGGGTCGAGAAAATGATGATACTCAAGAAATCGACGGTCATGAGCATCCCGTACGTGACCGAGGTCTGCCAGCCGCCCGCGGAGATCCGAAGTTGGAAAGATGTCTTAAGAACCGCGAGCGGAAGCAGGAATATGTTCATAGTGAAGAGGATCCACATGACCTTTTTCCAGAGCGAAATCGGCGAGGATTTGAGGCCGGAGGATTGCGCGTTTGTTAGGGCGTAAGATGGAGGCGCCTTCATCGCATGCGCGTCCGGGGAGACTTCACGGCAGAGATCGCGATAGTGTGATGCAATATCGAACGGAGAGGATTGTGGGGAGTAGTATTCGCGGTGCTGAAGGGATGGTGAGGCATGCGCGGAATGAAAAGTTTCGGTTGGGTAATTAGGGCTAAGGGGCGAGGATGTGCTAAACTGAGGTGAGTAGGGACTATCGTAGTCCTGGCTGGAAGGGGGATATAATTGCTGGTACAAGAGATGTCTGTGGTAGTGCTGGTCGGAGTAGTGCCCGTAGTCACTACTGTGGTCATATCTCTTGCGATCTGAGGCGTCTGATTTGTGGATAGGTTCCGTAAGGCCCATGGATGTGATCGAAGGCGTGGGGAGCTGTGGTATGGATTTATATGGGCTTAGGGGACTAGGAAGGCCCAGGTGTGGCGAATTGTAGTGCATAGCCTTTCTCAGCTGTAGTCCATTGGCGGACATAGTCGTGGATGTGGTATAGCTTTCTGTCGTTCCAAGTCTGGCCTCAGCAGAATCATTAAGTTCTGCAGGGTTCTGGTACAAGTCTGCCTGACCGACATGGGCTGTGTGGTTCACCACGGCTCCATTAGCGATCGATTGACTAGCCAGAGGACGGCCTGAATCGTATCTGCTGAATTTCGCTGCACTTTGATCGACTGAGAGGGCTTCAATGACATGACCTGAGACGTGGCGAAAGCTGTTAGAACTACTCTTTCGCGTGTGACCCAGATGGGTGTCATGTTGGGAGTGATAGCGATGGGCTTGCTGCTGCTGTTGTGGTTGAACCATCATGCTATAGCTAACTGGCAGTGATGCTCGATGAGTGCGCCCCATACGTCCTAGCTGTTCAGAAGAGTAGAGGGCTAGGGTATCCTTTGTGCGAACTGCAAGTCCCGGATCTGCATCTTGAACGGATTGGTGGCTCAATACGGACGTTTCTTCCGGCGGTTGAGACGGCATGATAGATGGGGACTACAGAAAGGTACCAAAGGAAGAGGCAGAGCACGTTAGGAAGCTGATGTATACAAGTTCTATTTATCGATATTCGTGCATTCCGAGATTCCTAGCAGAGTGTATTGCGATGGATATGATAGGTGCATCAACGCATTATACGATGATAGTGCTTGCTAAGAGCAATAAGAACGTTGACTTGAAACACGTAAGGTACGCTTCATTATTACCTGGTCGTCTCTGCAGCACGTTGACCCAAAAGCTGACGAAAAGAACGCTTGAAAGTCAAAAAGAAAGGTGGGAGGAAGTGTGTACGAAAGATATAATCCCACTCAGGAGAATAATTTGTGGATCTGAACGGGTACTGTAGACTGTTGACAAGGAAGTTGAAAAGCTAACGCACTAGGCGCATAAATAAAAGGCAACAGCGAAAACAATAGAAAGAGGAGGAGGAAGGTAACACTGAGATGGGAGCAGAGCAGACTATATCTCTGCGAAAGGATGGTACAACGAGTGTTTCGGGTATGGCAGGCAAGCCTTGCTTGAGTTGTATAGGAATAAGCTAGCGGGTTGCAGCAGGTTAAGTCAGAAAAAGTAGAAGATGAAGCAGAGGAGGTAGGAAGAGGGAAGATCAAAGAGTGAAGAGGGAAAGACAAAAGGTCAAAAGGCACCAAGGTACGGCGCTGCTAAACGTCATCGTTCTCTGCATCAAGGAATGTTGCCTGGGTGGGGGACCAAGAGGGCCGCGCATGAGTCTGTGGATAATGTCTATGTGCTTACCTGCAACTGTATTTCCCTTGGATAGTTTATTGAATCCAGGAGATAGTAGAATTCTAATCTCTTCAGACAGAGAGATTCCCTATTATTCGCCCTCCGCAACATATATAGCCATTCTCATTTTGTCAAGAGTGAAAAGAGCGAGGTGTGACAGGTTTTGTCCAATTCCATCTCTTGAATAGCTGCAATAAGGACGCGTGGAGCGCGCGTCGCTGGGCTCTTGGTGACTGGAGGAACCGAACGAAGCATTCTCCCTACGACCTGATGCATCTTGGTCCTACAGGTGGAGGCGCATTTTATTCGAAAGAATCTGAGCAGATGGAATCCTTGGATCTGGATCAAGAAAAAGGGCGGGACTATTGGAGGTGCAATGTGGCAAAGACCAGAGCCTCTTAGGATTTTACTGCGTAATGACGTTTGGGGTATTTGGGATCCTATCTTTCCTAACGTATTCGAACGAATGGTGCTGAGTAATGAAGGACCAGAAAAAGGGAGGAGGTGATGGCGGAGTGGGCCGGAGGAAAGGCCGTTTCTACTTTCTTTGGTTGAAATTGACATGTCCAAAAATACATGCTTCCACAGTATAATTTGAAGTAGAAGCATAGGGTATTCTCTTTTGCACAGTTTCCGCGAACTTGCTGCCACTTCAATAGCTGCTTTATGTCTCATCGATACCACTCTTCTACGCTTCTCTTCAGCGCTATCGTTGCGCAAATAATATCTTGCTTTATTGACCCACTCTAATATCAGTTGTTGCGAAAGGATACACTGGCACTACTTATCACGGCTCTTAAGCCTCCCTCTTCGTGATCTCGATCCACCCATCATCTAGAACCTTAATATTCAGGTCGTTAAAGCTCTTGACAATCGGGCTGGCGCCCGCTTCGATCAAGTGCTCCAGTGGCATCGTCCCTGTGTTCATACCGATCACGGCCTTTGCTCCAGCAGCAACGCCTGCCCTGATGCCCGCAGGTGCATCCTCAAACACCACACAGTCCTTGGGCTCCAAACCTAATTGCTTGGCCGCGGACATGTAACCCTCCGGATGAGGCTTTCCTTGGGTGACATGGGTGGCAGTGACCATGATGGGGGGCGTGGCAAGCCCGGTCTGAATGAAACGTTCCTGTGCCATCTCTAGACCAGCACTGGTGACAACAGCCCAATGTGTTTTTGGGAGGGATTGAAGCAGCTCGATAGCTCCAGGGATGAGAATCATGCCATCTATGTCTTTCAAAACATTTTCCTCCAGTTTGCTGAGGTATGCAGGAGTCTGGTATTCATCTTGAAGGTGCGCAGGGGCCCATTGCTTCATGACTTCAAAAGACGGGCGGCCGTGTGAAGTAGCGATCAAGGTGTCAAAGTCGACGTTGTGATTGTCGCACCAGACCTTCCAATGACGCTCTACAATGACGGTTGTGTCAATGAGAGTACCATCCTATATACAGATGTTGCGGGTCGATCTATCGGTCAGAACGGGATAAGATTTCGATACTTGGCCAGGACTTCGGACAAAAACATACCATGTCGAACAACAGACCGCGGCAACGGATAGGGAACTGGGAGTCATTGGAGGTCATGGCTGGCAAGTCCTGAAAATGAATGAGCAGAGGGTCGAGTTGGTGAATGATGAGTGATGGGTATGAGGAGAGAAAAAAAAGAGAGTGAGAAAAAAAATATGGGGCGTTAGATAGTGTACGTCTGATGACGATCATGTCCAGGTAGTTTTTACCCAGCATCCGAGAAGGTTTTGACGACGGGACAGCCTGTTCGCTTTTGTGTACAAAGATTGTGCCTCATGATGAATCCAAAACACAGCTTGCAGTGGGCGGATAAGGGCATCCACATCGATTGGCCCGATAACACCGAGGCGCTGTGGAGCATCTTTCATCTCGCTGCGCAAAAAAAAAGAGGGGGAACTGTGGGAACTCTTCCTCATCTGCATCATCACATGACTTGTACCCTGAACGCATTTTTCGTTGCTGCTATTGTTTGCTTGACGGGGGCGAAGGGGCAGGGAGGGCGAAAAGACAACAGAAAATAGCCCTGGCACAAGTCCTTCATCATCCATCCTCTTCGTCCTCTGCTTCATCTCCTCTCATCCGGATCAACAGGGCCGGGTCCATGCTCGCCTGGCAGACAACATCACGACCACACCCCTCGCTCTTGTTATCTTGAACACTTTTAAACTTTTTTGCAAATACACAACGACGACTTCGCACAGGCCTCAATTGGATCACACTCTAAACTCGCTCTAATGGCGACCTTCCTCCTGTCCTCGTTACTCTCGCAGCTCTCTTCCAACCAGGCCCAAGATGCTGCTGCTACGTCTGTTCCTCTCTCGGTGTCTACCTCGGACTGGACCTGGAAATGGGTCTCTGAAACTGAGTTCTTCGCGCTCCTGACCTCAAAGTCCACGAACCCACTCTTCCCTCCTCCCAAGACCATCCCCAATGGTCTATTCTTGCTTGTGTTCAGCTTCTGTCTCATTTCCCTGTACGCGCTATTGATATCACCCTACCCACGCACACGGGGAAAGCAGATTCTGGCCCTCCCTCTCCTGACCACAATGGTGCTCCTGCCCCTGTTTTTCACTACTCCACTCCAGATCGTCCACATGGCTATGAGTGTCACCGCGATTGCAGTTGCCACAAGAATGTTCGATCTTTACTATGTCCAGCCCTGGACCGGAGTTCGCAGTCGATACTGCTTAGATGAGGTCGCGAGGTCGAAAAAGGATCTAGATTCAAACCAACACTCCATCATACAGCAGCAGCGTGAATTCGAGACGTTCCTGATCTGGGATAAGCAACGGTTCAAGGTCGAGATGTGGGCACCACTGCGACGGTTTTCCACCAAACAGAAATCTGCACCTGCTTCCCGCTTTCTTCGCTGGCAAGATCTCCTCCTCCAGAGTCTTCTGTACAACATTGTCCTCGACATCGATATCTTCATCATGTCCCATTACACCTCCGAGGAACTGGAAGTGATGCCCATTCCAGAGTATGTGTTCTGTATGATCGCCATAGTCACGTTCATCATGTCCCATATTCTCTGGATCTGCGCCACCTTTGCCCTGATCTACTCCCTAGCCACTCGTCGACCTGTTGATCTCGCGGAATGGGGCATGTTGGCGAACAAGTTACCGTGTTTTGCCCTCACGCCTGCCGAGCTCTGGATCCATTGGCAAACCCTGTTTCGGTACCTCTGGGTGGATCTGGGGTTCCTACCTGTGAAGCGTTTCTGCAAGCAACATCTTGGCCCTGAATGCGTCGGTACTGTCGTTTCCAAGGCCGCTCAAGAGGTTTTGCCTGTATTGGCTGTCTTTACGCTCTCGGGAATATTGCATGCGTATACGGTGTATGCAGCGTGGCGCGAATCCGTTTGGAGCCAACTGTTTTATTTTATACTCCAGGGCGTAGCTGTGGTAGCGACCAAGGCAGTGGAGAGAACATGGTTCGGGAGGAAGATTCGGTACATATACAACAATGGTAGTTCTACCGCTCGGTGGGGACTGCATGGACTGGGGCTCTTGATGATGGCGGTTTTCCATACGTTCACATTGCCCTTTTTCATGGAGCCATATAAGCGACATTCCATGTGGCTCCCGCTGAATGAAAGGAGCGTCCTCTGGTGGATCTATGGCAAAGCAGCATAGAACATAGAAGCTGTTATTCCATAAAAACCAAAATAGACATCATGACCGTGCGTGCGGCGTTCTCACGGTGGAATATCTGTGTTCAACTGTCAACAAAAAATGAAATCCAACCGTTGATCGAATGTTTGCTAAAGTAAGGCGATGTAAACTTGTTATCATTGCGGTACAGGACCTTGAGGCTGAAAAAGAAGACGAGACCTTTTTTCCCAGACTCATGTCCAGATTTAATCGGGATTCCAATGCTTAGTAGCGCGTGGAGGTGAGCAGCTGGTTTGCAAATGAGCAGAATGTGGATTATGGTTTTCTTGGCTTCTCGGCTGTTCCCACTGCGGCTGAGCTCCCTGTCTTTATTATGAATTTCGGCTCGCTCCACACCACATGTCTGAACTCTGAGGTCCATAAGGTATTTTCGAAGCCAAATCATGACGATGTTCTCCTCCTAATGCCAAGCCATGTCCACACACACGTATCGGCTGGTAGACAATGACATGATCTGGTCTTAGCATCTGTATACCCGTGCGATTCGCATACCTCTGACTACTGTAGCAGCCAGTTATGAGGGCAGAAATATACAAGCGTAGGCCTTGTGCAAACAATACACGTCATTTTATTCTCGGGATATGGTATGTTGAGCGTAATGAACTTGATTGTGCTAGAGAACTAAGGATGAGCATTGCTGGCTGTGCGCTATGCGGACAAACCCTGAGACAGCAATTGGACACGGACAAACAATGACAAAAACAGATTCGGCCCTGTCTGTGTTCTTGCTCGTGTTCGTGTTCGTGTGCATGTGCGAAAGTCGGCCTTGGGTTCTCATGGGCGAGGGGGGACCGAGGGTCAATATGTGTCCGGGTTGTGCGGGAATGGATGGTTTCATATTCATATGAGGAGGCAGATTGAGTGGATCAGATTTGGAAAGTGCATTGACAATCCCGATTGTGCGCTTTCTTCCCTGTTTGGATCACATTTCATCATCGCATATGGTGCCAAAAGGGACTATAAAAGGGAGCCAGATCAGCCCGGTCTTTTTTCTTCACTTTTCGATCTTCATCCCCAGACAATCGCCCGCCTTCAACAACACCCTCTTCATCTCATATTTTCCATGGAGGCGCTCACCGCATCCACGACACATCTGCTGTCGACGCTCCACAAGCTGACCGACAACTCCTTCTTCAACTCCCTCCCTCCTTCCCTCCCAGTAACGCCTTGCGTTCTCGCCCAAAAGAATACCTCCCAGATACCCCTACCGGACTCGCTTTATTTCACCATCTTCTTCCTCTTTGGTGGCAGCCTCTACATCCTCCTGCTCCTGCCCTTTACGCTCCATCAGAAACGATGGATAGCCGCACCCCTTACTCTCGGTCTCCTCCTGGCCCCGCTCATCTTCACAGCCACCAACTCGCCCGCACTACAGCTGATCCATGTCGCAGCCTGTGGATGTGTGCTCATGCGTATGATTGACTTGTACTACGTCCGGCCCTGGAGAACAGGCAAGGAGCCGACCATGAACCTCGAGGATTGGTGGACAGAGGTCTGGCAGCCTTTCCGCAAGGTCCCCATGAGTAAGAATCAGATCCAGCGTTATGAACTCGAGCAGCAGCAATCAAGGCTTCGTCGCGAACTGGAGCAGCAGCGGTCATCAGGACCTGTAGGACCCGCCAACAGGAATAACGGCGACACTAAGGCCGAGTCAAATGAGCTGCTCAACCATGCATCCAAAAATAACGACCAAGAGTCTGCACCAACAGCATCTAGCAGTAGAAGCTCTAGCAGCAGCTCCACAAAAGGAAAGCCCGCCAAACAGAGCTACATGCCCCTTACAGATCCTAACCCACAACATTGGAGCGTGTACCTCCCCCGATGGCTCTTCTACGCCGTGCTCATGGACATTATCCCCTTTGGGGTTAGCTTCCTGACCTTTGAGCAGATCGAGTCCTTCTCACTGATCCCCAGGCTGCTCTTCAACACCGCCGTGGGCTCTATGGTGATCTTTGACATCTCACTCGCCAACTATACCATCATGATCATCTGGGCCACCGTGACTGGAGACCTGATCCGCGACACCGAATGGACGATGGTTCGTCACTACTTCCCCGGATTCGCAACCTCGAGCGCCGAGTTCTGGCGCCAATGGCACCATCTGTTTAAGTACATCTGGGTCGACCTTGGTTTCAAGCCCGTCCACCATATCCTCAGCAAGTACGTGACACCTAAGGTTTCGAACCGCAAGCTGGCCAAGGCGGCCGAGATGGTTCTGCCGGTGATGGGTGTGTTCCTGATGTCCGGCTTGATGCACGAGTACATGATGGTGGCCATGTGGCATGGCCGACCGGGCTATATGACAGCGTTCTTCTTGCTCCAGGGTGCAGGCACCATTGTCTCGAAGGCGTTGAACAACACTGTGGGACAGAAGATCACTGTTCCGCCGATGATCCTGATTGCGTTGACCTGGGCCTTCAATCTGTCGACGGCGTCGTTGTTCATGGAGCCCGTTTTCAAGAATCAAGGATACAATATGATAGCGAACCAGAGCATTTTGATCCGCGTGTACAATCTCTTGCGATCCTATGGCGTCTTCTGAGGAGATCGCTTTGAAATCGTTCACTTTTGATACCTTCCAAACTAATTTTTTTTCCGACCATCCTTATGTCCTCCATGTAACCCTTTTTGTATAATAATATATTATGACGAAAAAACAAATAAACGTTGATCTAATTTATCCAAGCTGGTCAATGCAGGATGCATCCATTTCATTTCAGCAGAAATTGTTGACGCGACCGCGTTTTGAATGAATTTTTTGCGCCACCGTCGCGTGTCTAGGAAAGGGGAAAAAAACAAAAACAAAAAACAAAGGCACACACATTCTGTAGACTCTTTACTTTCCCCATTCAGTCTCCCTCCCACACACACGCATTCAGACACCTTGCCAACATGTCGCTGTTCGATGAAGTGGTCATGACCGATAGCGGCAACGACTCCGAGTCTGGGCATTCCTCCTCAACCGGCGCTGGCGGAAGCGGAAGTGGAAACGGTGGTCCTAACGGCAACGGCAACGGCAACGGCAGCGGGCCTCTCTCCCCCGCCGCCCTTGCGGCACTCTCCGCCAGCGGTCGACTCATTAGACTACTCGCCCGCGAGAAAGAGCTCATCGCGACACTGGAGCAACTCACACGGGATATTGAACAGCTAGAAAAGGCGCCCAGTCATGACGAGGACGAGACGAAAGCACAGGCTGGAGGAGAGGACAATGAGGGCAATGAGGATGAGACGGATGACTTGGAGGAATTCGAGGCGCCGGAATGGTGTGTGCCCATCAAGGCGAATGTCATGACTTACGATTGGGATGTGAGTTCAGGGGAAAAGGGGAAAAGGGGAAAAGGAGAAACTTTTTTTTTTTTTTTTGTCCGACTAGGGCAGGAGAACTTGGATGTTAAAAGAGTGCCCTTCTTTCTTTTTTTCGGGTTCTAATAGAGTCTTGCTGCAGAGTGCCAGTTCGACGTAATCTTGATGGATCCACCATGGCAGCTGGCTACCCACGCACCTACTCGAGGAGTAAGCTATCCTTTGCTCTGGGAAAAATAATACTAATACTCAAGCTGTGCATGAGCGCATGGGTCCCATTGCGTGAACTGACGAGGGTCGTTCCTTCTTCTGTCTCTTTGTTCTTTCATAGGTCGCTATTGCATACCAGCAGCTCCCAGACATCTGCATTGAGGAGTTACCGGTACCAAAGTTGAGCTCGAACGGATTCATCTTCATCTGGGTCATCAACAACAAATACGCCAAAGCTTTTGATCTAATGCGGAGATGGGGATATAGGTACGCCAGCTACTCATCAGCCCGAAAGAAACAGGACTTGTCGTTCGGGCCGTATCTTTTGGATCGAGGTATCCCACTGACGCTCGCTACCGATCCTTCTCAATTTCTTCTTCTTCATCGGCAAATAGTTACGTGGACGATATTACATGGGTAAAACAGACAGTGAATCGGAGGATGGCTAAGGGCCACGGATACTATCTTCAACACGCCAAAGAGACATGTCTTGTCGGAAAGAAGGTACGAACTTGCTTAATGAGCTCGTCACATATCGATCGAATGCTACAAAATTCGATAGAGAATAACTCTTTTTTTTTCTTCTCCGCGGCTGATCTGCTGCAGGGCGAAGATCCGCCTGGATGCAGGCACTCCATCGGGTCGGATGTAATTTTCTCGGAGCGTCGTGGACAGAGTCAGAAGCCCGAGGAGCTCTACGAGCTCATTGAGGAGCTAATTCCCAATGGCCGGTACCTTGAAATCTTTGGGCGTAAAAACAACCTTCGGGATTATTGGGTTACAGTCGGAAACGAGTTGTAGAGGACGCGAGCCAAGAATAAAGGTCGTTGAAGTGCATCTGAAAGTTTTTTTTTTTTTTTTTTTTTTTTTTTGGTGGAATTGTACCGTATATGTCGTATATGTGGATGAACAACGAAGCTATAATATTGAATCTATATACAGATGGACCAAGTGCGAAAAATGCCCTCCTAATCCGCCATTTTACCATCAGGATTGCTCTTATAAAGAGGGAGACCCGTCGACTTTGAGGGATGCGACGCCGGTGTGCTCAGCTCGATCACTGCATCGCCACCGCCCGAGGCCGTTACTGTATCTGGGATCTCTGGCTTTGTTGCTGTCGAAAGCGACGATCCGTTCGCAAGGGCAAAGTTGCGCTGTGCCTGATCCGTCTTGCTGTAGCTGTACAGCAATCCTGCAACAAAGCCAAAAAAGATGCCAAAGACATTACCAAAGGTCGCGGGGTCGCCAAGGAACAGGATGCCGCTGGCCGCAACGGGCAGCTTGTTGAGTGCGCCGACCATGGAGTAGGTCGTTGATGAAGTGCAGCGGACGCACCAAGCGCTGCCGTAGGAGATCAAGAAGGAGGAGACGCCCGAGAGTAGCATGGAGATAATGAGTGCAGATCGAACATCCGGAGTACTAGATCGTTCACATCAGCAGAATTTAGGATAAAGAATATCAGTCATTGCCTTCCGCTCCTTCCTTCCCGCTCTTATTTCTGTAGGCCATGAAAACACAGGAACTTACAAAGTCCTTTCAATCGCACCTGATGTCCAGCCTTCGAGACAAAAGCTGAGTATCAACATGACGGGCAGACTCAGCAAATTGTTGTAGTAGACCGTATCGAAGTCCTTGAAGTTGAAGTGCTTGATCCTCTTACGCATGTAGAGCACATATCCTGCAGATGAAAGACAGTTGAGTGCCATCCAGAAATATCCTGGGTTGATCTGAACCAGTTCCGCGGGGTCCTTAGGTACAAAAGAGCTGATATCTGACCATCCTGCAATCACCGAGGAGAGTACCTATTATTGCAAAAAAAAAAGAAAAGAGATGGCGTATTGGTGGTAAGAGTACTGGAGGCTGAATTTGGGCTGTTGTCTGTTGCAAATTTCATTTTGCTCCACATGGGCATAACGCATAGTTGGGCCAAAGTCCACTCACCATAAAGGCAAAGCTCAAGAGCATTAGGGGGGTGACCTTGCTCCCGAACCAGAGCACTTCACCGTACGCTATGAAGATAATGGTCAAGTTCTTGAAGATCGTGTACACCGGGATGCTCAGGAACTGTAAACTGATTGTTGTGGAACAGAAAAAAAAAATCGATAAAAGCATCGTGTGAGAACCATGCATGATCGAGTAAGGAGATGTCGGGCATGTCGATATCGGATGTTTGATCGCGAAATATCAAAATCCAACAAGAGTGCGATAACGATCGCACGGAGTAATAATGTATGCATAATGTACCTCTTGCTTCCGGTGTAAATCATGGCCACAAGGGCAAGAGAGATCGGGAACCACTTCTTGGCCTCGTTAATGTCCAGTCGGCGAAATGTAATCAGATTCAATCTCTTGAATACCAAGAGCAGGAAGATTGCAGCCACTGCCTATTTCAATAAAGACAGCACTTTCAGCATGATTCCAATTCGATTGAATCCAGCTCAAATGAACCCAGAAACAACATGTTGACTGGGGCTGGCTGGACTAACTTGCCTGGATAGCGAGCAGCAAGAAGTTCATATTAAAGTCGAACTGGGAGAGCACCATCTTGTTGGTTACAGTCATGAGAATACTGGATGAACAGTAGGCGAGAATGCTGAGCGGCGCCGAGTTGGCAATTGAGCTCTGTGGAGGCATCGCCGTCATGGTTCTATTCTTCTGTCCCTTGTTCCTGTTCGCTATTTGCTTTGTCCGACTGTTGATGATACCCCGTGCTTGCAACCGTATTCCCTCGGTGTCCTTTATCTTTGGTATATCTTTGTTGTCCTGGTATATGCTGGTTGTCCGAATGAACAAAAAAAATGTGTCGATGGGATGAATGTAAAAGAGGAATGAAATTTGAAACGAAGGAGGATGTAAAGTGAAGTAAGAGAGCGACCACCGATAAATGAGCACGCATTGTAAATAACCTTTAAAAGATTTGCTGGCCCAGGACAGAATCAGCATATGCCACGTCTTCAACACCCATTTTCCATCCCACAGGCACTTTTGTATCGTTCCCTCCTCGCAAAGGACATGTTAACATTGATAGCTCTTCTTTATTCGAGTAAAAGACAGTTTATGCAAGGGCTCATGCTATCGTGCTATTGATGGTTCTTCTCGGTCGATCGCCCGGCAGTTATGTCGTGCTGGGTTAAACATCAGTCGGCTGCAGAACTGGCACCGTAGATAGCCCCTTGACTGCTCGGGCAGAACCAGCCTCGGTCGATCATGATATACCCGGTACCCACGCTCACTCGAACTGCTGTCGGAACTGCTCTCTCGACGACTGTGGCTCCGACTGCGCCTGCTTGGGCTGCTTCTGCTGCTTCTGCCACTGCTGCTCTGGCTCTGGCTCTGGCTCTGGGTTTCACTTCGACTACGGCTTCGGCTTCGACTGTCCGTGACGCTCTCAGTGCCTCTGTGCTCATCCTCAGACGCCGTATGAAAACTTTCGTCGCTGCTTCCTGTACTCCTTGTACCCCTACGCTGCATCTCCCGTCCTCTCCCTCTATCCCGACTCACAGCCTCACTTGCCCCTCTCATATTATTCCGACCACGGCCTTCCAGCCTATTCACATTATGACGCGGTGCGTTTGGTCTGTGGGTCCGAGCACTTCCAGTCCAGTTTTCGCTTTCGGTTCCGCTGGAACTCTCAGACTGGCTTTCACTTCCGGACTCGTCTTCATTCGTTTCGCTTGAACTGTCACGCTCTTGAGATGTTCTACGTGACGGTGGGCTCTTTGAGTCAATGACGCGCCTAGAACGACGACTACGAAATCTCTTGTTTGGATTAGGTCTTTGAGTCTGCATATTGTTCCCGCTCTCGTGGCTAAAGCTACCATATAGCGGACCCGTCTCCCTCTTCCGCGAGTCTTTCACGGGACCCCATTGTGCATGTTCGAATTGCAACAGCACGCGTCCAGTGTCGTGCACTTCCTGTTTCGGTGGTGGATCAAGTTTCAGTGAAACACGACCACTTTCGAGTACTTCAACAGAGTCCTCTTCCTCCAATGCATCAGCGTTCTCAGGCGCCCTGATCGATGATGAACGCGTATCCTCCTTCGTTGGTCGTCTCAAATACTCCATATGTATGCTAGTGGTGCTGGTAATGCTGGCGGTGGTGGTGGCGGTGGTGCGTCTGTTCTGAGTTCGCTGCATTGGCGGGTCTGGCACGGCTCGTGTAGCAAGTGCTGGGGCATTGCGGCGGGAGGATCTGGTTCTATGGCTAGTAGACGTGGAGGCTATTTCTACAATAAATACGAAAAAAATATGTCAATAAAGGCATCACTGTCTCCTAATATGTAATACCAGTTCGACAACATGAGGCAAAAACGATGTGCAATGAAACACGCGCAAAAAAGACGCTACGTACCTGGCTGCGATTCCAGTTTCTGTGGTACTCTTCGAATCAGTCTCTTGTTCTTGGGTATATTCACGTTTTGTGGTGCGCGTTGGGGTGAGGGTTGCAGCTCTCCAGCCTTTAATGTCCAGTAAAGTTGAATGTTGAGAGTCGGACGAGTACCTATAAGAGAAACAGTTGCTCGAAGACGTGAGTAACATCAACCATACAATATCTGCGAATTTACGAACAATAAAGCTGGCGTTAAGATGAACTTACTACTGCTTGGTCTGGGCGCATTCGCCTGTCGCTTTTGGGCTAAATAATCCATGACTAGTGCCTGTTGTGTATATGGATCAATACGCAGTAGTTAAGAAAGAGCATAATACCAATGACGCTAATAACCACAGAGCCAACCAAAAGACTAGATGGTAGCTTGCCTCGTCCTCAATTGATGCAAGGTCGTGCTGGATCAGATGTTGCTTGACTTCTCCAATGAATTCCTGCGTCGAGCTGCATAATGAGTTGCAAACAGTGACCAGACATTCTGGGAGTGGGCAGTCGAAAACATCTGCTTCGGACCATCCAGAGCCACCTTGGAAGTACTGCTCAATACAACAGTTTAAAAAAAAAAAAAAAAAAAAAAAAAAAAAGCATTAGAAAAGCGGTGATTGGATTGAGTTCTGCATTCAAATCGAGAGACTCCACATACGGTGGCCCAAACAAGCGTTTCAAGCTCTTTGCTCAGAGTCTCTTCCATGGGCAGGTCCACAGGATGATTTGGACAGACATCGCTGGCGCATGGAGCTGGCAGCCGTTCGTATGGTTCCTGAAAAGTGTCCTGCATGGGTCCACAGCAAAGGGAAAGAAGGTTAAGAAGGTGCCTTGACAATAAAAGTACTGGAACAATAGACCCGGAGTCCTGTGGTGCACATAATCACGGTCAAAGCCGCACAATCCCTCCACACTTACCACTACGGGCTCCTCGTGGTCCACATAGCACCCAATGTCATAGTTCTTTGGAAGAGCAGCCACGGTTGGAGAGTCGAGTGAGGCCAGTTCTCTCTGTTCCCATGCCGCGGTGTTATGGCTGTTTGAGAGCGGGGGATCAGCAGGGATCTGCAATGGCATCGCTATGATGGGGTTTGTATCCCTGATAACCTTTAGGCTTCCATTCCAGGTTGCTGCGGCCTTCTCTTCAATCCACTGTCTGTAAAATGCACGCTTCTCCAGTTCTGTGTCCGAGGCACAGAGATCGATCATACGGTCCCGATACTCGCTCAATTTTTGCTTCACGTTGGATTCGGACTGATCAAGAATCTCTGCAACCTGCACAATGAAACAAGAGGGTTAGATTTACCCCAATATTATCGGTTTAAATAGCCATAATCTAAAGTACCTTGGGTACTAGCGCAGCCAGGTCGTCCTTGATGTCAAGCTTGAAGACTGCGTGAATGATAGCATCTAGCACCATGTCAACATCGTTTTGATGAGGTATTAATTAAAAACCTGGTATACTATTGATATGTTCGTGATAAAACAGCTGCCTTCTTCTCGGGGTTTGAGTCAATTTCACCAACCCAAATAACAGCAAACATCGACCAGAGGTTCGAAATAGCACTTGTACGATTCGTGGACACTCTACAGATAATCCCAATAGATCCGGACAAATGAGTAAGTTCAATTGACTTTGGCATCATCTACAGACAGCAATTGGCGCAGACAACACAGCATGAGCTCCTTACCTGAATCTGATACCAGCAGACCTTTTCTGACATGACCCAAAAGACTGGGCGCATTGGATTAGTGGGATTGAACTCGTGTGCCCACTCCACTACTGACTCTGCCTTGACATGAACCATTGCCTTGTTCGAAGTGGTCTTTTTGCGGTCTAGCGTCATCAACAACAGCATGAATAACATATCCATGTATTAGCCACCCATGACATTTACAAAAAAGCTTTGCCTTGCAGCCATGCAAGGAGGCGGGTTTTGTTACCTTTGGCATAGATAGTGTCGCTGACTTGAACGCAACCCCTGACTTTAAATGGACCTGAGAGTCTGAGAGTGTCTAGGACTTGGGGAATGGTGCTGGTGGCATGGTCGAGAACCTGGACATTGTACAATTTCCGGTGGGGTAAATCGTAGGAAGATCGGACCTTTTTTTTGATGGATTTGAAGACCGTGACATCGATCATCGGCTCATCCTGGTCCTCATCCATGGCCTCTTGTCGAGCGACAGGTGCGTCTGCGAACGCCTCGGGCTGTGTGTAAGTGAAGAAAACCCGTTGGCTGCTCAACGCGAAACCAAAAACACACACAAAAAAAGTTGGAGTGAAAGCGGCTAGATATCACGTGTACAAGAGAGCTCAAAAGGGCGACTTAAATTGAACAAGCAGCATGTACAAAAAAAGACAATTTTAATTGCCCATGTAGGCGGTAAGAGATATCAACTAAGCAACGATGAGAGGGCCGACCAACGAAAAGAGAGAACAATTGTGTATGAGAGGCGGTAGTAATGCAGGTAAACTTCTGGAACAAGAGCACCGGTATGCTCTAGTGAAAGAAGGGTCTATTCACATTTGCGAACACAAAAGAATGGATACAATTGACATTTAGACAACAGACTGCGATAGTTGTGTTGTTCAAAAAAAATAAATGTATTTTAGCCTACTGTTTGTTGCATGCATGCCATTGTCTCCCCTTCTTCCCTGCAAAAAGTCTTTTTTCCTTTTCTTCTTCCCCGTCTGGTCTTCCTCCACCTCCACCTCCACCTCCACTTTCGCCTTCGCCAATCTTCCTGACATCATATAAACATACCGCTCTTTTCAATTAATCGTCTCCCTCATACCACCTTCGCTGACTCATATACATCCGTCTCTTCTTCCACCTTGTGTGTGTCTGTAAGAGATCCCTTTGCCCCTCTTTGCCATCTTACACATCCTTACCCCACACCTTGTCCTGCCAAACACACACTTTTCTCTATAAACTGATCCTTCAACAGATCGAGGCATGGAGCCTCAGGATCAGGCCAAGCCGGCCCATGCTCATCTCCCACACACTCTACCGCTTGACCTCGACCGAGATCTCCTAGCTGCTGACGGCGCAGCCTACGATCGTCAATCGCACAATGTCTCACTGACGAAGGACCACACTGAACTCGATCCTACTTCCTCCTCGTCCTTGCCCTCGTCCTCCCTCACCACCAACCCCAGCACCACCGGCGCAAAGATCCCAAGCAACAGTAGTACCAGCACAATTGCAGGTTCTGGCAGTGTAAACCCCTCTCGCACACTCTCATCCTCGTCTCTACCGATACCGTCTTCGCCTCTACCTCCTCGCCTACCAGGGACTCCGCCAGCAAACCCCCCACCGCGCTTCTTCACTAGACCTTATCGACGCACAGTAGACCACCATCACCACACTCATCATCACCATGGTCCAGTCCATGGGTCAGCACACAGTAGCGGCCAGAATAGCTCGAGCATCGGCGTACGATCTGCGTTCAAGGACTTTGTTATGCCAGCGCAAATCATCCTCGTCTGCTCCATCCTCAATGCGCTCTGGCCGACTCTGCTCCGAATTGTAACGACCACACTCGAATTTCTTGCCCTCGTCCTGTCCTCGTACAGCGCCTGCGCTCGTCGCAGCGACGAATGTTACTTTCTAGAGCCGTTATTCCATGATGGACAGGAGGCTATCTATGTCGGAACTATTCAATGGACTCTTCGTAGTATCTTTGGCATCCTCTTCCTGAGTGGCTTTTATCTTGTGGGCAGAAAAGTACAAAAGGTAAGCATGCCTGTGTATACGATGGAGGCGAGGGAGAAGGAGAAAAGGACTCATGGGAAAATAAGACTGGTGTTTATGGTGTCTGCGTTGTCTGGGATTCAACAGCAGCAAAAGGGCGTGCACAAAGTCTCTTAATTGTGTGCTGATCTCAGGGACTCTTCGATAAAAAAGGAGAAGGATGGTCCCAGGAACACCGACTGCTAATGGACTGGCTGGTTATATGGTTTACACGATGTACTCATGTCCGCATCGGTGCCGTATGCTCCTTTTTCATGTGCAAAAAAAAAAAAAAAAAAAAAAAAAAAAACTTGGGGAGAGGGACGATGAATTAAAAGGTATCGAAGTTTATCAAGACTATTCTTTGTCTTAAGTTATCCGGACACAAAACAACCATGAATCAAGGTGCAATTCTACAGCAGAGTCCGAGGATAAGACTCAGACGGGGCGGGGCATGGATGTATACATTGGACATGGACATGGACATGCCGATGGTGAATAAATAAATTGCTCTCAAACTAAAGACACCATCATGCATTAGCAGGACAAAAATGACGCTCGTGCAGCAGCAGCAGCAGCAGATGCAGTAGCAGCAGTGGCAGCACAGGGGGGCATACTCATAATCGACTCCTGCAGACCTGTTGGTATAGCTATCTCCGATGGGCTGCTGTAGAAAAGGAGGAAAGGAGAGAAGGGGGTCACTAAGAGATGGCGCTACAGTTTGATATGTTTTCCGCAGCCCTAGGCTTCCATGGCTGACTCAGTTGTCTCTCTTCAATATAGATCTGGTCCGCACTGATGGGGAATCGACAACGGCCCCGGTCATTCTGGAGCCCTGAAAACCTGTATTCATGGATCTTGACCTACCCATGTCTGCTCTGGGGGTTTGTTGTGCGGATATTCCCCTGGAAGATCACCCGCTCCCGCGGACGGTCGGGACAGAGTCGGTCTGCTCAATCTCGTCATCGCAGGAAGACCCCATCCACTCCAGCGCCACAACTCTCAGCGGATTCTTATCGATCCTCTTCAAACACAAGGGGAAACACCAGCTCATTACATGGATACTCAAGAAAGGCCGGCGCTTCGAGCGCTGTAGACACGGATGCTTTTTCAGCAGGATCTGGATCAGAATCTAAAGCGAGGTCTAAGACAAAGTCGCGGAAATCAAAAGGGACAACAGAAGACACGCTGCAGCGGGACTGTCCTCTTTCAAGAGCAACATCGAATCCCGTCTCGCGTAGCCAAATGCCAGCTAGTAATGCTGCCATCTCAGCAAAATCCAACTTATTCTCTGAGAGGGACTCGCATATAGGACCAAAGACGACGGCAGACGGATCAGCAAACCGGAATGACAGCACCTCGCTCATATCTGGAGCAGCACACAATGCCGTATATGAGACTGCGGATGACGATGGCGATTTCATTTCGACGGACCGGAGGCGTCGGCGGAGGGCTAAAGGTCCAAAGATGAACTCTGCAGCCAACTCGTCCGAGTCGCTAGTCAAGGTAGAGGAAGAGTGCTTAAACAATTTTTTATCATAACGATCATAGAACTGCATAGCTAATGGATTTTGTTTGTGTTATGACAACTGTAGCCCACAGTACCTCCAAACCGGGACCAGGAGCTCACTTCTTCCAACTCGAATCCACCCAACGAACCAACTATTACATCGCCGTCCAGAGTTGAAGCCACAAAAGCCTCACCATCTGGAGCTATGTCTGATGATCATTATCTAGATATCGCTACTACACAGAAAAAGACCTCTTTCAAGGAACAAGCTCATTCTCAGCCCTCTGTCAGTACTTCTGAAAAAGCGCATATGCCAACAAGGGCAAATATTGCTGCAACTAGGGACAAGAATAAGGAGCAGGATAAAGACAAGATCAAACATAGTGACAAAGATAAAGAGAAAGAGAAGGACGTGGACATGGACATGGACATGGACATAGACAAGAAGAGGATCAAGGATACAATCAAAAACAATGAAACGTTATTGCCGTCTCTGCCGGACAATGCGTTTGTGCATCCGATACACGCTCTCAACTCGACTAGCCCCATAGTGCGTTTGAAGCCATCTCACAAGCGTTCTCAGTCTGCACAGCTTCCCCTTACATCTCCCTGGAGCATACTTCAGTCGTCGGTACCTGCGACGAGGAGCCATCCCTCATCATCACTCAGCCAGATGACACTCTCGACCAGCCATACCAACTCTTTAGTCTCATCCGAAAGCTCATCATCCATGGAACCCTCCATTCTTTTAAATAACAGCAACTCCAACTCAAAGAACGACGATACACGTGGCCAGTCTTCCATTTGGTATTCGCCTTTTCAATCTGGTCTAGATATTTCAATCGAAAGTGACCAGGAGCAAGGAAAGCATGGATCAAGATCGTTCTCGAAGCCCGGTATCCAAACTGACCTTGCCAGAAATCAAAAGAAGCTTAGCCTTGGACCAATACTACCGCCATCCTCATTCTTTGAGTCATCCCCAAGGACGCCAAGGATCATGCCTTTCAATCAGCATCTTAGCAATAGGACATTGGGTGTCGATGACTGGTCGGCACGGACGAGATCATCGTCAATAGCGGCTCCAATGACACCTCTGCTGGAGTCCGAATGCCAAGCTCCAGCGGATTATTTTGGTGGCAGTCATAGCGTCAGCAGTAGCAGAAGAGGATCTACGGAGAACAACTTGACAGAGTCGCTGTTGTCAGGGAGAGCGAGGATGTTTGCGGCGTCTGATTCGACTATTGTTTATCCACGTCAAACCAGTCTACATCCTTCGAACTCACCTCAAGGCACTAATGGATCAGACACATCGTTTTCCTCGCCACTCTACAGCTCGTCCTCCTTGGCACCACCAGCCTCAGCATTGTTCACTTCCGCCAGTTCACCGTTGCTAGGGCATACGACTCAGGAGCCGCTCGCACTGACGACGAGTATGTTACAGGATCCAACAGTGGAGACGATTCCAACGTTTGTGAATCCATGGGAATCAAGCTACCCTATTCGGTCGAACCACACCGTTTCAGAAAAATTCCTACCCTTTGGATCTTCCTCGTCCCTGAACGTCACCGATAACAGTTTCGATAGAGATCAGGATCAAGATCGTCAGAGTAGTCTTCTCAGACTCATGAATGGAGACAGCAGAGTTGGTGAAATTGACCAAATGGACGGTGGATCTGGCAAGCAGGAGCGTGACGACGAAGCCGAGGCCATCCGAAGGGGATTTCTCTTTCCAAGCCTTGCTCACTATACACATGCTTCAATGCACTCTGTGGATCTGCCCAGCTTTCGTCCGTTTCCCTCGGTGGAAATGTCTCTGGCTGCTGCTGCGAACCAACCACCACCGCTCACGGAGGACCTCAAATACGACTTTGTTGACTTGTCGATGCAGGATTTCGTCCGCGGACAAACACCGGTTCCGGAGATCAGTCAAGGCTCCACGTGGACGGAAGGAAGCGAGAAGAAACCCAGGGAGCGACATCGCCATGGACGGAATCGATCCGGCCATCACAAGTCTGCCTCGCTCAGCTCGTTCTTTCCGCCCATGCCACCAGTCCCTGGTGTGCTGAGCAGTACCAGCCCAGGTATCCAGGCCGACACTGTTGGATCTTTGGATCCATTAAATCAACTCGCGAACAACCAGAGCGGCGAGAGTCATCATCATGGAAGTCAAGGCCATGTTCATGGACGTAGCCATTCCAAGCAAGGTCGCACTCAGGGCTCCACCTCTGGCAGGGATGGAGAGGGAGCACCATCTACATCTGGCAGACGTCGTGCTGGTACCGTACAGGACGGTCATCATAGAAGCGCCAGCAAACACCATCACCACCAGCATGTCGATTTTAGCAAATCAAAGAGGACGCCCAAAAAGGAGCAAAGCGTTTGATTAAAGACAATAACTGCGTTATTTATTGCGGTCTGTCATAAAATACAATAAGGTCGTGGGAGTGGAGTGATGCCCCTGTAGAAGAAAAGGATGGCACGATACGGGGCTGGTTCGTTCATTTTCCGAATCCTCGTGCTCTTAATCTAAGTTGATGTTGGTGTGTTGAAATCAGGCAATGATGTCCGCTTATAGCCTTCCTTGCTCCTTTAGCTGCTTCTTCTCTTCTTCGCTTAATGACCAGAACTCATTCGCTTTCCGACGGTAGTACCTCCGGATCTATTTACAAACAACAAAAAGAGATAACACCAGTGTCAGAGCAATCGAGCTAGTTGTGTTTGGGACCTTTATCCTCCATCGACTGGCCCCAAGCTCCATGCCTGAAATAGGTTAACGTACCGGCGAAAAGACTGTCTCTTTTTCCCCAAAGTCTGCATAGAGTGCAAAATATCCACCCAGTCCTAAATTGTTTGAAGTAGCCCATTGAACGATACGCTATAGGTGTTATTATCTCAATTCACTTCAGGACAACTAAACCCCTTTGGTCTTAAATCTTCCAAAGAAGCGCAAGTATCCATAATGTTAAGCGCTGTTTTACCAAAGGCGAAGATGATAGTGGCGATGTGCAGTTTGCGAAGTTCAGGGCGAATGGCGAGCGATTCCGGGGCGAGGTTCCTGCGCTTGTACTTTTCCTCGAGAAAGCGCCGTCGCTCTTCTGAGATAGGCTGGTATTCGTTTCTGGGACTCTGGTTCGGGTTATCCATGGAGAAGCCGTCTGACTTGATGAAGTGCGATGGGACCGAATAGTCGTTGCTCGGCATTGCCTTGAACCCCCGAGGGTGTGGAGTGGGGCAAGGCAGTCCATTTACGGTCACAATTGACAAACAATAAACACTTTTTTTTTTCTTTGGTGCTGGTAGTTGAACAACGCTTACATCTTCAGAACTGAGAGCTACACACCCCTTTTCTCACCAGTGACCGTAACCGCATCAGCTTCACCTTCTACAACTTCCCTCCGCCGCACTCATCTCCCCATTCTTCTATACAGTATGGCTCAGAAGAAGAGCAGCAAGGGCGGCAAGCCTAGTAAACCCGCAGCTGCAAAAACGGGTGCTCCTCAAAAGAAAAAGGTACGCTTCGCTTTTTTCTTTTTTTTTTCTCGCTACCCTTTGGTCAATCAGATACCATTTATCTCTTCTAACATTCGCTCACTGACTTTCAATGCTAGCCAACTGGAGGCAAGAAAGAAAAGACAGAGAAGCAGATCAAGGTCCCTAAGATTGTTGTCCCCAACTTTGAGGTCTCAGAGGATGTGGAGATTGATGAGGAAGATATCGAGTTCTTCAAGGAGAATAGCCAGCTTTCCAGCTTCTTGAACAAGATGGATGCCGTCAAACTGGCGAAGTATGTGCGCCCATAGATTTACTCCTCGCGAAAAGAATGTCTGCTATGCGGTTGGCTTTCTTACTGACCCGGTTTGAACCGTTGTCCTAATTATCTTCAAATAGGAACGAAATTCTCAAGGCCAAGAAAAAGACGACAGTGGGAGCATTAAAGAAGGGACCTATTGATCAGACAGCGGACGATGTGGATTCGGAATCAGAATCATTGGACTCTGCCGACAGCGACATGGACATGGACATGGGCATCGATATGGACGATAGCGACGAACTTATGTCGGACGAAGAGCTAGAGATGGCGGAGGGCCACTATGAGAGCGTAGGCGATGACGACAGCGACGAAGATGAGGAGCAAAGGATAGAGGATTCAGATGAAGAGCAGGATTACGAGCAGACACTTCGCAGGCCCGAGGGTTGGTCAGAGAAGGGTAGCACACGGTTGCCCATTAAGTTGGCAGACGGTCGCATTAAGGAGGTTAAGGATGACCGTGTACGACCCAGTGAGCTGAAGAAGATGGAAGAAGAGGAAGATAATGATGAGGTTGTAGACAGCGATTTTGCAGAGGAAGAGTTGGAAGAGGCAGGAGAAGAGGAGCAGGAGATTGAGGATGTGCAGCCTGAGAAGAAACTGTCCAAGAAGGTGCTGTTGGCTCAAAAGAAGGAGGAGATGGCGACAATGGCTCAGGCTATTATCGCAGAACCTGAAGCCAACGTAAGAACCTTTTTTATGTATCACTATGATGATTATACGACCATGAAAATCACAGCGGTTAACCAATTTTTGCTCGTATTATTCATTCTTTGAAAAATAGGTTGGTCAGCTGAGGAAGCTGAGGGCTATGGCTCAGGATCCCAGCGACGTGATCAAAAAGTTGGCGATGTTGACACAACTGGCAGTTTACAAGGATATCTTGCCCGGATACAGAATTCGACCCCTCACAGAGAAGGAGCAGAGCGTTACTGTATCCAAAGAGGTGGCCAAGCTGCGCGATTATGAACAATCACTTCTTCAAAACTACCAGAACTATCTGCAGAGTCTCGAGAAGGTGCTAGCACAGGATCGGCCAGGAAAGGAGGAAGAAGAGGCGGAATTGGGATCAAAATCAGCAGCGGTATCTTTGACTGCACCAGCTCCAACTGTTGGATCGTTGGCAGAGGGCGAAGCTACCAAGAGGGCCAAGGCAGATTTGGCGACGGTTGCGATTCACTGCATGTGCAACCTCTTGACGAGTGTTACGCACTTCAACTTCCGACTGAATCTGATGACAGCCTTGATCGCCAGGATGAGCCGTCGTCATTGGAGCGAGCTCTCGGAGACGTGCAGCAAGGCATTGAAGGAAGTATTCACAGAAGACGAGTCAGGAGAGGCGTCTTTGGATGCTATCAAGCTGATTACAAAAATGATCAAGTCCAAATCGTATCTGATCCATCCCAATGTGATCAATGTGTTCTTAACACTGAGACTCAAGGAGGAGCTACCGACACGACAGGGTGGCGATGAGGGTGCAAACCCCAAAAAAAGGAAAAAGAAGGAGAAAATCCATATCAGCAAAAAGAATCGCAAGCTGCTTAAAACCAAGAAGGAGGTTGAGGTCGAGATGAAGGAGGCAGAGGCAGTCGTCGATAAGGAAGAAAAGATGCGGATGCAGACCGAGACTCTGAAGCTCGTCTTTGTTACGTACTTCCGTATCCTTAAGCACGCCCCAGGATCAACTCTTTTGCCAGCGGTACTGGAGGGTCTTGCCAAGTACGTACCCACATTGCTATGGATCAACTGGAGCACAGCAGAGACTTATCCACAATGTGATACTAACCCGGTCGTCATTGCGCGCTCCATAGGTTCGCTCATTTGATCAACGTTGACTTTTTCACGGACTTGCTCGAGGTTCTGAAGAAGATCATGGTCGGTGGCACCGATGCACATAATTTTGATCCCTACACTCCCGCCAACCGCCGCACACAGCTCCTATGCATCGTCACGGCTTTCCATCTGCTGCAAGGGCAAGGAGAGGCTTTGAATATCGATCTGAAGGCGTTCTATGTTCAATTTTATACCACTCTACTGACCGTGGCAATGAATTCCGACATCGAAGGCGATATTTTCGAGGCCGCAGAGTCATCCGCCAAGGAAAAGGAGAAACAGAAGCAGGCAGCCAAGGCTCAGTGGAAGGGCAAGAGCAGCAAGAAGGCAATTGAGGACGAAGCGCTGGTGGTTCTGGACACTGACCGGGAGCTGATTCTGAAGGGATTCGAGCTGCTGTTCTTCTCGACTAAGGGCAAAATACCTGTGATCCGATCTGCGTCGTTCCTAAAGCGGATTGCGATCGCGTCGCTGCATTTCCCGAACAAGTCGATGAAAGACTTTTTGACGATCATGAAGAAGTTGATCCAGAAGCAGCCGCAGTTGGACCAATTGCTCACAGGATCAGACGAGGACCGGGCAGGTAACGGTGTGTACTTACCAGCACTGAATGATCCAGAGCTGTGCAACCCAATGGCAGCCAGTCTATGGGAGTTTGAGCTTATGAAGGTAACACAGAGGACCGCGAAATGGATGTAACTACGCGATGCAAGAGCTTCAAAGACTACGAAGACTAACAGCTGTACGTTTTTTTTTTTTTTTTGCCACTGTAATAGTCCCACTTTGATCCCAAGGTGCGGCAGATGGCTCGCGAGCTGGCAGTCTTTACACCAAGCGCAGGACAGCGCACACACGATCGCACCATCAACAAGTAGAGCTTTATTCCATATTCATAAACCTGCATTTATTATAGTAACTCATAAATTTTTTTTCCGGAAACTATCAATTGCCAACTAGACCAATCAAATGCTGTTATTGTTCACTGGCACAAAAACTGTTCTCCACTTCTTTTTTGTCAAGTCCACTCCATCACACGAGCACACACCTCTCAAACTCATCCGGACGATGGCTTCACAGTATCCCCGATCGGCATCATCAGACGACCCAGACGACGCGCCTTACTTCAACGTACAGAACAAGAAGCACAAGCTGGAAGACCAGGAAGACCAGGAACAGGACCTGAAACCAGAACTGAAACAACAGGTACAGGAAAGAAAGCAGGAACAAAGCATGAGCTGTGACAATGAGGAGCAGGACAATGAGCCCTCATCCCAGTTCCAGAACGATGGATCCCTATCATCAGACAGCAAGACGACCAAGAAAATAGGCGAGAGGCCGAATGCAGCCTCGCCTGCGCTGCGAAAGGAACAGAATAGAGCTGCACAACGAGCCTTCAGGGACCGAAAGGAACGCCACCTTCAGCAGCTGGAGAACATGATTAGGGACCTCAAGGAACAGCAATTCCATATCACTGCTCACTTTCAGCGCGAGGTTAAGCAGCTCAAGATCCACCTCGATACCACTGTGACGGAGAACCATTACCTGCGTGAGGTTATCTTTGCATTTGAAACGACGCTCAGCAGAGGCGGATATGTGGCGGTCCTTCAAGATGTCAAGCAGGAGCTCTACCGACGTCAACAAGAAAAGCAGATACAGAAGCAACGCGGCTCACAGGAATCGTCATGCAGCCACAATTCACACTTTCCACAAGTCCCGCAGGCACAAGGTCATACAGAATCGTTCGTAGAACCAATACCAGCACTATGTCCCAAGGGTCCACCACACCCATTAACGTTGTCGCTATCCAAGGCAGACCCTTCGCACGAGATGGGGAAATACACAGTCAACAGGGAGATTCTCTACAAACCCCCACCCCTGTTTGTCACTGTCGCTTCTGAGGATGGTCAAGTGGTGGCTGTCAAGTCCCCACTCGAGCCGGTGTCGGTCTTGCGGCCATCATATGCATCTCCAGGAACGTATCTTCCAAAGCATACGGATTACACAAAACATCCGACCGTATTTGATGAACTACAGTCGTCCCTGTTTCCTCCAGGAACACTTCAATCGCTTGTACGGAGCAGCATGGCAACACCGCAGGAGGTCGTGAACGACAGTACGATGCTAGATCAATGGCACCAACAAGCAAGGGATGAGCCTATCGGATCTCGACTGCGGGCGTTTGTATCATCACTGGGTCTGAACGGAAATCACCGTCTACAAAAAGAGTTCGACATCTTGGTCTCATCGCCTCCGGCTGTGGATCCGAACATCTCACCAGAGATCTACGAGCTGCCACACGATGCGCGGATTGATTTGGTGCCGTGTCCGAAGCTGCGCGCACAGATGATTCTGCATCAAAACAAGTACGACATGGATGAGTTATTTCAGCTGTTGGCAAAGGGGGCGATCTGTCATGGACATGCTTTGGATGTGAGCAGTTGGGAGTTGCCAGACGAGTTTTTTGACAAATTTGGATTTTTGATGGGACTGGATATGGAACGGATCAGGCGTAAGGTCTGGCCACGCAAGCCTCCACAGGAGAATGAGATGACAGAGTAGTATTGGCATAAGGCTTATAATAACAATAACAACACTATACCGCATGATATGGTCATGGCGAAATGGATGTTGCGTGATGTATTTGAAGCATTGGGGATGGTACTGAGAAAACCAGGAACAGGCACATTGCCATGGCCTAGCTCTGGCATGCGAGTAGAGTATGAAAAAGGAATGAGGACGTGGGGCTAGCGTGGGCGAAAGATCGGAGTATGAAAGTTACTTTCTCACGATCCCTCTGGCTGGACGGAAATTTCTTTTCTTTACTTGGACAAACGGCAGAGCAGCTCCACTGCCTTGGAGGGTAACACACGAGCGCAACAATGGATCAAGTGGCGAGCAAGAAATCAAGCTGTACCTATTCGGCCAGATGACTACCAGGATGATGACGGTTCTTATTATCAACATCATTATTGCCACCAGACATCAGGACGGAGCCTTGGGACATAGTGGGGCATAAGGGCCGAATAACGTAACCGTGGGTAAAAGCATAGGGGCAATTTTTCCGTTGGAGATCCACAAACATGTATAAAAAACCCCTTTCTTCTTCCCCCCAAAAGGCCCCATCCCTTTTCGTTTCTGCTCTCCGCTCTCCGCTCTCGCTACTCCCATTCTCCCACTCTCTCGCTCTCTCACTCTCCCACTCTCTCATCCTTTTACTGTTTTCCAGGTTCTCCTTAGAAACGTCACCCATTTTCTAATTGAACGTTCAATTGATGCTGCAGAAAGAGTCATTCTTAGTCTTCCTTCCGGGTCCTTTCCGCCGTTTTCTACTTTACAACAACAACAACACCAGCAAGCGAAAACCACCACCGCTGTCTTCACCACGTCTCACCACGCCTCACCACTCTTCCATTACATTCCAACCCTTCTGCTCCACCTCCCATTACTCCATCTGATCAACAGAAACCTAGTTTTCTAAAAACGCGAGATTATGATCCTGCCTCTCGGTCGAATTGCTACTTGTCCTCCGGTGGCGCACACAAGACAGCTCGCCAAGTATCTCAAATCCGGACAATCAATATCTGATCCCTTTTTCTCTGTTTTGTTTTTTCCGACTCGCAACTTTTCACACTCTGCTCGACTCCACCTCCCTCGTTCCTCACCCACCTCTCCTTTCCAACCAGTTCTTATTCATACGCGCTCCAAAATGATCGGGCCAAACCCTTCTGCCCCTACTTCCTCCTCTGCCTCAGCTGAGGCTATCTCCACACCATCCAGCCAGGGTCGGCCCAAGATTTCGGCCCATACAGATTCTGGCAGTGTCTTCAGCCCGTCCTCCCCTATTCAGATAAAATCCCATCCGTTCCTCCGTAAACTCCAAACCGGCAGTAACACTAATGCCACTGCTGGATCCTCGGCCTTCTCCACTAGTTCTTCTACTGGCTTCCCCAGTGATTCCTCGAGCAATGGCCGCAAGAGTGTCGACGAGGCCATTACAGCCGTAGCCTCAAAGAGCATTGCTGGCAGCGTCGCCAGTAGCCCCACCACTGCTGCTGCCACTGCGACAGATGCGCTCTTCAGCCGACGTCTCAATCAGAGCGAGGACAAGACATTCGACGAGAACAATGGGGTCGAGCGTGCAACCCATGCTCATGATGCTTGTTGCGCCAAACATGCACAAGGCAGTGCGTTTGACGATACTCTTTTCCTTGGTCAACCTATCCACCTCCCGCCGATATCGGCCGAGGCCCATCGCTTCTCGGAGCAGCTGCTGGGCCAGAACAAAGCCTGGGCACAAAAGACGGAGATGGAGCGCCCTGGCTTTTTTGCCAAGCTGGAAAAGCAGCAGAAACCCCAAGTTCTCTGGATCGGTAGGTGATTCGCTTCGTATTGTGTCCTTCCTCAACAAAAAATTTTGTGATAAGCAAGCACCTCATTTGCCTAAAATATCTACAGATAACCCTCTGCAATGTACCCAATTGTGCTATCAGATTTATCCCATCACTTTTTCAATCTACTCATATCTCACACCATCTCTTTCTCCTCCCCCTCCATTTTTCCAATAGGATGTTCTGATTCGCGCGTGCCCGCCAATCAAATCGTCAACCTGGACCCCGGCGAGATTTTCGTCCATCGTAACATCGCCAACGTCGTGACTCACACGGACTTGAACTTGCTCTCCGTGCTGGAGTACGCGGTCGATGTGCTCAAGGTGCGCCATGTCATCGTCTGTGGTCACTACGGCTGCGGAGGTGTCGCTGCCTCGTTGACCCAGAAGCAGTTCGGTATCATCGACAACTGGCTGCGAAACATCAAGGATCTGTACACCATCCATCGCAAGAAGTTCGAGGCCCTCCCTCATGGCGGCAAGGAGCAGCAAGACTTATTGACCGAGTTGAACGTGATCCAGAGCGCACTCAATGTGTCGCACACATCGATCATCCAGAAGGCTTGGAGCCGTGGCGAGGAGGTGAGCATCCATGGGTGGTGCTACCGTCTGAGCGATGGAATGATCCGCAACCTGGGTCTTTGCATTGAGGGACCTGGCAATGTTGAGGACGTGTACCATGTGCAGGACATCCCCAAAAGCGACAAATGAGCATGCCTACCGTGAGAAGAAGATGATGCGGATGAAGCTGATGAAACCATACGTGTGAAAGAAAAAAGATGAATGTCGAGCGCACACCACTTTAGAATAAAATCAATGTATACTCGTTGCCATTGTCAACAAACGTGGGATTATTGGTATCTTGGATCGATTTTTCATGAATGATAAAGAAAGATATTCCTCACTCGTAATGCAGTTTTAACCTTGCATTGTGGACCCTGCATTGTTCCACTTGCCTTTGTGGTTGTAATGCATCCAGGAACAACTCAGGAGACGCGACATAGCAGCAAGTTCTCTCCGAGATGAGCCCACGCTTCTATCATCACAAGTAGCGCGAGATGGATGGCACACGCTTGCCACGCATAGTTCACTGTCTTGTTTCCTGGCGAGACCATTCTCACTATGCTCACTTTCCTTGGTAGATTGGTCTTCTTTACAAGATCTCGCAGACACTTCTCTTTTCCACCTTCTCCTCAATTGTCCGCTACCAACAATCGAACCAGAAAAGTGAGCTCAAGATGCTGCATTTTTATTTCGCATGGCATCGTACATCGACATGGATGTATATGTGGATCACAGCATGCGTTCTCGTACACCCAGCCTGTAGCGCACCGGCCTCGCCTCACTCCCTAGTCGCTACTTCGCCCTCCCTCAGTCCTGTCAAGGCCACTACGCATGCTTTAGTAAAAGGATCTGCTGCCGCCAAGACACAAGCTGTAAGCACAACCAACTATCCAACCGTGCCTCGACCAAAGACATATCCGACCATTAGAAAACACAAATCAAAAGACAAAGAAACCAACAGGGACAATAGCGGCAACAGTGTTACGACAGCAAGTGTTGCCTCAATCGTAAAGAGCCACGGCACTGAAAATAGTACTGCACAAGACCAAGGGATGCTGAAGGAACCGCCTGCGGACCTAAAGACTGTCGTAATCGCGATTGCTGCTTGCATCGGTGGTCTTATCTGCTGTTTCTGCTGCCTTCAGGGTGCATCCAAGGCTTTGGGGTGTGTCTCCCTTCGACGGCTGACCCAGAGAAAGAATGCGGTTGCGGACCGGGTTGTCTTCCAGCCAGTGCTTGTGGCCGGCAAAACTATTAGCAAACCCAGACCAATATCTGCACCCCTGGATCGTGGACTTTGTGGTCAAGCTGTATTGCAACAAGACGAACACAGCAATGGCGAAGGCGATGGCGCAGCATATCACATCGACAATCGAATGTGTCCCACCCTTGCCACCAAAGCGACCTATAGACCATGGGCATAGTCTTTGGCCACCACGCATATCACCAAGAGGCGATCCACGTAGCTGTTAAGAGCTATAAAAATAAACAGTATCTCTAAAAAAAAACTTATTTTGTTGTTACTCTGTTTTGTTTTCCATTAGTTCCTAAGCATTCCTTCCACATTCATCGCGGTCCTCTGCACATCCGAATCACCTGTGGACCATGAGTGAGTCGATACCAGTCCCGCCTGACGAGGGAGATGTGAATAACGACGCTATCAGAGAAAGTTTCCTCAGGATCGAGGAACAGCGCCATAAGCGGTTTACCCAGGACCTGGTCACCTTGGTGAAAGGTATGGACCATTGTTTCGTACACAGCTATTTAGATTGCCGTAATTAGTATCCGTTTGTCGTCAAACAGAATATTGAATCTTTAACCATTGCTCCTGCCACTTCCTTCCTTCTATGTAGACTATGGATCAACAATCCGGCAGGATGAAAACATTTTGATCTCCGAGTACATCACCTCCAAGCTGTCGAATGAGACCCTAGTCAGGAAGGTCGCCGAACTCGAACAGGTAAACAGCGTCTTAAGGGCCAAACTGGACAGACCCAGTGGTAGCCCATCAAATCCAGAAGGATCTGGCTCTGCGGAGGGCTCGTCCGCTGCCATCTATGATCTGGAGCAGGAACTCAAGATGGTGACTGCAGATCACGTCCGCGCTCTGGACGATTCAGAAAAGCTTCGCAAGACCTGCCAGGAATTGGAACTGCGGCTCCGGGCTTCTGAGACGATAATCTCAAGATTTCAGGAGGCGGAGAAGCAATGGATAGCTTCAGAAGACCAGCTACGTGAACAAATCATTCAGAGTAATCAGGGGATCAACGAGCTCAAATGGCGTGCCAACAACCTTCAGAAAATATCCAATGCCAAAATCGTAGAGGCAACTCAATTGCAATCAAAGCTCCAGGGAAAGACGGAGGCCGAGATTGCATTGAAGGCGGAACTGAATACGATTAAGGATGAACATCAGGCTACCTTAAACTTCATCAGCGAGCACTATTCGGCCCTAGCCTCAGCTGTTGCTCAAAAGTCGGGTGTCATGCGTACTCCTAGTAGCGCGCCTAGTTCATTGATACCTACAACAACATCACCAGCGCAGGCGGGAATGACAGTAACACCATCTACGGAACGGGCGCACCCAATTCTCACTATACCCACATTACCCTCCCGCGCTATCCAGTCAGCACTCACCCCGCCCATACACTCGCCAACCGACAGTGCTCACGCGGCCACCCCACCACCGTCAGCCTTCCAAACATCCGGATCTCCGTTTTTTCAAGCCCAGAACCAGATTCAAAGCCTCCCACCGATCTCGTTCTCGGCCTTGGTGACGCGATTGGAACGGGAACAAAGCGAGTTATGGACTAAGCAGCGGGATTATGTGCAGTGGTTCATCCGCCAGCCCTTTTCGCCGGACAAGATGGCTGAGCAACTCAAGGAGCTGGAACGGAAGCAGCTGCAAACGCTGCAGCTGTTGCATTTGCATCATCAACAGCAGGTTCAACAGGCGCAGTTGCAAGCCCTTCAGATCTCTGGCCACCCTCCAGGAACACCGCAGTATCAGCAATTGCAGGATGTATATTCCAGGCTACTTCAGTCATTGCAGCAAAACCAGGCTGGCCTACAGGTTCAACATCAGAGGGACCACCAAAAGATATACCAGGAAGTACATCATCTTGTACAACTCCAGCGACAACAGCAGGAACCACCACTACAACAGCAGCAGCAGCAGCAGCAGCAACCACAACATAAACAACTGCAACAGCAATTGCAACAGCAACAACAACAACAACAACAACAACAACAACTGCAGCAGCAACAACAGCAACAGCAAGTACTACAACAGCAACAGCAAGTACTGCAACAGCAAGTACTACAACAGCAAGTACTACGACAGCAACAGCAACAGCAACAGCAGCAACAGCAACAACATCAACACCAACAATACCATCAATACCAACAACTACTACAACTACAGCAGCAGCAGCAGCTTCAACAGAGTCACCTACAATTAATGTCACCAGCGACAGTGCCGGGACAACACCAGGCGAGCAGTCAAAACTTACAAGCAGAGATGCAGAGGAGCTTACTCGCAAAGATGCAATTGTCGCAATTACCTCAGCAACAGTCCAAACAGCAGCAACAAGTCTTACAATTGCAACAATCGCAGCAATATCAGCCCCCACAACTTCAGCTCCCGCAACAGCAGGCAGCACAACAGCAACAGCAGCATCAACAATGGCAACAACGACCACAAGAGCAGCCTCAGCAACAACAGCAATCAACGCTACAGCAACAACTGCCGCAACCACCATCAGCTCAACTGCAGACACCATCTCAGCAACAATCGCCAATGCAAATGGTCTACAGTCTTATCAATAACCACGTAAATGCCAAGGCATTCAATGACCAATGGCGGAAAGTATCTGAGGAATGGAATGCAACAAGGGCGCAGCTCGAAGTATTGAAAGCAGCCAACATACCTGACAACTTGCGCGCTGCAAAGGAATTTCCCTTGGAGCGGCTTGCGGAGCAGCAGCTTAACACCATGAGCAACCTTCGAACACAGATATCGGCATTGGCAGTACATCTACAACAGCAGGCCGCAGTCAGTACTTCCGGAGCCCCTCCCACAAGTCAACACATAGCCATCCAGAATATGGATCATCAGCCCGCCTTGTCCACTCAGAGAGCATCAGCGGCACCTCCAGTCTCTCATTCAAGCACAGCAGGGGATACAGTGCCGTCTGTCGCTGTACCCGTTCCTGTCAGTGCACCTCCCCACGTGCCTTTGTCTGAATCTATGATGTGGAACGGAACAGGATCGTCAAGTCCACGTACTATAACGGGCGCATTAGGATCTCAGACAGAATCAGCCACGCGGTCAGAAGTCATCATACTGGATCGTTCGCCTGAAGAGCTGGTCAAGGAACCAATTGGCGCGTCATCTGAGCAGGAAACTTCTACAGATTCTCAGCCAACCTCAAGCGAGGGCGATTCGCCAGTGACAGTCAAATCGAAGAGCTCTTTGACAGGGGGGCATGAGAGTCTGCAACAGAGCAAGGCTGAAGCCAAAGAGTCTGAAAAGGATACAAGTCATCTATCGGCTGTTACCACAGAACAACACAAGTCGACGGAGGAATCAGAGCAGATGGAGATTAACGCGCCAAGGACTGAAACGTTGGCGACAGTGGCACCCGATCGCTCCCTAACTCCACCGCGAGACCGTATTGATGCAACGCTGAGTCTTTTAACTGCAGCGCAGGAGGCAATCGAGCCACTACCACAGGCTTCGATTGCGCCTCAGGGATTTTCAGCAGCACCATTGGCGATATCAGATACCTCCCAAAAGGCACCACCAGAGCCGTCTCCAGATATAGCGACAAACGTCCCTGCTGCAAAGGGGTCCGATTTCTCAGCGGAAAACTTCAGGAGGAAGATCCAGATATTGACGAGAGAAGCGAACGTACTGAGCCTCACCAAAGGATCCACTTCAATACTTGAGAAATCCCTTGCTTTGGAAAAGAAGCCTCACCATGGCAGCGACAAAGCAGATGTTCAGGAACCGGCGCCGGTAATCAAAGCAGCAGACCCGCATGTCCAATCTGGAACAGCTGCCAAGGACACTGATAACCCTTCGCCTGGAACTCTTTCCGCAAACAAGCGGCGCTTGATCATCGACTGGGAGGACGATGACGATATGGGAGGCGATTGGTTTGACCTCACCAGTCTCGAGGACAGGCATTCCAGTGACCATGACAGCAAACGAGAGTTAAAAAGAATGAACTCTGACGATCTTCTTATGGAGGAGGTGGTTGCTACAGGGTCAGCAAAGTTCAATACGCAAAAATCTGGCCATGGTCGATGGCTGGTGTCCCAGGCGCGTTTGCATTCTCAACCCGCTATCAAGAAGCGGAAAGAGAACGATGTGGAGAGCAAGAGTGATGATGTTGCGCCTTTGTGTCCGCCGGCGACCCCAGTGAATCGACCAGCGCCCTCTGTGGCTGTATCGTCACCTTCTCTCGCCCTACCGCCGACGTCTCTATCTTCATCTACAACAACTAAGGGGAGTGAAGGCACAAAGACCACACCAAACGCAGGATTGGAACCTGCTTTGTCATCGTCAAAGAGGGACGGTAGAGCTCCTTTGAAGAATACGACAGCAGCATCTATAGGAGGCGCAGATCAAGGAGCAGCGCAAAAATCGTCATTAGTCAATTCGGCCAGCGCGTCTGGCTATGTGCCATCTACAACCAACCTGCTGTTTGATCAGACGGCGCTGCCTTCTTTTAGAAAGCGGACTGTCGTATCAACTGAGCAGTCGGAACTCTCTGGTGGGTTGAGCGGGATGCGGAGCAAATTGGCTAGGTATTTGAAAGTGTTGGAATTGAGTGCGAACTAACAACATCATTTGGGATTTATTTTTGAATATTTCTATAGCGACTGAGAATGTCTCTAATACATCGATTAAAGAGGCAAACAGTGTGGTCGTTAATGAGTCCAACGAGGCTGGTAAGTGGAAAGAATGCAGATCAAACTCGTAATGAACTTTTTGACAAACAAGAGTCCATAGATCGTCAATACCCATATTACTATTTCCAAAACAACCCTATTGCAATCGCGGAAGTCCCCAGCATTTCAACAGTCGCTCGCCCATTTGGACAATATCCTGATCCAAGGCTGCCTAGTGCTCGACCCACGGACCCTCGTCTGGCGAGGGTACAGAAGAAGACTTCACCGGTTCCCTCCATGGCGGCCACTACCGTCACTACCGCCGCCGCTCTCACGACTACGGCCGCAGGTTTGAGTCCTATGACCGTAAAAGGTACTGAGGAGCCCTTGTCTGTCAACACGGCCGCGCCAGAATCGGTGGTTCACCTTACGGGACAGCAATCCACACTGTCAGGCGAACAGACACATCGAGCGGACTCTGGATTGGATTCTGGTCCGAATTCTGCATTTATGAGGTCTCGCTCAAAGTTTTTCTTCCCTCATGTGAATACGAATACGAATACGAATGCGAAGGCTAGCCCGCCCACAGCGAAGACGACGATGCTGACTTTTGGAAATGATTCTACAAAGGATCTCGCAGCCGCAGCCACTAATACGGATAGAGCGAGTCAAGCACAGGGATCGAAAGCACTTCGATACTCGTTGCCGAAGAAACCAATCTCTGCTGGGAACACGAGTGAACCGAAGCTATCGGCGTTGGGAAATGCAGGTGTGGGTCATAGACTATCTGGAGATCAGGGGCAGACTGGAAATAACCATCATGGTCAGCAGCGGAAACTTACGCAACAGGATCAACATCAACATCAACAGCAACAGCAGCAGCAGAACATACAGCAACAGAAACGGTTCTGGCAGCAGAGCCAGGCTTCTCAGCAACAGAAGCAACAGTATCAAGAGAGTCCTCTCCAGCAGCGTCCTCTGCATCAACAGCAGCAAGGGCACGGACAAAAGCAGCGACAGAGTCCGCAACAGCAGGACCAAGAACAGAAGCAACAACAGCAACAACAACAAAAGCAACGGCAGCAGCAGCATAACACAATCCTTCATAAGGAAAGGTACTATCGCTGAAATGCGTCAGCGGAGGCTCTCACTGGGGAAGAAAAGACCTTCTGCTACACTTGAAAGGACGGCTCCGGCGGATAATGCCCAAGCAATGCAGCAAGGAGAATATGATTGCTTCACCCATCAAACAAACACGACGCGACTGAAATGTTATGATAGCCTGCAGATAATATGTACAGTAAATACCTTGTATTTTATGCCTGTATTTCGTTCTTCGATGATGGTTCAGATATGAGTCTTTATTTCCCGCACACATTGTATTACATTGTATAAACATTAGGCCTGACGCTTTTTTATTTTTTTTTTAGTATCGTGTAACATCATAATGACAAAGGAAAGTGGCATTAAGGTGCAATAGAGAAGTACAGGCGTGCAAGTGTAGACTAAGAAAGCAAGACGTAAAAAAAAGCAAAGTAGTGTAAAGTATGGTTTACAGGATTGTATAAGGTTGTTGTGAAAGAAGAACATGAACCATAAGAAAATGCGGATCGAAATATTTGCAAAGGGGATTGATAGTACATGTAGAATACATGACGAGAATTATCGAACAAAGAGTGTTATGGCTCATAAAAAAAAATTATAATAATGTGTACAAAGCTGCAAAAGTACAAAGGGGATGTTTGGATGAAAAAAATATAAGAAAAAAAGAAAGCAATGCCAGCAAAGATTTGGTCGGCAGTGTGTTGTTTGCTGTCTGCTGTTTGCTGTTTGCTGTTTGCTGCTTGCTGCTTGTTGTATGCTGCTTAGTGCTTGGCGCCGTTCTGACCCTTGCACGACTAATTCTAAACGATCCCTTTGCTGTTCATCTGTCTGTCCTTTCAGATATCGCGCTCAGAGATGCCTTCCAGCCATCCCACCTTGGCAAAGACCTCCCATAGCCGACTGGTCTTATTGACGTCAATGCGACACAATTTCTGAGCGTCCGATTTCCTGAACTGTTTTCCGTCAGGCTTGGCGTAGTATGCGCGTGAGGTGAGGATCAAGGTCCGCTTGCAACTAAGATACTGTGCTGGCGAAAGTCGAAGTGTCGATGCAATGTACGTCTCATATGGGTGCAACAGTTCGTATCCAGGCTTTCCAACGACCGAAAGAGGCTGACCTATACAGTACATATACGTTGCAAGTTCTTTGGTTAGTCACTTGCAACAAGAACAACATCAATATATCGGATTCAACTTGATATGACATGGTATGACATGATATGACAACTTACCCCTCCAGTAGACAGTGGGTCGTGGGATCCTATCCAGGACTGAAGTCGGGCCAACATCGGGGTCGAGCTCAACCAACTCCTCAGGTTCCTGAACAGTGCGCTCACCACCATGTCTGAATCCATTGGGAGAGACATGATCGGGATCCTGGACCTTCTTGGTACGCTTTCGTTTTCTCATGATATTGCCGTCCTCGTCGAGCAGACCAAGCTCCGCAGCTCGCTTCTTAGACATGCGCCTGTACTTGGGTTGGTCGTTTCCATCCAGTGCTGACATACTACTCATCTTGCGCTTGCCTCCAGTTGCCGCACTATCCTCGGAACCATAACTCGAACTGCTGCTGCTGCTGTGGAACTGATAGTATCCACTGGAGTCGTCGTCCGTCAACAAATGTTGGATCGACATCGAGAACGGTCGAGCAGAGGTCGAAGATCTAGCCTTGGCTGCAGCAGACTGAATGCCAAGACTGCGTACAATTTCTTGGCTGGTATCCATCTCTTCCTTGGCATCCTCGTGTCGCAGCACTCGATAGGTTGCGGTCGACAATAGCGACTGCGAATGTCTTCTGCCACAGCCTGTGCTTGAAGCCCTCGCTTTTCCTTTGGAGCCCGAGTACGTGTCAAAGTGCGCATGGTTGGGCACTGGGCCAGGAACACTGTCCTCAGGATGACTGGATGTGGAATGTCGTCGCTCATCGTACCGTCCACCTTGTGGCCTCAGAAGCAGAGGGTTCTGTCGGTAGATGTTATAATAGTCCATGTTCATGTACGCACTCGAGTCCGTGTCCGTCGTTGATGTCATCATGAGCTCCTGGCCAGCTCGCTCCGGTGATCGGATGGGTATCTTGGGATGGTGATGCTTCGAAGACCATGCTTGGTTGGACAGGGGCGGTGACACTGCTCGGCTGTCTGTGGCCGGATTGAAGAGACCATAGGAAGCTCTACTGGAACCAGAAAAGGCGTTGCTGGATGCCGAAAGCGAGTTCGCTAATTGCACAGGACCCAGATTTGTTCTTGAGGATGGCAGTAAGAGATGTGTGCCTGGATGCGAACTTGAATGCGACCTGCCATTGTACTGAGGTGGAGGGCTTGCTCGAAATAGCGGAGGTAGCGTCTTTGATTCGCTCATAGGATCTACTTCCGAAGTTGGCGGTGATGACAAATCAGGCTGACGCTGCCTTTGCTGGGTGCGCTGCGGCTGCTGATTGTGGTGAAGGCGCTGTCGCTCGTGACTGAGCTGACCAGAGCGATCATCACGGGTATGTTTCTGGTAGCCAACGGCATGGAAGTCGCATGGCACATGGAACTCGGGCGAGACAGACGGCATCGAAGGGGCAGGACTTGGGAATGGAATAGGAGATACTGTATTCACCTCACACTCCCGACGAGGTGCCACATATGCTCCTCCTGACGCAGTAGTTGGAGCAGGGGCAGAGGCGGGAACGGGTATCGACTGCGGACAGCTGCTCCCTGGAGCCAGATCATGCTGTCGTGATGAAGAATGGGCTGAATGCTGCGCGAACTTGTTAGATAAGAGGTAGCTATTGACTCGTGGGTCGGATAGTACAAGTCGAACGGGTAGCCTAGCGTTGGGCAGCGGGACTCGGGCCGACCCTGCTGCACTTGAGGAAGACAGTAAAGATGACTCGGCCTTGACGGATGCGAACATGGTTGCGCTGGGGCCATATCCTGGACGGGATGAGCCCTGCGATCGGTGCTGGTGTTCCTTAGAATGCATTGGGGGTGAATGAGGAGGCTGTGGTAGTGTCTGGTTGTAGTGAATGAGTGCGTGCCCGAGCATCATATTGGCTGTGGCAGAGGTATTATCGGCAGGGATGCGCTTGGAGGAACTTGAAGAAAAGGTGGAGGCGGATAAGGGTGAGGCTGCGTAGCTATTGTTAGCGGAGGAGCGTCGTCGGTGGACGTTGCTGTTGCTACTAGCGCTGGTGTTGGTATTGGTGTGAAGAAGAAAAGAAGGAACAGCTGGTGCCTGTAGAAGAGTTGAAGGTGGCTGTGGGGGTGACTGCGGTGACTGGGGATGTGGGCGCGAGCGTGCGATAGAGTTCGAGTGAGAATTGGATTCGACAGAAGAATTGGTTGGGTCAGTGGTCATGTCGATTTTGCCGAACCAACGACAGGATGACGATGGTACTCTCTCAATGGAGAGGACTGTGTTGGGGTGGAGCAGTGCTATGGATGACGAAGCTGGATTACTAGGATCCTTGGGGAGCTGCTGTTCTTGTGTAAGGGTGTGAATTTGGATTGTGAAAGAATAGGAAAATGAAAAAAAGGATCGAATTGTGTTTGCTGCGGCGAGAGCGACGGTGTGGATGGATGAGTCCTTCTTGGTTGCTGCTGATGCTGCTGCTGCTGCTGTAGTGGGTGGAGTGGAATAAAGAGCGCCAGGGTGAGATTAATGGGAGGGAAGATGTATGAGAAAGGGCGGGGAAAAATAAAAAGAGAGGCAAAAAGGAAACAGACAAAAAGAAGGGGGGGAGGGTGAGTATATATACACGCTTGGGTCATATGTCAAGAAGTGGGTATGCCATCCCCTCCTACCTCACACATATTTCAATTGAATGCCAGATAAAAAAGACAAAAACACCAAAAGAGATCCCTCGGAAAAAAAGAGGGGAACAAAAAAATAAGAAAGGAAGGAAGGAAGAACAATTGTGCGTTTGTCATACAGCCATGGAACAATGAGGGTGCTGTAGTGGTGTAAGAAAAAAGAGAAGAGAAAAAAAATAAAATAAAATAAATAAAAAAAAATGCCGATCGCAGCCATCCCGATTAAGTTCATCGGATGTGTTGTGCTGCTGCTGCTTATGAAAGAGAAAAACAGTAGGGGCCTTGGAATGCTGCAGAATAATTACATTCACACAGCAACACTGCAGTGTTTGTTGTTTTGTGTAGTACACGTCTGTGTCTGTGGCAATGGACATTTGGTGCATCGTCCACCTCTGTCATTGGACTGGTTAACAAAAAAAAAAAAAAATCGATCTCCTCCCTTCTCCCTTTTTTCTTGGCTTGTGCACAAACATCGACTCGCTCATTCAATTGGGTTCAGTAACAGGGATATAATATAAAGTACCTACCTCTTATGGTCGAGTCAAAGCGGTGATGGACTTATTGTCAGGCCAGAGTCTAGTGGATCACAAGATCTGTTTGACTTTTCTATAAATGGAGATTTTTCATACAAGGTTAGGTCTTCGAAGTCTTGGCTGTCAATCGAGTCATCTCCACTAGGCGCTTCCACTGGTGGCCAAGCTCCGTTTAAAAGCATGTGTTCGCGGGAAAAAACAAAAGCGGGTATAAACCACCGGTGCCGCAGCAAAACTGGTCTTTTGCAGAAGAGTGTGCGTGGCAAAGGTAGAATGGAGTGTCGAGTGTCGTTTATGGCCTGACATTCCCCTCGCTTTGTGCTTGATTAAAAACAACATCAACACAGCGTAGAAATGTGTCGACGCCTAAACAGTTGGCATAAGCATGACATGCAGCGCGGTCGCTAGAAATAGAAATCATATCGACCAATTGACCAAGATGAACTACACGCACCGAGCATGCACAGCACAACAATGTCATTTGGTGCATTTATGAGGAGGCAGTAGAGGAGGAGATAGTATGTGGAAAGTGTGATGGGTAGGAAACAATAAAAAAAATCAAGAGAAAGCAGGGATAAGACACGGCTGTGGACAAAAAAGGACCATGGACCATCGTGATTTTTCCGCCGACACCAACTAGCGAACCCTGGAAAGGGACACGTCCCGCCTGTCACTTGTCGCGGCAATTGAAATTTTTTTACAACATGAAGGGGACGCCAAGAAGGTCCTGGAAGGATGTGGAAAAGGAGAGAATGTAATCGCGCCACGGTTACCGGAGATAAATGGAATAGATAAATAGGACATACGGGAAGGGAAGGCAGACAGCGTAGAACAGCGAGCAAAGCGTAGTTCATCTACCAAGTTCCAATTGCTTTTTTTTTTTTCTTCCTTCCCCACGCATTTAGCGAATGTAGGACAAATACGTAAATGAAAGAATGAATAATGAGCGCGGAAGGAGAAAGCGGGAACAAATGAGCCCTCTTTCTCGGCTACATTGGGCGCAATGGTTCAATTGGATGTACCGGAGAACATTACAATGAGAAACGGGAGGGAAGCACTGACCCGAAACAACGTCTCCTTTCATGCGCCTTCTACTATACGCAGCTGGACTTTACAAGACGTCAATCGTGCCCGCATATGTTCACGGACTTCAATGTGAATTAGAGAGAGAGAGTAATCATAAAAATGTATAGGAAACAAAAAAAGTCGAATGCTCGCTAATAGTCGTTGATTAATTGACACATTGTTTTTGATTGAAATGAGAAATGGGAGCACAATATTGTCGAGCGCACGCACACACACGTTCATCGCTCACTCCGTCCTTCCGTTCGTCCGTTTCTGAATCTCGGTGTATTTACGGATTTGGTTTTCGGCGCAGCGTCTTTATTGACGGTTTACCTTTTTAGCAATTGCAATTGAAGAAGAAAGGCATGGGGTTTGTGTACTTGTGATTTTTTGTGAAAGACGGACAACAATGGCGTTGCCGCTGAGAAGTCGATGTGTGTTTGCGTGAGATGAAATATAGTATAGGTATAAATGAGATCAGAGATGAAGACAGTGACGAAGTGTTGTCTTTCAGGGTTGCTCTTTCAGAATGAAAGTGATGTGCGTCAATGGGGCGGACGACATACGCCCATAAAAGGGTATGACAAAAGATGAAAGAACGACCCTGCCAGCGTGCCCTTGCCTCAGTCCGTCGCCCTGTCTGTTCTGTTCATGTCTGCCTTATCCGCGTCTGCTGTGGGATGTGTGTACAGGCCGATTGCAATCGTCCGCTGTCGTTGCTGCTGCAGACAGCAAGTATATAATGAATGCAGAAATATGCCTAGTTCCCAGCAGCGCAGTGCTTCTGTGATAACTGAACAGAATGTTTGGGCCTTGTGCTATGCACTCCCACTCGCCATTTGGTGGCAAAAAATTTGATGAAATGGGATGGACTGTGAGGGGACGTCTTTTGGATGTGTGTCGAGAAAGAGAATTTGGGATAGGAAGGCAAAATGGTCTTACCTTGCCAGTCAAAGACTTGTTATGGAGAGTGGGTAGTTGTGCGAGTGGTGAAGCAGGGAATGAGGAATAAGGGTGCGGTAAGGAGTGAATGCGGCGTATATGATGGGTATATGAACTGTAGGCGTTTGATGAATGAGTAATAGCAGAAGCTGCAAAAGAATTGTCCCAGGAGAGCGCGGCTCTCCCTTTTATACCTTTTTTTCATTTTGGTGGCGGCTATATAACTGAAACTCAATTACCTCAATTGATAATAAACTGCGCTTCACTCGCTCTCTGTCATAAGAAGTTCATCGCCTCCAAAAAAATACAAACAACATGCGCCTTCCTCAAAATAACCCATCGACTGCTCCTAAAGCGACCACTTCATGCCTCCGCGTCGGGGTCGGCTTCCAGAAGCACATATAGACACCCTCATCCTTTCACAATATCAATTTTTTTTATCTTGGATACAGCATCATGGCAGAATCACTGGTATTAAAAATCTATTGTACCATGCATTGTGCATGAGCGTATATGTCATGCCTCTCTCTATATCCCGTCTTTCTCTCTCTCTGTCTCTTTGCTCCTCTGCCTTCCTTCCCGCCCTGCAATCTGTGTGCCTATCCATGGCTTTTCCGTCAATTCTTCGTATTCATTTTTTTACGAGCGTCAACATGCTTAGACAACAAAAATGAACAAAGAAGCCAAGATGTCAACAAATGACGAAATGGCTTAGGGATCAACTCAGACAGCTATTCTTCGACAAGGCATGGGATCTTTCAGGTACAATGGCGATCATTCTAGGTCCGTCGATTACTCGACAAGACCGAGGCTCATGGTTTTTTTTCCTTTTTTCCCTTTTTTTTTTAGTCTCGACTAGGGAAGAGTTGAGACCTAGAAGATGATTCAGCCGCTCACTGTTGCGCCCCTGTCTGTCGCACTGCTTCCCGGACGCCTGCTTAAACATGCCAAAAAAGGTTTCTCAGACTTACGCACTATCTACGCTGGATGACTAAAGGTAGAGAAGGATAAACTGTGTGTGTATAACTGCGGACTGACAGTGTCCTACAGAACTGCTTCTTGCTCCGTTGGAGGAAGAACGTTCAAGGAAACTTGAGGAAAGATTTATGCACATTCCTCCGAGCCCGCGGTGGAAATGGTAAATCGTAGTGAGGTAATCTGCGCAAACCTTATTATAAAAACAGCAAACAATGCAAATCGCGGTTGTGCTTCGAAATCCACGAATGTCATTTAGACAAAAAGCCCAAAGGCCGGCATCCGGCCGAATCAATTGAGCTCATTACCATAGAGCGAAGTGTAGACCTGCGACTCTCTTGGCCAACCTTTCTTTCCTCTGTGCATGGAGCTTCTCTTTTACGACATAATTTTGAATGCTTGGTAAGCTATTCTATGGGCCGTCGGCGAACCCCTGAAGTGGATAGATTCTCATTGGTCGGGACAGGCGTTGAAGACGTCCAATTGCTTAAATCCAACTGACGTAAAAGAATGAAAGGAGGAGGAGAGAGTGAGCCCGTCTCCGAGGTCTTGTCTGCTCCACAGATCCAAATATTTCTCTGAACGTCCGAACGCCTTTGTCCAATCTCTGGAACTCCTCAAGTTCACTTTTATTACAAATGAAATAAAGTACGAATAGTGTATTATATCGAGGAGCGAAGGCCATGTGTCCGATTATACCACTCTGTCATCAAGGAGTCATCGCGGACCTGATTCGGTGAATAGGGCTCGAAATCCGGCTCCCGCTGGTATGCAATCTTGGCCACCTCGATCAGCACGCCTGCTGTCATGCCATACACCGGCCAGCTTGGTGTAGATGCGTCTGACTTTATGGTCTTGTCTGGCTCGCCCAGGATGTAATTGCTGCTTCCGCATCGTTCAAAGCGATGGATCCTGTATTCGGCGATCATCCATTGCATATCAAACGACTTGTGGTCCTCTGGCCGTGGGCTTAGGAAGTACTCCAATGGTACTGTGAAAATGGCAGCAACCTCACCAGGGTTTGGATAGAGCAGTGAGAGATCCGCTGTGGTCATAGCGGGACAGTAGACGACAACAGGTGTCACCACCTGGAAATGCCGCGAGAGCACTGGTGTCAGGATCGTGAGGGTTTGGGACTCGGACGTTGCCAGCCGGACCTCCTCGAATGCCTCTCTTTTCTGCACAGTTAACAAAAGAAAGAGAGTAATCAGCCGCTTCTGATCTACTTGTTCTCGTTATGATTAGCATGCACTATGCTAGACGTGTATCCTTCACTTACAGCTGTAGCAATTAGATCAACGTCCTCCGGGTCCACTTTGCCTAAGTGCAAACAACAATATTCAAGGGTTAAGCGAGAAGGAGAGAGGTGTTATTTAAAGTACAAAAACGTGCATTGGTTACATAAATAGAGGTATGTACCTCCAGGGAAGGCCGAGTCGCCAGCATTGGTGCGCAAAGTGGAGGCTCGAACAGTGAGAATGACCTCGAGATCCCCCTCACTGTTTGGCAGTAACGCCACCAGCACTGCAGATCGTTTAGCGGCCTTGTAGTTATCGACCGACTGGGGGTGGTTCTGCAGGTTTTCCAGCGCCTTGACTGACTTTTGGTTGAGATACATGGTGCGCGCGGGTGGAGGGTAAACTGAAAAGAGAGGATAAGGCGAAAGAGGGACAGGCGCCAGGCGGTGCCAAGTGGGGCCAAGTGTAGGGTGGGCTGCAGGAAGGGGAGGGAGGATGCACAACGGAGGGAATGGATGAAATGGCGATGGTACGGATGATTAGCAGCCGAGCAGTGAGCCGATCTCCCCCTCCACACCGTTCACTTTGTCTTTGCACGCTGACTTAATGCTGTCATGGGGATGAAATCGATAGTCGCTCCACATACCGGGCCAGCTCCCTCCTCCCTGGTCTGATACCATCCGGGGGCCTCAGTGATGCAAAAGGCGCTCTTTTTGTCTACCTTATTTAAGCATTGCCCTGCAAGTCTCCCAGTCTCCCTCCGCTCCACGCCTCCTCCCCAGAAAGTGACTCATTCTGCGTGTAAACAGATGCAGTCAATCCCCCTCCTCATCCATCCTCATCCACTCCCTCGGAGGCGACTTTTATGGATCGCAACACCCTTGCGCCCAGGAGGTGGGATCACGAGGGCGTCATAAAGCTGACAAATGCAGGCCATTATTGATCTCTTTAAAACCAATCAGTTCCCCCACTTATTAAACCGGGCCCTGCAACCATGTCGACAACAAGGAACGCGTTTCTCACCACCTTCAAGCATATCACCCGTCCTGCACCCACCTCCAGCGCTAATGCGACTGCCCGAGTCCCCAGGGTCACCAAACCCATCGTCTCGGCGCCCATGAATGGTTGGTCTGGACCAAACCTCGTCGCCACCGTCGCCAACCATGGTGGGTTCCCGATTTATCCCATCGGATACTACACCGATCCCTCCAAAATCCTCAAGGATCTTCAGTCGATTCCTCCGCTATTGAATGACCCAGAATCCGATAATGACGGTCAGCAGGATACGGATGTGTTCATGCCCTATGCTGTTGGATTCATCTCCTTCTGGCTTGATCTCAAAGGACCAGAACTGCTTCGAAGCATTCTCAAGGGCCAAGGTGATCACCCTGACCGTCGTTCGGCACCTCGCCCTCCTGCAGCTATTTGGTTCGCCTTTGGCGACTACAAGCCTTTCCTCGAATTCGTTCGTGAGTATGGGGCAGTCGGAACAAAGATCTTTGTCCAAGTCCAGACCGTTCAGGAGGCACTGGAGGCGCAAGAGCAAGGTGTCGACGTTGTTGTTCTGCAGGGAACCGAAGCTGGAGGACATGGCGCTCAGAGGGTCTCGCCCTTGATGACCCTCCTTCCCGAAACCGTGCAGGCCTTGAAGGACAAAGTCGCTTCAAATTCCAGTTTGCAAATGCCTGTGGTCCTGGCTGCTGGAGGCATCTCGACCGCTGCACAGGTCACAGCTGTGCAGGCGATGGGGGCCTCAGGGGTTGTCGTCGGCACAGGATTCATGCCGACATTCGAGTCGCACGGTGCGCAGCACGCCAAAGAGCGTCTCCTGAGAACAAGCGATGGTGGCGCGAACACTGTCAGGACTCGTATTTTTGACGAACTGAGAGAGTTCGATTATCCAGCGGGTTACGATGGTCGCGTGGTGCGGAACCTGCTCACGGACCGTGAGGAGGATGACTTGAAGTATTGCGGGCTTTATGAGCAAAAGGGCCAAGCTGCCTTCAAGCTACTGAAAGGAGATCGAACGGGAACCAAGCAGGATTATGAACGTGCGGTCAAGGAGCAAGATTATGATCTGCTGCCTCTCTGGTGTGGCACAGGCGTTGGCATGCTAAACAAGCAGGTCTCTGCAGCCGAGTTCATGGATCAACTGATGGTCAATCAACAGCAATAAGCGCTGTAGCCCCAACAGACACTTGCAGCTGCGTTCATAGATCAACTGATAGAAGATCGTCAGCATCAGATCCGCTTTTCCATTCCAATACAAGTGTCTTGAATATCTGGATTTTTCTGATAAATAAAAAAAACTACTATTTTATTCAGCACTCTACCTCTCCACTACTTTGCATTTTTATCCGTCCACCTGAGGAATAGTCCAAATGTCTGAGTATGCAAAAGCTCCTTAGGCCTTCTTGGTAGCCATCTTCTGACGCTTCTTGATCGCCTTCTTTTCCTCCTTGGCAGCCAGCTTGCGCTGAGCATCTGGCGAGAGGTTCTTCTCCTGCTCGCGCTTCTCCCGCAAGCGCTTCTCCTCGAGCTCGCGCGCCCTTTCCTGCTGAGCCTTCTTGCCAATCTCCTTCGCAGCCTCCTCTCTTGCCCTGCTGATCTTGGTCTTGATCTGTCAACAAAAAGAACTTGCAAAATCAGTACTCGAGCTTATATACCCTTCAGCAGAAGCAATAGCATTGAAATCTTTGTTGACATACCACAGAAGGAACGTGGCAAGCATTGGGAAGGCCATCCAAACAAGCGATCAATGCCTCCACAAGCGGGGCAATCTCACGTGTATCCCTGGCATTGGGCAAACGGAACGACAACGAGATACGCTTTGCATAGGGTTCAGTAGGCAGACTAATAAAAAAAAATGGAAAAAGCAAAGCCAACGCACAATGTCAATCGATACATATTGAACACCCACATAGCAATATAGACAGCTGATCGCGCGTGCAAACGTACGTCTCGGGCTTGAACGAGGGTTGATCAGAGACGACAAAATAATCAAGCCACTGAGCAGCCTCGTTGAGCTTATTGCTGATCAATGGCAGGATCGCCTCTGTCAACTCATTGGACTCTGTCAGCGTGATCAGTGAGTTGTCGAGTGCCTTTTGGTTCGAGGCCTTGGTGAACGTCGTCAGATCATAATACTTGTTACGGATGATCGATCCAGTCGTTTTCGGCACGACCGCAAAGACGCCGTCGCTGTACTCGTTGGGCTGCATGGTCACATTCAAAGTGCAGGTGTCCTGGACTGGCGTCGAAAAGATCGTGAACAGCGTGCGGATCAAATCCTGACGAGGCCTCATCTAGATGTTGCAATTGAAATCATTGAAGATAATGGGAAGGTCCAGTTAGAGGTACTTTCGATAACAACGTGCACTTGCTCAATTAGACCGTTATCGACATCGTGGTTTGTACCTTGATCAATCCATGAACAGTTGCAACATGACGGCGTCCTGTCAAGTAGATAATATACTCGTGAGGCGCGTCAATGGCAAGCTCGGCTCCATGATCGCCAACACGGGCAAAGTTGGCGCGGAAGAGCGGGAGCATGACAGCCATCGTGGTTTTGGCCAAGACCTCGTTGTGTCTCTTCCCAACCCAGTATGTGACGAGGATCAGGATGATGAAGCTGAGGTACATCATCTCATGACCCAAGCGCGCCCGCAGTTCCTGGAATGCTATGCCATCGAGGTGTGAGATCAAGATCGCAGTTGGTTAGTGTCCAGAGTTCATTCGCCATCGGCGTATGATCCAAACTGGTCCAAAAGTCTCTGTCCATTCCTCGCTGATCGCTATCAAGGCTTCTTGCTGTGCATCTTACAATCAAAGTATGGTACGGCCTTGCTAGCCGCGGTGGTATCTATGTATCGATACGGAAGGCAGTGTTAGATCAGATACCAAATACCGGAGGAATTTACGAGTGTTGAGCGAGAAATATGCATAAGTACCAGCAAAGGCAGTGGCCAGCATTGCGAGCGATGCCGTTAAAGCGAGGATAATCACACTGCGCGACATAGGAGTGGAAACAAGATGTGTGTTCTGGCGCAATTGGAGTCGACCGCGAGACTTGAGTCCTGGACAAAAAGTGCCAGCGCAAATTATCTTTAGAGTACGAAAATTTAATTCAGTCCAATTTTTACGTACAAAGAAGAGGGAACAGAGCCATGCCACCCATGTGCCTTACATTGCCATCACCATGAGTTGATGGGGTGGTGAATATTAATCATCAATGAAACCTCTCACCCCACCTAAAGCCCTATCGCCGCTTTTTTTTTTTTTGCTTACGCGAATCCATGACAAGTGATAGAGATATCCCTGAACGCATCGAAGGGTCAATTCCCTGTAGCTGATGTTGTACGTATAATTTTTCTGCAGGTCAGAAATGGAAACTATTCCATTCAATTCATTGGCAACGAAATTATTTGCGCTGGCACTTTTTGTTCAGGACTCGAAGTATAGATCTTAAACTATTATGCCTTGTTCTCACCCTTGTATTCGTGTCCGCACTTCTCTAGTAGGATGCTTAGGGCGTTTAAAGAGACGCTAGATCGCTCCAGTTTCGGGGCCATCCATTGAAAACAGCAGAAAGACTTATTCCTTAATCCAGTGCCATGTACCATTGCTCTATCGAGCAATATCTCTGAGTCCATCGATGGAAGTACTCTGAAGAACCTCTAAAGGAGCCATTTAAAATCGTAAAGACTTTGTGCGGAGGGTTAGAAAATAAAATGAGAATATAGCTGGCGGTCGAAATGATTTTGATCGGTGCCGAGATCGTTCTCGGATGGTACGACCTAGGACGATATGCTTCATCAAAAGTGTTGTTTTCCTCAATATCACATCATACTTTACATGGGCAATGAAGAAAGTGTCGAGGAGCCCCCAGTTAGCCGTAATAGTGTTTATGGGGATGCTGTATTTCAGGTCTTGCTAGCCAAAGGTAGTGTGAGTGTATGATTTGGGGAGAGGGGACATGACAAAATAAGGTTTGCGCCCTAGGAGACGCGTTCACCGCCGCGACATTCAATTAGCAATATAGTGGATTCAGGCGGTTTATTTATTAGAACAATAAGAGGCAGCGCCGTAATCTCTGCCGTGCGAACTTGGATGCTTCTACCGCAAGTAACGGCTGATCGACTTCATAAACGTCTCCACGTCGTCACGGTCGATCTCTACCGCAGACTTGTCAAAGCCCAAATGCTTCACCGGAATCTGTTCGTTGTACGATATCTTTTCAAAGACAATGCCGAACTTGCTATTTATCGTGCATAAAAAACAAAGGTGATTAGTAAGGATCAAGAATTCAACAGCACCCAATTCACGACATCCAGGTGCTTGCAACGTACTTTGGAATAGCCTCGCCGATCACAGGTGATCCATGCACGCCGGTTACCACAAATGTCTGCGTCTTTTCCTTCAGCACTGCAATCACTAGGGGTATAGGCCGATGAGTTGTTTTCCTGCTTCCATATTCCTACAGAAACACAAGACATCAATTGATTATAAGTAAGCAGATCCTTCGGTGGCTCCTCCCCTCCTCTCTCCCACAATTTCGCCCGCAATCAGTAGGCTTACCCTGATGGCATAAACAAGGAACTGCGCTAACTTGTTGAGCGTTAACGGGTTCCAAAAGATGGGGAGATCGGGGCCATCTTTTAGAGTTGCGACGCGGCACTTGGAAAGTGTGATAATTTGCTGCTTGTCAATGATCGCAACCGCCTGGCGGACCACAGCCTTTTGGATGTTCATGCATAGCCGCAATCCCTGCCTAAGCTGATCATCCTCTCCTCCCCCACGGTCCAATGAATCGCACGCTCGGTAAAAGTTATCTGTCCACCATGATGATGTTTCATTCTCGTCATTTTCGTCGCTAGATCTGCCCGTGACAGCACTCGTGCGAAGTGATTCCTCTGCTATCCGGTTGGATTCGTGTCCCAGCGCAACGAGCGCCTCCTTAGAGGACTCCAACAGACTTGTCACAGAATGTGCGACATCACTGGCGCTTATTATACCTCGGTATCCATATGATCGAGTGAATGATGTGTATAGGATCTCGTGAAGGCCGAACTCAGGTGCCACCTGTTCGAGTCGATCCTTCAAAATCTTTTTGAGATCGATGCTCATGTGCGCGAACACTTGTTGACACTCCTCTAATGAAAACCTACAAATAAGCAAATATCGGTATGTCAATCCTGAACCAGACAAAATTGGGCAAAACAACAGTGCATGAAAGCGAGACTTACCCCATCTTGGCGAGTAACGCTAGGAGGCGGCTCCGACCTGCCTCGCGCCAAATACCTAAACGAGATGCCACGTAGTTGGAGTGGTACATGCTTTCGTACAAAGACCAATGCCTAACCATCATGAACCTGTATTCATCTGTACACTGAATGAACCCATCTTCAGGAGTAGTTGTTGCTGGTCCAAGATTCGAGTTGTCGGGTCTTCTGCCTGGGCTGTTCCGATTTTGGCGATCGTTTAGTGTCAGTCTCTGCGATTCATCCTTGTAGGTCTGCACGATGTCCAGGTAGTCTCTGTGGCCGATTTGATCGTTTGCGTATTGGGATGTTAAGCCAACAATAGCTAACCTTCAAGATAGAAACCAAAAGCCGAGGATCAGCATGAAGTATGGGAGCAGTATAGAAGAGAGATAGGGTCGCTGGAAAGCACATACCAGAGAATGTCAGCGGATGTGCGGTCTAGCTGATTCGCCATCATATAGGTTTGATTTGATATCGACGTCCCGTATGTAGATCCTCTGGACATATATTCGACGACAATGGCGCGGGATTCTTTCCACTTGCGAAGAAGCTCCTTTGGCACTTTCGGCTCAATCTCTGAGTCAAGCCCAGTCCGCCTCCTTCGACGCCTATGGTGTTCACCGCCTTCGCCATCATATTCGTCCTCTTCCTCGTCGTCTTCCAGCTCACCGTCCAAATCATCTTCGTCAGAATCTGCGTCACGGCCATTGTGTTGATCATAATCGTTTTCCTAGAGGCGAGCAAGCGGCCACGATAGTTCTCGTGTCAGAAGGAAGTCGTTTTAAAGGCCTAGCTCCAGGATGCAGTGAATAAGCATTCGTTCGTACCTCTGTGAATATGATGGCATCCTTTTCCAATGCAAGATCCTTGTCTAGATCGCTTTCATGAAAGACAATGACCTCGTTATTCCAGAACGCATTTCGTAGGTTTACTGGCCTGTGGCTGTCCAGAACATAGATTGTTACGTCCTCCGTCAAGTTGATATAGTCCTCAAGGTTGAATAGACCGCCACAATTCAGCATTAATATGGACCTGATCTGTATAATAAAGAAAGTCATGTTCAGCCAATTAGGATCATAACGCGCCGCATTTTTTTTTTTTTGAGTAAAGACGATTCTGTTCGCTCACCGATGCGCTTGATTTCTTCGCTTCTATTCGGATATCTTCCATTTCTGCTACAGGAACCACAACATAGCTGATGCTGTCCGATTTCATAAGGGTCTACAGCAACACGAAAGCGCATATTGTCACGTAGTTAGTACTATGTGTACAAATATATGACAGAGTCGGGCACTAATTGCTTCACCGATGCATGCGTGGTCCAGAACACGCAAGTAATTCTATACCGTCCACATTCTGTATGCGCATATGGCATCTACGTCGGGTGCAACAAAGAAGAGCACGGTGGTACGTGTTCCTGGTCCAGCACCGTCAAAGGCGGCATTCTTGATTCGTTTGTAGGCGAGCGAGTAGTTGGCAAGCTTGACGTGACCCATCCGGACCTAGGCGCTGGCAGTGCAGTTGTGTGGGGGGAGACAGAGGTGAGAGGGGATGAGGTTGCCAGGAACAAGAGAATGAGAGCGTTGACAGGAATGGAAACGACGTCCAAAGAGATCCAAACAGCTTTTTGAGAGAGTTCATACAATAGGGTTTAGTTGCCACCAATTGACATTAAGGGGTGAGGATGAGGTGTATTTTATTCAGGTCCATCCGTGGTTCCCAAGGGCTGAGAGTCAGAGGAAGATCCACAGTGCAGATGGATAGTCTTCATATCGACAGTACGCATGAAGACGGAGTCGGCCACAGCAATTCCACATACATGGCAAATGTCATCCGCTGTGATCACAACCGGTCCTTGGGTTTCGTATAGCTGAAAGAGCTCCTCGCATATCCTCAGGTTTTCTCCCAGCGAGAGTCCTTTGACAATCTGCATTTCCTTAAATTCGTGATAGGACCTCCGTAGTGATCGCAACAGGTACTGCTGAAGTAGTTCTACCGACCAGAACGATGGCAACAAATCGATGACCTACAAACGGAACAGAGGATACGTATTAAAACGAGTGCGAAAGGCACGAGTATTATAGCAGTGTTAATTGAATCACATCTAACCTCGGAGAGATCGAGATATGACGACTGAGAGTCTAGCAAGTAGAGCGTCAGTGCCATGCCTCCCTGATCCTGCGCCATATTCAGATACTCCTGAAGCAGCACCATAAAAAGCGTCTTCTTTTTGTCGATATCCACGGCAGGTTCCTTTGATAATGAACCATCAGCGACTGGGGCCTTAGATCCTCGTCTTGGTCCCCGAAATACCCCTGAATTCAGGCAAAATATCTCTGCACCTTGATAATCTTTGACATCCCTGACCATGGTCCTGATGCAGTCTTCCCATCTGCCTATCTTTTTATATCATGAGTAAATATAATAAAAAGGTTGCATCAAAATATCATTCTATTGATCAGAGAGTGTGGCAGTAATTGCATTGAGCATTTCCAGTATTACCTTGGCGAGCAATATTGCTCTCTCTGATTTCAACTGCGAGATGGCCTCCACATTGGGCAAGATTTCCTGTGGGTCATACAGAGATGAAGTCTGCAGCAGTTGTGAGAGTTTGGCGCGGTAGTTACACATTGGCTCTGACTTGGCGTGCGACTGCAGAAACGAGAAAAATGTGCTGGTGGATGACCCAGTTGTCGTTGCGCTAGCCTCATTGCATCTGCTCAGTCCAAGCAAATGCCGCTCCTGCTGTTTATTGAACTCGATCACTATACAACATGGAGAGAACAGCGGTCAATGAGACATGTTAATTAACTTAAATAAGATAGCTGTCAAACCATTTCCATATCGTGCATGTCGTACCCACTTCCTCGTGTCTAATTAGTATAGTCGAGTCTGCAGCCAATCTTGCAAGGTTATCGACATACATATGAGCAAGCATCTTGTGATGTTCTGGAGTCTAAATGCAGAACAATGAGAAGAGTAAGGGCCAGTCCGTGATGAGAAAAAATACGCTCGACCACGCAGGATACACCGGTCCACTAACCTCGCTTTTCCGCTGAAGAACCAGGTACTCCAAGTAGATCATTAAGCCCTCCTGACTGATTTTTGATTTGAATATAGCAAGCAAGCGATCGGGATCAAACATGGCTGCTCGCTTCGCGTCTCCTGGCATAAAGATCTATTGCGAGCGATACATTTAAGTGGATAGATTAGTGAAGAACACAGGCGAAGAGCCAGACACGAGATGATGAAGCAGCGTTTTGCTTGCCTTTAAGCCGATAGCTTCGTCCTGTTCAACAATCCACCACCCGTAGTCCATGACGAGCGATGCGTCCTGCAATGACAGGAGTAGTGTAGCCATATCCTGAAGCCCGATGTCGAAAGAGTTGTCTTCTATCTCGCCAAGCAATAAGCTGGAGCCCACGTTAGTATAGTTATTGAAATATCAAGTCAACCATGATCATTTCCTTTCCCGCATGAATACCTTTTCCATATCGAAAGCGCTTCCCTAAACTTCTTCCGGGCTTTGTACCAAATCGAGAGGGCGTAATATTTGTTGCAATCCCGGAGCTTGCTTTCGCACAGGTCCTCTATACATGAGTTGTTTGATCCCAGAAGCGTATGCAGGCCAGCATTGTCGCCATTTTCTATCAAGAGCCCGAGAAGGGCAGTATCTGTGGCCTACAGAGTCCATATAAAGTGTGGTATTAGGATGGCGGTTTATGACTAGCAAAACGATTATTGTCAGCGAAATGCAAACAGAATGTATACAGCACCTCTGATTGAGGCCCATGACGATGCTTGCGATCATTATGCTCTCTGCGGTAGCGCATGAGGTAGTGCAAAAAGATCTCTTTGGCATTCATCAAAAAGACCTTGCCAATTTCTGCGCTTTGTTCGCCTCCTGACTTTGACAATGTTCGATCAACTATCATCCCCACAGACAAAGAGAAGTGCAGCAGTCAGCATCCGTTATCTACGATTCTCTTCGGCAACTACTCCGTATGACATATACTACTTACTGATATTAGGCAGCGTTCCAAGTTGTGTGATCTGATTCCGGATTCCTCTGAACAAAGGAACATCATTTATGAGATTCCTCTTTTGTAAAACGTCCGGGAACATGGATACCAATACTCGTGGGTCCATTTTTCCTCGATGCAAAAGGCCAAATGCATCATCGAACAATGTCTCGCCGAGATAGATGAGACCTGACTTCTGGTAAATGTAATCCAGCTCGAATTGTAGTCGTTCCCGATGAAGATTTTCCACCGACATGGTCGCCGTGGTCTTTTCAGACAAAAGTAATGCCTCTTCCACGCGTCCTTTTTGTAATAGTGTATCAGCCTAGTGATCAAGAAGTCGATCAGAATGGGGTCAGTAATATAGAGCAAACAAGTTTTATAGATATTTAAGCCGCATGGTATGCTGGACACTTACATGCAGGACTAATGGAGTCGTTACTAATGCCGACACACCATCCTTTCCTGCAATAAGGACTCTTGCCAGAACAGTGGATATGCGATTGGCTTCCTGTTGCCTCCACTCCCTTTCAGCAGGCTGCTGAGCGATTTGATCGCCTGTTTGAAAAGTGAGCACCTGTGCCAACATGGACATCCATACACTGATGCCTGGGCCTTGCATCAATGTCCGTAACTCCATGGATGGATCGAAGCGGATGGTCTGTACCAACTTTTGATCGAGAATGTTATGGATCTCGACAATGTTGCCCCGCAGCAAAGCTGTGACATAAGGAAATTCGACAGCCAACGCGCGAGGATAACTAGACCACTGTAAGGTTCCACGAACTGGATCTCCTGAACCGCTGCAAAAAATTCCAATGGCTGTTTGTCCTGAACTCGTGGCACTAGCAAGGAGGAACTCATTCTCCGCAATGGGTATACAGACAGGTTTAAGAACCTGTGAGTTTGATCCGGATGAGGTATTCTGTACGACAGGAAGCACTGGTACCATCCTGTTCACTCGAAGGTCAATTAGGTTGAAGTCCTTTTCGTCCGCAACACATACGACATTTTTCCATCGCGTCACGACCAACGCGCCCTTGGGAAGATTGAGTTCCTACTTGATGAAGTTCATGGGGATGCTGTGTCAGAATAAAATGACATTGATAATTACTGCATTCATGGTATCAACATGTCTTAGATATCGCGGATAGACATGCTCGCACCTTGGGCTCAGAGATAGCGTCATTCCAAAGGCTGTAAAACTGAATAGTCCTCCGTTTCGTAATGCAAAGCCGAACACTCCCGTCTTCAGCCAATCGTCCTCTTTGAGAGCTTTCCTCGCAAAACGCTGTAACTCCTTTAATAGGTGGCAAGACATGTGGCGAGAACGATGCAAAATCAGGGAGACTAAAGAAGGACAATGTAGAGTCTGCAGCAAGAACAACTTCAGAAACAATACGAGGTACTGCTATTACTGCTTACTTGCTATGTTTAATTAGGACAATGCTTACCACATAGTACAATTGCTAGCCGTAAGATCGACAGGACCATAATTTTTTCGACGACTTTTTTGCCAAAGCCAAGAGACTTCCTCTCTACAAGACGCGAGCGCGGTAGTTCCTTTTTGGTTGGGGATGGTTGAAGTATGATGAGCGCAGGCCAGTGGCGGTGGTGGTGATCAGGCGTATCATATACTAAGAGAGGTTAAACTCTCATACTTACAGATTCCGAAGATATTTGTTCCTCGATGACATAGTGAAGCAGAAAGCCATCGGATGTTCCCAGATAGAGGTGATTCTCTATCGCGTAAGGTCAAAGCATCGGTCAGATTGCGCCTTATCTCCGACGTATTGGGAGGCATATGAAGTATGGGCGCTCACTGTTGAGTGTCGAAACCCACCAAAGCTATCCAGTGCCTCTATCAAAGGCCTGTGACTCCTGTTGAAAATCCCTGGAGACCTTGTTGCGGGACTACTGCCTGCGCCTTGGCCACCAGGGACGGCTCTGTCGAGAAAGGACCTTGGCGACGATGACTCTGCAGCCACCGAGGCATCATCCAAATGCACGCCTCGCAGGAGTGGCTGCACTGTATATGTCGTGAACATGCGACGACGGTAGCAGTAGTAGGTAACGAAATATGGTGATGAGGAATTCGCGCCAAGAACGACAGAGAATGAGCTTGCATGTTGCCTTCGCCCTTTCGTGTCCGTTACCGCGCACAAGAGTCGATCGTGACTGCAACCTCCACTCAAGTTAGTGGCAATGTGGCTTTGCCTAGGAGGGTATATGTCGATAGATTGCCTGTGCTCATTTTGAAGACCCTCTTTCACAATAGGAATCTAAAGATGGTATGAGTGCAGTGCATCCGCTCGAAGCGCACATCCATCCATCTATCAGCCAGCAACATCCATCTATGATATCCAACGCAGTTGACATGGCAACACTATGCTTCATTTTGCGTGCAATTATTTCCTCACCATCCTCAGCTCGCAGGACTTCTTCAGCCAACCCGACGCTTCTATCAACTTCACGAAATACAACTTTGCTCGATGGCGACCTTTTGATCGTAAACGATCGCTGACAGATGCACGGTTCTTTTATTTATGTCTCTAGCCTACCCGTCTTCATCACAACCGCAAGAAGAGAGGTAAGAAAACTGCAGCGAGTTGTAGGCGAACCTTCTATCTTTGTCTAAGCGCTATTGCTGACTCGACTTCTTTATTCGCATGTAAATAGGTCACGTCTCTGCCGGTCACGGTCGTGTTGGTGAGTGCAGCAACAGGGATACGGAATTAGTTTACTCGACAACAGAAGCTTTGGGAATAAGTTCTTTTTTCAACTCAGGAGCAATGGGAGAGACATTGTGAGAACGGAAGGATGGAGGGCTATCTTTTCAGCATGCAAAGACCCGAAAATCAGCAAGCCAGGAGATCCATTACATGACGAGCAAAGCAGGAATGTGATCCAGTGTGTTTGTTTCAAGGACGTTGACTGACGATTGCCATTCAGTGATCTGAAGTGATCGTTTATCACAGGATTCTTTCACTCATAAGGAATCGCTGCCGAAGCTGGTTCCCACGATTCGACGTACACCTACTCCCCCGCAAAGACTCTGGATTACAAACTTGTAGCATATACAAAACTGATACCAGCACCTCCAAACAATACTTCAGTTCCAGCACCGATGTGGCACGTTGATGCTCAGAATACTGGGGCGTGGAAAAATGGGATCACCGGAAACGGCGTCTCAATTACCTCTGCAGCTGCAGCTGCATGAACTCGACACATATTGACCTTTGCCTCATCCCTTTGTTCGATTTGTATTTTCCAGGTAAGCACCGCAAGCATCCCGGAGGTCGTGGTCTTGCTGGTGGTCAGCACCATCACCGCATCAACATGGATAAGTACCATCCCGGATACTTCGGTAAGGTCGGTATGCGTCGCTTCCACTTGACTCGCAACGGCCAGCACCGCCCCATTGTCAACTTGGACACTCTCTGGACCCTCGTCTCCGAGCAGACTCGCAAGAACGCTGTCAAGAACACTGAGGTCGTCCCCGTCATTGACACTCTCCGTGCTGGATACGGCAAGGTCCTTGCCAAGGGTCGTCTCCCCGAGCAGCCCGTCATTGTCAAGGCCCGCTTTGTTTCCCGCGCTGCCGAGCAGAAGATTAAGGCCGTTGGTGGTGCCGTTCAGTTGGTTGCTTAAATACGGTAGTCGTCTTTGTTGCCTCAAATTAGCGGAATCAGGAGCAATCCTTCTTCCCTTGCTTGCTCAAGGTTGTAATAAATCATGAAAGAAGAAATATCGTGCGCCCTTTCTATACCATATATGTATCCATCAACTGTAACAACTGAAGTGAGGCAGTTAATTCCCTTATGTCATGACATCGCCTTGCAATTTGGAGCGATCGAAGTGCTTTATCATGAGTGGCTAAGTGTATCTACTATTGATGAATAATGTGAAAGAGGGCTCAGGGCCTTGCAAGGAAGCGGTTACCGAGATCGGATGGGACTTTGCCCTGCGATATCTCATAAACCAGAGTCTTACAAGGTACATGTAGTGGATCCGCTCCATCTCCTTCTATCCACACCACTTTTCCTACCTCGCGTACAACGTGAAGACCCGGCCATGCCGAAGACTCCAGATTGTTAGCGCGGGTATTACAGGAACAAAGGGGGGGTAAAACTCGACAGGTTGCAGACACTACAGTAGTCATCATTGCCCAATTTTGTACTCGCTAGCATCTCCGATCCATAACGATAGTTGAAATCAGGTCCAAGGAGGATTGGTGTCATATTTGGCTAAAGTTCTTCATCCCTCTAGGAGTAGAGGTCAGTGGTGGATGGAGGATGATGATGAAAAGATGAAAGCGAACATCTCGAATCAAAATAGTTTGTCGTGACTGCGCGGCACTCGACACTCCAGCTTTTGACGGCAATGGAAATGCAGTGAGCTGAACTTCATCCGTTTCGCAAGCATGACCGGAAGTGCATCCAATAACCCAGTGCTGTACCCGCACTCTGTAGACTTTACTGGTCGTCCCCCACCTCCAAACGAGGGATACAGCTGGGAACATATCAAGGAAGCAATTGGTAAGCAAGAACTGCTATCCAATGTTTCACTTACGCTATAGCATTCAAATATGAACCCTTTTACTTGCAATCCATCTTATAGATTCCAACTCGCTTCATGCTCTGCGACGCACGGACAAGGGACAATATGAATACGAGCAATGGCAGGGACAGATCGACCGGTCAAGGTACAGCAACGTTGGCGAGTATATAGTCTATACTATTCTACACTGGCCGGATCTGAAAGACCCTGCAGAGGCAGAGCCTGCAGTAGGCAGTGATCAGACCCTTGTGCAAAGATACAGAGCAACCGAGCCGCGGATCACCATCAGGCTCAATCATTACCCCTTCCCTGTTCAGGAATCGATTCAGTACTTCGTGCTCTGGTCCTCAAGAGACATGAGCATGCCTGAAGAGCGCAAACGCTTGGATTTGTACCTGAAACAGCAATTCGAAGGTATCCCAGGCACATCCTCCAAAGGCCTATCACCCGAACTCTTACCGCCAGCGCCAGGAAAGAAGAAGAATTGGATGTGGTTCGTTAACCCGATCGAGCTCCGCAGCGTTGCAACAGTGCACCATTTGCACGTATTTGTGCGGGATATCGATCTATGATAGAACAAGCGACATCACGTGGAATAATAAAGGCATTGTGCCCAAAAAGCATCAGATCACCGGGGGATCGTTTGGTCGGGAACCGTTGCTGGAATCATGACATTCTCCGCGACATTGCTTCTCGCCAGTAGGTACCACTGTCGACCCGCAGGATCGGTTGCATCTGCGGCGCAGAGGTCTGCTTTGCTGACAAGGACAACAAAAAGTGCATGGCTCAGGTACTCCTCTTCCTCAGCAGAGGGCACCTCGATTGCAGCAAAACTGGATATAGGGCAGGGACACAAAGTAAAGATCTCGGTTTGCAACAAGCAGAACTCGACATTGCATAGAACTGGAAGTAGGGTTGCGACTAGAATTGATATTGATGTTCAATTGCTACGCACGGCCCTCTAGATGAAGCCAAATTCAATGGGATCTATCGAACTCGAGGCCTTTGATGTTAGTCGTATCAGGAATTTCAGTATCATTGCTCATGTTGGTACGTTCAATTGCATAGAGACAACATCGCAATACAGAGATCGTCAATATCCAGCAGGGTTGTCTTGGCCATAACGGTATACAAACATGCTTACAACTATGATCCTCTTTCAATTGGTATCCATAGACCATGGCAAAAGCACGCTCGCGGACAGGTAGGACAGGACGACGGATCGGCAGCATTATACTACGGCAAAGAGCATGGAATTCAACTGGAATCTCAGCCGCCTCCTTTCTTCTTTCTTTCTTTTTTATCCAGGTTACTGGAATTAGCACAAACTATAACCAAAAGGAAGGACAACAAGCAAGTGCTGGATAAACTAAAAGTTGAACGGGAGAGAGGCATTACGGTCAAAGCACAGGTATGGGATGATGCTTCTGGATTCATTCTGGAGCAAGTGTGTGGCCTATCCATGTATCTTGAACTTATCGCCACTCTATAATCTTGTATTACAGAGCGCATCCATGTTTTACGACTACAAAGGAAAAAGATATCTTTTGAATTTGATCGATACGCCGGTACGTGGGATCTCTTTATTACAACCAGAAGGGCACTGTCTCGGAACAAGCGCGCGGACCAAACTTATGCCTTTGTAACGCTTACAAATGTGTTCTCTTCGCGCTATTGTTTAGGGTCATATGGACTTTAATTTTGAAGTATCTCGCTCGTTAGCCGCCTGTCAGGGTACTCTATTGCTTGTGGACGCTGCACAGGGTATTCAGGCCCAGACAGTGGCCAACTTTTATCTTGCGTATGGGCTGGACATTACCATCATTCCAGTCATCAACAAGGTACGCTTGAACCGATTTGTTGGCAAAGTTTTGTCCTGATATCGAACCATACAACTGTTCCTGTTTAACTTACCGCATTTCTCATGGAGTAGATTGATCTCCCGGCAGCAGATCCCAAACGCGTTGCATCTCAGATCGAAGTCGCCTTTGAGATGCCTGCCGACGACTGCCTTGAGATTTCCGCAAAGTCCAATTTGAATGTGGACCAAATTTTACCCAAGATCATCGAGACCGTACCTTCGTAAGTATTCTTCGAGAATTTTGGTCACCGTGTCCTCCTAGTTATAACAAGCCATTTGACTGACTTGTTCGTCTTATTCGTATGCTCTCAGACCATCAGGCGATATCAACAAGCCCTTCAAGGCACTCCTGTTTGACTCTTGGCACGACACCTATGTAGGTGTCATTTGTCTGATGGCTGTCATCGATGGCACAGTCAAGAAAGGTATGAAAGAGCTGCTCTAGATTGTATATAAAGAAACGATAGTGATGTTAATGACTAACCGACATCCGTTGTTGGCTTCAAATGTCTCTAGGCGATAGAATTGTCTCCGCACATTCAGAACGGCGGTATGAAGTTACGGAGACGGGTATCATGTATCCAGAGCAAACGCCTACCAGCTCCCTGTAAGTCATCTTCAGCTCCAAGCATGCAGCCCGCATGCTCATAAATACAGTGACTAGTGTTTATGGATGCGCACACGAAGCTGACAATTTTTTGCTCTTGATTTACCATCAACAGGCAGGCGGGCCAGGTTGGCTACTTTGTCTTGAACATGAAGACTCTGAGCGAATCTCATGTTGGAGACACCTTCTTTGACCACAAACATATCGGCACGCCGATGCCAGGGTTCGTCCCCGCAAAGCCAATGGTTTGGGCGGGTATCTTTCCCATCGATACCGCGGATTTTGAAAAGCTGGACCACAGCATTGCCAAGCTGACGCTCAGTGACTCGTCTGTCATGATCCAAAAGGAGACGAGTACAGCTCTTGGGCAGGGCTGGCGCCTAGGCTTCCTGGGAACTCTGCACATGGATGTTTTTAGGCAGCGTCTAGAGCAGGTACGTGCTTTTGCAACTCATGACTTACGGATGCCTACTACTTGATGTAGGCTTTTTTTTTTTTTAATATATCGGCCTATACGTGTGTTGACTCCTGTAGGAATACGACGCCAATATTATTATCACAGCACCAACTGTGCCTTACAAGATTGAGTATCAAGACGGAGCGCAAAAACTCATTCGAAATCCAACAGAGTTTCCGGAAATGGACGAACTCAACGCAAAGGTCAAAAGCGTGCAGGAGCCCATGGTCCGGTCCACTATTATTTTCCCCAAGGAGTATCTTGGTGATATTATGGTGCTCTGTGGAGTAAGACCTACCTTTGCAGATTCTCTTTCATTGTTCTCATCCGTACTTTCATTGTCGCTTTTACTGAGCCCTGCAAATGGATTTCTTTATCAGTCCCGTAGAGGAGTCCAGCTAGAGCACACCTATTTGGACGAGAGCAGAGTCCTCCTCAAGTACAGACTGCCGCTGGCTGAAGTCGTGACGGACTTCCACGATGAGTTGAAAGGCCGCTCAAGCGGATTCGCATCGTTTGATTACGAAGAAGACGGCTATGATGATGCCGATCTTGTCAAGATGAATATCGTACTGAACTCAAAGCCTGTGGATGCGCTTTCGATCATCCTCCATCGCTCCCAAGCAGAGTTGGTTGCCCGGGACTGGGTAAAACGGCTGAAGAGTTTGTTGTCCCGACAGCTCTTTGAGATTGTGATTCAGGCGTCTGTTGGCAACAAGGTCATCGCCAGGGAGGGCCTGAGTGCCTTGCGGAAGAATGTCACTGCAAAATGCTATGGCGGCGATATCTCGCGAAAGATGAAACTGCTAAACAAACAGGTAAGAGGAATGTTTGCTCTCGCCTGTGTTCACTGTACTACCGATGGAATAATCCTGTGTAACCATTTCTGCCGATCCTCCATGCCGACGCGTCAATAGAAAGAGGGAAAGAAACGAATGAAGGCCATCGGCGGTGTAGAAGTCAGTCAAGAAGCCTTCTACGATTTTATGTCCAAGAAAAAATAGACCATTGCTGGCGTAACAGCGTATTCTGTATCATTAGCTCTATAGACTTGCTTCTTTATAATATAGTGGCATAGATCGCACTCTAATCTTCATGGCTATCAATGCCCAACTGGTCTAGATATGCCACGCGACGATGCTCATAAGTCGAAATGGCATCTCTAGTGTTTTCTTCCTCCCATTTGAGGACAAAAGGGCTGACCTGCCGAGGGTTCGAGACTGTCTTGGAACGCAGATTGATCTGGACCAAATCTGTTGCGCCGTCCTGCAATGACTGCGTGCTCGCATGACCCCACTCTGCTTGCGGTTGCTGTGGCGCCTTGAGCATGTCCATGAGTTCCTCGCCTGCGACTTTGACGAGATCGTTCATTTCTGGGACGATGCTGGTCATTTGTAAAAAGGCGTGAGATACGCCACTGACGATCCTTAGGGTGTCGCTCTCAAGATCCGCAGAGGCAGTGCGTTTAGCACGACGCAGCTTGGCCATGAAGATGATGGAGTCGTCGACGAGCGGGTCCTTTTCGCCAGCAATGATATATGTTCTTGGATACTGGGCCAAGATATGGTCAGGCGTATGAATGGGCGAAACGAGGTAATTGGACTTGAGATCCAGAGTTGGGTCGCCACCAATATACATCACCATCAGCGCACGGAGCTATGGATATGAAAGAAAGGAGAAATAGGGGGGTCAGCTAAGCATTACAGACAAGCGAGTGTAGTGATAGCAGTAGCCAAAAAGAAACAGTAGATAGTACTTACGAAGGAAGAACTGAGGACTTGGTCGTCCATAAAGGCCGCTTTACTGTTCAGGGTCATACCATCTCCGCGTCCAGGTCTGGCCTTCAAGTGATCCGATGGAATAGGACCACGAACAATCTCCTCCTCAACCACAGCCAGATCGCTGTTGCTGATCCAGAAATCTAGGCCAACCTGCATACATGGATAGATCATGAGCAGACCTACAGGTCGCGGAAGCTCCGGTCCGAATTCGATGATCATATTCATGGTGGACGCAGTAAACGTGCCTCCACTATTTGTCACACACAGATACGTAAAAACATGTTAGCAGCAGTTTCTGTCTATAGCTCTTAATTTATCACTACGTCGCCGCTTCAACCCTGATTCGCTTACGCAGAGTCGCCAGCAATCACGATACGTGGCTGGGTCCTGCCATTGAAGCCAATGCAACCACCCTTAGTGGCGACAATCAGGCGATACACATCAAAGCACTCATTGAGTCCGTATGGGAAGGGATGCTCGGGCGCCTTCTTATAGTTGACACTGACAACTGGAATACCAGTCTGGCCTGCCCAGGCCATCAGATAATCGGAATGACACTGAGGGCTCATGGCGACAAAACTAACAATAATGTGGATAAACAGACAGATAGTTAGTAATGGCTTCATGAACATGACTTACTCGTACGTCGTAATGACTTTTTCTTACCCTCCACCCGGAATATCCAGCAGCAAGGCCTCCTGTCTCGCAAGCTCCTCTTCTGTGCCCCTGAAGAACACAATCACGTCCACCAACGCGTCCGAGTGATGTCCCAGCTCCTTTGACAATTTCAGAACAATGTGTTTGTGAACACCCAGTCTCGGGGCATTGATCCAGGTCAGTGCCCTAATGACCGGATGGAGCATCTTTTCCCAGGATCGGCGCATATGAGTCGCAGTGATGGTCTTGAGCATCATGTTGTTCTTCTCAAGTGCCCGCTTGGGGAAGAAGAGGTAGTACACCGAGAAGACTGCGGACATGGTGTCGCGTAGAATCTTAGGTCGAATGTTCTGAGACATGAAGAAACCAGCATCAAGGGCAGACAAGATCCAAAGACCGCGCGTGTAACCTCGAGTGTAGCGACGCGAGAACTATGGGACGGTGAAAGAAATCGAAGGTTGAGCTCAGATCGATATGTTGACTAAGGGAGGGAGTTTATATGGTCTCTGGGCTCTTTGAACGCGACTTCCCCCATATTTGCCAGATGCATCAAATGGCAGTAGAAAGTGCAACGAAATATAGGGCCATGATATGGGTGTACAGGAGGATGAGCCCATTGTCGTAGCATACCATCTTTTTCTCAGGCTCAGCAGGTGTGAGGCCGAGGAGCACATCGGCATGGTGGGTTGCATAGAGCATGGTCAGAGCTCCGATGAGGATCTGCCAGGGTGTGTACTTATTCAGGAGATTATGCAATCGCTGGAAAGGCCGGGGTCCGGCTGCTGGCGTCTTACGGAGGGCAACGTAACTATTGGGTGAGGTTGAAGGGAGTGAAAGGGGAACGAGATGGGGTTGAAATGTTTGTTAGGATTCATTGTATTGGAAGCAATAACGGGGGGACTAACGATCAGATCTATAGGAGACTTGCCTCATCAAGAGGACCACAACGGCCTGGATCTTGTCCCAGGAGGGAGAGGGTCTTCCTGCGATGTGACCGAGCATGTCTGTGCGGAGGAACTTGCAACGGTCGAGAGAGGATGTGGCACAAGAGGGGAGAGAGAGAGAGAGAAAGAGAGAGAAAGGGAAAAAGAGGTGGAGTGGAGTGTGAGGAATGAGAATGAGAGATGGTGATGAGGGAGCTGCTGATCGCCAAAGAGGACAAAGACAGTGAGGGAGAGAAAGGAGGAGAAGGAGGAGGAGAAGGAGGAGAAGAAGAGAGGTGAGAAGGGGAAGGGGAAAAGAGGATGGCACCAGGAACAATCTGTATCCCCTCCCCCCCTGCTCCTATGTTTTGTGGAGAACACCTCTCCAGGGGCCACGCTCTTCCCTTGCTCTTTCCCATGTGCCACCATCTCCATCTCCATCTCAATATCCATATCCATGTACAGTTACTGTACATGTACGTGGAGTGCAAAGCATGTACGCACTCCCCGCATCCTGTTAGTCGGAACCCACACATCCATCCTCACCATTGGACTGCAACTGTGCGTCTGCGTCTATTCCATTTTGACCGGGGTATCCGAAACTCCATCCGATACACGTGTTTGTGCCCATCATTTTCACATGCAGACAACCCACCTCCACCCTCCGCTGAATCGCGTCCTATCTCGCTTCTCGCTCAGCCAATCATGACGGGGCGCCGCTACGCGTCTTTTTTCGATGCAACCCATCTAGGCAAACAAACAGATAGCATTGGTAGACTCGAGAGACTTGTAAGTCTATACACCATAGACATAGACTATGCCTGTTAATACTTTCTAATAAACAAAAGTAAATATGCGTCTATAAAAATGGATGCGATGAGTTATGGTATTATGAAAGAAGAAGGAAGTAAGAAGAAAGAAGAAAGAGAAAAAAATGTATGTATATAAAAAAGGCGGAGCCTTGGTATCAAACCCCCCCCCCCCCCCCCCCCAGCAAGCTCCAAGCACTATCCGCGCATGCTCAATTCGATCGTCAAATTCATGTTCTTCTCCAACATGATCTGCACCTCATCCTCCAACTTGCGCACCTGCTCCTGCAACTTGCGTCGCTCGGCCTCCCACGCCGCATTGTCTGCACCTGAGCCAGAACCAGAACCAGACGACTTGCTTGAAGCCTTCTTGAGTCGCTGCAGCTCTGCCCGCAGCTCGTCCCGATCGTTCTCCAGCTCGTCTCGGATCTTGTTCAGCTCCTCTACATCCTCCTTGGCCATACCCAGCTTGCGCTCCAGGCTCATCTTCGACCGCTCGACCTCCTGCAGTTCCTGCCCAGACTTGGCACGCGACTGGTCCAACTGCTGCTGTAAGGACTCGAGACTCTCCTCCAGCTCCTTCTGACGGCGGTCGTGACCGGCCATCCTCCTCTCCAGGAACGTGCGGTCCTTGATCGCCACCTCCTTCTCCGACCGCTCCTGCTCGCTCTGCTGCTGCAGCTTCTCTAGTTGTTCCTCCAGCGACCTCGACACCTGCTGGGAGGACATGCTGGTCTGTTCCAGTGCCACGTCGTGCTGCTGCTTCAATGCACGCAGCTGTTGCTCGTGCACCGCCGCAAACTCTTGCTTGGCCATCGCCAACTCTTGCTGATGAATCGCCTCGAGCTGTTGCTGCAAATGCGTCTCCTTTTTAGCCGATTCCTGCTCAAATCGCTGTAACATCTCCTGTTCCGTCTGTTGCTGGATATGTTTCTTTTCTCCTTCAAAAGTCTGCTCCATATCCTTCATCTTCGCCATCAAGCTGGCCTCCAGCTTCTTGGTCGAGTTAGCTGCATCGCGTTCCATGCTCTGCAACAGATCATTCTGGATCTTGATCGTTGCATCTGCCTCCTGCTCGAGTTTTCGCACCTGGGCCTCCTTGGTCTTCAATGCTGCCTCGACCTGGTCCAGACGTGTCTTCCACACAAACTGCTCCTTCTGCAAGTCGTCCCGGGCCTTGGAAAGACCCTGCTCCAGTGCGCTCTCCAGCTCTCGGGCCTTTGACCTCTCAGACTCCAAGACCTGTTCCTGCTCTCTCAGGCGGCTCTCCAACTCGCTCTGGATGGTCGCCATGGCCTCGCTGCCACTACGCTTCAAAGTCTCCAATCGGGCCTCGGTCTCCTCTCGATTCTTTTCCAGCGCTTTCCATTTCTGATCCGCCTGCTCCTTCTCGCGCATCAGTGCAGCTCGTTCGTCCTCAAGGGCTTGCTTCTGCTGTTGAAGCGACTCGAGCTGCTCGTAAATTTGCTCCCTACCCTGTCGCTCTTGTTCTTTGCCTTGTCGCTCCTGCTCCACCTCGCGCATCAGTGCAGCTCGCTCAGCCTCAAGGGCTTGCTTTTGCTGCTGAAGCGATTCGAGCTGCTCGTGAATTTGACCCCTGTCCTGTCGCTCCTGTTCTTTGCCTTGTCGCTCCTGCTCCATCTCGCGCATCAGTACAGCTCGTTCAGCCTCAAGGACTTGCTTTTGCTGCTGAAGCGATTCGAGCTGCTCGTAAATTTGCTCTCTACCCTGTCGCTCCTGTTCTTTGCCCTGTCGTTCCTGCTCCATCTCGCGAATCAGTGCAGCTCGTTCGTCCTCAAGGGCTTGTTTTTGCTGCTGAAGTGACTCTAGCTGCTCGTGAATTTGACCCCTGTCCTGTCGCTCCTGCTCTTTGCCCTGTCGCTCCTGCTCTTTGTCTTGTCGCTCCTGCTCCACTGCAGACTTGAGCTCCTCGATCTCCTTCTTGTGGGCTGAGGCTTCACGCAACAAGCCCTTGACGATGCCCTGGAACTGAGCATCCGCCTGTCGCTTGGATTCAGTCATGGCCACCAGCTGCTCATGGATCTCCTGCAGTCTTGCTCCCTGCCCATCCTCGTCCTCCTGTGCTGAGCGCAACAGAGCCCGCTCCTGGGCCCAAGACTCTTCGCGCCTCTGCATCTCTTCAACGATCTGGACGTTATCCTGCATGAGCTCCTGCAACTCTGATTCCAACTCCGCGACACGGCCCTCCAGCCTCTTGGCCTTGGTCTCCAAGTCTTGGATCAACTGAGCATGCGCCTTCTTGTCCTCTGCCAAAACGGCCTCGAGCCGATCCAGGGCCTGCTCTGTCTCCTTTTTGTGATGACTCAAACCCGCAACAGCCTTGTCCCGGTCTGCCGAAGCAGCCGTCAGCGACAATTCCAACTCTTCATATCGTTGCACGAAATCGGCGATCTCGTGCTGATGACTGTCCTTGAGTTTTTCTAGGGCTTTGATGTTCTCTTCGAGGGCTGATTCCAGACGGGCCTCCAGTTGCTGCTGCTGCTCCAGAGACTTGGCTTCGATGTCTGCACGCTGCATCTCCAGTTCTTTCGCTTGCTGAGTCTCCAAAGATTCAATACGACTGTGCAGATCGTCTACCACCTGTTGATGCGCCATCGACAGCTCGTCCTTTTGCTCCTCTAGGGCCCTTGAGTGTTCATCGCGCAAATCTTCCAGCTCCTCTGCTGCCTTGGCCAAGTGATCTTTCAGGTCAGCTGCATGATCCAAAGCCAGCTGCTCGATTTCCATCGCATGCTTGGATCGTTCTCTCTGAAAGCCTGCCTCAAGCTCATCTTGATGCTCTTCCCGAAGGCGCTCCATATCCTTGTTCAGCTGTACACGTTCTTGTTCCCATGCATCCTTGGCAGCCTTAAGCTCTTCAATGTTTTGCGCTTCCATCTTGGCCTTTGAGCTCTGAGAGAGCTCACTCAACTCACTCTCCAAATCCTGGACCTTGTTTTGCAACTCTACCATATCATCCTGGTTAGCTTCCAGATCCTGATGGGCAAACTCTAGTTCTTTTTCCAGCTGTGCGATCCGGTTGTTGAGTCGTGTCAGCAGGCGCTCGTCAGTCTCCACAGAGATGGCACCCATCTGAGATCTACTCTGGTCTTCATCAGCCAACATTTGAATCTGAACCGCAGATGACGTTGTCGTCGCCGCAGCGGCTTCAGCGCCTTGGGTGACGCTAGAAGGCGCACCTGCAGAAGGAACACTGAAAGAGGATGGGATCGGAGGGGGAATGATTCCATACAAAGGCTTGTTCCCAGACATCTCTGGCGGGGGACCTGGAGGTGGTGGAATGACCGGGGGCAAGATCTGTTTACTGAGCCCTGAACGAGCCCCACGAGCGCTTCCTCCGCTGACTGAACGCTTGGCTGTTGCGAAAAGTCCGGATCCCACAGTCGCAGTGCCGGCTCCAGAGTCCATGGCTGGAATGGGAGGTGGGGCTCTTTGCGGAGGCGGCGATCCTGGAAGAATGGACGAGGCTGAATGAGCGGACGAGGACGACATGAAAGAACGCGCTGAGCGGGCCGACATGACGCTGACAGAGCTCGCTGCTGACGCATTTCTTGACAGTTGGCTTGTATTGATGCTGATGGGGTTGGATGATGGTGCCGTCGAAGGGTATGAAGGAGGAGACGAAGCTGCACTCGGGTGTTCTTCATTTCTGCCGGTGGTCGTCGTCATCGAAACATACGAAGGCTGTATTGGAGATCTGTCCCGATTATAGCTCGTGGATTCAGCATCCGTCTCAAAATCTGATTCGATATCCGTATCAGTCTGGCCCTTCCTGTGTACATTAGCACCGACATGACCGGGTACGTTCTTAAAGCTGTCGACAGATACTCTCGAGCTTTGCAGCGTGGATGTCGCGGCTTCGATCGAAACTGTAGTAATAGAAGTTATCAACGACTGGCTCTGCGTTGCGGACTGAGGAGGAGAGTCCGGGATAGGCGGAGGTGGCGGCATTCTTGGTTTGGTGCCGTCCGCCAAAGGATAAGAACTTGGCATTGGAGGAGGCATCGGAGGAGACATCGGAGATTTTGCTGGAGGCAAACTGAATGTCGAGATGATGGACACTGGATGCTTGGAGGAAATGGACTCGTCATCGTCATTGTCTGGAGCTGCTCTTCGCGCGTACTGGACTTTAAGTGGGGGAGAGTCCATACTTTCTGCGTCCGAATCCATATGGCGGCCGCCTTTATCCGGATGCGATGCAGCTCCTTTGCTCTCCGCTGCCGGAGCCGATCTATCGATATCGGCGCCTTTGCCCTTGTGCAGATCATAACTGTCTTCAAAATCTGTAAGATCTTCTTCTCCGGCGGTTGAATACCGCGGTCCACCGGTTCCTCGCACTGCAGGCTCATTCGGCTTCCTGCTCTTAGATGCATCCGTCTGCTGCGCTCCTTGAGCCATTGACTCCCAGGAACGGCGGTTGTTGGTGGCGCTATCAGTTGACCGCCATGAAAACCTAGAAGAATCGCGCTCGCCATTCCGTTGAGCTGATCTGTCGGCTTTCTTGACTTCAGTTTGGTTGATCGGCGAATGGGAACGTGACCGAGAACTATAGCGAGAACCACGGCTGCCTCTTGACCTTGATCTAGAGCGCGAGTGGAGGGAACGAGATCTCGATCTTGAAAACGAGCCACGAGACCTCACATCATGCGATCGTCGTCGGGGAGAACGAGAACGCGACCGGGATGGCGATGGCGAGATGGACCGGGAGATGGTTGAGGCAAACGAGTCGCGTCGACGTGCAGCCGAGGATACATGGTTCTTATCACCATCCTTGTTGTCTGCTGGTGCCTTGGCAATAGATCCGGAGGAGCTGCTCCGCGAGAGGGCAGGCCGTGGAGACCACGATCGCGATCGACGACGCAAACTGCTTCGATCAGACTGGCGCTTGTTAACATCAGTGGCCTTTGTATCTTTGCTCGTCGTTCCAGCAATATTTCCTGTGTTCGTATTCGATTCCTGGTCTTGCTTAGCCCAGTCTTCTTTCCTGCGTGAAAAGTCGTTCTTGTCTTTGATTTCGTCAATGTCATCATGGAGCCCTTTAGTGTTCGCCATCCACGAAGGTCGTCTTTGACCAATGCTGCTCCTCCAATTCTGAGTGTGTTCGTTCCAGTTGGGGATGGACTTTTCTGGCAAACTACTGCGACGCTTGTTCTTTAGCTCTGTAAAAGAAGAATTGTCCTCCCGGGCACGCAGTGGTGGGGATGTGCGCCAGCTGTCCACAGCTTGCTGTCGGCTGTCATGACCAGTTTGTGCAGGGCTAGAGAGCATATCATCCAGGCTGATCCGTTTTCCGTCCCAATCGCGCGATGTATGCTCCTTAGATGGGTGCTGTGGCCTTGATGGTGGCTCGCGTTTGGCTGAATCCACAGCCTTGGATTTCTGGTCTCCAAACGCTGCTGCTCGAAGAGAAGTAGCCGCGCCTGTCATGCTCTGGGCGGCGCTCGATGGTCCCTGAGATGCATTGTTGTATCGCGGAGCTGGAGGAGGCGAGCTTGGGCTGGATATATCCTTGATAAAGTTGATCCCAGTGCCCTCGTTAGTCGTGGGGATGACAGTAGTGGTTCCCCCAACCTCTACCTTAACTGTGTCTGGTTCCGCTCCCCCTCCGTAATGCTGCTGTTGTGGATCCCAGCCTGGAATAGGAGGCAGGGACTTCTCGTTAGAGTACCCGGTAGGGGGCGATCGTACGGCCTTTGTCACAATGGCCTCATCATCGCTCCAGGGCAGGATTTCGGTTTCATTCTCTGTCCCCGTAGGAGAGGTGAGCCACTCATCTGCATGGGCCTGCTTTTGGCGCCGGTTGCGCTCGTTGCGCTCGTTGCGTTCATTTCTCTCTCTCCTCGCCGCTAAGACCGAAGAAGTATTGGAGGCAATGGATGTCGAGTAGCTGAGAGCTCGTGCTCCCCGATCGTCTATGAAGCGTCCTTGTCCTTGGTCCTTCGTTGGTCTTTGGCCATAGTCTGGAGCGGAGCGGTCACCCTGGCGATTATAGTAGTCGTCGGAATCGTACTCGTTGTTGTAGTTACTGGACTGGCCATGATGTCTGCCATGGTCATCATTCGAAACTGAAGAGGCGGTAGAGCGCGGTTTCTGCAGTCCTTGTGGGCGATACTGGGTCGAGGGCGAATATTGTGGTGTTTGGTAACCACGAGGACCAGGAGGAGAGCGCCAACTGTCCGGGGTAGTCGGAGACATCATAGGGCTTTGATCGTAAGGGCTATTGTGACCGTACACACTGGTACCGGACTGCAATCCCCCCGGTCCAGCATGCTGGTTGGATCGGTTCTGAGAAGGCTGTTGTTGCTGATGTTGTCTTTGCGATGAACCATACGAATTTTGGGACTGAGGGTGGCCGTAGCCATGCCCGCGCTGATCTGTAGGATTATAGTATGAGGAGGACGAGGAAGGGGACGGGGACAATGGTGGTGGTGAGGCGGGTGATCCTGAGGATGGACCCATGTAAGGTGAATGATTGCTGTTGCTGTATGGGTAGTTCTGCGAGCCGTGATATGGTTGCTGATGCATAGGCGGCAATGCACCGCCTTGCAGAGATGAGGCATCGCTCCATTTACGTTGGTGGGACGAATTTGAAGCGTATGAGCGTGGGCTGTTGGTGACTGGGAGGTCCTTTTGGGCACCATCGGCGTAATTTCGCTGCCTGTCTGTGGGATACTATTAGGAGACGTTTGAGTGGTGCAACGGGCGTGAGCATATGCACAAAAAAGAAAGGAGTAAAACTCCATGCTGCAACGACAGTGAGGGCGAGAAAGGAGATTTGTGGGTAGCTTACCGAAGATGGGCTTTCAGCTGTATCGTCGCGAGGCCTGGATTGCTGCCTTGGTGCACGGGGTTGTCCGCGAAGGGCGGCTCCTGGGCCATTGTAGCGGGATGAACCTGCCATTGGCTATGTATCCGTAGGTGCCCTTTATGTAAATTGGAGTCGCTTGCTCTGGTATACTGCCGTAGTGGGTCTGAACATGTATGGAAGAGAATGAGAATGATATTCAACAGGACGAAAGATGGAGAATAGAAGAATAGAAGAGAAAAAAAAACTGGTACCTGAATGTTTCACTCAGCGTGCTAGGTTGGCGACAGCGAAGGACCTTACTTGAGGGGATGGTCCAGGTGCTAAGGCCAGGACGGGAGAGAAAAGAAAAAGTAAAGGATGGGAAGGACGATTGCTCAACTTGATTAAAAGACGATGAGCGTTGACGATGGTGAATGATGATGAAAAGAAAGAGAGAGAGAGAGAGAGAGAGAGATGATGATGAGACGATAAATTAAATTTGATTAGTGTACCTGGAGCACTAAGAATCTTAAACGTCAGGGAATCAATTGCCTTCTTTGAGTTCAACAGCCGCTGTCGTCCTTCCATCCCGTCCTTCAGTAGGACGTACTGATTGTAGATTATATTATCCGCCAGGGCTGCTCTTATAAAAGACGCCGTGTTGCTATAGTCCTACGAAGAACCCACACTTCTTACCTGGTGTAGCAAGATAAATCGCGGAATATATTATTAGAAGATCCGCCCCAATCACTTGCCAAATGGAACTAACTAACGACCGACTTCCGGGAGTTGTTTGGTGTAGTCGCGAACGGTAGAGCTGTCTTTTTTATGTGACCCGTCACCTAACCCAAGTGGAGAGTGTAATTTGGCGGCGAAACATTCCTATTAGCTTAGGGGAACTTGTGGATCAGCTCATGCCCTGGACGACATAATAAGTTGGCGCCTCCGCGCAGAATAAACGTCATTTTGTCAAAGAAACCTCGCTCTTGCAAGTCTCTAGCCGCGATTGTTATTGCTGGTTGACTTGCCTCCGAGGAATGATGGGAGCGGTCTGCAACTCGCGACCAAAAAAAAAAAAAAAAAAAAAAAAAAGAACACTTTACATAGAAACTCTGCCTGTCTGGATTGAATGGCGTGATGATATTTAAGGAATAAAATATTCGCGAATCTCAACCTGGTTGAACTCTTTTTGACCAGCTCTGCAGCATGCCAAGGACAAGACGGCAAAACTCATCAATTTTGAAATACCCTAAAAAACCTTGAAGGAGGGGGATAGAATTTGGTGGCAAAAATCCGTCTGTATGGTTGCTGTAGCCTACTACGGTGATCACACAGACCACAAAGAGGATGGTCTTGAGCCCCAGAACGTGGTGCCTTTCTCGAATCAATTCCAGCCATCTTCAGCACGACTCGTAAGAAATAGCACCACTGCCCAATAGCATAGACATCCAATTTTACTAGGCCTGGCATCTTTTTGTACCCTGACCAGTTAAAGTTGGTCTCCTCCCCCTTGTCTGCTTTCTTTCTGATAGAACACTGACGCTGTCCTTCTTCATCACACCGCAATCTCATCCTTCTCTTTCTTACATCTCTTCTTCATCGCTACCCTCCAACCATTCACACAACGTATAAACATCAGTGTCAGTGTTCACTCTCCACACCATCGTTCCACTTGCAGGAGAGTACAAAAGCACTTTCAGTCCTCGTTTATACATGAATTTTGTGCCTAACTCTGCACGCCCGTCCTCAGGCAGTACTGAACCGCCGATGCCTCAATCCGAGGCCCCTCCTTTGGCCCAGAATGTAACTCACAGTGCCGAGGCATCATCTTCGGCAGTGCCAGGGCCGCTGTCAGGAGTAGAGGTAGCAGACACAGATACAAAAATGGGCTGTTCATCTACTCGAGAGGATAGCAGCTCCCCTCGCCCTCCATACCCGCTGCTGCCCAACAGCGCTCGGTGCTGTCGTATCTGTCTTGATGACGACCCACATGGATTGTACTCTCCCTGTCGGTGTCGAGGTTCGATCAAGTTTGTGCACAGTCATTGCCTGACCCGATGGTATGCCTTTTTTTTACTCCTTTTGCTTCTTCTGCATCTTCGTTTCTACTTCTCGTGGAACATCACCAGTTTTTGGATTTGTACCGGTGGCGTGAGCAAGCAGTTGAGAACAGAAGGCATTGGTTGGTTCCTTGGACAGCAAAAACGAGTATGGCACCAGGACCATGTGATATAAATAAGCATATGTAACAGATAGATGGAGGAGGTCCATTTTGTGGAGCAGATGTGGGTTCTTTGTTGTTGACACTCCCACCCCCACTTATTCCGTGTGCTTGAACTTCCCGTTCTCTCCTCTGCTAACCACGTTTGGGTGTTCTGCTTCAATAATAGGAGAAAGAGTCTTATGGCCCATGGCCGCGACGAGTCTGCAAATTCCTGCACTATGTGTGGGTTCAACTACGTGCTCAAGAAGAGGGCTCGTTTCTACGAACTGATCTCCTATAGAGGTAATTCATGTTGCTTTACAAGGCGCACTTGTTTACATGTGAAGAATACTATCAAACGCCAAGAGTACAGGATGGCTGCCATAACATTTTTTTCTCTTGTGCTTCAATTGCTCATTGCCAACTACAGGTATCCGTGTCGCTATCACGGTACTTTTCGTCCTCGCCATGCTCTTCCCCTCAGGCTATGTCATGAAGGTGTGCGTCCTTCTTTCTGGGTACAGGGACTCTCCAGGAACAGCGCCCACGACATATCTTCAATCGCTCAGTCATATTTCTTCCAACATGGATGAAATGAATGTCTTTCCAATCTGCAAGGCCAACAGCAATAGATTATCGTTTGGAAAGCGGGAGCCAACTCCAGCCCGTATCGACATAAAGGCATCAGCAGCAGTAGAAGCATCCAAAACTGGGGATAAAGACAGCGTGAGCGCTACCACATCCGGCCCTGCAATGATGTCTTCGCCCTCACACTTCATTTCACTGTTCCCGGGACCATATGCGCCTCATATATTCAACTCCAACATGTTAACCGCTAGTCAGAAGGCCGAGTGTACCACTGCTCGCCCATCCTCAGGCCAGGGTAGTGAGCATGAATCGACCTGCACGCAGAGCAGCAGGGATCTGTCGCGTCATGGATCGTGGGCTCGATTGGCAGCAAGCATCGATATCATGGGGTCTAGTCAGTTCGCCAGCATGCTCCTCTACCCATTTGCGAGCGACCGACTCTGGCACTTCCTTTTATGTCGATTGCAACATCTTCACCTCGGTTTCTTCCTTTTGGGCTCTGCCAGCAACGTGTACATGGCCTGCAAGATGCTGTCGGATATGTATGATCTGATCATTACTCCGCCACATTCTCGATTCATCAAGAATATCTTTTTGGTGCAGGCGTCGGTCTTTGTCCTCTGGTTCTGGTTCTCCTATAACCTGATGGCATTTCGCGTTTCGACCACGGAGGAGGAGTTCATGAGCGAGCTGCCTCTCTGGGCTCTGCGCTGGATCAATGTCGGTGTCGCTATTGTGGATCTCAGCTACAGGTATGTTCTATTTCGTTATTCCGTAACGCATTTTTTTTTTATTGTAACTTTGTCATTGAAATACGACCATGCGCTTATTTCAAATGGTTTAGGAGGATCTACAATCGACTGGGAAGACTGAAGGTCGAAGAAGAATTGTTGGACATCTCGGATGTAGAAAAGGTTGAGGAGATGCAGCAGAAGGCATGGTTACATCAGCAGCAATGGTTCCTTCAGTTTGGTCAGGAACAAGGACAGTATCTTTTGGGTCAATTCATGGCCCTCGAGGTCAAGCAGTCGATCTTGAACGGCGCCAATGCAGCGGTGGATGTTGTCTCGGATGTGTATTCAAAGACCAGCATCCCATCTTTCCCGCCTATTCCAAATTCGCTGGCCTCCGCTGTCACCATGCTGTCGACTTCTGCAGTGTCTGCATCATCGATGACCAATGACGAGCCATCTGTATCGACAAACGAACAGCACGCTCAAATCCCCGAGGAGAATATAAAGGATGAGATGCCAATTAGATAATAACTGCCCCAGCACCTCTAGTCGTTTTCTTTCGACGACTCTACTCCTGTACTATACCGATTTGTGTAAAATAAATTGTTCAAAGCCTTTCTTTTTCTCTCTCTCTCTCTCTCTCTCTCTCTCTCTCTCTCTCTCTCTCTCTCTCTCTCTCTCTCTCTCTCTCTCTCCTCTGCTGTCCTTGGCACGTTCGCATTCTAAATTGTGTTGGCTGAATATGCTTGTCTTTATTCTGTGTAGATATTTTGTAATTCAGCCTCGCATCGAGATAAAGGGAGTAGTATCAACATCGTTGGTAAGTATGGTGTCTAGCGGTTGCTCCAGTTTAGTTGAAGAACCTGCGGTTGGGCGACTGTCCAAACAACATGTCCCTGACAACAGGCAACATCTAAAAATGAACGGCAGCACAGCAAATGTCGTTAGAACACATACATATCCACTTTGTGCACAAACAGAAACATCACTGAGGAAAGAATGAGTGCTTACATCTTCTTCGAGAATAGCGAGGCGTGCCTCGGGGGTATTGTTGCACTTGGTGCGTCCACCGTTTCCAGCGACAATGACTCCTCCGGCGCTAGACATTCAACCCAATCAGGAACATAAGAAAAACTCATCGGTCAATAGGCCTAACAATATATCCGGTACATCCATCGCTCTGCCATCTGAACGCGGTCTCACCTGTCAGCGGGCAGGTAATCTTCCAATAGCTCAACGTTGATCGTCTGCTTAGTGGCCTCCTCATAGCGCTTCTTGACATCAGGCAGCAACTTCTCGATCGTTGCCTTATCTGCCTTGCGGTGTTGAACGGTAACATCTGATTCCAGCAAGCGGAAGAAAGCCTACGAGAGAGAATATTTCGATTTGAAGCATACACGATAAGTAAAAAAAAAAAATGACACGAAAGGAAGTGCGAAATGTCCTGGTCAGAGCAAATTACCTGAACAAGAGCATCAGACACAAACTTTTCGTAGCGATTGGTGTCCTTGGCAATCGCCAAGAGCTGGCTCCTTGTGTCTGCAAACAGCTTGTCGAGCATCTCCTGACGAGTCAACAACAACTTCATACGCGACTTGTTGATATTGTTGGACTGGGCACTAAGCACCAAAGAGAGAGATAGTCGTGTTAAATAAGGGGATGACATGCGTGAATCGCCCCTTATGACCACTGCCTTCGTGACATAAAATCTCTAGTTTGCATACATTCGTCGCTGAACATCAGCCTGCTTGACTTTGCGCTGGAAAGCAGCGTCAATGTTGATGGCCTCCTGACGAACAAGCTTGGCCTAAGATGGGAATGGTAGTGCGACAAGGGGGAAAGGCGCCCGTTAGACCTCTTTGTGCCTTTAATTGATCGTTGTAGTCCAGATCAATCCCATGTTAAACGTCGGCTCTAACCTTCTCGATGTTGAATTCTTCGTCAGCCTAGGTAGGATTGCAGGAAGGGGAAATATGAATTGATGAGTCGACCATCGCCGCAATGCAGTTTCACGATGTTGCCATATTGTCGTAGGCCATCCTCGGTGTGAATACGCTACCTTGACCTTGATCTCACGCGCCTTTTCCAGAGCTTCCTGCTTGATGAAGGCGACCTATAGGCAATCATAATATACGGATTAGTAAGGTATTCAGTGACAAGGCAAGCTGTAGATACGAATGCAGTGGGCCGCGAAGGAACAAACAGCGGCGTGAGAGCTTTACCATCTTTCTCATTTCAGAGAAGACCTCCTCGTCGTTCAGTGCCTTGTTGAATGACATGTCTGCTGTGGGTGAATGGAAGTGTGTCTAGGGGGCAAGAATAGTTTTCGGTCTATCAGTTCAGGGCGCACTTTCTTGCTGCGTCAATTGGAAGAGAATGATTGAGAGCCGTTCACTCTGGGTTGTGTAGACGTACTTGTTGAGGGGGGGGGGAGTGTGTGTGAGCGTGTGTGGTGATGCGAGGCAAAAGGTGATCACTGTTGCAACCAGACTCAGGCCCACGACGAGGGCGCACGCGCTCACCACCTGGCTGGTGGAAGAAGAACGTCACTCGGATGCTTAAGGGTTCAGCAAGGATGAGAGAGAGGCGAAGAATAGTCCGTACAAGTAGACGATGGGAGTAAATCTGTGGTGCATGGGGCGCATGGGGCGCATGGTGTCCGTAGATGCAATACTGTTTTCTGGCACAGCGACCGAGGGCGCTGCGCCAGAAAGGGAGCCGGAGTGGGGGGATATTGCGTCTCAAGTCAAGTTGCAGTTATGGTCACGTGGCATTCATCCTCAAGACCGCAGCCAGTTCTCTCGCTCAACTGGACCCTTCACCACCCGCTTCTTCCATTTACTCACCTACCCACCCACCTACACCGCCCTTGCTACTCGCGAACGACGACGAGGAGAGAGACACAGAGCGAAAGAACCTTCCCTCTCCCTTCTCGACTCCAATTCCTCACACAACCAGAGAAACGAGTATGAACGTCAATGCTGCTTCGTTCACCCCACAGGGAGCTGGAGGTGACAAGCCCTCTGGCAACGCTTCTGGATTCCGATCGTCCTTGTCGAACTCCCTTGCGAACGAGGGCAAAAAGTCGAACCAGCGGGCACCCCTGCCCGTGAACCACTCCAAGGCCTTTTCTGTGGAGCAGCAGCAACGTAGGTGACATCTTACTTTGCTCATTCACCCGCAGGTTGCTCTGCCCATTGATTCCCATGAACCCTACATTCTCGGGCTAATTTTTGTCTTTGTTGTCTCTCTCTCCATACTGCGTCAGGCTCATTGCCTGGCCGGGGTAAAACCCAGCGACAGAGCAGCTCCAAGAGGAGTGGCCATGATCGGGAGCAGGGTCGTGCAGCAACTGGTGGTGCACGATCTTTGTCCTCCTCCACTTCGACCCTTACGTCAACAGCGGATTCGCTGGCGGTCTCAATGGGCCAGCTGAGCACGAATGACAAGGCCGGACGAGGCAACAACAAGAAGAACCAGGTCTCGCTCAACCATCTCCTGAACTTTTCGTTCCCTATTCGGGAAGAGCCTCAGAACACCGGCCCTGTGCGCAGACGTCGCAATGTCAACTATCAGCCCTTCAACAAGGATAAGTTTATCAATGCAAAGTATGCACAGGTCCAATATTACATTTTGTGCAATGAATGTTTGTTTTGTTCATTGACAACATGCATGCAGGTTACTCCAAAATGCGACTATTTGCTAACGGCTTGACGCCCGATATCCATCCCAACAATACAGTTTCCGATTTCTCATGAACCCCCGTCGTGACTACGAGGTCTTCACGATGGATGCCGATGTGCGGGTCGAGTGGGATGATATTGAGCAGGTTTTGATTTCTGTGCCGCAGTCATGCCCAATCTGCCTCCAGACACCGGTGGCCGGTCGAATCACAAAATGCGGTCATGTCTATTGCTTCTCCTGCATCCTGCACTACCTTGCATTGAGTGAGTCGAGCAAGGCCTGGCGAAAGTGCCCTATCTGCTGGGATGCCATTTACGAGAAGGATCTTAAGAGCGTCCGCACGGTACAGGAGGAACACGATATCTACGATCAGGGCGAAAAGGAGATTGCCAAGCAAATCGCAGCGAAGCAAGAGGTCTTCCTCGAAATGAAGTTGATCCAACGAGCATTGGTAAGAGAGACCTGCAATGACTGCCCTTTTTTCATCGATAAAAAAAGGCATGCTGACCGAAGAAGATATCCTCTGCATGATTATAGAACTCAACAGTGGCTCTTCCAAGATCAAAGACATTCCCCCTGGACGAGAGTGCATTACCGGGAGAGCTCAAAGGCCAGCCGCCACTAGAGTTTTACCCCGATGCGATGCTTTTCAGCCGAATGATGATTACAACACTGGACAGGATCGTCTCTGAGCTGGATCGGGATATCCAAGCGATCGAATTCAGCATGGAAGATGCCAAGAGTTATGATATCAACAGTCATTCGGAAGAGATAGTGTTCTTTGAGATGGCTTTGAGCAAGATCCAGGAGAGGAAGGACAAAACCCGGGACGACGCAAAGTTCTTTCCTAAGGCTGCCCTTGAACGTGAACGGATCTTGCGGCAACACTTTGACCGAGCTTCAACGGAGGAACCGACTGAAGCAGATGGTGAGGAGGCGACAGCGCCCACCAGGACGATAACATATGCGGAGTCTGGACCCGAGGCATACGAGATGGGACGGAGCGATGAGCCTCTATCCTCCGCTCAAGAGGAAAGGTTCGATGACGAAACACAAGCTGAAAGCAGGGTAGAGCTGAACTCGAATGCGGCACCCCCCGCAGAATCAACACCTGTCACTGCTCAGACGCGGAATCGAGCCTCGCATCAGATCACGACCATGTACTACTTTTATCAGGCAGCAAATGGTCACCATCTATATCTTCAACCACTCGACATCCGCATTCTAAAGCAGTACTTCGACTCTTACGAGAAATTTCCAGACACAATTACGGTCAAGGTCCTTGGTATTGAGGAGACCAGCCTGACAGAGGAGGTGCGGAAGAAATGTAAATACTTAGGGCATCTTCCATTGGGTTGTGAGGTCTCGTTTTTAGACGTTGCCTTGGAGGGCATAGTTGGTGAGGAAGGAGTCAGGCCGTTCGAGACAGAAGTGAGGATGCGTAGGAGCAAACGGCTAGAGAAGGAGGCAAGGGAGGAGCGTGAGCGTATCGCACGGGAACACAAGTTAAATCCGCCAAAGCCTCGGAGGGATGACTTTTTCACAAACGATCCATTCTTCCAGGCACCGGCAGGAACCACACATCGTACCACCGCCAGCGGGGTAGGAGCTGATGCTGAGTCCGATGCTGATCTACAGGAGGCGTTGCGGCTTTCTGCTCAGGCCGAGAGGGACGATATGCCCACACTGAGCGAGGCTCACGCTAGGTCCGCACGCCGGCCGTCTATATCACAGTCTGCTTCGAGTTCCAGGAATATTCCTGGCTCTGGTGATGCAGAGAGGCCAGCGGCCGGTGCGCATGAGAACTGGGCAAGTAGTTACGAATCTAATGCTAGCACTGGCCATACAGGGACATCGACGGTTTGGGGAACGCCGTCCGTCCCGGCGCGGCACTACGACGAGTACGATGACTACTACGATGAGGACCACGACTATGAGCCGGAAGTCGTCGTAAAACGCGGCAAGAAGAAGGTGGCTGTGCTATTGTCGAACAACAGCCGACGCAATAGATGATCGAGGCGTCTTAAAGTCGACTCCGTTTGAGCTCATGGCCGTGTACATTCAGAAGGGTGTCCATTGCTATCCCCTCAGTATTCCATTTCGCCGTCTCTCTCTCTCTCTCTTTCTTTCTCTTTCTCTGCGTGAATGTGGAAAGATCCCTGTGCGATCTAGTCTTTGTGCATATTATTATTGTCGGTGCAAGTTTTGGTAGTCGCGGGTTCGATACAATCGACCACATATAAAAAATTCTATCTTTCACTTTTTTTTTGATAACTAGGACCCACGAGGACGTGTTCTATATTTCACAACTGCAAATATTTCATAAAATCGTCTTTATAATGTGCAATTGGGGCGCTCATGAGATTGTATCCGAACCGATTGCGCGAAAAAAAAAAAAAACAAAAAAAAAAAAGCTATCTCAGACATGCGTTCTTCTCGATCCACTGAAAAAGGTCCTCACGACATAGACCTGAACCATGGACATGGCGACGATCAGGGCCGACTCTGTCAAGGAGAACCAAAAGATCCTGTTCTCTGTAGAGACAACGGTCGAGAAATTGCGGTTCTCCCTGGTCTTGAAGTGCTTCTGCATACGATCGATCCTGCCCAGCTCGCCCGACAGTCGGAACAGGGATTCGTCCATAGCCTCCGCCTGGGCCTGAGGGCCCTGTCCCTTTTCCTTTTGGTCAGCCTGCGCAGGCCGTTTCTCGTGCTCGACCGAGATCTCGAAATCAACGACCTTTTCAGCAAAGGTCGACATCCCGTTCGAGAAACAGAAGGAATACTCGCCAATTTCGTTCGCGGTGAAGACGTAATCGCCCTGGCGTTCCTTCTCAAGTTTGAGGATCTGTTTCTGTGAAGGGCCGTCGACCTCCACATCAATATCGAACGATCCACCTGATTGGACCTATGTAAAGGTTGTGGGAAAGAGGGGGAGGTGGGTTTTTAGTCATGAAAGTTGACGAAACAACACTAAAAGATATCCGTGAGCAAAGACCCTAGGCTGGGAAGTGAAGGGATGAAGGGGGGGGGGGGGGGGGGGGGGACTTACGGCAAAGTAGAAGGAGATCTTTTTCCTGGGGATATCGGCCCAGGTGTAGAAGCAAGCCTTTTCGTACGCTGCCACGTTGTAGGTTAATGCTGTCGCGTCCACAGGACTGGTGAGGACCGACAAGGAGAGGAGCGCCATTAAGGCACCGAGGGCGACGGAAAGGATTGGAGATGAGATCATGGCGCGTCCGTAGCTTCTGCCAGCAGCAGTACTCTTGAAGATGAAGCGTTCTTAAATGGAAGGGACAGATGAAGGAAGCGATGTTCTCTAGGTCGAAGGATGGGAGTGAGAGCGATTCTGTAACTTCTCCCTCTTTTTTTTTTTCCCCTTCCCCTCCCCCCTCCCCCCATTCGCCCGTTCTCGCGTTCTCGTGTGACGTGGTCCTAGTCAATGCTCCCCATTGCTCTGTGTTCACTGTGTTCACTGATGCAGATCTATATTTTTTATTACATTTCCTGAACAGCAAAAAGGGTTTAGAGAAAGAGGGCGCGGATCTACGAAGATCTGTAGTTATACTCTGCCGCAGGCTTGTTCGACAGAGCCTCCTCAATGCTCTGCATCACCTCCTCCGTCAACAGAGGTACGACCTGCAACGACTTGACGTTCTCCTCGATCTGCGAGGGCTTCGATGCACCAGTGATCACGGACGAGATGTTGGGGTTCTTCAGACACCAGGCCAAGGCCAGCTGCGAGGTCGTGCAGCCCAATTGCTTGGCAATCTCGCCCAGCTTGATGACCTTGGCGAGCTTGGCACGACCATCCTCGGTCTCGAGTCCGTCGCGGAGACGCTTCATGACCGCGTTATCCTGAATCGCCAGACGACTGTCTGAGGGGATTCCATCGTTGTACTTGCCAGAGAGCAGACCCGAGGCAAGAGGAGACCAGATCGTCGAGCCCATGCCAAAGTTCTTGAACATGGGGAGATACTCCTTTTCAACGCGGTCGCGATGGAACATGTTGTACTGGGGTTGTTCCATCTGGACACGCACAAGAAAAATTAAAAAAAAAAAAAAAAAAAAAAAAAAAAAAAAAAAAAAAGTGAAACTGCTGTCAGCACCAGGTAAAGTATACATAATCTAAGCATTCCTCAAAACACACTGGTGCGTCCATAGGCGCGCACACAAACGTACCAAAGGTGCGATCAGGTTCAAACGGCTGGCAACAGCATGAGCCTCTGTGATCTGCTGGGCGCTCCATTCGGAGGTACCCCAGTAAAAGGCCTTGCCCTGGTCGATGACATGGTTGAACGCACGGACAATCTCCTCCATGGGCGTATCGGGATCGGGGCGATGTGCGTACAAGAGATCAACATAGTCAAGCTGCAGACGCTTCAACGACGCATTTGTGCCCTCGACAATATGTTTGCGGGAGAGTCCACGATCATTAGGACCCTTGCCGCCCCAGAATAACTTTGTGGAGATCACCAGATCCGAACGCTTCCAACCAAACTTGCGGATAGCAACTCCCATATCGATCTCGCATTGGCCGCCGGAATAGACCTAAAACGAATCATTTTCAGAAGGCGCTTTTTTTTAAAAATGGCTAGTTCCAAGAAGAAACATGAGAATGACGAAGTCGTGAGAAAGGAAAACGTGTATACCTCGGCAGTGTCGAAAAAGTTGATGCCCAGATCAAAAGCGGTCTTCATGCACTGCTGAGCGGTCTCTGGGCCAACTTGACCACCTGTTTTGTTTAGAAAGATATCGACAGATTCGACAGATCGGTTATTTACTGTAGAGGGAGCAGAGAAGGCGTGGTAGTACCGTACATCCAGAGGAAAGCTAACGATACTTACCGTAGGTGACCCAGCCTCCAAGAGACAAGCACGAGACCATGAGGCCACTTTTTCCGAGATAGCGGTACTCCATTGTGAAGGTAAGAAGATAAAGGGTTTATTTGAATGAGCAAGAAGCTGAGGTAGGAAGTAAGAAGCGGAAAGTAAGAAGCGAGAAGCAAGAAGTAAGGGAGAAGAAAGAAGAAGAAGAAGAAAAAGAGAGGGAGGAATGGGAATGAGCATGGAAGTACATGTAGAAAAAAAAAAAGCTAACGACGGACTAGCTAACCAACGTACGTGTGTGTGTACGGCGTATGCGCGCGTGGGACACAGCAAAGAACGGTCATCCCCTCTGTAAGCATGCGTAATTGCTGTAGATGCTATCTTTTCTCCTCCACCAACAGATAAGCGCGCATCAACACACTGCTCAGCATCCAGTAACCCCGTGGAACCACGGCTGTGACCCCGGGGGGAGAGGGGGGATGATCGGTCGCCAGCCGAGACTGACTGCTTACAAATAGACTGCGCTCTATCCCCCCCACAACTCTTCTTTCTCCTTCCAATTGCGAGATGGACTGGCTGGATAGCCTAAACATGCTGTGACCCCGGGTAAATCCATAAACAAAACCTTACTTTCAAACACCGTGTGCGTGGGAGGATATATTCCGCTGGCAGATAGACTACTCACTCCCCCCTCTCCTCCCTGACTAGTCTACTATATATGGGCCTGTCGTTGTCGCTGTCTCGACTGCTCCTCGCGCTTAAGCTTCACCCACGCCTCGCTGCGTCTCCAGAACGCAATTGTCCTGGCATCCATTCGCTCGACCCGCGTCTTCTCCACCGTGCACTGCTCCGTAAAGACCAGAGCCTCCTCCTTGCCCTCTCCCACATCGGCAGGGAGCACCGAGTTTAGGCCATGCCTCAACCCGTACTGACGACTTGTCACACCCCAAGCAAACAAGATCCAAACCTCCATCAGCCGTTGCGACAAGACCTTCTCTGCCTCTGTGAACAGACCGAGATACGTGTCTGCTGCAAAAAGGAACGGCAGCTCGACCGCATGATGTGCACCCAGTCCCAGACCCATGTCCTCGACAATCTGCAGAGGACGGTCAAAATAATAACGAGCAATCTCGACCGGCTCCCTGCTTAGATTTACCTCGTTTGTGCGCATGAGCGCCACAGTGGTAGCGTGTATCGGGTACAAGAAGACCGTATCACTCAGAACAAGAGCTGAGATCCTTGCAGCATCGGCATCTGTCTTGGGAAGTCCGTAAACCATCTCGAATTCCTTCTCCTCCCCGGGTGGGCAGTGTCTCGGCAAGAACCGCGGCCAGTGCTTCATGGACTTTGCTCCAATCTCCGGGACAAACATCCTTCCCTCATCACGACAGGCACCCAGCATGACCGATTTGACGCCCGGATCGTATCTTGTCGGGTCATGGAGCCATTCACGGACATCGCCTTTGATCAGGACATTATCGATCGTAGGAATAAACATCCCAGCCTTGCCATTGTCCCCGGCCTTGACAAGCTCCTTGGCCGAGATCCTTCGCAGCCTCTCCATCTTTTTTGGCCCGGACAGATTCGCTTCGTGTAACCCAAAGTGCCGGCAAAGCTGATCGAACTGCCTTTGGCCTTCTAGTTCGGCGCGCCCTGCGGTCATGGTAGTGCTGCAGCCCGACTGTAGGATGGCGCGCTGGAAAAGACCATGGTGGGCCGGGATCGAAAGGTGGTATCCAATGGACGCCGCTCCAGCAGACTCCCCAAAAGCCGTGACATCCTTGGGGTTGCCACCAAAGGCTGCAATATGGTCTCGAACCCATTCCAACGCTATCTTTTGGTCCAGCAGTCCCCAGTTGCCGACGCCCTTTTCGTTGGCAGAAAGTCGGTTGTCGGACTGGATATCCTGCACAAGCTCGGCCGAGGAAAGGAATCCAAAGTAGTTCAGGCGATAATTGATGACGACGACAATAACCGGATGGCCGACTTTGCTGATCGAATGTGCGACCATATTACTGGCGTCGTACAACTCCATAGCATTGCTGCCATCTTTGTACTCTCCGCCGTGTATCCATACCATGACTGGTATCAAAGGTTGTGATTTGTTCAGTTGGTCCTTGGGTGCAAAGATATTGAGGTTGAGACAGTGTTCTTCGTTGTAGACCTTTGCGTATGCCTCATCATCGTCCTCATCAACATCGGCAGAGGCCATGCTGACCAGCATGTTTGCGCTCTTGGGTTGTTGACATACAGGTCTATTGAAATTTCAGAATCAGAAAAAATAAATGATAGTGTCAGTAACACACCGATCCGAATTCTGCAGCAGCTCGGCTCATGTCACTTTGAGCCATAATCGATGCTCGAATCCATAGGGCCCTGAATCAAACTTACCCCTGCATAGAGGCATCGCGGACACCGTTCCAGGGAGCAGCCTTGACAGCAGAACGCCAGCGTTCAGGTACGGTGGCATAGGGGATATTGAGGAACTTTGCCACGGTCGGCTGGGCCTCGGCCAGGATGCCCTGGACAGTACCACAGCCGGGGATGTTGACTTGCGGAGCAGTTGACATTCGTTAAGAGAAAAGTGGGCGGGCGTGAATGAGGAATGGAATGGAAACGAAGAGGTGTAAGGACTGGAGAAGAGGAGAAACAGAAACAAGGGGATGGAGCCAATTGGGTTTAGCAGTCCAGCCGTAGCATGGGTGTGGATGTGAGCCGAAGCATCGGGCACAGGCCAAAAAAAAAAACGCGATCGGACCACTTTAGGACTAGTCTAACGCGAAAGACGCGCCAACAAATGGACCAGCAACACGCCCTGTATTTCATCGTCCATTACTGCTAGCTGATAAATTGGTTCGAGCCGAAGGAGAGAGTAAAAAAAAGGGCAGAGATCGTTGTCAACTGAGCAGCTGCGATCTCTCTATCGCATATGACCAAATATGACTGCAGCTCGGATACTCGGATATTCTTTGATTATAGGCCAATTGACTCGTTTCCTCTGTAAACTCCGAACCGGGCGCCGTGTCCATAGACATAACGTTCATCATAACTACACTTTCTCGAAACATCTAGCGTTGCCAGCTCGCAAATGTACGCGTAGGCATGCTACGGCCTCCTAAAACACACAGGAAAGCCACTCTGCGGACGGAGGCCCCGCACACGGTTCTATTTGGAGTAATATTGTGCGAAATAGAGGAACTGATTCTGTTTGAAGATGAAGTCGCGTGTGTGTGTACGGATGGGTACGTGAACGAGCCGAACACTATGTATTCTGACCCCAATTCCCATTGGAAAAAAAATAATTATACAAATGCAGAGCGCAGGTGTTATCCATGCCCCGATTATCGCAACGCTCGGCACTGAACATCTAGCGTAGGAAGCATAAACAGTTTCGGGGCTACAATAATGAGCATTTTAATAATTACAGCAGGGTAGAGCATGCTGAGGGTCAGCATGTCCGCTCTGATGCAGGGATAAAACGGGTGTACAAGGAGGTGCTAGATGAGCATACCGCTCAGCTTTTCATTCTGAACAATGCAAGTAGGTCATTCTGCCCCTTCCCCTTCTATGCTTCAGCCCTCCTTGAAAAAATTACTCGGCGCCTGTAATTCACAAAACGAATGAAGACAATAATATCTTCCTGCTCAGCTGCATTTGAGACGTTGAACCGTCCTTGTTGCCGTTTTTTTTTTTTTTTTTTTTTTTTCTTGAGGATCACGATGATGATTTACGACGACGGTGTTGGCGGATAGAAGAAGATTGGCATTAGCATTAGTTAAGCACGCACACCTTGAAGCGCCGTGGTTGCGCGATCCAACAGGCGTTGTCAAAAAGTGCCCTACATGTACAGACGACCTTGCTTATTTTCGTCCACTGCAGATCTCGAGCCTGCACTTTACCAGAAACAATGGCGCAATGGCGGGATTGCAGAAAAAACAGGAGGTTTTGCTTCACCATCTTCAAAAGAGAAACAACTGCTGTCCTCGACCACGGCCCGCCTTTTATTATGTTTTGTTTACTTTAGTTTATTTTTCGTACTGACTGTGGATTGCTTTCCTACGTAAACTGTAGACGACAAGTTTGAGCAATTCGAGCCCTGGAGACGAGGAAGAGATAAAATAGAGAGTTCCCGGACCTAAAAAAAAAAAGTGTAAAAGTGCTTCGTTGATTGCAAAGTCGCACAAGAGGAGAAGAGAAGAGCAGAGTTGAACACAAAGGAAAAAAAAGGCAAATGTTGGCCCGCCAAATCTGCAGCAGATGAAGAATTCCCTTTCTTCTCTCCCGCCCGCAAGAGCACCAGGAAAAGAAGGAGGGCGAGGAAAGTGAGGAAGGCGAGGAAGGCGAGGATTGTCTGAGAGTGAGTGAGAGTGAGAGTGAGTGAGTGCGAGTGCGAATGCGTGCGGATGTGCTTGTTTGGAGAGAGCGCGGGAGTGCCCATCCAATGGCCAGCCCGTGCATCACGAGAAGAAGCGAGCACGCCCTCTGAAGCGACCAATCCGATGGATGGACTGGACGAGCACTCTCCTCTTCTCCTCTTTACCCGCGGAATAGACCGCGCCAAAAAAGACGAACAAAACCGCAACGGACGCTCTCCTTTGCTCTTTCCTCCTCCTTCTCCTTCTCTCCCTCCTCCCCTCCCTCGCTCCCCCCTCCCTCCCCAGCCACAGCACTCCCCGCCATCAGTCCTCGCGTGCTACAAGCTACAACGGCCCAGAAAGACCTATGGATCTGTAGACCTATAGACCTCTAGACCTATTAATACTTCTTAATCCCCACAGCACGCGTGTAGTGTAAACTCCATTTTTGGATCGCCTTCGCGCCCAATAGCCGCCCTCCCTGTCGACTCTTCTTCGCTCCCCACCTCTTTATTCCATTTCTTATTCCACACAACAACAGCAGCAGCAGCAGCAGCAAAGTACTCGTTTAGTACACTTTGGCCTGCCCGCTCCATCGCCCCCCATCGCTCCATCTCCTCAGTGCATCCGGCAGATCAACTCTCTTAATCTTAATCCAAACCCAAATCACAATCACAATCACAATCACAATCACAATCACAATCACAATCGCAATCACATTCACATTCACACACACATTCACACCGACAGAGACAGAGAGAGAGCAAGCAAGCCAGAGCAAGAGATCCACTCCTCCTTCGTCAGTCCGTCACCTTTTGTCTCTGGTTGTTATTGTCTGTCCTCCCTCCAATGCTTGGTCCCTTTTTCTTTGTACCCCTGTCTCTTTCTTTTTGTTCTCTCCCAACAAGGCTTTACCGATTCATTTCATCCCTCCAAGCTACTACTCGTCTGATAGTCGAAACGCCTCTTCTTTTTTTCTCTTTTCTTTGGCCCCTTCATACCCCATCCTTCATACCTCTCTCTCACACTCACACCCCCACACCCCCACACACACACCTCAGTTGAACCGTCAGTCGACAGGTCTATTCATCTCCATACAATGTCTCGACGAATGTCTGAAACGGCGTCGATTAAGTCGTTCGATAGCATCCCAACCATGGCCGATGTCGAGGCCACCCTGGGTTGTGTCGACATGAACCAGCGTTACGAACTCTTTTCTGGGCGATTGGTCTCCTTCGCAGAGGTCGGCCATCCCTGCGGACACCCTGTCTTTTGCTTGTAAGCCCCTAAAGATCCCTACCAGGTGTCTGCCAAGCCCATTGAATCAATTGATCAATTGAGCACTGAAACAAAATCTCTTGATGTTCTCTCCGTTCTGCTCCTAGTCTGGGCTTGGGCTGTATGCGCTATTATTCAATCATCCTCGAAGATCTGGCATTCAAACACTCGCTAAGGATCTATTGCATCGATCGACCCGGCGTGGGCATGTCTCAACCTATGGAATCAGAGGTATATACAACACCAGTAAACAAAAGCAATGGTTAATTGCAGTCAATCCAGCGCATTATCCCCTGCATTGTTACTGATCATCAACCGATTCTTCCTTGAAATAGTCGTGGACGCCCCTCAGGATGGCAGAAATCGTGGAGGAGATGGCAAACGGATTCAACATTCAAAAGTTCTCGTTGATAGGGCATTCATGTGGAGCCATCTATGCCATGGCATGTGCGCTGCGACTCAAACCCAGGATCGTGGGCACAGTGTGGTTGATGTCGCCCTGGGTGCACCTGACAGTCGCCAAGCGGATGAAATGGATCAGACACGTACCCACGACTCTGTTGAAATCTCAGGGCACCGCCGGTTTGCTCTACAAATCGCTCTCGGTTGCAGCCAAGGAACCACCAAGCAAATCGGACCCCAACATACTAAACTACGACCGGGAGAAACTGGTCAAGGCGATGCTTCAGGACAACATGGTCGAGAGTCTGGAAGGGGCCAACAACGATCTGATGGTCTGTCTGGAGCTCTATCATTCATTCGGGTTTAGCTACAAGGATGTTACTCTTCCGGTACATGTCTTTTGGGGCACCAAGGTAAGACCCCAATCTCACGATAATCACACGCAAATACAAATCCGAAGGGGGGATGGAAATACAAAAAGAGGGCGAACATCGCAATTTAATAACAATCATCTGTGTAACATTTCGCGCCCTGTTTGGTTCATTTATAGGATGCTGTGATTTCAAAGGAGGCGGTAGACTGGATGGAGCAAAAGCTGCCGCAATGCACCCTCAGCGTGATTGAGGGTGGCACGCATGGACTGTTATGGCGTGCCGATATTGTCTCGCAGATCTTCAAGGGCATCGCCTCGTCATGGAAGCTCGCAGAGTTTGAACGGGCCCTCACCCAACGATGGTCGATCAAGCAGCTCGGACTCAACAAACACCAATCCTACCGGAGCAGCACTTATAGCGCCAATCTGCAGCAGGCGATCCAGACGAGCAATATCTACGATACCCAAGAAACGCTTTATCAACCTCAGCAGATTTTCGATGACCCTGATCGATTCTGATGAGCTGTAATGATGGGTCCATGTCGTTCTGTGTTTTCTTTGCTCCCTTGTTGCTGCTTTCATCTTTTTTTTTTTTTTTTTTTTTTTTTTTTTTCCCTTCATCCGTGTATACCTTCCAGCCTGAGCCATTGTCATTCCGCCTGTTCCCTGTTTTTTTTTGTTATTGTAATATACCCATCCACCCAGCCATCCTCCTTGGTACCATGTTTCCTTGTTTTGAACCTGCTTGTTTCTTTTTTTCTTTTTGTGTGTGTGTGTGTGTGTGTGTGTGTGTGTGTGTGTATATGTTGCATATGCATTTTTTTTTCTTTTGAACTGAAAAGCCTATTCATAATAAATCTCATGATTTGATGGTTCCTCATTTCACAAAACCCGTGGGAGAAAAAAAAAAAAAAAAAAAAAAAACTGTGCCTGTATTAGTGTTGGCTGTCATTGTGTTGACTCTATATGTAGTTTCAATTCAGGACATGCTGGCTACGAAGGGTTGAAGCGAGCAGGAGCTGGGCAACATAGTAAAGAGGCAGTCCGATCCACTTGTTGAACGTGGTCTGGTGGACGAATTGTTGACGGGCGACAAAGAGGTCGGAGAAGAAGAACATGAGGGCGCCAACGATGCGCTCGGGCAGGTAGTCTTGCCCTGAATTGACGCTTCCAAATGCGGTCAAAACCATGCCACTGATCACAAGCATGTACGCAACCACCTATGAATACATGAATAAATGAATGAATGAACGCACACGCGCACGTTAATATGTGTGTGTGTGTGAATGGGTGCAATGGGCCACTTCATCAGTTCAGCCCAAAATAAAAGCGAATTAGTGAAAATGGAGTGCACGGTCGTTTGTAAAAAAAAAGGGGGAGTGGGAAGAGGGCGGGAAAGAGAGGGGAGGGGGGGAAGAAGAGTCATGGTCATCTTACGGCGCCACGCATGACCTTGTCCTTGATCTTTGGCAACAACCAGGGTCCCACCGTGGCAGCCATGGCGACAACGAATCCCAATCCCCTTTGTCTCGCAGTCATATCCTGGCCGTGGATCGTAAAGGCGACCATGAAGGCTGCATGGCCAGCCAGAAAACTGGCCAGACCCGGCAAGAATCCCCATGCAGGGATCAGGAGAACATCGCCAATGTAACCGAGCACAAAGGCGCCCATCATGGCCCTTGTATAGGTAGTATGGAAGCCTTCGGTCATAACCGCAGGTGCGACGTTGAAAAGGATGTGCTTAAGCTCTCCTGCATATGCTGTGAGCAGGCCTGAAACGCCTGTGGCGGCGATCATGTCTGAGATCTCGGACAAGGTGGAGAACGACGTGAGCGTAGATATTTGGGATGCTGCAAAGGATGTGGCATTGTTGGGAATGTAGGACAAGGCGGCGACAATGAAGCCGAGAGAGGCCAGGGGTTTGAAGATCCAGCGGCCGAGTGTGGAATTGGCGGTTTCTGAGAGGAGGAGGCAAGGCAGGGCGACCGCTGTGATTTGCACGCCAATGTTCAGGGGCGAGAGGGCGATGGGTTGTACAAAGTCCAGCAAGGGCTGGGCAAGTGCTTGTAAGGAGCTCATGGCAGGGAGTCGGATGTCGAAGAGAAAGAGGGGGGGAGAAAGAAAGAGAAAGAGAAAGAGAAAAAGAGAGAGAGGGAGAGAGATACAATGGAAAGTGGAGCCTTGGTCATTAAGTGTCACATGTGGGGGACAGAGAGTCTGAGCTCCAGCCTCGCGTCGTGGGACCGTTGGAAGATGTAAATAGTTGGCACGTGATGCACCAGGTACGCGGTGCCTGGACGCGTCTTGTTGGACCCAAGCGACGCGACTTTGCAAAGAAATGGACTGACAAACAATTTACCCATGGGATCCTGTCTGGAATAGGCAATCTTCTTTACCAATCACAATCCTGCTGGAACCAAAACGGGTACAAAGGCGTTACTCAGAAAAGAGGCTCTCAGGCATGGGCGAAGGCTACATGTAGTCAATAAAACAAGTCAACATCTTAGACTTTGCTCTCACGCAGAGCGCTAGGGATAACCCATGTTCTTGAGCTTCTCCACACTGAAGCTCCACGGTGGATTCATATCCAGAAGGGGAAGAATCAACACCCAGTCGGCATCAATGTTCACTCGCTTTCTGAGAATTATGCTACCCGGTCATGAAAAAAATGGATTTTTCTCAAGATTCATACACACATGTGCTCGGTTCGCAGCAGAAGGCATCTGTGGGGATAAAACTAAAACGATGAACCGTGTCAACATTCGATTGCATTCCACAGGCTTCGGCTTTATTTTGACCAACCCGCTTTCCAACGCTACACATGGTTTAGTCGATCCTATCTATCGCGTGAAATGTATCTTCGGAACCAACAAACTAAAAGGGGAGTGGTCGAATGTTGCTCTCATTGTTGACAACATTCCTCTGCCTTCATAGCTCTCGATTCCTCGACGTCAGGAAGGGCCCAGTCAATGGGTTATACACCTTTGAATCTGGACTTTTTTTAAAGAAGCAAATGCGCGCTCTCCAGGGATGCAACACAAGATATCCACTATCTTGACGGGTCTGACCATGGGCGCTGTAAGAACGGGCGCTCAGCGTGCCGCACCGCATCAAGTCGCACATGCATACATGATATAACTCTTTATGCTTGGCATGGTTATGATGACTACTCCGCCGCATTTATCTAGAGAGTCATCGCCGGTCAAATGGCAATTGAGGGCGTAGCATGGCGGAAGTATGTCGAAAGAGTGCATAGGGTCCACAAAGATTAGGGGCTAATGCAAATGTGCATGTAGGGGCGCACAGATGTATTTGTGCGCGGTGCAGGTACAGATTGTTTGCGATTCTCTCATGCCCAGTTGCCGTTTCGTACCCGTTGCTGTAGAAAACACCGCCGGGTTAATCCTTAACAATGAATAATGCTCGCGGCCCTGGCGCTCCATGCAGCATTGTTTCGTTACATCGCCGTTCTCCATTGACAACCAATCGTTTAGGTTATTTATTCCATAAGCGAAAGCACTTTTTATAAACTCTAAAGTCTAGGCTATTCCAGGTCGTTGCATCGGATCTTCGTGCAGAGGTCATACAACGCAGTTCAATAAAGCGACAAAGCATCGCGGAATTGTGGGATAGGCTAATGTATCATATTCTGGCATCTGTATTAAGGATGCATTCCTTACCTGCGATTGATACGTATGCGACATCGGCCAACATATAAAAGGATCCGCCTGCTGCTGCTGTTTTCCTTCTTTTTTTTCCTTCCATAGACCTTGTCCTCTCTCACTTCTTGGTCCTCCTTCAGATCCCATCTCAACTCTATCTCCCCTACTCTGCTTTGCATTATTTCTCATTTGCAATGAAGACATTCACTATCTCCGCTGCAATCGCTGCAGTTGCCCTGTCAGTCCTTGATATTGCCCAGGCAGACCTCTCCAAGATTGTCCGCGTGAATCCATCCACTCAACAATTCATCGATGTCCAGGGTCGCTCCCGATTCTTCCACGGCACAAACATGGTCAAGAAGAGCTTCCCTTGGCACATGGAGATTAACAGCTTTGTTCCTGGACGCTCAATTGTCGACAAAGATATCGAGCTGCTGAAGGCACTTAACATCAACATCATTCGTCTCGGTATGAAACGCTTAAAAAACATATCTAAGAACAGCCGCTGCTTTGGAGACACGCTTCATGTTGACGATCCTATAACTCTGATGGATATTTTTTAGGTGTCCACTGGGCTGGTGTGGAGCCAGTACGTGGCCAGTACAATCAAACGTACTTGGACATCACTCGTGGGATCATTCAGAAGCTGCAGGATAACGGTATTTACACCCTCGTCGACCAGCATCAGGATGTTTGGGCCGCACAGCTCTGCGGTCATGGAGCACCTCTGGTACGATTTTTTTTTCTTTTTTTTTCTTTTCCTTTAGCCATTTACCTCTATTGAGAATCGCATGAACATGCCGTAGCTCATAGCCCTTCGCGTTCATATGTTTATTATTAATTGATCTCATCTTTTTCGCATGAATTGGTGTTACTACAGTGGTTTGTCAAGTCCGATTGGGTCTCTCCAGGCAACCGCATGCCGTCTCCTCAGAAGGCGCCTTTTGCGGTCGATGCCAACGGAGTTCCTTCGGATGCAGACTGCAACTCTATCGATTGGTCGGTCTCGTACTTGGATTACGCGGTCGGTAATGCGTTCGGTCGACTCTATAACAACTATGACAACCTTGGAGATGCCTGGGCTGCCTACTGGAAGACGGTCGCCAGCAATTACAATTCGCTCTCAGGAGTGATGGGTTATGACCTGATGAACGGTACGTATCTCGACTACGTGTATGCATGGTTCCATATCTACCATGTACATTGCCCTTGTACTTACAAGAACATTGCTTGAATGCTCATGCATGTCATAGAGCCGTGGGTCGGCGACCACATGGCGGACCCGACCTTGTTAACGCCTGGCGTTGCTGACGGTCGTAACATGGAGCCTCTGTGGAACAAGGGCAACACTGCCATCCGCACTGTTGACAACACCACTATTGTCTTGTTTGAGGGATCGACTTACGGTATGACCTGTTCATGTTCATTATCATTGGCAGATCAGCTTGAAAAATCGCATGTATCCTTATACCCTTTTGTGCTCCGTAGACATCTTGAGCGGATTCAACAACGTCCCCGGCGGAGACGGCTCTAAGACCGCGCAAAGCTATCACTACTACAAACCTCCTCAGCTGTCTAGCATCGAGACCACGATTAGTAACCGTATCAAAGATGCAAATCGCCTTCGTACGACCGGCATGTTGACCGAGTTTCAGTTCTGGGACAACTCGCCTGCCAGTGTCGCCCTGATCTTGGAGGCTACCCAGCAAGCCGATCGCTACCTGCAGTCGTGGCAAGGATGGGCTTACGAGAACTTGTGGGGTAGCACTGAACCTTACCCTGAGTTGGCACGTCTGTACGCTCGCTCTTATGCTGAGGCGACCGCGGGTACACCCAAGACGCTCTACTTCCAGGATACAACGGCCAAGTACTGGGTTTCCTGGGTGGCGGATACGTCCATCACCGCTCCAGGATTAATCCGCATTGCTCCTCAGATTTACTACCCTGATGGCATTCGCGTCTTCTTTGTCCCTGCTGGCACAGGCGCCTATACCATGGAGAACAACAACACCGTTCAGTTGCACTACACAAGCCAGGCTCAGAATGGTCAGACGATCCAGGCCAGCGTGCAGCCCTTTTTCCCCACGGATATCATCAAGAATAGCGCTTCTGGCAAATGTGTGGACAACAGCGACCTTGCTGTTACTCCCGTAAGCAAAACTTTTTTGCCAGCAGCATCGCTTCATCTGTTACAACTGTAAAACGCGTGTGAATCTGACTTTGGACCGCGTCTCTCTCGACTTTTTTTTTTTTAGAACAACCCAATTATTCTCTGGTCTTGCACTTCGGCTGCGAACCAAGTGTGGAAATTCAAAAATGGACAGATCTCGCTCGCATTTGATCCTCAGCACAAGAGCGATACTTACTGCCTTGACACTGCCCCGGTCAGTGGCCAGACCTATCAGTCGGCTGTCTTGAATCCCTGCCAGGCTGGTTCAACAACCCAACAATGGTCCGTCACTTCGACTGGCAACATCAAGAACAACGCGACTGGTAATTGTCTGGATATTACTGGGTCGTCCGGCAGCGATGGCACCAAATTGATTGCCTTCCCCTGCGGCAATGGCGGTACGCAGAAAAACCAGGTCTGGACTCTACCTCGTGGTGCCAACGGTACCTGGTAAATTGTAGGTTCTACTCTTCCCCCCCCCCCCCTATAACATCTATACCTATTACCGTCACAGTCTTTTTGCAAATAATTAAGTTCAGGAACAGATATGTTTTTTGATGGCGTGGTGAAGTGTAGAAACCCCCGGCTTTCCTCCCGACCTCATCCTCTCCTGATCCAACACCATCTCCTCCAATTCAATAAAGATTATATTTTCCGCGATCGACCTTGTAGTCTATCTATCGTGTCCTTGTTTTATTATTTTTATTATTATTATTATTATTACTACTATAACTTTTGCTACGCCAATCACTTTGTAATGTCACTCCCCGGGTTCAACTTCCGATTGTTCATAATCAAATGTGAACAGGCGGCTATGCGATATTCGAAGGGGAAGAGCCAAAAAAAACTAAGGCACCCTTAATATGACCTGACTTTTCTCATGCCATCGGTCATTCACTCTAGTGTCTGGTACTTATATCTACCTTATCCTTCCCCCCCCCCCCCCCCCCCCCCCCCCCCCCAGCTGTATCCGTCTCCCTTGGCGCGAGCCGACATCCACTGAATGTTGATTGAGAATGGATCAATATACTGAGAGCGTATCAAGGCCTGCTGAATTGAGGATAGTATTTAGTATTTTCTTTGTATGAATAAAAAGGCGCATCTCTCACCAAGTAGTCTGATAAAAAAAAAAAAAAAAACTTCAAGCCAGGTTCCAACATTCTCTGAGAGACAGGGCGTCAGCCTATGTTGAGAAACGCTGGTAACATTAATGGGTCTGCAGGAGGGGGGCTTGCTTTCAGAAGTAGAGTACTGACCATTTTGTGTGTGTGTTCTGGGGGAAGGGGGGGAGCCTCGCGTCGCGTTTTGCCACCAAAGTTTATTTCTCTTTGGTTGGGCTGGCAACGAGTTGGATCATGGAACTGCGAAACCAAAAAAAAAAATAAACCCCCTCCTTCTCGAGCGAGGGTTTGGGCAGATCGCAAAGAATTGGGGGTTGGGGGGGGGAGCTATCTTGCTCGCAAAGTCAATGGCGCCAAACAATACTGCGTTACTTGGCTGGCTTTACAAAGCGGTGCTTTTGACATCAGAGAGCCGGTTTGCATGTACTATATCGTCTGTTGCGAAACATTCTAGATCGCCCGCACTATATCCATGTAAAAAAAATTTCAACCATGCTACAAGAACTTAGTGCGGTGCTCATTTGGGCGTAGTCGTTGTGCTGTGAGCTCTAGATCATCTGTGTTTCATGTAAATAAGCGTCAACGCATGTCGGCATTGAGTCTCCTTGTGTCAAGCATCAAAGTGTGCACTATTCGAATGTGTGTGAGGCAGCTCATGAAGCTAAGCCCGGTTAATTACTATAAATCATTTATTTTTTTCCTCGCTCTCCTGGTCCATCATGTCTGACACATAATATAAAAGGCAGTGGACGTGAACCAGAGGGTCAGTCTAGCATTCTTTTTTTAGGCCTGGAGTAACTGAATTGCATTCGACCAGATCCTGAATCACTATCGTGAGACAGCAATGCCCAGGAAAGTGACTCTCGGGAAAAAGATATGTTTTCAGCAATGTTTGGGTCGGCAAACTTCAAAGGACGGATTTTCACTTTACGCGATGCGGATCAGCTTTCGGCAGAAAGCACTGAAAGGTAGCATGGTACGGATGCTGCGCGGTTATTTTCTATTTTATTTTTTTCTGACCCTCCCCACTCGCACCCTGGGGAAAATCTGATCTGGTTGTTAAGCCAATAAGGGTAGCGGTCTACTCAACTTAAACAGTTTTCTTTGTGTGCAAAATTGAAGACGTGCTCTTGAAGATTACCCTCATTTCTTTTATCCGCGTCCGGTCTTTACTTTCGAGTAACATGTTAGTCTAGGGTGCAGCTAGTAAGCACACGCTTGAGGATTAAAATTTAGCCATGTTTCCGCAAGAATGCTGCGGCCAATACGGTTGAAAGCGAATGGAGGCATTTCTAGAATGTCCTTTCTCATTAATGGGGCGCATGTGGTGCTCCTATGCAGAACGAAGCTGGATATCTTTGAGGGCATGTGTGCAACTGCACTTTTGTGTTTGAGAGACCCAGGATTACGGAATAAAGTTGCAGAGGGACCATTCGATCAGCAAGACGATTTAGACTAGTGGCCTTGACAAAGAGATAAGAGTAAGCAAACTGTCCAACTGGACACACTTTTTCCGCTTTGGAACAAATGTTTGGTTGAGCCACATTGCTGCTCAGCTCCCCTCAGCTTGATTAGATTTATCCACCTTGAATGATGCACGGTTACACGTCGAGATTGTAATAAGAATAATGGGGGTCAACGAAAATCCGGGGGTGCGCTTGCTTGGTAGGCCGGGCAGGTACGCGAGTATCCTTGGTTTGATCTTCACTCGTAGCCAAATAAGGTCAGTCTACAACATATAGAGGGCTGGACCCTGCCCAAAATAGGGCTTTTTTTTCGCTAGAGGTTTGGAGTCATCATTTTACCGGCATTCACTGTAATTTAACACGATACGACAGACCCTATCGAACTTCAATTTGTCAGAGGGATGCGTCCAGATGCCTCGAGAGTGTGAGGGACGGAAGTAATGGAGTTAATAATGACTGCCGTGAACAGCATGTTTAGGTCAAGTTGAGAGCCACAGGGTCATCAAAGAAACAAAAAGAGGTCTCCTGGACAGGATAATTCCTAGTTCGTAAATAAAGTTCGTCGGATAAACGCAAGTTGTTCGTCCTCGGACTTGAGATCGAGGTCTGTCGTAGCGGGCCAAATACTCAGAAGCACTGCCAGTGCTTGATAGGATCTCTGTGGTACTAGAGAGCTAAGCGGAGGAAAATAAAAAGGGGCATTGTGAAGCATGGTGAGGGAACGGGGAATGGCAGAAGATTGCGGGGGAACAGACATGTGCAGTGTTGAACATGTTGCAAACTTGATCCGGTGGAAAGCAAGTTCTGTTAATGCAATTTACTATTGCTCGGATACAAAGGAAAAAAAAAAAAAAAAAAAAAAAGAGCCATTAAATGCGAGAGGCAAGGAGTCCAGACACAGACACCGGTGTGGTGAGGGAGTGCATTTCCATTCGTGTTCCCGAGTATACGCTGAGTAGACTATGGATATGTAGCCTGAAATGCAGAGTACGTAAACGAACGAACGCAGTTACACGGTACCCTCTTGTCCTGCCCATTGAGGAAAGAAAATAAAGGTCGGCTGGACAGCTAACTGTGTTCTTTTTTGTCCCACTCATCATCGTGAGCATACTCGTCCGTCGCTTTATGACTTCTCCTTCAACTCCGACCCTTTGTTTCCTCTTTCCTTCCCTCGTCTCTATTGCGTCCTCATCCCACTTCACTCCACTTCACTCCACTCCACTTCACTCCGCTTCACTCCACTTCATTCATTCCTCAACGACGATGCCATCCCCTTCACCCAGCAACTGAACTCCCTCCGCTATCTTCTCCACTCAGCCTGCTTTACCCTACTCTTCATCCTGTGCTTTTTTCACACTCTTGACGCAGTGAGAGGACTCTGTTTCAAATTAATCAATCTTTTCAGGACCTACCGCTGCCATTATCATCGCCATGACCAAGTCAACTTCGGCCGCCCCGTACTGCTTCGTCAGTGGTGAGTCCAACAGTTCAAAGGCCTCTAAAGCGTAAGTCCTCTTACCAGCCCTTTCTTGCCTGGAATCTGGATATGACACAATCTCGGATAAACATACCCTTGTTCCGCACTCTGTCTCCGGCTCTTCAGGAATAAATGGCCTTTAACAAAAAAGACATATGATGACATCTCGTAGACTCCCTTGAAATGACAAAAGTTTGTTCAGCACGAGCCTGTGTAGGCATCAGTACATCCCCTCATTCTCAGTTCGCGCCCTTCATCTTTTTCTCCCTTTAGTTCTCTATATATCCTGAACATTCGCCAACAACCGATAAGGGCCAAGATCTGTGGCGCCAAGGAACGCGACCGTCGCCCAATTGACCCTCCTCCAATTGTGCAGATCAGGCTGGCAGACCCTTCTTCGGACAAAAACAAGTAAGCACACGTATTGCACTGTAGATGGGGTTGGGGTTGGGGGGTTGGGGGGCTGGGACTGTCACGTTGCGATGCTGCATAGAATCTCCTACTTATTATACTACCATTGCTTTATCTCATGGCCTACTTTCTTGCAGGGACTATCTCCAAAGCCCGTATCTCTTCATGTGCTGCAATCTTGTCCATGCAAACGACCCCTCGGGCGAGATTGTCGCACCAGCACATCGTGCCCTCGCCGGCACGGTCGTCTCGTCCCTCAACCGCCTCAAGGACGTTGACAACTCCGACGGCGGCTTCTTTGTCTTTGGCGACATATCTGTTAGAATCGAGGGCCACTTTCGTCTTCGTTTCTCCCTCTTCGAGCTGGTTAAGGGGGAAGTTTTCCACGTCATGTCTGCCGTCTCCAACCCTATGACCGTGCACTCGAGCAAGACCTTCCCGGGCATGTCAGAGTCCACATTTCTGTCAAGGAGTTTTTCAGACCAGGGCGTCCGCATCCGCATTCGAAAGGACCATCACGTCAAGCCCAAGAGGCATATGTCCATAGACGCCACGGAAGAATCTCAGGCTGCCATGCACAGCCCACCTTCGTCCTGCCATGAGGCGGACCACAGCGATAGTGAACACATCCAAATATCACACCCGGGTAAACGACCAAAGTCTTTCTCCATCGTCAGCAGCAACAGCAGCAGGCAGGCTTCTATGGACACCCACCCCAAGCATCCTGATGGTTACCCTTCCGCTGCAGAACTTTCGGAACGGACGCCTCCCTCGTCTCCAGGTCCCTTTATGGGACAGGATCCAGTTCCCTCCAAGTCTCGTCACCACCAGCATTACACGGATCTTTCCCCAGGACAACATGAAGAGCATCATTGCCTGTATCCCTCATCTTATTGCTACGCCCCGCACCACCGAACGGACAGGCCATCATCGTTTTCGAAATGCCATTGCCACGAGTCTAGTTCACGCCGTCAAAATCACTCGACATATCCTTATCCTGCCGGTGCGTCTCGCCCTTCTCATCCTAAAGACATCTCCCGTCAACCTGACCGCCACCCTGAACCACATTCAAGCCACTTGGAGCATCACGATCATTGTCAATATCCAGCTCGGTCCAGATATCATTGCCGTCATTATCACCGCCCTTCCCACGAGGCTGGCCATCCTTATGTTGAGAGGTATTCCTCATCCTACCATGGCCACTACCCTCCGTCGTATTCAATGGGCGCTGCCCATCCATTTCTCTCTTCTGTACATAATTCGCGCCCTTTATATCCATGTCCTTCGGCTCTCGCCCATCATGCCCTTCCTCATCCCTCTGCGCCCCATCCAAGCGTACCAAGCAAATTCAAGGAGCCAGCGCCACGCCATGGCTTTCCCGCCGCTCTGCTGAACGACCAAGATATGGAATGCGTGCCCAGTCCTGGCTACTACCACAGTCGAACACCATCCATGTCCTCACAGCAGAGTGAGGGCAATTTTTCTCCACTTCACCCCGTTTCTCCGCCAGAGACCCAAGCGCCTATCCATGGGTTACCGCCCCATCGAGATATGCCTCCTGCACATAATGTCCCAACTTCTCATACTGGGCCAACTCCCTTGGTTTTTGCACAAATCCCATCGCGAACTCCCGTTGCAGGAGAAGGAGTGAGCACAATCCAACTGCCATCGATTCAAAGCCTATCGACACGTTCGCCGATCATCCCTGGCCATCCATTCATGGAGGCAGCCCCTGCCAGGAGTTATTATGTTCGTCCTGAATGCCTGACCTGAAACAGAGTTCAATAAACAATTTCAAATACAATAACAGAACTGAATTGATGCATGCCGCAAAAAAAAGTTACATTAATGTGCGTTGCAAAATCAGTTGAGCTGCCGTACGTGGAAGAGAGTAAGGAAATCCACCTCCCCTAATTCATTTTGGTCAGTTAGTATCTCGTCCATTTTCGCAACGAACATTTCGGCCAATAATTTGCTGCCAACGGTTTTGTGCTCCATCAAAAATAACCCAAAACTATCTGCCATCCACTCCTCGGCTCCATCACCTTCTTCTTCTCCTTCACACATCCTCATCCCCCCCTCTCTGCTCTTTTACACCCACAGCTACTCTACTGCACCCCAAAAAGCAATACCGACAACCAGGACCACGCCAGCAACCGTTACCCACTTCGGCCTTGACAAGATGAAACTTCGCCTCTTATCCCTGCTGCCACTCATCCTGTCCTTGCAGCAGGTCTACTCCCAGGGCCCACAGACCACCCAGCAGTTCCTGGACCAGGCCAATATCTACCTGAGCAAGGGAGAGTACAACCTAGCTTTGGAGAGCTACGATGCCGCCATTGGTAATGTTAGAGCCGAAAGCCACGCCTACTTTCCTTTATTGTCTCTCTAGCCTCATGGTTCTAACGACCTATGCCGGTTTCTCAACTAGCCAAGGATCCCTCCAACTACCTCTCATACTTCAAGCGAGCCGCAACCTATCTGACTCTTGGACGCAACAATCAGGCTCTAGCCGATTTCACAACCATCCTGAAACTCAAACCTGATTTCGGTCAAGCTCTGTTTCAGCGAGGAAAGATCTACACCAAAGCTGGAGACTTCACTAAAGCCAAGGAGGATTTGGAGGAATACCTGAAGAGCAACAAAGGCGACAGTCAAGCAAACGATATTCCCGAACTGTTGTCAACGATTGATGAGGCCTCGAATGCCCTGACCCTTGCCCAGGCGGCTGCAGCTAAAGGACAGTCGGAGGAGTGTGTTCATATCCTAGGGTCGGCCATTCTGGTCGCACCGCTGTATGTGCCCTTCCGGATGCAGAGGGCCGAGTGTCATCTGGCTCGGGGTGAGGTTGAGGAGGCTGTCAATGACTTTAACCGGGCAACCCATAACGCGGCCTTGGACCCAAAGTTGATGCACCGGCTGTCAACCATGAGCTACTATTCCCTATACACGCCCGAGCAGGCTCTGGCGCAAATCAAGCAATGTATCTCGTTCGACCCTGAAAACAAGATGTGTAAGGCATTGTTCAAGAAGATTAAGGCGACCGAGAAGGATTTGACCAAGTTGAACAAGGACCTGGAGAACAGTCGATGGTTGGGAGTAATCAACAAGTCGGTTGGCGGCGAAAAGTCCCTGGTGAGCTCGATTGAGACGGAAACAGCGAATATGGAAGCAGAGAACAATGCCGTTGGCAAGATGCCTAAGCGCTTATTGTTGAAGGTCTACTCCGCAGCATGCAAAGCGTACACTGAGGTAAAGAGACACAAGTTTTTTTTTTTTTTTTTTTTTTTTTGACGCATGTAGTGTTGCATTTTGCAAAGGAACTCGCAAATACTAACTGGCTACCGCTTTCCTCACATTATATTACAGGCGCAAGATACCAAGAACGCACTCAAGTGGTGCACATCAACATTATCGCTGGACGAGTCGAACGTGGATGGTCTGGTTGGACGGGGTATGGCGCATATGCTGAACGACGATTTCGAGCAAGCGGTCAATGATTTCACAGAGGCACAGAAACTCTCAGATGGACAGGACCGCGCTATCCACGAAAAATTAAGCAAGGCCCAACGGCTGTTGAAGCAATCGCAACAGAAGGACTATTACAAGATCTTGGGTGTGTCGCGCAGTGCATCCGAACGGGAAATCAAGAAGGCGTTCCGTAAGCAGGCCAAGGAGTGGCACCCTGATACCTACCGTGGCGAACTCAAGCCAGATCAGGTGGAGAAGAAGATGGCGTCGTTGAACGAGGCATATGAGGTACTGAGCGACCCAGAGTTGAGGGCACGGTTTGATAACGGTGATGATCCCAATGATCCCCAGGGACAACAGAATCCTTTCGGTCAAGGCTTCGGTGGTAATCCGTTCTTTTTCCAACAAGGAGGAAGCCCCTTCGGACAAGCCGGCGGAGGCGGATTCCAGTTCAACTTCCAGTTCTAAAGTCCAGTTCAAGTTAAATAGACAAAATAAAACGTTGAATAACCGGGACAGAGCTCAATACAGCCTTTTATACATCTACATTGATGCGTGCAGACGAACCAAACGCAGGGCGACCAGGACGGCGGCAGGATCTCAGTGTACCGGGATTATCACGTGCATTGCGTATTGATGACTGTTACTTTTGCTTTGCTTTTTTCTTTTTTTTTTTTTTTTCTCAGCAACACACTGGACTGGTTGCGGTGTGGTACATAGGTGCTTTCATCCTCCACCCTACCTCTTCAAAAGCTATACCCCAAACGGTAAAGACCAATTGGAGAACATACCTCTCTGTCATCAGAAGGATCCTCTTCCGACACGAAGCATGTCATGGAGTCTTTGTTTACGCGAGCAAGAGCTGGGATCAGGATCGGGAAACAAACGTGATGGGGCAAAGTGAGGACTTTTTGGACACGAGCGGTATTAGAACGCTGGATACAGCAATAGGATGGAACTGGCGTGGTTGGCGACATGGCATATCTATCCAGTTCCCCTCATTGACTAAAACTGGCACTAAAATATAACTTTGTTTCGCTATTGTTGGTTTTTGTCTGCAGACAGATGGGTAACCAGACCACCATGGGGAGCCATAAGACCAAGCACGACAAAAAACGCGACGAGTCGTCCAAGAAACGAAAGAAGAGCCACAAGTCCGACAGAGATGGGGGAGTGGAGCATGAGCGGGCCCGAAAGAAGGCGCATGTCGCACCCACATCGACGTCGACACTGACACCGACGCCTGCAGCAGCACCTACACCAGCATCTGCACCAGCACCAACATCAGTATCAGCATCAGCATTTGAGCGGCGAGCATCGGTAACGAGCATTATGACCCAAGTCAAAGCTGAGGATATGCAGGGACTGGATAGTTTGGGCGGTATGTTGGACTCGGACGATGACAATGCGGATTCCTCGGACGACGATAATGACAGGAGCGCCAAAAATGCGGCTGCGGCTGCGGCTGTTGCTGTTCAAAGGAACAAGACGCTTACATTAGTGGGCGGGGCTGGTGCTAATGCCAATGCTAATGCTAGCGCAAAGCCAATTGGCGACAAGGCGAAAGCGGTAAAGACAAGTTCTAAAGCTGGAGCTACCGGAACTGGAACTGGAACTGGAGCCGGAGTGACGAGTTCGAGGTTGACGTTTGAGCAGATCATGAGTATGCCCGACAAAAACCCTGGCGAGGGCAGCGGCAGCGGCAGCGGAAAGCATAAGAAGAAGCAGACAGTAGTCGATAAGGTCAACGCCAATGATAAGGGCAGCGATGAAGCCGAGAAGGCGAAGAAGGATACCAAGGACCGCGAAATCAAGGATCGCAAGAGCGACAAGTCGAACAAGAAGGATCGAAGCAGCGGTCCCGCCTCAGTGGATGCCATGGAGGATCGATTGAAGGTTGATATGGCCCTGCATTCAGATAACCCCCTGCACACCAAATGGTTGTTGGCTCACGAACTGAAGGAGCAAGGTACGGAAAGAGGTCTTTTATTTCGTTGCTGAAACAATGAACGTTCAGGAGTGTCCGCTCTCTTGAACACTGAATGACCCACTCACATACGGTATTTCACATCCGTCTCCCTATCCTCTCGTCTGGAATATCTACAGGCATCACGTACCATAAGGGCAACTTCAGCGCTCAAGAGGATAGGATCATTCGTGAGACCGTCCGCGATTACATTGCCCGAAACAACAAGCCTGAGGACTTGGTCGAACGGTGGTTCTCAGAACAGCAGGGATATACACGCGCGGACAAGAACGGACTGGCGGCATTGTGGACCGAGATTGGTGCGTTCACAGTCTGGTCTTCATCAGAAACGTACAGCGACCGAGGAACATGTTTATTAATAGCTTTTTTTCTTTTCTTTTTTTTTTTTTTTGTCATTTGTTTATTTACTTTGAATGCTAGCCGTTCGTCTGGAGACCCGCCCTTTGCTGAACATTTACCTCCACGCCCGCCGAATGTATCATAACCAGAACAATGTTGGAATATGGACGAAAGAGGATGACGCGAAGCTGCTCGAGCTATACCAGCAACACCAGGGTCAATGGACGACCATCGGTCAAAGCCTCGGCCGCATCGCCGATAGCTGTCGTGATCGGTATCGGAACCATCTGAAGGTCAAGGACACAATGGTCGTCGGCACCTGGTCGAAGGAGGAGGACGAACAGCTCCTCGATATTATGCACGAACAGGCGCTCAGACAGGGCAAGGCGACTGTGCTGGAATCGGATCATATGTGGACATCAATCTCGGAAAAGATGGAAGGCACGCGCTCGAGACATCAGGTTCGCCATCGGTATTCGTTTGCGCTGTTGCCTCGGCTGCAAAAGGGAGGCCTGACCTGGACAAAGGCTGGAGCTGCGGTCGCGGCGCAGAAAGCAGCTGAAAAGGCGAAGGCATCGTCCGTCGAGTTGGAGGCCCACAAAGGCCCCTCTCTTAATTATGATCGGCAATTGCAGCTAGATACCACCAAACACATTGTGGAGCGAGGATATCGGAGACACAGGGAGGTGGAGTTTCCCCAATTTGCCGAGGAACTGAAGAAGCAGGTGCAGGAAAGCAACGAGATCCAGGTCGCAAAATTCACGAAAGCGAAGGGCCAGCTGAAGAAACAGAAAAAGCCGCTCGTGGAGGACGGCGACTGCTCTGCAACGACATTCAAAGCGGCTATGGCGGCTATGAAGGCGGCGCTCGTGGCGGCCCAAGAGGAATCAGCATACACGGTGAAGACGATGATGACCGCACCTGCGATGAGTCGCAGGATCCTTAGTAGGCGCAAGAAAGTCGAGAATTACAATCAGCTACCGTATGAGGAGATGATCAAGCAGCTGCAGAAGATAGTCGTGCAATCCCTGGATAAGGCCGGTAAGCGTCTGGAGGAAAAGATGCCTGGTCGAAAGTTGCCCAAGACCACGGTGGAGATGTTTCAGGAACATCTAGTGTATTATGCACAAGTTGCTGCTCTGGAGACGCTCTTGAGAGAGTTTCCGGCGTTGCATGAGGCATTGCAGAACCATCGGAGCGCTCTTATGCCCGTTGATGAATATTTGGGCGTGTCTACAGCTGTGATGGAAAGTGCGGTGGAAGCAGCTGTGACCAAGGCAGGGGGAGACAAGTCTCTGCAGAGGCAATTGAAACAGCAGTTGGCTGACCGGAATCTGGCCGAGAAGCTTCTTAGCGATGCGATGGTCGCGGCTGGGTTGCCTCAGATCCCTGAGCGGCGGATGGTCAAGAAACCTAGGAAGCGAAGTCGGCCGCTGGCGAGGTCGAGCGAGATCGTGGACGATTCGGACGATTCCTTGACGGACGAGATTATGGAGGAGGCGGATGAGATTGTGGAGGACTCGGATGTGTCTTCTTCGAGCGAAAGCAACGATTGAGAAAAGCAATCATTTGACCCGTATCACCATTTCATTTTGGTTAATTTCTCATGCATATCGCGTTGAACAATGCATATTGGACATTGCAATAAACTTGGAATTGATTGCCACCTTTTTCTTTTTCTTTTCTTTTCCTTTCTTTTCCTTTCTTTTTGTTGAAAAGGACAGTCGAGGCTGGAATGTTTGTATTTGTATTTGAGCGGTTGTTGTGTATGATAAAAAGATAGTCTAGACAAGCTTGTTGAAGTATTTTGGAACGGCCTAAAAGATGAACGAACAAGAAAGAGAGGAGAAAGACTCTGGTCGGTAAATGTTTCTTGGAACAAACACAGCAGAAATGCAATTGAGAACACCATCCACGATCCGTCCCCTTTGTCTGGAATGCAAAAAAAAATATCCAGGAACCCTGATTGGCGACTGTGCTTCTGTCGCCTTGTTTCTTCCACTGCTGCCGCTGTGTATATCCATTGATGAACGATCTGGATTCCGAGTCATAATGGTCGCGTTCCGATGGCATAAAGTGACTTACGCATTCGTTGACGCAGTGGAGGAAGTGGTACAACTCCTCGATGCAGTCCTCGTGGGCGCCTTCCTCCTGAACACGGCGGGTGCACTCATCGAGGTGGTGCTTCAATGGCAAGCAGGCAGCAGTCTCACCGCAAGCTATCAATCGTAATTGTGAGAAAGAAAAAATAGGGAATTTTACTCAGTAACAGAAACGAGCTAGGAAATAAGGACGAATCAGGCGATGAGAGTTGGGAAGAGAGTGTAACGTCCACGTTCTTAGGAAGCCACACATTGATGATGAAGGGAAAAGTGATCCCGATCATCGGTGTTTGTTCACATATTGTCGATGCTGGTGCTGGTGATCAACCGCGGAAAGAAACAAACTTCGGAAATCATCTCCGCGTGTATGTTGTTGTATTTTGTCCTGCTGCCAGTGAGTTGTGATGGCGAGGCCTTTTCCGTGAGTCAATCGACTTTCACTGTGGCATTCTCGCGATTCGACGCGGTTGCAGTTGGGAAAGATCCGAATAAGAATAAACGAACTTACCCTCCTCAATCTCGGGCTTGATGTCCTCTGGCTCCTCTTCTTCCTCCTCAGCAGCAGGAGCAGCCTCCTCCTCCTGTTCGGCAGGGGCAGCCTCCTCCTCGTGCTTCTCCTCCGCATAGACAGCAGGGAACAGATCGGTGATGAAGCTCAACATGGTGGTTTTGTTGTTCTGTGAGAGAGAGCGGGGGGAGGGAGAAAATAGATGGAGTAGTGTTGGAATTGGGCGGGTGTTCAAGGAAAAAAAAGCGGATCCGTTTCCGTTCGCATACAACCAAACCCCCGGATGAAAACAGGACTATCTAGGCGCTATCTACGTCATCGTAAATTCATCAACGCCCCCCTGTAATCAGCACGTGTGTGTGTGGCCGTACACACAAAATGCTAAAGTTCCATCTTTCTTCTTTTTTTGCGAGTAGTGGCGCTGGTTCCAACAATCACCCCTTCGGCCATCTCTTGCCCTGGACTTCTTGACCCCATCCATGGGTATCTACCATCTGCCGTGACGGGGTGAAGATAGAGTGGTCGTTCCTGGTGCAATAGGTACTCTCAGGCAATGTTGGACATGTTTTCGGCCGCCATCACATCTCTGTGGCGAGACCTTTTTTTATGCAGAAAGGAAAGGCACCCGTGGAGAGGCTGACGAAGGATTTGAAGGGTTCTGGCAGAACAACGATTTTGAACCCATAATACATTCATATATTCGTATATCCGTGAACTCGCGAAAAGAAAGTATCCTCATCCCTTCTACTCTCGTTCTGACCCTGCTTAATCTTGATCCAAGGTTGTGCGGCCGTATTCCACAAAGTCGTCGATAAGAACAGGCCAGGCACCTAGAGATACAATAAAACAGGCAGCTTAGCAAGAGCAATTACAAAAATACAAGACCAGAGAACAACCCAATTGTAACTCCATAACATACCCTCATCGTCATAGTTAGAGAAATGGGGATCAACCTGATTCACGAAATCCAAAAGCTATGCACATTTGGCAGAAGAGAAGAATTTCAGCTGAGGCATTGTCCAGGTAGTTTACAAGATAAGAATGCCAAAGCTCGCTACTTACCAGATACCATGTGTCCTTGGATATGGAGCGACCATACTTGTTTTGAACGAAATCGCACCACATCTCCAGTCTAGGAAAACGATCTTTCAATAGCAGCATCCAAAATGGAATAGCGACATCCAATGCTACAGGAAAATATAGAGAAAAAAATATATATTAGTGGGGTTGTAGTACAGGATATCATGTTCCTGAACACCGAAAAAAGGACAATAGAGCTGGTACATACGCAAACTCTTTTGGTTCTCGCTCAGTCCGAACGTGAACGCAAAATGGTAAATCTCCCTGAAAGCAGCGTCATCCTTGAGCTCCTGGCGCAATTTTGGAATCGAGTCCTTCATCTTTTCAATCGTATCGCACCTATTAAAACGCATAAATAAATAAAAAGAAGGAACAATAAGACAGCCATTAGTAAACACTTGCCTTTCCTCGTTTCAAAATGGACACGACAACGATAAAGACATGCCCCATACCCAAGCTTGGTCCAGCCTTCAACAAATCCGGACCGAGTGAATTCGCACATATTCTCCGCCTTGAGGTGCCAGGCCATAACCAACATGACAACGTCTGTAGGATCAACATCCAGATCCGCACAGAACTTTTCCATGCCCTCGATCAAAATCTCGTCCGGTTCATCTATAAAAATCAAAAGCGTAACAAGGAGAGAACAACATTTGCCAATTAAGCAACTGGCACAGCAAAAAAGCAAATTGGAAGACACAAAAAAAAAGAGCGCAGCCATGACCTTATCTGCTGCCAATGTGAGAAATCGATACATACCCTTGTACCTGTCAAAGACCTCGTTGATTCGCTTGACATTAACTGGTGCTGCCTTGGGTTTGCTCTGGAGCGCAGCAGAAGAGCTTCCGCTACCGAAGAAGTTGTTCACTGCCGTTTGGACGTCCCACTTGCAGTCACTGAGCAAAGAGATGGCTGTTGATTCCCTATTTGGATGTTGGATATGATGTGCGATGTTAGATTGGTTATTAATCCTGAAATTATCGCAATAGCCATTCAGGTTATACTTCTGTATCAAAATTGACTTGCCTGATGTTGGTGATCGAGACGAGTGTCTGGACCCTGGAGCGCTGATCCTGGCTGAGAGTATTCTGTCAGGGCGTTTGTAATTTTCCGGGGTGAGCAGTGTGCCAAAAGGTGCAGACAGGGACAGAGGGACAAATCGACAATGCAGATCCGACGCGGCACATCAAGGAGAGACAGGAGGCAAGATAGGAAGCAGTAGTGAGTCATGTATGTCCTTCAGTGCGGGATCTCCTTTCTTGAGGCTGAGGTTGACATAAACAGGTATCATCAGCGCCTCGATCCTTTACCATGGTCTGTGGGGCTTGAGTGTGAAGACGTGAAGAGAAGAATGTGGACGCGACTGTGGCAGTAAGAAGAAAAGGTAGGAAGCGATAAGGGGAGGGAGGGAGAGAAAAGAATTAGAAGAAAAAGAAGATCGTCTGAGGAGCGAAAGGAGGAGTTGATGGGAGATGAAAAGATGTCGAGGAGGGGGCGGGGTGGTGGAGCTGCGGCCGGCCCTCCCAGTGGGCCTGTGACTGCACACATCCCAATTTTGATTAACCACTCAGACTATTGGGTTCATACGTTGCTGCCACCGTCGGAGGGAACAAAACAGCAGCAACAAATGGCGCACCTTTTTCTTTTCTCTCCATCCATTCATTCTCCACTCTTCATTCTTCCCTTTCTGCTCCCCAGCCCACAAGCCCTTCGTCATGTCTAATGCGTATGCGCATGCTCTTCCTCTTTGTCTTTCTTCACGTGCAATTGCTTGTATTTCGCGTAGCCGCGCATTTACTTTGTCAGGACCTGTCGGTTTTAGTTTCACCTTCCTCACAAGGAACCCTCTCTTCCCTTACCACCGTTGTCTAATTAGACCCGCTGAAGCCGTCAATGTTGCCGCTGGAAAGCGTAAGGCTGAAGGTAAGAGAAACTGGGATCAAATACCGCGTTTATTGATCTAGAGGGAATTAAAATTGCTTCATCGCATATCGCATATCGCATAACACCCTTAGAGCAAGCTGCACCCATAACTACGAAGCGCTCGGTCGCCTCGAGTTCATCCTCAAAATTCAATGACCAAGAAGACGACAGCGCACAGGAGGATGACGATCTCGGTAAAGTGAAACAAACAACTGTTCTCAGTATTGACCGACAAACACTATCGTTCTTTGCAGCCTTTCACTCTAACAAAAGAATATGCCTTTCGAAAATAGATGAGGACCTCGACTTTTTGGATACCTCCAATATCATCCACTCTGGACGTCGCACTCGCGGCGTTAAGATCGACTTTACAAAGGTTCCTCAGGATGACCTTTCCGATGATGATGATGAAGAGGACGAGGCTGCTGTCCCCCCAGAGGCTGGAGACGACGAGGATGAGGAGGACGATGACGATGACGATGACGCTGACGCTGAGGACGAGGAAGAGGAGCGGGAGACCCGAGTGGGCGGATCATCTTCAACATCAACAGAAGTAGCCTCAACAGGAGAGCCCAAATCGGCAGAAAGCAATGCAGGGGATGAGGTATAAACCACTCCTGTTGCCCAATGGTGTCTTGATCTCCTCTTACGGACCCAGTCGCTAATAAAAGATACCGTATAAGGCATTAATGGCGGCTTATCGAATTGTGTGTGTCTTGCTGAACTGAATTATGTATGTACAGTACGTATGGCAAATATGGCACACGCACCGCCCCCATTGTCACGAAACCCGACATCGTTGAGCCCGACCTACTTCCCAACCTGATACACACCCTCCTCAACAAACGCAAGCACATGAAGCTGGGCTATCTCGTTATGAAGAACTCGACCTACAAAGACACTGGCATGTCCTGAGACGACGCCCGACAACGTGAAGATGACTTTTTTTAAATCATCGCCGGAATGGACGCAGGTGCCGGATGCACGCAAGGGACGAGTTAACGAAGGGTATGGCTCCCATTCGTCTTCAGGATTCCTCAGCTTTCTTGGGGGATATGGCTGGGGTACGGTGTGGGCATGACTCGCGGGCCCTTTCTATTTCTTTCGCTGCCTGCTCTTCTAATTTTCATTCTCATTTTTTATTTCCTCGGACAACAAGATAACGACCACATACGATACTCGCAATATGATTTAGACTTCACGCTCTATATGTCAAACTCGTGCTTTCTGATCTCAATGGTTTCGATGGTTTCCTTCCACAATCTCTCTGCAAGTATATCTCCATCCTCCCCCTCCACGATTGGGTTGACCTTGGCCGGGCAACACGAGGAATAGTACTGGCCATTTTGTGCTCCATTCTCGATTCCGCACTCTGGTGCCACCGCGGCATAAACTGTCGTCTTTGAACCTTCCGTGATGTTCCTCGCTACAACGGCTCCCATAATGCCAAACACGACGGTGGACCTAATCCTTTGAAGCAGCGACTGATCACTTTTACTGGCGAACTCTGAAGAAACCAAGCCCGGGTTGATAACGCTAACGGAGATCTTACGATCTTCTGGGTGACTGGATTCATGGAGATGGCGAGCAAGGCTTCGTGCAAAGAGCACGTTCATCAGCTTGGAAACGTGATAGCGATTCTTGAGAGATGCGGTGTTTGTGGCGTCGTCCATCGTCTTGACAATGCTTGGTGTATCCCTCTCTGGGAACTGGGTCCAGTGGTGAACCTCAGAAGCGACAATCACGATGCGGGGATATGTGGAGGCATTCTGGGAGGCCGTCGTACGAATGATAGGCAAAAGAAGAAGCGTCAAGAGTACCGTTCCTAGGTGGTTGGTGGCAAACCTGGAATGAAGAGGTCAGCTTCATCACCTGCATCGACATATAGGATGTGTATGTGGATTTGGAAACGATATGGATGCGGAGATTAATGCTTACACTGCCTCGTGGCCATCCTCGCTCAAGGTGAATTTGCTGAGCCATCCAATGCCGGCATTGTTGATCAAAATGTGCAGAGGAAGACCACTCTCTTGATACCGCTTAGCAAATGCTCGACAGGATGCGAAGGATGCCAAGTTCAGTTCTTGAGCCTCGATGATAACGTCATTGGTATTTGTGCTCGCCTTAATGCTACGAATAGCTTCTTCCGCCTTGGACATGTTCCTGCAGGCCAGAATGATTCGGGAAGGACCCATTTCAACGAGATGGCGGACTGTACCATAGCCTATACCTGCACATCTCAATTAAAGTACACAACATTAATACTGGAGCTGGACTGTGTTAATGCGCGTGTCGACGAAGTAGGCTCCATTGTCTATCTGTCTTACCGACATTACTGCCTGTCACCACGATAGTTTTTCCATTCAAGTTAACTGGAGTTATCTCTAGTTTAGCGAATTGATCGTTGAGGAACTCTTTGAATGAGAGAGACATTTTTTTGGTGTGTTTGGGTTGAAGATACCAGGGCGATGCGTCGAGACCTTTTATACTTCAGTCGCCTCTCTTTGTATCACTAGGCAACGTTCTCATTACGCGTTACACACGTAACTGCTGGGTATATTATTTTCCGGGCGAAACTGAAATGCATTTGATCTTACACTCGGTGATCGGACTGCGCAGATTTGTTGGTCTGATTGCGGCCCGCGGCTCGTGGCCCACAACACATCGTAAATGGTGTGCGTATAAGTGTCCAAAAGTACGTGTCCACACACGATATTCATTAACCAACTTTAAATTAAGTTTCAGAGGTAATGCAAAATACGTTTCGCGTTTCTATGCTTTCGTGATTCGAGTAGGTAACTCTCGCACATTTCTGGAAGCTCTGAACCCATCCCCCTTTGTTCAATTTTTCACTGCAGAGGGGCTGGGACAAAATCTTTCACTTTCTTATGGGGTCACCCTTTAGTCCATTTTGCCCAAAAAAGGAAAGTGCTCGGTGGTTTTTTGTTCACGTGATCGTACGCGGGCTGCCCAAGCTTATTTCTTGCATCCTCTTCCTTCATGTCTCCTGTTACAGTGACAATCCACCTGATGAAGAGACCCGGCGCACGCCTCGCAAGTGCCTTCCCAAAACTCCCAACACTCCTGGAACCCTCCGCAGGACTTACAAAGCAAGGACACATTTTGTTACAGGAGTTGGGAGTTTGTAGCTGTTGGGGTTGTCACCCTTCCTGACGTCCTGACCCTCAATACTGTATAGCGCAATGACATACCCACAGGTCTGATCTCCTTCAGCGCCAATATTCCCGTCGCGTCGTCCTTAGGAGGGAGTAATCCAGTGAGTACATACCGATGATTGGCATGACAACAGTCACTCATTTCCAAGCACAATCCTAACGAACTTCTTGTCCTTTTATGTTTTTCTCTCTATAGGATACTCCGCAAGGAGCTACTGAAGCCCCGCCCGTCCTGACTGGAGCGTGTTCCACTCCAGCGGCATCAATCTCCTTGCAGCTCGCCATGGCGTTCACCGCTGCAGAAGAGTCCTTGCCAAACCCTTTCTGGTTGCCTGAGGAAGAACGTCAGTCTGGACAAGAAGCACATTCTTCACTGTATTTCCGCCTCCGGCGACTACAAGATATCGATTCGCCTGGACATTCTCGTGGACTCACAACACCATTTACATATGGAACTGTGCCGTCGTCGCTTGCACGAACAGTGGTATCATCTGTGCGCCTTTCTTCGCCACTTCGGCGGACTGTGTCGTCGCCAATTCAAATTGATTCTTCAGATTCGGACGCGTCTTCAGATGATTATGATTCCACGCCTAAAAAAACTTTCTCCACGCCCATCAAGCGAATGTCAACATGGAGGGAGGCTGATTGCACCCCACCGCCATATATCTCGACGCCAACATCGTCTCCCTCCACGTCCATGCAGCCGGAGCTGTCGCCCCTGCAGTTTCTATCTTCGCCATCGCATATTGTACACCAGATACATATACCATTAGTTCAAGAGCACGAAGACGACATTAGCGATTACTCTGTAAGTTATTTCAACTAATGACACAGTCATTTGTATTGTAACATTTTAATCATCCTTTGCATGTTGTTTTACACACGCTGTATTCTTTTTTTTCAGACCTCCCCACTTACTTTGAGGTCACAAGCCATCAGCACTTGCAAACAAGTTTTCCGCTGTGCACCAAAGGAAGAGCAACTGGAAGTTCTGTATAACATTGAAGCAAAGCACGACTGTGTCTTAATTGCTCCTTGTGGCTGGGGCAAGACTTTAGCGTTTTTCCTGCCTATGGTGCTCTGGCCTCGCTCAGTAACCGTCGTCATCTCACCGCTGATATCTTTGATGGAGGATCAACAGCAGGTAGCTTTCAAGTACTCTTGTAACTGTACGATTGCATATGCCTTCAATAAATGTGTCTATGTTACACGACTGACCCCGTCTTTGGATCCTGCCCTACAAATCGATAGAAGCTGGCCGCGGCCGGCATATCGTACTTCGTTCTAACTGGCGCCAACTCGGATGCTATTAACAAGGGTACGATCCAACGCGCACTAAATGGCGAGTACAGGGCTGTCTACTTCACCCCCGAGATCATTTTCAGCGGCAGCAAGGCAAATTTGCTTCAAGATCTTTGGCGGAACGAGCAATGGCGATCATTGTTGGCCGCAATAGTGATCGATGAAGTGCACTGCGTCGAGAAATGGGTCAAGTTTCGCGAGGACTATACACGCCTAGGTGATCTGCGTGTCTGGGCACCTGGAGTACCATTTGTAGGGCTAACAGCGACTCTCACAGCGGACGCTATCCTAAAAACTAAGGCCAAGCTTTTTTTGTCCAAGGCAACGACGATACGTGTGAACGAGGTTCGCACGAACTTGCGCCTCGAGGTGCACACTCAGCCCAAGGATGCCATGAAAGGCCTCCATAGACTTTTGCACAAAGAGAAGACCATCGTCTACTTTGATTCAATCGCTGTTCTCATCCGTGTTTTCAAATGTCTGCAGTGGATAAGGCCCGACCTGCAAGGAAAACTTGGGTTGTACTTTTCAACCCTAGATGAACAGTACAAGAGGACGACCATGAAAAAATTTGTAGATGGGGACATCCTGATCCTGCTGGCTACCGAGGCTGCAGGAATGGGTGTCGACATACAGGATGTTGTTCAAGTGATTCAGTACGGGTAAGTTCATATGTTAATAGCATGGAAATTGAGCAATCAGAACGAAACAAGTTGTCGTATATTTGGGTCGTCAGTCCGCTAGAACGACACTTCTTAATAAAACAAGTAGACCAGAGCAATACCGAGTCACTTCAGCTCAGCCTTTCAAGACTGAGCTGGAAGGGGCCGGTTCTGATCTCTATATCTTGTGAGCCCAAAACATAACACAAGTTATTATCTCTAAAATATTTCGATATGCACTTGTGAATCATTTAGTTTTCCAAGGGACATGACAAGCTTGGTGCAACGGTTTGGCCGTGCAGCGCGACGCAAGGATATCAACGGCCGTGCGATTCTCTATGCTCCGCCAGTCTCTCACAAGACTGTTTCAGATGCACAAGTCCGCCAGTTCCTCCTGGATCACCACAGCAAAAAATGTCTTTGGAGGTTTATCGATGACTTGTTTGGCAACGAGATTCGTGTTTGCAACAACAACTGTTCAGCATGTCATACTGTTAATTGTCCCCCTCTACTCCCTAGTCGCATTGTCGCCAAATCTGTCATCAGAGGAAGATGGCCGAAACGCTCGAAAGAGGAGAAGGCTCTGGCATTACGGGAACTGATATCATGGAGGAAGGATGCCTTCAAGAGGTGGCAAGCAACACAACGTTACGCCAATGGTGCAGAAACCGGGATCCTGCCGGACATGACTGCCAAGAAGCTCTCGCAGCAATTCTCAGGGATCAGAACTGCTGAGGCAGTCGCAACCTTCGCATCTTCTTCCCTCTGGTTTCCTCGTGGAAACCCTCAGAATTGGTTCGTCGAGATCGCACAGCTGCTGGCTAAGATCAACAAGAATATTGATGATGGTCTCATACCAAGTAGCCAGCTGATAGTGGCGTTGGCTCCAGACCTACCAAACGACGGCTCTGACGGCAATGACGATGGAAGTGATGACGGGGAGGATAGATAATTTTGTCCGCGTACCGCAACCAGTTGCCCACTCTATTCCCTCCACTTCCAACTCCTCTTTCCTCCTCCCTTTATTTTTACATCCGCTATTCCTTACTTTCTTCTTCTATCCTTTGTTTAGTTAGTCATGCTTTTTTTAATACTTTCATCTGCGTATTCAGAGCAGTATAACGGCAACAATAACAAAGTCATGTTCAAAATAGTATTATATTTTAATTCTGATCGATAACATTTTCGAGATCCTCGGCTTCTTCAATGTCCACAGCATTACCCCACAGTGATGTATGATTATCAAAAAATCTTCCTATCGCGCCTCCGACCATCTTCTCTTCGCCAACACGCTGAAGATCAACCACCGGTGGTCCTTGTTCGCACTCGCCGGAAGTCCATAAAATGCCACAGCCTTGGAAGTTCTCCTGGATCCTCGAAATATCCAATGCAGTCGACGGCTTTTTGTGTCTAGTGCTGTTGGAACGAATGCCGACCTCTCGTTCGAACATCCGTGAAATGACCTGAAAGGTTTTGATGTTGGTGGAAATGGCGTCCTGGAGGTATTCCCAGCTCATGTTCGAGCCTTTGGCTGAAAAAATGGCTTTGATGAGATAGTTGTGGTTTTCCTGCATCATGTCCGTTGCCATCCATCCACCAGCGACGCCTTTCGGGTTCACAAGCATACTTGACAGGACCCTTCTCGCCCATTCATCTGTCCAAAGATAGCGAATGCCATAGAGGAGGCGTAAAAGCTCTAGGGCATAATTGGTGTTGCCACCCCCATGCATCATTATAACGATGAATGGCAGCAAATGCTTGATGCGGCCAATATCGCCAGCTTTGATGGCCGCGCCAAGCTCAATGTAGACGGCTACATCGCGCAGGAAAAGAAGAGCGTTGGTATTGGCGGTAGTACAGGGAAGGCCAAGGAGCAAAGGCGAAGGCTGAGAGCAATATGACTTGGTGATGCTTTCTGTAATGCTCTGAACAGAAAGCTCCTTTGATACACCACGATCCCGCAAAGACTGATAGAGCAACTGCACCTTCGCATCAAAGACTACCCGCAAGAGCTCATCGGTGGCGTGAAAGATGATCTTGTCCCTGCTTAGGCCCTTACGGTTCAGCAGACATGCAATCGATGCCAGGGTCCCAGGAAACTCTTTGGAGCCAAGGTGAGTCCTCCAAATGGTACCACACAAATTCATCTCCAAATGAAAAAGTTGGAGAACAGGATGTACCTGTCAAGTTTGAGGGATACTTTTAGTTGTCAAGGAATGTATATACAGGGCTATGCTCCTGTGTAACAATCAAGCACCTTCTTTCCGCCTCACATCACTCTTTATTAACTTTGACTTTCACGTACCCACGACAGGCTATGGTAGGGATCAGGATCGAAGCACCGGTGGACCTTGAGCGTCAGCAGCCTTGACACTGTCATTTGATCCCCAGCGAAAATTGTGTTCTTGGGATCGGCAAACCAGGCTTTTGGTAAATTGAGACCGACCTCCGTAATCCTCTGCAACACTGACAGGTTTCCTGCAATGGTAGACTCGTCTAGCTTCATGACTGGAAGTGGGAAAACAGTACTCTTGGTGAGGTCAAGTTGCTCGACAGGAACAACAAGAATGACGGATGTTGTTGATCCTTCCGGTAACGAGCGCACAATGGAGTCCGAAACATGCGATTGGCAAGCATTTACAAAAACCTCAAGGTCGCCGTTGTTGGGGAAAAAAAGGTTGGCATCTGCCTCCGGCCTCTCCTCCACTGGACGAAAAAGAGTAGGTGCGGGCTTGCTCTTTTCTGAGGGTAAAAGGATGATGGTGGCAGCAGTGCCATTGTCGAAAATATCCCGTTTGTTGACGCGCTGATGATGGTGCTTAGCGGCGATATTGATATTATCGTAAACGACATAAAAGTCGTTCTCCTTGACTGCCTGTATTACACGCCTGCACGCATCCCTGGTCAGCGACTTGAGGCAATTGCGAACTTGATTGTACGAGATCGAAAGCCCAAGGCCAGAAAGGACCTCAAGAACTCTCCTCGGACACCCAGTGCAGTGCAGAAAAATGCCAAGGATTGTCTGGAAAGCACTGGCTTTTTGTGACGACATAAAGAGCAGCATTGCTGAAATGCAGCCGCGGACTGATGATGGCTTCCGAGCACGGTGACGCCTCAGTGCTCTTTTTGTGAGATTTTGGACAGGTACATCCTCTTTGAGCACGCCCTTCAAGAAACGCGTCAGGTACTTTGCGCCACCGCCTTTGCCACTGGTGTTGGGACCTCCATCCATATGTGCCTTGTCCTCCACCATTCCATCATTCTTGTCATCTGCCGTGCCAGCAGCGTAGCGATTGAGGAAACCAAAGTCGTCAAGCAAGTAGCCGGCGATCTTCTCCTCTGTGACATCGGTATGTGGAAGCCGCCATTCTTTTTTGACATCATTGTCACCCAGATGCCTGAGAGTGCGGTCGACGACGACATCGACGGCACTGTTGACAAACGATTCGTCCCACCGCTCATGCCTTTTGTCGTGTCGGAGCTGCTCGTCCCAGATCTGTATAAGTCGCCGTGGACCATGTGCCTCGTAGAACGGATTGGTGTAGTCAGTAGCTGTCTTGTCGTCAGACTTGAACAACTCAACAAGGAATCTAGGCAGGGACAAATCCACTGCTTTAATACATTCTAGAACCGTACAAAGTTTGTCTGACATGGAGGACTGAAAATTATACATCCATCTGTTAGAAGCTAAGGCACTGAATACTGTAGCTCGTTTCATTTTCATCAAAGTCAATGCATTTTAAAATTCAAGTTGGCTGCTTACACGTGTTTTGCCACTGGAAGCTGAGATCAGCACAGTTGGGTCAGATCCTTGGCTCGTTGAGTCAGATCCTTGGCTCGTTGGGTCAGATCCTTGGCTCTCCGTCGAAGAAGAGCTGACCATCTAAGTAAACAATAGGATGTATAATGAATGATGAGTTCTTGACCATATCAGGTTCTCGCCAGAGAGCATAAACATTTAAAACAGTATGTCTCATACCTCCAAGGCAAGTCGCTGTCGCTCCATCTCGGTTGCCCTAATATTGGCCAACTGTTTTGAGCAATACATTTAGCAAAACGCATATTGCATTAATAGGTCTGATCTTTGTCCACAAGTAACGCTTGACAACCTACACGTTTGGCAGATGGCGAAGCTAAAGCTGCAGGCACAATTTCTTTGAACGCGCGAATACTTATGCCTTGGTCCAAGGGTGATTTGGCCATGTTGACTGCGAACGATTCTTCTGCAGCGGTGAACGCCATGGCGAGCTGCAAGGAGATTGATGCCGCTGGAGTGGAACACGCTCCAGTCAGGACGGGCGGGGCTTCAGTAGCTCCTTGCGGAGTATCCTATAGAGAGAAAAACATAAAAGGACAAGAAGTTCGTTAGGATTGTGCTTGGAAATGAGTGACTGTTGTCATGCCAATCATCGGTATGTACTCACTGGATTACTCCCTCCTAAGGACGACGCGACGGGAATATTGGCGCTGAAGGAGATCAGACCTGTGGGTATGTCATTGCGCTATACAGTATTGAGGGTCAGGACGTCAGGAAGGGTGACAACCCCAACAGCTACAAACTCCCAACTCCTGTAACAAAATGTGTCCTTGCTTTGTAAGTCCTGCGGAGGGTTCCAGGAGTGTTGGGAGTTTTGGGAAGGCACTTGCGAGGCGTGCGCCGGGTCTCTTCATCAGGTGGATTGTCACTGTAACAGGAGACATGAAGGAAGAGGATGCAAGAAATAAGCTTGGGCAGCCCGCGTACGATCACGTGAACAAAAAACCACCGAGCACTTTCCTTTTTTGGGCAAAATGGACTAAAGGGTGACCCCATAAGAAAGTGAAAGATTTTGTCCCAGCCCCTCTGCAGTGAAAAATTGAACAAAGGGGGATGGGTTCAGAGCTTCACATTTCTGATGTCTCTGTTGGTGGCGCGTTTAAAAAGCTTTGCCGGTGTGACTACCATATCGATCCTGGCGTTATCTCACAAACCCCAATTGATTCTTCCCTCCGAGTGCTCGCCGCTTCCTCACCCAGCACGGACATCAAGGAGGAACTGCCGTTCCTAAAAAAGGAAGCCGTTGAGCTGATTGGCAGATACGAGAAAGAAATCACCAGCACGGGTCCCCACAGTGTCGGACCCCGCCAACGGCGAAGGTCAAATACTTTGAGTGCATTATGAACCTCAAGAGCTCGCTGACTGCACTTCTGGATGGCAACTATTCCTTCGAGTACATCAGCAAACACAGGTCGGATTTCACAAAGCAAGATTCCGTGGTTGCTGCAAACGAACATGACTATAAAATGAACGTATTTTGACTTGTGCTGAGGCCTGCTCACACTGTTCCCTCCGTTGAGACTGAACTTGTCAATGTCCTCGGTGAGCTCTATCAAGTCACGCTCCATCCAACTGGGATGCTCTACGGTACTAGTAGACTTGAGCCGCCCTCGTGCTGGCGTATTTCTGTCGTACGCATTTGGAAACACACATCAAAATCAGTGTTTTCAGTTTTTCTGCACGTACGCATTTTTATACGCATTTCGTTACACACCTGCCCTCGGGCTGGCGTATTTCTGTCGCACGCATTTGGAAATACGCATCAAAATTACTGAGTTTGAAACCCCCTATTGCACCCGCTCCTGCAATTGCTCAATGCCCTTGTTCGTGAAATGCATTGATATGCGTCAATATACGCTGCTATGCATTGATATGCGTCGGTGTCTGGGCGTATTCTGTCCACGTTCATTTGATGTGAAAAAAAATATTTCTGTTTATTTGAAAAATTACTTGTCTGCTTTGCTTCCTTTGGTCCGAAATCGTCCATCGGTCGTCTCTATTAAAACAATCTGCGTCCCGTCAAAGGTCGATTGAAAACAAAAAGAGAGAGTGTATAGAACTCCTGTGAAAAAGGCCTTTCGGGTCCAGCCTCTGTCCTGTGCTTCTCCAATCCTGCCTTCCCTTGGCGCTTTTCCTTTCTTAAAGAACCAAGCACTTGCTCTTCTTCTTGACAACCTGGGGCTCCAATGCTGCAACAATTGCCTCGTCAAAGACGTTCTTCAAGCCCTTCTGCGTTAAGGCTGAGCACTCGACGTATTTAACGGCGTTCTGCTCACGGCACAAACGCTCGCCGTTCTCGGCCGAGATAGGTCTCTGCTTCTGACGCGACAGCTTTTCTACGACCGCAGCATCATCGCGCAAATCGACCTGCGTTCCGACAATAAGGCAGGGAACACCAGGGCAATGGTGGTGAACCTCGGGCAGCCACTTTTCCCTCACGTTCTCAAACGATGCTGGCGAGGTGACAGAGAAGCAAACGAGGAAAACATCCGTCTGCGGATACGACAATGGGCGAAGACGATCGTAATCCTCCTGACCTATTTTCGTTTCATTTGTTTGTTGTTTGTTGTGTGAGTGAGTGATATGGTAAATGATGATGCATAGAACATTCTCTTTGAGCGAACATGGATAAAGATCAGCTTACCGGCTGTATCAAAGAGTCCAAGAGTATAGGGCTCATCGCCAATCATGACCGTGACAGCATAGTTGTCAAAGACCTAGACGCGGTATTAAAAAAAAAAATGCAAGCTAGTTGTTAGCCACCATTGCAAACAAAACAATAGAAACAAAAAAAATATGCCGAGAGCCATAAGTAAATTAGGACAAAGCGGTATTGTACGCGCCATCAATTGAATGTGATAGTGAAAGAGAGAATAAGACGTGAGAGCAGCTCTGAACATGAACAAGAGCAAACAACTGACTCGTATATCCTCCCGTCTGTACATAGTTCAGTGCACATTGAAGAGACAAATTATGCTCATCGGATGATAAGCACCATAGGATGTGTAATCCAATTTTGGAATACGGGTCTTCACTAGAGGTACATGGACCTGTAGACACACATACATGCAGAGAGAGCAGAGGCATGGTAAGGTATAAGAAAGGGCGGGGTCGGGCGGGGTAATGGTATGATTGGTGATAATGGGCCAACCAGTAGCCAAGTTGGCCACGGCAATTAAAAAGAGGGGGTTTGCGCAACAACAACAACAAAAAAAAGAAAAAAAAAAGTCGCATCAGCGTCATGATGCCGCAAATCCACCACGTCGACAACAGCCAGTTGACAAAGACCCGACCTCAGGTCATGTTTTGCTGCCGCAGCGTGGAAGAAAAAAAAAGAGATATGCCAATGGAAAAAGTGTGGATAGCCAAGAAAGCGGCGTGATAAGATGGGAAAAGAGATAGGATGTAGGTCGAAGTAACTTACAGTAGGGACATATTCAGAGGGGAACTTGTTGGTGGTGTACGAGATGAGCAGGCAGGTCTATGCAGCAGAGGACAAGTGGTAAAGGATGGAGGATGTCGCGTTAGAATGAATCAGTCGCCCACGGTGGTAATCTTGCTTCTTTGCGCTTTCTGTGCACAAGGCCACTGTCGAAAGGGTCTGCCGAGATCGGGACCAGCATGGAACCAGAACCGTTGGTCATATTGCAGACCACGTTGATGTGCACGCGTCCTTTCTTTTTTCCAATCCCTCCTGGTCTGGGTTGATTCCGGAATTCACAGCCAGGTCCTGAGGTCCTTTGTGTCCAGTGTTGATTTCCAAGTGAGCCTTGTGGTGGTTTGCCCTAAGACACCCAGGTCGCGTGTGGATGGCCGACTGCGTAGGTGAGTGAATACAGGTGTGAATCTAAGAGTCCAGGTGTAGGGTATGATACCTTTCCGACGGCACCATCTATAGGTCAGATAGTATAATAGAGATAGGATTAATAAGGCGCGATAAAAAAACAAGTCGAGTGTTTGTAATGGACGATGTCAGCCCAGGGTGTGTGGTCATGGTGCCGTAGGTTTTTATAGTGTTTTCATAGCAAGAGGACTCGTAGGACTCGTTTTTTGAGTACTGGGTGCGAAGACAGAGAGAGAGAGAGAGAGAGAGAGAGAGAGCCCTTTGGTCCCTGTTCAAAAGGTTGATTCTATATATGAAGGGTGGTGGTGGTGGTGGTGGTGGTGGTGATGGGGTGAATACTTGCCTCCAACGACAACGCACTTTATGGTCTGCATGTTGAATCTGTTAAAACGAAGAAGAGGAGAAGGAGGAAGAGAGAAGGAAGAGTATGGGAACGGGAGGGATGAAAAGGAAAAGGTGTGGGATGAGCGGATGAGAGAGACGACAGGACAAGAGGAGAAAGACACAAAAAAAAAAAGGGCCGCAGGGAAGGTTAGAAAATTGCATGGGTTGCGCACATCGCTGCCTGCCACCACGCTGTGTACCACGCTGGAAGGAAAACAGCCCAGTGGCCCAGTGGGGCCATCGGCACTTTCATGCTCTAGCATAGCTAACGAACTAAGGAGTGGGGCCTTTCTATACATTGTGCTTACCAGCTGTGATACACGGCCTGTTGCATGTGCATGTGTGTCTAGTCTGTCTATCTGTCTGTCTGTCTGTCAGCTGCTGCAGAGACATAAAAAAAGAGGGGGCCCATGTCTGTCATCAACCCAGCATAAAATGAAATCTGTTGATATCGATTTGATTTGTAACTCGCAATGGGACCCATGCATGTAAACAAGGGCCACAAAAGGGCTGCACCATGGTTGCTGTGGTACCCATCGTTCAATTTATCCGTTATGAGTGTGTATGTGCATCCCTTTCTTCTGGAGGGCTCCGTTGTCGTTGGTCACCAATTGGCCGGTTAGCTAATAGGCCCTGTCCTTGTTATCCCCTTCTATGTCCCTTTGTGTGTCTGTCTGGCCCTTCTCCTTCTTGTCCTTGTTCGAAGCAAGGGGACCGTAGCCATCTCAACAAGGCACAAGCAAACAAGTAAAAGAGCAGACAGAAACAGGCACAAATACACTCGCAAAACAGGTCCCTGTATCAACAAATGGATATGCCAAAGGAGTACCCTGGAGGTGCTTTTGCTGGCATGCAGTATGCAGTTCACCTGTCGTCTTGTCTCCTGGAATAGCAGCATCCTTTTTTTGTTTGGACGCTATCAGTGGAGAGTGCTCTCAGAGGATGGGAGTGGGCGAAGTCCTTGCAGCAGTGGTTGACTTTGAGAGTATGGGGGCTGCAGACGTTCTTCTCGACAGCATAACACAGCTCAGCACAGCACAATCCGACGCTGGTGCTACAGGACTGCGGAGTCAGGGCCGTCCTGCCAAACGCTTTGAAGCCATAGCATAAAGTAGTCTATAGCATGAGCGGGATCATTATGACAAAAGAATGCGACTACAAATATCCTCCTTCCTCTTTCCCCATTCCTCAACTCAATCTTTCCTTCATTTCGTTCTTCACTCTCCACTCTTCACTAACATTCTCAATACCATGCTCTCTTCACCACGACATGCCTTCCTGAGGGTCTCTGCTGCAAAACATATCGCACAACTGGTACGTGTAACGTCCACCTGTCTGTATTATCAAGCTAAAAATCGATACTTAGCGACAAGGGTCTCTTCAGCTGCACACGCTGTACTTGCTTATATGCTTGCATCCAAGTGTAGAGATGGTTCCCCTCCCATGTTCACATAGTGTCGATCTTGTAGCGTTTTTGATCAGCTTGATAATAAATGTATATTTGTCACACGTCAATCATAGCAACCAGCTCGGCACTTTGCCTCGTCTGCTGTTGCACGCACTATCACCGTCAATCTCCCAAAGGACTCTTTCAAGACCTACAACTGCGAGGCGCCGTCCTTGAAGGTCACTGTTAAGAAGGATGATCTCCTCCACATGTACAAGAGCATGGTCATCATGCGGCGAATGGAGACAACAGCAGATGGCCTCTACAAGTCAGGACTCATCCGTGGGTTCTGCCATCTCTGCACTGGTCAGGTAAGACGACGACTTTACCTCCATCTCCTTCGCCCGCACTGAGTCTACATTCGTGCTGTTTCAGACCAGAAATTTACTATTTTACATGCGAACAGACATCATTATGATTTTATGATCTGTAACTATTATTATATCATCCTGCTACCTGACATCTTCAATCCTTCATCCCACGTGAGTTGAGGAGATAAAGAACTCCAAGGACTGACGATTGACTCTTTGACAAAATGCAAAATCGCGCATAGGAGGCCGTAGGAGTAGGATTGGAATCTGCGTTATCACCAGACGATAAGGTGATTACCGCATACCGGGCCCATGGATTCACATACATGATGGGTGGCAGTATTCATTCAATCCTTGCAGAAGTCCTCGGACGCAAGACGGGCATGTCTAAGGGCAAAGGCGGCTCCATGCACATGTTCACTCCCAGATTCCAGGGAGGCAACGGTATCGTCGGTGCACAGGTTCCGTTGGGCACAGGACTGGCCTTTGCTCAGAAGTATCTCGAAAAAAAGGGCGCTGTATTTACATTCTATGGTGACGGAGCAGCCAATCAGGGTCAGGTCTTTGAGTCGTTCAACATGGCCAAGCTTTGGGATCTGCCCTGTGTTTTTGTTTGCGAAAACAATCAGTATGGAATGGGTACATCGGCGGAGAGGTCTTCTGCCAGTACGGAATACTATAAGCGCGCTGAGTACATTCCAGGCATCAAGGTACAAAAAATTAAAGTCTCAATTGTAGTGGGGGGAAAGAGAAGTTTATTTTATGAACTAACAGTAGGAAGAATCGCTCCTTCACCCTTCATGAATTTTAGGTGGACGGAATGAACGTGCTTGCTGTCCACCAGGCGGTGGCTCATGCCCGAGAGTGGGCAGTTTCAGGAAAGGGCCCCTTGGTACTCGAGACGGAAACCTACCGCTATAGCGGTCATTCCATGTCCGATCCAGGAACGACCTATCGAAAGCGTGAGGAAATTCAGCAAGTGCGCGCAGAGCATGATGCTATCACAGGTCTGAAGCAGCTTTTGCTAGAACACAAAATTGTCACTGAGGACGATTGCAAGGCTATCGACAAAGCAGCCCGTGCAGAGGTCGACAAGGCTACTGAGCAGGCCAAGGCAGATCCGGAGCCGGACTTGGACTCATTCTGGGAGCATGTTTATGTCAAGGGCACCGAGGTCCCCTTCCTCCGCGGACGCGAGCCTGAGGTTATTCACCGCTACAAATGAGCACACCAAGGATTTCGATGCATAGATTTTTCTGTGTCGATTCGACACCCATGACTCGCAAAGCATCATTCCAGACAGAGCCATCATGAACATACACACACATCCATCCTCTCGAATATACATTGTACTACTTATCCACAACCAGGTTACATAAAACTCAAATCATTATTCGTCAGTCGCACTAAATACTGTACCAAGCTAAATATCTGCTTCGCGTTTTTTTTTTTTTTTTTTTTTTTTTTTAACGACAACCCTCAAAGGCATGGGATTTATTAACTGCGGTCTGAAGAAAACCTGCAGGTGTGACGGAAAACAAACAGCAAGCTGCCCACTCCGACTATGTCACAACGGAGCCATATTTCATATTCAATGACCACATGAGTGGTGAACCGATAGCTCCTGCTCTCTATGTGGCCTGTTGTGCGTGAAAGTCATCCTTTAGCCATGGTCCTCTGACATTTTAAGAAATTGACATCCTCCCAGTGGCCCCATCACATCGAGTCTCAGCTGTCCCAGGTAGTACCCCTGCACTCGTTCATCCGTGGCGTCATTGATCTCTTTAACATCGGGTGCCTGTCGTTGCCTAAGGGTAGATCCCATAAAATCATTGCCGCTACGTCTGTGCTCTCCAACCCAGTTGCGTCCCCGGGCGCGTTTGCTCACAGCAGTGATCCCATGTTCACGTTTCCAGTCGACGGTGACTTTGCATCTTCTGTTCCAGACCTCAGTCCGGCGCAGCGGGTGTTTTGTTCAATACCCTCTGCTATAACCCTTGGCCTGTATTTTATTTTTTATTTTTTATTTTTCATTTTCTAGAGCGTTATTTAAAGAACCCACGCAATAGCAACCACAAAAAATAAATCCATTGGCTCCAGAGACCTCTGAGGATTATTTTCGGGCTCTTGGGGCCCCAGGGAGGGCCTAGAAACCCTTAAAATCCCGTTTTTGTTATTTTCATGATATACAAAATATATCCTATCATCATCCTATCAGAATGAGAGCATGGAATGTTACAGGGAATCGGGGCCGGAGCAAGGTAGGGTAGACTTGTAGGGGAAGGCAAGGGAGGGTAAGGTAAGTGCAAGGTGGATAGGCGGAGGGAGGGGTGTGTGTGTGTGTGTGTGTGTGTGTGTGTGTGTAATGTAATTAGATAGGTAGATAGGGATCGGGTGGAAGGGAAAAGGGCAAGTGGAATACACTTCAGTCAAGTTGCCAAAGGGTACTATATCTTTCTCTGGGTGTTCGGAACCGCTTTATTATTCATGGTATCCTTCGCGTTTATATACAGAAGCGAGGCCCGGATCGGCGCCGCGCTGACTAATCCTCAAGGGTAGATGTAGATGGAGTGTTGTGTGCCGGTCGGGTTTGGGCGCAGCTCAGACAAAAATAATGCAAAAAGCCGCAGTGGTAAAAGGGACAGTCGTGCAGATTTTTTTTTTTTTTTTTTTTTTTTTTATTAACATAAATCCCCATGAGCACGCAACGCATGGTCCGCAAAGGCCTTGAATGGTCCGCAAAGGCCTTGAATGGTCCGCAAAGGCCTTGAAGCCATAGATGCCTTCCATGCACGGCAGAGCCGCATCCCCTACCAACTATGTTGGCTTGAGGCGTCAAATTCATAACCCATGTCGCATAGCTAGCCTAACCTAACTCCTGCGTGACCTGTTGCGCGATACACGTCTCCTAATCCAGATCCAATGTTAATAAAGTTGTTTTTAAACCGAATAACCCCTCCATTATGTCCAACTTCCCTCGCCCCAAGCAATGCTGTAGCACCCTATAATCCGCGGCCCGTCTACCTTCCTGGATCTCCGTTGCAAGTAACCGTCTCCCTTTCAAATCAGAGAAATCACCAACACTACGTTGGTGTCCCCGATCACCGTTGCGTCCTCCGGCGCGTTTGCTCATGAAGGTGATTCCAACTGACTTTTCCCAGGCGACAGTGTCCTCGCATCGTTTGTTCCATATCTTGGTCCTGCCAAATTCTTCGATCCTGCTCACGAACTTTGTCACCATGATCGTCGCAATCCACTTGGTGGTGGTAAATAACTGCTTCCAGGTCTCAATGAGTCTCATTGGCACCAAACCTCGGTATAAGTCCTTGACCTCCCAATCTGCCTCACTCTCCGGCTCCTCTCCTTCCGCAACCCGATATGTCCCTCGTCTTTCCGCCGTCCCCTGAATCCACTGCATTGACTCCCAGATAGCCTTCGTTCCTGTTGCCGAGAAGTTGGGACAAGTCGCAGTGAAGGGCTTGGAAAGGGACAGTCGTGCAGATAAGTTTTTTTTTTTTTGATAACTAGAACCCACGAGGATATGTGGGATTTATTAGTGAGGGACTCTAGACTAGGGAACCCTATTGCTAGAGGCATAGTAAAGGGTGCTCAATATTCTAATAAACGGCTTTTGCCGCACCGCTGCTGGTCACTCGCAGCTCCAATCCCCTTCACAATCCCAGTCAGCATGAGTGGTAACTCGACCCCGCCTGGGGTCGGTGACTGAGCCCTGCTCCCTACTTGGCCTGTTGTGCGCGAAGGTCATCCTTTAGCCGCGTTCCTCAATCATCAAAAATTTACAGTTGCCGGTGCGTTCCATCACGTTTAGCTCCACCTGCTGCATGCAGCTTTGCAGCACTCGCTTGTCCGCTCGTTCCTCGATCTCTTTCACATCCAATGCACGTCGTTGTCTCCTGGAGGATCCAACAAAACCACTACCACTACGTCTGTGCTCTCCAACACAGTTGCGTCCCCGGGCGCGTTTGCTCATGGTAGTGATCCCATTTTCTCTTTCCCAGTCGACGGTGACTTTGCATCTTTTGTTCCAGATTTCTGTCCGTCCGAATTCCTCGATGGCCTTGACGAATCGGCCGACCATGTACCTCGCGATCGAGGTGGTCGTCTTGAATAGGCTCTCCCAGTCCTTGGCGAGAGCCGCTGGTGTCAGTCCGTGGTACAAATCTTGAACCGGGACAGTCGTGCAGATAAGGAGGGTGTGCAATTATAGGTTTTTTTATTTTTTTTATTCAACATGGCCTCCGAGAGAGAACAATCAGTGCTGGTTTCCTAGTGAATAGTCTCTGAGACTTGTGTCTATCTGGCCCTAAATCTTCTAGTGTGGCAGTCGCACCATCTCCAACAACTTCACTGTAACCTCCCTAAGCGTCCCGAGGTCTTTCTCCTGCGATCCGCTCGGCTAGCTGGCAGGCTCCTCACCTGCAAATCTGCCAAGACCATCTCTCCAATTGCAACCTGTACATCTGGGAGATGGTCTTGGTTTCTTGAGAGCACGGAATCCGTTCTACTGGCTTGCGAGCCGACTCCTCTACTATTGTAACATTTCCTCCTCCTCCTCGTCCCGTCTTTCCTCCACCTGAGGTCACTGGATGTGAGCTCAGATTAGCCTATTATAAAGTGGGCCTACTCACTTTTGAACTTATACCTGTAACCCCGGCAGGGGTAGCTAAGACGCATGCTGCCAGTGCAGTGGAATAACTTGTACACCCTGGTGTATAGCTGGGAAGTTCTGAACCAGCGCCTCTCGAAGTCCGGAGGCTAGCGCAAGGGCGAAATTTATTCTGAGCATTTTGTCAAGCGTTAAGGAAGGGGAAAGGAAACCCACAACGATTACATGGGGTAGTGCCACTCAATGTGGGGGTCGCCGGGGAAAGGAAACCCACATAACTGAAGTGGGGTAGTACGCCCGACTCATGCTCCAAATAAATTTCTATGCGTAGCACATATTACTGTGCTTTAACCAGGGCTCGAACCTGGTCCCTTCGCGTTACAAGGGAGGTGCCCTGACCAGTATGCTAACTGAGCCATCGGGCCTTTGTGCAATTATAGGTTGTGTGCAATTAGAGATATATGCAATTAAGATAAATAATTATATGTGGAATATGTAGGTCTATAGACCGCAGCAGGAAATCGAAATATTGTCCTAATTGGTCCAGTGGTCAGGATTCCTCGCTTTCACCGAGGCGGCCCGGGTTCGAACCCCGGATTGGGAACTTTTTACCTTCAGCTGCTTTTTTATAGGTTTGGCAACCCTCCCCTACAGTGCATTTTGCTGAATGCTGCAATTTTCATAGTGAAAGTGCAGCATTTCGATTAAATTGAAATATATTAAAGGTGTTATTCAATCGAATGTGACGTAAGATATACCTTATATCCTCGCAGAGATTGCCTCATATCTTCATCAGCGGTAGCATTATCTTTCCTCACCTTTCAATATGCCAAGACACAACGAAACCCGTACCAGTACCGACAAACGATCGCGAAAGTCTCCTCTCTTAGACATCACGCCCACTTTCAGCCAGCTCCAGAATGGCGCCTCTGCACAACCAGAGGAAGCGCAGGCGCTGGAGTACTATTCATTGTTGGCCAACGCTCGGGCTGGCATCGACAAACAACAACCTCAAAAGCCTGCCGGATCGAAACCCGAAAGAGGTGCTGGATTTTCTCTAAGGAGCAGGATGGAGGCAGTCGAGATCTTTCGCTATCTGAAAAAGACGAATAAGAAGGTTAACGCCTCCAACTTTCATCAGTATGTAAACCGCCCCATCAACAGAATGTCGATCACACAGTGGGACAAGGACTTCGACAAGATCAAGTTTGATGTGGCGCATGGTCGAGGCAATAAGTGCACGCTTTCCAAAAGTCCAGTCGACCTATTACGACATATCATGGATGAGACCATCTACAGTTGGCTGCTGGAGGTTCGAAAGAACAATGGCGTTGTTAGTGGTCTCCAGCTTGAGGCTGCAGCCGATTCCGTTCTTCACATTTTGATGGACGACATTTGCGGCATCGACGATATTCATCATGGTCGTGCAATTTCTTTCACGGCGTCGTGGCGATCGAGGATGACCCAAGAGTATAGTGTCGCCTACTGCAGTCTCCAAGGAGAAGCGGGATCTGTCGACAAGGACGCCATTGCAGAAAGAATGGAGGGAATCCGCAACATATGCTCTAACTTCGAGCCCGACAACATCTACAGCTGCGATGAGACTGACATGTACCTTAAGGAGCTTTCCACACGCTCTTACACTACAGAGGAATTTGTGAGTGGTGCCAAAGCAGAGCGGGGAGAAGCTCGAGTGTCGATTCTCTTCTGTGTCAATGCTACTGGATCTTCGCTTGCCCGAGCAGCAGCAGTAGAGGCCTTGAGACCTCTTGTCATAAGTAAGCCCTCAAACACGTCGTATCATTGTTCCGAAGAAAAAAAATAAATGTTAATTATTTTGTCTCTTTACTTATTCTAGGCGCGCATCTTGCTCGAAATATCCAACCATGCCCTGAGGTTCCTGTCACCTCGTTAAAACATGGAAAAGGATACATGACCGGGAGGCTATCAAGGAATGGCTTCATGCTCTCGATGACATACTCACGAAAAAAAGTCTTCTGCTTATCGACTCATGTGGGGCACACGGCAAGCCTAGCGACAACGACCCGCTTGTAGGAGAGATATTTAAACATCTTCAGATCGGGCGCCTGCCACCCAATTCAACATCCGTCACCCAACCTTTGGATCAAGGGATAATCAGTGTATTCAAACGAAAATACCTCGAGATGCTCAGCAATAAAGCAGTTACACAACAGTATGCCACCGGAAGGAAGATTACCAACGGCGAGGCATGGTCGCTTATTCCATACGCGTGGTCTCATGTCAAGGCTGCGACAGTGAGGCATTGTTTTTGCAAAGCGGGAGTCCTTTCAAAGGCGCAAGTTGACAGGCTGGAGCGGGAATCGTTGGACGTGGAGGAGCAAACACCAATGTACCCACCTATGCCAGACACTGACGCAAGTCGAGTCAAGGGGCGTTATGTGCGCTTGATTGCTTCAGTCATGGACGGAGAAAGGATCCAGTTTTCTCTCGATAAGAACCAAAAGGACGCCCAAGATATGGCAGAGGAGATCAAGCAGAAGTTGCGCAATAAGATCGTCAAGAGGTATGGCCCACGAGACAGGAGTTCCTCAATCGAGTAAGATGCTATCGACTCATTCAAGTTCATGTACCAAGGACAGAGTCTTGCAATAACGGTGGTGGAGATGCTCAAGGATAAGGACGCTATTAGCCGAAGGGCAGCAAGGTGTGTGATCCGTAAATCCAAGCAGAAATAAAATCGATTGAATAACGCCTTTAATATATTTCAATTTAATCGAAATGCTGCACTTTCACTATGAAAATTGCAGCATTCAGCAAAATGCACTGTAGTAGATTTTTATTCCTTGGGCGTTGCCCAATAGCGCGTCGTGTTTTCATGAGCCTAGCGATGCATCCTCGTGTTCTGCTGTGTATAGATGGATAGTCCTCAAATGCGCCAAGAAGCGGTGCGTGCCTTATGTGTTAGGACGGAGCGTAGAGATGCAATTCCAGCTGTGTGGATGAAAAGTGCCAGACTATATCAGCGTGCACAGTGTATGAAAAAAAAAACCTCTCAGCGGAATTAGGCGCAGCACTTTGAGCGTCAAAGAGCACTCAGTTCATTTGAAACGCTGTCTTATTCAACAAGGAAATCCTTATAGGGAAAGGATCATGCAGCCATGAAGCTGGGCTAAGCACTGCTTAGCACAACTGCCAATTCATAAATTCATAAGAATATAAAGGTATTATGGACGTCATTCCTTGCTGCTGTTCTTGCTGCTATTTTATGGACCCTCTTTTCCCCACCACCCTCACTCCTACAATATCACTGTTCATGATCACACTCGGCCTTCTAATGGTCTTGCTGGTCTTGGTCCGCCACCTTATCCATGATGCTCTCAATGTTGGTGGCCTTAATCTCATGTTCCTCGTCGCTGTCAGCCGGCAGATTCTGAGAGTCGATGGACGGGGAAGGGGGTCTCGAGTGCAGGCGGAGTAAACCGAACTAGCTTCTGATAAACCTGATATGATGAATGGTGCTCCTTCATCTATATCACAACAATAGTACAATAGCGTTAGAAGATGTCTGAAGTGCAGGTAGGGTGTTGGAGAGATCTATGATGCGCGAAAAACTGGCGGACTGGAAGCTGTGACCTATGTGTTCCTGGCGAGGCACATATTATGTCCCATGCTTCTCAAAATCTGAACGTAAAAGGATGACACATCGTTCAAAGCCTCTACCATGTTCACCATTGTATCCTCACCGTAATGGAGTCGACGATCTTCTGTACGCTCTTGACTCGCTCTGGTAATGATATGACTCTCTGACTCTCTCGTCCAAATGCTTTTCCATGTTGGCTATTGCGATTGCTGTTGCCCCCGTGCTCTTGACTCGTCCATTCAGATCGTTTGCGAAGTGGATTAAATTCTCGTTCATCCTCTGCAGTTGCTTGGTAGTGGCGGTCAAGTTCTCTGATATCGTTTCGTTGAAAGCCAAGGGGACCGCAACTTGCGTGTTGTCCTGTGGAAGGATGGCGGTGGTAGTGACCGGTGGATGGCTAGGATGGACGTATGGGTGATACCTAGCGTTTGCTTCATTGGCTGCTGCTGCTGCTGTTGCTGTGTATGCAGTGGTGTTGCCAATTAGTTTTATGCGCGTGGAGCGGCGTGAGGAACCTGAAGGATCGGAAGAACTTTTGAATAGCCAAGGATATTTTCGCTGGTGGTCCTGCAGGACGAATTTGCACTCACGAAAATGCGCTCGTGGGTCCGAGGAGAGGATTGACTTGTGGGGACATTTACCACTGGTGCACGCATAACACATATCATACGTGGGGTCTCTCTCCACATCAACCGTGATGTGGGTCGAAGGGTTCACAAATGAGACCTTTGGGGTAGCATGATAGCGTAGCTTGTGAGCGGCGGTCTGTTTCTCTATAGGAAGAGAGCAGTTCTTGTAGTCTTTGCACATCGGTTCTCGAGGCATGTTGAGAGTGTGCAGGATACAGAGCGATTTTGGATATGATTCTGAGTGTGAGTGTGGGTGAGTGACAGGTTTTGCTGCTTGCAAAGTTAGCGTCTCTAGCAACTCTATTTCTTATCGTCTTTTTTTGCGGGTGTTACGGGGGAGTTACGGGGGCCCTAGAAGGTTTAACTGTTTAACTGCTTGCATGCGTGGTCAAAGTGAGCGTCTCTGGCAATTATATCTTTTTGTCTTTCTTGAATCATGCGAGAGTTCTGGATGAGCAACATCCACAATTTTTTCAGAACGCGACGGCAGAGCGTGGTAGCTGACGCGTATCGAACAATGATCCGTGCTAGGCGATAAATGCAATGTTCCTGCTTCGCTCTAATCGTAGTCATCGGGAGTGCTAACCTACGTTGCAGCGAGGTTTGCTCTTCCATGCTGTTTGTTTAGTAACCTTGATCCGTACCAACAGCTGTACTACATTATTTTTGGACTCTCCTGCAAAGCCAAGCTTTGGTCACCATCTCAAGAGTTGGGCCCGAGAGTTGGTCTTGCCCCCATGAACATCTGGCCTCTATAAATGATGCTCTTACTGTATGCCCTTTCCTGCATGCACGCAAAAGGTTTATGCTTGGTTCAGTACACTATGGTGTCATCGGTGCTTCGCCCATTTCCTATAACATTCCAGAACACTGTTGGCATCGACCCAGCCAGTATATAAGCTCTATCTACACATAGAACTAGACAGCAGCATTCACATAAATAAAGCCCTTCTTTCTCCCTGGACCGACTCTCTCCGGATACCATCGTTTGCAAATATTATCTGGTGCAAAATAATGGTATCCAGCATACTGGGGCACTTTTGGCGATGAATTAAGGTTAAGAAGAGCCTCTTTTCTTATACGACCATTTAGAATAGTAACCAATAAAAATCGAGAAGAATTAGTTTTGTAAAGAAACATGGACTCCTCCGACTTGTTTGGCAGATCTAGAGCCGGAGGGGTTTTTTTTCATCTACCTTACGTTTAAGAAGATCTCGCTCTAGACAGCCCCTGCGCACCTGTGCGGACCAAATTTGGGAAAGCTAGACCCACGACACGTCTTAATTTGGAAAGATAACATGAACAGGACCTAAAGACAGAAGACCAATGAGGCAAGTGTATCCATCTATTTAGAGGACAATCGTTCCCAGCAACAAACCTCACAAGCACGAAAATACACATAATGGCATCCGGCAACCGTGTGCATTTCAGCACGCGATCCAACCGACTTCGAACGGATGTCCATGGAAAAACAGCAGCCATCCTTGCCATCAATATCCCACCCACGCAGGAACCAGCTGGAGCAGACGATAGGCAGGATGGTATAAATATCTGCTGCCATTCCCTGGAAACCGACTTCTTCTTTTGCTATCTTCGATCTCACCACCCTACATCGTACCATAGCCCTTTCCTTACCGCGCCCTCCTTCTGAACCCCCCTTCTCCTCCCCTCCCCTCCCCTCTCCCACCTCGCTAATTACCCCTCACAGTCTTCTACAGACACTAGTCCCTACCTCTCACTATGAAGATCACAACCATCCTCTCCGCCCTTGCTGCGGCCACCCTCGTCTCGGCCGGCAAGTTCCACTCTCTCAAGCCTGGCAAGACCAACATCATCAACAACGGCTTCATTATCGAATACCACGATGGTGTCAAGCACTCGGATGCTCATGAGTCCCTCAAGTCCCACAAGGTCAACTACAAGGTCCGCAACGAGTACAACGTCTTCAACGGAGCCGCCATCACTGTCGATTCCCAGCATGATGGCCGCGCTCTCTCCATGATCCCTGGAGTCAAGAATGTCTGGCACATCTCGCTCTACGACATGCCCAATGTTGAGAACCCCATCACGAACCCCGGTGATGCCTCTGTGATCTCGGATCACCGCATGACTGGTGTCGATGTCTTGCACAGCAGGTACAATCTAACTGGAAAGGGCGTCAAGATCGGTGTCATCGATACAGGTATCGACTACAATCACCCTGCCTTCGCTGCTGCCGGTGCTAATGCTGGATGCTTCGGTCTCAATGGCAAGAACTGCCGTGTCAAGTATGGTTGGGACTTTGTCGGTGATGACTACACTGGATCCAACACTCCCAACCCCGACAGTGATCCCATGGACTGCTTTGGACACGGTTCCCACGTCGCCGGTATCATTGGTGGAAATGCCCTGAACATCGCGGCCTCGCCTGAACCCCCACAGCCCTTCGTCGGTGTCGCTCCCGAGGTTACTCTCGGTGCTTACCGTATCTTTGGATGCAAGGGCCAAGCTGGTGATGATGTTATTCTTGCCGCCATGGAGTTGGCCTTCAACGACGGCATGGATGTAAGTGATCGAGCTATTAATTACAACCACACAGACATGCGGGATGAGGAAAAGAAGAATGGCCACTCATCCACTTTGGTCAATACGGTATTCTTGAACATTTAGGTCATCAACATGTCCATTGCCGGCGGCTCCTCCTACAAGACCAACCCCATATCTGTGCTTGCTGAGAAGTTGCTCATCCGCGGCAAAGCTTTGGTCGGCCCTGCTGGTAACGATGGTTCTGATGGTGTCTGGATGGTCTCTGGCACTGGTCTTGGCGACCACGCTACCTCGGTCGCGTCGTTCGACAATCAGTCCGGTTCGTTCTACTACCTCACCTATGGCGGCAACGACTTCCCCTACAGCTTCTCTGAGGCCTACGGCGAGAGCATTGATCTGCTCGCCTCTGTCACCATCGTTCCCTTGCTCTCCAACGGTACATTGAGCGACGGGTGTGACCAGTCCCTCTACAACGGTGTCGATGTCGAGGGCAAGATGGTCTTGATTCTTGGCGATATCGCCCGCTGCAAGTCTGATAAACGTGGTGCTCTGGCTGTTACAAACGGCGCTGCTGGTATGATCATCCAGTCCAGCGATGCTGGTATCGACTCTTTGGAAGGTGTCCCCAACCTGCCCATGGCGTCGATCGAGTTTGATGCAGGTGTCCAGCTGCTCGCTACCTGGATGGCCAGCCCCGAGTCCGTTGTGACCTGGTCCAATGACCAGGAAGCCTTCTCCATCGACAACTGGGGATCACCCTCGTCGTTCTCTTCCTTCGGATTGGATGGTGATCTCCGCTCCAAGCCCGATGTTGCTGCTCCTGGTGGCAACATCCTCTCGACCTACCCTCTCGCTCTGGGCGGTTATGCTGTTCTCTCTGGCACGTCCATGGCCACATCTTACGTTTCTGGTGCCCATGCTTTGTACATGCAGGCTAAGAAGGTCAAGTCCCATGGTGATAGGATTCGCAAGATTTTCAAGAACACTGCCACGATCTCCAAGAATTACAAGTCTGAGACCTTTACCTCTGCTGCCAAGCAAGGCGCTGGTTTGATCAACGTCCTCAACGCTGTCCTGGCCTCGGCCGAGTTCTGTCCTGACCACATTGATCTCCTCGATACTGTCAACTTCCAAAGGCGGGCCAAGGTCATGATCAAGAATACCGGCAATCACAATGAGACCTACACTCTCACGCACGTCCCCGCTGATGCCTTGAACTCGTACAACGCCAACAACACCTTCCCACTCGGCACCCCCATCATTGAGGCCGACTACGCCAACGTCAAGTTCGAGCCAAGCATCGTTACGATCAGCCCTGGCGAGACTGCCAAGGTCACCTTGAAGTTCACAGAGCCCAAGAAGGGCAATGCTGGTGAATGGCCCTTGTACTCTGGTTTCGTCGTTGCTACCCCTCGCTCCGAGGGTGGTGTTGCTGTTCATATTCCCTACACTGGTATCAAAGGCGATATCCGCAACGTGCCAATCCAGGATAGCAGTCTCGGCTTTCCCATGTTGAAGATGCTCAACTCGACCGGCCAGTTGAACGATGCCACGAGGGGCATGATCTACAACTTGATAGACTACAAGCCCGTTGTCTTGTCCCGCTTTGGCTCGCACTCTCCCGATGCCACCATCCGCATCTATGATGGGGACGATCTTGTCGGGTTTTTGACCTCCAATGATGGCGGCGCTGCCTTTGGCGCCACCGGTAGAATGAAGAACGTCGATAGCACCACCGGTCAGTTGGCCTTTACCCAGTACACTTGGGAGGGGCTGGTCCTCCCTGCCGAGAACACGACCTTGGCCCCTATCCAACTTCCTATTATTCCCGCAAACGCGACGAGTCCTATCCACGGCTACCGTATCGTCGTTGCCTCTCAGAAGAAGTTCACTCAGGGCAACTACCCCGAGGATTTTGAGATCTTTGACCTTGGCGGCGTCAGGCTCGCCTCCATACCGTCAAGCGTGTCCACTTTTTAGTTGATAACCTCCTTTGGTTAGTATTTTTTCCTGGACCCGAGTTGGGACATATGGCTAGTTGATAAACCTCCTGTGGTTGATAGAAAAGAATCGGTCCCGGTGGTATCAACTAAGACAAGTTTGAATGTAGCCACCCATGAAAACTTTGAAACAGGGTAGTGCTGCCTGTAACCCTCATCGCACCCGACCCGCAATAGACAAACGAGCAAGGGTCACACGCTACCTAAGCACCTAATGTTAGCCATTTTATTTCAAGGGCCAGGGGAAATGGGAGTGGCCCAACAAAGACAGCTTGTACTGCGTGTGGTCACCCTGCGAAATTCAAATAACAAAAAATGGGTTCTTGGCAACGGGTTGCCAAATAGTGGCGCTAGAATACCAAATATGGAAGAGGTTGTCAAATAAGAGCGGCAACCTGGGCTGTCAAATAGAATAACCCTTTTTTATATCTTTCGAGTAGTGGATGAAACTGTGGACGCACAAGAGAGGATGACAAGAAGAAGGCGGTGAAGGTTCTTCGCAAACCTCTGCTCTTCCTGGCTTTTTTATTCGGTCTTATTTTGAAATATGTAAATATGTATCTAGCACTTGTTGTTACCCCACTTAGTCTTGACAAAGTTAAGATACATGGTGTTCGTATTAATATCACTGCGGTACGTAACAGGGGTGTAAGACGTCGTAGAGTCCAGTTTCTTGAGAATCGGACCCATCAGGTTCGAGAAGAACGAGAGCCAGATTACATCGACAAGGTCATTGTCACCCAGGCTCGAGGATAAGGGCGAAGCAATGTAGTTGGGCGCGTTCACGTATGGGATCGGTGCGTGGGGCCAATCGTCGCCACCATAGCCGTAATCGTCGTTAGTGACCTAAAATAGTAGAATTCGTGTTACTAGGGAAGGGTTCTGATTGCGACAACGAAGAATAGAAAGAAAGGATGTTGCTTACGTAGCCGGGAGTGAGTGTCACATTGTTTGTAGGAGGTGGAGGGATAGCGCGTTTCTGGATCGGAGCGTTGTTAAGCTCGCCGACAATGTTCTTCGCAACCTATGAAGAAACGTCAAAAATTCCACGCGTCAAGAAAATGTTGCGTACCCTTAGGATGGAAAAGAGAGAGAGAGAGAGAGAGGAGGAGTTTGCAGATTCGTCGCCAGTGCCTATTTCTTTGTACCTTATAGGGAAGAGTAGCATAGACAAAATCATCGTGGAAAGGACTGACAATGTACGTGTCGTCAATCGTAAAAGGTCCTTTGAGCAGGTCGAACCGTTGCGAACCCGAGTTAATGATCACCTGTGCCGGGTTTGGTCGCGAAGCATTCACGACGCCGATCGGTAACACCTCGTTTGCCAGCAGGTTCAGCAGCGATCGCGTATCCGTCACCGGATACCTGCTTAGATAATAATCCTGCGGCGCACAACCCAACGCGTTCGACAGATTCAACGACTGACGGATCTGTGTAATCTCCTTTGTGATCTTGCTCCCTCTCCAGGTGTCAAACTTTTGCTTTGGATGAGCCAAAGAATGAGTCTTGAACGTATATACGTTATTGTCAAGATACCGACGCGTCACCGTCAAGTTTTTGCCAACACAGACAGTTTCGTTCTTGTAGCAGGTCCGATCATGGACACCGTCGACCGAGAGCCAACCGACGGTTTCCATAAACCGACCGCTCGCCATGCCGACTGCACGTTCATCGTATTGCTTAAAGTCCCGAATGTGTAAATGCCCACCCATCAGGACAATGGGTTTGGAAGGATGCGCAGCTCGAATGGCGTTCACAACTGTCACTGCCTCGGTCCAGCGGATAGGGACATGACCTGCAATCAGGTAGAGATCCACGTCCTCCTTGAGAGTCTTTTGGAACCAGGGGGCGCTCACAGTAACATTGGCGGCCTCGACGACCGTGTTGTTGGCGTTGCCGTTGAAGTTAAAGAGGAAACCATAGCTCATAACGCGGGCTAGCGTAACCATATTCCAAACCCCCCCCCGTTAGCAAGTTAAACACGCGTATTCATGGTATGACAGGCAAGTACATGCTCTCACATACTTCCAAACTTCATGCGAAACTTATTGTAAAGGTTCCCAAGAGGAACAGTTTTGTTGGTCAGGCCATCCTTGAAGAAGACGTTCGAGGTCTATAGCACGCCCAATACATAGATAAGCATTTGAACACGTCCGACAATGTTCCTTCTCAAATGTCTTCACCATAGATTGCAGATGATGGGACCATACCACATAACGCCTGCCCCACTTGGGAGCGAAATTCTTGTAAGTATCCTCAGCAACGGCGTTGACATAGAGTTCGTGGTTGCCGATGGCCAAGACATCGTCTACATATCCGCCATAAATACCAGACATCGTTAGTTTTGTTCTTGTTACAAAACACGGAGATCAATCGCAAGTTGCATATTCGTATGTATCCTCTACATCTCTTCTTACAATTGATCTATTACATGAGAAAGGCATATAAACGTAAAGGAATCAGTTAGATGGATAAAGCGCAGAGGATATCGGTCCAGTATATCTAAGAAGCAAAGGCCTACCTTCTCAAAGATGGGGTTCGAGTCCTGACCATCGAGAGGAGTAGCATCTGAGAAACCGTTTCCATCATGCAGATCACCAGAGTCGACGACCAGAAGATCCTTGCGGCGATGATTCGCCTGCTGACGCATATGGAACAGGAATGAGGCGAAATCTCCAAAGTCGGCAGAGTACGACTCCTCCTTGGTGTTGCTATTTGAAGACACAGGCAGGTGAGGCAGTGCATTAAGGACCTTATTTAGCCTTGCCTTGCCATGACTTGGTATAGTCCAAACAGCCAACCCCTGAGATACTACTTGGTTGCTGACCTACCCTGACAACCAGCCGTGAGTATCTATGCTCGCGTTATTATGTAGCAAGGGCATGGAGATGAGATGGGACAATGATTTCAGGGGTTAGAAGATAAGGGTATGCCCTACATGTATTACTGTGGGATCCTGCTCCAGGAAAGGTGTATTGCGCTACCGGTAGTCTGGATGATGTTCACATCACCCCAGATAAGGGGCTTCAGATCGACGGGGTCAGGCTGAGGAGCACCCGGTTGGACGCGTTTTTCGATGAGGCCATGGGCAGCAACAGTTGCCGCGAGCAGAGGCAACAGGGTTAACAGACGCATGTGTGTGTGTGTGTGTGTTTTTTTTATTTTTATTTTTATCTGAAGCAAGGTGGGCGGTGAAGGAAAAGGGGATGAAGGAGATCGAGCGAGGAAGACTAAAGAAAAGAAGAAAAGGCTGAGGCCCTGAACTCGACTCTTTTTTAAGATCGAGCCCTTTACAATAATAGCGTGCACCACCATTTAGCTTCGAGATTGCGACGCAGGGGGGACATTCCCTTCCCATCGCAAGCAGGAGAAGGGAGCTAGCGACTTTGAGAGCGTTGCATCATTTGACATGCTGGCTTATCTGTTTGCATAAAAAAAAAAAAAGCCTTCTGCTCAACCATATCCTCATACCCATGCATTGAGGAAGCAGCAGAGCTGTTCCTCCAGCAGGATAGGATAAGGGATCGGAAGGAAAGGGAAGACCAGCGGAGATCTGGCCTCTATTGGCCATTCATGTGGAGGTGTGTGCTACATCCTTTCGTGATGCTTAATAGAGTTTATTGCCAACGGACCCTGAGGATCCCAAAGGGACAAAAATTACCAGATGGATTCTGTTGGCGCGGACGAACTCGAATAAAGAATTCAAGTGCGGGTGCGAACACAAATGTCAATGAGACCAGAGGGGAGAGAAATGAACAGAAGGTTGTCCAGTAGCCGCTGGCGACTTGAGCTGCTGAGAATTCTCCATAGCCAATCAAAGCAGTGATTCGGAACGCCGTGAATGCGCGTACAAGGGCAGGAGTCTAGGGAAAGTAAACTGCAAAAGTCTGGAGCATTGCAGCATTTAGTATTTTGCTGACACAGGTCCGTTTCTGTTGCAGGAAATATCGGATCCGATCTCGGATTTTGTATGGATATAAATAAACCTTAAGTTAGACCTTGCGCCTAAAAGTGGCCATGGGGTTGCAACTGAATCCGGCCCACATCGTTCATTGTCATTGTCGTTCCGGACGAGGTACCCCCAGCTGGATCGCACGCTTCATAGGCACGGAAAGAGAACTATAAAGAAAAATCCACAAGCCTTTTTTTAATCGTCGCTGCTATGTGTCAACGCACCATCTGTCGAGACTGTGGCAAGTTCACTTGGACAGGTAGGAAGAAAAAAAATACCTTCCATGCCAAATTCAATCACAACTCCGTCCGGCGCCTCAAAATCATCTAATGGTCTAATGGGTGCCCTTTCCTCTATCTTTCTTCAATTTGAGCAACCATACATCAATACATGATGGCAATCCGTAACATGGTTCTCGGAGTTGAAGTTCTTCATTAATTCCTCAACCTGTTATCCATTTTCTTAAAAAAAAAAAAATCCTTCTAATAGGTTGCGGTCTCCACATAACCGAGGTCCTTGCAGGTCTACCGCTCGAGCAGATTTGTTCCTGCGATGATGATCGCGACAGTGAACATCCCTGGACAACTTTGAAGAACCAAAGCGCTGCCGAACATCCGACTCCACAATACCCAGCAACAGGAGCAACAATATCGGCATTTATACAGCCAAGAAAAGATCCCACTGGTCATTGCGCCGACCCCTCGCCCATCGAGTACAAGCTGTCCAAGATCTCCTCCGCAACCGCAGACGCCGCCGCGAGCAGGATGGCACAGCAAGCTGCAGCACTGGAAGAGCTGAGGAGACTCAAGCGGAAAGAGGAACAGGAGCTCAAAGACGTCAATGAAAGTGCACTGAAAAGGCTTCTACACGGCCTCTCGGAGACCACTGAGGAGTCAGGGAACGTTGATTGACCCGACATTTTTTCTTTTTAGTCTTTCTTGTTGCGATGGGGCGATATTTCTGGCAATGCTGGCGATGCTTACAAGAAGCACGATTGTTAACATTCTTTTGTTCTTATTTTCTTGTTACCTCTATTGAATATTGTACAAAAAATAAAAAAAGAGTATATACAGACTGAATATTGATCTCACGGCAGATGTAAAAAAAAAAAAGAAAAAGATAAAGATAAAGATGAATGGCAGCTTTCTAATTGTGGAGCAGCTTGTTCACCGCTCGCTTGAACTTGAACATGCCTCCCTTCTTCTTTGGCAGTGCTCCTCCTGGACCTGCAATGCCATGGCCCCAGGCGCGAGCCCTGTACTCTTCGTCCTCGTCCTCGTCCTCATCATCCTCGTCCTCGTCGTCTTCATCGTCTTCAGGGCCCAATCGAATGTCAGACTGGTATGGGGCCTCGTATTCCTCATCGTCGTACTCGTGATCGTATTCATCGTCGTAATAAAACTTCGAATTTTGTTTCTCCTCATCATAATTCGGGTTTCCGATCCAGGGCGCGAGCGTGACCACGACTTCGGCAGGTGTAGGGGTATAGGGCGAATTAAAGTACGCGGCGTTGTACTCGGGATCAAAGTTTTGCATTTGACCACCCTTGCCATTCTTGCTGGCGCTCTTCTTGGCCTGAATCAGCTTCTTTTTCGCCTTCTTGTCCAGGGGTGGGGCCGGAGGAGGTGTCTCTGCGCGCTCGATCGTCACCACAGTGATCATCTCGCCAAAGAGCACCTTGCGTGGTCCATGCACCTCTTTGGCTCTGGCGCGGGCAATAGGGGTCTTGACCAGAGCTGATTTGAGCCCACGGGAGGATCCTGGGTATCCAGATCGTGTTGCTGACGAGGTGGTGGAGACTGATCCCTGGCTATAGGATCTGGCGCGCTCATTCAGAAAAGGAGTAGGCTGACTGGATGACCGGGATGGGACTGACGCAGGGTAGGCAGATGGCTGTCTACCTGATGCTGTCAAATCCAGCTGCGACGTTGATCCGTGCATGCGATGGAGACCATCCTGATGCTGGGAGTGTGGGTGCTGCTTCTGGTGTTGGTGGGACTGATAATGTTGGGCATGGCGATCTTGATCGTAGCCATGATGTCCATGACGACTTTGATCTCGCGAGCCCTGGCCTCTATCCTGTCCTTGGCCCTGCCCATGTCCCTGATTGTATCGTTGATTCTGTTCTTGTTCGTTCCATCCACTTTGACCATAAGCCTGGTGTGATTGCTGCGTCAAAGATCGACTCGTTCCCTGAGACGATGTAGTACTCGAGTGGGTTTGTGTGGAGTTGGTCCTTGGGCGAGGTGATGACTGATGGTGCGCGTATGGTTGCGATAGTGGCTCTTGCTTATAAGACAACATAGATGTTGGACTAGTAGCAGATGATGGACCCTTGCGTTGGCTTATTGAAGCCTCCACCACGTCCGAAAAGCTGTTAAAGTGTCCTGACGGATGAGTATCCAGAGAGAGCTTTGGCGGCTGAGAACTGATGTTACTGCTGCTATCGTTACTGGCGGTGGTCGCGGCTTTACCAGTGCTGTTACTATTGGTGTTGTGAATGCGTCGAGAAATGTCCTTAGGAGGAGGCTCCGGTCTGGTTTCTCTTTGATCAAGATGATGGTGATTTTGAGGATGACTACGACCAGTACTTCTTGTTTCCTGTTGATGTGACGAAGGTGGCGCCGAAGATGAAGATCCTCTTGTGGGATAGACAGGTGATGATGAGTCCGAGGCGTTCTTTGAGAAAGATTCGGTAGCGACGTCTTTAGGAGGCGGTGGTAGTCTCTTTGTATAAGCTCGCGCGCTACTTGTTGAAGAGGATGCATTCAACTTTGTAAGTGATTCACGACTGTCGCTGGCGGTAGAAGCGTGCTGATACATATGGAGCTTTGCAGAGGCTGCATTTATGGGCGACGATGATGCCGAGGAAATGCCAGGGTTGCTGTTGTTCCAGCTGCGTTCCTGATAGAGATGACTGGAATCCTGGGATGACAGCCCGGATGACGAGGAAGGCTTGCTGTTTCTCGTGGATGATGGAGTAGGGGCACCAGCTCCTGTTCTCTCTCGCCTTGGAGGAGCGAAGGTCTCTGGGAGATTGAAGGAGCGTGAGACTGGTGGGGTCGGGGGCTGCGGTGAGTTAAAGGTCTTCCATCCTGGTGCCTTCGAGAAGGGGGAGGTCGGTGAGGCGGTGATAGGCGAGGTGGGGTCGTCGTCCGAGTTGTTACAGTACTTGTCGAGGATGTCTCCAAAGTAGCTCTCCTCTTCATCAACCTCCAGAATGGGGCTCTTATCGTTCAATTTGCTCCCAGATTGCCCAGATTGCAGCTGCAGTTGCAATGGCTGGTACTGTGCACCGCACACAGAGGCGTCCTTTTGCTGTTGTGGTTGTGGTTGTTGTTGCTGTTGACGAGTATTCTTTTGCGCGCTCTTGCTGTGCCGGATGCTCTCCTGAAGATTGGTCTCGTTCATGACCTCGATCTCTGCAGCAGGGATGACTCTGAAATCCCGATTCGATCTCCTGTTGAGGGGCCTTGGAGCCTCCTGGAGATCGATGCCTGATTCGAGCGGGCGTGCCTCGGCCAGACTGCTGGCGAGTGAGGCGGTGGAGGGGGATGAGGGCAGGGAGACATGGGTTACAGATGAATGATCGTCGAAGAGCGAGAGCTGCGAGAGAGATGGCCGCAGTGGGGAGGCACCAGTGGGGTCTGGAATAGCTCTCTTGGCACGGTGGGGTCGATAGGGAGCGTGAGTCTGAGAGCTGGCGGGGGAGGTGTTGTTGCTGTCTAGGTGATGTCTCGCGGAGAGGTCATTGTGGTTCCGTGCCAGCATTGAATTACTGTTTATGCGTGGGATGATGAAGGGGGGAGGGAGATGGGGATGGCGATGAGAAAAAGAAAGAAGAGGAGAGCGTTGGTGGAAGTCGAGGAAAGGTGTTTGTGTGCACCTTTTTTTTAAGCTCTTATTTTCAGGTACCCGTTTGGGCACGGCAGCCTACTTTTGAAATGAACTATAGTCGTCTGATAAGTCTAATTGTATGATAGTCTGACAGGTTCAGGAGGGCGCACAAAATGTAATTATTGAAAAACTTAATGCCAGACCAGGCCAGGCCAGGCCGAGTAGATGAAGCACGAACGCCATCGCAACATTCCCTGGATGGAAACAGCAGAAAGTGCACAGCGCTTACGGCGAGGTCGCACTGTCTTGTGGTCGGAGGGAGGCGCGGGGGCGCTTCCTCCATAGACTAGCACACCTTCATACGACTTCCACATGGACGGGGTAGTCTGTCTTCCACCGCCGTACTCTCTCCCCCTCGGGGATCTCGAAAATAAAATCGCCACCATTTTTAAGTTCATTCCACAAGGGGGAACTGCGCGCGTATAAAAAGGATGGCGGCTAACCTCTGCAACCCTCGCCCCGCTTGCACTTATTCATCTCCACCGCTGTCGATCCCCGCCGTAGAACACCCTGTCCTCCCATCGCACCCTCGTCCGATTTCTTTCCTTATCAGCTGCGCGTTTCTGTAGAGACTCTGAGCAGTAAGTAGCACATTACCGCATCCTTCACTCTTTCCCAGTCCACAAGAGCTCAGCAGGGTTCAGCAGCAGTGTTCTTTTGCAGTCAGCTGCCCCACAGAGCACCCCGTCTTCTTCCTGCCATCATATCCTCTATCCTCTGTCGTTATTCCATTTCTCTTCCTTGTGCTGTGGTATTGTGGCCCCCCCCCCGCCAAGTACCAGTAGAAGGAAAGGAACTCCTTAAAAATTTTATTCCTCTTGAACTGACGGACAGACTGAGTCAATGACTGACTGACCTTGTTCGCAGCAGACGACAACCAACCCCCTTTGTTCTTTTTTTTTTTTTTGCCCTTTGAGTCGGGTGCGCGCTGACGGCAATCCCGTGATCCACGAACAAACATGCTTGCTTGCTTCCCTGGAGCGTCTCTCTCTTTCTCTCTCTCTTTCTCTCTCTCTCTCTCTCTCTCACTCTCTCTTTTATTCCCTTTTTCGCATCTTTCCCTTCCTTCCCTTCCCTCTGCGCTCCATCCCCTCTCGTCCTCTTGCCTTTTCTTTTTCGTTTTCTCTTTCTTTTTTGTTTTTCGCCCCACACCAGTCTCAACAGCCCTACATCTCCTGCTCTTCCTTTGGCCTCATTAAATCTCGCCCACTATCTCTTGCTGCTGCTGCTGCTGCTGTTGCTACTGCTATCTGGATCCCATCACGCAGAGGAGACACAGGCACCCCAGTCCATCCAGAGCGGCAAAGTAGTTACCTGCGTGCCAGTGACACCGTCTTACCCACGTTCCTTTCATCCGGTCATTCTTCATAATCTATCCTCTTTCAGCTCTGTGCACCTTGCACCTTGTACCTTGTGCCTTGCGGTACGGACTGCTCTTTTCTTGGCTCTCATATTACTCTAACCGCTACATTGCCAATCCTCCGTTCCTTGTCCAACCTTGCGTTTACTACTCCCTTGCATCCGCATCCAACCTTCTCTAAACCCATCCTTTCCTTCCTTTCGTCCGTCCCCACCGCAGCATCCGATTCCAGCCCGTGGTTCTCCTTATGAACCATCCCTGCTTCACTCTATTCCACGTCAGCCTGTCCAAGCTACATCCATTCGCTCTGCCCCACTTCCCACACCTTACAAAAGATAAAACAATTCAAACCGGCTTCTGCCAGCCAATTGCAGCTTCTTGAACCCTACACCCCGCTTCGCCCTCCCTGGCTCCCTTGATATCACTATCATTTACAAGTGCCACCACCGCGCCTTCTCTTGCGAGATATCTATTTATTCGTATCCTATCCTCTGTCGCATGTCCACTGCATCTTCGGCTGACAAGACAGCCTGTCTTGGTATGAGTGCCCTTGATTCACCGCGACTGCGAGCATTGTCCTCAATCCATCGACTAACCTCCCCAACACCTCTGTGCGCACTTCCTTCGTTACACCTAGTCTCGGCTATACAGGAGATCCTCATCTCAGAGCCAGCGGGTCTAACCTCGCGTGACATAGCCCATCGACTCGTACTCATCCAGGCACCATACTCGTCTGCATCCTCTGCAACGTTTATCAAGGTAGACAATCTTCTCGCACAGGATGCGTCCATAGTGTCTCCTCTCCTTTCTTATTATATTGTTAGTCCGCCGTCAAACGTGGTATATATACCATCATTGATTCCTGACCCTGAAGGTGCTATGGCCTGCCGAACCATTGTTCTGCTCAAGTCAAGCTGCTTCCCTTCCCTTCCCTTCCCTCCCTCCCTAAGAAAAACAGACACGCCTGCACAGCTCATGATACGGTTTACAGTCGCACGTTGCGAGGAATGTGCTGGATATCATCACTACATTGCTCGCTATTCTTGACAAAAAGGGCGCGCGTTTGTGCAGTACATGGGTTCTTGCGAGGGGGTTGCATCCACCGCAGCCGTTTGTGGCCAAAGAAATGAAGGCCAATAAACATGCAGGAAATAGACGAGGGAATGGGCGAATGAAGAAGAGATAAATGGGGTGCACATAATCACGCTGTGATTTTTGGCCATCAGATGACCCTGCACCTTTTTTTTTTTTTTTTTTTTTTTTTTAATGGATGCATGCTGGCGTTATCGTCTGCTATCTTTACGTGCCGACATGTGCATGCGTTCAAGAGGTATGGTGCATTCTTTTTTGCTTTGTAGGCCTGCAGATGGCGCAAGGGGGGTTCTTTCTATACGGAGGGGAGTGAAAAAAAGAGCTGTGGGAATGGGTGATGGGCACACTGGGCTTGCCAGGCGTGTCCCCTGGAGTCTACCGATTTTCCTGACATGATCAGCCCTGATCTCCGTCTATTTCCCCCGGCCTCTTGGACTAATACGATTCCATATTCAACTATTGAATCTGATAGAGAGTACAAAGGATCCTTTCGACATACAACTCCTCCGCCAAGTCAAACAAGGGCAGCTGCTTTCGATACAACCACGACGCCGGCGTGTGGACCATTAACACGTCGCATTCCCAGTATCCAATGGGTTTCCCTTCTGGGTTCTTCCCATCCACACCGTCACCAAAAAAAATACCCTCCTTCCAGCTCTCGCGGAACACAACCATGACCACAACCACCATGACGCCTACACCAAGCACCTCTTCGCTGAGTGTGATATCATCCGCCGTCGGCAGTTCCCTGACAACAGGAATCATGGAGCAGGTCAGCACCTGGAGGACCGGTGCAGACACCGACGATGACGATGAGGCGAGCCTGGAGATCTACTCCAACCCTTCAATGAACCGCTCGTCTTTTCCCTCTCAAGTTTCAAGAGGCGAGTCCAATGGCAGTGGAGGATCGCTTCTGAATGGGATGGAGATCGTGCCAACGCTTCATCAACTCCAGTTCCCTCAACATCCGTTGGATCAACCCGACGATGGTGCTCTGTTCCACCATGGCGCACACAGTGATATCATGCCGCCACCCTCATCCACGACCTCAGGTTACCGTCGCCACTCAGTATCGTCCCATCAACGACCAATACTTAGCAGGATGAAGCGCTCGAGCCAGGACGAGAGTGGAGGCGACCAATTTGTTCCGAGTGCCACTCGCGCGTCATATCATGGTATGACCGCCGACTTATTATCCAGAAGTGTTCGCCAGGCGGACATGAGGTTCCAGGGCGGCATGGTCACGGCCCTCGAAGGCCTGGCTGATCAGAATTCCGCAAATGCACCAATGATCAAGTCTGGGTTTCCTTCGCCTCAATCAACCGCACCTTCGCCTAGAGTCCCACCTGCTCACAACTTCATTCAGCCATCGCAGACGGGCTCAACTAGAGGTGATGTCGAGACCCACCATCGCCACTCCTCGAGTCATTCTGCGCAGTTTCGTCTCTCTCCGACCCTTCGTCTTTCGCCAAATCAGCTCGAAAACTCCCGACAACGCACACAGAGTCGGAGAAGTATGGACGAACCTGAGAATGAGGACCAACCTATGGAGCGGGAAACATTCAGACAGCCGCATGCTCCATCGCCGCGGTTTACGAAAGAGGATCCAAGACTCCGTGATCTGGGCGCGACACTCCAAAAGTCTCTCTCATTTAATGGAGATGAGGAGTACCAGGACATGCACCGGGATGATGAGCCATTCAGCAGCTATGGACGACCTCAAGCTGTTCGCCATCATCCTTACTTGTCTCGTTCTCGAGGGGATACATCAGCACAACGTACCCGCTTTGAACGTCAGCCACAAAGGCCGCATGCAGAGAGCTTTGTTCGCGACAGGAAAGGAAAAGGACGAGCGGTCGATCACGAGGATGACAAGGAAATTATTGGAAAGACACCTGTGTTGCTAAATGCTATCAACACCAGTCAGACCAACATCTTGTCCGAGCTGCAGACGGCGCAGCGTTTGAACCAGGAAGAGCTCGCACACTTTCGGGAGGAGCTGTACGCATCCCTCCAATTGGCATTCACAAGATTAGCGGACCAAGTTGAGGGCGTCGGACGAGCTGTGGTATCTGTAGAGAACACTCAGCGGGAAACAGTTCAGCAATTGGGAATCAGTATTGGAAGCGCTATGGGCGACGGTTTCTCAAAAATGACCGAGACGATCCAGCAGAACATTCAACAGCAGATCCAGCAGGCCCTTCAGCCTTATCAGTCGCCATCATTTCGCCCGGCGTCCATCCGGCAAGGGTCTCCGTTTGCTCCCAGCCACGCTCAGTCGATTGCGCCCTCGACTATCTCCGCCTCCAATGCAGCCTATTCATCATATGGAGGATTTGGGTCTGGACCGAGCATGTCTCGCCAAGCCTTTGGATCGACATACGGTAGCAGGGAAAGCAGCGCCTGGAGGCGTTCGGAGCAGGGCGTACAGGACAGCCCAGACGACCATGATGAGGACGAGGACGATCATGGGCGAGGCAAAAGAAGGGCAGTTGAGCGTCCTCGATCTACATCAGGATCTAGGCGAGCGATTGACTGGCCGAGGAGAGAATTTGAAAGTTAGGTGTTTTTTGTCGAGTATGAGCTCGAACGGTGGGACAGCCAGTATGAGATGCAGATGCCGACAATTGGAGGACACCGAACCGTATCTGCCAAGCTGGCTTGGAGTCGATGATTTTACTTTTTTTCTTCCTTTCAATTCTCAGTCGAGGTTAGTAGCGTTCACTCTACTATACTCTTCCTCCTTCCTCTCCTCTCCTTTCCCTTTCTCTTTCCCTTTTTTTTTCTCTTTCTCTTTCCCTTTCCCCCCCTTTTTTTTTGTTTGTTTGTTTGTCTATTTCGGTTTTCGATGTACAACTTTTTTGAAGATCCCTCATTTTCCATTTGCATTACTGTTCGTTTGTTGTACCCATACCACTTGCTTTTTCATGTTCTTTGAAGGGTATTCCTGAAGTGCTAGCTCATTTTGTTCATCCTTAGAGAATACCATCCACCATTTGTTTCCTGTTGCTATACTTTCATTTATTCTCTTTGTTGCTTCGTTTTTGATCTCAGGTCTTTCTTTTCTTTTTCTTAAATTTTTACTCCAATGCAGAGCGGGTATGAATCGTTCTAGACAGGCATAGCAGGCATCACTCATCGGTCAAGCGCTCCCCCTTTGTTATACGTTTTGTACATTAACGTGTACTATTATCTCAAAAACAGAAAAAAACAGAAAAAAAAAAGAGAAGCAAAATAAAAGCGACCGTATCAAACTCTTTCATCTTTCGCGACAATTGTGTCTGTGCAACCGATTCGAAGTATAATAAACTGTTGTAGTCTAGGCAAGAAAACTGCGCTAGACCATCGTCATCGCGGGTAAAGACTACAGCCACTTTTAAATGACGGGGAGGAGGGAAATGGTAGATGACTCCAGTCGATGGAGACAAGGCTGTGTGTGTGGTGCATTCTTGGCAAACACGCAGGGATCGGGAAAGGAGATAGGATGGACTCATTGGAAACCGCATCCACTTTACGCGCCAAGAACAGTAGCAGCAGCAAGCAGTGGCCAAGAGCAGATCACGGTAAGAATGGCTGCTAATGGTAATGCTATGTTCGTGTTTTTTTCTTTTTTGCACAGGGGCGGTGTGGCTGTAGGAGGGCTGCAATAATTCGAATAATTCGCTGGGCTGAAATGAAGCTGAGACTCCGCTTTCGCCTTGGACGGGTGCTGTCGCGCGGCACTTCACACTCACCATCAACCCTCCCCACTCCACTTCCATCCCTCCGTCACTTCATTCATTTCTAATTCATTCCCGATCCTTTTTCTTGTAAATATCTGTACTACTGCCGCTGCATCACTCTCCCCTTACTTCTTCTCCTTCCTCTCCTCCTTTACCTTGCTGGCCACATCATGGGAAACTCGTCCTCGACTCCCAGTCAAACCGAAAGCAACAGCAATAGCACAACACCTTCTGGCAAAACACCCAGCTCCACCTCTGCCAACAAACCAACCCAGGCCTTACTCACCTCCCCAGGTTCAGGCGCCTCGACAGCAGCAGGGGCCACTCCTACTCGAGGCGCACACACCAATATTCCCATCCGCCCTGCCGCTACCCCAGGCAGTGCGGGTTCACGACCAGGTCCCTCGCCATATGTGCCTTATACCCAACACAGACCACCCATTCCTGCCCCCGCTCAACCTCGCCCTCAGCAACAGCAACAGCAACAGCAACAGCAACAGCAACAGCAACAGCAACAGCAACAGCAACAGCAACAGCAACAGCAACAGCAACAGCAACAGCAACAGCAACAGCAACAGCAACAGCAACAGCAACAGCAACAGCACCAGCAACAGCAACAGCAGCATCGACCAGTATCGCAGTACATCCCGACCTCAGCATACGTACAGAGTAATAATAATAGTAGTTCAAGACCGCAACAGCCCAATCCTCTCTCAGGTCCAACTTTCCAGCGAATGGCGGATCGTCCTGCACCTTCCTCGTCTCAGTCTACCGCGACAGCGGCAGACGATGAGATCCCAACAATTGTGCTCCAGGAACAGATGGATACTATGTTAATCGAGATCGCGACCGCAGAGTCCAGGGTCATAGAGCTTCGTGAGGAGCTTGACACATTTGAGAGCCATCCCATCTTCCAGGACATGATGCTTGTCTGGTTCTGTTCGTTCAGCCCCAGCAACTACTCGATGCAGCGTCTGGACGACCTGAAGCGGGACGCTCTTGAGGCCTGGAAGCCCGTCCTATCGAGCTTCAAATCCGGCCATTCTGGCGACGGAGCCCAGGACCAGAACCTGACTGAGATCGAAGGACAGCTTTTCGAGTCGATTATCCAGGACGTTATCTCTCACGCCGACATGATTGTTGGATCCACTTTGTCACCTGAACAGTTGATTCAAAACCTCATTCAAGTTGCTCACTTGGAGCTCGGGGATGCACGCAGGACCCTGGAGCAGAATCGGAACGCGTTTCAGGAGTGCCAACTGATGCTGCAGGCTCGAGGAGTCATCCCGCCAGCTGTTCTTGAGATGCAGCGCCGAATTGAAGACGAGCAACGGAGGGAGCTGGAGGCTAGACGAGCAGAGGAGCATCGGCAAAGGGAATTGGCCGCGCAGCAGCTACGAGAGGGACAGAAGGCCCGCGAACTCGAGAGACAGAAAGAGCTCGAGAGGCAGAAAGAGCGCGAGAGACAGAAAGAGCTCGAGAGACAGGAAGCTAAGCGCAGAGAGGAAGAGGAACAGCGCAAAAAGAAAGAGCAGTTACGGCAAAAATTGGTGACAAACCCAGTCCGTCCAGCCAGTGCAGCGACATCGACAACGGCGACAGCGACAACAGCAACAGCGTTGCACTCGAAGCACCCTGCGAACCCTGTTTCCGGACGCCCCAAAGCATCATCAGGTAAATTATCCGTTTTCTGTATTTCTGCTGTGCTGATATGCTTGCATCGTCATATTCTAAGCGTTTGATGTCTTGGTCTACATGCCATCGTTTAGTTTCCGTGGCAAGTAATCTTCCTCCATACAGCTCTCTGATTGCAAAGAGGGTACACGCGGAGTCCCCGGCATCGTTTGGTATCAGTTTTACAGAGGAGGAGACCGTTTTGACGGACCAGGAGCCCGAGAGTGCGCACATGGCCGTCTCATCCAACGTCCAAGGTGCAGGCAACCCTAAACGCGATCAGCATCACCCAGATTCAATGTTGAGTAAATATCCTGTCGCGAACACAACTAGCCATGCAATACACGACACAGACGCGGATGAAGGCGAGGCCCCCGCAACGCCACTTTTCAGGCGACGACGGCCCCAGCATGAACTTCCTGAAGCAAGTGCTGCGATGAGACCAGTATCAATGATGCCATCCACTGTGGCAGTCAATAATCAATACGGAGCACAACATTCAGCGCCCTACCCACTTTCACAAAACGCCAGTGTGTCGCCAAGCGGACCAGAGCCGATGCACATGAGTATGCCCCAGCCTCATATCCCCGACTACAACCGCCAGGATTACGGAATCAAACAGGGACATAGCCGAAGCGCCATAGAGCCCCACGATCCGGCCCATACCATACCTCAGCCGACGCTTTACCCGCCCCAAGTCGTCACTGAGCAAGACCTCCAGGATCGCTTAGCCGCAGAACGCCTGGAGCAGCTCAAGAGGCAGAACGAGGAAATGCAGCGTGAGCTCCTTCGAAGTCAAGAGCAGCAGCGCATGCATGCGATGAACATCCAGAATCTGGAGATGCAGAGCCAAGCGGTGTCGCAGGGCTATCCACCTTTCACTCACACGGAGCCTGTCGGTCTGCCACATGATCATACGCCAGAGGAGTATCACGACCGCTCTCAGCAGATGCCGAATCAGTATCCGGGCCACTCTCCCTACCCGCCATACGGACAGTATCTGCAGCAGCAGCAGCAGCAGTATGGCTATCCGAACCAATTCCCACAACAAACATACCAGGTGTACAGTGCAGAATATACCAACGACGCCAGTCCTTCGTCTTATAATGGGCCGATGATACATGGTCAGGATCAGCAGTTTAATCAAGAGGCATATAGCAGCTATGCGCAATATGGCGTCTATAGCAATCATCTCAGTCCTACGAACAACACCGGTTGGGGCTCTGGACATCAACAGCATCCTGGATACATGCAACAACAACAACAGCAGCCGCATCAATACTCGCAGCCAGTCTCGCCAGCTCATCAACAACAATCTTTCACGCAACAGCAGCATCAGCATCAGTATCAGCATCAACAGCAGGGATCAATAGGACAGGAGCAGCAGGATGCCTATGTCGAACCTGAACCTCTTAGGCGACAAGGAACAGTGACCTATTCCGTCTCACCTTACGTGAACGCGTACGGTTTTGATCCGGCTCCAATCGACGTTGAGATCTCCATAGTGTCACTAGGACCCTCACCGGCTGCTGCGCCCAGTTTGGAAAACCCGATCGCAGAGAATAATGCCACCTCGGCTGGCGTATTGCCTCAGATCAGAGCTAATCCTGCGAAGGCCCCTGTCCGCAGAGCGCCTCAAGCAATTTTGACAGAGGAACAGCAACAGCAGGCAGCTGCGAATGTAGAGCAGCCGCCAGAAGACAACAAATCAGACTATCCTCAGCCAACTCCTAATTCGACGGCCTCAGTAGGATCAGAGGGCTCTTGTCGAGACCAACCAGTGCGTACTGCAATGGCTAACCAAAGTCATGAGTCCTCGGTCTGGACTGGGGGTAAAGCGGCAGACCAAGGTGTCGCGACCAAGTACCATGATGAGAAGGACAAAAAAATGGACGAGGACGGAAAGGACCACGCAGCGGAGGAAGTACAGAGGGAAATAGACATTGAGTCAAAAAAGGAGGTAGAGGAGAAAGCAGTAAAGGAGGAAGAGAAGCAGGAAGTGGTGGCGGACGAGGGAGACGAGGAGGAAGAGGAGGTTCTTCACCGCTCTGTGCGAAAAATGCGGATCGACGTACCAGTTTCGACTCCACCCTCGGCTGCGACGACTGATCCCATTCCTAGTCCGCGGCCAGTCTCAGCTCCAACTCCTACTCCAGCACCGAGGCCTTCACCTAGGCCCTTCTCCACTACGACGCTGTCTCCAGCGCTCCAGGCCACTCATAGAATGAGCCAGGTTTTTGCTCCGTTTCCTGGTCAGCGACCACCTCTCCGTGCAGTGCCTCGCCCTGCGGCTCGGCCGCTCGTCGGTAGTATGTCGACGTCCTTGTCAGAGCCAGAATCTCAGGCACCGCCAGAGAATAAGGACGCACAGAATGGTGATGGACGAAATATAGCTTGTGGTACAAAATCACGCTCATTTGAGGATAAGACCGCACCGTCGCCTGAACAGGAGCCGGCAGTATCCTCCCGGCCGCCCGGCAGACCAGTCAGTTTGCTCTCTGACGATAAAAGACCTGTAGTCCCCAAGAAGCCTGCTGCCCTCCGTAGCCCTCGGAAACCAAGTTTAGAGCACCAGGATTTGCACCAACACTCATTGTAAAATAAACCGTCATGCTCATCACGTGCGTTTATTTTCATTTCCTATTTTTTTTTTTTTTAAGGCCTCTGCATTGCAGTCGTGAACCTTCCCAACGACCATTCTAACCCCACTCAGCATGGACAGAGACAACGAAGAGATTACGTTCACCATCAACAAGAACTATGCGGAGAAGTACGAGCATGCCAAACGTGGCCAGGAGCTGTCTTCAAGTATGTGTCTTCGTCTCTTTTATGGCTTCGTTTGTTGATTATCCTCGGGCATGATAGTACCAGGAATTCTGCCATTGACGCTATGTTTTCTTTTGTCTCCCCTGTCTCTATCCATTACCAATGCGATGCCCCGGCTACCTATTTCTCTCCCATCAATTGCTTTTTGTCCATAATTTGCCTCTTTGACTACATCTTTGACCACATGACGCCCTCAACATAACTCACCTTGAACGACATTAGTTCGCGACAAGTACGGAGACTTGGGACAGACCCGACTTTCTGTAATTGCAGAACGTCAGCACAAATACGGCTATACTAAGAACGCCGATTACGATTACGACTCGTATGACTCTGAAGAGGATGAGGAGGAGGACGAGGTCGGCGAGCTGGTCACGCCGGAGGTCGACGGACAGATCATGAAGACCATTGGACTGATCCGTGCACAGGACCCTAAGATCTACGAAGCCACATCCCATTTCTTTATCCCGGCCGAGATGGAGAAGGCGAGACAGCAATGGAAGGAGAAGCAGGCGCAGGAAAAGAAGAATAAGCCGATGAACTTGAAGGATTATCATCGCAAGGTCCTGCTCGAGGATGGCGGCATGGTGAACGATGAGATCGAGGAACGGAAGGTCAAGGAAGAGTCTGAGATGACACATGTGGAGCAGCAGGAGTACCTGAAGCGGGAAATGAAGAATGCGTTCCTGGGTGGCGATGACGATGACGAGGATACGGATTCGTTCTTTACTCAAAAGGCCAAGACCAAAGAGGATGAGGATGCAGAAGAGGACGACTATAAGCGGTTTTTGATGGAGAGCATGGGCAGTAAGAAGGGCGGTGTCGAGGCATTCCAGGATTGGAGAGAGTATAAGAACGCGCCGGAGATGGACAAGGATGAAGCCTTCTTGATGGAGTAAGTGCGGGGATGTCAACCATGTTGTTGCCATTATTATCCCTGTTCTCTTTCTATGAAATCGTTATTAATCTCTTCCTCCTTGTTAGTTACATCCTGAACCGGGGATGGATCGACAAGTCGCAAAAGAAAACCCCTCACTATAAGGAGATTGTCCGCGAGGAAGAATACGACGACCTCGTCAAGTCCGAGGATGAACTCGATGCAGCTGAAGACTTTGAATCCAAGTACAACTTCCGCTTCGAAGACGCGTAAGTGACTTTCCGTAGCATCTGTTTCTTTCCATTCGATGCTATCGAACTTTTTTTTTTTTTTTTCGCTAACTAGCTGACTTGTGCACTTTCATTCCGTTTGGGTCATATAGTGAAGGAAATTCATTGATGGGCTATAGCCGCACAATCGACGATTCTGTCCGTAACAAGGACGATAAGCGAACGCGCCAACGCAAAGCAGCCAAGGAGCGCAAGAAGGAGGAAAAGACTCGACAGTTGGAGGACCTCAAACGCGCCAAGAACATGAAGAAGCAGGAAATCTTTAACAAGCTGAAGCAGATTCAGGAGATCACCGGCAATAAGAGTAAGGATCCTTTTATTGGGGAGGGGGGGGGGGCATATGTTTTTGTTTTTCATGGTTTATTATACGCTTCATGTGAGATTTCAGCCGAGCACTGATGTTTTTTATTTTATTTCTACACCTATTTTTGTACAGCCGTCGGTTTTGAAGAGATTGATCTGGAGACTGAATTCGACCCTGAGGATTACGACCAAAAGATGCAAAACGTCTTCAGTGAATCGTACTATGATGGCGATGAAAACGAAAAGCCCGTCTTTGATGATGATATCGATACTGCCGATTACGAGCTCGAGGACGATAACGATGACGAGAACGGATCGTCTGTGGAGGACGATGATGAGGCCGGACAGCAACCTGAGGAAGCCGAAGTAGACGATGAGGCCTACCCGCCCGAATACGACAACGGTGGGGAGAGTTATGAGGGCTACAACGACCAGGAGTACTATGACGAATCTTATGACTACGACCAAGGCGGCGACGAGGAGGAAGTGCTGATGGACGCGGATTATTTGCCCGGCGGAGAAAATTACGGAAAACCTCTGGAGAAGAAGAAGAAAGAGACCAAGAAAGAGAAGGCCCAGCGGGAGAAGGAAGAGAAGCGACTTGCGAAGCAACAGGCCCGCGCCAACGGATCCACAGATCCTGCAGCCATCCGCACGGCTGTCGCAGCGATCGGAGCCGCCAGAAGCGTGCTGGACTCGGACAAACAAAAGAGGGACTTTAACTCTTACCTGGATGAGTACTACCAGCTCGACTACGAAGATATGGTGGGGGATCTGCCGACTCGATTCAAGTACCACAAGGTCAAGCCCTCAGCGTTTGGATTGACGCCTGTGGAGATTCTGTTGGCGGATGATAAAGACTTGAATGAGTTTGTATCGCTCAAGAAGTTTGCGCCGTACCGTCGTTCGGATGAACAGGAGGAGGATATCCGGAAGTACGGCAAGAAGAACCGTGTGCAGATGTTCAGACATAAGCTTAAGAGCCAGATCAAGGATCAGGAGCTCGATAAGGACTGGGATCCTATCAAGAGGCGTAAGAAGGAACTGGAGAGACGGGAGCGTGAAGAGAAGGCTGCATTGAAGAAGGGACAGGACGACGAGGAGGAGGAAGGCGAGAGCAGCAGCAAGAAGAGCCAGAAGAAGAAGAATAAGGCCAAGAAGCGCAAGAGCGAGGATACTGATGATGACGACAACGGCAAGGGGAAGGATAACAAGGAACCAAAAGCAGAGGACTCTTTATCGCGGAAAAAACAGAAGACGGATGGCGCCGGAGAGGACATGATGAAGGATAAGAAGGACAAGAAGGAGAAGAAAGAGAAGAAGGAAAAGAAGGACAAGAAGGAAAAGAAGGAGAAGAAGGAGAAGAAGGACAAGGAGTAATAAGCACAGAATTGACTATCGTCTTCAGTTTCCGTTGTACCATGTACCATACCAGCATTTTGAAATAGAAAAACAAATACTTTGCATCCATTTCATTAGAATAACAATGGGGGAGGGGTTTTTTTTTTTGCAAAAGTAATACTTTATTCAGGTGTGCTTCTTAAAAATACAAGGATGCCTGCGTCTTCTCTTCGTGTTCCTGTTGTACAGTGCAATCTTACAATCCTCCTTGATCGTCTTCATCAGAAGGGTACTGCGACCTCGCTGTTACGTACGATGCCTCACTCCGCACCGTGCCAACTGACGCGTTCCGGTTCAAAAATTGGTTCTGTCGTTCCCGGTCATTGAGTCCGTTGTGGTGGTCAAGCCATGTCATATCCAAGTATCCAGACTGCAAAGACGACTGTCGACTCAGATCGCTTCCGCTAGAGCCAAGTTGTACTGAGGGCGAGTGAAGCGGGGAGTGGGCCAGTGGGCGCGAGAGCGAGTTCTGTTTGGATTTCATTAGTGTCGATCGGAGGCCTGTTGCACCCGAAGAAGGCTTGGTAGTCGGTCCTGTGAGTGTGCGCATCAGCGACGTGCCCGACTGGCGTTTCTCTGCTGCCGAGGACAAGGAGCGCTTGAGCGGACTTTCTGGAGTTGATAGTGTCGTCGCTGTCTTGGTTCCAGCTTCGGTTTCAGCAGCTGCAATAGTATAATTGGGATCGAAAAGGGGCGTAAAGCTCGACTGTCGTTGTGTCATGTCCGAATCCTGCTCCGACTCCATGTCCGAGTTCTCTGGTACAGGCTCCAACATATCATATCGATCGATCGACTGCACATCATCCGCCAGCTGTTTATCAGTCCCATTTTCATGATCATGCTGCTCTGCTGCCTGTGGAAACGCCCGGGTCTGCTGCATAATCGATCGTTGGCCTCCCGACATCCTTCCCGAGAATGTCGATGCTGTGTCCTCGCTCAGCAATGAATCTGAATCCTGCTCATGATCGCTGTGCAGACGCACCGACCGATCAGAAAACATACGCCCCAGGATCTCGTGCATACGTCCTGCGCTCGCAGCCACGTTGGCGGATGTAGGGCTTTCCTGACTCTCCGTGGGGCTTTCAGGCGCGCTACTGCCAAGTCCTCCACTACCACCACCACCACCACCACCGCCGGTACTGCTTTCAGTGATAGATCGGCTCCGGATGGAGGGCGAGGTTGACGACGGTTTCTCTCTCTGCTCTTGCTGCCGATGCTGCTCTGGTTGTGATAATTGTTGTTGTTGTTGTTGTTGTTGTTGTTGTAGTTGTTGCTGCTGGATCTGGATAGAGGGTGGTAGTACGGCTGGCGTCGACGACTCTACTTCTTCGCCCACTGCTTCGGCGATTTGCTGTCGTTCCTGGAGCTTTTCATCCTTCAGGGACTCAGCGATCGACTCCACGTACTGACCTAAGTCCTTGTGCCAGTACTGCACCACTTTCTCGGGACCCTTAGAGACTCTCAGAATTCCTCCCCCTTGTAACAACAAAGGTGCATCGATAGTGAGCGCTTCCGCGATGTTGTTGCTGCTGTCCGCTGAATGCCTTGACGGATACAATTGGCTGCCTGCACCACTTCCTGATCCACCCGCCGCCACCAAGGGAGCTCGATGCGAATCCTGATCCGATATAGAAGCCGTGCCACCGTGCTCAGATATGGAACTGTACGCTCCAGGAGCTCCATTCACAACAATCGAGCCTCTATCCCCAGCGACGCCTAGTCCCAGTATTCCAGGTCCAAGTCCCGATGCAACTCCAGCTCCTCGTGATCGAGCATAGCTGAACGTCTGGGCCGAGTCTGCAGTGCCAGACTCGTTCCTGTTCAGCTTTGCAGATGCCGTATTCGGATGCACAGCTCCTGAAACTGTCGAGATCAAACTGCCCGTCCTGGAGATCATAGCCGAAGGGTTCGCCACAAATAGACTGCGGTTCCTTTCGTATCCACGGTCCGACTCTTGAAAGAATCTTGAGATTCCCAGCGAATTGAGCTCTCGAGGTTGGTCCCCCCCTGCATGGGACCCTGTTTCATCCGCAGATCCAGCCGACGACGGCTCGTTTCTGAAGTTGCGGCGTGGTGGTCGCATGACTTCAAAAGCCTTGAGTTTCGATCCATCCCCAGAAGGAGCGCTGGAAGAGCGCTGGCCGAATCGGAATGCGTTGCCGAGTGATGTCTTCAGCCCAGCCCAAATGCTTGGTTTCGGTTCCTCTGGCATAGCAGGCCGAGAGTCTCCCTGCTCCTCCCTCCGAGGATTGTAAAGGTATGGTCCATCGCGCGTAATATCCGACATTCTCCTTGTCCTCGGGTCAGGCGCTGTCTGCTGATGTGACATTCTCTGAAAATTGGCATACGATTCTCGCTGTGGCAGATGTCCCCTGCTTGTGGCGGGTGATGATTGCTGAGGATGCATTTTGGCTGAACTGCCTGCTTCGCTGGATGGAATAATCTGTGAGCTTGGACGAGAAGGCAAAGTATTCGATCCGGTTGCCCCTGTCAGAGGGATCAAGATGTCGAATCGCCTATCCATCACCGCCTCATTTGCTGCCGGGTCATCATCTGAAGATGCTGGTTGTGTAAACCGAGTCCTGGGATGATCCATGAGTCTCGACTGTCGATACCTTTCTGCCGGTGACCCGTACCTCAGCGTATCGTCTTCCGAACTGTCGAGGTGCTGCAGTTGGTGGTGCGTGGGCGAAGGTCCATGGAGAGCGTGCTGCATCGAACTGCTTCGGTCCCCATGACTGCCGCTGCCCAAGGATAAGTACGACATCACTGTGAATCTCCTACCCTTGGCCGGGCCAAACTCATCCGCATCGTCATCTTCGCCATCATGCCGACGAGCGACAACACCCCTTGTATGGCCGCCTCCACCTCTTGCAAGCCCCCATCCTTGATCGACTTCCTCAACTGGATCCTCAAAATTGTAGGTCTTCGTAGGTCCCCTCCAAGAGTCCGAGTGCCTCACTTTCCAGAACATGCACACCTGAATGAAGTTCCACAACGCCAGTGCAAATATCACAATGAATACGGCTAGATGCAGCGCCATCTGGATATATGCGAACAGCTGCCTCAAGTCCGGCGATGCCTCCAAGTCGTGAATATATGCAATCGAACATCCTGTGATGACGATCCGGATGATTCCCAAGAACAAATGGAACTTGTTGTCTCCCGATTCCACGTACGGCCATTTGATACTAATGACGAGTACGTATCCAAATTCGACGACCATCAGGACCGTGACCTGAGCGATACCGAACGACGAGAGCATGGTGACTGCCAGTCCCCATAGAAACCGGACCAACAGCGTCACCAAGAAGAAGAGCGTTCCTCCCTGGGATAATGTGTTGTACAAAGCGCCGTACTTGAGCAGCGTGGCCTGATCGTCGTAGAGCAGGAGGTCTGAGGAGGCACGGAGGATCCGCCAGGTGAAGAAGATGGTGGCACCGACAGAGATGATCAACAGACTTGCTGCGGACGCGACTGTGAGTCCTACATTGCCCGATAGCGTCAGCTGGTACATGGCCGAAAGAGCCAATGGAGTATAAAGCAGTAGCCAGACTCGAAGCAGATTTCCTAAGAACGGCAAAATTCTCTCATTAACATGAAATCAATACATAACTGGAGTCAGTGACAATAAAACGATAAGTGCTCGCGTTTACCTGCAACAAAGTTGAGTGCATGGTAGAGTGTCTTGCCCCTTTGATGGTTCTCCTTGGCCATGATCCATGCAACCCCGAGTAGCGCAGCCGATAGGACAAGGGATGCTATCGCTGCAAGGGCTGCATTAATCAATGTTCCCAGGAATAGCGAGGAAGGGAATGCACCAATCGCTGCCGCATACGCCTCAACTCCAAATCGAGACACGTTGTGCTGAGTGTTTGTGAATGGATCGGTGATGGTTGGGATACCGAGGGTTGCCGTGGTGGTGGTGGTCGTCGTTGTTGGCCGGCGGATGGTCGTCGTTGGGGCAGTTGTAGGTCTTGCTCCGGAAGATTTAGTATGACTGGACGACGGCGACTCTGAGGATGGATCTGAAGCGCTGGTTGACTCTGAAGATGAGCTGGAAGAGCTGGAAGAGGATGAAGAAGGAGAAGAGGACGGCGGTGAAGGCAAAACTGATGGTGATGGATGCGTGGATGTTGGAATGGTGGTGGCAATAGAAGGTGACACAATCTGCCGCATCTTCCAATGAACTGTCCGCGTAGGGATTGGTGGCGTCGTCGTCGATCCAGGTCTGAGGGCGACTGCGGCCTCTGTCGTGCCGATAGCCGGTGCGATTCCGTGGTAGAGGGAGAAGAGGTCTTTCTGTGCGGCTTGCTGCAGGCGTTGCCGCTTGACAAGTTCACTGCTGTAGCTACTCCAGGCCTGACTGCTGTTGCTCCAGGTGCCGTTTTCCTGTGAGTTCTTGGCCAGGTTCACCGATCCTGATCCTCCATACGCCAGTACATCTGTCGCGTTAGCTGGCCCCTTTCCAAGGAGCGTGTGAGAAAACTGCAAGAACGACCAATGGAAGAGCGCTGTGAATGTCGAGTAGAACGAAGGATAGTTGATCGAGAGCTGTCCTGTCATCAGCATGAACTGCGTATAAAAGATGACGTCGAAGAGTCCAGGTGTGTGTACAGAAATGGCCTCAGTGGGCAGACCATAGCTTGCGACTGCGCCCAGGAATCCGTTCCCGACGGACGCCCTCATGGTCGTTGCCGCAAGACTGATTCCGCCCGAGAGGAAGGCGAGGGCTACGGGCAGATAGCTGATGGCGGTGCTGACACGGGGCATGGTCTGCTCAAGCAGGATGGCCACACATGCGATCGACTGGTTATTGCTGCCAATGATCTGCATGGCCACCATCAGCTCTGCAAATGGTGCGGATTGTGAGATGTTGAAGCTCTAAGGGATCACGCACGATTGGATGTTAATTTGGGTTAATTTAATCATCAGACAAGTCAGATACCCTGTCTGAGCATTCACTACATTCAACTCAATTGCGTTTGCAATTCCATCACATACTGTTTGAATAGTGCCTTTTCCCGGCGCTGTTGGACAGCCGCCAACAATCATGCCCCCGTCGGCCATGCATGCAGGTCCCTCGCTCCTGTAGAGCTGTGTCCCCATGATGGTTGTCTGGATTGATGTTCTCCCTAGAGGGCCAAAGACGGTGGTGCGAGAACACATGGTGAGTACTTTTGCTGGTAGTTAATGCCATCATAGAGGGATGCGATCTCCCAACGATGCGTTAAAAATAAACTTCATGTTAATTTAGGGCCGCCTTAGAGGAAAAAATGCATCCGTAATCAGAGGAGGGAGGGGACAGGACAAATGCACCCTTTTATGCTGGGCGCTCTTCTAAACGATAAACCCCATTTCGCTACCTCCTCTCCATTTGTGTCTTCCTCCTGGCCTGCTTTGGACCTAAGGAGGAGAGTGAAACGAGATGAGGAGGAGTGGTGCCATTGGCTGGTCGCACAGAGATGTCACGCACTTGCCCGCTTGCCGCTCGGATCGACACTGACCACTCTGCTATTTCTGTGTGCACGCACTTCCAGGCACAGGCAGATTTGCCTCTGTTCTATAAATAATCACCATTCACAACACACGCGCACACACGCGCAAATACGCAGCAGAAACACACAAGCCATGCGCCCTAAACCAACTGGAATGCCCTCCTTGCCGCCATATTATTATTTTTATCATCGTCATTATCATTATCATTAGCCGGTGTTGTTTTTCCAATGGTGCGAAAAAGGGGAGTGGATGGTTGCATAGTGTAATTACATTGACTGGTGGCCGCTTCAGAATACCCTTGAGCCCAATAGACATTTGTGAAATTGCCCTGAAGCAATAGGCCGATCGAGTTGTTAGTGCGGTCATAGTGAGCAGTGGCCCTCTCGAGCGCAAAGATAGGGTTTGGACCCGAGCAGTCGGCATAAGGCCATGCCCCCACTGTTTGCACGCAAGTCCAGCTGAGAAGGACGAGAAGGAACGCTAGAAGACTGGACGTGTGAAGGCGTCGCATTGAAGACGCCATGGCTGAGGGACAGCGGAATCTGGTCCGTTGAATGCAGATTCCGGATTCGATGAGGCGGTTCAATACTGGAAAGTCGGAACCTGTCCAGAGGTGGGTACAGGTGGAGGAGCGAGTTCTATGCGATCGAATCCTGGTTGCCTGTCAAGAGTTATTATTTGTATAAGAGGGGCCGCTGAGAGACTGAAGTATTTTAATACAGGGTAATATGGCCTACTGGAGACGAAGAACAGCGAGACCAAAAAAAAAAGGACAATGCGCGGAATGAGTAAAAAAAAAAAAAAAAAGAATTGAGAGGAGGAAATGGAATGCGATGGCAGGAGGACAAGGTTTGAAGACCGGAGATGGGGAACCAGGATCAGGATGCCATGACAATAAAAAGGCGATTTAGGGCCAAGGTGAGGAAGAAAGGGGAGGGGGGGAGGGGGAAGGGACTGCAGACAACAAAGACAACAAAGGGAATCATGGGTAATAGTAATAATAGGCGCAGAGAGGGACGCCTTCTTTCGGGCTGTGGAGGGCGAAGATGAATTTGATCGGAGTCCGGTTGCTGGCCCAGGAACACGAAGCGTTTGAACCTTCTAAAGATGAACGTTACCAAGCTACTTATCAAAGAAAGATACGCAAGTCGATTGCGCTCCCAATGGTACCATTTATTCCCTCTCGACATGTTCATCTGTATTCTCAAATCCTCGACGGGCACCATAAAAATCCAGAGAGACGCGACAGAAGCAATGGTTTCTCATAAAAGGACGCACCAGGCATTACGAGCATAGAAAAAGCCCTACGCCATCCTATGCGGTGTCGACTCATGCGTCTTTGTTATTCGTGGCAGGTGGTTCTGCATGCCTGCACTTTAGCAATTACTCGTCTGGAAGTATGATATCTCGTCTGACCAAAAAAAAAAAAAAGGAAGCTTGACCTATAGCCCTGCTCGTTCACTCTTGTGTTGGGTTATTCCCGTGAATGCTATTAGAGCGAGAGGAAAACATAACGACCCACAATTGTTAGTCTGACCGTGCAAGATTCGTATAGGCATTAATGCTGAGAAGAGTTGAATGGTTGATTGCCTGAGGTGCTAATGAGATGGAGTTTGTGAATGCGCACTGAGGCAGCTGCACAGTGAGGGAGGCCTTGAAGCCTTGAGAACGCAGCCTTCATTCATATCATAGTCAGGGCATGTCTGCCATAGGATATAAATGTTAGCAGAGATGGATATATCTGGCACGGTCAACGACTGGTTGTCGTGACCCACAATTGCAATGCTCTTTGCGCACCCACCTTTAAAATAGCATGGCCAGATGCACCTCTTTCGATGTATCCAATTCAGTGGTATCAGCTTTGCGACAGAGACAAGAAGAGGAGTGGCAGTCGAGTGGGCTTTTGTGTCAGCGGCAGCGATCTATTTCGGTTTTTTGCAGAGCGAGTGCTCAGTAGCACTCCCTCCTCACCGCTGTTTTTATTTTTTATTTTTTATTTTCCCAACGGCCTTTGTGTGTCTTTTTGTCTTTGTCCAGAGTCAGTCCGAGTCTTTTTTTTGCGGCAGGGATCTTTTTTGTTTTTTGTTATTATTATTTTCTTTGTTTTATTTTCGTTGGCTCAGTTTCATCTGGCCCTCGACTGAGACGAACAAGGTTTGTATTTATTCTAGACCAACCAGCCGTTTCCTTTCTTCATCTTCATTCATCATCACTTTCTGAAGGGATCCCCTCCAATAGCCACCCTACCAACAGACTACCATACCCCATACCATCCCCATCTTTATCTTCACAACCATCTCCATCACCATACCCACACCCATACCCATCTCCATCCCCATCCCCAGCCGCCATCAACATCCGTCCCCATCAGCATCCATATTAACGAACCACACCGCACGTTAACGAGAGAAAAGACAAAGAAACACCACACCGCTTTACCTCCCTTTCACACCTCCCTCCCATCCTCCCCCCATCCTCCCCCTTCTCAATCATGACCAACAATACCCAACAGCCCATAGCAACCCCAACCTCCCCTTCACTCCCATCCCTACCGGCCTCCGAACCCTCCTCCCTCGCCACCTCGCCCGCTCTCTCTCAATCCAGCAGCAAATTCAAACCTCAGCCTATCAATATCATCCACAGCAAGAGCCTTGAGCCCCCTCAATCCTCCCCGAGGAGAGGTTCGATTGCCGCCCATTTGATGCACTTTGCCGCAAAGTCTACCTCGTCGCTTCATCTCCTCTCCAGCTCTGCGCCGGCCCGCAGCGGCCCTGGCTCGGCCTCGTCTCAGGAAGTCGAGGTCCGGTCTCAGGTCCTCCCTCTTCGCTCCACTTTCTCGAACCCCTTCAAAAAGCTGCAGAATACTTTCCAGGGCAACAGCAGTTCCTCCAAGAAGAGTCCCGACCTAGGGGCACTTAAGGCGACAGAGAGGATCGCGTCATCATCATCCTCCGTCAACTCGATGGTCTCGTGGCGATCCAAGGGTGCTGAGATCTTTTCGAAGAAGACCTGGGGTCGTTCCCGCAAGAGTAAGTTTGAGAGTGTCTTGGTTCTCTTAATGTTTATTGACCCGCGGCCTGATGCTAAATGGCAATTAATCAGGGCCCAAATGGAAACGGGCTATTTAATCCCACCAATTGTCCCAAAAGAGGGATGTTTGGACAGGGAGCGATAGAAAAAGGAACTGTTTGAATAGTCCAACAATTGACATGTTGGCCCAGCGGAAAAGAGAGAGGTGGAGAAAGTCGAAGAGAGAGTTTATTGCCCTTAATGTGTCCGTGTGTCTATGCGTCCGTGTGTCTATGCGTCCGTGTGTCTGTCTATGCGTCCGTGTGTCTATGAATCCATGGGTCCATACAAGTGTAGTCATCGTCCGCAATGGTGTTCCCTATCCATCCATTCTTTCGTCCAAGAGACTCTCTTCGCCATAATCGCCGTGGTTGCAGGATATATATTTTATAAATCTCCCCTTTCATTTTAACCGCCTTTATTCCCCTGGCCACTAGTCTCTCACTCATCTTCTTGCACTTCCTTTCTTTGTTCCTGATGCATTTGTAACATTTTTAGATTCAGAACCAACCTTTGGCGCAAAAGGCATTGCCCAGAGTCCTATCTTTGGGGCCAGCCCCGAGGACGCAGTCCGTATGTCTCACATCCCAGGCACGCCCATGGTCCCCGCAGTCCTCTACCGCTGTGCTGAATACCTCGAGGCCAAGGGCATTGACGAAGTCGGACTCTATCGGTAAGCAGCTTTCTTTGTTATTGCTGTTTCTATTCCTGGTCTGTTCTTGTAGACCACACAAGTGCATACACAGCAGCAGATAATGCAATTGGGCTTGTCTGTCTCTTTGGCCGCCTCTCTGTCTTGTTTGGTTGTCGCTCTTGTTTGTGTTCGCTCTTCTCTTTATTTTCTGTGCTACCACACACGCTATGTTTAATTAGTATAAGGAAAAAATTGAATCTAGAACAGGGAGATAAGAATCTAACGAGTGCGAACATGTCCCTTAAAAAAACAGTGTCCCAGGAAGCCATGCGAGTGTACAGAAGCTGAAGAAGATGTTCGACACCGGCAAGGATATCAATCTCTTGGCCATGGACGCCATCGATCCCAACGACATTGCTACGCTCCTCAAGCTCTATCTTCGTGAATGTAGGTCCCATTTTATTCGTGCTTCCTATATTTCTCCGCTATGAACGTGGTTTTTATTTTTTATTTTTATTTACATATACATGCTTATTGTTTGCTTGCTCTATGCCCATAACTTACACGCACACGCATACACGTCACTTTCATCCTTGAATCTAGTGCCCTCATCTCTCCTTCCCGCCGTCTTTCTGGAGCAGTTCCAGTCCGTGATCTCCACCGACCGCCAGGTGTGCCACAGCCTACGCGGAATCCTCGTCCGCTTGCCTCGCCCCAACTACGTCATGCTGTCATTCCTGTGCCACCATCTCTCAAGGATTGCCGCCCACTCTGAAAAGACAAAGATGAATGTCTCGAACCTGGGCGTCGTCTTTGCGCCCACGCTTTCCATCGGCAGCGTCCTTTTTAAGGCGCTGCTCGGTGGCTATTACGACACCGCCGACACATTCGAGAACAGAGAGAACGGGCTGAAGCTTGTTTGGGGAGGGCTCTTGCAGGAATGCGACTTCGGCGTTCAGGAATGGCCCGAGGATTCTGCGAACCATGCGTATCAGCCCGTGGATCAATCCGCATTACAGTCACCACTCACCCCTGCCCAAGAGATTGTCCAGGCCACGCTCGCTGTCCCTGCCATCCCAAGTGAGCCTGCAGTCAGTGAGAGCATACCCCGCGACCTCCCTTGCACTCCTGTCGTCACGCTAGCCACTCCTGAGGAATCTATTTTCATCGCACCTGGTACTATCGAGGACGAGGAGGCCAAACTTATGGCGGCGATGCTTTTACGCGAGGAAATGTCGACTAAGCAGCAGGATTATGACGAGACCGTGTCAGACGTGTCGAGCTCCTCTGACTCAATCCCATGTACAGATACGACGGCGCTGTCGGCAGTGTCTTCGCCAGGACTGAATGTTAAGGAACATGTATTTGAGGCAGCGTTCACATCACCCTCCATGACCTTTTCGCCGACGCTGGCATCGACAGCAGCCATCCCATCGTCTGCGACAGATGAGTGCGATAACCTTTCATCACCCCCGCCCTCTTCCGAATCATCAGCTATACCCGAACTCGACCAGAAGCCTCTGTGTTCGTCTACGCCACTATCATCAGCAGAGGAAACAACGGCGCCTGTAGCTTCAACAACGGCAACAACAGCGGTCGATGCCACATACCCAACACCTCCCACAATCAATATCATTATTGATTCTGGATCGCTGCTTTTGCCGGAAAGCACCCCAACATCAGCAAAAGTCCAGCCTGAATTGAAGGTTACGATGGACAAGGCGGAGTACAAGGAGGACGAGAGCGAGGAGGATGAGGAAGAGACAGCCGTTGTAGGACCAGAGTTTTCTCCCAAGATCGCGTCGGAGGCACCCCAACTGCCTCCTCTGGAGGGACTCATGATCGCATTGTAAAATATCTGTAGGCAATTTTCTTTTGAAGAATAAAAAACGTATCCAGGGATTATGACACCAAAGGGGCGGATAAAGTCGAATGCGACCAATGGCCCGACATGTGCTCTGCTGAAAGGGCTGTTCATGTTTCTTGACCGGCCTACTATAGCAAGGGTTTAAAGCAGCTGTGTGACCCTTCCTCCCTTTGGGCTGAGTTCCCCGCCAAATGCGGACACGATCCAAACGCCATGGGAAAAATAACATGCCGCGTACCCCTCCCCCCACAAATACAACCGCGTGTCCATCTTTGCTCGCTGCCTTCATTTCGCTTCATCCCATTCGCTGAGCCATGTCCGAATCCCCCATCCAACTGCCTGCATCTGCGCAGGACCTTGTCGAGATCACCTCGCACGTGCAGCATATCCTGCGCGCGAGCGGAGACGACCTCGTTGCAGTCCCTGCTGCCGAGCGCACTATTGCTACGACTCTGCTGAGGCTCCAGGAGGCTCAAAGCAAGGCTGCTGCTGTGCAGACCCAATGCACCTTTCCTGCAATGGTATATCTTTTTTTCAATGGATATGCAAAATGTCTGTGTATTGTTCGTTTTACTGAGGAATACAAAATGGATTTGAAACGTTGGCGAGAGTAGGTCCATCTCAATAAGGAAGTCCGCGATGCTGCAACAGAGGCCAAGAAGACGCTGCAGAAAGCGTGGTCCGCGTAGGTTTATGTTGCGGCTAATTCGAGAAACATAACGAGAGGACGTTCACCTAACGGTCCACGGCTAACTACGCCTTATTTTTTTTTGTTCCCGATACAAAATGCGTATCAATAGTCTCTATTCTAGAAGGGTAAGAGATAGCTGACTACTCTCACCACCCGCGAAAAAAAAAAAAAAAGCATACGCTTTGGACGCGCCTGGCTAATGCATCCGTCATATGGGATTTAATCTAGGACGTATACGCGATCTTGCAGCAGTTGCGGCAGGAACCCGCTGTAGAAAATGCCGACGCCGAAACACAACGCCTGCTCAACCATACCCTCCGTCTTTTCGAACGCCATGGCGCTGCACTCTCAGTGGAAGATCAGCAAAAGTTGATGCAGATCCGCGCTGAGATCAGCGGCCTGGAACTCGATTTTCAAAAGGCCCTCAACGAGGACACGACCGACATCTTGCTCACAGCTGAAGAACTCGAGGGTTGCACCAGTTCCTGGCTCTCGGGGCTGACCAAGGCTGAGGAGGACGGAAAGCAGTATCTCAGGGTTACGATGAAGACACCTGATATCCTAAACGTGGGTAGGAACGCCGCCTTGCCAGAGACACGTAAGCGAGTCGCGGTGACCTATCGCAAAGTCTGCACATCAACCAATGGACCCATTTTGGATAGATTGATCCGGCTGCGACATGAGGCGGCGACGCTGTTGGGATACAAGAGCCATGCGGCCTATCAGCTGGATATTAACATGGCCAAGACTGTGAAGGACGTGGATGAGTTTCTGGATACGATTACGGGTTCGATCTCAGGCAAGCTGAAGAGCGACAAGGATACGCTACTGGAGCTGAAACGCGCAGAGTATGAGAGGCGTGGATGGAACAGCGACTTTGATGGCCAGCTGTACTCGTGGGATGTCAGGTATTACCAGGAAATCTTGCTCAACGAGCGATATGCAGTTGACAACTCGCTGATCCAAGAGTACTTTGAACTCGAATATGTCAGGGATCAAATTATGAGCGTGTAAGTCTTCGATGCTGCGCTGGCCTTTTTCTAAAGTCCTTAGCGCCAACGTCCTTGTATGATCTGCAGATCCCCATAGCGACTAACATGAGTGATTCTATTGACCCTTCATAGCTATTCCCAAATTTTCCAGCTGAGATTCGAGCAGATCCCTGGCAAGTACTGGGCAGATGATGTGACCTTGTTTGCGGTTTACGACCAAAAGGCCCAGAACGAGGCCGGTGAAACAGGCAGCAAGGATCCATCTAGGTTCAAGCTCGGATATTTTTACCTTGGTAAGTACATGTGTCCCGTGTTGTTCATGCTTCACGTTACTGAATGAGGACAAATAATGACAGTTTGCATTTTAATTTCCCTCTATAAAGATCTGTTTCCAAGACCAGGTAATAGCGCAGGGACGAATGTATTGATCCATGCCGCTTTGTCAATGTTGCATGTACTTAACTTCATGACTATCTCTTAACAGGAAAATACGCGCATCAGTGTGTGGTTCCACTGCGCCCAAGCTATCTCGATACCAAGACCGGAGAGCGTGTGCTCCCAGTTGGCAAGTCAGACATCAAATGCGTATACAGACAACGTTGCAAATGACCTCCAAACACTTCCTTCTGACACCTTTTAGCTGCTTCCTTTTAGCTGTGAATGTAGGCAATCTCTCACGTCCGACCGCAGATCGTCCAGCTTTGCTGAAGCACAGCGAGGCCAACACGTTCTTCCACGAGTTTGGGCATGTGTGCCATGCAATGTCCAGCAGGGCCCGCTATTCGTTGTTTAACTTTTCATGGTCCGTAGTGCCCTATCCTACATCTTTGGCCATGGACTTTTTGGAAGTTCCTAGTATCATGCTCGAGAACTGGCTCTGGGAGCCCACTGTGCTAAAGCGACTCGGCAGGTAATGCCACATACCCGCTCTTTGTATAGGTTCGCATGAAAATATGGTATGATCGCACTAACGTATTCAGTGACGCTGCCCCATGGACTCTAGACATTACAAAACCAACGAGAAGCTACCTGACGACCTGATCGCGTCTCTTGTCAAGACACGCAAGGTCCTCAAGGGCCTTCTCTTCTCTCAGCAGATAGCCGTTACAGCGATCGACATGAGGCTTCATAGTATCGATCCCAGCCAACGCAAGCAATCGATCCCTGAGCTCTGGAAAGAGATGAGCGAGCGCATTGTCGGCGTCAAACTAGAGGACGAACCCGAGACCAACCCCGCATGTCAGCTGTACCACATTGCGATGGGATACGATGCCGGGTATTATGTCTATGCGTGGTCGGAGATGCATGCCCATGATCTGTACACGCGCTTCTTGGATAATTCAGCAACGGATTCACAGGAGAGGACGACTCGGGCGCTGGATAGCGCATTGGGACGAGAGTACTGGGAGAAGGTGTTGGTTCCCAATGCGACAGTTGAGCCCATTGACCTATTGAAGAGCTTTCTGGGTCGTGAACCCAACCCGCAGGCCTTCCTGCGTTATCTCACAGAGGCGTGAGGATAAATAAATAAATAAATGAAAATATGTAGTACGATATCGTAATAAACCCTCAATTGCAGCAAATGTGTTGACGTGGGTTTCATAATAACCAACCTTAAAAAAAAGAAAGAAGCACAGGACAGGATCTGCACAACGACTGCGCCCTACTGAGCACAGCAAACAAAAATTTGTGGGCAAATTGCAGGGGTGACGCACACACATAGTCTGTTGCAACAGCCGTGAAAAACTGCTCCGGCCAGCATTGTATCGATTGTGGGGGTTGAACAGACATGCTGTTGAACCCAGGGTCTTGTTGCTCATTATCGGTTAGAGTGAGTGACAGCTAAACAAGATCCTTGCCACCAGTAATGAATGCGAGCTACATTTCTCCATATGCGTCCAAGGTCTTTAGGGAAAAGTTGATGTATAGAAGAGTCCGCTGTACCAAAACCGAAAATATCCATAGCTTCAACCACAGTTCTTCAATCCTAACGCTTCAAAGGAAGCGCCACCTCACGAACTGTTACTGTCCTCGATGGGCTATGTTGTCCTCAGCGAGCTATGCTGTCCATATGTTTGGATGGCAGGACAACAGCTCAGAGATACCTGCAGGGATGTTTGCAACTGTTAGTGCTGGAGGAGGAGCAGAAACCACATCAGCAATGCAGTGGACCATCCTGTCATAGATACATTGCCAGCTCAAAGTTGTCCTAGCCTTGCACGGCAGCAACTGGCCAATAGCGCTGTAATAAAAATTGGTGGCGCAAAAAGCGCCTGCTGTAAGATCCATTGAGCGACTGTATACGTCTCTGTACTTTAATATATCACCTATCTATAGACCTCCTCCTCCTCTCCCCTTCTACAGCGGTAACTCACAGATTCGCCGTCGAGACAAACTGAGGCTCCCCAATAGATACCGTCGGTGACGAGGCCGTCGGTGTCGACGAGAACGGGGCTAAAGCCCTTCGAGCCGTCATGATTCTCATCGCCAGCCGAAGACAACACAAATCCACAGCCACGACCTCCCACGCAAACTCGATCCCATACAACAGATGGATCCCCTTCACGATCCGCTGCGCGATAGTCTGGTTAATCATCACAAACCTCTCATCCACGGTATATGGCATCGTGTCCTCGTCGAGAGCGAAGCATCGTTGGACATAGGGTAGCAATGTTTGACTGATCGACGCTACAGTCAAATCCTTGTCGTCTTCACGGCTCGGGACTAATTTTTCATAGACCCCAAAATAGAATCGTTAAACGCTAATATCGCTCGTGCGCTCTCTTGTAGCATTTTTTTTCTCCATTGAACGTCAACTTACGCTTGATCTCAAATGGAGTGGTATATGCCATCACGTTATACCGATCATGATGATGGTACCTAAACTCAAATGTCCCTTCGAACCAAGGCAACTTGTCTCCCAGGAACGTAACTTGTCCACGACAGAGCTCCTGTCCATCCATCCAAACAACCTCCTCCTCCATCACCTCGCCATCCCCATTCCCTGCATGATCATCCACTCCTTCCTCGGTTTTACCCAGCCTGATATCGCAGCCTACGAACAGATAACGACCTTTCGATGCCACATTGGTGACCTTGTGGGATGTGTTGCTCGACACCTTGTAAATACCGATCCAGTCCTTGGATCCGTGATTCAATGGCGCCGTCCACTGAACTATGAGTTTCTCACCGAGTTCGTACACCGGCGCTCCCGCCGAGTTGAGCTTTGGGAGCGCTTGGAAACCATCGCTGCTGCTATTGCTGTTGTTGTCGTTGATGATCTTGATGGAGTACTGGGACATATCATACACGCCCATATCGTCCCATGTTCGTCTGCACACAAATGCATAAAATATTATTTGATTAACATCTGCGGGGCCCCAAGCATGACCTGTAACGTAACATGTAGTCCTAGACAGAAAAGGAAAAGAAAGCCAACTTACCCAACGAACAACTTATCCCTAGAGTTCTCCAGCAACGCTTTGGAATTCGACATCATCTCCTGGATCCTGGGTGCGACTACGCTCTGGACCAACTCCGTCGTACCCTCGACCAGCTCATGCGCCCTTCCCGAGACCACCCTTGTACGCTGTGCCATATCTGTCTCACCCAACTTCTCTCGGAACTTGTCAACCTCGTCCTTGACCTTTTGAGGGAGAATTTTGGCCGCCTTGACTGTCTTGACCACCCCAGCATCCTTACGCAGTTTATCGCCATAGATCTTGCGCATATGCGGTGACTCCACATAGTGCAGGAACAAGAAATTGGAGATCTGGGAAAAAAGCGCCAGGATAAAGATGGACCAGCTATTGCAGATTAGTGTCATGCCCCAGAACGCGGCATGACCCATGACCTTTTCAGGGTTGTTGACAAATCTATACCGTATATAAGCCATTGCAGGCATCAGTTTATGGCTCTTATGGTTCTTCACAGACGCAAAATCCTCTCTCCACGCACATAACCGGTATCGCTTGCTTACCTGTAGATACCAGTGTAGAACAATCCACTAGACGATTCTTCAATAAAGAAGTCGCCATAGAACCATCCAAAGTCTCCAAGGACCTCAAACACCGAAACCGAAGCCCAGACATGCAACGCAATCAATGCAAGTCCCAGAATATGTCGCAGCAACACGGTTCCATAGGTCCAATCATCTGGGATCGAGTACATCTTGAACGCCGCCAAGGAGAATGTGGCATAAGTCATACTGTTCGACAGATTGAAGATACTCTTCCAGCTCTGGAATGCATCCTGTACTGTGCCGCCATGCTTGATAAAATGCTTAGTATAAAACTTGTTCACGCTTTGCATACTCAGCACCGCACCCAGAATATAGGAGTGGAAGATACGCCAGACCAATGCTTGGAGCACGATCATGGACGTAATGAAACTGGGTCCCATGTTCGAGATCAGTAACGGCACAACGGTTGCGTACAGGATGATGAGCGCCACAAAGATATCCGCAGACCGAAAGATGTCAAAATTTTTGAACACGATGAGGTCTCGTCGGAAGTAGGTGTTATACATGTCCTTTGATCCGCAGGGAACTAGCGTTGCTGTTTGGTCCAGCCCTGTGGTGGGGGCAGTACTGGATACATTTGGCAAAGTTGAGTCCGGCGCCTTCCTTCTTAGCGCTACCGTACGCTTCTTGTGAACCAAAGGTGTGTTGTACGTCTTGTCGATGTCTAGAGGTGAAGAATAATACAGATATCATTAATGGATATTTCACAAAAAAAAAAAAAGTACAATCCTCCTAGCAAAGACATATCACGTTGCAACGACGCTTACGAGGATTCTCGACTAGAGTCAGGAACACAAACTGGGCAGCGTGGGCAAACAGGGAAACAAAGAGCACCATGTACGACGCCATCATCAAGGAAATGCCATAGTATCCTGCATATCCGACCGAATACATTGGATGCGGTGCCATCTCAAAAACTCCATCGAACGTTAACGACTGCTCGATTAAAAAGAAAAAATCGCCCCAGTCTAGGTACACCAAGGGAAAAAAAAGACCCGTTTAGCTGTTTAGTTTAAAATGACTTGGTATAATCCAACCATGAGAATACATGTAACCTCAGAAACGCAGCACTTACACCATGCAAAGTCTTTAACGACTCTATGAGCATCCAGCTTGACCCAAACATTGAACAACACTAGGACAAGACCTCCAATCCACCGCAAAAGATGGCTAAAGAATCCATATCCTTCCGGCAATGTGAGCCACGACAGCGCAAAGCAGACATAGGACGTAAAGTCGTTCATGAGGATCAAATCGACTAGCTGTCGGTACAGGAGCCACGTGTTGTACTCGATAGGCACAGCCTGTGCGAGCCGAAACAGATCGATGAGATATTGGTTAAAAAGCGAAAGAGAGATAGAAATCATGTCGAGTCCATAGTCGTCAGGGATGACAGAAATCTGATCTCATTCCCGTTGCAGCGATCCAAAGGAACGGTTCCTTACATCGAATTGATAGTCGCTGCCCATCTTGCAGCTGAGTTCGACTTTGAGCCATCCATACCAGGGACTCTTTCGGTTTTTGTCAAAGATCCCCTTCTCCCTCGCCCAGGCGACCAATGCTCGACGTTCGCTCTGTATCTTGAGCAAATAGCCCAGCCCGGCATTGTACCCCGCTCTCCATCCAAGAAACAAGAACAGGAAGAGCCATCGTCTCACGACCAAGGGCAACGCAAAGAAGAGCAAGACCTGGACACCCATCACCGCCAGAGTGATGATATCAAAGGCCGACTTCTTTTTTGACATGTCGAACAGCTCGCTAACCATGTCCTTTGTCACAGGCACGCGAAAGACTGGACATTGTGGATGTATAGACATTGAACATTAGAATAAGAAAAATCTCGAGCCCACAGTCAGCACCGTAACCATGAGCTAGCTCTATACAGTATGACATCGTTTTCCTCCAAAAAAAAAAGAGAAAAAAAACATACTGGTGCCATTGGGCGTCTTGCCATACGCTGTCTCTTCGGATTCCTTGACCAGATTCTCCTTCTGGGCTGCTGTCAGTTTCTGAGCCGATGGGAAGGTGGTCAATCCATCGCTTTGAACTCGACCGCGCGCAGCCCTTGGCGATGTGCTCACGGTCCCATTGCCATTGCTAGAGTTTTCGTCTGTATCGGCCACGCCCTCGGTGTTGCCGTTGATATCTGAGGCAGAAGCGCCATCGCAATGATGATGCTTGTTGGCAGTGGAGAGTCCAGCAGTAAAGGGGAGGGTTGTGTCGAGTGGGTCGTCTGTCACTGGTTTACGGTTGCGAAGTTCTGAATCCATAATGGCGGAGACCGATAATTCGCCTGTGCTCTCTCGTTCTCTCTTTCAAAGTCGACGGTGCACACAGCAGGTATGTTGAGCCCTGCTGAAGAATAAGAGTTTGTCAAAGAGCCAGTTGAATGACTTTTCGAGAGGAATGGAAGAGGAGGAGGAGAGAGAGAAATGACGAGAAAAGTGGCAGCTCGCTTCTCATTCTTTTTTAACGAGAGCGTGGGAACTATCATCACGGGAGCATGGTGCAGAAATCGCGACGCGGTCGTGTTTGCGCGCGAGATTATATTACAATAACTATGAGAGTGAAATGTCTGTCTATTGGTCTGCAGAGAGAATCCGCACCACATGCGCAAGATCACCTCCCTCCCGATCCAGGATCCCCTCAACACGCGTGTCAATCCATCCCCACGACCGTAGCCATGCCAGCTTCTTGATCCGGATTTCCTTCTCTTGCACCTTGTGCCACCCCTCCTTGACCTGCTGCTCCACCACCCGTCTTTGCGCCTCGTCAATCCTCTTGACACCAACAACAAAGCCTCCACTGATCGGCCTGTGGTCCGAGACACGGCACTCGTTGCGCTTGTAGAACAGCTGTCGGACATGGCGGCCCCTCCAGAGAATCCGATCACACCAGGCAGGCGTTCGATGCTTAGATGAGGTGTCATAAGTGTCCGTGCCAGGGTCATACTTGTAGGTCGGTGCAAACAGCAGCTCGCTCTCATTGAATGCGCGCAACACAAACTGTGGGTTCTTGAGCTTTTGAAGCAACAGCTGGTCGTGCTGATGCAGATACGCCCAGTCCTGCGCCTGGACTCGTGCGACTGCGTCACTAAACTTGACGTCGATACGGTAATTCAGATCTCCAGATAAGAAGCAAATCTCATGGTCCATTGCCATCGTTCCGTCGCCAAACCAAAAGACTTCTGGGTGCACAGTCTCGGACGAGATCGCCGGATTAGGGTGGGTCAGCTTTTTAAGCACATTGGCCGCGTCGGTGTTGCGCTGCCTTGTGTGGGATTGACCTGCAGCCAAGTGACAGTTCACAAACGAGATCGAAGTGTCGTCGATGATGAACCTTGTTGCAATTCCACCCTACACGAGTGCAAGTAAATTCCGTTAGCATAGTTCTCCTTAACAGTGTACAAACTGGCCTGTCAGGGCCGCAGCGAACAAAAGAATGTCCCGCTTACCTTGTTGCCGTGGTATCCTTTCAAGCCAGTCTTAACCATGTCCACATGTGTCCACTCGCTTCGAATGTTGTTCCATTCCTGGTCCCGTACAAAGACGCAGCTGAAGAGACCGACCAGGTTGGAACACTCGAGCAGCTTGAAGTTAACTCCCATAGGCGAATACAGCTCCCGAATCTTATTCGTCAGATAGATCTGCCAGCGCTTGTACTGCTTTGAAATCGTCTCTGTTTCTGCTCGTTTCGAACCCTTCAATAATGATTCTAATGGAATAAAAAAAAAAGACAGAGAACAAAGTGTGAGAAGCCACGATCCCGCGTCCACAAATGAACATGACGCATTGACAATGCTTTGAAAGGGGTAACTTTACTGGCAGTCATCTTCTTGCTCTCCAGATCGACAATCTCTTGGAATCCAACGCTGATAATGTCGGGTGGTCCTTCTTGGTCCATGCCGGTGAGCCATGACTCAAATAGCCTTCTATCTGCACCGCCATTGACATCCTGCGCTGCGGGCTTTGATGCATCAATATTCCATGAGCAAATCAAGACCTTGAGATCACGCCACTGACAGTATTCTTTGCTTCGATCGACCATTCCTTTGGCTATTAGTATAGCATTGAATGTCAAAGTTAGCACAAATACTGAATGTGAAAAGGTAAAAGGAAGAGAATGAACAAAAAAAAAAAAAACAACGCTTACTTTGACGATCTTTCGCCATGAGTCCGTCCCAGATTTTGATTTCGCCATTCTCTGCGCAGCTGCCGACCTGGTGTCGGGATCCAAGGATCAATCCCTCTTCGTCCAGTTGGAGTATTGCGACACCGGATTCCTTATGCGCCTGCCAATCCTTCATGACGACTGGAACTTCAGGGCGCAGATCGAGGACATAGATCTTTCCTGTAGCAAATCCTGCCCAGAGATACGACCCGACACCCAATAGCGACATGATCCTGTAGGCGTGTACGTTGATGATCCGGACCTTCTCGCGCGATTCAATAGACCAGATAATGACTTTGCCATCCTCGTGTCCTGAAAAAACCTGGCCGCTTCCCGCAATCGTCGCCATGCAGGTCAATGGACCGATTCCATATGGTACGTCCATCGAAATTGGAGCCATCCTCGGTCGTCCTGCATCCGGTCCTACTCGCATCACATGGATGCGGACTCCATCCGACGACCACAGCATGTCCTGGACAGCAATGGCGCACACCTGTTTTGGTGGAATTGTCAATGACTGGAGTGGCGCCTGAATGGTGGGACGGCCAAGCATTGTGTCCTCTTGCCACACAAAGACGGATCCTGTGTCATCAACTGTCCAGACCTGAGTTTTGCAGCGAATAATCTGAGTGATGCATCCTCCTTTGTGAGCCGCCCGCTTCTTTTCCACGACCTCTCTCGTCTTGGTGTCAATGACCTGCAAAGAGCCTTCGCTCCATCCAGCCCATAAATACTGACCCAACGAATCCGGACGTCGACTCTGTGTGAACATGAGCGCTGTTGGTTTGGTGTCTTTTTCGTGCCCATATGATGAAATGTTTTCGCCAGTCAAGACAGAGTAGATGCGGATATTGGAGGTCGCTGTCGCCACTTGTTCATTCGAGATGCTGAATGCCCTGACTCCATGTGATTTCTGCTGGATGTCGTGGATTCCAATCACATCCGAGAACAAGGGAAGACGCCGATTGGAGCGAGAGTAGTCTGGAAACACGCCATCGGTCGCAGAAGGTCCGGTTCCGGTTGGATGATTTTGAAGTGCATACGGTCCTCTTCCAGCGTCTGATTCTAGGTCCAAAGTCGGACCCGGCGACGTGAAGGATGCTGGATCATGTGGTGGTTGGGGACGTCTTCGGATCGATGGTTTGGGAGGGAGAGCTGGGGCGGCAACCTGATCTGACACTGAAAAACTTGCCTGTCTGGGCGGTGGAGCCTTCGAAAGTGGCCTTGCAGGTAGTGAAGGGGGGGCTGGCGGTTCCATAAATGTCCTTGCCCGCGTCGGACGCGGCGAGGCGCCTACAGAGCTCATAAATGGATTGGCAGTCATCGAGGGATTATATTCCTCCGCATCGTCGTAATCCTTGTCCGAGTCGTCGCTGGTCTCGTCCGAATCTGACTGAGAATCACTGAGATCCATATTGGCGAATCCTCGTTCGGGCACAGGGCTCGTGGTGGTTGTATGGGAGGAGGAAGGCGAAGAGGAGGACGTGGAAAAGACACGCTTCGACTGCGCTGGAAGATGATCATAGGTCTGTTGAGGTGCAGTCAGGTTACGAAAACGCGAGGCGTTGGCGACCATCCCGGACTCCCCAGGAGTAGAGAAATTTGGCGAGGGTCCCCGTGGCTGCTGGGCTGAGGAGAGCGGCACCAGCTGCACACTTGATCGTCTTGGCGGAGGAGGTACGGGTTGTGAAGGCGAAGACATGGCGAGGTTGTGTCCAGGAAACGAAGGCGGAGGCATAGGCTGAACACTAGAATGTCGCTGTGAAAAGCTGCTCTGGCGCCCGGGGATGGGTGTGCTACTGCTGCTACTGCTACTGCTGTTGCTGTTGCTGGCTGGCTGTTGCGCTGAAGGTGTATGGCCTACCAAAGGAGAGCGGGATCTTGGGGGTAGAAAAGGGATTGAGGATAGTGGTGGAGGAGAGCTCGCGGCGCGTGGACTGGATGGGTGAGAGCCATGCTGAGGTAGGGGTGCATGAAGCGAAGGCGAGCTTGGAGCTCCTCCCTGTTGCAGTCGGGCGGTTAGAAGCGAGGGCTGGTTCTGTGCCCTTGCTGTGAAAGATGGTGAAGAGATTGGTGCAGCAGGAGTTGATGTGGGTACCGTGGTTGCAATGTTGTTGTTATCACTGAACGGGTCCTCTGCTTCCTCGCCCTCTGCCTCGTCTTCTGCGATACATTCCTCTCTGTGATCCTGATGCGCGTGCTGCTGTTGTTGCTGCTGTAGTAAGAGTTGTTGCTTGGCAACAATGGAGGATGTTGTAGCAGACACAAAGGAGCCAGAGCCGCCGGAAGGTCTTAAATAGGCAGGGGAGGCTGGATTGGTCTGGGTCCGGAGATGTGAGAGTGCTGCTGATGCTGCTGATGTTGGTGCGATTCCAGGGGCGAAGGAAGATACATGTGAAGTGGCCGGTGAGTTTGTGGAGGAACCGGGTGCAGAGGCGAGTCCATTGATGGCGTGGGCGTGGTTGTTGAGGTGGTTGTGCGAGGCAGCGAAAGAAGAGGATGTGCTGGTTGCAGACGGGTGTAGGATCGAGGAAGGGGACGAGGGCGAGGTTGAAGTGGAAGTAGAAGAAGGAGATAGGGTTGTTGCTGGTCTGGGAGCAGGGAGGGGAGGGGTGTTGGAGGTGAAGGAGTTGGCAGCGAGGGTGGCGATGGCAGCGGCGGTGAGGGAGATGGGCTTCCTTGGCGGCAAGGGCGAGGAGAGTGCGGTTGGTTTTGGTGGCGGCGAGGGAGCGAGTGCCTTGTTGTTGTTATTGTTATTGTTGTTATTGTTGTTGTTATTGTTGAAGGAATTAGTAGTAGTGGTATTGGTAATGGTATTGGCATTGGCGTTGGCATTGACAGTAGTAGTAGTAGTAGTAGTAGCAGTAGTAGTAGTAGGAGTGTTGCTGTTGATGCTGTGGGGAGCAAGGATCATGGTTGTGCGTCGTGATGGCGGCAGCGGAGGAGGGGGCCGCGCGGTGAGGCCCTGACTTTGGCTTTGACTGGGGGCGTGGTTGTGGCTGTTGTTGGTGAAGTCCATGATGGATGACGACGTGTTTCTGTGTCTGAAAAGAGTGTTGAAGTGGGAAAAAGAGAAGAAGAAGAAGGAAGGGACGAAGAAGGAAGGGAAGAAGAAGGAAGGGACGAAGGAAGCGACGAAGGAAGCGACGAAGGAGAGAGGGAGAGCAGGATGTAACGGGATGCAGGGATGTAAAGGGAAGGAGGCGAAGGAAAGTAAAGGAATGGAGTGAGAAAAGAGAAAGAGGGCGAGGAGAAGAGAGGGCGAGAGAAAGAGAGGGAGGGGGGAGCACGCTCGTCGGTGGCTTTCTTCCTTTTCGATGATCTCCCACTCCCCCATCCCATCCTCCCCCAGCTCCCCAGCTCCCGTCTTACCTCTTTCCTTCCCTGTCCCCGACTTCCCTTCCCCTCCCTTCCCATCCTTCCTTTTCTTCCCTTCCTTGCCTTCCTTCTCTTCCTTCACTTCCTTCCCTTCCTTCTCTTCCTTCACTTCCTTCCCTTCCTTCCCTTCCTTCCCTGCTTTTGTTGCATACTCCTCCCTCTACTTCTTCTACTTCCTCTTTTTCATCTTCACCATCCTTCCTTTCTTCCTTCTTTCCTTCCTTCTTTCCATCCATCCCTTTCTTTCCTTTCTTCCTTCACTCCCTCCTTCTGTGTTTTGAACATCACGCATCATGGACAACAGCATCCATCCCCGCCGTCCCAATCATCCTTCAATACATCCTTCTTCTCGTCGCCATCAGCGCAGCCAGAGCCAGCCAACGGACGACGAGACCATATACCCTTCCCCTGCCCCGTCTCCCAGACCTGGTCTCCGCCTGTCACTCCATCTCTCCAACAACAAGATCGACATCACCTCCCACTCCCCCTCTTCCTTCTCTTCCTTCTCCTCTTCCTCGTCTTCCTCCTCTTCCTCTTCTTCCTCAACCACTCCACACCCGCCACAGCACACCCACCACCACCAGTTCCCTTACTCCTCCGCAACTCCGCGGCACTCAACTTCCTCGTCCTTGTCCATATCGTCACAATATACCTCTGCCACTGCTTCCTCCGCCTTTGCCCCGTCCTACACCGGTCTCACAGATACCTCTTCCTCCTCAACCACCACCCCCAACCACACCCCTCTCAATGGATCGCCATCGTCCCCCTTTTTGGCCAACGATTCTCCTTCAGCCGAGACCGCCGCACACAGCAGCAGCAGCAGCAACAGCAACAGGTCCAGTTTCAACTTCACTGGCCACACTCTTAGGGGCAAACGACCCGCGTCCTCCTCCTCCCTCTCCAGACTCGCTGCCTTCACCACCAACGACGGTTCCACAAAGACCCTAATGTGCTGCCCACATTGCACCGCCCCCCTCTCTGTAGCCATCGTTCAAAGACCGCGACCCATCTCCACCCCGTCCTCTGGCTTCATATCTCCGTCCTCCTTCCCCTCCTCTCCAACCACTGCACCCTCGCCATCGTCCACTCCCACTCCCGCTGACACCATCAGCACAGCCCCGCTCCCATCCCCTTCCTCCCCAGCAGCATCCCAGACCCAGACCGTCTCCTCTTTAGCCCAGGCCTTTCAAACCCTCTCGTCAACCGCCCAAATCGCCTTGCTGGCCCAGCTTGTCAACATCTGCACCATCTCCCAGCTCACCCACCTCTCCTCCATCATCGCCCCAAAACTTAAACGCGACTTCCTACGGGACCTGCCTCTCGAACTCGCCCACCATATTCTCTCCTTTGTCGACGACCCACAATCGCTAGCAAGAATCAGCCAGGTATCGAGGTTCTGGCACGAGCTAGTCGAGACCGAGGACTGGGTCTGGCGCACACAATGTGTCCTGCAATTCGGCCCAACCTCCTGTTCCTCCTTGCCAAGCCCAAAGTCTTATAGGGCCCCGAGGATGGGTTTTCTGTATTCAACGAGTCCGACGAGTCTGGATGCAGTGTCAAACACGCTGAAGGCGCTTTCCAACACTGCCAGTAGTGCAAATGGGACTAGTAGTGCTGGCGGCGGATCTAGCGTGAATTCGTCCCATCGGCTATCGCTCACCTCGACTGCCACTGCTAGTTCCGGTTTAGTTTCAGGAACGACGACCACGACAACAGGTGAGCCGACTTGTTCTTTGACAAGAGCTTCTCCAGCCTGGGCGAATACCCGTGAGCTGCCCCTGATCTCGACTTCGACTACTCCTTCTCCTTCGTCCGCGGGACTGGGTATCGCAGCCGTGCCAACACCGACTAGCGGTAACAATACTGCAACCTCGACGGTCCTCTCTTCGATGCTGTTGGCCAATCAGGGGTCACTCTCTTCTCCACTGTTGCATCATGGCCCATGCGACAACAATAGTAGTGCAGGTGGTACAACCTCTATATCCATGTTGCGCTCGGGCATGACATCAAGATTGACAGCTACGTCAGCTGCAGCTTCGACCTCACCTTCAACCTCAACCGCTGTGTCAGGATCGGCTTCTCCGACATCACTGTCGTCTCCAGAGGCACTCGGTGGCGTCATGTCTGCACTGTCGGTCTTGGAGGGGAAAACCAAGAGGACGACCCCTGATACCCCATTGTCGGATTTGCAGCTGCAACAAAGCCTTCTTTACAGTGGACAATTGGTATTACAGCAACAGCAGCAGGAGCAGCAACAGCAAGCGCGACTGTACCGACAGACGACGTCGTACAAGGCGTACTTCAAACGACGATATATGATTGACCGCAATTGGTTCTTGGGACGGCACAGTCTTATTTCAAACACCACACCGGAAACTGGAGTCGTGACCTCGCTGCAGTTTGATCATCATCATATTGTGGTTGGATGCGATAACAGCCGGATTCAGATCTTTGAGACAACAACAGGTCGGTTATTGAGGACCTTGAAGGGCCATTCAGGAGGCGTCTGGGCGCTAGAATTCGTCAAGGGCGTGGGTGCTACGGGTGAAAAAATCTTGGTTTCGGGGGGATGCGACCGGTATGTGTGCTTGATTTTTGCTTTTAGGTTATTTTGCATTGCGCGTTTTGTTTAACCCCTGTCCTTGGACAGTACGTCATATACGACATGTTCTCTAATCTTACATTTTTTTTTTTTTCTTTTTTTTTTTTTTCTTAGTGAGGTGCGTGTCTGGGATATGAACACAGGATGGTGTCGTCAGGTTATGTCTGGCCATAGCGGTACGGTCCGCTGTCTGAAGTTGCATCAACTTCCTGCTAACACCAGGACCAGCAATAGCAACAGCGGCAGTAGTAGCAGCGCGACTATCTCTGCTCAGGAGACTCAGCCACGACAACATTTAGCCATCACCGGATCCAGGGACGCAACCCTTCGAGTCTGGGACATCCAGACCGGCAAGAACATCTTTCTACTCCAAGGTCATCGGGACTCTGTGCGGTGCATGGAAGTCCGTGGGGAACTGCTGGTCTCGGGATCATACGACTGCACCGCCCGTGTCTGGAGTCTGGTCACTGGAGAGTGTCTGCTGGTCCTGCAGGGTCACTTCCAACAGATTTACTCGATTGCATTCAATGGCGAATACATCATCACCGGCTCTTTGGACTCGACCTGTCGACTCTGGTCACCCGTCTCGGGACAATGTCTGGCGACCCTGCAAGGGCACACTCAGCTGGTCGGACAGCTGCAGTTGTCCGGCGACAGTTTGATGACCGGCGGAGGGGACGGGTTCATGTACCTGTGGAACCTTAAATCAATGGAGTGTCAGTATCGGGTACAGGCCCATGACCAGTCCGTGACAAGTCTGTGCTTCGACGCCAAGAGGATCGTCACCGGTGGAAACGATGGTGCCGTCAAGCTCTGGGATCGTCAGACAGGCAAATTTATCCGCCTGTTGACAAAGACCGATGCCGCCATCTGGAGGGTCGCTATCTGTGAGGAACGCGTCGTCATGTGCATGCAGAAGAATGGACACACCGCCATGGAGGTCCTGTGCTTTGATTCTGAGGCGCCCCTGTTGCCAGATACCCACACAACCACGTTTTTGCAGGACCATCTCCTCCACCATCCTCACTCTTAGCAGCATGTCATCATATTGCGTCCTCTGTTTTTGTAACAGCATGAATAATAATAATCTCTGTGCATGACATATCCTTTTTTCATTTTTTTTTTTTTTTTTTTTTGTCTGCAACGTGCCAATGGTATTTATTGGTAGCGAATGAATACATTTTGCCCTTGTAGATAATTTGTCAAACCCAAAGTTTCTAAAATCTTGATAACTTGATGGTTCATCTGATGTGCAGGATGTCCTGGATCCAAGATGCTCCTGAAACCCGCCTCCTCCTCGACTTCCGAACCCTTCTTGGCTCCATTCGCGGGGGATGACAATGCATTATTTAGAGTCGAATGGTCTTCGCTCCTACGCCCAATAGACGATCCGCCTCCTGCAATAGTCGTTGCCGCCACAGAATGAGAACTCGAAGAACTAGAAGCCGAGATGGACCGCTGCATGCTGTTCGACCCAGGCCGCGTTAGCGACGCCACCGATGATGCTGCCGAAGACGCAACCGAAGGCCGATAGAACCCTCTGTTGGCATTCTCCTGTCCAGTAACAGCCGAAGATGCTGCAGAAGGTGTTGGCGATGACTTGAACAGGTGGTTCGTCGAAAGCGGATCGACCACCGTCTTCTTAATCCGTGCACTGGTCTTTCGAATCGCCTCGTTCAAGGGGTCCAGATGATTCGTCAGCATCTCATTAATAAAAGGATGTGGCCCCAAAGGACTGGAAGTATGAGTTGTCACCCCTGTCCCATGGTTCGCAGAATTGGCTGCAGCCTCCAGAGCAGCTGTGGCGCTCAGCAACGTCCTTGATCCAATAATCCGTCCAGAAGCAGCGCCTGAACTCGGCCGGGAGAGCATTGCTGAAACACCTCCGTTCGCCACTGCCGGAGACGGCAGTGCAGACGACAACGAAGATGTCGACGAGGACACTGAGGCTGAAGCAGAGTTCAGCGCTGAATCAGCCTCAGTCGATGCAAGCAAAGCCTCCTCTTCTGCATCCGTTGGTGCTAAATTCTTAGGATCCGACCCTCCAAGAGCCGTCGTGGTTATAGTTGCTGTCGTTGCGAGTGCCTTCTGGAGTCCCTTGTGTGTCGATACCACGGTCCCCGAGGACGACCCAAGGCCCATGAGGTCGCTTGGTCGCCGACCTAACGTTGTAGGTCTTTGTGTAGATGACGGAGTAAAGGACTCTGTGATAGAGATAGATGGCGATCCCATATTGACAGAAGGTGCTCCAGGGTTGGCAGAGACTGATGTGGTTACTACCATTGGCTGCACAGAAGTTCCAAAGAGAGCCATAGTTGGTGCCACTGACTTGCGGCACACAAGCTGTCGACACTGGATAAGAAGGTGCAGCCATTTGATGTACCGGATCACCATGGCTTCCATTCGCTGGATACCGCTGAGTCGGCTCGGAGGCGGGTGCCCTATGTGCTCGATGGGTTGCTGCTGCCTGCTGAAATCTCCTGGTCCTGGACCAAACTGTGGAATACCCCTGACCCTGCTTCGTATCCTGGACCTCGATCTCTTTTCATCCTTCAGGGCGGATCCTGCGGAACTGCCGCTCGTCAATGATTGATCTGCCTGGGTTTGCAGTGTAAAGCTACCGTCGTCTTCTTCATGTTTGTCAAATCGAATGCCGACGTATTCTGGATCCAGCTCAAATAATGCAATGAGGTCTGCGTCAGGATCCAGGTCCGGCTCTTTGTCCAAGTCCTTGTCGGGGCCATATATTACATTGGACTCAGCAATGATATTCACGATCTGTTTGTCGATACCAACTTCCAATGCAAGTTGACAGAAGAGATGCAAATTAGTATCTTCATTTTACAAAATTGTAAGTATAAATGTAATACAAAAGTACTCACTTTTTGACTCTGTCAAGGCTCGCTCGATTCGCCCCGTTAACATGCCCAACGGCTGGGAATGATAGTCTTGATGTCCCGAACTGGTTTTCTTTTTGCGCTCCAAACTCCTAATACCCTTCTGGACTCGTTCACGGAACTGCGCCTCTGCCAGGGCCAGCCTTTGCAGACGTGCCTCCCCTAACCGACTCTCTGCTGCCTGCTGCGCTGCAGTGTTGCCCTGGCTCTCCTTTCCAACGCCAGTGCCGCTCTTGGCGAGCACAAATTCAATCAGCAGCTCAGCTGCCATCTGGATAGTGATGATTCTAAAGCGATGCGCCCCGGACTCTGGCATTCCGCATATTATATCCATCAGTCGATCCATCAAATCCTCACGATTCTGGATGATCGGTCCAATCTGCGTACTGACAGAATCTTGCAAGGATTCCGTCTCATCCTGTTGCTGCTCACTCTGTGGTCGAGGCGGCAATGGCGGTGGGACGGTGGAGTCCAGCTCTCTGATCTCTGCCTCTCTTGCATCCTTTGGAACTTCTGAATCTTCTTCATCTGATGAAGGATAGGGATTTACCGCTTCACGATCCTCCTTTGAAGTGTAAACAGGTCTCAGTTCTTGCTCTATCGTACGATCATGCTCTGGTCGCTTAGCAGGATCCTCTGAAGTGGCTGGAAAGATGGGACCCAGCAATGAAGAGGCCTTGCTGCCCTTACGTACTCTGGACCTTGCCTTTGCCTTCACAAAGACATCATCATCCGTAGCGCGACTCCCTGAAATAGCGGATGATGAAGGCAAGCTGCTGGACAAAGTCCGTAAGGATGCGCCTGCTAGGGATAGCGACGAGTTTGGAGGCAGTGCTGGTCCCGGATCTTCAGACGCTAACAACTCTTGCGTCTCCTGCGTTTCTTCGCTGTATTCCTCCGCTTCGAATAGTGGTGATTCTGTCCTGGTTCGCATTCTGGCTGCAGTCGCAGATCCTGCAGCACCAAAAAGACTACCATTGATGGTCGATGACCCCCCCGGTCCAGGAGTTGAAGCATTCCATGGGATAGCCCCTCCTGCGCCGCTAGCACTTAGCATCGAATCCGAAGAGCGTTCCCGTGACATGGCTGTAGTCCCTTGTGAACCTTTCGTTGCTGGCGCTGAAGACATTAGATTACCCTACAGCATTGAACAAAGACGTCAATCCTTGTTCTCGAGATGCTCGCCGATGCCTTCGATTGCTCCAAAACATACCATAAGCATTTTGCTTTTGAGTAATCGCTGCGGGTATATATCAGTACCGAGAAGGACATCCGACATGACGCCTACGACAGACAGAAGAGAAACCCGGTTAGTATCACATCAACTACAGCCGAGTGGTTCGAGTTAATCAAAGATTATACCAACCGGGGTTGTGCCCTGTAAGATACACAAGTGTGAGTGCTGGTAGGACAAGACGGTCACTGTCGACACGACTCAAGTATTCATAGATCAAGGCTTTGTAAGGATTTTGCTGTTGCTGTAACGCACTCGATGGGAATGAACGTGGCGATGGTTGAGAATGCGGCGAAAGTGAGTGTTGAATGTTGACGTGGGCTTGAGGCGCCACAATGCTAGAGGCCGACAGATAAGAATCCAGACTAGCAGGACTGGAGCCCAGCAGACCGAATGAGTGGAACTTTGAAGTGACGGGACTGGCGGGTCGGCTGGATTCCGGGGATACTGAAAGACTTCCGAGCACCAGCGGCGAGGGCGAGTGACGCAAATGAGACTGAGAAATATGCTGATGCTGGACATGAGATGAACGGTACTGGTTTGAAAATAAGGTCGAAGTCAAGGCTGAGACTAGTGGTGCATGTTTGAGCACATGGAACGCATGTAGCAGAAGTGATAGAGCCACTAGTGGCATCAATTTTGGTGACTAGGGTGCGATGACCGTGAAAAAGCAATTGTACATTAGTAGCCAACATTCACGTGGATTCGCGCATATTGTTCATCGTACTCAGCACCGATATCGGCACTTACAGGCGCTGACGAAGATGACTTGTTCGACGAAGATCCCTGAGCGCCTGTCGGTAGCAAACTGTCCAGATACATAGGCCTCAACAGCCGATTCAGCAGATGCGAAATTAAGATCTTATTGACCTTGGACACGTCCAGTTCAATGATGTCGTTCACATAGTAGAAGCAATCCATGTGTTCCGCCAGATAATAATTGATCCGCGAGAATTCGCCATCCCTAATGTATTAAGAGTACATCGGATTCGATTGAATGAGAGCTATGTTGGGTGCGCAGAAATTCGTGCAAAAATGCCAGTATGATCCCGGTTGCTCGGTCAGTAACATACCCGGGATATAGAAGCATATCATTGATGGTCGTCCCGTAATTGCCAATAAACCAAACCAGGTTTGAAAAGTAGGTCGTCGTCGTCCGATCTAAAATGAAATCCTGCATTTGATGATCATTCACACTGTAGACATTGAGTGTGATAACGCGGACTGCAATCCTGATCATGCTTTCCTCATGATTAAAGAACTTGATGGCTTCGGAGTATCTGCAGGGTCCAAAAAAAAAAAAAAAAAAAAAAAAACGTATAAAACGTATAAAACGATCAGCGGTCCAGAAATACAGGTTACCAATGCGACGTAAGTTGCATAGGATTCTAGCCTTACAGAGGAAAGTCATCCAGATGCTCGTTAAAGAAGAAGTAGATCGTGTCCTTGGATAACTTGAAGGACAATGTCCTGAGCAGATAAATATAGTACGCGAGGATCTCATCATTCGAAAAGTCGTACTTGAGACAGATGACCTGGTTCACGTAGTTGTTGGAGAGAAGAAAGTCTGCAAGACAAAAACTTGGATTAACTTGCCTGTCATTCATGCCGAGGCGCGATTAAGCGTGAACAAGACAAGAATGATGCCATTAACTTACACAATGATTCCCGCGATCGGACGTTTTCAAACATAATATTGAGAGTTTGGAGCACCTGGACTATTAGTGATCCATCGTGCTTGCTCTTCAAGATTTTGAGAAAGTGCCAATGCACATTCTGCTCAAAGAAATGCCTAATGATAATGACAATTAGCAGGCAAAAAAAAAAAAAAGGGGGGGGGGGAGGATGAGCACGAGTGCTAGTTAGGCATAGGATAAGCGAACGGATGGCACTGTCTCTCTGGATTGTTCCTGAGGGTTTCTCGATAGGGCCCGTGTCGTAACGAAAAAAGGATGCATTAAAGAACACGGCTGTACACTTACTCCAACAGAAGAGGATCGTGCTGATCACCCCAGATCAAGAGCTGAGTCAGCTCCTTGAGACAGCTGACAATACTCTCCTCGTTCGCATCCCCTGGAAAATGTTGAAGTTGTTCGCAGAGTGATCTATCAACGACATAAACATGACCAAGAAAAAACTGTCAGAATGATTCAACAGGAGAAGGGTGACCAACGAATGAAATAGGGATCGATGCAGGATATAAAGTTGGGCTTGTTGGCTAATGGAATCGCAGGTTGGGCGCAATACCATGCATGGTGCAGTGCTGACTCCTGAGGAGACAGTAGTACCGACCATATCACTTCACTTCCCAAACATGGACCATTAGATAGGGATTCACTGCGACAACGGCGGAGAATCCAGTGTCGCAACCAGAGCACGGTAGTAAAATGAAAGAGATAAAGAGCAAGCGAGCGGGAGGATGTGCAGAGGTTGAAAGGCAATGACGTGATGAGGGATCCTTTGAGGGTATGGTTATACCGGGACTATGGCCTGATGTTTAATCGCACGCGTATTTATCCTTTTCCCTCAAGGGCTCTGGAGTTGATCGGAGAGATCATCATACAAATCACCACGATGTCCAGAAGGGATACAAAGAGAAGTGGAGGCAAATGGAAGAAGAATATGGATGGACAAACACGCTACTTTAGGTTCTCGAGACTGAATCGTTCTGGCTTGGGCTTGTTCCACAGCAGGTTAAACATGCGAGAGAGGGGCGATCAGTCGCAGGCTGGTGGATATGGCGCGCCGGAGGAGTGAAGAGGAGACGCGGGGAAACGTGCTTCTTTTGCTTGTTGATGCAGCAATTGACAGACAACTAACTCTATGGACGGGTGGGTGAGTGCGTTTGTTGGTTCAAAGGGAAAGGGTCAAGCAGAAGAGGACGCGAGAGGAGGTCTGGGCCTAGTCCTGACGTACGCAGGGGAGTGGTGGTGGTGGTGGTGGTGATGGTGGTGATGGAGAGGGAAAGATGGAACAGAACACTCAGAGACAAGAAAGAAATAGTGGACAGATGAGCGTGGTTTTTTTTGGTGGCAAACAATAGGGACTGTTCAAGATTGTAAACCGCGAGCAAGATGGGCAGTGGCGAGTGAGTGAGTGGGTGAATAAAAGATAATGATGATGATGATGATGATGATGATGATGATGATGATGATGATGATGATGATGATGACGATGATGACGATGAGGAAGTAAGGGAAGAGACAAACTCCTCCTCCTCCTTTCCCTCTCCGTTGAAGAAGGAGGACCAAGCATGAAAGAAATCGCCAGAAAAGAAGGCCCATGCGATCCCACTGCAGGGGAGAGCGGTCACTGGTCACTGGAGTGAGAAGCTGAGCTGAGAGAGCTTTCCCCCTGGACGCAGATGCATTCCTTTTCCTTTCTTGTCACAACAACACCCTTATTCACATTCACACCCGTCATCTCTTTCATTCCTCCTCAGGCTACACCCCCTTTTTCTTTTGTTGTCGTTGTTGACGGAGTCGCCGACTAAGCAGCAAAGGATAAAAATGTCTGCTGCTCCACCTTCGTCACCTCCCCTGATCCCAAGCACCAAGCTGCTCACCCAGGATTTCTTTCCCGGGGACCATGCTACCTCCCATGGCTGCCCACATCTAAAGCCCTTCAAGAAGAACGGCGAGATCCTCAGTAACTATCAGATCCTCGCCCGATACAGTCTCCACTACAAGAACCGACATGCCCTTGGTATCCTTCCTCCGAAGGATAATAAGAAGCGACAGAAACATTCCGAGGCAAGTCCAACTCAGTTGACCTTCTCGAGGCACCTCTTGTCGTGTAAGGCTAACCTCCTCGCACGCCGCTCTTTATGTCCAAATAGGATAACCAATCGAACTCCAAACCGACGCGACAATTACCAACACCAGCATGTCTGACCTGTGAAACTGCTCTGGGAAGGATCCATGCATGTCTACAGTGCGTATACGTCGGTTGCTGGAAGGGTGAACACATCCAACACCATTCAAAGGAGACAGGACATACCTTCTGTACGTTTTCTGATTCGCCAGCTCATTACTGGAGTCCAAGACATCCAGCAACGGGCTCTGCGTTACCCTTCACTATACTTCGTTACTTACCTTATCCTCTACACATGCGCACATAGCCATGGAGATCAGCCGTTGCGGTCTGTACTGTAATCAATGCAAGGACTTTGTTTACGACCGCGACTTTGAGGGAATCCACAATGGCGAGATCATACGAAGCTCAGAGACCATTTCCATGATGCAGGGTAAATAGCAGCAACTTCATTATGTCCGATCAGACCTAACATTGGTATTTATCGCTCCAGTCCACTAACAAACAGCTATCGTGTTTCTTCAACCAGAACCAGGACAAAAGCGACCGCGATATGCCAAATGGCATGCTGGGACCAAAGAAGCTGCCGCGATCAAGGCAGGCGCAAAATTAAAGACTTGTCAGGGTAAGGTAGCAGCTTACGATATCATATGGTGCCTGAAAAGGATTGCGCACCCTTGACTCATCCTTGTATCTCAATTTCATGTGTGAATCTCCATTCAGGTCTCCGTGGTTTGCGCAACATGGGTTCAACGTGTTTCATGAATGTGATTCTCCAGTGCTTCATACACAACCCTCTGCTGAGAAGCTACTTTCTGAGTGATCAGCACAGCTCCAAGCGTTGCGAGGTCAACAACGACTGCATGGGCTGCGAGATGGATCAATTATTTACTCAGGTACGATGCAAGGTTACACAATCCGCGATCCGCAGGAAATACAACGCAAGCGAGGGCTTAACAAACATTTTTTTTTCTGCGCTGATAGTTCTACTCTGGTGCCAAGGTGCCTTATGGACCATGCAGCTTTCTTCACACTATGTGGATGTCATCGTCGGACCTTGCAGGATATGCTCAGCAGGACGCACATGAATTTTTCATCAGCGCTTTGAACCAGATCCACGCAAAATCGCCAAGTACGTCAAGGGGCCTAATGAAAATAGTATATAATTCGAATCTTGGTCGCCAATCTACTAACCACCGTTGTTCGACATGCATACAGGCGCCAAGCTGCATCACTGCAATTGTGTGATCCACAAGACCTTTGCTGGTGTGCTTCAGTCGGACGTGACCTGTCTCAATTGCGCTAACGTGACATCTGCGTTTGATCCGATCTTGGATATCTCTTTGGATCTGCGGCCTACGAAGCGGAGCAAATCTGCAGTCAACAAGGCACGCGGAGGAAACGATGAGAGAAATGACGGCCCAAACTCCTTGGCTGACTGTCTTGACAGGTATGTTCTCTGTCTTCGTGCCACCAAATACCCTATAAGCAAAGCTCGAAACGTCGAAAATACTAACCATAATATCGTGCCGCTGCTTTTGTTTAGATACACTCATCCGGAAAAGCTGGGCACAAATGAGTATAACTGCAGTAAATGCGGTAAAACGGGTCAAGAAGCCACAAAGCAACTCTCTATAAAGGTCATCCCCCCCGTACTTAGCTTTCAATTGAAGGTAATGCATCATATTCTTACTCGTTCGTCTGCCCTATCTTTTAAGGATTTGCCCTGAGATCCAGTGATCCAATATTGCTTTTCGATTTGGCAATAGCGTTTTGAGCACTCCATGGGTGCATCAAAGATTGAGACGAAAATCAAGTTTCCTGCACAGCTGGATATGACTCAGTACACGACTTCGGCCCGCAGATTGAAAAAGAACAAATTAGCAGCGCAGCAGAAAATGAATGGCACATCGGGCTCTGAGAACGGATCGCCTTCGACACTATCCTCGATTTCATCCGCATCCTCTGTCAATGCAAGCATGGAGCCGATCCCAACCTATATTTATAACTTGTTTGCGGTGATCAATCATCAAGGAAAAATGGATACCGGCCATTACACGGCCTATGCGAAGCACCGCGGCGAGGTAACTAGTCGGGAAATACAATGATAGGGCGAGATCATACTGCATGCCAGTTCCTCAATTCTAATAGGCCTCTTTGTTTGAACTCCTTTTATAGTGGTTCTCGCTCGATGACCACAAAGTGTCTCTGGCGACTCAGAAGGAAGTCCTAGACAGCAAAGCGTATGTTCCTGGACAAGTCCTGCTGCGTTTGCGTCAGTTTGGTCTGCTAACCAACTGGACTAACCACTGTTCTCTTGACCTGTATTAACCGCAATAGCTACATGCTGTTCTATGTCAAGCAAACACTGGACTACGATTTTGTCAACGCGTCAAAGGATTAAATATGGCCATTTTAGTCTGTGTTCTTAATAAAAGACATACTAGATTTTCTTTTTTTCATTTTTCATTGTAGCACAATGGAAAATAGTGATTCTCACCGGTGAACGGTTAACCGCGGTGAACAACTTTTTTTGTGATTTTTTCACCGGTGAATTCCACATATGGTAATAGTACTTCTATTTCACTGAACTTCACCGGATTTCACCGATTCTTTGTTCACCGGTGATAATCACCGGTGAACTGCGAAAATTGCACTACAACTCACCGGTGAAAAAATATTCACCGGTGAGAATCACTGATGGAGAACTATTGGGCGAGAGCTTGGACAAGCTGCAATGGCTAATGCTCCTGTTGCCCGTTTGGTTGGTTTTTCTTTTACCTAGCACTAGGCCTCCGGTTCCTATACGACATTGGAATCCAAAAATATTGTCAACTCCCGGACTAAATCCATGTAACAATCCATAACATGACCTAATGGACTGCGCTGACTGCATTGCTGATATGGTTTCTGCTCCTCCTCCAGTATTAACAATTGCAAGCATCCCTGTAAGTATCTCCGAGCTGTTGTCCCGCCATCCAAATATGTGGACAGCATAGTTCGCTGAGGACAACGTAGCCCATCGAGGACAGTAACGGTTCATGAGGTGGCGCTTCCTTTGAAGCGTTAGGATTGAAGAACTGTGGTTGAAGCGATGGATATTTTCGGTTTTGGTACAGCGGACTCTTCTATACATCGGCTTTCCCTAAAGATCTTGGACGCATATGGAAAAATGTAGCTCGCGTTCAATACCAGTAGCAAGGGTCTTGTTTAACTATCACTCCTAATCGATGATGAGCAACAAGACCTTGGGTTCGACAGCATGTCCATTCAATCCCACAATCGATAGAATGCTGGCCAGAGCAGAGTCTTTCACGGCAGCAAACTATGTGTGCGCATCACCCATGCAATTTGATGCGCAATGCAATGCAATAGTTTTCGGCCGTGCTTGCCACAAATTTGTTTGCTGTGCTCAGTAGGGCGCAGTCGTTGTACAGATCCTGTCCTGTGTTTCTTATTTTTTTTTAAGGTTGAGCTTACTAGCATGAACAAATACCAAAGTAGTGCCGCATCAAATCCTCGTGTCCCTAGTGAATCCTTGTATCAAGCATCAAGGTTGTGCACAGTTCGATTACATGAGACAACTTTCTGAAAAAGTTGATATGGACTATCTTCCTGTCTATTTCTGATAGGCGTCGCAACCTGATTCCACTCCTTGATTAAGCTGAAGTGATCAGGGCTGGGTATCCAGCGTAGGGTTTGTCGTTCCATATCGCCATTGTACTATTTCGGTCTTTTTGAGTTTTATTCTGATAACTAATTTCTATGCGAACGAATACAATGGATCTATCGACGACCACGCTCGTACTGCTGCGAGAACTTTGCCTTCACGTTCAGCTCTTTCGCAGCATTTAACACAAAGTGCGGGTCCCTGAGGAATCCTCTAGCAACGGCAATGAGGTCGGCCTTTTGCTGGTCCAAGACCTCCTCTGCCTGCTTGCCACCTGTAATGATACCAACGGCAGCAACCACGAGATCAGGGACCTCCTTCTTGACACGCTCCGCGAACTGTACTTGGTAACCGGGATAAGCCTTGATCTGCTGTTGAGCAACGTTACCACCGGATGAGACATGAAACACATCGACACCAGCATCCTTGACCAATTTAGCGATCTGGACGGTTTGCTCAATGTCCCAAGAAGGCCCGTCGAGGACGTTCTCGACCAGATCTGAAGCGGACACTCTCAAAAAGACGGGCTTCTCCGCCGGGAAATTCGCACGAACCTCCTTGATGACTTCTAGTAGGATCCTGGCGCGGTTCTCGAGGGATCCTCCGTACTGATCTGTGCGCTTGTTGGTGATGGGCGACAAAAAGTTGTGAATCAGATAACCGTGAGCACCATGGATCTCAACCGTGTCCAGTCCTGCCTTTTCGGCCCGTGCAGCGGCAGCGCCGAATGCCTTGACCACATCCTGAATCTCCTGAACAGAGAGTTCACGAGGTGCGACGTAGGTCTCGTCCCACTTGAAGGCCTCGCCGCCCGTGGGTGCGACGACATCGTCTCGCCAATAATCTTCCTCGGGCGGCGCAGAATATGGCGGATCCATGGACGCCTATTTGTTGGAATGTCTCTGTCTTAGCAAAGACATTTCTAATTTCCAGCAGGATGGTTGATAAGAACGTCATGTCACTATGACATACCTTGCGTCCAGCATGGGCGAGTTGGATACCCATCTTGGATCCCTGAGCATGAATGAAGTCTGCAACCTCCTTGATCTTATGGATATGATCATCAGACCAAAGGCCAACATCCTGGGGACTGATACGGCCTCTACAAATTTTGAACATAGTAGATCAACAAGGCCTTGTCAGTATACTTGAACAGATCGCCGTACAATGCAGACGAATAAATTTGTAGGCGTACCTTGGCTCGACAGCAGTGGCCTCTGCAATAACAAGGCCCGCGCCATGGATTGCGAATGACCCCAGGTGGGCCACATGGAAGGTGCTCATAAACCCGTCCTTGGAGGAGTACATGCACATGGGTGCGACAATGATTCTGTTGGCGATCGTCAAATTCTTGATAGTGAGCGGCTGGAAGAGCAGGGGGATCTTGTCAGCACCTGGTTTGGACGCGTCAATGGGTCCGAGATAGGATCCGGGAGCAATCGGCTGTTCAACAAAGAAGCGCTCTTGAGGATAGCCGTAGAGCTGTTCCTTTTCGTATGTGGTTGATGAAGACATTTGTGCTTGGGCAGTATATGACCTGGGGAGAGAGAGAAGTGTAACGCGCGCTTGTTTTGTATGGTTGACGGCTGGCCTGAAGGGAATGAAGAACGGTGATGAGGATGAAGATGAGCGTGGAAGCGCGCGGATGCTGCTTTTATATGGAAGTAGTCGTGAGACGAGGGCCATGAGCGAAAGAGAGGGATGAGTTGGACGATCAAACGGACGAGGAGTCCAGCAATTTGTAAGCGCTCAGTGCCCATGAACGATGCCAGCACAAAATGGAGCTGGGGACCGTGCTGACACACACTTTCAGCAGAACTACTAAATTTTATTTTTTTTCCTTTGATTTGTCAGAGCGTCCGATGTAATCGCTTAAACAGGCGGACCGGCAGAAGGGCAACACTCTTAGGGATAGACAAGTATCCTGGGCAAAGAGGATCGAGTAGCAGCACTGGTCGTCTACTTGAAGACGGCTCCACGGTAGTATTTCAGCTCATTGATCGACTCCTTGATGTCGTCCAATGCTCGGTGTGCTTCCTTTTTCTGAGGCACCTGCTGAAATTCCTTTGGATACCATCTCCGAGCCAACTCCTTCACGGTCGACACGTCCACAATCCTGTAGTGCAGGTGGTCCACAATCGGACGCATCTCGCGCTCCAAAAAGACCTTGTCGGCGTGCACGCTGTTGCCCGCGAGGATGCCACGTTGGGGCTCTGGGATGTATTGCTTGATGAAGTCGAGGACCTGAGTGCATGCTTTCTCAGTCGAAATATCAGAGGCAAGAACTGCAGCTGTGAGACCAGACTGTAAGAATAGAAGAACAGCTCAGTCAGCTACAGACCAGTCATCCATCACAGGCGCAATAATGATAAACCATGACATCTGTACAGGATCATGGCAGAAGCTACTTACGGCGCCATGGTGCTCGATGCACCACTCGTTCATTTTATCCATGACCTCCTTCGGTTGTGAGATAATCAAATTGGGGCCCTGTAGTATACGAGATGTCATTTTAAGTCTTCACAGGCTTATAACCCGAAAACTTGATAAACCACGCGCGTAGGCTCTATACCTCCGCAATAATGTTCAGATCGTCGTCTGTGATAATAACGGCAATCTCAATCAACTTGTCCGTCGCAGCGAGGCCAGTCATTTCGCAGTCGATCCATACTAGAGAGGGGCGGCTCATGTTATGTGGGCTGTGTATCTGGAGACGATTATGGGGAAGTAAAGAGAGTCGGTGTTTATTAGCGGCCAGAACTCTATTGCGCTCCACCATCGGAATCCTCGAATCCGGATTCCCCATTCTCCTTCGGTAACTCATCACTGCTAGTGGCCCCAGCGAGCGAAGTAAATACTCGGAGCGAACGAGCGTTCTAAGTGAGCGAGGGTTCAAAATACTGGTCACTCGCTTAAAACTGTTAGAAAACATAGTGTTTCCATGTGAACTGGAAAATAAAAATAAAAAATTCTCGAGCGAGCCTCTCGAGAGTGAGTAGGGGGTGATTGATACATCGAGCGAGCGGAAGTTTGAACGAAGATCGCTGCTTGCTTGTATACCTTCAAGTGGGTGCAGAAGCGTGTTTGTGTGTAGTTAGAAAGCTTGATGCTATGCGTAGCGACGCGCCTTTTTTCTGAGGAAAGTGGAAAGTGTGTGACTGAGCTTGAGAGATCAACCCTAAACAATACTCCAAAAAAAGTTCGTCTTTTGCCCTTTGTACAAGCACTCTCATTATGGCCGAACACTTGCTGCGGACACACCCCGCACATCTAACGACTCCAGTAACGGCATTGGCCTATCACGATAATGAGATCCTTCTCTCAGGACAGGGCCCGTATCTGAAGGCCATGCTTATCTTGACGTCAGAGACCCTGAGCTGCATACACCTTGGTGGCGACTGGAAAGTTCATCGAATCGTTTTGGGTATGTCTACACACCATTGTATACCGAAAATCCATCGATAAACTGCCTCCATTTTTTTCTTTAACTGCTTAAAATCATCCATGTATCTCATGCCATAGCAAATGTCCAACGGATAAGCCAAACGTCTGAGAGTCGCCTGTTCTTGGCCTTTGGAGCAAAGAGCATGAGGATCATTCGCCTGGTAGTTCTGAGGTCAGGAGAGACAACTCGCCCAACTGTCTACTTCCAGCATCTATGGAATCTGCCTCATATGAAGGATTGGATCCTGGACGCACAATGGCTGTGGCCCAAGTCGGATCTACCGGGAGAGGTAATGGCAGGATACAGGCGTGGAACTGGAAGCACTCCTTGTACTTGATAAAATGTGCCTAACATTTGTTGACAGTATCCGACAGTTCGACCTAGTTTGAGGCCAGCTGTGATCTCTCCACCCACATCTATCGCTATTGGCTACGCACATAACTTTGTTGAGGTCTTTGATCTCCCTCAGGATCCGTCCACTATTCCATCTCAGAAGAACGATTTGTTGATGGCGGACGGCCTTCCGGATTTTCGAATGTCCTATTCGGTCCAGTCCGAAGAACACTGCACCCTTTTCTGTGGTAGATTCCACAACAACACGCTTGAGGATCTTTGGTTTGCCAGCGGTACTGTGTTTTGTCACGCCCTGCTCTGGAAGGTACACTGCAAGGACAGTACTGAAGCACCAGTCATGAAAAGTCTTGTCGGACACGAAGGCATATTATTTGGAATTCGATGGAGCGACGACGGAAGGGCCGTTTGCACTGTGAGCGATGACAGGACGATCCGTGTCTGGGATATTGCACATTCTACAAATATGTACGTTACAGACATTTTCATATCAATGCTCTTTTTTATGCGTCTATCTTACGTTGGCCGTTCGTTAATATTCTAACTCGTTTATCTGGGCGATTTGGATGCTACAGTACTCATTCTACGCATTTCGGACACACAGCCAGGGTCTGGGATTGTCAAATTGTTGGCCAATATCTCATCTCGATATCTGAGGATGCCTCTTGCCGCGTCTGGAGGAATCCTTTGTTGGCGAACTTGAGTTCTGCAGACGACATGTCAGATTGTTTGGCTTGCTGGGAGGGCCACGAGGGCAAAAGCGCCTGGAGTGTTGCAGTTTCAGAACATGGTGTTGTGGCGACCGGAGGTGGTGACGGAGGGATTCACCTATGGAGACTGGATAGCATTGTTGCAGGAACATCAGGTATATTGATACCAAAATTTTTGGCATTGACATCTCCTTGAGACTGAGGAATCTCTAAACCTGGCCACGTTTATACACCTGTAGATACTGAGCAAGATACCGAGGACATTGACCTTCCCGACATTTCAACGTACTATCCGGGTATTTCGTCCAACGAAAAGGAGTTTGTACGCGATTTTGTAATTACCTCACAGACGCAATCCGTGTATGCAACGAACACTGGATATATTTTGGTCCGCAATGACCGCGATGGCTCATGGAGTACCCTGTACAATTCGCCACTCCTCAAGAACTATGTCACGATGGAGGCATCGCAGTGCGGCCGTGTTGTTGTTGCAGGGTGCTTGACAGGAAAACTGATCATCATGAGTGTTTGCGGCGAGTTCCAGCCCTTGATCGCCGACACGCTGGGTGGCATCAAGATCCAATTTATTTTCTTGCATACTGGTGCAGGGCCCAGTGATTTTTTTATCTTCATCTTCAGAGCTAACTGCACCGTCGGCGTGTTTCATTTGAGCATATCTACGGGTACATCTGAGGCATCCTGCTATCATGTCTGCGACCTGAAACTACCGAACAACAACAAGGCAATTCATGCAGCCTATTACTCTTCTCGCTACAATCTTGCGTTGCTCGGCTCAAGGAACGGCACTGTCCTCGTATACAATCTGGATCAAGCAGTGGAGAGCTCGGAAGGGACGACGATATTGGACAGTATGGCTGTTCTTGAGCGATGCCATGGCTACGACTCTGTCTCCAGTATTTTGATGGTCACTGAGCTCGGAGAGGGCTTTGAAGGAAAGGATCGTATCACCGTATATACCACTGGACGCGATGGAAGCTGGGCAAAATATCGTTTCTTAGGATTACCAGGGGGCGAGGCTGTCGGAGCCGGATCTGCTGTCGAGGATGAGGACGATGATGAAGATCATTCTGATAACGGCGATCAAGATATGGCCAGTGTGTCGTGTGGCGACGACACTCAGAGCCGAGGAGGAACTGTCACGCCTGATGACCGTGAAAGCAAATCGGATATTGTGTTACAAAGGATCTTTAGATCAAAGATCACTAAAGGGTGGCTAGAGCAGGTTTTCCTCATGGACGGAGAGCTGCTGCTTCTTGGGTTCTTCAACAAAAAGCTGTTTGTCTACAATGAGTCCAAGCACTTTGAGGTGAGTACGATGACCTCACCAACCAGCTGATCCTTGCATTGTAGTGTATTTTTCTGACCCTACTCAACCTTTTACTGCTGCTTAGATATTTTCTATGCACAGCGGAGCTGCCAATCGCCGTCGTTGGAGATTCCTCACAAATAACGCGAGGTTGGAGCACACAAGGCTCATGTTCCACAGTGGATACAAGGTACCCATCTCATGCTTAATACATAGCAACATTCTTTTACCAAAACTTGAGCCTAACCGAGCGGTTTAATTCACATAGCTTTGCAGTTTTTCGAGAGAGCTCACGGCTGGTTCAGAGCTCTTCCAGAACGCTAAGCTGCAAAACAACTTCCATGGTCGTGAGGTGCGACACCTGCGATTCCTGAGCGATGCCAAACCTCTGAGCGAAGGAGCACCTGCACCCATAATCCTGGCATCCGGCGGAGAAGATTGCCGTCTGCGCCTGTTCCAATGTACGTCTCAATCTTATAAAAGTCCCAGGTATGGTTTTAATGCCGAGTTCGCATACAGATAGTACTAATACTGTGTCCATCTATCAATTAGATATCCCTTATAAGACCAGAAATATGTGCACGGCATTACAACCCCTCTGCAATCTTAAGCCGCATCTCGGCGCAGCGATTCGGTGCTTGGAGTGGAGCCATACCATTAATCCCCACTCGTATCTGCTGTTTACCGGAGGTGCCATCGAATCCATGCGTGCTTGGCAGGTCAACCTGAGCGTCCCCAACAGCTACAAGGTTCGGATCGTCGAGGACCATCTCGGAAAGAATATCCCAGAGCACACCCCATTGTCGTTGGGCTGCTTGGAGCTGGCTCAGTGCCCCCACGTCAGTGAAAATCTTGAGACAAGAATCATGGATTTCTCCGTATTCAGACTGGACAATCATCCCCAAAAACACTTTATTGCAACTGTATACTCTGATGCTGCCATTCGGGTATGGCTATTTGATGAGGACATCAACGGCTTTGTCTTGACCATTGATGCGACCTATCACAACAAGTGTATTCTGCAAGTGTCGCATGTCAAAATCGAAGGAGGCATTCTAATTTTCACTGCTGCGACGGACGGCAAGGTTGCTGTTTGGGATATCACGTCTGCATTGGATGCGTTTCTCCTAAAATACTGCGCCGATGATGACAAGCCCGTACAGCCTTCAAGTCCATCCTTTGGAAAGAACACAAAAAAGGTTCAGAGGGCATATGCTCAGGGACTTTCGAGGCCTATTGCTGAGATCACGGCGCACATGTCCGGAGTCAACAGTCTGTACGTTCAAAACTTGGATCAGAGTGAGGTTCTGGCAGTCTCCGGAGGCGATGACAACGCGCTGGCAGTGACTCTGATCAAGGCGACGTGGGATCCTGAGCGCCGTACCATTGAGGCACAGTCAGCCAATGTGGTTGCCAAGGACAACTATGCACATGGTTCTGCTATTCAAGGTAATGTTTTAACTCAGCGTCAAGTGTATGTCGTTATTGGGCGAATTTGCAAAGTCTCAATGACTCACACGAAAAAAAAAATTATGTGCTTCGCCTTCGGTCTCTTGACCTATTCTTTCAGCGGTGTCTATGACGAGCGCGTCAGAAATTATCACAACGAGTCAGGATCAGATGGTTTCATTATGGCGATTAGACCATACAGGCGACGATGGGGCTGCGGTTCTTGTCAAAGAAGAAACGCAGTTTGTTCACGTTCCTGACCCCTCCACCATGGATATTCTCACGTCTGCAGACAGGACCAGACATTGTGTTGCGATCGCCGGAATCGGCGCCCAGATATTCGATGTCGAGGCATCCTGCTCATAGATAATTGGCGAAATAGTGAACTTAGACATAAATGCTTTGGCTCAAGACGCTTTCTTGCTGTGTTAAAGATTACTTTTTTTTTTTTGGTGTTCAAGATTGGTCCCTTGGCCCGTGCGTCTTGCGCCACCAATTTTCAAGTTAAGGGTCTCATAGCCGCAGCAAATGCAACTCGGTTGTTTTTGTTTTGGCCTTCCCCAATCAGCTCCTTGGTAAACGCCTCCATCGACTTCGGCCTTGCACCTTCCTTGAATTACGGATCGACGACACTACAGACAAAAGGATGCCACCAAAGAAGAGACCTGCCGGAGACGATGTCAACGGAGAGGAGCCGAGAAAGCGCGCTGCTACCACATCGAATTCAGCACCTGCAAAGTCCGTCACCATCTCTGCTCCAGGCACCACCGTTGCAGCCAAACCCGCAGCCAAGGCGGCTTCCACCGCGACTTCAAAGACAGGGACAGTTCGAGGAACACCAAAACCTGGTATTCGAAAGGTTGGCGCGGCTGCTCTGGCTAACCGTGCAAGGTTGCCCACTGCAGGCGCGCTGACCGCAAAGAAGGAAGCACCTCCGCCAATTGTCACCAAAAACACCTTGATGTGGTTCAGGAACGATCTTCGACTTCAAGACAACAGAGCCCTCTATGCAGCGTCGTTGCGGTCAAAACTCGGAGACAAGAGGAACGTGATTGGACTTTTCATAGTTTCGAACTCGGAATGGGCTGGCCACGACGAGGCACCTGTCAAGATCGATTTTTGGATGAGGAATTTGGCTGAATTGAAGCGATCTCTGGCCAGGCTGCATATTCCATTGATCGTCAAGAGGGCATCGTCGGGCTCGGATGTGATTAGACTAGTGGAGTCAACAGTGAAGGATCTGGATATCAGTCACGTCTTCTGGAACACAGAGTACCTAGTCGACGAGCAAAAACGGGATGCTACTGTTAAGTCTGCTATTGTGAAGCTGCCAGGCGTCTACGTTGAGGAGTATGAGGATCAGTGTGTTGTACCACCCAAGGAGATGAAAAACAAGGTAGGGCTATGTCCGACGAAGTCTCGCCAGTATATTGCTTGGATTATCGGATCCGATCCATTTCTCACCTGTTACTCCGTCCATTTTGATCCGCTAGGCTGGAGAAGCATACACGGCCTTTGCTCCGTTTAATAGCACTTGGTGCAATGTTGTGGAGACCAAGCCTCACTATCTTGAACTCTCGCCGGCTCCAGACGCCAATCCAGCAGAGGCGAAGCAGTTGTATGCAGAGCACTTCAACGCGACCATCCCTTCCTCCCACCCACACGCGCTGGATCAGGATGAGATGGAGCGTCTTTATCCAGCTGGAGAGGAGGCTGCGCATGAAAAACTGCAAGAATTCGTCGAGCAAAAGCTTATGCAGTATCATCTCAACAGGGACAACCTTCATAATCATGATGCTGTCGTTTTGAGCCCCTATCTATCCAGTGGCATTCTTTCGGCACGCCAATGCGTTGCCGCAGCTCGCGCCGCAAACAACAACAAAATCATCATTGGCAATGAGGGCGTCAAGACCTGGATCAAAGAGATTGTCTGGAGGGTAAGTAGTATTGCTCATCGTCGCGATGTCTTTCCTATCGGATCTAAGCAACCATTACCAAAACTTGTGCTGACAGCTTAAATGAATGTCTTTCAGGAATTTTATCGTCACATCCTGGTTTTCTTCCCGAGAGTCTGCAAGAACTTGCCATTCAATCCTATCACAGAGAACATTCGCTGGAGCAACGATGATCGCAAGCTTCAAATATGGTGTCAGGGCAAGACCGGATATCCTCTTATTGACGCCGGTATGTATCAAGAAAGAAATCGATGGACAGTATATTTTGTTCAACCAAAATGTAGCTCCCACTTGGTGCCAGTCGTACTGATTATCAGGTACATGCTCTCTATCTGATAGGTATGCGGCAGCTCAACACGACGGGATACATCCACCACCGCGTACGCATGTACGTCGCTTGCTTTCTTGTTAAGGACTTGCTGATCAGCTGGCAGAAGGGCGAGAAGTACTTTATGAACAATCTCGTCGATGGCGACCTCGCATCCAACAATGGAGGCTGGCAATGGGTAAGTACTACTAACTGCAATAGTTTATGCCCCAAGTGTACGTTCACATACCATAAAGGAAAATGATCACTGACTTGAATTCGGATTATTCACCGCTCTCTGCCCTAGTGCGCATCGACAGGCGTAGAGGCCCAGCCTTATTTCCGCAGCTTCAATCCTGTCGTTCAGTCTCAAAAGTTGGATCCTTCGGGCGAATACATCCGTCAGTGGGTACCAGAATTGAAAAACCTTTCTGACAAACACATCCACGATCCTTATCATGCGCTCTCTGCAAAGGAATTTGGAAAGCTGGTGTAAGTGTTTTATCAGAAGTAATGAGATGTTGACCAAAAAAGTGGAGCACGGCAACTAATACTTACCGTTCATCTCTCTGATCTATTTAGCTACCCCAAACCCATTGTGGACCATGCAGAGGGCAAGAAAAAGTTCGTGGAGGAGTATAGGCGCATTTTGATTCAAAAGTAATTGTTACCCAGTTCTGTTTTACCACGCGTTTTGTTTTACAGCCCTTGTTCTCTTGTCGTTTGGTTCGGCTTATCTTTTGCCTGTACACTATCCCTCGTAATCGTCCACCATTTACCCCCCTATCATCCTCATCATCTGGACATTATTGCTCCTTGTCCTCCAGCAGTTCATTTTCTCTTTTGCCATCAATCAATTCATCTATCGCATTTTAAACAAGAACACAATAAACTTGGGCCTTCATGGTCTTTTTGGCCGGTGGCACCTGCTTGACAGGAGCTTTCCGTACCATTGAATAGATTACGTTTTAGTTTTGTTCTTTATTGTCGCCTGATCCTGAATGCATCGAAAAAAATATATGGTGGGTACATGATCTACTCGCCAAACAATCTCCTGACACGCTTCAGCACGCTGTCCTTCTCAGGATCATAGGGGTGATCCTTGGAAGGGATCTCGAGGATCGTAGGGAAAGCCTGGTCGTGCTCATCGATCAATGGACGGATTTCTTCAGCAATCTATTATGTGTAGGGGAAAATGAATGGTGGGGTCCGTCGTAACAAGATCAGAACAAGCAAGCAAAGAGGGAGATAAAGATAGGCCAGGTAGTCATGTGTGGCCGATTTGCTCTGTATAGTCCTTACGTGCTGGTTGATCAAAATAATGGCGATATCCTTGCGCTTTGTGAACTCACGGAAGGCATCCTCAACTGCCGCCAATGGTGTCTCTGCAATTGAACGCGGTAAGAAAGCAATTGTAAGTTGATGGCGGTGTTGAAACAGGAGATATTTTCTTCATGTTATACGTAGGGCAAATGGAAAAAGGAAGAGGACATACTGGCGTCAACGACCAAGAAGTTCTTCTTTTGATGCGAATCGATGTGGCCGATACCGGCGAGGAGGAGGCCTGTGATGGAGTCCTCGTCGCCAATTGCAGCCATGAATGTACGCTCCTAGGAAAAGCGAGGAAATAATGGTCATATGAAAGTAGAGAGAGGGCATTGGTAGCCTTTGTCAGCGTCTGTGTCGTTTGCTTTAAGTACAAGGCATGTTCGCGTCGACTCTTCCGCGAGCAACAAAAACACTTTACTGTTTGAGCCATGGTTGTTAGTTATACGTCGAGTTCCTCTCCGTTGCCAATCCTTCAAATCAGGTTTTCTGTAGCTGCTGAGTCTCCAGAGACAAAAAACAAAAAGCCAGAGGAGTAGTGCAAAGTGAGATTTGGGGAGGGAGAGGAAGAGAGGAATGGAGGAGAAAGACAGCGAGCAGGCGCCCACTGTCAGGGGTGGAGCGCGAGAAAAGGACTGAGGTGCATCATCGCACGTGCAGTAGATCATTTGATCGCATTTTTTTATGCCTCTCGACAAACCCCATCTGCAACCAAAAAAAAAAAAAGCAAAACCCATTCGCATTGTAGGGAGGAAAACATCAGCTTGGCTCGATCCGCACGGCAGATCAAGATCGCATCAGGGGGCCTGTCTTTGAGAGGACCCATCCATCGCCATCGCCTGTTTTCTTTTACTCTTGCTCATCTCGTTAGTTTCCTTCTTTTTCATCACTCGAGGGAAGAGACGGGCCAGCCACAGGGCTGTTTTCCGAGACGAAGAAAGGGAAAAAAAAAAGCGGGGCACACCTCTCACTTTTTTTTTTGTTCTCCCCCTCCCCCTTCTCCGTTCGTTGTCCTTCTTTTCTTATTTGCAACCCTAATAGTAATCGCGCCATGGACAGTCAGATGGAGCAAGGTAGAACTGGACCCTGCCATCGACAATGATTACCACCCTCAATCAAGTGTGCCATCCCCACTCTGAATGCTCTGCAACAAGTCTCACACCCATGCTGTCTTGCTCTTTTTTTCGCCTTGTCTTTTCTTTCTGTGCTTCTGCAACTGACAAACTCGGACGGTCTGAATGCATGGCAATACATGGAGTTTAGAGGTAAGGAATAAAGAACAAAAAAATATGTCCCCCAAAAAAGCGCGACTCATATTCATCCTGCACAGCAGACAGCCAATATCATATCCAGACACAGCCATCAAATACATCTACGAATGAACCCTTTTTTTTGAGAATGGTATACACACATACACCCATATCGACAAACACAAATGCACACTTGACAGAACTATGGACAAGGAGCAACATGAAGCAACATGGAGCGGCACAAAGTGCCAAGAAGCAAAGGGTGCAAATTGCAGCAAAAGAAGCAACTACGAGACACATAGAACGCGACATGTCTCTCTTTCTAGACATGGTCTATCCAAAACGAAGAGATGAGTACTAACAAGAGAACCTACTATGGCATTGTCTCTAGCTCTACTTTCTGATTGCTCGCTTTCTTTCAAAGGGACCTTGCCAGAATTCGGCAGAGGCTCTGCTGTCAGATATTTCACAACATCCACATCTACTGCCAGCACGGTATGACTGGAAGGGACAGAAGAGACCCTACTCAAGGGAGGAGCTGGTAAGCAACCATGTTCATCAGGCGCTGGTGCAAATGATATCAATAGTGATCGACAGTATTTTTTCTTGGCGAATGTCTTTGCTCATGCTTCCTATTCTTTACTCTAGACATCGCTCTTCGAAAACATCGACGCAGACCATTTGCCTCGTCTTCTTTCCAGACTCATTGTCCATGCAGATGCACAAATACCGCCACTCGTACCAGGAATTCAGTCGCTGCTTTCAACAGGAGGGAGTTCGCTTCTTCGTGACAGGAACGAGACTGAACGGATGAGGGCAAATCAGGACAATGTTGGTGGTCGTACGATGCAAAAGGTCGTCTTCAACCGAAAAGGAACACTGCGGGAGATCCCAACACGTATGTTTTTGACACCGACACTGACACTCTTGATAGTACTAAACCCAAAGGAATGTTCAGCGAACCAACAAACCCAGAGTGCTTAATGGATTTTTTTTTTTGATGTCGTATTTTAGTGGACTATGTGCGTGGAAGAGAGACGAAAGGATTAGCACTTCGAGCATCAAAAGTGCCCCGCTTCCTGCCTTCGCTGTTTCAAGAACTTGTCATCATGAACGGACACCGATTCCCTACGTTCTGCCTACTCTTTGACAGGACTAACAACCGAGTCATCACCGGAAGCGACGACTATCTGGTCAAGATCTGGAGCGCACAGTCAGGATATCTCTTGTTCACACTTCGTGGACATGCTGCTGTTGTCGCATATATGGATCTCAGTTCAGACAATACCATGCTCGCTACTGCATCCGACGACGGCATTGTTCGCGTTTGGGACCTAAAGACGTCGGCTCCTGTTGCTGTCCTTCCTACAGGAATGAGTGGGCGCACGCGGAAACCGATCACGACTGTCTCTTTCTCACCCTCGCCTATACCCCAGATTCGATACTTGATCGCGACATCGATCGACGGCTACACCTACGTTTGGAAATACGACAGAGATACGAAAAAGTTTCAATTACCGCCCACGATGTTGGACTGCAAGACCTTCAACGACTCAAAACCAAAATGCTCAACCTGGAATCTGACAGGATCTCAGTTCGCAGTTGCAGGAACGGATCTTTTCATTCGAGTGTTTTCTACGATCCAAGGAGGTCCTGAGGCGATCAAGTCAGGCAAAAGACGAAAGTCAAAATCAGAGACTGGTGCGACGGACGGGTCGAACTCTGCAACGGGATCATCTTCACCTAATGCTGCCCAGCAGAATTGGGGCGACCCAGTTCTGATCGCCCAACTGGACGGCCATGCAGGAGTCGTAACGAGTTTGAGCTACAGTCGGTTTGGCAACAGGCTGCTCTCAGGTTCAGTGGATGGATTTGTCAGGATATGGAAGTACGATCAGCAGAGCAAGATGTGGACTTCCATGGCCAGTAGGTGCAGAGGAACATGATATAGGTCTGTGTGGTTGCGCAATGGTTATCATGACATTATTCTAATCACAGATTATCCGCTCGTCGTCCATAGTTGATGTCAGGGATGAGCACATTCAGGCTGACGCCACCATAACTGCAGCAAAGCATATGATGCCTTCACCAGTCGTTGGCGCCGTCCCAGTAAACCCATTCTTGGTTCCGAATGACGACGCCAATAACACGGATTCAGAAATGAACGGGTCAGCAGCGGCCAGCCAAAGTCAGGCTAATGACAATGCAGCAGGGGAAGCACGGCCCTCAGGAGATGAATCAAGAATCGTTCCTACGATGGCGGCTTGGTCCATGGACGACTCAGCTATCATTTTGACTACATCTCTGGGTGAAATTAAGATTTTTGATTCGACAACAGGAGGATTGATTCACACGCTCAGAGGCCATACCAGAGGCTCGTCGATCTATGTTCTAGATGTCCATCCGCACGACCACAGGATTTTGATGACCGCTGGATATGATGGCCAGATCATTCTGTGGGATATGGCCAAGGGCGTTAAACTCAACAGCTGGACATACCCCGAACACGAATTCCTAGACGGTCGTTTCTCGTCGGATGGCTTGATGTTTGCTGTGACCGACCAGGAGGGCAAATGCATTCTATTTGGCGCAGGCAAAAACTTGGATGATTACAAGGACGCCAGATGCTTTGCGGAACAAACCTTCTGGAGCGACTATGCGCCTGTTCGGTACGACGCCGACCACAATGTGGTGGACGACGCAACTCAAATTGCTCCGCATCTCATGGAACGAACCCCTATCCTGGACAATAACGGACGCGACTATGCTAAGCAAAAAGGACCCCGCTATGGCCTTGACATTCCCGTGGCGCTTCCTCCAGGGGTCCTTGAGAAGGAGGAAGCCATGAAAAAGGATCTACTTGAGCGTGAACTTGAGAACCTCGCTGAACAGACACTAGCTATCCTCCCTGCGACGGACAAACGCAAGCTGTACAAGCGCAAGAGGGAGTTTATTCTGGAGGACGATGATGATGACGACGATCCGATGACGACCGAGGTCCCTATTGTCCCTCTACCGAACGAATCTAGTGACGAAGAATATGCAGGAGGTGCCGCATCTGCATCATCTTCATCTTCGGAAGATGAGGGCGATGATAGCGATTTGGCTCTTGATGGCGATGGTATGCCAGCGTCAGCTTTCGTGGTCAATGACGATGATGACGATGATGATTACTTTGCCAACGGTCAAGGTCAAGGGTCACGGAAGAGACGGGCGGCGAGCTCAAGCGGCACGCCTCGGAAACAGCGCGCAGCGAGAAAGACAGGTAGAGCCAGGAAACGATTGCGTCTTCGAGACAGCGATGAGGACGATGATAACTTAGAAGACGACCTGGATGATGAAGAATTGGATTACGGCATAGAGAGCGACGATTATGTTACTTCAAGGACACCGACGAGGAAGGGAAAGCGTGCGCATAACCACGACATCGGTATGCCTTCGGGAAGCAAGAGCCAACGAAGTGCACGACCAAAATCGTTTGCCAACGACGATTATCCTAGCGATGAAGCATTGGAGCACTCGGATCAGGAAGATGACGATGAGGGCGTTTTCTCAGGAAGCTCTGCGGGCAGATCATTTTCTGGGATGCCCAATTCGGACACGTCCATGCCAACGTCGCCAAAGAAGAAGAAACAGTGGCGAGGCAACGGCGGTAAGAAGGGCAAAGCTGTCATACGGGATGAGCAGACTACAGAAATCCAGAAATGGCTGCCGAGTGACTGGATTAAAGTAAACGAGCCTCGCAAATCCCCATATCATCCTCAGGTAATGAATGCTGGACGTCGATGCATTGCAACGGACATAGCTAAAGAGCGCATTGTTAACCCAGCTCGCTCGCACAATTGCCCTGATTTAGATAGGAGATTATGTCGCATACCTTCGACAGGGTCACAGTCTGTATCTCAAGGAAACACCGCTCCGGTCGAAACTGAACCTTAAGGCCGCTCCATACATCAAGGATCCTTCGCTACCCTGGGTGACATTCGGGCGCGTATCACGCATCACATACAATGTTGGCCCTCCTACATGGTGCACTATCACGCTGGAAGAGCAAATTTTATCTTCGGCTTGGGGATACCCACCCACTCCCGAGTTTTCAACATCGCGCAGACGCTTTGAAGTCGAGTTTCATGATCTGGGCGAAGTACCCGACTTTATTGTGCTCTACTCGGTGTTCCAGGAGGGCATCAATGCCCACTACGATGTAGGTGAGCAGATCTGGGCGTCGTTTGATGGGAGCGTCTATACAGGAACGATCTCTGGCCATGTTATTGAAGATGAGAACTTTCCAGAGTCTCTCTGGATGGCGTATGAAGTCTCATGGTAAGGACCAAATGGACACCCAAGAACACTGCACTTTCTATATTGTCATAGCAATGTTCCTCACTTTATTATTTATTTGTTATGTAGGCCAGCAAACGAGGATGTTACGAACCTTTCACCTTGGGAGATGCAGCGTGAGGAGCAGGAAGATGAGTCGTTGTATCGTGAAGTCATCCCTGAAAAAGGTAATCTTCACCATTGTCATGAACGATATGTCGCAGAGGGATATGACCTTTGGATCTGACTATGTTCTTTGGCTCCTGAATTTGTGTGCCGCTAGAGTTCGAGCGTATCGAAGAGATTGTACAGCATCTTTTGCGGATGGAGGAATTTCAGATCTTCAAGTCATCGGTCGACTTTGAGGCTTACCCTGACTACTGCAAAGCGGTGGCATATCCGATATGCTTGGAGTCGATCCAGGAGCGTCTTGCAAGTGGATTTTACCGAAGATCGAGGGTATGTCTACTCTCTTAAGAAGGTATCAGGGTCTCCTGAGGGCATGCATACTAATTTTTTTTTTTTTTTTTTTTTTTAAAAATAATCAATAGGCCGTGCAGTTTGATATCGAGCTATTAGAGAAGAACGCCCTAACATATAATGATCCACACAGCGGCATCGCCATTTTTGCAAAGCACTTGTCCCGCATCTTTAAGACAAGTTTAGCAAGTACGTTTCTTTGGATCGTAATCTTTTGTTTCTCTGTACCTCAATGTGCATCTTTTTCAGATATTAGTAATTAACACGATGATACTTTTCCTGAAATAGATTATTCAAAACCACTTCCGGATCAAATCTACGTCAAGAACACAAGAAAGGATGAGGACGAGGAGTTTGATGGATCGGGTAGTGAGAATGAGATGGTCGATATCGAGTCTGAGCCGGAGCCAGAGTTTGAAGATGAGGAGGAGGAAGAGCAGGATGACAACGCCTTCTTGGAGTATGACACTTCTCCACTCGTTCATGTATCAAATTCTTAGGTATAGTGCACTATGTTCATTCGACTGACACATTATTCACTCAAATACAATAGCGATGACTCGTCTGAAGATGAGGGCAGCACAAGATCTCGTTCTCGGGCGTCAAATCGGCGCAGTACCATCCGGACATCTCGCTCGAGTCGAAGACCTGGCACATTTTCCGCGTCAGCAGCAGCAGAAGCGGTTGGCTCTTCTGCAAATGGATCACGGAGGCGACAGAATAACGGAAGGTCCAATGGAAGCAGCAGCGGACGAGGGCGCCACAGCAAATCCAAGAAGAGGGATAATGGTGATGATGCTGACGGCGACGAATATGAAGACGATGACGATGATGATGGAGAGTGGGGTAAGGGTAGATCGAAAAATAGCACTGCTACCATGGCCAGCAATGGAAGCAGCAACTATCGCCGTGGACGTCATTTTGCGAGGTTGGATGATGATGATGATAGCGAGACGTTCAAGGCGGAGGAAGAAGGTGAAAGTGAGAGGAAGATCGGAGGGCAGCATTTTCAGGAGGATAACGACGATCTGGGCGACTTCCAGCAAGAGACGACGTTCTCGCCCTCGTCTTCGATGCGTGTGTCAAGAAGCAGGCGCAAGAAGACGAAAATTGTAGATAGCGATGAAGATTATGTATCATAGTAGAATCGGAAATGCAAACACATAAACCACTTAACAAGTGCAGCTAAAAAAAAAAAGACCATGTATACAGTTTACGATGCCTGCTGTGGTTTTTCGTCCTTTATTGGATTACACTGGCGTTGGGATCACATTGAAGTAGTGGTAGACCTCATCCTGGTCGAAGAGAGCGACTTTTGTATTACAAATCTCGCATACGACTGGATGATAGGCCATGTCCTCGTCGTCATATTCACTAGGCTTGAACCCTTGTGCTGGATCGGATGTTGATGCTGCTGCTGCTGCTGATGATGATGATGATGATGATGATAGTGGTGTTGATGCTGCGCCTGCTGTACTCTTGGCGTTGCGACCTGACTTTGGGGGTTGTTTCTTCTTTGCCTCCTTGGGGAATCGCAGGACTTCGTTCTCGATGACGCGGCAGTTCTCGACAAACATGGCTCGGAATTGATGCGAATAAAATTCGTGTCTAAAGCAAATTGTAGCGCAGAATAAGGTTAATGCATTGGATGGCGACCGGCGTATATATATATATCACAATTGATTGGCTGGCGAGATCGAGGACGTACTGTTGACAGTCAAAGCAGAGCTGTGTGAGGCACATTGGACATGAGAGAATAGCGTCGGTCCAGATGTCCTCGGGATTGGATCCAGGTGGTCGGTTAGCTAATAAAGATCGAGTTGACAAGGTGTGAAAGAGGCCGATGTCAGTTTCTGGTTTCTTTCTTTTAGAGATTATGGATACACACTTCCTGCGCCCTTTAGGTTCTGTAAGAGGGAAGTACCTGCAATCTTCTTGATCAGCCAGTCCTGGTCCCGGTCATCTTCATCTGGGTCATACAGTAGCTCTGCATCGGACATGATACGGTGCTTCTTTTTGTTTTTCTTGGAGGATTTCCCTGAGGGTGCCGACGTTGATGTTGATGTTGATGTTGATGTTGACGATGAAGGTCCGAGTGAACTCTGGGCGAGTCCTGTGGTGAGGTCCTTCATATTGTTCTCGGCCGTGCTCGTTCCTGCGCTTGTAGGGATACCCGCACGGGCATCAAACTCCTTTTCATCGTCATCCTGCTCTTCGGGTACTTTTGTCGGTCGACTACCGGTCTCGTCGTCCGAGTCAGAGTCATCCTCGTCCGAGTCGAAGTATATGGGGTCATAATAATCTGGCTCTTCTGGTTTAGTGGAGGTCGAATCAGGAAGTTCATGCAGATTGGATTCTGAATCTGACTCTGAGTGATCTGCCCCAAAGTGCACTTTTCTCCCTGCCGCTGATGGTTCAAGTAGTGTGTTCATGTCCATGGCGCTTTTGTTGATGTGTTGATGTGCAAAGAGAAAAAAAAAAAAAAAAAAAAAAAAAAAAAAAAAAAAAAAAAAAAAAAAAAAAAAAAAAGAAAGCTGATCTCTTTTTGAGTTCACGCCCCTGGAAGTAGAAGATCAAACCTCTCAGAATCGATCTTGAAAATAAAGTTTATTAGAGATTCAAAGACTGTCCAGCAACCTTCCGCTCATTCTTGATGCTCTCCTCCTGAGCAGCCTTCGCCTCCTGCTCTCTATCAATCATCCTCAAAAACCGCTCCAGCTCATCTTGTGGCATCGGATAACAATGTTCCTCAGCTGGGAACGCGCCCGATTTCACGTCCGCACTATACTCCTTGAGCGCGCCTACGATCTCATCTGCAAGATTACGATAGGTCTTACAAAACCGAGGCACACGACCATAAAGTCCTAGCATATCCTGCTGCACTAAGACCTGGCCTGAACAACCCGCTCCAGCTCCAATTCCAATCGTCGGCACCGAGAGCACATTCGTAATGTGCCGTGCGACCGGCTCTGGGACCGCTTCCAACACAATTGCGTAACACCCAGCCTTCTGCAACGCTAGAGCATCGTCGATCATAGCCTTTGCCTTGGCAACTGTCTTTCCCTGAACCCTGTATCCACCTAAACTGGCCTGCCGCTGCGGTGTGAGACCAATATGGCCAAGGACTGGAATGCCGACCTGAGTGAGCCGAGCGATTGTTGGAGCCATTTCTTTACCGCCCTCGAGTTTGACAGCCTCGGCTTTTCCTTCCTTGATGATCCTGACAGCGTTGGCAATGGCCTGTTCGGGGCTGGTCTCGTAGGTGCCAAAGGGCATGTCAACGACGAGGAAACTGGAACGGGTACCACGGGCGACGGCTCTGCAGTGGTGAAGCATTTCATCGAGGGAGATCTCGGAGGTGGAGGTGTATCCGAGAGCGACCATGGCGAGGGAATCGCCAACAAGGGTCATGTCGATGCCGGCCTTGTCGACGAGGGTGCCGGTCGGGAAGTCGTGGGCGGTCATGACGGTGATGGGCTCCCGGCGTTTGTAGAGCTTGCGGAGGGTTGCCAGGGTGACTTTTGCTCGAACTAGATGAACACCGAACAGATAAAGCGTAAATTAGGATGTGGATATACAACAAGATCGATGGATCGAAGAACTGCAATAAATGATCAAGAGCTATTTTGCTGAGAGCTAGGCCCAGTTTCGCTCCTTACCATGGTGATGGTGGTGCTCTGCTTCAGGAGGTCTAGAGCTGTAGGCTCGCTTCTGTAGATATGATGATGGGTTTGTTTTTACTGCTGTTGTTATTGAGTTTGGTTGTGCTGTGGAGTGGCGGTGGTAGTGTGATATTTGTGGCCTCAACGAGGAGCATGCGCCGATAGCAGATCGAGGGATGCTCCTTGCAATGCCACTCCTGAGCTGAGCGAGTGCTGTCCTTGTCGGCGTTGTCATTTTCCTGTGGATGTGCCAGTGGTGAAGAGGAATGAAGTGAACCGAAGAAGGCCTTTTGGGCGATGAGGAGCTGTTGTTTCTGTCACTGTGGCTGCAGTGTAGTCTAAAGAAGAGGAAAAAAGAAGCTTTGCGCTTTCGGTTGTTGGGAAGGCAACCTTAAAAAAATAAAAAGGCAGCGGAAAGAGTCACTTCTTCTTTGAGGGAACCGCCATGTGCCAATTTGCCATGGGACAATTAGGCCAATTAATAGGCCAATTAGGCCAACTGGCACTTGAAAGGAACTAGACTACGGTACGTCCTTACTTACCGGCGATGTAAAATTCGCTCACGCTCGCGTGTCTCTGACGCAACAGGGCACAGTAATACATATTCATTCCCCTTCACATCGTCCGAACCGGCAGGGGGTCGTCGATCCTCTCTCTTTGACTGCAACAGTGCCAATATGACTGTAGCTCCATCCATGCTGTCCATGTAATGGCTTTGACCGGGAGGACCTGGCTACGTACAGGAGGGACAAGTGCACAAGAACTTAGTTGCAGGAAGACAGGGAACAGGGAAGCGAAATGGGTTGGGCTCTCGCCCCTGGCCCTGTTTAGTGCAGTCTCTTTTTCCTTGTGCTACGGCTCAAGCAGATTAACCGCAAGCAGCAATATCAGCAAAAATTGGTAACAGGCGCCGTTGCTTGGCAATGCCCATTGATTTTCAAACGGGGCTGGACTAGACTGGAGAGATAAATGATTTGATTGTGTACATGTACTTGTGAGAATAAAAAAGAAAACAAAGAAAACAACAGATGAACCCGATACAGTACAAGGACGAGGCCAGAGCTCACACACTCTTACACGCAACGCAGCAAGCACATCGGATGTATTAGACAGCCAGGCACAGGAACATTCCTTTCAATTATTATTTTTCTGCAAGCACCGGCACAGTAGACTGCCCTCGTGCCCGCTCAGCTCCTCTTCTTTTCCTTCGCTCACTCCTCTTTCTCTCTCTCCCCTCTCTCTCCCTCCCTGCCCCGCTCTCCTCTGCCTCTCTCCCCCCTCCCTCTCTCCACTCTCTTCGTTCTCTCCTCTCTCTCTCTCTCTCTCCTCTCTCTCTCCTCTCTCTCCCCTCTCTCCCCTCACTCCCCTCACTCGCCCGCCAATCACGCCAGTCCAATCGATCCTCTCCATGGTCGAGTCCCTCCTCTCGGATTGAAAGATCTCTGACGCGCCCTTCCTTTTCCCTCCACTCCACTCCACTCCACTCAGCTCCTCTCCACTCCTCTTAACGCCACAGTCCTCCTGGACTCACCCCCTCTCTTCCTCCCTCGCGACCATCCTCCTACTGCCCTCTCCGCCATGCCGCCAAAGGAAGCAACTTCCAGCACAGGACCAGCAACTGCCACCCGCACAACCACCGGTGCCGCAAAGCCAACCAAAACCACCGCCCGAGCAATACGCACATCTACCCTTAATATCACATCCGTCCCAACAGCAACCGGATCCTCGCTAGGCATCTCTCCATCCGCCACAGCGACAGCAGCAGCAGACAGTGGTAGCAGTGCCGGTTTATCGCCAGGGGCGATCGGGGGTATTGCAGCCGGAGGGGTAGTCCTGTTTGCATTAGTCGGACTTTTATTCTACAAGCGACGCAAGAGAGCAGTCGCTTCTTCCAAGGACGGCTACAACGGACAAGGCGGTGATGGAAATGAGCCCATGTACATGCACGCATCCAATTATGGGAAAAGAAAGAAGGGCCCTAGTGGAATCTCTGGCCCCCTGGCCCTCGCCCCCGAGAGCGACGCGTCCCCGCCCCCGTTCCCACCGCCGCTCGTCCAGCAGCCTAAGAAACCGTTCAACAAGCACCGCGGCAATGCTCCCTGGGACAATCATGCTCCGCCTCAGCAGAACGATTATTACGACGATGCGTTGGTCCAGGACTATTACACCGCACCCGATGTCATCGGCGCTGGCAGTAACAACGAACTCGTCGGCGCACAGCGATCCCCCATCCAAGCACGAGATAACTCACACGGAAACCTAACTCCAGCACCGGATTACTATCTCGGCAAGGAGGACATCGACCCCCGACGCGACCTCAGGGGATTGGATCGGCCCGAGGCCTATATCCACGACAAAAAGTCACCACCGCCGCAGTCCCCACCTCCTCTGGCAACCTCTCCAAGAAACGAGAGGTACCATAATGACGCGCTCCAACGACAGGACCAAGATGACAGCCCCCGGACCTCGATTTCGTCTAATAATTCGAGCGAGTACCTCACATTGGAGCAGGCACAAAAGGCACACCAACAAAAAATGATGGGACACAAAGAGAGCATCGGATCTGTAAATATGCTGATTAAGAATGCTACAAAAGACCAACAATATCTCAACCAGCAGCAGCAGCGTTCGAATGACCTTCTCTCGCCCGTAACGCCATCCTTCGCACCGGACCATGCCTCAATGGCCATCTCGGACTCGACCATGTCCATGATGCCCTCGCTTCCGTCCACCTCGAGCCCTATGTCATTCATTCCCCGTAATAATAATAATACCAGCGAGAGTCGCAACCCACAATCTCCCACAAGATCTCCTGTCAATCACGCCAGACAAGGCTCCAACCCTCGCATCGCCACCACTCAGCCCGGAAAACCATCTCCATCGCGTGGGCCCGATTATGGCCCCCTGTCACCAGGCTACGAGGACCCATATGCTGAGAGTGCGTACAGTGAAGACTTTGCTGACAGTCGGTCCATGATCTCCAGCACGCCCAATCACGGCCCCTACGGCGGCCCTTCTAATGGTAGTCAATCATATTCTCCATACTCGCCACAACATGGTGGCAGTTCATCGGGTCCATACAGCCCTGGTCCTAGCTCCCGTCCTTACGGCAGTGGTGAGGGATACCGATCCCCTAACGGACAAGGCTACGGCATGCCACCACCACCATCTCCATATATGGGCAACGGCTACGGCGGCAGAGGCCCACCTCCACAGCACATGCGAGGCCCTGGTGGCCCAGGATATGGACGACCTGGACCTGATCATGGATATGGACCTGGACCTGATCATGGATATGGACCCGGACCTGGGCCTGGGTATGGTCCTCCAGGTCCTGGACGGGCTGGCCCACCACCAAATTACTTTCCCCAAAATGGATACCCAGGTAGAGTTACAAGTCCGGGGCCTGGATATGGGCCGGGCGGGTACCGGCCCCATCCTCCACGCGACCCTGAATACAGCCAAGGACCCTATCAACAAGCATACTAGACGAAATCATAGCATATAATCATAATACACTTCGTCATGCTAGAGCTTCAATCCTTAACGATTGAGATAGCCATTTCATTTTGTTCCATTATGATGATGATGATGATCCCTTTTACCAGTCTCCAAGTGCGCATAAAGGATCGTTGCAAGTATCTGCTTCAGAACAAATTGAGGAAGTGTAATTGGTGTCTCTAGAAACAACCGAAGTAGGCCTGAGTAACTTGCAGATTAACTGCTGTCAAGGGATCAGATACGGACAGTTCATGCACTCTGGGATCGAGTTGTTTTTCCACAGTGGAATTGCGACTCTCAATCAATGGAAGCACTAACACGACAAATTTAGCGTGCAGAGCGTTATGTACGTCTACTCGCACGTTTGTTTTACGTCCATCGAAAATACGTTTTTGTGATTTGTCAAAAGGGGGAGGGGGCGATTTGTAAAAGGGTGATTTGTCAACCCGTACGCGCGTACTCGATATAGAACTCCCGTCGAGAATGATCGGTTCGTCCTATCATTCTAGGCAGAGGAGAGGCGAGTTTGTACCTGGTAGCCATACACTTTGAGAAAACGGTGTCCCTATGCATGCCCACAGGAAACATCGGCCGGGGCTTGGGGGGAGGCTGGGAGCACAGGTAACATAAACCCGTGTGCATAGCGCGAGAAGAAGAAAAAAAAGGATCGCGCGACTCCCTGTGGACAATCCTCATAGGTCCCTTGGTGTCCAGGTTTGAAATATTAACACAGATTTCGTGTTACCCAGTCTCAGCCCGCCGCCTGTCGATGAAGTCCGATAGGGAACACCTATGCATTGCGGTCCTCTGTCAGCCTTTCCAATGGCCTGCGGTGCGTGAAAAGTAAAAGGAAACAGCTGTTTTGTGTCCTGAACAATTCATTCGACAAAGGAGCTTATTCATCCGAGCAACATAAAGACACAAACGAACATACGAAAAAAAAAAAGAGAGAGAATGGGTAAGCGAAACTTTAATGCATACCCGATAGACTATGCGATGTATAATTGTTAAACGGCTCGTATCGTACAGCCAGTGCTATAGACCAATGTAGTCTTGGTCAGCCACCTCCTTTTTTCAGCCACAACCGATAAGATGGTATAAAAACAAGACGCACACAGCACTATCTCGTGCATCTTCATCACACCTTCTCCCGTATCTTTAAACATTTCAGGATCTGCCATTCTTCTTCCACAGTGCAGCCAAAAATGATCAACGACGGCTCCAATTCCTCTGCTTCAGAGTCCATCACCGAGACTGGTGCATCCTCCGTGGTGCACGCTCCCACTGAACAGTTCTTTATCGAGCAACCCATCGCCCCTGGAACGTACGTTGGCCCCGTCGATGCTTCTCTCCTTGGTGCCGACAAGGTCCCTCTGCTCTTCCAACCCTTCACCGTCAAAAACTTGACAATTGCAAACCGTATTGTTGTCGCACCCATGTGCCAGTACTCGGCCAAGGACGGCATCATGGGTGATTATCACCTCGTTCACCTTGGACAATTTGCATTGAACGGTGCAGGCCTTGTCCTGGCTGAGGCCACTGCTGTTGAAGGTAAAATTCGTTATAAAGTAGTTAGATGAAAAGTGTACGAAGGGTTCCCATTCTTACGCGATGCATCGATACCTATCTCACAGCGCGAGGACGTATCAGTCCCCAGGATGCTGGTATCTGGTCCGATGCCCATATTCCCGGCTTGAAGCGCGTTGTTGACTTTATCCATGCCCAGGGTGGCAGGATCGGTATCCAACTAGGCCACGCAGGACGTAAGGTATACGCATTACGATAATTTTTCTTGATGATCATATCTTTCAATCCACAACGTTTTCTTTTAAGTAATGCTTTTCTCGCTTTACTCATTGACGATCTAGTCATCTGTCCCCGGCTACTACCACAAAGCTGAGCCTTCTGATCTCTGGCTCGATGAGGTCATTGCCCCCACTGGTGGTGTTGCCTATGACCACCACCACCAAGTTCCTCGTGAACTAGGCTTGCACGAGATCCCCGAGGTGATCAAGGCCTATGGCGCCGCAGCCCGTCGCGCAAACGAGGCAGACATGGACACCGTCGAGATCCACGCCGCACACGGCTACCTGATCCACCAGTTCCTCTCGCCCTTTACCAACAAGCGTACAGATCAGTACGGAGGTTCGCTCGAGAACCGTGCGCGCTTCTTGCTTGAGGTCATCGAGGAGGTCAAAAACAACTTCCCCAAGGAGAAGCCCATCTTTGTGCGCGTCTCAGCCTCGGACAATGTTGAGCATCTGGACGTTCCTTCTTGGGATATTGAGCAGACGGTCCAGCTCGCAAAGTGGCTCCACGAGGCCGGTATCGATGTCTTGCACATCTCGTCTGCCGGAAATGTTGCACAGCAGCAGATCCATTATGCACCCGGCTATCAGGTGCCATATGCTGAGCGCGTGAAGAAGGCGGTTCCGGAACTGAAGGTCATTACTGTTGGTGTGATTACGGGCGGTAAGCAGGCGGAGGAGATCTTGGAGGCTGGATCGGCCGATTTGGTGGCGGTAGCGAGGGGTTTCTTGAGATACCCTAACTTTGTTGCCAATGCTGCCAAGGAGCTCAATGTTCGTCCTAGATACACGGCCCAGTATAACATGTTCTTGGCAAAATCTACACTGTAATACCTATACAAAATAAATACGCATTTTGCAAGCAAATAAACTTGAGCAGTTATGATGTGAACGGTAGCTTCTTCGCTATACCCTATAATGGAGGGATATAGCCCAAATACTCGACTTGTTTGGAGTGAGTGGGGTTGTATTTGTGATATTAGCCTGCTGAGACGTTGTCGATTGAAAACCTTAGTCGAAAGCTTCACTTGACATGTTTTTTTTTTTTTTTTTCTTTAATGATATGAAAAATGTTCTATGAAATATGTGAAAAACATGGGTGCTCTAATATTATTCTCGGCGCATTTATCCATGGATGGTGCGACCACGAGAGTACTGCTGCGAGTATGCCGCCTTGACGTTGAGATCACGAGCCGCATCCAATGCAAAAGCGGGCTGTCGGAGGAACCCTCTTCCTGCAGCAACCAAATCGGCCTTCTCCAGCTCCAGAACCTCCTCAGCCTGCTTTCCGTCAATAATGATTCCAACCGCAACAACAAAAAGCCCTGGGACAGCCTTCTTGATCTGCTCTGCGAATGGAACCTGGTAGCCAGGCACGGCCTTGATCGACTGCTGAGCCGTGTTACCTCCGGAGGAGACATGTAGGACATCAACACCAGCCTCATGGACCCACTTGGCAATCTGGATGGTCTGTTCAATCTCCCACGAGGGTCCATCAACGACATCCTCGACCAGATCAGAGGCAGAGACTCTCAAGAAGATGGGCTTCTCGGCCGGGAAGTTGGCGCGGACGGCGCGGACAACATCGAGCAAGAAGCGGGCACGGTTCTCGAGCGAACCTCCGTACTGGTCCGTGCGGTGGTTCGTCAACGGCGACAGGAAATTGTGGATTAGGTAACCGTGCGCACCGTGAATCTCAACGGTATCCATGCCTGCGCGGGCGGCGCGGGCGGCCGCGGCTCCGAAGGCTTCGATGGCCTGCTGAATTTCTTCGAGAGAAAGCTCGCGAGGGATGACATGGTGGTGGTCCCATTGGAGATGAGCACCGCCAGAAGGGGCAACGACATTGTCGCGCCAGAAATCAGACTCTGGGTGATTGGTGTACGGAGCCTTTGCGGAGGCCTAAAACAAGTGAAAAAGACGCAATGTGAATGGTTATTGACTGAATGCAATCAGAGATACACCATGCCCGCCATGTTATTATTGTGCCTCAGACACATACCTTGCGACCAGCATGAGCGAGCTGGATACCGATCTTAGTACCCTGGGCGTGCACAAAGTCAACGATCTCCTTTAGCTTATGCACTTGGGCATCGTCCCAAAGACCAGCGCATCCAGGGGTGATTCGTCCGTTCGGTTGCACGGCTGTTGCCTCCTGGATGATGAGACCCGCACCATTGATCGCGAAGGAACCGATACTGGCCAGATGGAAGTTCGTGAAGAATCCATCCTTGGACGAGTACATGCACATGGGCGCGACCACGACCCTGTTTGGGATGGTTAAATCCTTGACAGTAAAAGGCTGGAAGAGCAGAGGGATCTTGTCCGCTCCAGAGAGGGAGGCATCGATGGGTCCGAGGTAGGCACCGGGCGCATGGGGCTGATCGATGTAGTAACTCTCTTGAGGGTAGATTGGTCTTGACTTGGCAGCCAAAGGCTCGTAAATCGAGGTCTCGACGGTGTTCTTGAGGGATGGCATTCTTGTAAGAATTGGAGAGGGGCTTGAAGTTGAGTCGGAAGCACTTGAGTGAGGGTGAGGATGAGAGAATGGTGGACTTTGCCGAAAAACGGCCGCGTTCATATAGTTGAAGTGTGACACGTTCTCCTAGAGAATGCTTATTAATCTGCATTCGGAACGTGTCACAGCGGCGATTGCAACTGTCCCTGACGTTTATAAAACGGTAAATGATGGCGCCCTGTAAGTCATGGGCACAATAGTTTGCTTGGTAATTTGCTTTTTATTTTTATTTTTTTTTGGAGTATGATAGTACGAGTGCAGATTGGTAGCAAAGGTATTGAATGAAAAAGCCATTAAAAAACTATACCGTGCCTGAGACCAGAGATCTGAGACTTTCTAGCGAGGTCTCAACGACTAATGGACCGCTGTGTTCAGATATCGCTGGGCGATAGGAAACGATTAATGATATTGTGCTTATTTCGATGATTTATTGCGAAATGCAGGGAATAGATATACAAGGAGTGAGGATAAAACACAGAAGGAGTGCTGTGACTAAGAACGATGGAGCATATTCGGCAATGGTCTATGATGAATAACGTGGAGTGCTGAAGCTGCTTGATTCTCTAGAACCACTTGCGGTTGAAGAAATTCTCGAAAGGCGCATCGGCCGATGGAATAATAGACCTAAATGAGTAACATCAAGCTCCATGAATTAAACACTTCTGTCATATTCTCAAGAAGTAAAAGAAATAAATGCAACGCACAGTAAAACTCATCGCCACTATTCCTGCTATCGTCTGTTACCTTGCTGTCGTAGAGTACTCCTTCTTCTCTCCCTTGATCCATCTTCCGTTCAATCGGCGAGCAGTCTTTGCGTTGTTTCTCGTGTTCTGTCCGCGAACAGGCAGTCCCATGGCATGACGACGGCCCACATACGATCCAATTGTACGATGGTGCATAATGTTGGCGCGGATCTGCTTGCGGAGATCAGACTCGATCGTCATGTCCGAGAGCAAGGACGAAAGCTGGTTCACTTGGGGCTCGGAAAGATCAGAGATCTTGCATTTCTTGTGGATAGAAAGAGTAGCAAGGATCTTGAGAGAGGTCTTTTGGCCAATGCCGTAGAAGAAGGGAAGCGCGTATTGCTAATAGCAGATCGATAGGACGTAAAGTTGACGTTGGGTTAAGATGATGCCAGGAGTTGCATATTTATATCAACAGTGATGCTCATCGCCGTTGTCATGATGTCGTCCCTGGGAGTCTGAAGTTGATCCTAGGTCCTTTCGCTGCAGTCCTGATCGCTGATCAGTAATCGCTGGTGCCTGACGGCCCCACCCTTTTGATCCTGATCACTAATCATAGTCTTCTGTCCACATCCTGGGTCAAGTAGGGTTCTGTCCAGTTATTCTAGCCTCACAGGTCCTCGAATTGAATAAACCCCGGATTCTTGATGCCTTTATATTAAAACCCTCTCCTTTTAATGTGCAGCTGCTGGATCCTGCTGTGCTGTGCTGTGCTATGCTGTGCTGTGCTGATCAGATCACGCTAACGTCTCCTGCTCTGGTTTTCCGAGGTGAGTTCCAGTTGGGAAAGTGCTGAAGGGCCACTCACCACCAACTTTTGGTCGGGCAAGTTGACTCCGAGCAGATGCAACATAGCGCTGTGTGTTTGAATGTCGTGCGGAAGGAGTGGGAGGATCAGATCGCCATCCCGAAACTGCTTTTTTCTTTCATAGAGAAATCCGCACATCTGCGCACCTATCACGTCACCGAAGTGGCTTCTAAGCGTCGCATACGAAATGGGAAATCATCAGGGGGAGTGTGGGGGCAGCACACAAAAAAAACTAGTCTGGCTACTATTCCTCGCGGGGTCGGCGCGTCCTCTGGAGGATCGCCATGATCTGTTCCTCCTCCTCCGAAGCCTTTCTCTTGGATGCCTTTTGGGTGCTGTCTTGGACGCTATCGAGAGTGCAGTTGTCGATGCTGCTACTGCTACTGCTGGTTCCCTCAAAAGCTTGGTGGTCCTTTTCCTCAGCGCCCCCGGTGGTCTCCGTCTTCATCCACGGATAATTTCCCTCCTCGTCTACCGGCTGCAGGTACAAAGGCCGCTGTTGGTGGAGCAGATGTCCTTAGACGGCATTCACCATGTTGTGGGCCGCCATCTCATCCCTGTGGAATGGAGTTCCACAGTCCTCGCAGAAGAGCCTTCGGATAGACACCTGGGAAACAAATGTGTGACAACGGGGGCATTTCTTGGAGCTGTAATATTCATTAACACCAGAACGATGTAACTAAGCGACCTGGCCTAAAGAGCGATGGCGGTGAAATGTGTGAAAGTCAATAAATGAACTATCTGTCGTAGGGACAAGAAATCGCCAGAGGAGTGAAACACTTACCAGGGGCACAAAGAATGCCAGAAAGGAGTCGTGGAGTGATGTGAGGCGCGAGCAACTGCTGAATTGATCAAGTCCAATGCCAATCACCACCATGTTCTTTTCCTCTCTTTTGGCGCCTATCGATCCCCCCACCGACCTCAGCAAACTGTTTGCAATTACCAGGTACTCCTCCTCCCGTGCACGTTGGGCATCCCATTCGTGGCTCTGGTAGAGCCTGTTCGAGCCATTGTAAAAACTGCTCAAGCGCTGCTCGACCATCTCGAGCTGCTGAACGTACTGCCCAACGCTTGCATCTGGCCCGCGGAGCGGTGGGAGGTCTGACTCAATCTCTTGGATCGATTGAGTTGCACCTTCCAGTACCACCCGTTTTTGCTCCTCTGTCCATCTTCGGAACTTGAATGTGGGTTGGTACACGGCCTTCTGGTTAACAGATATGTTGTAGTATGTCTCTGGATAGGGCGGATCCATCAAAGAGGTAGTAGAGTTCGTCCCAGGGGCGGCTGTGGAGATCGAAGAGGCAGGAGTGGCCCTGTGGGTAGTAGCGGTTGGGAAAGCAGAGGTCGTCACGACACGCCCCTTTCCTTTTTTGTCGTTAATCGGACGGTCTGTATCTGGTAAGAAGGCGCTTCCAGCTACAACATAGGCTTGACCAAGATCCGGACACAAAATCTTGATTTTTTCTGGAGGGCAATGCGGCCAGAGTCGAGTGACATCGTCCTTGGTCTTTACGACATTCCGGATCTCCTGCAAGTAATAGTCGGTACCTCCAACCGTTGACGTCAGGCGAGGGGGCAGAATGGCATCTGCCAGCCTCCGATATCGAACCGCTTGCAACTCCTTCAACTTGTAGGCAGACAGCTGAAGCCTGAAGCCATTGGTGCGGAAAGATCCTGTCAGAACATATCCCTTGAGGCTGTAATTTCGAGGGTCAAAGTTGGGGTCACGGATGGCAGACAAATGGTTCCTCGCATCCAGAAGGGACATGTTGGTGATTGCACCTCGGTATCCCAGCTTCCCTCGTTGCCGAACAGTGAGACCAGTAGGAGCGACATCTGCAATAAGGCTCTTGATTAGGAACCCTGGCTCTTGATTTGGTAACCATATGGTTTTCACGTCATCCTCCGAGGAGCAGCTGGAAAATGTGACCCTTGCCAACTCCAGAATCCGAGTTTTAAGGAGCGGTCGTTTCCAGCATAAAGTGACGAGCTCTCGCTCCGAGAACGAGACAAAACCATCCTTTGCCGAAGATAGTGGGGCAATCTTCCGCCTGTTGCCGCTCATCATGTTGAATGCCAGAAAGCTCTCCACGGCTGTCAACTTGTTATGGATCTCCAAGTCGTATCCAACTACTTCCGGTCTGCCTTTTTTTTTGCCAACCCTTGAGCTATTGTTGATAAAGCGACCATCTTGTATTAGAAAAATTCCTAATGTCATGCTACAGAATTCATTCAAGAAATACACTTGTCACTTGCTCTTGTAGTTCAATCGCTCCATTGCGACAAATACGTTTGAGCTCAGCACCCAGCTGAGTAGACACACTCCGTACTAGCTCCGAAGGTGAGAAAGGTGTGCTCTGGCGTATAGTACTTGTTAGCCTTAGGGGAGTGTACAAGTTCAGCTCCCGTAATTGTCCAATGAAGCCAGTAACAAGTTTGCCAACGCCTCGATTCGTGGGAGGATTGCCCGAATAAAGGTGTCGTAGAAAGGCATAAAGGAACTGACTACTGGAACTGTCAGGTTCGCCATCGATGTCGTCGTCAGTGTGATTCTCACTACTGTCCTGGCCGCCATCTGCATCCTTGAGTTCTACCCTTGGGCATAATCCATCGAGATAGTCCCGGTCCTTTGGTTGCATATAACCAGCCGCCATGCTTTCCACGTACAGAGCAATGAGTCTCTGAGCACGTCGTTTGGTCTTGTTGGCCTCCCCAACGGCCTCCCGCAAGCAGTCAATCATCTCGTCAGCGACGTCCGCCCTGGTTTTCAATGCCGCCTGATGTTTGCTTGTATAGTGCCGATACGAAGAGTCGCCTTTGGGTGCTCCCATTTCAGCCCATTCCAGAGCTGTCGCTTGTCCATGGATTCAATAGGTGTTGGTAGCTTCGATGGCTTCTTGGCTGGCTTCTTAGCTGGCTTCTTTGGGGTCGACTTGTTCTCAACTTTCTCCAAAGGACTCTCAGGCAGCTCGGTCCATGGCTTCCATTTGTAGCGCTTCATTGCCTGTGGAGGTTCGTGCGTTACTGTTTTCGTCCTGGTTTTAAAGGAATAGCGAGGGCGAGGAGGAGGTGTGGTAGTCGAATCCTTGCTGTCCTTCGGAGGCGGGCGGTCGATGGTGCGGTACCTGTTGAACTTTTGAGAGGATCGATGTCGAGGTGGAGAACCGGGGGACAACGCACTACGTACAAAAATGGAGAAAGAAGAAAGGAATTAATAAAATACTGCAAATGCAATTGTCATCACGGACAAACTGAAATGTGTTGGTGAGGCATACCTCTTTGTTGCCTGTCTGGAAGCTAACTGCGCCTGTTTCCGCTCGGTAAACTTGCTGCGAGCGTACTGGTACCTTTCCTTGATGCCCCCAATCTCGCCTTAAGTGCGGTAGTATCTGGTTTGTCATGTTGGCCATGCGCGATCGGAGTTTGGTGAAGATGGACGAAAACATTGATGCTCGTGTCGAAAGTAATGCCGCGTTTGTTCTTGATAACAACACGTTCATCAGCAAGGTATTCTTTCACTAGTGCCGGTACGTCTTTGACTAAGAGATAAAAGATGAATGTATTAGAACAAGACATTTTTTTCAATGTGAAAAACCCAATGCATAGTACGCACCCTGATCGTCTGATCCTTTGGCTTTCATATCCTTAACGATCTTATAGTTGATCTCGCATCCCAGGCCGTACAAACTGCGATTGTAATCATTGGTCGACACAACACCCAAGACCGTAAGCTGCTCTGCCGTCTCGAGTCCCAGCGCAGATAACATGTCATTTTTCCGATACTCCAAGAAACCGCCACCACATACTGGTCGCCAAACAACAGGGATGCTGTGGTAAATGAGAAAGTCCGAGTCCCCGCTGATGACAATGTCTCCTTCCATGGTATCTGTGGCGATTTTGACATCCACCTCTGTATCACACTGCACGACCCTCCATCCGTGGTTCTCGAGAAAGCGGACAAGTCCGTTCCGAGCCTCCACATCCCAGCGAAAGGCGTTTGTGAGTTGCTTATCGACATTGGTAAAATGGCGCTTCCTGATATGTGCGCCTTCGGATACGCGATCCATGAAAGTGTGACATGATCGTCGGCGGCGTCGATGACCGTTTTTCGAGCATTCTGGCGCTTTTCATGGGTTGCAAGCTTTTCCTCGCATTGAGCGCCATCGAAGTATAGAATGACTGTCGTTGGATCCATGATGCGTTTTTCGAGATTCTTCATGACCAGAGCATGGGCGGCCTCAAGGTCACTGCAATGAGTATAGGCGTATCGAATCGTACAATAAAAGCTTCCTTGCATGTCGACGCGAATTTGTTGTGTGGTTCACCAAGAGCTTGGCGTTGATTTCGCGGTTTTCGTAAAGCTGGGTCGTATCGCTTTTTTTTTTTGGCCGTCAGGAAGCGCCAAAAGGAAAGGCACCCCATGACGCGGACTGGATACCAATGGTGAAATGGAGAGTCGAGGCAACGTTGATTAGATATGAGATTTATACCAAACAAGGGCTGTACAAGGAAGGAGTGGAATGAGAAAGATGACAAGTGAAGAAATCCGATAGGTGGACTCGACCAATTGCAACCAAGGGTGATAAGTGGCAACGAAGTGAGATGCAGAGGATGCGGAGCAATAAAAAAGAATATTTGCTCCAATAAGGATGGCACGTACCTGTGAAGGCAATGGTTCAAAGGACAAACAGCCAATATTGGTTATGGTAATGGGCAGAAGGAGCGGATAAGGGAAAGTGAGCGCGGGGGAGGAAACAAAAACGACACGCGTCCTTCTAGCTGGAACGGGGCGAGAACTCAAGACGCGATTAAGCAGCATTTGCGATTACAAGAAGGCATACTTCCTCCAGCATCACCCTTCCCGTCTTCGTCCCCCTTCGCCTCTAGCCCAACACATATTCATGTTCAGTTTGATAGTCTATTCTGTAGACAACAATAAAATTCTATCTTTTCTTCTCCTTTCATGTCAAGTTCTTGACAACTATCACATGAGGCCGTTGTTACATAGTGGATTTCACGCTCATTGGTCTTAAGGCAGACGCGAACAAGATTGCCATTTCAACCTTTAAAACGCCGATATCAGCCATCATGCATTGCCATTAACAGAGATCTATAAATTAGAGCCGTGTCTACTATGGTGCTTTCTCTTCCCGTTCCCTCTGCACTGTCAACCATGCTGCCCATTGTTCTGAGAATAAAGGACATCCTTCATTTTGCCCCTCCCGACGTCAACCCCCTGGATCCCATCACACCTTTTGCCATTCCACCTCAATCAGTCAATCCCCTGATTCTTACCTTCACTTGCCAAGAGTTTCGCGCTTTTTGGGCGCAGGAGAGGCGAGCATATGATTGGCAGTACCGAACTGCCGCCCACTCTAAATTTTACAGGCAGGACCATGAAACCCCTTGCCCAACAGGTCCTCCCACCTTGCCACACATGCGAGTCGCCCTGGCAGAAAGCCTGAGTTTGACTGGAGCCTGCAGTACATATGCCGCCGTTGGCATAAACCAAAAGAAATCAAGAACGGAATCGTTTCTGTTGGAGCAGATTGCAAGGCATCCCTCACTGTGCGGAAAATCATTGAAAAAGACGAGATTCAAGTCGAATATCATTGGGAGCATAATCATGACACGTCTGCCACAGCACGAGCGAAATTGCCTTGCGGACGAAATGACCGAGAATGGCTCCAACAGCAGGTTGATCAAGGCCATGATTGGAAGTCGATCCAGAAGAAGTTACGTCCTGATCAAGAGTTGGTGCAAGACGTGAGTCTTCTATGTGCATGTTGTGTATGTTATTCGCCAAGATATGCCATAATCGATGCTAATTGCTCTTTTTAAATTTACTGAAGCAGATGCAAAGCGGCAATGTTATACCCCCACCTGCTTTAGCCATCAGCCAGAACGATGCTCGGGCTGCTCTTTACAGGCGGAGAATAAGGGAATCGCAGAAGGACAAGGACCTTGTGAAGAGTATCGAGCTATGGCTCCAAGCCATTAGAGAAAAGAGAGGAAAGACCCTGTTCGACCACAAACCGAGAGAGCAGGTTGATGGCTTTTTTTGATTGCCTGGTGCACATCATTTCAGCTTGAGATATATTGTGCAAAGCGTTGTTTATTATTATCACTGAGGTGCTGTAGATGCTGACAATCCGCTTTCTATATTCCTTCTTCACTATTTGCAAGGTGATGGCTGACAACAACTCCATTTATTGTATGGACTCCACCCACAAGACTGTAACAAGTATCAAGATATTGCTATCGGATGGCGGCACCACTATCAAATCAGCTTATTTGTTCACGTTGCTGGTAAAGGATCGAGTTGTACAGAAAGGCATTCCAGTCGCCTTTCTGATCAGCTCTTCTGAATCACAGTACGTTGCATTTACTACCTTTTACCCCAACTTTTTTGGTGCTTCCTTATGCGACGATTGACCAGCGCCGCTATAACACATAGATATAACATTCAAGCTTGGTTGCGATGGCTGACAAATGAGTATGGCCTGAGAACAGCAGCATTCATGGTCGACTGTGCCCTAACTGAGTCTGCTGCTATCTTGAGCATATTCCCTCACACAAGGATTTTTTATTGCGACTTCCATGTCGCCCAGCTCTGGGAGAAGCATTTGAAGGAGAAGCGTTCGGTGGGTTTCTACAGCCATGTTGCTTGCTGCAATTCTCCGGAGTCACTTAGCATATTCGCAAGGTATTAACGTAACGCCTCTTACCTGTACCACTTCGGTCAATAACTGTTAGGTTGCGGAATGCATGCAGATGAGACCACTGTTGAAAGAGATTCGCAAGGCTAAGACTGCGGTGGATCAGGAGCGCCTATGGGCAGCATTTAAAAGAAAATTCCCCACAGCAACTACTTTAATCGAGTATATCGAGAATCGTTGGCTCAACGAACATGTGGAGCGCTGGACTGCATATCATAGAATGGTAAGGGTTCTTGATGTGAGCAAAGATGGACAATAGGTGGAAGGCTCTGGAAACTGAACTTGATGCGCACACCCTGATAATAGGATGGCCAAGAAGTCACCACCAATAACTGGGTAGAATCTTGGCACAAGACCTTAAAGCAGAAACACCTGGGCCACGAACGGAACGTGCGGGCAGACTATCTGGTTTATCTTTTGGAAGGCGCAGTTGACGCGGATTTCCGCGTCGAGTATTTTAAGATCAAGAATGGATTAGCGCCACCCCCGCTTAGGCTCGACCCCAGCCTGAGGGAGAGACCGAGAGAGCATTAAATGCACATGAATTCAGTCATTGCCTTTTTAGGCGCAGACGACATTCGTCTCCTCTCAGGCTGGTACACAAGTCGGGGGCCTACTATGCTCTAAATAAAAAGGAAGGTTGTTAAGGGTTCTAGCTGTGGTTTCTTCGAGTCTCTTAATATTTTTTCGGGGTGCCCACGTTTGTGTATCCGCCTGGACTGAAAGCGCGCTTCTTTCCTTCATTCAGCTTCCTCATCAGCACCTCCAATTCTTCTCCATTGCCTGAATGTCACAAGTAAGGACAGACATGTTCTCACGTACCGTTATTGCCTGCTTTACAACCCGACAGCCAACACTGCTCTTAACTCTATCAATTGCTCGACCAGTTCACGGTTCTCTACTTTGCATCAGCCAAGGATGCCTCCAAGGCCGAGGTTGACAAATTCGAATGGTCCTCTGATATCAATGCCCAAGTCCTGACACGGCTACTTGTGGAGCGTCACCCTGCGCTCGCCCCTATTCTCAAGACATCCATGTTTGCAGTGAACATGGAGTACATGGATCAAGATCAGTCTTGGACCGTCCAGCCTGGGGACGAGGTCGCTGTCATTCCTCCTGTTAGCGGAGGTTAACGCTTAATTACGCTACAGCATGCCACTCCGGATCCATGGATGCTGACTACGAATACCTTTTACTGCGAGCAACCGATGGATTAAAGATTGCGACCATGTACAGATGCCAATTGTAAAGTAAAACAAAGAAAAGCTCTCCATCCCTTGCGTTGTAAAAAATATTATATCCTCGTACCTGAATCTGGAAAGTCCGTTGTGCATGAAAGCACTTGTGCAACGTTGGGGCTGCTTGCTTCCACCCTACCTTTCTATCCTCTTTCTTATCCATTAACACTTCTCTTCTTGCCTCCCTATATTTCGGGTCTTTACCTCTTCCATCTTTCTGTCTCCTTCATCCTCAGAAAAATCGCATTTTGCACCACGCTCTCTTTTAATCATTGTGCATTGCGCAGTGGTATATACTAGACCAACCCTCCATTTCGCAATCACTCACCGTACTCGACATTCAAGTAGTTTGACCAGATGGCATGGTGGTCTGGATTGACGACCTCACACATGTTTTAACGAAGGCATCAGTGCCAGCACCCTCCAAGTTTATGATTGGGAGCCAATGCGGTGTGAACGGTATGTGGCACCATGCGTCATATACCCATAGGTTACGCAACCTGCCAAACAGCAGTGTTCAACGGAAAGAAAGCTAGGAGCGCACTGTAAAGGATCCACTTTGGTACCCTGTGCTTGGAATTCGATACTTGGACAGAGATACTGAATGCATTCGATTTCAGTGTTACGGCTGCTTCGGTTATTACAACTCGATCGCCACACATTTCGAGCATCCTCTGGAGCTTCATCTGGAAGGATGTTCACTAGAGATCTTTGGATTTTTCAGGCAGGAATTGCGTGAACTGAAAGAATGCATTGAGGGCCAAGATACTTCAGAAGATCAAGCGAGCAGACCGTATATATCTTCGCTGAGTATCGCGGCATACGGCTGAAGAACGTCAAGTCTACAAGGGGTTCATCATGTACTTCACTGTTCTCGTCTTTTTTACTTGTTGGAATTGCATGCTTCGCCCGCTCACCAATGCACACCTGGAATAAGGTTTGCCTGCAATAGCGACTTCCATGAGATGACGCCTTCAACCGCAGTTTCTGGAAATGAAATTGTTTACGCAGCAAGATTAGTAAGACCTGTCTAAGTATAAAGGCTGTAAAAGCTAGTCCCTGTTTTATCATTATTGTTCAGCACTCCCATCCCATTTTCTCTCTTGCCCTCCTTTCATTCTTCAATTGCCCTTTTTCATTTTATCCATAATGCTGTCCGCCTTCTATTTCATCGCCAATGCGGTCAAGCCGGCTTCCAAGGCCACGATCACCTCAGGAAACCCCACCCATGGATCGAACATTACCTATAAGAAGCATTATTCGTCTGCACCACACTATGAACAAGAATCGTTCCATATCCGGCCCCCAGTCGCACCCGGGTCCAGCATCGGCGATATCAAGAAGACTCCCCTGCTCTTCCAGCCCTTCACAGTCAAGGACCTAACCCTGGCCAACAGGATCATTGTCGCACCCATGTGCATGTACTCCTCCAAGGATGGATTTATGACCGACTATCATCTGGCCCATCTGGGATCGTTCGCCATCTCTGGCGCTGGCTTGGTTCTGGCAGAGGCCACTGCTGTGGAACCTAGAGGCCGCATCAGCCCTGCAGACACGGGTATCTGGTCCGACGATCATATCCCGGCCATCAAGCGCGTCGTCGATTTTGTGCATTCTCAGGGATCCAAGATGGGCATCCAGCTTGCCCATGCCGGTCGCAAGGTATGTAACATACATCGGAATTCAATCGAACCTTTTGCAGTTAGTTACACAGGAAACCTTATGCAAGTCAATTACTAAGTCGGGCCGATGATTTGATTCGTCAATCGCTCATTTAGGCTTCTACCAAAGTCCCCTACGACTCTGAGGCTTATCCCGATTCTGAGTACTGGAATGATGATGTTATTGCCCCTTCTGGCGGCCCAGAATTCCAATGGGACGAGAAGCACGTCGTACCCCGCTCGCTCTCCATCGCCGAGATCCAACAGGTTATTAAGGCATTCGGTGCTGCTGCTGTCCGAGCCGCCAAGGCAGGCATGGACACTGTCGAGGTCCACGGTGCTCACGGCTATTTGATACACAACTTCCTCTCGCCTGTCACCAACCATCGCACAGACGCCTATGGCGGTTCGCTCGAGAACCGTGCCCGCCTTATGTTGGAGGTCATTAAAGAAGTTCGGACCAACTTCCCTGCTGAAAAGCCCATCTTCCTCAGAGTCTCGGCCTCGGACTGCATCGAGCATTTGGAGGGACCATCCTGGGAGATTGAACAGACTGTCCAGATCGCCAAGTGGGCCAAGGAGGCCGGTGTCGATGTGATCCACATCTCGTCCGGAGGCAACACTGCTCAGCAAAAGGTTTTGTATTCGCCCGGTTACCAGGTTCATTACGCTGAGCGTGTCCGCAAGGATGTCCCTGGCCTGGCTGTTGTCGCTGTCGGGTCGATCACGGGCGGAAAGCAGGCCCAAGAGGTCCTTGAGGCCGAGAAGGCTGACCTTGTCGCTGCCGCACGCAGTTTCCTGAAGCACCCTTCCTTTACGCTAGACGCCGCCCGCGAGTTGGGTATCAAGGTCTCATATGCACCCCAGTACTTTGCTGCAAAATACGTATAGGTCTTGACCGCTTAGAAGCCCTGCATATATCTTCATAGAACAATAATCGTAATATACTTACCTCACTGCAATACTTTGGAAACACCCATCGCCATAAAATTTGTTGAATTCCATGTAGCCATATATTTATTTGAAATATTGCTTCAAAACGTTTTACTTGTAGAACTCAAAGTCGGTGTCTGTCTTCTTCACGTTGCTCTTGTATCCCTTCTCCAAATCTTTAGCCAGAATAACATAACGGTTCTTGCGGACTGCATGCATACCAGCCTCCTGGCAAATGGCCGCAATTTCTGCTCCTGACAACTTGTCTGGTCGAGAGACGACTATATGGTGTTAAATAAGAATAGTTGGGATTAAAACCTGTTGTAGGGAGCACATCTTGCAGTCGGTATTTGCATGATTCACCTAGCTGACTTACAGTCTTCCAGATCAACTTCGTCTGAAAGGTTCATCTTGGCGGTAACGGTTGCAAAGATCAAGCGCTTCTGGCGACGATCAGGTGTGGGGAACTCGATCTTACGATCCAAACGACCGGGACGCAGGATGGCGGGATCCAATGTATCGGCACGGTTGGTGGCCATGATGACCTTGACATTTGAGCCTTGATCGAAACCGTCCATTTGGTTCAACAATTCCAAAAGCACACGCTGGACCTCACGATCCGCCCCTGTTTGAGCATCGAAACGTTTTGTTGCGATGGCATCGACCTCATCGATGAAAATAATGGCAGGCGAATTCTCGCGTGCCATCCTGAACGCATCTCTGACCATCCTTGGACCCTCTCCAAGATATTTCTGTACAAATTCTGATCCGACCATTCGGAAGAATGATGCTGAGGTATGATGGGCGACGGCCTTAACCAGCATAGTCTTGCCAGTTCCAGGAGGTCCATAGAGCAAAACTCCACGCGGGGGGTCGATACCAATCTGGCGGTAAAGGTCGAAGTGAGTGAGGGGCAGTTCGACGGCTTCCCTGATCTCCTGCTTCTGCATATCCAGTCCACCGACATCTGCATAGGTCACATCGGGTTTCTCGTCCTGTCCGAGCATCTCAACACTCGAGTCCGCATTTGGTGGCAAGACATCGACCAGAGCATTCGAGTGGCGATGAAGCGCAACAGAGCACGAAGGCTTGAGAAGCTCGCGATCGATCGTGCTGAGAATCCGGACGACATGTTGGGCCCCAGTTGTCGAGGAAACAATACCTGTATGCTGGTCGATCGGCTCCAGGAACTGTCCAATGACTAAGGGGACTGACTGAATCCTCTTGACCTCCTCTTGTGCGCGGATCAGTTCTCGCTTTAGATTCTTTTGCTCATCCTTGATGTATTCCTCCTGAAGCTGCAGAAATTCCAGGTGACGCTGCAGGTTTTTGTAGCGAGTGTAGAGATCGTTTGAGGCTAGATGCGCCAGAGGTCCCTGCTCGGGTTGGTCGATATTGTTTCCAGCCTCCTATGGTGACCAGGTTACAGCGAGCAAATGGTTTTGTCAGTATTGCGCTGAACACGATTTGCTAAAGTACGTTATCAGGGCAAGAATTAGAAGGCAACGCACCTTCTGCTTCAAGGTAGCCTCTGAAGTGGCGGCAGGTTTGATTCCGAGCTCCTCCATGTGAATATGTGATCGAGTTGGGTTTGGGTGATGAGTGAGATAGAAGGAAAGATGTTTGCAAGTGATGGGCAAGCAAAAGGAGTGGAAGGGACGAATGGTTCATGCGCACTTTTGAATGTCCTTCCTTTTTGACGCGTCGCCTGGAAAGTAAAGTCATTTCAGCACAGGTTGAAGCTACGTCACCATCGAGGAATTACGTAGCCGAAGACTCTAGAGTCTTGGAGGCTGCTCGCTTGCATCCTCTTGTCCTGCAGAGGCAGATACCATACTGGCGCTGCTGGTGTTACTGCCATGCTCTGTCTACAACTTCGCAGCTTGCTCCCAGGGATACGTCCCATTCTCATACATTGGCTAGAGATATAGAACGACGTTGTAGATGCTACAGGCCTTGCAATATAGTCTACGAATCTCGACTTGCCGAACTGCTCGCATGTTGGGCACTTATTTATCGTGTAATACTCATTCACACTCACGACAAAGTAACCAAGGGACCTAGCCTAGCAAACTGTAAAAAGGAAGCAGCACCACGCTAATGTTATCCACAATAAAAAACAGAAAAGGATGCTCAATATTTCATATCCCCGGTTCATATTTTTTGAACAAAGTACGACTAGAAGGACTCGTGCAAAGAGGAAAACCTGGTCTTTGATGAAAACTGTCCAAGACCCATCCCTTGTTGGTTTCATCCCTCTGCCTGCCGATTGACCCCCCCAATTAACTTAAGCAAACGGTCCGTAATGATAGTGGATTCGGCATCCCTGGCCTTACCGGCGTCCCACAAATGTTTTTTGAAGCGCATGTTGCTGTGGTTGTAAAGCTATCGAGCCCCTCTTGTGCTTTTTCGAGCTCCATGAAATAAGTTATACAGCTGGAGCCATCGCCGCGAAGAGGGGACAGATCACCCTCGATGTCGTTGATTAATTTTGTTTTGTTGAGAGGTACGGTTCTTTTCTGCTCTTTCATCCAGTGTCTGTGCTTGAAGGATGGCTGATAAACAGCTTTATACTTCACAGTCAGATTGTAATAAGTGACAGGGCTGGCAGTGGAGGTAGTGCCATCGAATGGCTCTTCCATATGGGTACCGCCGTCTGATCACGTCTAGCCTTCTTGGGTAACAACGCGTTCACCCCGACTACACAGGCTTGGCAAAGATCGAAACATAGGATCTTGATTTACTTTGGTTTACATCCTCAAAGAGCTGTGACATCCTCCTGGATCCTCACAACGTTTCGGACTTTGGTCAAAATAGTAATCCACGCCGCCGTTAGTGAGGTGATTTGAGGTGGAAGGCATCCTAGGTGAGTCGAATGTATCAGACCAACTGCAACTCCCTCAGTTTGAAAGCGAGTACTGAGGGCGAAAATATCAGTCCGAAGAAGCCCATGGAGGGGATAGTCGCGTTTGATGTAGGGTTTGGGATCGAAGTTGTTTTGCCGAAAGAACGTAAGATGCTGTTGAATATTGCTGGATTCTTGTACGATTCAATGCTCCTGGTTTACTTCATGAATAGCCTTGTAATAAGGAACTCTAGTTCTTGGTTGACCAGCCAGTACTCTGCGTCTCGAAGTGCAAGGGCATAATCCTTGCTCCATAAGGTTCTTCTTGAGCACCTTGCTCTGCCAAAAGATACAAAGCAGCTCCTCTTCCGAGTACGAAGCGAAAGGCTGGCTAATAGGCGTTACAGAAACTAGCCTACGAGGATTCTTGCTGATTTGGTTCAAGCGGATAAAATTCTCGATCGCCGAGAACTCGCTACGAATCTCGATGCTGCGCTCATCTGGCAAGAGCCCTTTGTCCTTTTAGGTCTTAAGCTGCAATAGCAAGAGCTGGCGCTGTTAACTTCGCATCTTTTAGATTGTTACCCGAGTTAAAGTCAATAAAGTTTTTTACCTTTTCATGCAACTCCAAGGTACCATTTCTGTAATTCGCTTGAACTCAGTTGAGTGCTGTGAGGCAACGGATCGCAGTAATGCCGTTCCTGGATATGACACTCTCGTCCTTATTGCAGCTTCATTTCCTTTGTCCAGAAATTCTAAGTCCTGTTCTCAATCAAGAAACCGTCGCATGCACTGGCCGATCTGCGTTTTGTCGGAGGGATTGCCTGAATAGAGATCTCGTAGTAGCATGCCAAGGAACTGAGTCTGAACACTGCCTTGACCCTTCTCACCCTCCTCCTCTTCCTTCCCTTTCCTCTTTTCTCTCTCTTCCTCTTCGTCGTTCGTATCGTTTTTTCCGTCACCTTTGCTCCTCGCTGGAATACATGGACAGATATGGTCTAACAGTTCTACTCCTGGAAGATGCCTTGAGTAGTATCACACTCAATGAATCGACCAACAACCTTCTGGCGGGATCGCTTGGTGTTCGCTGAGAGGTGGACGGCTTCCCGAATATGCTTGAGTACTTCGCGCGCCAAATCAGGTTCTCGGTCTAAGGTCCTGTTGACATTCGCGGATAGAATCCCATTATCGAGGGTTGCTGTAGGATGTTTCCATCGCAGAGCACGGACCATATCGGCCTTGCGCGTGTTCTCCACCGCCATCACCTTCTCACTCACTGTTGGATTCTCTTTCTTTGTGAAGTATTGGGAACCGAAAGTGGGTGAGAAAGAGATGTAAGTCCACGCACCACACCGATTGCGTATTTATTACATTCCTCACATTAAGTAAACTACCTTGGGCTCTGGTGAAATATGCGACATTATTCTTTTCAGGAGCATCGGCACCGCGGTCTGGCGCCAGAAAAGGCGCCAGCTTCTAAGGTTTCCATAAGTACTGCTTCATATTCTCTGGTGGTTCGTGCTCTATTTTTCGGTTGCGCACTTTGGCGGAATATCGTGGCCGGTGATGGGGTGTCTTTGTTGGAGGTAAAGAAGGCCGGTCAGCTGTCTCCTTCGCGCCTTCTTCTCTCGGGGCATTTGTGTCTTGTGGAGGAGCAGGGCGATCAATCGTACGGTAGCCGCTGAATGTCTGTATGGACTTGTGCTGGTGAATATCCCCCACAGATGACGCATTATTATGATTCGCAATGAAGAAGGCAGCGTTAGTAAGATGGATGCGCTTAGGAAAGTGGCATAGGAATACAAACAGCATTTGATGACAGAGCAGCAGTGGTCCGTACCTTTTTTCCGTTTGGCGCCCATCTTGCAGCACCTCCTGAATCTCGGTATACTGGTCTCGAAGATGGTTGAAGTTGGAGCGAGGTTCTTGATACGCGGGTGCCGTGAAGGACTGGACTCGCGACTTAGGCTGTAAAAGAGTCTGCGCGCCTTAGACAAAGACTCGTAACGAAGTGTCGAACGTCTCTTTTCCTGCATTCTTAACAACGATCAGACTGTGAGATAGATGCTGCTGTACCAAAAAAAATATAAGATACATCAGAACAAACGCTTGATGACGCTGAAGTTAGTGGCACATCCCAGCGAGGGGGCGTTGGTGCTGTATTCATTCTTGGAAACCACGCCCAGGACTATGAGCTGAGTCTATTGATATGTAGTGTCTCTGGGATATGTGGAACACCGTAAACCGAAAAATCGATCTTTCGAGATCGGTCGCCATACAGTCGAGATCCTTGCGTAAAATAACACTGCTCCGCGACAGGACAATATCGTCAGGCATGCAGTCTTGAGCGGCCTTGAGATCCGCTTCGGCCTGGCACCCTTGCGCAGACCATTCCTTCTGCTGAAGATGCCTTTCAAAAGCCTGTCGCGTCTCGAGTCTCCAATAGAAAACCATTGCCAGGTTTCTCTGCACGATAACGAGCTGCTGTTTCCGCGCACATAGCTTATTTTCACGCAATCCTTCAGCTGACTGATGCTGATTTGAGCCCCCATCGTGGCCTTTGCGCGGATTGCTTGTTAATAGGTATGAACGAATTCCTTTTCTTGCGAAAGAGGGCCGTCCAAGTAAAGAACCAAGTTGGCAGGAGTCCCGAGCATCTCTATTGCCCACTCGACGATATTGTATGCAACTTCCATTGTGTGGTCTGTGTATACAGATCAAATTGTAGAGGAAAGAGACCCTAGGATGTCTACTCAACGCGTCGGGCCACTATAAAAAGGACTGAGAAGAACGGAGTGTTCATAGCGCACAGTAACCTCACATGCTTTCTTTTTTTTTTTTTTTTTTTTTTTGAGAAAAGGTTATAAGCCGTAGATGCCCGTCGCAGAATCGCGAGAATGTAAAGTTATCGGAGATAGAGGTTTGGTGTAAAGGTTGTGATCAATATCAGGCGTTCGCCGGAAACCTTTAGATCCCATCCAAAAAAAAGAGGTTTGGATGCGTAGAAAAATTATGGGCCATGTGTGGGAGCCAGGGCGGTGCTTCTCGAATTGACGCGATAGTGGTGCTTCTGGTTGCCGTCCTGTTGCCCTGCAGTTGGCTGCGATGATATCGTATGGTCCCGACTCAGGTACGGGTCGGTCCAGTGCGCTGGTTGCGGGGTAGAGATAGACCTCGTCTATTCCCATATGAAATGCGATATTTGGTGCAGTCGCGCACCTTCAGCCCAAAGTCGACGATTAAGAAACCATTGCTAGTTTCTTTTGCACAGACGAGGCGCCTTGATGCTCAGTACAGTATTTGCTTTGTGCATGGACATCAATCCTTTTCGTTCCCCATCAAAGTCGACCGCCAACAGCACTCGCCCAGTCGAACATGCTGCGATATAAATAGGACGCCAGAAGAAGAGCAACAGCACCGACAAGAACAGCTCCTTCTTCCGTATCACTCGCTCTCCACCTGTTATCTCCATCCTCCTCTTCCTCTTCAGACGATCTCTGCCATTCTCAAACCCAACTCGCACATTCATATACCACTCGAAATGTCCAGCTCAGGGACACCACTCTCAGAAACCCCACCACCGACCGACTTGGCTCAGGAGACATCTGATGCTACCTCCACAGCCCCCGCAGAACCCTCCGGACCTCCTGCATCATCTGCAACCGTCATTGCAAACCATAAGAAGAAGGACACCTCAAAAGGTACCCGCGTCAGTTGCACACTCGGCGCCCTTTACAATAGCCTTCACACGATAGTCTTTATTCCATCCTTTGTCTGTGCTGACATTGCCTTCGTTCCCCTTTTCTATCATGGATAGTGGTCGTCCGCTTCCGGGCCATTGGAAACGCGCCCATTCTGAAGCAAAATATGTACACCATCACAGCGTCCAACAAGTTCATGGCCGTTATACAGTTCCTACGCAGGGAACTGAACTACAAACACTCCGATCCTTTGGTACGCGTCCTTGCCCTGAACGAACTCTCTTTTCAGTTTGGTCCTCACGAGATGACAGCACATATTGACTGACATCCTACTTCCTCTGTCATGCGAATAGTTTTTATACATCAATAGTGCATTTTCACCAGCACCGGACGAAATTGTTAACAACCTGTTCAAGAGCTTTAATACGGACGGAAAACTGATCGTGAACTACTGCACAAGTCCTGCATGGGGATGAACATATCAAAAAGCACAGAGAGCCATTACAGTAATAAACAAGAACAAAACAGCCATTTTGCGCATCGGATCATTTTTTCTTTAAGGCTCTACGACTCATGGTCGTCAATTTGGTTGTACACTTTGTGTCCTGGTGCGTAACGCACCCTCGATCCCTTTGGCTTGTCGGGAACCTTGCCAAATCTGTCAAATGGGTACAGGATATAGTCTACTTTGGATTTTACAAGTCCCAGTGGTACCTATATTGCCACGAATTGAACGAAGAGTGTGTGAGAATCGTTGAAGCTATGCGGACAAAATTCCTAGTTGCAAAAAAGCGCCGGCAAAGTGGATTCAAATGTCACCTTACCGGCCCAAAACTGTTGCTGTCCTTGCTATGAAACATCTCGTCGCCTTCGATCCAACAGTGGCCTCTAGGCACCCTAACATGCGCCTCTGGATATGGGGACCGTGTTTGGATAATATCACCTTCCAGTGCCACGATACGTTTGATGATTATCCGGTCTGGCTGATCAGGGTGCCTATTGCATTGAATCGTCGAGATAGTGGGGAGCAGCAACATTGTTAGATCTCAACGCGCAAGGGTGGAACAAAGTTTACCATGTCATGATCGCGCGGCAGCCCCCTGCTTGGTTTACCGCAATGTCACAACGTCGCCGATCTTGTATTTAAATCGATCGATGGCCCAATGATTGAATAGTACGACGTCTCTTCGCAGCATGTTGCTATCTGGGTTTAGCGTCGGCTTTTTTTTTTTTTTTAGGATTGAGTACATCAGTGAAAGGTTAGCTCCAGTATCGTTGAAGGAAAAGCCTTCGACAACAGTACGGTTGTTCAAGAGTTGGTGCTGTGATGCTTGCCTGCATTGATCTTCCATGAACGGTGCCCAAACTGTATCCATGTTCTACAAAGAATACGCCGACTGGAACCCAAGGCAGGAACATCCACGCAGCCTGACGTGCAGCTGAAACGAATGACATTGTAGCGAATGGTGATTAGTGCTGGACAGGAATGGTAAATTCAATGCCGTTTTGTCTAGTTGAGTCCTATGGAGTCACGTAGCACGATACAGAAAAAAAGTGCCATCAATTTTTACTTCACTTCGAGTATCACCATGATCTTGGCACCTTCCACCAGCAACTCACTCTCTTACGATAATGGCAGCGACACATCCTATACGCTCTTCTACTTCAACTTCCATGGACTAGGTGCATGTCTGCGCGCGCTTCTCTGTTTGGGCAACGCGTCCTGGACCAATAAGATCCAGGCCATGTCAGACTGGCCCCAGGTCAAGCCCACAACTCCGTTCGGGACCCTTCCTATCCTCTATGAGGTCAACATAACAACAAGAGAATCTATCGAGATACCTGAATCGGGCGCTATTGAGCGGCACCTAGGCCGAAAGTTCAAACTTATGGGAGATACACCTAAAGAGCTGACCCTGAATGATGTCTTTTATACCCAGGCCGTGATGCTCAACACCAAGTTCGTGGCGAAAGTCGTATGGACCTTCGCAGAGGTCCGTTAGAAGGCCCTCGACCAGTTTTTGCAAACCACACTTTCGCCATAGGTGGAGGGGTATGAAAAATATTTGATGGGGAATGGGAATAGCGGCTATTTTTTGGGCAACAAGATCTCGTTGGCGGACGTAAAGACTGCTGTGGTCCTGGACTCGATGTTGGCATTGGATTCGGAGCACGCCCTGGGCGAGCTCAAGAGCCCGGAGATTTGGAAGCTGAAGCGAAATGTAGATACGCATCCTGTATATTCAGAGTGGAGGAAATCCAATCATTTCCAGTTGGAAGAGGAGACGCAGGGGGGATGTCTGCAAAGTTCCGTTCAACTTAAGGAAATCGCACATCTTCTCCTGAATAAAATAAAAAGAGGCCCTTGAACGATTATAAATCACAAAAGGCGACGGATGCAGACTACTTTATTACGGCCTGTCTATTCGTCCATATCCCCACCATCCTCGTATTCGTCATACTCCCGCTCGCGCTGGGACGTATAGTGACTCGGGACCCGCAAAGGCGCCTGATTCTGTAGAGCTCGGGATATTCCAGACCTGGATGGTGTCTGCGGATATCCCATTCCAAACCCGGGTATTGAGCTTCGTGCTGCACGCTGCTGCTGTAGCTGTTGCGAGAATTGTGGCGGCTGCCGGGAGTGCTGTGGTATTTGGTCCTGTCTTTGCGTAGGTGTGTATAGCGACTGCTGATGTCTCTGCCCAAGCCCGCGTGCTCTTTGCGAAACTACCTCCTGCGTATGTTGCGGCGTCTGGTGATGACTGTGTTGATGGTCATCCTCGACTTCGTCGACGGGGTCTTCGTCGCCTGTCAAGACGTCGTCCTCATCCAAGTTGTCGCTAATGTGCTCTTGGCGATCCAGAGCAACATCCATGGCGTCCATGGCATCAGTAGCATCGACTTCGATATCCTCGTTATTATCCGACTCTTCAATCTCATCCTCGTCTTCTTCATCACCTCCATTGAGAACCCTTTCCACATGGGCCATGCCTTCTTTGGCTCGCGCATTGTCAGGATTAGCACTAATCGTCCAATGAGAATGATAGTGTGAGTGTAGGGATTCAGTTATCAGCACATTATATTAGCCATAACTGACAGATGCAGTAGAAGAGTTCATTACCTTAATGCGCTTTGATAGCTGGCTAATGCGTGCTCCCACTGCTCAGTTGCTGTATAGATTTCGGCTTTTCTCACATGCACTGTGTCCGGTGGTTGGTAGTCGACTTGTTGGTCCAAGCTGGAGGACAATAAAGTAGATGTCCCTGTTAGCCTCCGGACGCATAAGTTCATAATTCAGCAATGACTGACAGAATGCTTTGGCTTACATTTGGATGGCTTCATCGTATTGGCCTTGGTTCTCATAGATCATCACGAGACATGATGCTGCTTCAACACAACCAGGGTCCATTTGCAAAGCCTCCTTCAGAATATCCTGAGCCGCGTTGCTGTCTTGGTCTCCAGTATGATAGACCGCCATTCCATAGATCGCGAGAGCGTGCGCACTGTCAGGCATCAGCTTCTTGGCCTCCTTTGCCATATCCATGGCTTCCGGCATGCGCTCCATCAAGACGTACGTATTTACGAGGCCTAATAAGAATAAATACGAATTCAGTCTCCGAAGTAGCATGCAAAAGATAAATGAGAACAAATTGCAATGCTGTTTTACCCTCATAAGTATTAATGTTTTTCTCTATCCTGTATGCCTCCCGGAAGGACTGTAATGCTTTCAGTGGTGTAGTTTCCATAAGCAATTGGCCACGAAGTTGAAGGGCGCCACAATGATCTGCCTTAATTTGTAATGCCTACTCATAGCCAGAGAATCAATATGTTATGCTCCATTTGAACATATGCCAGCGAGCTGGGTTTGGCATCATGAGACGCTGTATGTACTTACCCTTGATACCATCAGTAGCGCTCTCTCCTTATTCCCAACCGTCTCCCAATACAATCCCTGTACACACCATGCATCCGGATGCTTGTCGTTGTAGCCCAAAAGATCACCTGCCAGCCTATGAAAAATATTATAGTCGTTAGAATGCAGCCCGTAGTTTGAAAGGAATATGCATCATAAATGGCGGTAGTCCACGGCATACTTGTTCAAATAAAGCACTTTGCCCATTTGCTTTAGGCAAGCGCCATAATGGTACATGTCTTCTAACACGCAGCTATCCAGTTTGCGGACCTAATTATTTTCAGTCGATATCACAAGACGTTAGCAAACGCTCGCGCACAACTCGGACCTATATGAAATAAGCAAGCAATCACGCGAGCAAAGGTTGAGAATTACCTGCGAAAACATGAAGCAGCACCGGACAGGCTTGCTCATCCATTTCAGACAAAGTGCCATCCGTAGTTTGATATCAATGTTGTCCGGGTATATCTCATTCAGTGCAGAGAAATCTGATAATGCAGCTATACAGGCAATGAAAGTAAAACGACAATGGCTATCAGCAAAGTGAAAAAATGCAGTAATTAGAAGGCCTAGCAAGATTTCATCCTCTACCTTGGTACCGCATCCTGAGAAAGTTGTCCATGCCCTTCAGGTACATCTTCATCCAATGCTTTTCCGAAGAATCGGAGGGAATCATATTGAGGACAATCGCCAGTGGGACTTGTGAGCGCAAGAGTTGGACATACGCCTCTATTGCCAGAGGTTGCATCCTAAATGAACAAGAATGAACTGTGAAAGAACCATCCAGGTGTCGCTGAAATGCCTCGTATTCAGCTTGGTCCATGGCAACTTACTCTGCTATACACTCCCAACACGCCTTTTCGCTGTGAACATGAAAGGAAGTACAATGGAATTATCCAATGATTAGATGATGGTTGTGGAGTAGAGTATTCGGTAACCAGTTCATGCATAGTAATAAAGTACTTACGGCAAAACGAAAATCTTTTTGTGTGCAAGCCGCACCATCAGCAAGTACACTTTGACTGTCCGGTTGCTCTCAGATATCTTTGCAATCTAGATGTACAGCAGGAACATAGAGTTTTCTCAGTCCATGGCGCTCATTCCTGTATTTCAACGAGATGAAACTCGTAGCCAAGCATGCATATCCTTACCACTCGCCCTGCTTCAACATAATCGCCAGCTTCAAAACGAGACTGGGCGTGGTCGATATTGATTGCATCCTGCTGGTGTAGAACATTCACAAAATCGCCTGCCAGCCGGGCTGCAGACGATTTATTGGTCATTTTGGGTACTCCTCCGATAATTGATCTGCTATCGTGAACAATGCTTTCGGCTTCGTTCGAATTCTCTACTTCAGATATCCGCGACGCCAAGTGCCTTTTCATGGTTGTAGACTGAGGGACCACAGCTGGAATCGAGGTAGGGACGACGTTGGTCAGTCCTGTTGCCGTAGCATTGGATTTAAGTGGCGCTTTTGCTGACGACATCATGCTGGCAGTCCGATTCTGAGCTGCCAGCTTGGATGTTGTTCGAAGGATCTTTTCCTTGAACTGATCCCGTGCTAATCTTTGCTTTGCCAGTGTCGCCTTGTCCATGTTTTTCTCTAAGAGTAACGCCTCTACTGCAGACATTGGTGGTCTCAATTCTGCAACTCCTTCGCCATCCTGTTTGGATCCAAGCTTCATTGATACCGGGATATCTGACGGCAACGGTGAGTTCTCAAGATATGCTGCTTTCCTGTAATATTCCTATATATACATTGTTTTTGTTTTTGAAGAAGAAGGGGAAGAAGAAAAAGAAAAAGAGGATTATCAGCGTGGTTCTCAATCTCTTTATTCAAGGCATACCACAGAGCTATCGGCTAACTTACAATCGATCTGCGGTGCTCCTGTAAACGCGTCAAGCAGCGGGCATACCGCGACAAAGCCCTTGATTGAAACCATTTCTCATCGCCTTTGATGGTAGAAAGCTGAATTCCCGTCTATTAATCGCATCAGATAGTACGATTTATAACTGGTTTAGTCTTTCCAGTCAACAGACAAAACCAACTGCGTCGACAACGAAGCGATTCCTGTGGCGAGAAACAAATGGTTTATACCATGAACAAGGCTGAGGTATAAAGTCCTGCGTTGTATAATGACTCCGTTGTCTGGAGCTGTAATAGTCGTTCCCGCGAAGTGTGCTGCCGTGGGATTGCTGCTTCCATAGTTCCATAGTTTCGCGAATGAAGGTGAATGGCAGAGCAGCGACGTCGAGCACGAGCTTCACGCGCATAATTTTTAGCGAATGTGTGACCTCTTCCTTGAACAGTCCGCTCAGCATCAACAACTTTTTTTTTTTTTTTTTTTTTTACCCAACTTTACATCTTTACTCATACACACACACACGAAATACGAGACCAGATAGCATTATTCAGTCGATCATGGAGACCACAAAGATAGAAAAAACAAAGAAAAAATTCGAGAGAAAGGTGGCCCCGTCGAAAGCGCCTCGCCGTCTCCTGAAGAAGAAGCTGCGCGATCTGGAACGGCTTATCCAGAACAAGAACAAGCTGAAAGATCTTCCGGAGCAAGTCATTGGTGATGTGGAAAAGAAAATAGTCGAAGTGAAGGATCAAATTGAAGCACTTGGTCCAGAATCCTCACCAGCTACAGCAAAGAAATCAAGCTCCTCGAAGGAAGACGAGACCAAGACGAACTCCAAAGGCGTACGCTTTACAGGTATGACAGTGTTGATACGGCAAATCGTTAATACAAAGAGAAAAATGCCATTATGACTTGACTGACAGCTATGTGGTGCATAATTATCTAGAATTGCGACGTGCTGGACGCAGGATCACGGCGTTCAAGAAGCAACATCCCAACCACGAGTCGTCAGAGGAGGAATCAAAGGAGCTCGCGGATCTTGAGTTGGATCTCCTGTATATCAAGGTTAGTTGGTGGGCGTAATTGCATTTTTTCTACATGCATTTTGAGAAAACTCCATTAACCATTCCACTGGATTGCCCTTACTATGTGGATATAGAACTTCCCTAAGCGTGAGGAATACATTCCAATCTACGCAGAATCCTCGGAGGAGGACGAGGAACGTATGAAGAAACAAACTGAGATCAGGGACAAGATTGCAGAGGCGCTTGCGAGTGGCAAGATCAAACGCTCAAAACGACCCAAGACGGACGACGATACAGATGAGAAGGCCCAGACGATTATTGGAAAGCATCCAGCAAACAACTGGAGTGACGATGAGGATGAGGAAGACAGGGAAGACGAAGATAGTGATGATGAGCGGGAACACAAAAGACAGAAGGCAGAATAAACGTCGCATCGCCATGTCTTTGAACAAACACTGGAAAGGACTCTTTGCTTTTTTGCGTCTTTATTTGCTGGCTCCCTCGTGGCACATTTGCGTTGAATGTAATCACATTCCTGATATCAGTTCGAAGGCGCCATTCATTTCGGCGCAGGGATGGGGAAACCGGCACTGAGCTGGATCCGTAGCTGAAAGTATCAACCATTGTATGGTGCTCCCTCAGAGTAGAGCCGAGCAGCCCAATCACGAGTCCCAATAATGATATCAATGATTTACTAGTAATTTTCCGCAGGGTGACAGGGAAGATCAAATTCATAGTTATTGGTTCAGGAGTACAGAGACAGAGAGAAAGAGACATGCGGTGGAAAATAATGTAGCAAAGGAAAGGGCACCGAGTGAAAGGAAAAGCGGCAAAAGGCAATGGACTCTGACATGTAACAAAGGCAACTAGGCTAAGTTAATTGGAGAGTGGCCCTTAGACGCGCTTCTTTTTGGGAGTGAGGAGGATATTGTCCTCGAAGCGCTTTTCAGTCGGATATGACTCATCCACATCGTATTCAACATCTTCCACAAAGTCGGACTCGCTATCACTTGCCTCCTTGGCGGCAGCTGCATCCCACGCGGCCATTCCAAGTCGTTCAAGATGGCTCTGAATGCAAAAGTTGGTCAATGTAAGCAAAACTTGTGTGCTGTCAAAAATGGAAAACTCGCATTTCGTAGCACACCTACCAGGAAATTAATAATGACCGAGAGTGATGATCCCTCCAAGAATTGGCGGAGAGTGTACATGCTGGTAGGAAGTGTAACAACTTGATCTGTAACTCGGCCTGCGACATAGATGTCATCCAACTTGACGACCTTGGAAAAAATTCCCATGTATCCTGCAGGCATAATCCAGTAACGCATGAGGTTTGCTATAATTCATATCGTTGCCCATAATTAATGATGGCGTAAGGTATCTTACCGGAAACGTCAGCAAACAGGATCTCGGGCGTTGGAACACCTAAACGTTCTAGTTCTCTTTGTATGCACCTGGCCAACCGCAGATTCTTGCGGGTCTGCGTGGCGCGCTCTGAAGTCTTCCGTGAACGAGCCTTTAACTCGACGTTAGAGACTTCAATGTCGTTGTACAAGAACCTCATATCCACGCGTCGTCCTCCTCCTTCTCCAGCCTCGGTCCCCAACTCCGCTGCTAGTTCGCTGTGCACTGGCAACGTGGCTCTCAGCCATGTCTCCCCTCTTAAGTAATAATAAGAATACAGCGTTAGAACATCCACTGATGATACGAAAACGGGCGACCATCCGAAAAAAATGCATAAACTTACGTTGATATTGTGATACCTGTTGGAAGTAATGTCTTGTATACGTTGGCCCAGGCAATGAGTGCATCGGTCTCGCTGGGCGAGTCCCCGAATGGCCGTTCTATCACCAAAGCACACCTACATGTTAACAATCAAAAGATATTAGTTTCCAGCCTTGCCAGCTCTTCTGGTGTAAACGAACGTATTACAGCTGGCAATGTAAGTTTACATTTGTTGCACGATATCCAGCACCTTCTCATGAAGCGACCGCGCTCCTAGTGCGCATATTCTTCGACGCTCTCTCGTGAGTTCTGCGTTTTTAAACAAGGCCTCGTCCCTAACATCGGATGCGTCGCCAGATCGGGCGATCTCCCTCAAAGGAGCCAACCAACGCACTAAATCTTCGTGATGGTCGATTTCTGAATCCATGCACGCGTTAAAAGCTCGCGCCAGAAAATCATCCTCAAAATATGCTCCTACTTTTGGCGAGTGTAAGTTCGCTGTGCACGACAGCGCCACCCTGAGGTAGGCAAGGGTCAAGAGGCAGAAAGGACGAGTAAGCATTCCGAGCAAGGATGAGTTAGGGCAACCGAACGGCCAAAGCGAGCATGAGCACGGCGTGCATACATAGCGTCCTTCAATAGTACTTGGTCTCTCTTTTTCTTAGGTGCTGCCTGGAAAGCTTGCATGCAGTCCCTGGCGACTTTAAACAAAGCCTTGTGGGTCTTTGAGAGTTCCGACGGGATTTGTGAAGGTATGGCAGTGTCTTCTCCTCCGTTCTAACGCAAATGGGAATACGCCAGTAAACAGCCGTGCTTTTTTTTTTCTTTCCTATCTTATGCATTAACTTACCAGCGTCTTCACCACTAGACCGAGCTTGATCCACCAATCCGGTTCCTTATGGTCATCTGCCTGTGCCTGCTTCCGTTTGCGGCCCTGTACTCCTTGGACCTTTGTCTCCAGATATTCTATGGAAGAATCGACAGTTATCATGAACATCGTTTGACTTCCCTAGCATTGCATCGTGATCACAAGCGGCCAAGATGAAATATTACGTGAATGGAGCTGTACGACAGAAGCAATGCTTCCGCTTATCATAGTTGAGGCAGCATTGTCTGCTTGCTGGGAAAGTGGATTCGCTGTCAATTGGCCGTCGATTGTTTGTTCCACGTGGTCCTCGGCTATTTGTTCCATATATTCCTTGTACTCCCGCAGCATTTCTGGAACTGAGTACTTCCCCGATCGTTGAAAGGGTTGCCTCTTTTTCGAAAGATATAGTTGGTAGCACCTTAGATATGAACTGAAATCGCTGTGATTGTGCTCGTCGCTGGCGAGAAAATCCACAAAATTCATTGTATTTGAGCCTGCCAGCTTACTGGTAGACAAAGACATGATGGCTGTCGGTGGTGCTGGAGAAGCTGGAGATTCTCTGAAAAGGGATTTTTGAGTTAGTAAGCAGGAGGGACGTGCGGTTCGTCGCTTCGGTGACGTAATTTTCGCGCCTACTGTCAGGTTCCATCTCACTACCGCCACCATTCACATACATCTTGTTCTACTCATCACTCAGAATCAGATCGTACTCGTCTTTAAGCAAGTAGTAGTTGTCCATATCGATATTATACTCAAAAGGTCAGTGTCTTTATCTTTTTTTAGTTTTTTGTTACGTGTTGAACTGGCTATGTTGCGGGATGGAGCATCGACTTCGGCGCGATGTCTTCTACGGTGTGTTGACCTTTGCTTTCACCGGTCTGAGGAAGGTCCACCAGCCGGACAGGGGTCAATGGCACTTTATGTCTCTCAACGTGGCTGTGAACCCATCTTTTTGTTTGTTCTATATGTTAAACTAGCTGTGTTGTGAGATGGAGCGTCGGCCTCGGTGCGATGTCTTCTACGGTGCGTTGATCTTTGCTTTCACCGGTCTGAGGAGGGTTCACCAGCCGGACAGGGATCAATGGCACTTTATGTCTCTCAGCGTGGTCGTGGACCTACCTCTTCTTTTTGTTACGCGTTGAACTGGCTATGTTGCGGGATGGAGCATCGACTTCGGCGCGATGTCTTCTACGGTGTGTTGACTTTTGCTTTCACCGGTCTGAGGAAGGTCCACCAGCCGGACAGGGGTCAATGGCACTTTATGTCTCTCAACGTGGCTGTGAACCCATCTTTTTGTTTGTTCTATATGTTAAACTAGCTGTGTTGTGAGATGGAGCGTCGGCCTCGGTGCGATGTCTTCTACGGTGCGTTGATCTTTGCTTTCACCGGTCTGAGGAGGGTTCACCAGCCGGACAGGGATCAATGGCACTTTATGTCTCTCAGCGTGGTCGTGGACCTACCTCTTCTTTTTGTTACGCGTTGAACTGGCTATGTTGCGGGATGGAGCATCGACTTCGGCGCGATGTCTTCTACGGTGTGTTGACTTTTGCTTTCACCGGTCTGAGGAAGGTCCACCAGCCGGACAGGGGTCAATGGCACTTTATGTCTCTCAACGTGGCTGTGAACCCATCTTTTTGTTTGTTCTATATGTTAAACTAGCTGTGTTGTGAGATGGAGCGTCGGCCTCGGTGCGATGTCTTCTACGGTGCGTTGATCTTTGCTTTCACCGGTCTGAGGAGGGTTCACCAGCCGGACAGGGATCAATGGCACTTTATGTCTCTCAGCGTGGTCGTGGACCTATATTTCTTTCTTTTTTTCTTTTTTTCTTTTCTTTTTTTTTCAGTATGTAAATGTGTTTGTTTGATACAAATGCTAATCTTGACTTTTCCTTTCACTTTTTTTCTATGTTATGCCGTCGAATACGACGAACATGGCGCAAGAACGACATGGAAAAGACGTTAGCGTTCATGGAATCAAACTCGGAGGGCTACCCTGTGTTTTGCGCATGAATCGCATAGGACGCTATAGATTAGAGCTGCAATAAAAGCTATCTAGCCTTAATGACATCTGGAAGCTCATGCGCTCGAGGCATAACACGATGTGTGTATGGTGTGGACTAAAGCTGAATGATAACCATGTCAAGCACAATGCTTTATTCAACAATCTTTATTCGGTCATGTCGCAATAGCTGGGTTACGAATCCAGGAAGTCATCCAACAGAACAGTTCGCTGTCAAACAAGGGTCCAAATGGAATTCTTCATTTCTCAAATTCGATTGCGGTCCTGGTGCATTTTCGTTTCTTCATTGTTTCGTACGCTTTGCTTTTGAAAAGACCCTTCTCCTTGATAGAAGTGAGTGTAGAATATACAAGTCTTTAAGACTGAGTCTTGCTTGGATATAATGAAGGAGAGATGGATGAAAAAGGAAGCAGCTTAGCTCATCCAGGGAAAGGCGCGCCGCATTTCCTGTTCGGTGGGCCAAAGCTTGATAGACTCTTCGGGGCTGCTCAAAAATTCTTCATCCGAGAGGTGAGGCAAGACAATGTCGGAGAGCTTTTGCATCTCTTCGACTAGAGTATCCTTTTCAGCTGTGAAGTCCTTGCCGTCCTGATCGACGCCCTTTTGTGCGAGCTGGCGGATGTTCTCTAATGTATGATCCAGGGTCTCATGTGAATGGCTCCAATGTGAGATATCTGTCACGGCAGCAAAAGATGGGAAGATAACGGCTTCCTCCAGGTCATGGTGCACCTGAAGATGGCGACAGAAGAGAAGAACGTCTCGAAGACTCGACTTGACAGATGCGGGCTGGGTGGCCGTGGGGAGGGTGCGAAGACAGGTCTTGAGTTCATGGCGAAGATGATTGTGGATGGCGACCAAGTGGTCGTAGTAGTATCGGTGGAAGCGGGACATGTTTGGTGGTGAGAAAGAAAAAAAAAAGAATGTGAGGGAAAGAGGAGCTCGGAAAAGTTTATCGTTCTGGAGGTCCAAACTTGTTTGGTCAGCATTAAACTTCCGTTCGTAAGCAGATCGCGATCCCTCCAGCCACCGCCACCACCGACGATCGGAGAATCAATCTGGGCGAAGACACGAATAGACTCGATCTTATTCGAGGAATGCTATGAATGCCACCTATCAATGTAAAAACGCTGTAGTTCTACGCGCTAACACTAATGCTGTCCTTGCCTGTACCTCCTCCCCAGGCAAAGTCAATCCAGTGGTCGATCACTTTGAATCCTACCGCCCTCTCTTGCTCCGTCATGTGTGGCAAGCACGCGTCTGACATGAATGTGAACTTTTTACTGTCACTCTTTGTCCCCTGGTCAGCTACTGCACTCAATTGGCTGCTCAATGTCATTCTCCGCTCAGGGATTGTCTGCGTAGAATCCCCCCGCTCGCTCGCATCAGTAGGTCCGGATACTGAATGCATGATGGCTCGTTTAAACAGGCCTTCGTGTTGCGCAGTCATTAAATGGTATCCTCCAGGAGATGCTCCACTGGAATGGCCCATCAGTGTGATTTCGTTAGGGTTGCCGCCAAAGTTGTGAATGTGTTTGCGGACCCACTCCAGCGCCATCTTTTGGTCATATAGACCCCAGTTAATTCTGTCATCTGCCTGCCGAGGATGATCCCCTTCCTGTGGTTGTGAGCTTTCAAGAAGACCTGCTGATGGTAAAAGGCGGTAGTTGACTGTCACCACAGCCACAGGCGTCCCTTTGGCGATCGACTTTTTGACAATATTTGTTGCATCTATTTTTTTTTTTAAACAAGGCTGTCTTCAGTTTCTAAAGCCAGCTAGTCCACGGATAATGAGAATCGATTTTTCTTCTGCTATGTTACCATTCTTTGGAAGCGCATTTCCTCCATGACTTGATCCGCCGTGTATGTAGCAGATCACTGGCACGTCCTCTGCATACCGGGGTGCAAAGACATTCAAATTTAGGCAATCCCGTTCTGAGAACTCAAAGCCTGGCCCTGGCAAGCCGAGCATCATTGTCGTCAGGCTGTTGGCATGTTGTACCTTTTGGGGACACATTGGCCTAGAGGAGACAAAGCAATTGGTAAAGTGTGGGAGAATTGTACACTTTCACATGCAGCCATCGATCTTCAGTATTCACTACTCTGTTTTCTCCTTCACCCCCCTTTTTTATCTTACGTACCCAAGAACAGTTGCGTCCCGGATCCCTGCCCATGACTCTGGTGCAACAGCGTGCTTGATCGGGTCTTGGACCGAGGCGAAAGGAATATTCAAGTACTTTGTCAACAGCCGGCTTGGATCCATTTGACCCTGAAGAATCCCGTATCCCTCAATCACGACCAGCTGCGGTTCCCTGCAATAGTGCGTGTTGATCTTGGATATCTGGGCAGGAGGGTCGAACTCTGAAGAAGAGATGGAACGCGACTGTGTTTGTCCGCTGCTGGCCCCGCTGACGATGGCTTGCTGCGAGCAGTATGTTTGATGAAGGGACCTTTGAAGAGCGGTAAGCCTCGGTAGCGGTGTAGGTGGTGATACTGCACGGAGGGAAGTCCTGGCCAAGCGAGAAGAACACGACGTTGGTGGTCTAAGGACCCTGCCTGGGAGAGACATCGTATCGAATGAGGATGCAATGGAGTTGTATATTAGGAGCTGGCGTGATGAAAGAGTGGAGGGAAAAAGAGATGAAAGGGGCGACCGAGTGAAACGCGGCTTCTTGAAAGATTTGTACCAGTCAACAGCCCCATATCCTTCCACGATGCAGAGATATCTCTCTCTCTTTGTGACCCATTTGATCTGCATGCCCCCTGCAGCATTTCAATTATATCAGTTACACCCCTGTCATCAGTCTTCTTCGTCGGTTGTGCTGTCTTGGTTGTTGAAAGTGTTGCTTGCCTCTGAATCTGCCACCATTCGGCGACAGATTTCTTTCTGAGCATAATGCCTCTGAAACAGATGCCCTTTAGCAAAACCTACACAAGGCTTGCCTGTCCTTATCAATCGCGAGCAAGCACACACCACCCGCTGGCTTTGACGCGTTTGTGTTCACCTTGAAGAGAAACTCAAACAATGCGCGTAGAACTAGACTACTAAAACCATGTAGAAAAGTAGATAGCGGCTGTTCTATTTACGTTCTATTCATGTATCTCAGCAGCTCGTCAAAGATGCTATATTTACAACGAGATTCTTCTTATTGCGCTGACTGGGCTGGCGCTGGATCCCGTTAAACTCTTGGAGGGATAGTCGCTGAGTCGGGACAGCTGCGTGTTGCCGCTGACGGCATCGAGTCGTGTCTTTCTCACAAGAATCATGATTGTCGCATCCAATAAGTTGACGGCAAGGGTTCGTCTGCACAGCCTCTGTAGGTCCTGTTATTGTTGTTGTTGTTGTTGTCGTGGTCATCGTGGTCATCGTCATGGTTGTTGTCGATCCAAAAGCCATACTGATGGCCGTATCGGGCTGTTCGTGCAGATCATCCTGGATATTGTTGCTGCGAAAATAGCTGGTCGCATGGTTGGAGGGCTGCTTATCAGGGATGGGCCTTAAAGGGGTACTGCTCTCTTTTGTAAGTGCCGATGTGGTCTGATCCATGTCGGCATTGGGACCGAGGGTGAGACCCAGGCCAATACATGTTTCAGTCCATGCTACCTGTTCCTCGAACGTAGCGTTTTGGTCTTGGGTGGTATGAGCAAAGATAGGAGGAGTGCCCTCGATGGTTTGACCGCGATATTCATGCCGATCCTTAGACTGAGAATGCGGAAGCAGAGGAGAAAGATCCAACGGATGGACTCGCTGATCCACAATCTCATCGTCAGATAATCGCGCTGATGGATAGGTCGGCTCCTCACCCCATAATCTCTTGTTGACTTGCATAGGGTCGTCGATCGCAAGGACCCCCTTCAGGTCAGTTGCAGGAGTTGCACTGATGCGAAAGTCAACGTTAACATGTTCTTCTGGGCTCTGATACTCCACGGAAGACGAGGGGGTGGATGGGCGATTGGCAAAGGCTCCACATCCAGACTGAGGACCATTGAAAGCCCTATGCCAGTCCCAGGAAGAATCACTATCATGTCCACTTGATTGCGCTCCCTGACTATGTCTCCGAGAATGGGCCTTCTTCAAACAAGATGGTGATGCCTTGTCCTCGGCAACGTTCGAACCGTCAGTGTCACCTTCCTCGAACCCATGGCTCACCAAATTGCTCAAATGACTTGGAGATCTCGCCCTAACTCGCGTCATAGGCGCTGGAAAGGCAACGTTCTGAAGAGTATACAGTTGGCTTGTTGGGAGGTTGGCCTGCTGTGCTCTTTTTGATGCGGCTTCTTCCTTGGATGAGCCCTGAATGGAGGTGGGCAATGAGCCCTTGCGCGCGGAGGATGGACCTTGGTAAGAGGATCCGCTTAAGATCTCATACGATTGCTCGCTGTACATTGGATTGGAGAGCGAATCCGCCAGGGAAGGAGATGAGGCTATAGAATAGTATCCACCGATGGTGCTGTTCAAACTCCCTTGCCTTTGGGACCTTGTCTGGCCAAAGACATTCGGTGGCGGAGTGATACGGAAATCATCGGCAGAGTAATACAGCTCTTCATCCTGCTGGTAATCCACAGCCGCCTCCGCCTGCTGGATATGGCTTGATAAAATGATGGGGATCGTACCTCGCCTAGAGATGCTGTCATCAGGCATTGGGTCGCACGAATCCCCGGTGTAGTCGCCATAATCCTCCAATCTGCACTCTCCTTGCTCTTCATCTTCTTCCAGCTTCGGCGTATAGACAACGAGATCAGGGATCGCTGGAGGACTTGGGACGACATGAATTCTCCATTTTTCAATAGTCACTTGGGATTGGGACCGACTTAGCCCTCCGGAATGACAATGATGCGCAGACAATGTTTCCTGGCTTTGAAATGCTGGCGATGGGTGGTTTCCGTTTCGTGACCGGGCCTCGATGCTGTCCACAGGATCAATATACATGTCCAATATGCCCCCCACAGAATAACCCAAGGACACTGCAGATCGGTTGATCGCCTGCAATTCATCCGTAGTCCGGAAATGCGGCCCTGTATCGAATGGATGGATAGGTCTGTCGCAGGTGTCATCATAGTCGCTGCAGCTAGAGTGGCTGAGTGGGGTCGAGGAGCACAAGGCGATAGAGGGCGCATTGGTTGAAAAGTTGTTGTATTCCCGCCTGTGGACATCGCCATCGACCTGCAACTCTCGGATAGCCTCAAACTCTTGGTCGCGTACCGGGGATGCGTACACCATCAGCTCTGAGTTGATGCTCTCCAGCAGGTCGTCGTAAAAGGATAAATTCGCCTGCCTCCTGCTTGACGCCATGTGAACAAATCCGTTGCGGGTGGCCATGTCTCCAGTGTTGGGCCCATGGTCCTGGCCGGCAGTCGAAATAGTGGGTAGGTGCCAAGGCGATAAGGGCCTAGGCACTGCTTGCTGACGCTCATTCGTAATGACCTGGAGTCCTTGAGTGGACGCAGCAACAAAATCGTCCCAGTCGGCATCGTAAAAGCTATTCTGTATTCGGTGCGGGTTCGTCGTGGAGGCCTCAGTGTCGTATTGATATAGCTCTGGACTTTTCTCTATGTGTTCCGGATAGATGATTCCCTGTCCACTGAACTGGCGATCGATGTCATCCGCTTTTATTGCGTGCTGAAGCGACAAGTGGCCGTCTTCACACTCGGCACCATGCAACGCTGATATGACCATGCTCGTGATTCTATTCAAAATATTTGTCTTCAAGTCAGTAAATATTCAATTACGCACCTCGTGAATGTTGCATAAAACAACGTGCGCTAACCTGAACTTGAGATCTCTATCCATTTCTCTCTTGATCTGTCCGAGGTAGCAAAAGGAACAGGCGCATGTTGTCATTGCGAGTACTATCCTGGTCGTGTTGATACCGTGGACGACGAGAGACAAGATTATGGCCGCGAGTGCCCCTCTTAACCAGACGTCTTCATGGCCACTGGGCCCTTCTAGCTGTAGCCACGCAAACCCACGTGCCGACATTGCCAGGTCGGGTATGTCTTTTACTGCATAAAGGATGCATCCATAAACAACGAGCCTTGGCAGTGTAACCAGAGCCAAAGTGAATCCTATAGAGCATCCATGTTTTGGTGGTACAATGGTTGCCATATTTTCATGTGAGAGTTACCATGTTAGCCTTAAGGCAACCATATTCATGTAGACTATGACATTGATCGATAGTATGTGGGACAACACCATAAATATAATAAATGCAGCTGTGGTTTACCTTGTGTGCCAAAGTAAACTGCCATGATGAACCGCTGGCGTATGTCTTGACCCCATTTGATCTGAGAAAGAAAACAAAAGTGCCTGTACGACCTGATGCCCCAGAGCCGGAATGCTGCCGTGTGTAAGAATGCTTGAGAAATGCTGTCGGATTCAACGATTGACCATGCTTGCATCAATTCCCAGACGGTGACGAAGATGCTTAAGCATATTGAGGCAAGCACCAGCCATCCCGCCGCAGTGCCGATCTGTTCGAGTGCTTGAGATGAGGCGGAGTTGTAGATCAGACCGTGCTGGAAAACGCGTTGTGCCCAAACGTTATTTAAAATTAAGTTGACGCTGGCAAAGATTTCTGTCAAGAGCAAAAATATCGAGAATCCAAACCAAAGGAGGAAGAGGATATAACGTGAGCGGAGTGCACGGGATCTCCGTTCGAAGTTGGACAGGTCCACATTGGAGAACCAGTGTGGATCAAGATCTGCGCCGTAGTCCATGGTAAAGACGTGTGTTGATGGTCTGTTGTGCGTTGCTAGCAGATATGTCGAAGATACATTTAAATCGTGAATGATGAAGGATGATGAAGGATGAAAGGATGATGAAGGATAGTATTCTGATTGAAGTTCAAGAAGCAATGTACAGAAGGAGATGGTTCTTTAAGTGGATGTGTTGAGCGTTGAAGAGGCGTAGCGATTGGAGGCAAGAAGAGATATGGATGGCACTGAGTGTGGAAGTTAGGCCGTTCGTTATGGTTGGCAAGGACAACTAATGATGGTACAAGGGCTAAGGAAGGTGTGAAAATGTCGTGGTATGGAGTAGGGAACCCGAAAACTGCTGTGCGATGTGAGTGTGTGCCTGGATGGGGCCAGAGAAGACAGACAAAAGAAAGAGAGAGAGGAAAGAAGAAGAGACAAGAGAATCGGGCATAAGTAGAATAATTACGGGACCAAAAAAGAGAGGGTTGGTTCCTTTGCATCCATGCATGCGCGTAAGGGAGAGAAACTAAAGCTGCGAGTGAGGACAAAAACAGCTTCTATCTCGGGGCAGTCCGTGTCCCTGTCTCTGAAGCTGTTACCATCCACGCTGGATGACACCCAAGGGAGGATGTTCAGGAGTGTAACAGAAATTAAGGAGGCACCCAAGTTGGGAGCGTATTAGCGCCGCCGTGGCTATAAGGAAGACAGAGACAGAGACAGGGACAGAGACAGACCAAAAGCACTGCTGCAGCAGATACTGCCAAGTCGACGTTAGGTTTTGGGCAGGAAAGTAGGAAGCAGTTGCGGAGTTTACACGGCCACCACATCGCTGCAACGACCTTTGCTTGGCATAAAAGGCTGGCATAGATGTAGAAGTTGACAAAGAAAGGGTGCAGTGTATATATCATTAACCCTGAGAAACAAGGGAATTGGAAGTCGGATGCAAACGCATCTATTGGAAAGACAAGAGTGAGGCCCGCGCATTCGTTCTATCGCTCATTTTTTTTCTCTCTCGCTGCATCTCTTTCCCTTTAATATCTGATTGGTGCTGCAGCAGGCATGGGGACGTAGGTCCAGGTGTGCATAGAAGTACGTGCTTCTCGTATGGGCGTAGGCGTTGAAAAGGGGGCCCTAAGACAGCTTCATTTACAAGAGTGCGCGCAAGCACGATCGCATACGTGATTCAGTCTCTTCAGGGGAACCAATCCCCTTTCATTCTTACTATCGCAACTGTTGTCAAAGTGTGTTTCGGGGGCAACATCTAGCTGCGGTCTTTTGTCTTCATTTTGTTTCTGTTTCTGTGCAATAAACGTTCCTTTTCTTCTTGTCGATAGGATGTGTTACACGAAGGATAGTGTTGCACAGAACTATCTGCTCTAACGGTTATGGCCGCAACAGCTCTTTTGATCCATCTAGCCGTCGACTCCGGCCCTTTTGTTATCCCTAAAAAAAAAAGCACCGACGGGTATCTTAACAAGCAGCCGCAAGGTCTGTGGGCCCAAGACACTCCGCAAGCATCGCTCGTCAGCCAATCCAACGACTTCTCCTCTAGCTTTCATTATCTACTTCCTTACACTGACTAAATCATGATGGACAAGTACTCTAGCTCATATTCCCGTTGTCGGAGTCAGTCCCGTTCTAATATCGCAAAACGCCTTCTTCCGCCTCAGGCATATGTACAGTGCCAAGCAGTCCCGATGCGGATCCTAATGGGTCTGATGACACTGGCTCTGTATGCAAACCCAGTCCGGTCATGGCACTATTGGTGCGGCCATTTATGATCATCAGAGCATCGACACCATAACCCTTCTGAAGTTGAACCAAGGACGGGTCTCTGTTACTGGCGCCGAAACTTGTCAGAATAAGCCCTGATTCTTTGATATGCGTAATCAGGCTAGGAACTTGGATCAAGGGTGTTGCCTCGCAGATGACGCCCAGCAGGTTATTGCTTCGCGCGAACTTGATACCCTCCTTGATGGACGTGCACCTCCGATCTGACTCGACAAAAACGGCAGAGCCGTCATTAACGTTACTCTGATTCATGCTTGAAATCGCGGGAGAGCTCGATACGCTGACTGGAGTCGACCTGACAGTCTCAGAAGATGCACCTGATAAAAGCTCGGGCCGACCACTATCAAGGCCAAGGAAAGTCGATGCTCCTGATCCATATTTCGGCGAAGGAAGAATCTCAGGGTCGGCAGGCTCCTTACGTTTAGCTCCACGCAGTGTTGAGTCGATAGGATGAAGTGATCCAACGGTGCGCTCTTTGTTGTATCCGCAATATGTACTGAAAAAGACAGCATCTAGTATCGAATGAAGGATAATGTGAGTATATCGTAATGATATCAATGTTCCCGAAAAAAAAAAAAAAAAAAAAAAAAAGAAGCCTGATGGACTCGACTTACAGTTGGGCTGCTTCCAGTTGAGGGCCGAGCAAATGACTGGATTGAACGAAGAGAACATAAATCTGCGATGATGTGTTGCGGAGGAAGAGTTGTAAACTGTTTGCAGAACTGTGTCCACAAACTTATTGAACTCGGCTGTGTTGGACAACCTGTAGTATCGCCTCTCGGATGTGGTTGGGTACTTCAGCTCGAGGTTAACTCCGATGCGCTTAGGGAGGATCTATATACAAGTTATGAAAGCGTGTGAATATATGATATCCATTGAGCGCTCAAAAATTATGGTACCACAAATGATTGCTTACCTTCAGCGCCTGTTCAAGGCTCATCCAGCGGCCATATATCACGCGCCTCCACTTGGTACTGCTCCACCCGCTTGAGAGACTTGCATTTGTGTTCTCCAGCTCCTCAGCTCTGTCGCTGTGGCGGATTGAGTCCTTGAAGTTCTTGAACTGACTGAAAGTGACGTCCGAGAGGGCCACATCGAATCCCTCAAGAGGCAGACGCCAATCTGTGAATACGACTGGAACAAAATCTCGTGTCAGCTGGATAGAAAGCTGAATATACTCTCCTGAAAGCGATGAAGCCGTAATATAGGACGGAATGATATTGCCAGAGAGCGTCGTCTGCGGTCCAGAGTGCGGTAAAACTCCCCTGTAGGTCGATGTGCTCAATGGTACTAGAGAAGTATTTGTCACCACCGGTGGCGCGGCGGTTGAAATGACAGAGTCGATGCTGTTGGTTGACTTCCAGTATGTTTCGAGGCGACCTCCAACCTCAAGACCAACACCCTGGAAAGGTTTGATGACTTTGAACTCGAACGCGAGTTCTCCGACGACCTTGAGATGCGCATCAAACAGAGGTAATACATCCCTGCCGATGGTGGTTGCTGGAGACGAGAAAGTACTGGGCAGGGCCACAGCTCGACCGATGGCTTTAGATCCGAAGGTTGGAAAGATCTCAAACTCGACTGTGAATTGTTCGAGTGCATCCACCTGAAAACCGTAGACCTTCCGATATTCTCTCAGAGGAAGAATCACGTTGTGTGGAATCATGCCATTGTCGGGCCGTGACGAGATGACGAGTTTGAGTGAAGATATCTGGGCTGCGCCATACAGACGGACGGGGTTCTGGGTGGCTCCGGGCTGGTTATGAAGGACATGGCCCAGCATAAGGTCGATCTGATACTTTTTGTCGAGATAGTTATGTCCATAAATCCTGAACGGGATGATAGGTGGCGGCAGTGACAGTGACGGTATAAGGTCCATGTCTAGATCATCCATATTTGTTGGGCTCTCCATCGAATCCGGTCTCGCTTCCTCCGATCCCCTCGCGTCCGGAAGGGGAAGGCTAGTAAGGTTGTCGATAGCACATGGAGCGAGCTCCATGACCGTATCAAGTACCAATCCTGAAAGTCGTCCTTCAGCCTTGGCCCCAGCAGCAATCAGGAGGGCGACACAATCGACATGTCCCTCGCTGGCAGCATAGTAAATAGGAGTCTTGCCATGTTCATCGGCCACGTTGACGTTGCAGCCAGCATCCAGGAGGATTTTGACACAATCGACATGCCCCTCACTCGCAGCATAGAAGAGTGGTGTCCAGCACATATACTTGTCCTCCTGATCCAATCGAGCACCTCGTGCGACCAAAGTCTTTGTAAGACGAGTGTGACCCTCCCGAGAGGTAATATGCAACGGCTCCAACCCATCGGCATTACTAGCGAGGACATTTGCCCCACGGCTAATCAGCATCATAGCAATGTCTTCATGGCCATAATGGCAGGCCAGGCTGAGGGGGATAGGATCGCCTTCCTTACTTGCTTCGATTTCGGTGCCATTGACAAGAAAGATTTCGACACACATGGTATGGCCATTCATGACAGAGTATATCAATGGTTGGAATCCATCATGATCCGTCGCGGTCGTAGATGCCCCCAGCGATAGCAAATATGTCGCACAATCGGCATATCCGTACATCGAGACATAGTGCAGAGGTCGCCGTCCATACACATCGGTGCTCTCGGGGCTGAGACCATGCTCCACACCAAGTCTGAGGATCGAGAGCCGTCCCACCATGGCCGCCTCATGAAGGCAGGTGCGGTCGCTTATATCGTCCACAAATTTGAAATTGACCAGACCTGTGTCTACAAGTTGCTGCATCACACTGTCCAAAGCTCCGGTCTCCGAGCAACACCTCCAGAAAACACGAGATAAGACCTCTCGAACATGTTCAGGGCCAGGAGCGCTGCTGTCGGGGTTAGGGTCGGACTCTGATCTTGCACCGGTGGTCTGTTGCGCAGAGGTCGTAAAGATGCGGCGACTCATGATTTCTTGAACAGCAGAGGCCTGGTTCGTGATGATCGCATTGAAAAGATCCGATTCTAGCTCCTCCAGTTGCTGCTGCATTGGGGACGGAAGCGCCTGGGATTGGAGAGATTGCGCAGGCTTGGTAGAAACCGGGCTTGAAGGTGTGGACGATGGCCGTCCCTGCTGGATATTTTCCAGATCGAGAAGATGGTGGGCGGCGCCGTCGGCGAGCTCCACCATGGCATCTTGGTTGAAGCATGGCTGAAGATCGACCTGACGGGTCAAGTACAGCTCCTTGGTTGTAGACTTTGATCGCTTGTCCCACTTTTTCAGGATCTTTCGAAACCCCGTACCATTGGTTTCGACAAATTTCTACGACGATCACAATAGCGTTAGAAACAGCTTCACGATCTGGTTAATACGCTGTCTTGGGCAGTAAGTATCAGGTACCTGCAACTTGCTGAGATCCTGCTCGAACTGTCTGTAGGCCTCTTTGAGCGAGTTGATGGAGGAGCCAGTGCCAGGTCTGCCTTGGCGCAAGAGAATGACCTTTTCCTTATCGATCAGGGATCTAAGTCGCACCTTGAGTTCGGACTCCTTTTGCAAGTAGAACGAGTTGACCTGAAAATAAAGATGGTCAGGGACAGCAGATACTGAATGCCATGTCACATACTGGTACTCTAGCTGGATCATCCACCTTTTCTAGCTCACGCTCCAGCTTGAAAAAGAAGGCCGCCTTTTGCGACTGCAGATAAGTCGAATTATCATCATCTGGGATCTCGGGCGCAGATCCTGGAGGAGGCGACGCTGCTATCGTGACAGACACTTGGGCTTTCTCCTGAATGAGTGAGTTGATGATCTTCTTCAGACCCTTGTAGCTCATGTAATGGCTCTGCCATTCCGGAATCTGTTGGAACTGAATCTGCTTTCCGAACTATATAACAACATAGCAACGAAGACATCGTCAATAAAGAGACGGCATTGTGGGGGTTTAACCTCGACCTTCCAAGAGCAAAGATCGCTAATATACCTTCATGATGGTTCAGGGCAACTTGTTGAAGACAGTGTATGGCCTGCGTGATTGAGGGTATTAAACAGAACTTGGTTGGCGAACTCGGATAGGAAGTCAACGGGCAGGTCGAGGCATTGTCATTCGAAGGATACGTGGGAAAAAGGGTCAAAAAGAGTGTGTGAAGAAGGGAAGAGTGGATACGTTCTGTCTCTTTGTTTGCTTTTTTCTAACAACGAATGCACGCTGAACAAGCCCGCTACACGTTGCGTTTGGGGCAAGGAACGGGCAAAGGAACGGGCAAAGCTGTTATCGTGTTACCGTCGCAGACTTCGAAATGGCCAGACGTGTAGCTGCCCTTGACCAGCCAACGTGCATCGTTGCCGCCCTACGACTGCCCTCTGAGTTCAATGCAGGAAATTTCCGAAGGTTTAGCAAAGAGTCCTCTGCGTGGTTACGAACAAGCAGGGGATCCAAATTTTTCATGAGGTCCCAAAGAATGGTCATTCAAACGAGAACTACAGTTTAGTAGTATGCTGGGCGTGGGTTGTTGATAAATAAGTTGTAATCTGCAACGGCTGCGCCGGCGTATTTCCCTGGAGGCGATATGAGCGAGTGTTCGAGAGGGACTCGTCGACTGGCAGCTGCTTGGGTTTCAGCTCCATTGGAATGTAATGTGTCTGCTGCTGAGTAGAGTTTCTGGACATGGACGCGTTCGTAGCAGCAAGCTAGGGGCACCTCCACAAGTACAGGGACGCCCACGAACATTCCACCAATGTCCTGAATCAGCAGCAACGTACATGGGAGATCTCCACAATTCCATATCCTCATAAAGGCCGCGCTGCCGTTGTGCTGGAGCAGCTGGTTAATACGATAGCTTGGGGACACGAACCAGACCGCCGCTAGCAGGAGCAAGAAGGCGCTTCGGAATTAACGCCTGACATAGATCCATTTAGAAAATCATAACGAGTAGATAATGTCGGAGAGGATCGCAAGGAGGCAAGGCATCCAATATAGCCAGAGCCGATCCGTAAATGTGATATGGTATTTGATCATTAAACAAACGGAAGCGGTGAAAACAACGGTTGAAAAGAATACCAGCACGCTCCTGATGGTATGAAAGAAGGCGGTCGACAATATATATTGGAAACTATTAAATTGAAGCGAATACTGTCTATTTTGGCGATGCACCTATCGGTCTGATCCTTTGAGCGGCGGGGGTGGGGGAAAAGAGATGCGGCAACTTCTTGGCGAGGGTTCCTACACAATTCGAAGATCCTGCTGCAATGTGCGATGCATCCAAGCAGGTCCATTTGCAGAACCAATATCTTTTGGGGTGGGAGGACAGTCCTTCTGGCGAATAAAGATGCTTCGCCACAGTCGCGCCTGGGCGCCTTCGTTTTTTAGCAACTTGATACTACGATCATCGTATATGTGCAAGGAGGAGATTAAAGTTTTAGCGCGTTGGATCAAAGGTTTGATAGGAAAGAAAGAAGGGGCTATGAGGCAGGCAATAGTAGCCGGATGAAGGGAGATCTGATATGTCTATTTCATAACCTGGCCGGCATTATTGCATAAATAGGCGCAGCAACCATCTCGCGGAGACTCCTTTCAACACCAACTTCACACGCCCTACAAAATTGTCAAAGCTCTCTGTCCATATTGTTTGCATTAGTTGTTACTTTTATTGATTTACAAAAGGCATGGTCTATTGTGGAGGAAGATGCAGGTAAAAGGGTATAAAGCGATAAACTACATTAGACGCTCGGGTGGCCATCGTAAACTTAGTCGAATGTCTACTGCATTATACTTGTCAAAGCAAGGGTGCTTGGCAGAGATCCATGGTGCTGATGATGATATTGCTGGTGTTGTTGCTGTTGTTGCTGTTGTTGCTGATAGGCACTGCTGCCACTGCTGCTGCTGGTACTGCGGTCAGCCTTCAAGAACCGTAAAGTGTTGAGCAGCTTGAACCGGTTGTTCTTCTTAGCGGGAGATTCTTGCACGTTCTGCTCGACAAGCTGATCCATGTTCTGTAGTATTTGATCATAGATTCCCTTCAAGACTGCAATCTTCAGCACCGGATCTGTGGCGCTGAGTTGATGGCTGAACCGGTACTGTTGTTGCTGATCCATCTCTTGAGAAGGTCGCGGATCCGGGTACTCGAAGTGCGCCTTGCCCTTGCGTCTTGCTGAGGGGCCATCACCCCCGGTCGTCGTTGACTGATCATCATCTTCAGTCTCGCCATCTCGTGCTTGAGATGCTCCGTCCTGGTCCGGGTGATCGCCATCGACATCATCACCCCCGGCGCTGTAGTACATGTGCGGGGGGATATCCAGATGCGACGTATCAAGATCATAGTCTAATAAGATCGGGGGCGGTGTGGGAGCAGAAATTGACAGGCCATTCACTCTAGGTTGAAGTAGCAAGGACGACGTCGACATGGAGGTCGCAGTGGAGGCAATCGAGGACGAAGCCGCTGGGTAATCGGACAGACGTTGGTGAGCATTGTCTTGTGTTGGGCTAAACGGTGCTGTTGAGGGCTTCAATCGCAACCAAGGCAATGCGGTTGTTGACTTTTCAGAGTCTTGGCCTGCGCTTGTGTTTCCAATGGTCGATAATGAGCGCTTCAGCGGCTCTGAGGCATGGGCAGGTTGAGGGGAAATGGACCTTCCAAGTGAGGTTCTCGGAGCAAGGATCACAGGAGGTCGGCTGTCGCTGCCTGATCCAGTAGGTACCGGCGAAGATGGTCGAGATGAGAATAGAGACAAGGGTGTGGACGTCAAGGAGGGTGAGCTCTTGATAGCCATCGATGACCTGATGTTGGCTAACGATCCATCTCCAAGCATGAGGTCGCCGTAGGTCAGCCCGTATCCCAATCGATCAACATCATTGCTATGTACAATCACGCTTCCTGCAAATCCTGGTTGAGTTCTCAAGCCGAGTGCAGACATTGCATCAGTACTGAGCTGCAGCGAAGACGACTCCAGCGTTGCGACTCTGGAAGTAGACTCGTCGTGCCTTTGTCTACTGCCACTGGCGAAATCAAAGACACGACTGATACGGTTACTACGATTCGAAGAGAATTGCTGCTCCTCCTGCTGCAAAACTTCCTGCTGTTGAGGATCCGAGAAGGTGTATATGGTCTTGGGGCGCGATCTTGTACTGATCCTGCTCTTGGTTGAAAGCTGCTGCTGACTCTTCCGGGATCTCAAGCTGTTCAGGAGGGGAAATGATGACATAGGTCCCGATGAAGCAGTGGTAGACTGTGGGCTCGTGGTAAGTGGAAATGCAGTAACTGATGCCGAGTGGCCTCTGATTCCTGGGAGGTATAGGGATGGAACGTTTCCGAAGGCGGATGGGCGCTCGACATAATTGGGATTGATGCCCTCACTGTTCACCGTCAACAAGGAAGCCATTGCTTGATCCGAGGACGGACCATCATTGCCGGACGACATAGACGGTAACGCAAAGCTGCGGTTGATCATCATGTTATGTGAAGCGATCGCCAGTCCTTGAGTAACAGAACCACGTCGGGCTGGCTGTAAAGTAGCGGATCCTGATAGCCTGGGGGGGCTGGTAACGAGTAGCCTCGAGGCCGTTCCTGCACCTCTGTTCCTGTCCATCTCCTGCTGGTCGCGATACTGTTCACTGTCGAGTTCCTGAACGCGTTTCAAGATGGAGTCATGCATCCTCAGAAGCAGGGTGCGCTCGATTTGCTGTGGCATAAACGACTGAAGGACGTTGATCTTCATGCTCATCTGGGTCTGGTCCTGCACAAGTGAAAAAAAAAAAAAAAAAAAAAAAAAGGTCAGTCATCCATATCTACAGTATAGTCAGCAAGTCCGAAGGCCACAATGGGTTAGTTTTTCTGAGCTTACTCTCGTAATTTCGAACCCGTTTTCTGGCCATTCACCGATCCTAAAGACCTCCAGAGACCCCATCAGCTTCGTCAAGGACGAAGGCAGCGACTTGATAGGATTTCCCTCCAGGATCAAGACTTTGAGATCCGCCAAGTCGCCGACTTCCTTTGGTAGCCAGCTAAGAAAGTTGTTTCCGAGGTTCAGCACTTCTAGTCCTGGGATCATCTTAATTTTAGGAGATAAGACGCGGATTTGATTGTCATGGGCTTCAAACACCCGAAGACGCTTAAGTTCCGACAGCTTGCTAGCTGTCACCCCTCCGCCCATCATGGAGCTACCCAATCCAGTCGATACTGCAGCTTGACCAGCAGATGGATTGCCTGTTGAGTTCCCAGTATTGACAGTCGCGCTGCCAGTCTGACCGCTCAAAGACATCGACCCCGAACCAGAGTGTGCATGGCCAGTAAATCCTGCTCCGCTTCCTATCGAGCCGGAGGTGATTCCTGAATAGCTGTTGCTAACACTGTTGGAGTTTGACAGGTTAAGTGACGATATGCCGATCTCGCGCAAAAAGTTGTTGGATATGTAAAATTCCTCCAGCTTCGTCATCTGATCCAATGCAGGCATAACCTCGAACTGATTGCCTGACAAATCCAGATAGACTAAATCTTTGAAAGCAATACCCAGCTCTACTGGTAAATCGTGAAGTTCACAGCCTTGAAGGTGGACACGTCGAACGTTCGTAAGGCGCTGGATGGTCCTGGGCAACGAACGCAGAGGATTATTGTCGAATTTTAGTTCCTGCAGCTTGTTCAGCTTTCCGATTTCGTCCGGCAACCACTGCAGCTGATTGAAAGAGAGCACCAGATCGTGCAAGTCCCGTAAACGTCCAATATCCTTGGGTAATTCGCGCAAATGGTTGTTGCAGAGCTGAAGGACGACAAGATTGCTGAGCTGACCAATCTTTTCCGGCAGGGCTTGGATTTGATTGTCGTGCAGATCCAGATGCGTGAGTTTGGGTAAGCGTACGATGTCTGCGGGAAGGAACGTCAGGCGATTGCAAGCGAGATCAAGTGTTGATAGATTCTCCATATCCTTCCACGATTCTGGTAACTTTTCCAGCAAATTTGAACGCAATGCCAGCACCTGCAACGTGCGAATTGATCCGATCGAGCTGGGCAACGTCCTCAGATTGTTGTCCGAAAGTCGAAGTTCGCACAGATTCCCAAGTTTGCCCATGGTTTCCGGTAGGGTTGCGAGAGAGTTGGACTCCATGGCGAGAATCTTGAGCTTAGTCATATTTTGGATTGCGATAGCCAAGTAAGGAACAAAGTTGTGGTTCATCCGTAACTCGCGCAGGGCCTTTAGTTTGTAGATGGGCGAGATGTCCGTGAGCATGTTGTGATCCAAGTTGAGTCTTCGCAGATTCTTCAGCTTCTTCAGCTTAAAGGCAGAGTGGAAGCTGCTGATAGAGTTGCAGCTGAGGTCGAGGACGTCCAGTTTCGTAAGTTTCAGAATTGAGTCCGGTACGACCTTGATATCGTTATGATCCAGATACAGCTCCCTCAAGTTGCGAAGTCCGTCGAAAAATTCGTGAGGAATTTGTCCAAGCCCACGATTGCTCAGCCAGAGCGGCCCTCTACTATTGGGATCCATCTCGAACAGCTCGTCCCACCGCAGAGGTGCGCAAGGATCATAACTTGATTCGGACCACTGAGCCACAGAGGTGAAGCGCTTTGGATGGTGCTGATGTAACTGCGGGTGCTTGTTGGAAGAGGCAGATAGAACTGAAGAACCAATGGAGAGTCGTCTTGTGCTCTGCGTTGATTGGGGCTGGTCCGGAAGGATCGGTACGTCCATAGATGTTCGTTGAGCCATTACAACCGGAGGCGCATCTTCCTGCAGGGACTCTGAGTCATCCCAATCCTCATGTGTCGTGATGATTCCTTGCTCTCTGTAGTCACGCACCATCTGAGCCGAGGAAAGCGTCGAAACCGAAGGGGTGGCCTCGCCATCTGAGTCCGAGTCCTGTGACTCCAAAGATGTCAAGGCGCGACTGTAAGCTGATTCCGTCCGAGTTATGTTGCTCATGCTGTCGGGAATATTTCCGATCTCTGATGGCATGCCTGTCGTTCTTGACCAAACTGAGCCACTTGATGAGACGCCTATCCGGGGGTCCGGTCGCTCTGGATGCCGCTGATCCTCGTTAACCTATAATGGCCATGGCAGCCGGCATTAAGGGATGTCAATAATTGTTAGGATGTCATATAAATAAGCCGGAATCTTTGTTTCCGAGGTAATTAATTGCGGGCGTAACATGAAATGCTGTAGCGGACCTGGTAAGCTTTAGATTCTGCTGGATAGTTAGATATCGCTGGGTTGGTAGGGTTCCTTGAATGCGTCCTATCATCGTGGTCGTTTTCAATAGCGGGCGGGCTCTCCGTAAATTTGTTCCTGCTCAAAGTTCCAAAAGGTGGTGCCTGGGCCCTATCCTTCGCGTTCTCGTCCCGCTCCATGCCACACTCCTCATTATACGCAGAATTGAGCATGGGTCCAGAATTTGGACTACTGGCAGAGTTGCTCGACCTCCGTACCATATGTCTGCCCGTCCGGTCTCTGGTGTCAGACACAAGACTGCTCGCTGTAGACGCAGTTGATGCCCGGCTTGTCTTGTCCGGGGCTGCGTTGGCCTGCTCCGCTGCACTCAACTTCTCCCGACTTGATGTTGCCTCGGCCCCGACCTTTGCACGTTCACCCCCCACAGATACCAAGCTCCTCCGCTTTCCTGAAGAACTGCTCAGATCTCTGTCATGAAGTGAGTGCTTGCCACCGTTTCCGAAGCGAGCGATGGCACCAGAGTAATATGGATTCGCCTTCCGAGAAGGCGAGATCATCTTATTGGGGTTCATATTGCTGCCTCCGTAGGTACCAATTTGTCGAATACTGTGGCTACTCGAAACAGACGACACCCTGCGCTGCCGAGCTTTGTTTTCTTCTCTCGTCAGGGGCGAAGGCGGCGTAGCAGGAGATGAGATTAATGATGGTGTGAAGCCAGGGGCAAACGATGTTTGAGGAGTACTTGAGGCGGTGGAGATACTGCTCGATCTGGTCTGCGCTACTGCATGCGTAACGCTTTGATAGGTAAGAGGATCCTGCTTGGGCTGGGATGGACTGTTGCGCGAGAAGTATGGAGGGCGAAAATAAGATAGAAAGGGTAGGGAGTGTTAATAAAGAAAGAGAAAGATTGGCAAGGAAATTTTTATGAGGCCGTTAGAAAAAGAGAGCAATTGTCTAGGCTCGCTCCATGGGGGCCCATATTCGTTGTATAAAAAGTATAGCGCGATGCAAAGTATATAAAAAGGAGGTTGCTTCGCGATCTACTGTGGGGGAGCAGGCTCCAACGATGCACCATGCCCCAACGATGCACCATGCCACGCCCCATGCCATCGCATAGAATAGGCAAGACCGCCGTTTCCTACTCCATCCCTAAATATCACTCGCTTTATTACGTTCTCCTCAAAAGCGATCCTTAGCAATCAGTCAGGGCTCTCATAGTGCGTCTCCACATACACGCACTCATCGCCCTCCACATGTTGCCCGACGATCGCTCCGTTGCCTTCTACACTATCCGCCTTTTTTCACAACCAGGCACGGCAGAGTACTCCTAACCAACAGAATACAACCCCTTTCCCCCCTTTTTCAATTCGCTCCTCGGACCGCACACACGCGACTTGATTCTATATATATTTCCAACACAGCAAGCCCACCAAATGTAGTCACTCCAGAGCAAAAGCTCATGAAGGAAAGAGCAACGGCACTACCATCTTCGATGCCACATATCTCTCCAGATAAAAAGGCACAAATCTCAACAACTATAACTTTAACACTTGCCTTACAACCCCTTGCGTTGAACCGTGCTCCTTGGCCTCACTAGCAGCAATCACAGAGGGAATTTTTTCCAAGCTGGACAGACGTTTTGGTGGCAATGGATGTAATGCTGGCGTCAAGGCCGATGGCGTCAATAGCGCAGGTACTGCTGCTGATGGTTCTGAATCTAACCGTTTCTGCTTTTGTTGAATTGCTGTCGGTGTTATTGTCGGCGCCTGGCTTTCTGGATCGTTCCGTCCTTGTGTGTTTATCTGCAACGGTGGTTGCCGTCGTACCTGTTCGTGTCCCTGTCCCTGTCCCTGTCCCTGTCCCTGTCCTTGTTCTGGACCCTGTCCCTGTCCCTGCAGTTGTGGCTGTGCTCGTACTTGTGCTTGTACTTGTGATTGTCGCGATGTTGGTTGCAATAGTCGGGATGCAGGAAGAGTGGCTGCCTGCTTGGCCAGCCTCTGAGAGTCGCGGGGACGCTGAACTGAACTTGGATGTCCCTCTGGTCTAGAGCTTGGTCGGAACAGGCGCGTCAATCGCGAGCGAAAGTTAGGGCTTTGTGCCTCCTGATTGGATTCTGGTTTGTTCTTGGGGGCAGTTGTCCTTTTGGGTATGACAGTGGTAGACGGTGCCGTTGATTGTGATTGTTTTGCAGCTGCCGGCGGTGGAAGTATTTCCTTCGAATGTGCAATAATTGCTGCAGGACCTGTACCACCTGTTTCAGGTTGAGATGCACTGGATATTTTCCGTTGCTGCACAGGGGCATCACCAGAAGTCCGTAATAACGGACGCTGCTGCTGTTGCTGCGGTTGAAGCTGGAGCTGGTGTATAGACTGGGAATGATGCGAAGAATGCAGGCTGCCTTTGTCCGAGAGGATAGAAGACGCCTTGGATGGCGAGGGTGAGGTTGCCCTTGAGGCTCCTGCAAGGGCGGACACCGAGGGTTGCCGGATGACGAACCTCGGGGGATGGAGAAGATTGTCGCCTGTCGGTGTTCCAATATGCTCTCGTGCCCTGCTCTGCCCCGTGTCAGTACTGTCCTCAGTGCGACCATGGTCTGAACTCTTTACCGAGGACTTTGATGTTTCAAGATCACCATCGTTGCGAAGGATATAGTCGCTGACCTCGAGTCTCGCGAGGTCAACGGGGCTGTCCTGCTGAATGGTTCCTGAGGCATCGATTGTTGTGGTTCTGGAGCGCATAATAGGCTGTCGGCCAACGTTGCTGGCGCTGTAAATGCTGCTGCTATAATTACTTTGGGCACTGCTGCTGCTAGCAGGGGGATCAGGATGCGAGCGAACAGCAGAGGTAGGAGTGGGACTCAAAAGGTCTTGGACTCTTGAAGACTGAGAGGTGAAGAACTGGCCGCTGGAAGGAGACAGGGAGGAATATGTAGGGCTAGAATGTGGCGGCCGAGAATAAGAAAGAGAAGGACCGGGCGCGGCTGCAGAGAGAGGGAACGAGGAAAGCGTAGAAGGGGCACTGGCTGACGCACTGGTAGAGGATACGGACTCGCTCAGAAAGGGCAGGGAGAGCTCAATGTCATCTAGGGTGGGTATGAGGGGCAGCAGCATATGTCCGCTGCCACTGCCCTTATTGACATTGTCGCTGTTACTGGAAGGGCTTATGGCGATGCTGCTCTCCTGTTTACTGACCGGTCTCTTAGTGCCATTGGGATTGCTGGTGCTGCTGCTCCTACCGCCAAAAAAGCCAGTGCCCTTTGGTTTCGTAAGCCGGTCTTTGGAGACAGGAGGGGTGGAGGTTGAGGGAGCTGAGGAGGAGGTATACGAGGAGGAAGTGCTGATGGGTATTTGGGAGGAGGGGTTCCTAGTCCCGGCTGCTATGTTCGGATTGGTGGCGGCACCACCCAGCTGCTGCAGCGGCGTCCGCTGGCGGTTCTGGCGCGCCATGGACGGACTTTTAGTGGAGGACTTGCTCTAAGGGGCAGAGGTTTAAGGGACAGAGCAGAGGTATGTGCGTGTATGTATTATGTGAGATTATATAGGACACAATTGAGGACAGCTGAGTGTGAGGCGAGTGAGAGAGGTCAGGGTGAGGAAGGGTCGACAGGACAGAATGTGCCCCATGGGGTCATGACATACAGAAAGAGGAGGTGCGAAAAGAGATGATCACGGGTTGAGATGGAGCGCGTCAAGAGGGGCGGGTGAAAGGGCCATGGAAGGGGATGAGCGTCGAGACTTTGTTGCGGAGGAAAGTCAAGGAGGGATGAGGGGAGGGGAAGTGAGAGAAAGAGCGAAAGAGAGCGAGAAAGCGAAAAGGTAAGCGATGGGACAGCCTATCCGTTCATTCGCACTTTGCTCTTAGGCCACACAATAATTACTTTCGTTATCATATGTAACAAACATTCGCCAATAGTACTAATTGCGAGCCGCTGCATCTCTTCCCGCCCCATCCTATGTGGCTATTCCCAAGAGAAAAAGAGGGCACGCCCGTCCAAAGTCGACAGCATCAAAAAAAAAAAAAAAAAAAAAAACACCGTGTTACCAGCGATTCATAGCTCCATAGCCACTTGGTCCTGCCATCTGGCATTACCCTGGTTATCCGCCAGATGAGGAGTCCTTTTGCTCGCTTGTGGGCTCTGATGGCCATTACAAAATCTTGGTTTGAGTGCCTGAGCGGTCGACCGATCGACTTTGAAGGACCGTCATTGCAAAAGACTGCTTCATAGCTTATTACAAGTGTGTCAATGTTCCTGGAGAAGCATTAATAAGACTCGACGCACGAGTCCTCCCCTGGCAGGGTAACGGGCAATGGTCAGGGTCATCAAGAAACAGCAGGGACAAATGCCATCCAGCACAGGGGCACACCAGCGCAGGGGCGGAGATCAATCAACTGGCATCGCCTGGGCGGTAAATGTACTTGGGTCTTTCTTCCCGTCAACGACACATGGGTTGGTTGCTCCTGAGTGGACTGATCACACTACACGTTCCCTGGGCTCTTGCTATGAGGTTTTCATAGTCTACCATTGCTGACCACATCCACCGCGGATATCCTTCAGACTCCAGAATGAGGGAGTGAAGAGGCCAATTATGACCTAGACCGAATGGCTTGATTACTCGTGTATTAAGCAAACAAACAGAGGACCGATTATCACCCGTCTCTACATACTTCGCGGGTTTTTCATATTCGGGTCTCCCGAAACTTCGGTCATTGTGGTCCCTGAGAGAGTGTGACTATTGGATCCCAGTGGCGAATTTTCTTTTTGAGAGACGCTCATCGCCACAGCATTCGAGACCCCAACCTCATTCAGATCAACATGGGTAACGCGACCTCAGCGACCTCAGATTCGACCGAACCAACCACTCTCGACTCGCTTCGTCTCGGACCACCCCCTGCCGACTGGGACCTTTCGCAGGACTCGAGACACCATGGCCGTATTTCAGGTACTGCAAGGTCGCAACACCATCATCCGACCCCGTTCAATATTTCCTCGCAAAGTGCCAACTGCGGTGTTCTTTGTACCCCAAGGATCCTCGCCTGATAATCAATTGTCTTTTGTTTCATCGTGTAGAACCGATTCTGGAAGCAGTTGAACCCGTTGGCCCTCAGTATCTGGCTCATGCGCGTCGCAAACTCCTCAACCGCACCTTCTCCGAAGATGAGGAGCACCTGGAAAGGACAAAGGCTGAGGCAGATGCAGCTGCGGTTGCAGCCCAATTGGCCGACGATGCCGAGAATGCGGACTATGAGATTGAACCGGACCACAAGGATGATTTGAAACGCGATGCGAAGGATTGGAAAAAGCAGGATCACTATCGCGTGTTGGGATTGGGCAGCGTACGTTGGAGAGCTACGCAGGGGTTGATCAAAAAAGCTCGTAAGTAATGTATCTTTGTCCATTCGATAAATCCTCACAACTGGTATCTCTTTTTCATATGAGCTTTTATTTTTCCTCGTTCTAATATTGATCATGTGTTTGGACAATCACCTTGTCAACGTGAATTGTAGATCGTACCAAGGTCCTTGTTCACCACCCAGACAAGAAATCAGGCGCTTCAGGTGGAAACGCTACACATGATGACGGGTTCTTCAAATGTCTTCAGAAGGCTTACGAGATCCTCTCTGACCCTGTCAAGCGCCGCCAATATGACTCGGTCGATCCGATCCCTGAAGAGTCCTACTCGCCTTTCAAAGACGGAGCTGACCTGCCATTCATCGAAGCATGGCGGCCCGTTTTCGAGCGCGAGGCACGATTTTCGGTCAAGGACAAAAAGGATATCCCAAATATCGGCACCATGGAATCGACTAAAAAGGAAGTCGAGGCCTTTTATGGATTCTGGTACGGGTTCGAGAGCTGGAGAACTTTTGAGTACCTCGATAAGGAGGAAGGCGATGGCCCTGAAAAGTAAGTCGTGATCCCATATGTGCACTCGCACGCCGATGAAGGAAAAAATAATGAATATAGCGTGCTTAGGAGCTGCGCTTGCTGCAATCGCTTCGGTTGGTACTCACTATCGCTCGTGATTCTTTGTGCTTTAGTCGAGACGACAAACGGTATCTGGAGAAAAAGAACAAGGCAGAGCGGGCCAAACTCAAGAAGGAGGATGCAGCTCGACTTCGCAAACTTGTTGATAATGCTATTGCGCTCGATCCTCGCATGGCCGCATTTAAAGAACAAGAAAGGGTTGCCAAAGAAGCGAAAAAGAAGGAGCGTCAGGGACAGGCTTTACAGGCAAAGATGGATGCCGAACGCGACGCTGCTTTGGCCAGGGAGCTGCAAGAAGAGAAGGAAGGTGAGGAGCGGGCCAAAAAAGAGGAGGAGCGGAAGGAGAAGGAGGTCAAGAAGAAGGCCATCCGGAAGGAGAAAAAGAACGTAAAGACATTAATCAAGGTATGTCGGGTTACATGCCACGATTGTATACTTTACGATCACAGTCAGAGAAAAGTGTTAAAGAACGTTTCCTTCTTCGCTGCTTTGTATAGGATGCAAACTATGGTTATCCCACAGGGACCAGCGCCACGTCTGCGACATTGGAAATATATCTATCGGAGCTGGAGACCATGCTAGACAAGCTGAGTCTAGAAGACTTGGAAAGGATCGGGGCCGAACTGAGCGTGCCACGGAAATCCAATGTAGACAAGCAGAAAATTTTGTCCGCAGAGGCACAAAAGTTGGTGCACGATGGACTGTCAGAACCCGGAAGTTTGACGCAGTTTGGAGTCGGTAGGTCTATCATCCTTTGCTTTTAACTCTGAGAAACGGTGCCATAAGACTCTAATTTACTAAATCGAGTTTTGCTGTTCATCTAGATGCCGTTGAGCGCCCAGCAAACAAGGCAACAGAGATTAAAAAACCAGCGTCTGGACCACCGTCCGCATCGTCGTCACCAAATGTCCCGAATAAGGAATGGTCCGTTGAGGAAATCGCCCTTCTGATCAAGGCGGCCAATAAGTTCCCTGGAGGTGTCAGCAATCGTTGGGAAACGATTGCCGCTTACGTAGCTTTGCATACAGGTCTACCGCAGCGTGACCCGGATGATGTGATCAAGAAGTCAAAAGCAGTTCAGAAGGGGTCCTCGCAAGAGGCTGCCGTCCGGCAGCTCCAGTTCCAGAAGAAAACTTACGACATCGCAGATGCACCTTCGATTCGGTATGATATCGAAGGTGGCGTACCACCGGTCGCAACGGCGGACATGCCAGTCGCTTCTGCTGTTGCTGCTGCAGCTGAGGTGGCAGCAGGAAAGAAGAAAACCAAGCCGACTGCTGTAACATCAAACACCAAGTCAGGACCGACGAAGGCAAACAAGCATGCTGCCCAGGCAGAGGCATCGCCCTCGGTTCCCGCGGCAACAAACCCGTCAGAGGCACCGCCAGGCGGAGCGAAGACAGCTGCGCTTGCGGCTGCCACTTCTCCAACAGCAGCTTCCCCTAGCGTAGCGGCCGCGCTGTGGAGCGCAGCAGAGCAAAAGCTACTGGAAACGGGCATGAAAATGTACCCGCCCTCATGGCAAGGAGAGGGTGATCGCTGGGACAAGATTGCCGAGGTTGTACCCGGTCGGACCAAGAAAGAATGCAAACTTCGTGTCAAAGTAAGTTCTGTTCCCGATTACATGGTTGTATACCCATAATGAATTCGATAAGCAGTTTCAAAGCAGAATCTAATACGCTTTCTTTTCTGTTTTCTTTTTTTTTCCTAGTATCTACAGGAGCAAGTTAAGGCGCAAAAGGCTGCTGCTGCTGCTGCTGCAGGAAAATAAAAAGGCTCCAACTTTGTAACCATGAAATATGCCTCACAACAACTTCAGTTCTTTATTCACCGTGGACGAGAGCGCGGAGCCTCCCAGTGCTTGAAAGAAATTGGCGGTTTGGAAGGCTCGACCTCTGTTCGTGTTCCCCTTGAGTTCACTCGTTCGCACCATTCCATGTATGCCGGCGTCAAGTACGTGGGATCAGAATAGGGCGTTGGAGATCCCGGCATTGGCGCGAGTCGGCGTAAGGACGGCTGAGCCTGCATGTAAGCACGACTAGATGCGTCATCGGTAGGGCTACCTGTCATACTAGCTTCTGTAGCAGAATGCTGTGGCCTCCAAGCCTTGTCCCATGAATCGCATTGATCTTCAGACTGCAGGCGGGAATGATGAGGACCGTGATGTGGATGAGCGTCTGGACTTGGATGGCACTGTTGAGGATATGACCGTGGGTGTATCGGATCGTGATGCTGTACCAAAGGTCTGGTCTTCTCAGTACGCCTCTCAGGTAGCTGAATTGGCGCTCTTGGATAAGATTCTTCGTGCTGAACATCCTGGTACTCTTGTTGACGTTCATATGTCGGCTCCTGCTGCTGCTGCTCTTGCTCCTGCTTTACCTGCACTAGCAACTCCAACTTCCGCTGTTCCTCCTGAAGTCGCTCCTTTTGGACTGCAACCCGCCGTTGCTGCTCCTCTAGCTGCCATCTCCCCCCTATATCCTCGCCTTCCATCTTCTCGCCTTCCATCTTCTCGACTTTTATCGACTGATTTTGAGATGATCTCCACTTTTTGGTCGCCACACTACTTGCTTCGCGCCTTCTATCGCCATTCTTCCATTCCCAATCAAGGGACTCGCGCTTCCCTGCAACAGGCGGCCGCTCTGAGACCGGCTGATCTGCGCTACTCTGATAGATGCTATGCTGTTGACTTGGCAACCTATCTTGATAGATTCCGCGCGGCTGACTTGTTGAACCGCGCTGAGTCAGGGGCTGAGGTTGCATCGGAAATGACTTTGTGTGCTCCTCGTAGCTGCGTTGTGCTCTCGCCGCCTCATCCTCGGCCTGCGCCCTGTAACTCATACGTATCTTCTTCGCAGGCCCTCCTTGCGCACGCAGTAATGAGTCATATATGGCCTGCTGAATAGGAGCTGGAATTGGTCGTGGATTCGGGTTGGACTGGACTGCCGATGGTTCGTATCCTGGAGTGGTTATTGACTGCTGAAGATGTGACTTTGGTAACCTCGATGCTGTCGCATCACTTCCGCTGCCTTCTCTGGGCCTTCTACCAACTATTGTCGCTACACTCTTGTTATTACCGGAGGCATTCCATGCGTTCTGTGGCGAATTGGGTGAGGGTGGTAAAGGTGACCGCATTGATCGGTGCAGATACTGACGATCTTTTAGTGTCGTGGAGGGTGGCCGCTCCAAGGTGGATGGGTGATTTGAAACTGAATTTCGCCGCTGCTGATCAATAAGGGACGCTCCAGAAGATAGTTCGCTGGCATCTGATAAGGTCTGGGGGTTTGATTCCGAGTGTCTTCTGGGCCCTGTTGCGCGAAAACGGGAAGGAGTAGTCATGGTCAGCATGGAATAGGACTCGATCGAAAATCAATTCTTTGCAAGGCGTTGTAGATGCTGTATAGGGAACTACCATTTGAGCTGTCGTCCAAGGCTCCGTTATCCTCGCTCTTGAAAGCCTCATCTGCTGACCTGGGGGCGCGAGATTCTCTGTCTTGCGAAAAGGATGGTATCGCATTTGGTGACATCGCAGGGGACAGCGGTCGATATATTGGCGCCGCGGAAGGCGTGGAAGAATTTAGCTCAGAGCTCTGTGAATGCACAGATGCACTGGACGGCGCTGTCGGGCGCTGTTTCTCCATGAAATCCTCATGTTGCTTATCCGCCTTCTTTTGGTTGGTTATCTTGTCCTTTAACTGCGAATACTGGCGTGCAATCTCGCTCAAGGTCATCCGGCCGGGAGGGAAACATGAAAGTATCTAATAATATGGAATGAAAAGTCAGATACGATTGCCGGCCAGCTACTGTTCTCTATATCCTTGTTCTCTCGCAAAAGATGCCATTGAGGTTCACGCCTGCCCGTCGGAACGGTCACGATACTAATAACTGGCTTACCTTCAGATATGCGCCCTCTCTTGTCTGCGCCTCAGATTCGTGCATGGGGAAGGATGGATCGAGAAAATGAAGTTCTTTGGCTGCGGCCCTGAGCTCCATGAACTTCTCCATGATCTCCCACAGAAGCAACCTCAGACCCTGAGTCCACATAAACACAGGCTTGGACCTATCCATTGCTGCCATTGAAAGAGATAAGGATTGTTACTGAGATGCGAGCGGGATGGGAAAGTTGTTTCTTCTTTTTTTTTTTTCCTTGCATGAAAGATCACAAACTTTACCATCAGTGCTGTGCTTTTGGTCCCGCGCTGGGTTCAGTCCCAGTGCGGCGCCTTCCGCCTCTACACGCGTCATGAGCATGGCAATCATATGATTCCTCTGTGACTCCAGTTCGCGAATCCATTCCGGTAGGATGTTCTTATAAACAAGTTTCTAGTACAATTAAGAATGGTTAATGAAAAGAAGTGAAATGAAGCCATAACGAGTTGATTCATCCCGCCTTCCTCAGCACTTTGATCGCGGGATTTTTCTATTACCTTCAGGGTAAACTTGTTGTAGGGAAGAATTTTTTGCAGATGTATAAAAAAGTTTTCCCCGATCATGTATCCACTTGGGCGTGTATCCAATGCCATTTTTGCACACCTGAAGAGTGGCTCGCGAAGCTGTTGCGGAAATGGTACCTTGGTCTCCCATGATTCTGGTGGAAGAGCGACTGCATATTAGAGGCGGTGTTTGATGTTGTTTTTTTGTTCTCGGACTTTCGAAACAAAAGGTGCGTGCCGCTCATGTTACCTTTCATGGCCAACGCTGAAAGGACACTGTATGCCTTTTGAACTTTGTCGTCAAACGGCTGTAAACACATTTCCGTTTTCTCCACACCCGAGGTCGCCTCGTCCATCCGTGCCATAATAGGCCCTGTGTCGAGATGTGGCGATGTCACTGCGCACTCGTTGCTGTCCGCCATTAAGGAACTAGAGGGCAAGTCATATGGTGGTGCTATGAGTCAGTGTTTGGTATGGCTTTCACACCAAGACGTTGGCAGGGTCAAGGAAAGGGGTCAAGAGAATAATGAAGAAAGGAAGGTTAAGCCAGAAATTGGTGTCTCCTGCCCAAAAGAAGGTGAGGCGTGACAGTCTCCGCATCGTCCAATCGACAGTGAACACAGCTCTTCCTGTGCGGCGCGGAGGGGGCGGGCAGGTCTAATAGCTAAACAAAAAAACAAAAAAACAAAAAAACAGGGACACAGACACTCAGCCCTACTGCTGATAACGAAGGCGGACTAGCATTGCATGTGTGCATATCGTACTTCTCCATACTCACAAAGCGATACTGTCAGTCTAATCACATATTCCTCAGCCCCGGGTTATCGGAGAGGCACTGGGGCTGTTAGGAAGAGTAGGTAGGGGTTATCTTTGCCCAGTTCGGTAATGAATTTTTTACGTGGAAGGAAAGCTCTGTTTTACAGAGATTATTACACAAAGCTGAATTTGTCTCATGTCTGCTGCACGAAGACACAGCAACTGCAGCCTGTCTTTAAATTGAGAACACAGAAAACGTTTCTCACATCCTGCAGTACAAAGGTACACAGGGGGCGAACTCAATACACAGCATGATTAAACTTGGTGCTGGATGGTGGGGCTAAGCGACAGACGGTCGATGGCAGGATGAGTAGCCTAGATACGCGATCAAGATTCATGGATGTGAAGACAGCCTGCGCGCCGATTCATCCATTGTATATAGCCAGTCTATAAATGTTTATATTTAAGACGAATGGCAGTGTGAGGAATCGAGTACATTAACATGTGAGCCCAATGTATATCGAGCACAGACAATTGCCAGTGGACGGTGTGGGGGTCACAGAAAGAACCGCCAATAGTCTGGTCTACTGGCGAGCAATTACAGGATCAGATTAACCTTATTCCACTCAGAATGACCCACTCCTCTACAAAGAATGAGAGAAAGTGGACCCGCTTCGTCTTTGGGAATGACGATAGTAATGCGCATATGCCTAGCCCTGGATGAACGTGATAAATTAACCAAAGGCGGTATGTCAGACCATACGACGCACCCATCGAAGCTCACCGTATTTCTCTTCGACTACGGCCCGATTCTAAAACGTATAATCGCAAGAGGATGAGTATTCAGTTGATGATAGAGTGCTCGGCCTAGGCGGTTGGCCAACGTTCGGATGTGTGCATGGTTTACACTAGGGTAGTGAATTGAGTAGAAGTTGAGAGGGTGGCTGATCTTCTTGGGCGCAGCCTGAGCCAACAGCACATGCTACACAGATATCCTGAACATTTTGGTGCCAACTGAAAAGAAGAAACCAGAGCTACATTAACTTGGCACGAAGGGAACAGAGCGTCGACGATATTTTTGTTTGAATATGCACATACTAGCGCTAATCATCTGCGTCGAGGCCTTTAGATCTTGGGCTGAATTCGAAGCTCTTTTATATCTTCACCTAGACCTCAATTTGTTCCTTGTCCAACAGTTTTTATGAAAAAAAGTCCATGCACGACCCTGATGAATGAATCCGGCTAAGGAGAAAAAGAGGACCGAAAGCTTTTGCGCCTAGGCACACGTCCACGTGTTCCATACACCCCTATCAAGCACTTGGTGCTGTAAACTCATGCTTGATACTTAAACTAAGCTGGTGCACATGGACTGCAGCGATTGTTTGGAAGACTGCATGGCTGGCGCAGCAATGACAGCTTTATTTTCATACTTGCCATTGGTAGGTAAAATAGCCTTCCATTACGTGTTCAATTGCTCAATTGAACGACTGCGCTGGACTTGGACCCCGCGGTCTCTGCGGGAGGCTTGCGCTGCAGCCGGCGGCGTAATGGCCCGGTTCATAAAGCCTTGTCCGTTTGCTCCAAGGCTCAGATAGGTATCCAGGAATGGCCCACCCGACCGCCAAGCAGATGGGGCAAAGAGGGGGTAAATCGGAGAGATGAGCCAGCCATGGCGCATTTGCGGCAGGAAAAAACTATGTCTTCTGAAAAAGGGAATTTTCCATATGTACTGGCGGAATGGGATGGCGGGTTCACTCCAGCCAATGGAATGGTCAGCCCTCTTGCATCAGATAATCAGACCCCACAGACAGACTAAGCAGTCGCCGCCTTTCTTTCTTCACTTCCTCGTTCCTTGCTCCCCTGCGCTACCCCTTCAGTCCCCCGCACTCTTCCTGACCTTGCCACCACATTCATTTCCACATACCCCCATTGAGTGACTAGTTTTCCTCGCCGAGCACATCGTTCCTCTATCCATCGCCAAATGCACCATGGAGACTGCCGAGCATTCGACCCGTCCACCGCCACTGCCTGCAAAGCTGCGCTGGCGTCCTTACAGCAACGGGACCACGATCAAGCCGAAAAAGCACCAGCAGCAGGAGCAGCAGCAGGAGCAGCAGCAGCATGAACGTTCTGTCCGCGACCTAAACCCAAAGGCATTGGCACACAATCTGCGACGCAGCCCCCCTCATACCCCAAAAGCCCATCCAGCCCCCGTGGCTGTACAGCTGCAGTGGGAAGAGGCAGAGACGATCGATTCCATGAGCCATGGCGGACACCCGCACAACCAACTCCATCACCACTACCATCCTTCTTACCAGAGGAGCCACACCCCATCTGATACAGAGACAGACTCGACAGCCAGCTCTTTACGGCGTGCAGGATCTTCATTGCCCTCGCCACCACCATCACAGTCGCCGATATCTAGGCTGGCCCTGCTAGAAGGAGACTCTGATTTCGGTCAATACAAAGCCTCGGTACCTGCGCTGACAGGATACGACTTTTCGCAGCACGGAATCGCCTTGCCTAAAATCGAAAACAACACTGTGTATCAGGTGGCCTTAAATACACTGCTTGAAAATCACCGCAAAAATCAGCTTCTGGATGCTCAGGCACCGTCGCTGGCTCTTACAAGCGTGCCAGCGCCGGTATCCTTGACAAGCCCACCTATGACACTCTCGGATACGACCCTCAATTACTCAATGTCTCCACTATTCAGCGGTGTCGGTAACAACTCGCAGCGAAAGCTCTCCACATCAGAGCTGCTCGGCATCTCGAATATTGACGATCTATTGATCTCTTGTGGATATATGGATGTGACTGATAGCAGCACAACGTTATCAACAGCCGCGAACACACTTGTGTCACCGGCGACCACGAATAAGTCTCTTCATTCCTCACCTGTCAATGCAGCGGTGGACTTTTCCGCCTCTGACCCCTCGTCTTCCGCCTTAGACTTGGCAGCTTCATATTTTGACATGCTGGTAGCTCAAACGCCAGTTCTGCTTGCAGAAGGCGATAGTAAGCAGCTCCTATTGCAACAACAACATCGATATCAACAACAACAACAGCAATCCCAGGCTTCATCCCCGACACTTACGATGGCTGCCAGTATTACCGACTCGTTTACGGGAATCTTCCACGATCTTGCCTCTCCATTCACGCGCCTCATTTCGCAGGAGGATACAGGGGTTGGTGGCAACAACCCCTCTACATGGAGCTCCCTGTTTCCAAAATCTAGTGAAGATGGTTATTCATCAAATGATAGCGCCCCACGTGTCGATATGGCCACTCAAACGGACCTTCCTTACGGACCGGAGCAATTGTCCTCGTCACCGTCCTCGGGAATCTCGGCCCAAAGCCCGTCCCTGGCGCATGTTGGACTTGTTCAAGACGATATGGATTCAGAATGGCTCGCTTTCCTAGACGAGGCCTCGCCACTCGTCAGTGGAGTGAATGGGCGGACCAACGTCTCGACCGAAAAGAACTCTGCAGCGGCCTCGGAGGCTACTTCAAGGTTGACTGATCAGGCAGCATTCACACCTCAGCCGAAAAGCTCTAATTTGCAGGACAAGGGGCTTCGAAACTGGGCTGGGGACTATTTTACATCGGCAGCCATGGCTCCCACGGGCCACCGTGGATTATCAGCGAGTGGGCCTATAAGCTCTCTGGGTGGTGGTTCAGGAGGAAGTTTGATCCGGACCCTACAGGGCAATCATCAGCAGCGATCCAACTATCATACCAAAACTTCTCCAGCGCGAGGAACGTTTGCTTCTGGAAGCTCCATACTACCCAAGAACAGTTCGACTTTGGTTCCAGTTTCTCCGAACAAAGTCTCCAAGGCGAAGCCGAAGCAGTCTGAAGAACCAGTACAGCCGATATCACAATCGTCAACACCCAAAGTTGCAGCAAGGCCAAACAAAGCGGAGACTAAAGGCAAGCAGGAAACGAAGGACATGGGTGGACTCTTGGCCATGTTTCGAGGCCTTTGGAGGGGCGACAATCGTGGGCAGTAAACAGTTTAGCTAGCTCAAATAATCTGTATATAAAAACAGTGTATTTTTATTATTCAACAAAAAAGAAGGCATTCGCAGAATCATCTATCTGTTAAATTGCCTGGTTGAAATCGGGGCCCAGAATAGCGGCCTCCAAGTATAAGCTTCTTGTTTTCATCGTGGCCTTATTCTTCCAGAATCGTCAAAGAATGCGTTGTCTAGATCAAAATCTACGCCAAATTCGAGTCCGGCCATCGTCTCCCCTGATCACCCGGTCTGGTCTTAATTGACACCGGGTTCAGTCTGTCTTGGTATCATATGCTAGCAGATTCAGAGCCATATTTTCAGTGCAAATGGCTTCTCGCAGTTTGTAGTTTGAGCCCTCGTTCTATATTTCTATAGGAAGAGACCTGGAGCGGTGCACAGTGACTCCTACGCTTCGAAGCAGCATTGCGAATACGCACAAAGAAGACTACCTCTTGACGACATGTAAGCGTCAGACCAATAAGACATACAACCATATATACAAACCTCCCCTCCCCCCCCCCCCCCCCCCCCCAGAAAAATGCGACACGAAGGACGGTTAGATGATGCACAGGCTAAGAAATGCAGTTTTCACAAAGGATGTGCGAAGGGAAGTGAGGAGGGGCCCGGATAAAAATACTCGGACGCGTCTGCATCGGTCCTAGGCGGCAAACATGACAATGAAGCGCGTAACTGTAGAAAGCCATTTCTTTATTAAATCGTTCCTGTGATGGTCTCAAGGCGATTTCACGAGGCCTGTGGAATCAACAGTATCTTACTACGGAGCCGATCCGCGAAAGGCGCCTGGATATGGTTTAGGAAGGGACGACTGTGCCCTAGCTTCTCGTCTGCCCTTTCTTGTTTAGGTTGGGGGAGTAGAAGAGGGCTGAAGAGATGGATGGCAGTGCAAAGTGAAATCCAGTTTCAGAGTAGCCGAAGGGCAGTTTGTAGTTTGTTGTCTTCCATCCGCCTTCACTCAACATCCCGCACCATCATTCCCATTCGCTCTCTCTCTTTCCTTTTTTTTTTTCATTGATCATTCCGCATTCTCTCCATTCTTCTCTCAGACTAGATCAGCCTGAATATGTCTCGCACTATATCCGTGCGTATACTCGGCATACAACAGAATATCGTTGCCACAAAAAAAAAAGGCTAACCAATTGCCCTGTTCTTTGAACGTTTGTAGAGATTTCAAGAGGCATGGCCATCTGCAACCATGCTCATAGTGTCACTTGAAACGATATCTGTTCTTGTACTCGAATCTCTCGTGCTCCGTGAGCACATCCTCCAGTATGCTTTCTTGATTTTTGGAGATTTTAATTGTATTTTCTCCAAACTGCCTACCAGCGATTCATATTTCCTTCACATTGTAGCATCGACCAAATCCCAGCAGGGGATTCATTAAGGTAGACGCATTGCATGCAACCGTCTTGATGAGGACTATGTGTGTTCAGGAGCGAACAGCTCTAAATCCCTTCCTACATTTCATTTCGTAGCGGCGACCAAAAAGCAGTTGGGAATGCACTAAGGTAAATGTACAACATGAAACTACCTTGCTGATGGCGGTATGTGCTCAGGAGCAATAGGACTCACATTGGACTCTTCTCTTGACTTGGTGATGTAGCACCCCCAACGTTATTTACCCCGTTCTATACATCCTGGCCATGATCAGCTTGTTTTCGCTCTGTGTCGATGCCATGTACCATCGGAATCAGATCCAGGTCGTGGCACTTACTTTTTTTAACTTTCTGTGTTTCGCCTGTAAGTCGCCCCTGCCCCTGTTCCTGTTCCTCTTTTTCTTGCGCACACTCTGCATGTTCCCAAAATAGGATCATGTTATATATGGGATTTTAAGCTGGAACGCTGACTTTTTGTATCCCTATATGAACGATGGACTGTATGCCCAGATGGCATTATCCAAACCATCTACGACTGGCAAGCTGCCGAAGCAGGTGGTCCTTTAGCTGCCGGAGCAGGTGATCCTTTGAAAGCATTCAATGTGGCAATTACGGTGACAATAGGCGTCTGCTCTCTCTTCCTCGTCTGGGCTGCCTACAAATTAGCAGCAGTCTTCGGATGGGAGATGTACCGCTTTCTCGGCGCGTAAGTGAGTTTGCATTTTTTTTATTTTTTTATTTTTTGAAGGATCCCCTTCTCCACAGTCGCGTATTGTTTGTTAACATGGCGCTCCATCCATCCTGCAACCCTGTTTTAGCGACCTTAACATGCGAAGTAGGTTTCTTCAGTGGCGGTCTTACCTGAAGGCGCACGAAAAGATATTCTTGTACTGACATGTACCGAATACTTTCTCTTTAGGAATGCATAAAGGATATGAAATTCTCATCACGTTGTTAAAGTTCGACGTGTTCTTTTTTGTGGCATTCGCGATTCAGATGTTCACTCTCGTGGATACGACGGACAGGACCATCATCGCCACATTCAACGGTAGAACACTTGCTCGCCAACAGCTCTTTATCGGCCTCTCTATCCCTGCAGCAGTCCTCCTCCTCGCGCTCGCTTTCTTCGGCGTTATGAGAGAAAGCAGAATTGCGACTATATTTGTCATGCTTTGCCTGACAGCTGTGGAGCCTTACTTCATCTATCAACTCGTCTACCTGCATCGCCCAGAAAACAGCGCACGGTTCATCAATTCGATAAAGTATCTTACTTTTTTCAGTAAGTACACATGTCCTTCTCGTTGGAAACTGTATATTAAAGAAAAGCTTGTGCTGGTTTAACACGCTTGCTGTTCATATCCTATAGTTGGTGTCACTATGGTGTTGGTCCTGTTGACACTATTCCCCATGATCTACTGCTTCCGCAACTTTGGCAAGGGCTTACTGATCTCGGAAAAGAGCAGGATTGTGGCGCCAAGACGTCCTTTTGAGATTGACGAGGACCATTCAGAATCGGAGCCATCGATCCCATTGGAACTCAAGCGTGGGGAGGACGGTACATCCCAGCAATTGATGGCATATCCGGCGCTGAAAAAGATTCAGAAGGACTACCATATCAAGCCTACAAGTGGCCACTCGTCGAAGGATCAAAAGGAGAGCCACGAGAAGGGACAAGACAGCCTGTCCGACGGATTACATTCCAGTGCGCGATCATATCATGGCAAAGTTGAGATTGAATAAAGATGGGCTGCAGCAAATAAACAGACTATCGTCAAAACGCGACGAGGTCGAGTCCTCTGGCGCAGTATCAGCATTGTAGAGACGTCACGACAAAGCATATAAAAAAATTCTTGTCCTTTCATCCACAATTTTCCTTTCATTTTATTGTCTTCCCTGCTCCTGTTCCTGGTCCATACCAGTATGTATTTGGGCATTGAAGTAGCTAAATACAATGGCCTTGTTCTCGCAGCCTGTAGCGAGACACAGGAAATGCGGACGGATACATGTTTTGCTCACGCCCAGATCTATGTTATGTCTTCCCTCGAGACAGCCTTAGAGTATTGTCGCCATGTCCTCATCTCTGTTTCGTGAAGAATATGCCTTAAATCCACATGAGCGCTCTCGGCTCGTCAAGGCCACCACGCCTGGCACGGAGGACCATTATCTGTATCGCCTTCAATATCTCCTGCAGCAGCTTCAGACGAACGAAATTCCTGTCACAGCCCAAACCATCGAAGAGGCCGCAGCCCTCCTTACAGCAGCTGAGAATTCTGGAATTGCCATCGACAGTGCACAGCTCCAGCAATTTGAGACCCAAATTGCCTTGCTGGCTTTCCCCGTTAAGCCGGATCTCCTCTTAGGGCAGCTCAACTATGACCCAGGGACGGCCAGTATTGATTGCTCACAGGAAGATGTCGAGAGCGAGGATAATGCCGACACTGCAGACGATAAAGGATCCTCAAGTGCCGTCGCAGCTTTGCCGACCAAATTGGACCAGAGCATCATCAGGGACGACGCACTAACGGAGAAACAGCTCGATCATCTTGAGAAAGACAGCGGCCATTATATTTCAATCGGTGATGCATGGCCCTTTGTGGCTGCTCAACCGCGTCTAGAGCCCATCTTGGACCGACTTGACATTGACCGGCTCCTTCACCTTTTCGCCACCATGGATATACGATACTCTCCAAAAAGCATGGAAATTGTAGGCAAGGCAGATGTCAGTCGATTTGACCAGATCGTGGTTAAGGTGATTTTGAGGCTCTACAAAGAAAACAAGCTGAGTTTCTCGAGTTACGCTCATCAATTCGAGCACTTGACGCGATCTCAGCTGGATATGATTAAAAGAGAACAACCTCAATTGGTGAACGACGAAGGGTTTATAGGCCTGTTGGAGAAGAGACTTGCGCCCGAGCCTTTCCCGGAGCAAGAGGAAGTCGCTCACGAGGCATGGCTGGATCGTGTTCTAGCATTTGTTGATGAGCTCTCGCCCAAGTTTAACCTACACAAGTTGTCGGTATATCTTATGAGTCTCGAGCATGATCTGTCCAAGGGCGTCATGGACAAGGAAAAGTTCTTGAGGTATAGTACTCAGCCAGTTCTTTTGTTGTTTTGCATGAAAATGCACAGATACATGATCGATTGGGCCCAATCACTAAGCGCCACTTCGTTGTAAACTTTCATTCAAAGATACGTTGCCATCCCGCGTAATCAGGCGCACTACAACCAAAAGGCGCTTAACAACCTCGAGCGCAGCTTTCCGGTGGATTTGACGGAAAGACAGCGTCTTGAGGACTGGTCCGAGGTAATAGACTGTGGCAATGCTCGAGCGCGCTGTCTAGATGCGCCTCTTTTTGGTTTCGCATACTGACCGGAACCCCTGAAATTTTGCATGTAGAGAGTCACTCCCGCGACAAGAGAACGTGATGATGAGGTATTAAAGGAGTATCTCACCCACTTCATGCGTCAAGCAAAGTCTGCAGCCGAGTTCGAAGAGTACTTTGAGACCAAAACTTTCCTCAACCCATTGCTGGCAAAAGCCATGCTGATGTCTGATGACCCCGCAACTGCCAAATGGTATGTCCGCACCACATTCTTTCCTGTTACTCTGACCAACTCTCATAAACTAAGACAGAATGTAACGCGTCATATAGGGCTGCACTCCTATCAGACCAGGAGAATCTTGCTCAGCTCACGGAGAAGACTATCCTGAAGTTTGCACCAGATAATCCCGTCAAGTTCCTGCCTGCCGACCCAGTCGTCTTCAAGTTGCGGGCCAAGAATGCTAAGCGAGTCCTTGTTCGAATCTTTGAGGTCAAAACTTTTGAGTATTTGCAGCAGCATGGTCATGGAGTAATGGGACGGAACCTGAATTTAGATGGACTGGCACCCAATTGGGAGCAGAACCTCGTTCTGGATCATCCACCACTCCTTATGCATGAAATCAAGATCGAGTTGCCCGAGTTGGCTGACAAACGAGGCGCTTTTATCATGGATGTGATCAGTAATGGGGAAAACAGCTGTGCTTACTTTGCCAAGGTACTAACTATGATTTAGATTGCTCTTCTAATCCTATTTTTGGAGTCGTACAGGCGATTGTCATCCTTCTCAAAACTCATTATCCATGCCTCGAATGACCTATCCTAGGGCTACCTGGACTTTATTGAGAGGCAGAGCGTCGCGGGACATGTCATCACCATCATCGATGAGAATCAGGAAAAACTTTCGGACAAGTGCAGCATCTGGCTGGATGGCTATTACTACAGGGTACGATAGTGTCTTTCTGAGCGCCACTGATGAGGCGTTGTCGTACAGATATAATACGCATGGCACTAAATCAACAGTCTACGGTTTTCACTTCCTGTCACCGCAGCCGAATGGTGATGGAGATATCATTGTCCCCTATCGTAAGCCATACTCGTCCTCGAGTTCAAATATCTATCTCATACATGATGGATTTGCGACCTGTCGAGAGTTCAATCATCGCGTCGAAGACTATGCCCTCAAATTCGAGTGCCAAATCGACCACGAGTCCTTGGTGGCGGGCTCGACTGCAAAGGTATATGTCTAGCCCGACTTGATGGAGTTCGTCTGTGGAAAGCTGCTACGGAATACTGCTTCGAAATACTGCTTCTCAGCGTCATGTATTAACGACGTTATTTACTGGGAAAACATCTCAGATTCTAATCAAGCCCACCGTTAAAATCCAATACGATACGGTTGTTTGCCCTGTCAGCCTACTGGAGCAAGTACAGCTCACACTCGATTCTGCGGATACAAACACGATCGCAGCGACAGTAACGGTGCCGGATTTCAAGGTGCACGATGATAATTGGTCAATGTACAGCTTCCAGGTGCCCGAGAATCTGGCGCATTTGACCGTTACTCTCTCGGCCAAGATCAAGGTCATCTCGACAGGAGAGTACCAGAACTTGACTGTTTCGCGTCGCTTTGCATTCGACAGGTATGAAGAGAAGATGGCCAATATACAACGAGCATTTCGAATACAGGCACTTCAATAGCTAACTTGTCACTGGTCTGTGTATTGGTGTATCATTCCTAGTCCTAACGTTGACCAGAATGTCGGCTTCAAAAAGAATGGAGTAATGCAATATGTCAGCATCCCCGGACCGGTTTTGATCCTGCTGCAGAAGGATGTGGACGGCTACAAAGTCCTTGCGCTCGGAAAGAATGGCGAAAAGCGACCCAATATTCCCCTGGAATTTGAGTTTAATCATCCGATTTGGGGAAGTAGGGTTGTTTTCCACCTGCGCACAGATGATAGTGGGCAAGCCCACTTGGGGCCTTTGCATGGCGTCGAGAATCTGATCTGCGTCACTACTCTCGCGACATGGCCAATCTTTGGAGGCGAAGAGCACGTCTATCCCAAGCAGATCCATGGAGTAGAAGATGAAACCCTTTCCTTGCCACTTGGAAAGCAGGATCTCGACACCATCCGCAAAATTTCGCTGTTCTCCATTTCAAGCTATGGTAATGGAAATGGCGGCGTCAAGGCAACGCTCGATGATCACACCAGCAATATTCGTCTAGTAAATGGGATGTTGTCGCTCAAGGGACTGAAGGCTGGATACTACAGCTTCAGGATCGGAAGCAAGGTCGAATGTCAGATCATCATTGCGAATTCTAGGGCTACACAGTCCAAGATTCAAGGGTTAGAGGACTTTGTCATTGGATGCAACCCCATGCTTGAGCTCTTGGGAAGCACCAAGAATCCTCTTCATATCGCTCCGCCCACTGTAGATGCGGAGAGTCAAATGATCGGCATCCAGCTCTACAACTGGAGTCCAGAGACCAGACTGTGCGTTATTGTGACAAAGTTTGTGCCGTACAACGACTCGGGCTCGGACAATTCAAGAGAACGCAGAGCGGAAAACCCATGGGCGATGACAAAATCCAGATCGACACTAACGTCGTTCCGGACCGGCCGTGTCCTTGGCGATGAGTATCAATACATTTTGAATCGTAAGGCGCAGTCGGCTCATTGGGCTGGAAACTTGCTGGAGAAACCCAGTGTCTTGCTCTCGCCTTGGGTAAGTCCTTTTTTTCTTTTCTGATGTATATGTTGATAATGGTTCACAGGAAGTGTGTTCTTATGAGATATACTCTCTTGCTGCTGAATAGAGCATTGCTGATACGACAGCGTCTACACAGGAGATGCAAGGGGACAGCCTCGAAGGCGTTCAGGAGACAATAGTCCAAGAATGTGCATGCATGCCCACGAACATGTCCCGAGGTGGAGAACGATACATAGCTGTTACACGGATGACACTCAACCCTCTACTCAACTTTCTGGCTCACCCTAGTGTCGTACTTGCCAACTTGGTTCCAGACTCATCCACGGGCATCGTCAGTGTTCCATTCCCCGCTCTCAAGGAAGGAAACTTCCTCAGGATCTTTGCGGTGGATGGCCACCAAACTATTCAGAAATCTTTTGTGGTCCCACGAACATTGGCTCGCCTCGACTTCCAGAAGCGGGATCTTCGATTCTGGAGTCAATTGGACCACACCAAGCATTTCATTGGCGAAAGAACCGGCATTGATCTGGATCCCAAATTACAAGCCGCGTTTGCGGGCGCTGCTTCAGTGACATTGGCATCAAACGGCAGCTCACTGTCTGCCGTCCGAGTCATCAGCTCTGTCAAACAGGTGTACGATCTGATGCTGACGTTACTTGGGGACGAAACACCGAAGGAAAATTTGCGCAAGTTCGGGTTCATCAACGACTGGGATCAAATGTCAGACGAGGCCAAGAAGGAAAAATTCTCGAGGTGGAACTGTCATGAACTCAACTTATTCCTTTACAAAAAGGACGGCAAGTTTTTCGATTCTGTGGTCGCCCCGTTTTTAAAGGTGTGTTGCCCCGCAAGGATCCTCGTTTTTTTGGGGGTGTCGAATGGAGCCGACTCACTGATACTTTTTTATGCGGCCAAAATTATAGAATAGGCTGATGAAGTCTTTCATGGATGACTATCTGATCGGAGCACAGATGGACAAGTACACCGCTCTCAACGAATTCAGTCAACTGAGCTGCTTAGAGAAATGTCTTCTTGCCCATCGTGCTCCCTCCGCAAGAGCTGGTATAGTCCAATGGATCAAGGACAGGGTTCGCAACACACGTGTGGCCAGTAACGTGAAGCTGTTCCTGACAGTCATGAACTCTGGAGGTCTGAAAGAGTCCGCACTTGGCGGGAGCGTGGCGATGCGCAATCAGGCAAGGTAATTAATTATAAGGGTCAATCAGGGTCAATCAAGACTAATTTATTTACGTTTCCTGAGAAACCAGTTGTTCTTGAAAATCTCTCCATGCTCTCTAACCAATATATTTTGGAACTTTAAGTGAGCATTATTACGACTTGGCGGTCGACCATGAGGAGTCGGACGAAGATATGGGTTTCGGCTTGTTCGATGACGACACTTATGCCATGCCTGAGGCGGCGTCTGCGCAGTCCTACTCCGCTCCTGCTCTAACCTCTGTACCCATAAAGCGCATGAAAAAATCAGCCGCCGCTGTGAGCGAGGAGAGAAAGCGATCTGCACGGATCCTTCATGGACAGTACAAACCCGTGGAATTGACTCAGGAGATGGCCGAGACTTACTACTATGGACGCCAGGAATACGTGGACAAGATTGAAAATACAAATTTGTTTTGGTTGGATTTGGCGCAATGGGACGAGAACAAAGGCGGATCGTTCTTGTCGCAGGTAAGGCACTGCAACCATTCATTTTTTGGATTCCAGAAAACCATAAAATACCTGTATTGACCGCGGTGGTATGCTCCAATCTTTTTAGAACTTTGTCGCCAATACTGGGTCTTTCACGGATGCTATGGCCACAATTGCGCTACTCGGTCTTACTTTCCGACCCAAGGATGCATCGTTGACACGTTCAGCTGGTCAAAACTTGGTGGTCTCCTCCGAGTCGCCTGCCATCGTCTTCCACTCGTCGATTAAGGTATGGTGGTATTGCAGTTGTAGTCTGATCTACCTTGCGTTCAAGGGCTCCATCTCAGTTCGCGTAAATTGACCCCCAATTTTTCTCTCTTTCGCGTGTCCTGTATAGGAGTTGACAGAGGCACCAGTAATGGGATCGGTTTTGGTGATTGAGCAGTACTTTGCACAGAAGGAGAAGCTCGTATATGATAAAACTACCTCGAACAATGTTCGGCAGTATCTCCAGCCTGGTGTGGAATTCAGACCACTGGAGACTTACGGCGCCCATGTCGTCTTGATGAGTAAGTCCACAATGTGTTTGATTCCAGGAACAGCTACGCCATTTACACGCGTAAACTTGAAATTGACATTAAATTGCTGGTATTTTTTTACAGATGCCTCGCCAAATTACATGGTAGTTCATTTGGAGGTGCAAATTCCGCAAGGATCTATCTCGGTCTATCAAAGTCTGGAGACAGGCCAAGATATCCGGTTAAGCCCTCATAGCAGCTTCCAGTACGAGTATGGATTCTACTTCCCTGAAGAAGGCGACTTCCCACATTACCCTGCGCATGTCTCCAACTACGAGGATATCATCGCTCACGCAGCGCCATCAGTCCTGAAGGTCCGAGCTCCACTGCCAGGCTTTAATGAGACGGAAACGGGCACCTGGGCCCACATCCTGAAGTACGGTACAAAGGAGAGTATCTTGGCCAAATTGGCAGCCAGTCCTCTGAGTAGTTTGCCCGTGGAGGACCTGGTCCCTCGCTTGTACAGGGATAAACAGCTCCTCCAGCAGATGACTTCGGCTCTAAGATCGCGCCATGAGTACAACAACCAGATCTGGAGGGTTGCTTTGGCGGTAAAAGATCAAGAACTGGTCAAGGAGTATTTGATGAATCAGCCTGCCTCAGAGTTGAACACCGGAGATTGGTTCACATCGGCTATTTACATCCGCCGGCCGCATACGCGACTGGAGTCGCTACAGGACACATCGTACAAACACCTCGAATATTTTCCTCTGATCAACGCCAGAGGTACGGAAGAATCTCCATTACCACTATTGATACAAAACCCGCGAAGTTGGACACTAATCATATTGCCGCCTTGTATTGATTGATATCTAACATATCGAACAGCCCATAAGGCCACTCGTAACGCAACCATTTTGAACAACAAATTCAAGGGCCAATACGATCGTTTCTTGAAGCTGCTGAGTCAAAAGCCACATCACGATGTCGACGATCTCCTTGTTCTTGTTGTCTACCTCCTGGCACAGGATAGGTTTTTAGAAGCCAAGAAGAAGTTTGCGCAGCTTTCAGACCTGATGTGTCTGCCCGGTCAGCTTCCAGGCGATTTTTTCCAGCAGCTCCAGTACGACTACCTCTGGGCATATTTGAGCCTGTGCGTCGAGGTCCAAGCGGATTCTTCCGCTGTGGATCTGCCTCTGGATCTGGCAGGCGTGCAAAGGGTGCTGAACAAGTATCGCGACTATCCTGTCGAGCGCTGGAACAAGATGTTCAGAGACATGCAGCAGTATCTGGACGACATCGAACAGTCTCAAGTGGAAGTCAAGGGTTCGAGTGACGAATCCCAAGCAGCAGCTGCGGCCGAGGGGCAGCAAGAGGCGGTCGATACAACTGCGGGCGAGGAAGAGGAAGACGATGATGCGTCTGAAGTACCGATCATGATCGATTTCAAGATTGGAGATGAGAACGTGATGATGGTCCGTCACCGTGGCGTCCGAGAGGTCACGGTAGAGTACTACTTGATCGATGCAGAGACCATGTTCTCGGCCTCGCCGCTTACCTTCAGCGACCTGGGTGAAAGCGAGTCTTCCGGGGGCAGCCGCGATGACGACAGGGACACCAGTAACAGCTACCGCCTGATGAAGCCCAACGGCATCGATACACACTCTGTCAAGCGCGCGGTCGCCAATGACGGTATCCTCATTATTCCGATCCTCAGCCAGTACCAAAACACGAATGTCATGATCTCGGTCAGCACCTCGCCCCCAGCGGTCACACGGAGCTGGAAGGCCTATTACTCGCAGACGATCATGATGCAGTGCATGGAGAAGAATGGCACGATGAAGGTTATATCCAAGGCGGATGGACGACCGATCCGCGGTGCGTACGTGAAGGTGTATGCGGAGATGAAGGAAGGTTCTGGTGTGACAATATTCTGGAAGGATGGATACACGGACTTGGTGGGCCGATTCGGTTATGCGCAGGTGTCGACAGCGACAGTGTCGTCGAGTTCGAGAGGGGCATCCGACGGTGGACTTGGTAGTGTGAAGCGGTTTGCGGTGTTTGTGGATGGCGGACGCGAGGGATGTGTTGTCAAGACCCTGCCTGTGCCTCCCGTGTAGATCGTCTAGATAGGCTAGGATCCTCATTTTCATTCATTTTTCATGCGAAAATGCAGAATATGTATATTCTATATTGCTTCCGAAGCAGGAATGTGCAATATGCAAATGCAAATGCTGTGCATTGTAAAAGAAAAAGGACCCTTGGCTCTTCTGACACAGCGAGCGGGATGGGAAGGTAGAAAGTAGTCTATCGACGGGAGAGGTCTCAAACCACCATCCCCCTCCCTCAAACAGGAATATCAGCAGACCATTATATCCCTCCTTCCGCCCCACCCATTGATCGTCGTCCACAGACTGTCTGTCCCCAGTTCACTTTGCATGTGCTTTAGCGTTGTTGCATTGTCGGCTTTTGTTGACACTGCGGCAATGTTGGCAATGTTGATATGTCTCTTTGCATTGAAAAACAAGACGATCATACCTATCTGCCGATGGTGTCTGGTTGGAAGCAGGGAAATAGTAATAATAATAGTAATAGTCTAATAGAGTGTATGATAAGCGATGGGCCAGGGTCACCACTCCCATTGGGAGGAACATCATTATTATGATTCATGACCCAGCCTAGTCCAACCAGCAATGCCTACCGCGGTGTATCTACCACAGAACCTGACTGCTTGCGTCCCAACCTTTTTTTTTTTCCCGTTTCCCTTCAGGAAGGAGGATGCATAGTTTTCTATGCTGCAGCAACAGGCACTCGGGCAGCAAATGCTAAATGATGCATGCATGCATGCACGCATGCATAGTTTCTAGTTTCTACATACGTATCCTCCCAGGAATTTTTTTTTTTGGATACTTCTCCACGAGGGAAGAGACGTCTTGCAAATGCATTTGTGTGGCCAAGAAGAGCGTCCGAAATGAGCTACTATCATCTGTTTCTGTCGTGTTCACTGCTGTGAAGAAGGCGGCGAGGATATAAAAAAAAAAAAATGTGCTCTTTTGTTTTGTAATGCTCTCGCTCATGTCTTCATCTCTCGTCTTTTTTATTTTCTTCGCCGTTCTTTGGCTGTATACAGTCTTGATGGAGCACTGAGGCCAGTCAGAATGAAATGGATGGACAGCCGGCTCACTTGTTTGTTGATGTTGCTGTTGTTGTGTCTTGAACACAAGAAATACAGATACAGCACCGGCTCCTTCAGCGGGCTGTTCCTGTTGGTGGTGGTGTTGTTGATGTCTAGTTCTTTCGAGTGAGGAGTGAGCCATTTGGTGTACAAGCACAATGGCAAAAAAGAGAAGAGGCTCCATGTGTTGTGGATGTAGAGTGTGCTAAAGTTGGACGATAGAGATTCGGCAGGCTTATTCTTATTAATGCGGAATGGTGAGCAGAGGCATGGAAGCATACGAAGGGTGTGGGTAAGCTTGGACGAGCTCCTCTTCTGCGTCTTCGTTCCTGGAGACAAAAGTCGAAAGGGGCGGGATGGGGGAGGGGAAGGGGGGAGGGAGGGAGGGAGGGAGGGGGGACATGAACATGGACATGAACATTTTGTCTGAGCCGTATTATTATAACTGGTACCTGGCTCTTCTGCTCACAGGTGCAATAAATATTCGTGCGAATCTCTTCGTCGCTCCATCTCTTTCCTTTCTCTCTATTCTTTTTTCACCATCCAGCTTCACCTTCCACATCCTACATTCCCACTACCACCCACCACTACTCATCTCCCTGACCTGACCCACCCATCCCACCCCTCCGTAACGACTCTCTCTTTCGCACCCATATCACTTTCCACCCTATCCACTATCTTTCTCGTCCCTTCGTTCTCATAATGTCTGATATCACTGGTACGTTTTTTCCCCCTCTTCTTATCACTTGTACGCTCTATCCGATGTTCTTTGTGCGCACAACATTCCTATCTCATTGAGATGTGTGATAACACCCTCAATTGAATCCGCAGATGCAGCTGCAGCTGTAGTACTGTGTGTAACTGAACTTGTTGCCTTAAGAAGGATTCACCGCCTGTCGCAATTGTCCTGTTGTTATTTTATTTTCTCTATATGCGTTCTATTCATTGGGCAAGTATTTGCATATTTCATTCATCCATCCTTTGGAGGAGGAGGGCTGAAGGGCTGGGAGGGAGGCAACGAAACGTGGGTCGGATTAAAAAAAAAAAAAAAACGAAGGGACGCTTTCTATTTGTGAGCAGTTAGACTGTATTATATTTCTCTTGTGACACTCTGCGGCAGTTTGTCTCCCCTCCTGGAATAGTCTATGATGGTCAAGCGACTAAATCGGACCTATGATATGCATGGGGACATGGGTGTGGATCGATTATGTATATCTATATTTTTTTTTCTCCAAGCTTACATTAAGCTGAAAAAAGCACGCGTCTGCAATTTATTCGTAGTCAGTCATTTCTAGTAGATAAGAATGGCCCTGTGCTCACAAAACTTTATGCTTCTCTCGCATCTCTGCTTCAACCTATCTCTCAATAGAGCAAATCGTCGTTGTTCCCACCCAAGTCAAGGAGGTGGCCCCAGCCCCTGCTCCCGCTGTCGAGGCTGCGGTTGAACAGACTGCGATCACATCAGATAAGGAAACTCAGGAGGCCCAGGAGGCCCTTGCCAAGGAGCTTGGACAGGAGGAGACCGCTCGTGTGGAGGTCGAGGCCAAGAAGACCCCAGACGAGGAGGCTGCTCGCTTGGCCGCAGAATTCAAGGCTGCTGAGGAAAAGGTTGCTGAGGAGAGGCGCATCATTGAAGAGAAGGCCGCAGAGGAGAAGCGCATTGCCGAGGAGAAGGCTGTTGAGGAAAAGCGCAAGGCCGAGGAAGAGGCTGCTCATCTGGCCGCAGAGTTCAAGGCTGCTGAGGAGAAGGCTGCCGAAGAGAGGCGCATCGCTGAAGAGAAGGCCGCCGAGGAGAGACGCATCGCTGAGGAGAAAGCTGCCGAGGAAAAGCGCAAGGCCGAGGAGGAGGCTGCTCGTCTGGCTGCTGAATTCAAGGCTGCTGAAGAAAGAGCCGCCGAGGAAAAGCGCGTCGCTGAGGAGGAGGCTGCTCGTCTTGCAGCTGAGGCCAAAAGGGCAGCTGAGGAGGAAGCTGCCCGTGTTGCTGCCGAATTGAAGGCCGCAGAGGAGAGACGCATCGCTGAAGAGAAAGCCGTCGAGGAGAAGCGCATTGCCGAGGAGAGGGCTGCTGAGGAAAAGCGCAAGGCTGAGGAGGAGGCTGCCCGTCTGGAGGCTGAGGCTAAGAGGGCTGCGGAAGAGGAAGCCGCCCGTGTTGCCGCCGAATTGAGGGCTGCAGAGGAAAAGGCCGCCGAGGAAAAGCGCATCGCTGAGGAGAAGGCTGCTGAGGAAAAGCGCAAAGCTGAGGAGGAGGCTGCCCGTCTGGAGGCTGAGGCTAAGAGGGCTGCGGAAGAGGAAGCCGCCCGTGTTGTCGCCGAATTGAAGGCTGCAGAGGAAAAGGCCGCCGAGGAGAGACGCGTCGCTGAGGAGAGGCGTATCGCTGAGGAGGAGGCCGCCCGAGTCGCTGCAGAGGAGAAGCGCATTGCTGAGGAGGCTGCTGCTGCTGCTGCCGCCGCTGAGGCTGAAGCCGCTCGCATGGCCGAGGAGGAGAGACTCGCCGCTGAGGCCGAGGCTGCTCGTGTTGCTGCTGAGCTCAAGGCTGCGGAGGAAAGGGCTGCAGAAGAGAAGCGCGTGGCCGAGGAGGAGGCTGCTCGTGTTGCTGTTGAGCTCAAGGCTGCGGAGGAAAAGGCTGCGGAGGAGAAACGTAAGGCTGAGGAAGAGGCCCGCATTGCTGCCGAGAAGGCTGCCGAGGAGGAGGCCGCTCGCAAAGCTGAGGAAGAGAGACTTGCTGCAGAGAAGGAAGCCGCTCGTCTGGAGGCCGAAGCCAAGAAGGCTGCTGAGGAGGAGGCTGCTCGTCTCGCTGCCGAGACCAAGGCTGCCGAGGAGAAGCACGCTGTAGAGGAGGCTGCTCGCAAGGCTGCCGAGGAGGAGGCTGCTCGTGTCGAAGCAGCTACTAAAGCAGCGGAGGAGAAGGCCGCTGAAGAAGCTCGTATCGCTGAAGAGGCCCGCATTGCTGAAGAGGCTCGTATCGCTGAAGAGAAGGCTGTCGAGGAGAAGCGCGTTGCAGAGGAAGCCACTCGCGTTGCCGCTGAAGTCAAGGCTGCTGAGGAGCACCGTCATGCTGAGGAAGAGGTCGCCCGCATCGAGGCTGAGGCCAGGAAGGTTGCCGAGGAAGAGGCTGCCCGCGTGGTCATTGAGGCCAAGGCTGCCGAAGAGAAGGTTGCTGTCACTGTCATCTCCGCTACCGAGGAGGTAAAGGAGGCCGTTACTGAGGATGATTCTGATAAGGTTGCTGCTGCTCTTGTTGCCGCCGAGGACCAGTCGTCGCCATCTGCTCCTGCTCTCGCTGCCGCCGTTGAGGAGAAGGCCGATATTCCAGAGGTAACAGCAATCCCCAGCTTGAAGCCTGCAGAGGAAATCAAGACGACCACCCTTGATGTCACGGAATCTGCCCCTGCTGCACCCTCAAGGACCTTGTCCTCGAGCAGCAAGAAGGAAAAGAAGGTCAAGAAGGAGAAGAAGGAGAAGAAGGAGAAGGCCTGCATCATCATGTAAACGCCAGGTTTACGCGATCTCTCTTTTTTTGCTACTTTTGTGTTATAATACCTATTCCTCTATATACATACTCACATTTTTTTAACGACAACAATACCATCCACACGCACCTTTCATTAATGACGGCCGACAACAAAATGCCCAACAGAGAACCTTGGCCGTAGGTATCATCATACTAAAAATAGTACCCTAGAATAAACGTGTGCAATAATAAAGAAATGCGTTTGAATAATCTTTAAAACCTAGCAAAACGCGTTCGGATTTACAGTCTGCGTCATACATGCATACAGGAAAGTCCCTCCTCTTCCCCCCCCCGACCCTTCTCTTCTTTCCTGTTTCCTTATTCCGTCCTCTTCTGAACCTCTCGAATACCTCCTCTCATCGGCTCTGTTACCCTCTCCATATCGTTAACGAAATGGCATACGTAGCAGACAAGAAGGGCCTGGTCCTCGCAAGGGTAAGCCCAGCACCACCACTTCACCACTCTCTCCACAGCAGACGTTCCTGTCGCTCGACCCAACTGCGAAAACCATCTACTGTGGCCATTGCCTCAACAAGCGTCCTAATCAGTTTCGTTCACGCTGTCTGTTCATTTAGATTCCAGGAACTGCTATTCCCTGGGCCCACACCATCTTTGGCGCGTGTAAGTGATCATCACAACCGGCACAAGAGTGAATCAGTGTACACTTCAAAACAACGCCTTGAAGTGTTCGTTAGGCCAAGGCTGCGCAGGAGCAACAGCCGTCTTGAGAAAAGGAAAAAAAAAAAATGTTGAGAGCGGACGTCATTTTATGAGAATTTCGAGAACCAGGAATGCGATGCGATGGGACATGAGGAGCTATCATGAAAAGGATACTTGGTAACAACAGCTCTACTGTACTCACGGCTTGCACCTGCGGGAACGAGGCGTGAGCTTGAAGTAATTTAATCGCATTCCGGATGTCTCCAGGGCTCGCCCCCCGCCCTTTCCAGGGGGGTTTTTGAGCTGGCTGTGAACAGGTTCAGTCTGCTCATATTTTTTACGAGAATCGGGCTTTTGGTGTTAAAGAACAGGAATGGACGGATCGGTTCCCATGTGCGTTTTTGGAATCCGTCGCTGATTGTATTTTAAATTTCTTTCTCGGGATGTCTTTTAGCCGCCTTTATCCTCGCCCTCGTTGTTGGATGCTACGGCCATTACTACAAGATTGTCAAGAATGGCGTCGCCGGGTACCCCGATGTAGGTCATTGTCAACACCTGCTACTGTCTCAACGTTCGTCTCTTATATTCCGGTCACCGAAAGGGGAGTCATCCAACCGATTTTTTTTTTCATGGAATCAATGGCTATCTAGGAATGGTTTCCAAGTGTCAGTGCCGCAACGGGCGACTGGTATCCTGAACGCAACCTCTGCCAGATCTTTATTGCCTTGGCCTCAGGTAAGGCTGCGCTATTTGATTGGTTATTATTATTATTATGGCCGAAAGTAATACCGATTGGTCAGTGTAGGGCAAAAATAAAAAGTATTAACGGCTGCTTTTGATTTTAATATAGGTCCTCGTCTGATGCTATGCTACCTTTGGTATCTCTTGACTGTGCGCAATGTTCCTGCCAAAGGATCGAAGGGATTTGCCAAATTCCTCCTCACGAACGATGTTATTAGGACAGTTGCTTGTGGCGGATGGGTCTATGTCACATCCTCGGATGATCATGATATTCATGACATCGCCATGATTGTATACCTGCTCTGCACCATCCCTCATGTCATTGGCACGATCAAGACCGCTCCTCAGAACCCCAAGTCTCAGCAATACAGAAAACTCTTTGCGTACACCTTTTTTGGCGCCTTGATCCCTATGGTCTACTTCTTTATCCAGCATAACGTCCATCGTATTCCTGGATGTGAGTATCCTTCTTTGTCCGGAATTATAACTTGTTGCAAGTGTAAAGACTTAATAACTTACTATCCTTTGCTTATTGCGTCTTTTTTTAGCATATACCCACTACGCTTTCTTTGAGTGGTCTTTAATCATCTCTGATCTCGCCTTTGACGCCGTGTGTCTGATCGACTTTCAAACCTTCGAATTCCGTGTGGTCGATATTGGAATGAATGGCAAGCAGGAAGATTATAACAGCGCTCAGAACGGTCTCAAGACCTATGGAGGCAGTGAGAGCGCCGGCGCCACTCTTGGAGACATTAGACCCTATGAAGTCATTTCCTTTGTGTCTGATGTCTACCTAGGTGAGTTGATCTCGATTAGAGCTATCCCTAGAGTCATTATTCAAGCACAGAATGAGAGTCTAACCTAATTGTGCTTTGCAATCTCGCCCCTTAGGTTTCGTGTTTTGGTCGATGCTGACTGCATTGCCCCTCATGATTTGGTACTTCCCCTTGTGGCATATGGGCATTTCGGGATATGAGGCGTTCCTGTTCTCCAATATCAGCGCCGTCCTGCTCGGCATCAACTTCCTTCGCCGTGGTATTGAGCGTGCCAAGGGACTTGTTCACCTTCTGTCCTTGGTCGGCGTCCTCTCATACAAGGTCGTCGATCCTGCCCACCGTTTGATGGCTGTCGCTGCTGGTGTTTCGCTGTCTCTTCTCACCTGGGGCGCTACTCTCTTTGGACAGCGTCATCAAAACGGACGTGCTGAACGTGGTGTCATGACTTTAGCCCTGGGATTGATTCTCCACAATGTCGTCAAGCAGGCTTGGTGGGCCAACAACCCCATCTGGCCCATCATGAACGAGAACACCGGCGGTCAGAACATGGTCGGATTGGCTTTGGGCGTCTTGGCATCGGTTCAGGTCATGCTGCGCAAGGAGCCCGGTGTGGACGAGCCTCAGACGATTCAGAGCCGCAAGCATAGCGAGAGCTGGCTCCTGACTGCTATTGGTGCTGGCAGTTACCTGTTCTGCTTGCATTCGATGTTCACGGACTCTACTACTATCAGCCGCTGGTCCTTGGGAGGCTACCCCAACACCGGCCCCCAGCCAGTCCCTGGTGGATTGATGGTGATTGTTGCTATGGCTACGGGACTCACTCTTTCGTCCAAGCGTCGTTGGGCCACTTCTCTGGTTTGGTGGGCGATCGGAACCGGTGGTTTGGCCGTCTTGCACTTTATTGAGGGCGACGTCGGATTTGCGGGAGGAATCGTCTTTACTGTCTACGCGCTCTCACTCTTTCCAACCCTTTTCCGCTCACTGGCGCGCCAACCTCCAGGACGCACCTATTTGGTCGCCATGCTCGTCTATAACATTTTGGCATTGGCCCACGTCTGGGTTGTTGCCTACGCTTTCGTTCCCGGTGGCGAAGTTATGAGAGAGCACACGGACTATGTTCTGATCGCCATGCAGATCTGTCTTTTGCTGGGCATTTTCAACTCCAACTCGGCTGCATGGAGTGTCGTCTCCGAAGTCCGCGCCAGGTCTGCATTCTCTGTCGCCCGTCTCTACACCAAACTATCCTTGGTTGGATTGGTGATTGCCTCCGTCGGTATTTGCTATAGACGTATGCCCAAGTCTGCTCCTCAGCCCTACCATCCCGAGCACAAGTTGATTACGGCCGGTATCTGGACCATCCACTTTGCGATCGACAACGACATGTACAGCAGCGAGATCCGCATGCGCGATGCCATCAGGGACTTGGAACTGGATGTCATTGGATTGCTGGAGTCAGATTTGCAGCGCATGATCATGGGTAACCGCGACCTAACCCAGTTTCTGTCCGAAGACCTCAACATGTATGCGGACTATGGCCCAGGCCCCACCAAGCACACCTGGGGATGCACCATGCTCTCCAAGTTCCCCATCAAGCGCTCGACACACCACCTGCTGCCCTCGCCGAAGGGCGAGTTGGCCTGCGCTATCCACGCTACACTGGACGTCTATGGCAAGGAGGTTGATGTGATTGTTTCCCACAACGGTCAAGAAGAGGATCTTTTGGACCGTCAGCTTCAGACGACAGAGTTGGGCCGCATCATGCGCGAATCCGACAACCCGTTCTTGTTCTTGGGATACGTTGTAACCAAGCCCGGCAAGGGAGAGGAGATTTATGAGTTGTTAATGAACGGTGGCCATGTGCACGATATTGAAGTATCAGACTGGGATCGCTGGTGCCAGTACCTGGCCTTCCGTGGTGTCAAGAGAGTCGGCTATGCGCGCATCTCGCACGGAGGCATTACAGACACAGAGATCCAGGTTGGCAAGTACCAGCTGCTGGAGAACCATCCCACATCCTGGGATCGATCGCTGCCCATCGAGGAGTTCAAGAATCAGGAGACATATGCGCAGATCTCGGAGAATCAAGTTCCCGAGGGCATGCGCTTCCCCTCCATGTTTTATGGTCAAGGAGTTCGCAAGCACCGCTTCCATGTCTTTGACCGACCTTACTACTACGTATAAGGCACACGATCGTCTTTATGTAGCGTAAAGAGCCGACAATAAAAATATTAATAATTCGAGTCGAACACGTTTCCATGCCCTGTTGTATTTGACAAGGATTGAGGGGCGTCGCACATCCAAATGAGCCTTCATCGTGAGGAAATTGGGTGTGAAGTGTAATAAAATAGAGGGGATCGACCGAAAAGATAACAAGAAGAATCCAGAGGTAAATAAGAGGCCACTGGAGGTTAAGTGAAATCATAGAGAGTGAGAAACGAAGTGAGTTATGGAGTACTTTTTATCAAAGAAAGACAAGTACATGTACTAGAAAACTAAAGAGCAAGGGTCAGACACGATCTTCTATTTATCTACGGACGGTAGATCCACAGTAGATGTGGTCTATCGGGACGACAAAGAACGTCGGCACAAAGAACACAGAGTTTACAATGAAACGGTGGACACGGAAGGGGCTTTTGGTGGCAGGTCTTTGTCGTTGCCACTATTCCCAGAAATAGACACATGTTGAGTGTGGCACTCTTTTAGAGTGTGGTCGCCTGAACTCACGGAATTACACAACAGCCCTCTCTTCCTTCTTATAAGTAAATATACAATGGAAAAGCAACAGGGAGAATCTATTTGACAACCCGGGTTGACACTGCTATTTGGCAACCCCTATACTAACTCCATGTAAGGCCAACATTTTTTAAATGTCGATTATGCCAGTAGTCCTTATGGTACCTGGCCCCGGCTCTTTAAGCTAGATCGTCATCTGTCTCTTAAAGGACTCCACAATGCAACTGATTTCCCATTTCGTCATCGCTGAGTCCGTCATCGATAAAATCCTGTTTTCCGTCATGAAGAAGGCTTCTCCCAAGGTCGCAAAAGGTTGCATGGGGTGCCAGGTGGAGGAAGGAATGGTTCTCAACCTCTTGCCGCGTTGTTTCGACTTGAAATTCGCAAAAGATACGAGTCTTGTTTTACTCCCATAAATATCCTACTAGAACTGGCAAGCCAGGTTGTTGGGAAGCTACTCCAAAGCAAGCAAAAAAATGAACTCATAACCGCTGTTCTCACTCAGACGAGTGCAAGCTGAACCGTACAGGATGGTTCTTTGAAGCGGCTGTAGTCATATCATAGTTCAGTGAAGAAGTGCGTGGTCCGGGAATCGAACCCGGGTCTACCGCGTGGCAGGCGGTAATTATACCACTAAACCAACCACGCTTCTCTTGTTATATAAGTCTAATATTTCTGCTTTACATGAGTCTGATTTATAATCAAACCTTATATACAAATCGGGAAATAGTCACGTGATTGTGCGCCCCTTCGACCAGGCCCGATGGCTCAGTTAGCATACTGGTCAGGGCACCTCCCTTGTAACGCGAAGGGACCAGGTTCGAGCCCTGGTTAAAGCACAGTAATATGTGCTACGCATAGAAATTTATTTGGAGCATGAGTCGGGCGTACTACCCCACTTCAGTTATGTGGGTTTCCTTTCCCCGGCGACCCCCACATTGAGTGGCACTACCCCATGTAATCGTTGTGGGTTTCCTTTCCCCTTCCTTAACGCTTGACATAATGCTCAGAATAAATTTCGCCCTTGCGCTAGCCTCCGGACTTCGAGAGGCGCTGGTTCAGAACTTCCCAGCTATACACCAGGGTGTACAAGTTATTCCACTGCACTGGCAGCATGCGTCTTAGCTACCCCTGCCGGGGTTACAGGTATAAGTTCAAAAGTGAGTAGGCCCACTTTATAATAGGCTAATCTGAGCTCACATCCAGTGACCTCAGGTGGAGGAAAGACGGGACGAGGAGGAGGAGGAAATGTTACAATAGTAGAGGATTCGGCTCGCAAGCCAGTAGAACGGATTCCGTGCTCTCAAGAAACCAAGACCATCTCCCAGATGTACAGGTTACAATTGGAGAGATGGTCTTGGCAGATTTGCAGGTGAGGAGCCTGCCAGCTAGCCGAGCGGATCGCAGGAGAAAGACCTCGGGACGCTTAGGGAGGTTACAGTGAAGTTGTTGGAGATGGTGCGACTGCCACACTAGAAGATTTAGGGCCAGATAGACACAAGTCTCAGAGACTATTCACTAGGAAACCAGCACTGATTGTTCTCTCTCGGAGGCCATGTTGAATAAAAAAAAAAAAAAAAAAAATGTGCGCCCCTTCGACCTGATCTGGCGCGAAGGGCTGCAGCAGATTGATAAGTGGGGACGAGCTGCAACGACCGCATACAACAAGAACAGCAAGAAGCAGCAAGAGCGTGATAGGATCCGCGCTGGAGCCGCCGCTGCTGCACCGAAACCCATTCGATGGGTTTGTCCTAACAACGAGACCCACATCCGAGGTCTATCCTGTATCGCCGGGATCCGATCAATGCTCAAAGGCGACGAGTATTATGACCGCTCTCCGGATCTGACCTGGAGCATCAGCGATTTATGCCGTGGCATCAAACCCGTCAGCCTTATCAAGAAGTGGGGCAGCCTATTTACCTCGCCATCGTCGATTGCGCGCCAGGTCATTCACAAGTTCGTCAGCTTTATTGAGGAGAAAGCTACGGAGCTGATCTGGAAACCACGCTGCAAGGCCACCATTGCTCGAGAGCGAGAATGGGGGATCACAGCCAAGATGAAACGAACTCCATACAAGGGACCGAGAGGGGACTAGAGTGATGGGTATGGATACATTAGCGACGATGACCAATGTCCGTGTGGTGCATTACTCGCTGACCATGTAAACGGGAGCTGCCCTGGCCCCATGCTTGACCCAGACGCAGCGGATCGGACGCTGCTGGATTGCCTGCAAGGGAGGAGGCGGTTGACAACTATGGAGGGGATGGGGAAGATACCCTTCATGTAACAAGGAGTTTTCAGCTTTTTACGCACTTCTGAGGTGTAACACTTGTTGCACGGGCCCAAGATCTGTCTTATGGCGACTATAGATGGATCCTGATCTCATGGAAAAGAAGTCTTTGCTTGTTAGCTCTATTAGAAAAAAAAAAGTAGGTAAGGCCGCACTCCGTCTTCATCACTAATGCGCGGAGGTCATACTTGTAATGATATTCACCGTTTAGACGAAATAATTTTATTGTTAAATCGAACGTATAACAGCGTCTCAGCTTGCTGAAGAAGGGCTGAGAAAAAACAAATGCCAAAAAAGAAAAAGAATAAGAGATGCACGTCGAAATTCCTGGGCGGCGATCATTTTTTTACTTCTGATCGTCGTAGACAGCCTTCTCCTCCTTATACTTCTGAAGAGCAGCGTGCGATGCCTGGTTGTAAGGAGTCTTCACAGAGTCGGAAGCCTTGGACCAAGCCTCAGCAAATGCCTTAGCTTGCTCATTAACTGGCATATTGGCGTACTCGCCTGACTTGCGGAGATCCTGAGCAAAGCGGAAGAATCCGCTGAGAGGGCGCTTGGGGGCATTGGGATCCTTGAGCGAGGGCAGACCCTTCTTGCCGGTAGCACGAAGAGCCTGGCGGCGAGAGTTCTCAAGCTTGAACTCTGCTGGGGTCAACTGTTGAAGTCGTTCTTCCGTCTCCTTCTTGAATCGCTCGAAGTCAGCCCTGTACTTGTCCTCGTAGACCTGACACAAAGAGACAAAAAAAAAGATAGGGCGTTAATCGTACTGAAAAGCTGATAAACACAATGCCGGCCCCGAAGGAGGCGAAAAACCCGGTCATGGTGAATAGCGCACCTGCTTCTCCTCGGCGCTGAGCTGCTTCCAGAGAGCGGAGGCCGCGGCAGTCTCCGCTGTAGGCACAATGCTCTTTCCAGAGGCCTTGACATTGTCCAAGTGCTCCATGTAGAACAGGGTCCACGAAGTGTTGGGTCGCTTTGGCATGGGGAGAGGCTCGACTATCGACATGAAAAAAAAGGATGTCCAGCGTGATCAGTGATGATGGTTCGTTTATATTCCGGATGCAGTATTGACCCACTTCCCACGCGGCTCCTGGGTTGATCCTGTCCTCTTCTTGACAGTGCCCTGACTCCACCCAAAAGTGGGCCAGCATATGTCAATAACTTCCTGTCTGAAGAAAGCTGATCCCAGTGACACTCTTTACAGCCCTACGACTAGCCTTTGTTCGTATTAGTCGTGTGAGGAGCCTTGCCAGTGTTGACGCTAATTAGCTAGGTGCGACGCCATATGCAATCATGAGCGGGTGTCGAAAAAACTTGATTCAGGTAGGGACCCGCCTTGATCATCCAAATTGCACAACTAAATGAGATCGCTGGCTTCACAGCACGCGCGAATGATCCTTGTCCGGTCACTTCCGGTTTGCTGGCCCTCCAACTCCTGCAATGTTCCGTCCTAGTACCTAAGTGTTATATTGACGCCACTGCTGTTTCGTTCATCGTCAAGAGGTCTGGCTGACTGTTGCTGGGCTGAGTGGGTCCGATCACGATCATGTAGTCTGATGTTGACTGGAGTAGATGATGTGCACATGAGTTGGATCGCAGCATACTTTTCTTAGGCTTGGACTTGGGAGCGTCGGCCTTCTTGACCTTGGGGGCCTTCTCGGTCTTCTCGGCCTTGGTAGCCTTGGTGGTCTTGGTGGCCTTGGTGGCCTTGGTCGACTTTGCGGAGTCGGTCTTCTTCTTGGTCGCGGTCTTGGAGGCGGCGGTCTTGGAGACAGCGGCCTTCACGGCCATAGTGCGGATGGCGCCCACAGACGCGACCGAGGAGATCTGCAGGGAGCGGAAGGCTGAAAGCGAGAACATTTTGACGATAATGAGAAAGAAGTGTGGGAAGGACGAAAACAAAAAGAACAGTCTTGAGAAGGGGGCCAATAAGAAAAAAAAAAAGTGCGAAATTTATGGACGCGTAATTTCCGCGTATAAACCGCGCTTTCCTCGAAAGAACTGTCGAAGGGATAATAAACACGATGTGGTGGCTGCACGACCGAGAGGACGGTATCGCGAAGAAAGTCAATAGGGGGGCGGTGGAGACAGGGGTGGACAGGGCTCCCGCTTGCTCGGACGCGATATAAAGACAAAGGACACGGTTTACCTATGCGTGTTAGCTTAAGGGTTTCTTTGTGTGACGTATCGCGTTTCGCTCTGACGCGTTACACGCGGCATGTCCGGTGAGGCCCGTACGCGTCTAGAATAAATAAAATAACTAAAAAGACTACCTGCAACGGTTTAAAGATAAGGGCATTCCCCACGCGTCTAGCATTAAAAACTATAATTCCCTGGCTTCTCAGTAGACACAGGAATTATGTCGAGCTCAATCCTCTGCATTGCTAAGCTATATATGACATTTTATGTCCTGCAGGCGCCGCTATTCCTTCGCGAACTAAGATCAAGATCCCCCCTGCACAATGAGAATTTCAGGCCAACAGCAAAGGATGTAATAGAAAAACATGATTTACTCCTCCCCCGTCCCCTTTTTAAGCCGTTACCATAGGATACACTGTACAGGACTAGGAAAAAAACCAGTTCGCCAGTACTAAGAGCACTTTCTTCACCGCCCTCCAGCCCTTGTGCTCACCTTAGGGTCTATTTTCTAGTTTGCTTGTCCCTAAAAGACTCGTGTAACACAAGCCCTTCATATCAGCAACTACGAATAGGATGGAGGATGTCAAGCACAAACTCTTCTCGGCATTACCCTTGTTATCCTTAGCAAGAATTCTTCTAGCCCCTGTATCTCCACACCCATGCATACCAAAGCGCACTTGAGCTCGCCTTGAGTTTGGCAGATTCCTCAGGAAGTGATTCTCTGATGGACGGTGATCCCAAATAATACAAAGGTGCCAAACGCGAGTTCATCAAAAAGAGCGACAAGGTCTCATTATTGCCCTCATCTACATCCCATACAATCCTAGTAATTCCATGCTAACCCGTCTCTGCTGGCCGTACCTGTTATTCTCAGCTTCCCATTTCGCCTCATGCCTCAGATTATCTCCCTCAAGGATGGCAGAACTGAATTTATCATTGTTGGTCTTTTTTATTGATGGAAACCACTGTGCGTGTCCCTGCATACTGTTGCAGATCCCATGGATGTTCAGTCGCGTACCTGCAATCACCCTCTATACTCTTTACTATTTCTTTTTCGGCCACCGATCAGATGAGGAGAGCAGTATTTCTAATCTTCATTATCACCTCTTCACAAAGTAATAAAGCAGATTGCTTATTGTTGGTGGTCTTGCCTTTGGTTCTATGGTATCAAAAAAATAGCACTGGCTACAGTTCGGTTCAAGATATTTTCCGCACTTCCCTCTGCCCTTCATCCCCTCCTCCTTGTCAATATTTTTCTGGCCATATAAGCGAAACATCCGCACCACTAAAAAAAAAAAAAAAACTGCCGTCAATTACGAGCCAGAGCTTCAGAGGCTAGTCGATGAGCCATGGGACCTTGAAGAACAATCCCTAACTTCGGACTTCACGGTAGAATAGCAGGACCAAGGCTACGGGTGATACTGCCGCTAAAAAAGACGGATCACGACAGGCAGATAAACTCGCACGAATGATAGCCACAAATAAACAGGGCAGCATACGCATTGGCGGCACCACATTCGACCCCGCCTGCATGCTCCATTTAGCCTCAGCATAACTGCAGCAGCTCCACCCCCACCTCCAACTCCATCCTTAATGCCCTCCCTTCCCCCCTTCTGGCCCTCCGCACCTCACCCTGCCTGAACTTTTCTTCCTCCCATCCTATTATAAGTCACAGTGACCGCAGTTTGCCGCGTTCCGATTTTTTCTCTTGGGATTCTTTTCAACTGTGAAAATGATTTCGGATCCGATCCACCCATCTACATCTACTCTTTACTGACCACCACCTCCTTTGCTCTCCTTACTTTTTTTTTTTTTTTTTTTTTTTTTTTTTTTTTTTGCGGTCTGCGTGTCTTACCCTCTCCATCTCTCCTACTTCTACTGTCTCTTATTCTAGCTATTGACAACTACCAAAGATCACACAACTCCACCTTGGTTTTATTTTCTTTTCTCCCTTCTCCATCTGCCTTGCACCTTCTCATCACAGCCTCCGACTTTCGTCCAGGAGTTTGCATCACTGGTTCGAACTGGTCGACAGTAAAAGCGCACATTGCCCCTCGCACCATCTACCCATCCGTCTATCCAATATGCTTGCAGAAAAGAGAGGTCGAACACAACCACCTGCACCTACGTTGATGATGATTCCACCCTTTGCTCCTCCCTCGCATGGAAGCAATGGCACAAACACGTCCTTCCACAAGGACTCGAGCCATCGATCACAGGAGTATAACTATACTCATTCAGTTCATCCCCCCCAACTCCCACATCCGCACAAATTGCAGCAATTGCAGCAGCAAATCTATCACCATAACGTTTCCCTGGAGCCTACTCTAGACACCCCGTCGTCGCATCCTCCACAGTTTTCTCAGGCTGCTCAAAAGCAAGCAAATATACATCAACAGCACCAGAAAGTCAAATCTCGACATTCCGAGCACGGTTCAATGGACCGTGGAGCGATAAAAGACTCATTCAAATCAAAATCCACTTCCATACCAAAACCTTTAAATGAGCATGTTGGCCCATATCTCCTTGGAAGGACCCTTGGCAAAGGATCATCAGGTAATGCGCGTTACGATCATGCTTTGATATGAAAGAACACCCGGTCTGTCCAAGGATGGCAGCACGACATAATTTGGGTGTTTTGAAAGTAGACAAGTCTTCTCCTTGTTAGCTTCGCTTCCGGCTACAGAGATGGAATCGCTTTAGCGTTCCTTTCATTCCCTTGTTCATTAGTTCTTATGCCACGCATAAGATAGAGTGTATGCATCACGACCCCATTCGCCGCCCTTCTTTTCTTTACCATTCCTATTTATGATGACCATTTTTTTACCCTTGCTTACCCCTCACCCCCTGCTCACACTTACACTATACGTTGTTGTTGTTATTGTTGTTGTGGTGGTGGTAGTGATGAGAGTTCTTAGATCCTTGACCACATTGACTCCTACCATCACCTGATTACAGCATGCAGAACCTCTTTTCTCATTTCGCCATGTTCATTCGAATCTACCCCTGTTTATGTTTATATTCTTTTCTAAGGTTGCGTCAAACTTGCACACCACCGCAGGACTAAGGAGCAGGTCGCGGTCAAGATCATCTCCAAGGCCTCTCTGATCAACAGGGCTGCAGTCCATCGTGGCATCGAGCGCGAGATCGCCATCATGAAACTGATCAATCACCCACATGTCATTCGTCTCTACGATGTCTATGAGACCGACAAGGAACTGTAGGTCCCGGGCTCTCATTTAAGAAAACGTGGCAATTTTAAGTTTGGCGTCAAGCCAATCAACGCGCGACATGAGATTGAGACGCGTCTCAGGGACGTGTCGCGCCATCTAGGTTCTCACATGTGCTCGTTTTGGTTATCGCACATACGTGTAGGTTCCTGGTAATGGAATATGTCTCCGGAGGCGAGCTGTTCGAATATCTGGTCAATAAGGGACGACTAGGCGAGTTAGAGGCCTTACAGTTCTTTCAGCAGATCATCGTTGGCCTTGCTTTTTGCCATAAGCGAAAGATTTGGTACGGACATGTAACAATAAGGTCCCTTATTCTTTTGTCAATTCCTATATTCTTAAAAAACTCCATTTCTTCTGTGCACATACTAGCCATCGTGATTTAAAGCCGGAAAACCTTCTATTGGATGATCAAATGAATGTCAAGATTGCAGATTTTGGAATGGCTTCCTTGCAGAAAACGGGGAGGCTCCTGGAAACAAGCTGTGGCTCCCCACACTACGCCAGTCCCGAAGTTGTCACTGTATGTAAACACGGAGCTGGAAGGCTCTATCGCACTCTATAATGATCAATGAGCTGACGCTACAGTTTTATTCTATAAAAACTTCAGGGCTTGAAGTACGACGGGTCAGCATCGGATATCTGGTCGTGCGGGATCATTCTCTACGCTCTTCTGACAGGTCATCTACCCTTTGATGACGAGAACATCCGGCAGTTGTTAGGCAAGGTCAAGATAGGCAAATTTTACATGCCTACAGACATCTCTATAGGGGCGCGAGACCTGATCAGTCGGATGCTTACTGTCAATCCCAAGCGTAGGATAACGGTAAAGGAAATTGAAAAGCCGGAGCTCATTTTCTGCGAAGACTACGAGGGATTCTAACTTTCGGCTGTGTGTAAACCTAACGCTACATCCATCCATCATCTCAAAACCGTCGTACGATAGATGCAAGGCGTGATGATGCATCCATGGTTTCGCACGGTCAATCCGGAGCGTAATACGCTCAGAGAACCAGTCCAGAGCCCTGAGAGCGTACGAACGATACTTGCAGAAGAACTGGACGCAGAAATTCTCCGTCATATGCGCTGGCTCTTTGCGCCTGGTCCATCGCATAGTGACCCAGAAGCGAAAGAGGTGTTTGACGAAGAGGCTCTACTATACGAGATTCAGGAGAAGATGACCAACAAGGAAGAGAACATGGAGAAGCAATTTTATCACTTGCTTTACCAGCACAAGACAGAGTTGCTTGAGGATTACACCGGAGAAGAGACCGACACCGTTCCAGGTAATGGAGTATGAGCTAAGAACCAAGCCTGATTTCTCATCCAATCCCTGGGACTAATCTGTATTATTCTATATTGCGCTATTACTCTTCCGCAGACGCACCAAGGCGGAGAGCTGATTCTTTCCCGACCTCGACTGCCTACAGCATCCGTTCAGCCACACCTGAATTCGGTCGCACCGCCCATTCGCCTCGAGATTCACCTATCATATCGCCTGCTTCAGCGCTATCTCCTATCGTCAAAGAAACAGACCCTACGCCTTTAATATTGGATCCAGAATTGCCCTCGGTCACATCATCATCCGCATGTCCTGGCGGAAACAGTTTAAAACAAAGTCAGAGCCCTACGGGCCTGAAGGAAGCCAACCCACTAAAAGACCCCACTTCAGCACCTAAGCAAAGAAGCCTCAATCCAAAGGCCAGGACCAAATCGTCATTCGAGACGATTCAGAGGACAAAATCGATAAAGAAAGACGAGAGTGGGCTCGATGAGGATATTGTCAAGGAAGAACCCAACAGAACATCCTTACCCAAAGCTACACCCACCAGCGGCTCCTCCCAAGAGAGCCACATGCATGGCAGTGTGAATAAACCCCACCAGGCTGCGGCTGCCGTTTCTGGGCAACAGCGCTCGTTGACCATATTATCACCCATGGCCGCTCAATTGCCTCCTCTCCATTCCATGGAAGCCGCGAACACGACGGATGCTGCGCTTTCCATGGCGGAGGACGAAAAAATGGAAATCGATGCCGCTGCAGACACGACTTCACCATCGATCGAGAACCAAGTGTTGTCGACACAGATTTCAGAGATTAGCCAAAGTTTTGATTCTACGCACTCTGTGGTGGCTCCCCCACAGGATAACATCAACGGGGGTGTAGCGATATCCCCTGCTGCACATTCGGTAAAGATATCCAAGACCGCTGCGTCGAGCAGTAGGGGCCCGAAACCTATGCTGCATCCTTTGAGCGATAAGGCCTCTTCAGGAACAACGGCCGTGAGCGTTTGTGCGAATCAGAACTGTAGAAAATGTAACATTAACACTTTAAATTGTTTGGGATGCACCTCTGTCGAACCGCAAAGGATTGTCTCTTAGCATCTGATGTTTGGTTCACTTTATGCCCTTAGATTCTGAAGAAGTAATACCGAGTGTTATTTCGACGACTCCATTGTCACCTAAGCGTTCATGGTTTGCGAGACTCTTCGATTTCAAACCTCAGGTATATACAAATAGCTGCGGATGATAAGTACCTCCAACGGAGTTCTCTTTTCTCGACTGCTAGAAAGCATTTTCCTGACAAATTATTGCTAATTTTTTTTCAAATAGCCATTGACGATAAAGAGTAATGTTTCTGCGCTGGAGGCGCAAGAGCGAGTGGAAATAATCCTCAAGTATCTCTTCCAATCTAGCATCCAGATTGAGCGTTACAAGAAACCCGCCCTGGGTGTGAAGTGCCGATTTGAAGGCGGAGGTAAAATAGAGGAGCGTGCGGAAAGTGGAGAGAACGCGTTCCCTAAATTTCCCTACATTTATTACGGTTCCGCACCCATTATCTGACTTTACACTTGCTTTATGGGCTTGTGTTCGACTGCATTTAGTGATTAACGACCGACTCGTGAAGGCTGTCAAATTTAAAGTCGACATTTCCGAAAAGACAGTGTCTACGCCTCCGCCATCTAGCTCCGGTAGCGCCTCCAACAGCAGTTCCCGCACAGCCTCTTCCTCCGCAGTTGCCGCTATCCTCGTCGCCGTCAATCACCACAAGATCAGCAGTACCAGCGGTGGAAACAGTAATAGGAACAACAGTAACGGCGAAAGCGCTCTCAAGCATGGTCCCTATAGCTCTTCCTCTTCCTCTTTTTCATCCACTTTCAATGTAGGAGCCGCAGTACCTATCACACCACTACCACCACAGCCGCCAACATTTAAGAAAACACCCAAGATTCTAGCGGGTCGCCGTGCCAGTGACGGGGGCTCAATTCTTTCCAGTGCCGCCGCGGCCGTGTCCTCACATTTCGCAGCCGCCAGAGCCTCCAAAAAGCCCTCTCACACTCATTTTCGCTCGAACAATACGTCGTCCTCTGCAGGGTATCGCCACTCTGTTCATGGGGTCATACCGAACGTTGAAGGAGGACCGTCGCATAATCTATCGCAGTTGAGGCGCGTCGTTAAGGTGACATTGCACCAACAACAAGGTGCCAACTCGACCTTGAGAATGATTTATGAGCGTCTGTGCGCCGGCTGGGATCTGCCCCTGGAGCAGATGGAGACGGAAGAAGACAATTCGCCCGTCGCCAGTCCGATGGCTGCGGCGCCTCGCGCGACCGTTTTGTAGTGGCGGCGCTTAGCAGTACCATGTCCATCTCTCTCGTTATTTGCGTGCTTTTTGTTCACTAAAAAACTGCTACATACGATAATACCCCTAATACAAAATAAATATAAACGGCAAGGTAAACGTCATTAACCAACAAAGGGTAGCTTTATTATTGTAAGAGTAAATCGCGAAAGGGTATATCTTCGAAAAGAATAGGCATAAAAGTTCGCTCATTTCTTGAATCGTTGCATGATATGGGTCTCGGCCTCGATCCTGATGGTCCGAGGCTGCTGCTGCTGCTGCTGCTTTTGTTTCTGTGCATGAGCCTGTTGCTGTTCTCGAGAAGGTGTATTCCTGAGCTGATTCAATGTCCAAGGCGACAGATCCAGCATCGATAGCTTTCTCATATCCCATCCGTTTCCGCCAGTACCTCTTTGATCGCCGTTGACTGAGTGGTGGCTATCATGGTTGCTATTGCTGTGAATGCTGTATGAATATCCTTCAGTCGGCCCTGTCGATTGTACTGGCGCAAATCCACTCTGACTGCGGCTTAAACTTTTGTCCCTCAGGTATGCATTTGACGACGACATGGACGACAGTGATGAGTTCGAAGAGGTGTTGGATCCATTCGAGAGTGTTGACGACGTCGAAAGGACGGAGAGGCCACGGGTGACCCTACCGCTGTGCTGGAACATGCCTCTCTCCTTAGCGCCCTCATGCCCAGCGTCATTATTGTTTCCAGCACCGCTACTCAGCTTGGCTATGTTGCGGGCCAGAACCCCCTCCAATCGCTCCGTCCAGGGCTGCATCCGATCAAACATCTCGGGCCATTGCAGTTCAATCAGTGTATCATTGAGTGTGATGCCATTTTCAATCGCCTTGATCGCCTCCTGCTTAAAGTCCTTGAACGGATCCACATATTGAATAGACTGCTGCTGTTGCTGAGGTTGCTGGTACTGGTAGCGTGGGTTCGAAGGGTACGCGGGCTGCTGATGCTGCTGATACTGCTGCTGCTGCTGCTGCTGCTGACCGTTTCCATAGAACGCCTCCAAAAATGGTGTCTGTCGATTATCGTAGACCTTGAACCGCATCAATGTCTGGTTCACAGCCAGTGCTCGTACAAAGGCCTCCACGTCATTGAGCGACCCCTCCAGCCGATCAAATGCCAGCGACCGGATGCTTGAGTTCGATTTCAGTCCCCTGGCAACCACCTCGATATCTGCGGAGATAAAGTACAGGATCTGAAGCGTCTTGTTCGTCATCATAAACCGTAGGAACGCCTCACGCGTGACCCGAGCCAAAGTAGCTGCCGCAGAAGGATAGACAACGTTGAGTGCGTCGAAGTTCTGACCGAGATTGAGGTGCTGGAGCGATGTGTTTTGACAGAGCGCATTTAAAATCATAGTGATGCCTTGGTGAGTCAAGCAGTTGCTTCCGATATCCAGTCGCTCGATACAACAGGGCTTGGATTCCAGGCTTTGGGCCAAGATACGCGCCACATGGTCATCGACGCCTGTCGCATTCAAATGAATAAACCGCAAGTAGTTTTGCGGCGTTCCTGCAATTCCGTACGGCCTAGGTGCTTGGGGTACGTCCTGCCGCTGCTGTTGCATAGATTCGCCTCCCTCTTGCATGTATGATGAGTTGGGATAGATTCTTGCGAGTATTCTCAGGATCTCGCGAGGCTTAAACAGGCGGATGCACCTCCTCAGATCCAGCTTGGTCAGCACGTTAACGTCCAGAAGTCCAATTAGATACCGCGCCGCACTCTCTGTAAGGCCTGCATCAGAGAGTTGTAGCACCTTGAGCTTTGAATTAGTAGCGATTGATTCCTGTGCCTTCATGGACGGAAGGGTATACGACTCCTTGATGGCCGTAAGTGCCAGATGGCCATTCAAAAAATCCGTTTGCTGATACCACGGCTTGTCTATCGATGGTGCCATATGCGAGGTTCTGATCATCGAATTGACCACCAAAAAGCTCTCCGCAGGCCCCATCTCCAACTGCCCTGGCTTGTCGTGCTTCCGCGGTAAGGGTGCTGATATTGAAGGCGACGAGGGAGGGGGTATTTCAAGTCGCAGCTGCATGATGATCCTGCCGAGACTCTGGATGCTACTTGTGGTCCAACCGTTCGTTGCAAGATTCAGGTATTCTAGCTGCGGCTCTAACTTCCAGGACGGGCTGTAGTTCTCAATCATTCTGTCCAAGGCCTTGGCAGCAGAATCCCGGAATCCAGTGCTCTCCAGATTCAAAAGCGAGAGGTTGGGTCCCAACGCATCAATTATAAAAGCCAGCGTCTCGTCTCCGATCTCATTCATTCCCAAATCCAGCTGGACCAGGGCCTTCTCTCGCGTCAAAAAGGCTGCCAGCAGCCGTCCGCCGACGGGTGAGATACCATTGTTGTAGAGGTTAATACTTCGCAGAGTCTTTCGTAAATGAGTTTGTTCTGTGATAAGGCCGATACCCTCGTCTCGAATGCCCATCCCTGGCAAGCTGAGCTCGGCAAGGGCGCGAAAATTCGTCAGCAGGTTCTTCAAGAAGGTGAGTGAAGGGTTGCGTCCAGCCCCATGACCGATGCTGAGACTCGTACTGATATAGTTGCCAGACTTTTCAGCCGCCGAAAAATCCAGTGAGCCCACGTTTTCCAAGTGCAACGCTTTGATTCCATATGCCTGAGAGAGCGGCTGGGGCTGCTTGGTCGAGATTTTGAGCAGTAGCGACGGAATGTTGATCAACCGCAGAGTTCCGATCTTGGAGCCATAGATAATGCGAAGTAGAGGGTCGTATTTCTTGCCAAAAGTTACGAGCTTCCTGGACGTTGATTCTGACTTTTGTTTGCCACCATCTAGTACCAACGTCCTGATCTTAGAATCCTGAATGGCCTGGACAAATCTCTGAAGATCACTCTCGTTGAACGACCATTTGAGCCCGACGTTGAGCTCCTGCAGGTTGTGGGCCTTGCTCATGATTTTGTAGAGTTGGTTGGCATCTTGAGCAGACCTGAGTTGAACTGCAGCTCGACCAGTCCGGAGATCATATTGTCCGCCAAGACCTGAGAGCTCCTGCTGGAACAAGAGCTCATTCTGATGATGGATCGTCGATCGGTAGTGTTCCTCGCAGACCCACTTGACATGTCCTCGACTGGTAACGATTTTATATAGACCAGCAAGGCTCAGCAAGTCCTGCGGAGGGATCCTGATATAAGTCTGGAGCTGTCGAATATTTGTTCCGTCAAAGTACTCCACGAGATCCTGCATGCTGCCGTTGTTGTCTGGCGAGTCCATGGGATCGAGCGAGTCGAGATAGTCGATCGTCTCCGTCAACCTTGTATCCAAAATCTGATTTTTCAAGATTTCTTGGCCCACAGGGTTGCCGTGATAGGCGCTGTTGGCGTCGTTTTGCTGTTGAGCTTGCTGTGGCAAGGATAAAAGCGGCGAAATAGAGACCGAGCCACAATTGACACCCTTCCGCAACATGTGAGAGAGACTTCTGATGAACGCACCGTACTTTTCAAAGAACTCCACAGGATGCTCGATCTCATAACCCTCGTGCTCCACAAAATGAATGCTGTTCAAGCCGGAAGACCGTAGAGGTCTCGTGTGATGTCCGCATTCGCACAGGAAATGCAGCCGGAACTTTCTTTGATCGCTTGCGGGTACAAGTTTAGCAGGATTACTCTGATCTAGGATCAAGACAGGGAGGACAATAAACAAGCGCGCCACTGGGTTCTCGTGAGGCTCATGGTTCTGGGTCAGGACAGCTTGGACCTTATTTTGGATAAGAGTAGCTCTATTCATGATCTTGGCCGACATCTGAAGAGATTCCCGTGCCAAGGCGTGGTTCATTTTTGCGTACGCTAACGTTTGATCCTGTGCGCGGCGTAATTTCATTTTTAGATCCTTGACCGTTGTATCGTTCTCTGAATTTGTTTCAGTTTCCGCGGGAAGACGAAGGCTCATCCGTTCAAGCTGACCTGGAGGATTTTGGTGATGAGAGAACGATTCAAATGGCTGCTGGGTAGTAAAAGAGCTGGCGGTCGGAGATGAAGCCAACAAAGCTCTTCCCTCTGGATCCAATGCTTGAGGCGCATGTGCAATAGAGGGCCGATGGAATGGTTGAGTTGATATAGATGACGAGGATGCGATGCTTTGGGGCCGTGGAGGGATAGGTGGACTTGTTGCTACGCTGAGTGGGTGAGGAGGCGGCAGATATTGCTGCTGATGCTGTTGGTGCTGCTGGTGCTGCTGTCGGTACGGCTGCTGGTACAGTTGGTAGGGCTGCTGCTGATACTGATGTTGGTACTGTTGCTGCAGCTGATACTGAGCCGCGTACGCCTCCATGGGCTGACCTGGCAGGGGTGGCAGTGGATGCGAGTTGTAAGAAGTCACTGGCTGGTAGCTACCGTCGGCAATATAAACTGAGGACTTGCGCACTCCTGTTGGAGAGGCAGGATCTTCGTACTGCTGTTGCTGAGGAGGCGGAGTGGAAGGTTGCTGAGTGGTATCTTCATATTCATCGAGTAATGCAATTGGCATTGTATGAACGGTCTGGGCAGTGCGAAACAGCGGCTCTGATGCGATTGACTCCGTGGACACGCCCCTGGGATGTATCCCATTGCTGATTCCTTGAGAAGACTTGTCGGTATCTCCGGGCCGCGTATTTTCATTCAGCGCTATATCCAGACTGGGTCCCAGTTCTATTGGTGACCTCTGTTCTATCTTCAATGATTTTGACGATATGGAATCAACAGAGGCGGTCCGTCCTCGCAGGTTTGGCGTAGCAGCTCCATCTGTGTTCGTGGTTTTATTTGTAGTCTCCGAGACTGGGGACAGGGCTGCTGTCAGAGAAGGCCGAACAATGGACAGAGGCGCAACAGAGATTGGAGACAGTGACCTTGGTGAAGCTACACTGCTAGTAAAGGATGACGCGGGAGTTATAGGCGCAGTCGACTGCGGCGAGGGGATGTTGATGGGCACGCTGGACGTTAGGGCAGGGGTTTCCTCGGAGCCGGGGCCAACAACGACATCCAGGATGCAGTCCTCGTAGTATGCGATGCGGGGAGGTTCGATTCTACAACGAGAAATACGCGTGAGCAATTCAGTTTGTGGAATTCAATGCCAGACGCGTGTCTTCTGTGGAGAAGGAACATATAGGGCAGCCAACAAGCCATTCATTCGTTTCTTTTGCATTTCTGCAACATGTACCTGCGATCATTCTCATCGGTCATGAATGGCACTCCGACACGATTGTACTGGAACCGCCTTGCATTCCCAAAGATATCCTGAGCGTCCTGGAGGAGAATATAGACCTGACCGTTACGCTCTCTGGCCTGTATTCTCTCGACAATACCGTTGAGCCGAATATGCTGGATGTAGAGCTTTGGAGGGGGCATGGTGACCACGACACTCAGGACACAAGATAGACAGAAGAGCTGCGGAGGAGGTTAGGGAACAGATGGCACTGTAGTTGTATGAGGGCTGCAGGAAAATCAGGCGAAGCAGAAGTGCAGGGAGATGGACTCGACGCTGAGGTTGGGGGAGGAGGAAAGTGGTAGAGTGGAGCGGAGTCAAAGTAGGAAGCATGAAGGCATGGAACAATGGCACGAAAATGAAACCAGCAGACCACGCCCTGTTTGCGGGCCCATGGGCGTGATTTTGTTGTTTGCTTGGTCCATTGTGCAACCTCATTGTTGACCACTTGCGAGCCAAACCCGAGAGACCAGCACTGGCACGCATCCGAAGGTTCGATTCTTGCCTCATGGACAAACATAATTTTTTCATCGCCACACGAGTTGTACAAAAGCAGCCCCAAGAGTATCTCTACTCTTCTTGTCTACTTCATCTTTTTTAAAAAATCTAGACTGGAATAAGGGATGATGATGCTGGTCCTACAGCAGTGTCTTCTCTTCCACATGCGTGCACACAGTTGAACCCTCGCCTTTTCTTTAAATTGCATTTGCAGCAGACTCTTCAGTCAAATAGCTTATTTTCTAGCTCATAGATTTGTACGTGATTCCAAAGTAACTTTATTTCAATGTCACCAAGTTCATTCGGTGGTTTTCTTTATCAATATCGCTCATAAGTGAGATGCTGGACAGTGATTTATACCTGCATTTCATTTCGTCTCGCCCTTGCGGACCCGTGAACCCATGCCACCAGGAGGAGGAGGCGAATCAATCTCACAGACGCAACAGAACCTCACGTCGACATCAACAACCAACACCAACGCTGCAATGTCAAATTATAAAAAAAAAAAAATCAGGACAGCCGACGGTTTCAAGAAGGCGTTTCTCAGACATATTGACATCCATAAGCGCTGTCGACCCAGGGATACGATCTACAGCCAGGGTTCTATAGTATATACCTGAGTAGATGACATTGCGTACATACAACATCTCGGTTTTGGGGGACTCAGACAATCACGAGCAAAACTTATACCAAAAAAAACATGAAGCTCATGGAAACAGCCCAGAGGTTCGATGTCCCGCCATCGTCACACGGGGGGGGGGGGGGGACTCACAAATCACCATCAGCACTTCGAGCCGCATGTATGCCATCCCCCCTCCCCAGCTCATTGGTGATATATTAGTAAGAGTGCTGGACTCAATAGCGGGACTCGTTTGAGATCTAATCGCGTTCACTAGCAGCGATGGAAGAGCATTTACGGGTATCCTCTAAGAAAGACACACCCAATTCGCAGAAAGCAAACTAGGAAGGCAGAAATGGATACCGCAGTCAACGCGAGCATCAACGGGATCCGGCAAACCCAAGCGGAGGACCAAGGTAGCCGTCGCTCTTTGTTGGTAATCGGAGATGATTAGTTTGACTTAAGCAATGGTGCCTTTATCTTCGTCAAAACGTTTTATTCCAAGGCTAAACGAGCTAGCAAGTGCGGATCAAATTCTACTGCTTACATGGACTTCTGTAAAGACTCACAACATCAAACAGCCCTAACTTCTTGTCTCTTTCTCTCTCTTTCTCTTTCTGCAATTATAGGCAGAGACAATGAGTGTGTTACTTTGCTGTGCAAATTCCAGACAAGCATCTCCATTTGCCATGCGAAAGTTACTACGAAAGACGATCCGTGATAATCTATGTCCGACTTCTGGATGCGAAGACCAACGGCCGAAGGAGAAGCCGCGATGATAACGCTGCGGTGCCATGGCAGGAAAATTAAAAGTGACCCAAGACCATTGACCGTGAATATTCTAAGAAAAATGAAGCCCTCCGTGGAGGGAAGGCAGTAAAAAAAAAAAGACCTGCAAGTAATCTGTCTTGTCTTTTGTGAGTTACGTACAAAGACAGGTTTGTGTAACAGGCCATGGAGACGTATTGTTAATAATTCATTCGGCTGTGCACCAGTCAAATATTAAAAGACGTAACCAGTAGGTCTCTGTGTATGTAGCCCGAGGAATGTCCCGGTGGTGTTTTGGTGGGAGGCGAGAGAAGTGAGGAATGGATCGCACTCTGGAGCCAAGTTAGCCTTTTCTTTTTTTCTTTTTTTCTTTTTTTTATTCGTCTACATTATCGTGCAGCAGCGGTGGTTCTTCTTACCACCGCTATCCCATTCTTTGCTTCGAGATCCTGAAGGACTCTTAGTCCTCGACTGTTCCTTGGCCAGCTTGGGCTGGATTTTTTCTGAGACAGAAGGTTCACAGGCACTACCACCTTGTCTGTCGCTTTGCCTTGCTCGCACAATATTTCGGACCAATTCAATAAACATTTCGTCAACATGTAGCCCTGTCTTTGCACTATACATCACGAAGGAAAACAAAAGTAAGTAAATAAATAAATAAAAACGCGATGCTGATATACAACACGCGACAGCACCTTTGTCTTACCTTGTCTCAACAAATAATGCCTTTGATTCCTCAGCGAAACGCGCGCCGACATCGGTTGAAACTTGGCGATCTCCTTGATCAACTAGATCCCACTTGTTTCCGACCACGATCATCGGGACTTGTGAGCTCTCCTTCGCACGCCAGATCTGGTCACGGAGCACAGCCAGCTCTGCAAAGGAGCTCATGGATGCTACGGAATAAACACAGATGAACCCATCTCCTTTTCTAATTTGACCATGCAAAAGTGGGCGAAGAAAGTTTGATCTGCCAGTTAATAAACCGTAGGTCTTGTCCATTTGCTTCATTCACTCTTGAAGTCCTAATCACCTCAGAAACCGGTCGTTCCAGTGACCGCGATACTCCTGCTGGCCTGCAGTGTCATTGATGTCTAGCGTATACTCTTGCCCGTCCACCTTGATGTGTCTGCAATAAGAGTCTTCTATCGTCGGATCATACCTATCGAGACGTGCCAAAGAGACTTTCAGTATGGGTGTCTTTCAAGGAACGTCAATAGTAGATGTTTTCTGGAACAAAAGCTTACTCATCGTGGAATCTAGGGAGGAAGGAAAAAAAAAGAGAGAGGTTGGTCAGCACCTGGTTGATGGTTCATATCTTCGAGCATAAAAGGCAAGAAGAGCCGCGGTAACAAGGACTTACTGGTCTCGAAGGAATCGTAGTGTCAGTGCAGATTTACCGACTGCACCATCACCCACAACAGCAATGGACAATCTGCGTGGCGTCTTGTTCTTTGCCACAATGCTTCTGTCACACGTGCCTTGCGATGAAAGTAGGGCAGGAATGGGTTTCTTGAGCGTCCGTCTGACGCGGCGGTTCCTGTGACGAGCGTTTTCTTCGGATGAAGAAGAAGAACTGATCGAGGAAGCGGAGGAATATGTGGAGGAACCGGTAGTGGACGTGGAATGGGATAGTCGGCGGACAGATGCAAACAGTCCACGCCACGTCCTTGCTGTTTCTTGATTCAAATGGTATCTACTGTTGTTGCGATGGCTGCTGCTGTTGCTGCTGCTGGATTTGTAGCTATTAGCCGTGCCAAAGGTGTTATACGAACAACGGCTAGAGCTCTTGGAAAGACGGTTGTTTGCGCGGGTGGGCTGCGCGTCGGGGCGATCAATAGCGGTCGGATCGTCTGGGTTGTGCCTGGTGATGTCCTGGTGAGGTTGTGCCTCTGTTTCGGTACCTGGATGGACCGCGTTGTTTGGCGTACTGGAAAGCTCTTTTGCAGATCGGAAGCATGCTGAAGAGGATCGAGAAGATTGAAGAGAGGCAGAAGAGGTAGTTGTACCGTTGGAGGTTGGGCGAGGGGAATCGACGATGAGGTTGTTGCTGGCCCACTTTGGGTCGCGGGTGAACTCAGATCCCTTTCTAGCCCTGGCGCCTCTAATTTCAGCATGCGTGCTTTCTGGCTCAACCTTCTGTACAGCTTTCTGCTCACCCTTGCCGGAGAGCAAAGACGTCGTTGTCAATACCAAGCCCGATCTCTTTATCTTTGAAAATAATCGGCTGAGATCATCCGCACCCCCTCCATAGCCATTGCAGATCTGTTGCCCCGAACGCTGCATATGGCAGTCAGTCGAAGGGGTGTATTTATGCTCGCCTTGCTCCCCCACCTCCGTATCCTTATTGTCATTCGTGCGATTGTGCGCGTCCTCTTGGTCTGCGCGGGACCGCTGTGGGCTAAATGCGGGCTCGTTCCTGCAATCGGCTCCCTTGCTGGAGTCCTCTACATCCCTACAGCTGCCCAGTCCATCTGGCAGCGATGTCTCTTTGATGACTATTCCCTCTTCTTCAACATCTCGTTTGACATCTTGGTGTTGCTGTCGAACGTCATCTTTCGCTTGCTGGTCTTGCTGAAGCGCCATATTTCAGAGATGATGCGGATAGGGTCGTTTTTCTACTTTTGCTGAGGAAATAGAGGCTGGCGTGAAATTA